GCAGAAGGGTCAAAAGTTTGTTCCAACCTCAACAAATCCCACCCGGTTGCCATCAGTAACACCAATCCTCACGCTCAGAGCCATGGTCCGGAGGATGATTGCCTCGCCCATCCCGGTTGTATCAGGTTTCCTTCAATGCGTCGCCTTGATGATCTGGTGGAAGTGATGGCGAAAAGGCCTCGTCCTTCTTTTCTTGGCGGCTAGCTCACGAGGAGCATAACCCGCTTTGAACGCTGGTTGGCCACTGCACAGATTCGCAGTGCTTTGCTATCATGTGACCGCTCATCCGACTACTCAATGAGGGCACTGTTTCCCTTTCCCCATTCCCCGTTGGCTTGATGATCTTATAACGATCCTTGGCCACCGATGCTCTCTAACGTGTACTGTCCTGTGACTTGACTCGAACCGGCATTCGTATCATGAATCATATGACACATACTAGAAGGAAGCGCGTACCATGAAAGCCTTCTCTTGGTCCCCGACCTCAAGGTTCTTCTTCAAGCCAGCCCCGTTGCCGAATTGAAAAATTTGAACCCCTTGGCTTCTGGCTTCTAGCTTCTATCTTCTAGCTTCCTGCATCCACAAGAGACCCATGTCCACCACACCCACCACGGCACCTAAAATGCTCCATACCCGGCCTGCCGGCGACGCGGCGCTCCCTAGCATTCAGCCAGTACAGGATGATATTCTGTACGTACCATCAGATTCTTATCATTCCCAAGTTGACGGGACGCCCACCCAATCTCCACCAGATTGCGCATTCGATACCTAGCAAATATAGCTTAATCTATCATACGAAGTGGATCTGCATGCAAATTGCTGCAAGGTAGGCAAGATTATCTACGTGCATACATACTACTACCTAGCACTACGACGTATGTACAATATATCAGCTTACTCCTATCGTGGGTTAGGAAACGCGGATATTTCCATAGTTACCAAGTCTAGCTCTACCGGCAACGACCTTGTCAAAGCTATCGGTGCTAGGAATGATCAGCCAGTTCGACGACGTTGACGGTAAAGCCAGGGTCCACTTGATGACAGCCTTTTTCGACGTTGGAACGGTTCGCGAAGGCCCGTTGCGGGTACACCACACCGTTCACCTCCGCCATAACTACAGTAGTTGACATCTATTACCTCTCTACGTATATCGGCATTGAACGAGTTTAGGCCCGATGATTATAAGTGAAATACATAGTTACCATACATCTGCGGATATCATGCGAAGGACGTCATCTTCCACCCCTTTTACCAAGAGGCCGGGTCTACGATTCAATAAATCTTTCCGGAGAAATATCAATATGGAGTGTCAATAACAAAGCTACTTGACTAGGTAGGGCTATCAAGGGTGAAGGAGAACCCCTAGGGGAAGCTGCTGACGATCTTGTTACTTTACCAACCCAGTGCCATGGGCCTTGAACTGCCCTAAAGCTACCTAGTAGGCTACCTAACCACAAATGCTTGTGGATACCTACCTACCTATGCTAGGTAGATAGATAGCTAGTATGTACCAAACGGCACACATCCGAAATAGCATCATGTTTACAATCACAGGCCTTACGACCCACGACGCATGATACCAATGGGAATGGGCCCACCGGACGATTAGGTCATCTCCCAAGCCGGCACTTAACCCTTTCCCCAGCCATTCGTATTTTCAAGGGACGCCAAAGCATAACCTAGGAACGATCATCAAATACACTTGTATGTATGTGCTGATTGTCTAGACCAGAGACCCCAAACAATGCCTTGACAATTGCATGATTTTGAGCTTCGCAAACCTTTCCAATACTCAATTCCCTGTAAAATCATTATGACATGAAGAAAGAACCCGCCACACCGGGCATCATGTACCAGCCCTCGGCAGTTAAAACGTGCATTGGTGAACCTGTCAAGTTCCGGTCGGGCAAGGATCAGACAATCCCCTGTCCGACTCCCTTGACGAGGTTCTATGGCACCGGGGAAGCGTTCCGTCATGGCGGATTGAACGATAACCCTCGCGAGTCGCCCTGGATTGACGTGCTTGTTCAAATTACGACAAAAATTTTCACCCAGCGGCTTAAGCTTTGACAGAAGGGAAGGATCAAGGTTATTACTGTGGTAATATTGCAAACCTCGTGCCGATACCAAGGACCTTTGGTTTCGGTAACGCCTTCGCCGGAGAGTTGTTGGGATTTACGAATCGATCATCCAGTGCCCAATGACCTATCGACATCGGTAACACTCGATATACAGTACATACATGGTATTGTATGTACATTCGATGACTCAATAAAGGGATGAATGGTCTCGATGCGGCGCCTGTAAGCGCCATCACTTCATAATTTCGTGACGTATCGGTATATACATTGTTCATTCTCCTATTAGCCAACGGCTCTTGATCCCAACGATCTAGGATTCAGCCCCTTCAATCAAAAAACAAGACGCCTGGTATTAAGGAACTATCATAGCAGACCAACTGCATATGACATATGTACTATGTAGGTGTGTATGTGTGTAGATAGAAAGGCTTGGACCAGGAGAAAGGGAGGTAGAAAAAATAAGGCTGATAGATTCTTTAGTATGGCCAGTTTAGGGGTTCACGATGTTCTGGATTGTTCCAATAGCGGAGCCCATACAAGCACCCACGTAGATTGATCCTTAATTGGGTCATATCTGGAGGGTCCCAGAGAGCTAAGTCGCTCCGCCAACCAGACTCGATTCGGAGTTGTGACTCCTTATCTCGGAAGGGATAGGTGTCCTGTTGGTTCTCCCTGAGAAGCGCGAAGCCTGTTTTCTTTCCTAAAGAAGTTTACGGCACAATACCAACGTCGGAAAACACTCCGACCCTGCACACATACATAGGTAAGTACATATCTAGGTTACCTACCTCCAGGGCTATCTATCATGTCCTATTCCTCCTCGCACGGGCTGTCAGCTCGGTCGTTTTTCCACACTTCATAAGAGTAGGTGATATTAGGTGATGTTATGTAAGAGACCTATCAGATACCTAGCTGGTCGACGTTTTAAAAATGCCTGCAGCCTTGTTTGTTCCATGATCTACCGGCGAATTTTTTCGCGTCTATCCACCTGACAAGCAAATGAGATGATAATGATGAATCCATGCCACATATTATAAGTAGGTCTGTATATGTACAATACATATAATACCTACGTACTAACTACCTAACCCAGGTAGGTATTTGTTGAATATCTTACGATGTGGTCATAATCAGTTGCATCAGAACATTATTTCCTCTGAGACTTCTCAACATGATGAATAGGCTTAAAGACTATGCTATAATATAGCAGTATCCTTAACTTTTGGTGTATATCAGCATTGTCAGTCAATTTGCAGACATATTTGCAGAAGCCTGTTGTTTCCACATGCATGATGTTCATCGCAGGGATTGGATTGCATGAAACGGCTTGTATAAGTCGTATACACTACATACCTCGTCGCTTAGAGATACTAGGTTTATTACTTCGGAGCCTTTAACTACAGTACCACGCACGCACAGAGCCAAACAAGTTCGTCTCAAAATCTATTTTGGTATGAAACTAGTTAATTATTTACGAAAAGCCTTGGGAGGCCTGTGTTGCTAGCAGTGTTGCTGTGGTTGCCGTGTATGTATGCTTTTAGGGTATGTATGTAAATTGTATCAAAGCGAACGAATGATTTAGCAAATCCCGAGAGCTGAAGTAGCATGATTGGCACGCATGTAGTTATTGTACGTTAGTTAGCCATACACCAAGGACAAGCAACGGGTGACCAGTAACGAAGAGGCACAACTATTGCCCAACGTCGCGACGACAAGACACATATGCCTCCCGAGCCTCTAGGCCCAATCGGACTACCGGAGCCGGCTCAGGTCTTATGTTTTTTTTTTGTCCTTCTTCTGTACGTACGGAGGATGTAAGGTATGTAGGTAGGTAGGTAGGTTAGTGTACATAACTATGTATGATCGTGGTCATCCGTCTCCAGCCCGCCCCGACGTATGTATGTACAACATCAATGCCAAAGATAGAACAAGTCCTACCTACCTGGAGGTGGGATTCTTTTTTTTGGCGGGGTTTTGTCCCTCATGGGGTCCAGGTGATCTGCTACTCATAGAATGGGTGGTAGGACGGAGTGGATGGATATATTGTCTTTAGGGCAGCGAGTATATCATGAAGGGGTTTCCATTGGTAGCCTCACGTTCAGATGGACTTCGTTGCTACCTTACGTACATGATCTAGTATTTTAGTCCCTATATGCTGAGTAGGTAGGTAGGTAGGTACTTTGGAGTAGTGGGAGGTAGAGTATGTATGTACAATACATGGTGGTACATATATATCTCGATAATGTTTGTAGTGTAGTGTAGCAGTAGTAGTGAGTGGTAGTGAGTGGGGGCAGGTGGGGGCAGCGGGTGTTGATGCAGCTAAGCCACGAGTCTAACGAGTCTAACGTGAGTGCTTCGTTGGACATTTGGTGCAGTGCATTTGGTGTTCAAGTTACACACAGAAATCTTTAAAAAAATAAAAATAAAAACCATTTAGTGTTTGGTGTTGCATGTGTTACATGGATGATGCTGTACTACAATACCCTAGAATAAACCAATCAAGTCAATCATATCAATTGGTGCACCCCTTTCGTCCATTGACGTTCTGAGCCACAGTTCGCAGCCCCCTCAAAACCCCACCTAAACCTAAGTTAGAATTTACAGCTGTCCAGCAACGGGAAGCAACGTCAATCCTCCCCCCCACCATCTCTCCCATCGTCCATCGCCCATCGTCCATCGCCCATCGTCCATCGCCCATCGTCCATCGCCCATCGTCCATCGCCCATCGCCCATCTCTCCAACGTCCACCGACCCCAAACCTCCGAGATCGAAAGGACCCGGGACGGCCTAAAATCATATGTACACGTACACGTAGCCAGGCAAGGGCGGTAGATTTATCTTATTCTACCTAGTTACCTGATAAGTTACCTGATAGTTTAGGCACCAAAGCGCTAAACAAGCCGAAAGAGAGACAAGAGAGACAAGAGAAGGACATCCATAGCTCTACTTCGGCACCACCTACCTACATCAAGTTGGGCAGCCCTTGTGTTGTGTGTGAACCGCTAAGGAAGTAAGAAAGGAAAAGGAAAGGTACCCCACGATGTCCATTATCCAGCAGCACTCCCAAGCTTCGCTCAGCGATGCCTGGCGAACCATCAACATCGACGCACTAGACCCCGACTCGTCCCAGAACTTCGATACCTCCACTCTACATCCTCCTCTACCCGAGATCACGGAGCCCGATGTCCGCCAACTGAATGCCCAAGTCCGCCAGCTGCTCCGGGGAGGTGATGCCGAGGGTGCCCTGCGAGGCTCTCTCGAGACTCCCGTGTATAATGGCAGTGACTCGGCAAAGGTACGCTGTTATGATGACGATATATGTTTATATAAATAAATATATATAAAATATAGTAGTAGGGTAAAAGAGCATTGCTGACAACGTGGCATTGATATAGGATGCACACATGCAGACCGTGCTGGAGGTCTTGCAGTCTATCAAGGCCAGCGAGATGACACCGATGCTGCAACGCATCTATGCCACGGAAGGCGGTAGCGAATTATTAGATGTGTTGATGAAGTATCTGTATGTCACCACCCTCCCTACCTCCCTCCCTTTGCCACATCTATGCATGCACACTCTTGTCAGATCTCATATCTAATCTCTTGTATAGATATAGAGGCATGTCGGGGGGTTCGTCCAGTGGTGGAATACGGACACCAACACGGAACCTGACACCCCAAGTTACCGGGTTCAGCCAAATCGGCTCCAGGCCTGGTGGCACGAACGAGGTCACGGGCACGGGCATGAGTGTGCTACTCAGCTGGCACGAGAAGGTCGTCGAGGTCGCAGGCCTGGGTAGCATAGAACGATGCATGTCAGACTGGCGTAAAGTGTAAGAGTCGGTGTCGTCATCATCCATGAATTGAATGAACGGGATTATGAACTCGAGCTCGCATATTCCCTATATGCTTTGCTTCTTCTATATAATGAACATCAGTCTATCTTGGTTAACTTGGTGCCTTACCCCCCGGGCTGGAATTAGAGCACTGGAAAGTATCCAATGGCAAATACTCTGTACCTAGATGTCCCTATTATGAGATGAGTTCTACTGGAGTTCGCGTCGCGTCGCGAGAAACACGGTATATAGGTACCTATATATGTATGTTTGTATGTATTCTAAGTGCATATATTGTAGTTTCCAATGGTTGTTACTAGGTACTGCCCAAGTAGCTTGAAAAATATTCAGCCCCCTGATATATCAGGCAAACATGCTGCATTTCCATCGCCTGAAGAACACCTTTGCAGCGCAACTGCAGAGTTTTCTGTTCGTTAAAAGAATTTGGAAAAAATAACACCTGTCTACCTGGTGGCCATATCTACTTCACACCGTGTTTGCTTTTAGGAAGAATCCAATACATCAACATATCCTAATTTGCTCTTCCAACTTTTCACTCACTCACCTCGAAACACTATCTTTCTCAACTTCTCTCATCCCTATTCTTACCCAACCTCGAATCAATTTGAATTCTCACTCATAGTACTCTTAGAAAGTACTTAGCAGGTACCTTTATTCGATTTAATCGTTTAATAGGTACCTGCTTACCTATTAGTCCTGCTCACCTTATTAATATTTCATTTCTCCTTCATCGCTTCATCAACTTGAACACTTATTTCAAGCTTGGCTTTCACGTCTAGTTCTTTACCTAACCCTACATTGACATTCGGCTTCTAAGCACCTCGACGTCATATTATCAGTCTCCAACGATATTTGCTATGTCACAGAACACTATCGCCAATATGGCCTTCCAATGCGGTCCTTGCGGTCGTTCATTCAAGACTGACGCAGGCTTGCAGCAGCATTGGCAAACTGCAGGCGACCATAAGAAGACGAGTCGCCTCTGCAATCTCTGCAATCGCTGGACACCTAACGAAGAGGCCTACAAGCAGCACTTGTTGGATCCGAAATACCATAACAAATGCACCATTTGTAACACAACTTTCCCATCGAGCAAAGCTAGCCTCGACAAGCATATGATGGAAGCTCATCGCCGATGCCCCATCAACAACTGCATGAAGATATTCCAGCCCCATCAGCTAAGCGACCACATGCATTATGCTCATATGCACTGTGGCAAGTGCAACAAGACCTTCCCGACGGAGGCTGAATTCCAGAGTCATAGGGAGTCGAGCACCTTGCACTTCTAGTGTAAAGCGTGTGGTGTCGATTTCCTCAATGACGAGGGATTCCGGGAGCATTGCAAGGCAAACCACTTTTCCTGCTCCAAGTGCAACATGGTCTTCATGACAAAGGAGACTCACACTCGCCACCTGCAGACGAGCAGTGTTCACTATTTCTGCAACAAGTGCTCTATCGAGTACAACTCGCCTCATACGCTGATGGCCCACTACGGACTGCCGAAGACTTGGGCAAGCGGAGTCCAGCACCACTACTGCGCGCAGTGCTTTGCCGAGTTCGAGAACGCAGAGGGTTTGAAGAACCACTACTTCAACTCAAGCATCCACCACTACTGCATCCTGTGTAATAAGAACTTCACAGACGCGGCAGCGCTGAAGAACCACCTGCAGGCGAAGCAGATCTCCCACCACTACTGCGGGATCTGCAACGTGCCCTTCCGCACCGAGAAGGAGCACTCCCTGCACTACATGCAGAACCCGGCGACGCACTCCTACTGCCAGCCCTGCCGCCAGAAGTTCCCGACGCACGCCGCGCTCGCCGCGCACAAGCTGCAGAGCCCCGCGCACCACTACTGCAAGGACTGCGACGCCGACTACGAGGAGCGGGAGATCCTCGTCTTCCACCTGAAGAAGAAGCACAACTTCTGCGAGGCCTGCGACCGCTTCTTCGCGACGCCCGCCGCGGCGGAGCAGCACGTGCGCGAGGGCGCCAACGGCAACCACCACTACTGCGGCGACTGCGAGAAGGAGTTCGCCGACCCGGAGATGCTGCAGCTGCACCTGCGGGCGAAGCACCACTACTGCGACGCGTGCGACGCGGCGTTTTCCGCCGCCGCGGGCCTGCGCGGCCACAACTTGTCGCGCCACGGGTACCTGCGCTGCGACGCGTGCCCCGAGCCGCTGCTGTTCCCCGACGCCGCGGCGCTGGCGGCGCACGCGAAGGCGCGGCACCCGCGCTGCGAGCGCTGCGATGAGGGCTTCGGCTCGGCGGAGGAGTACGGGGCGCATGTGAGGGGCAGCGCGGTGCACCATTGCTGTGAGGTGTGCGGGTATGACTGTGTTGATGGGCCGGAGTTGGCGTCGCACATGGTGCTGCATCATCATTATTGCCATCGGTGCGATGTGTTTTTGAAGACGAGGGAGGAGCTGAGGGTGCATAAGGCGGAGTGCGCGACGGAGGTTGGAGGACCGGCTAGTGAGGTGGGAGGTGATGAGAAGAATGTGGATGATGCGAATGTTGCGAATGATGGGGGGGACGGAGACGGAGCTGTAACGCGCCCTTATTCGGATAGCAGCCATGAGGGTCATGGCGAGGGCGATGGTGATAGTATGCAGTTGGCGAAGGTAAGTCAGACACAACCTCCCCATCCCCCTTTCCCCCCTTTTTCCCCCTTTAGTAAAACCTCCCTAGCATTACATCCTGACCAACGACTAACCAACAATCACAGACCAAGCCCAAGCCCGCCGCGCTCACCCTCAACCCCAAACCCAAACCCAAGTCCAAGTGCCCCGGGTGCCCAGCAACCTTCGACACCCCCCTCGCCATGGCCACCCACAGCGAGTCCTCCCCCCAGTGCTGCGCGGCTCTATACGCACACCTGCGCACCCAAGACGCGCCCCACCGCGCCTTTACCACCACCACGACCTCTACCTCTACCACCACCTCCACCACTGCTGCTGCTGCCTTTACCAAAACCCCCACAACCCTCGCCATCGCGGCCCCCGAGTCCCTCGACCGCTTCCGCAGCAACTGGTCCGGCCTCTACGACTGCTGGCCGTGCAAGCTGCAGTTCGCGGAGCGCGAGGAGTTCGCGGCGCACCTGGAGAGCGCCGCGCACCAGCCGATGCGGTTCAGGTGCCCCCGGGAAGAGTGCGGGGAGGGGTTTGCGAGGTTCGGTGGGTTGTTGGGGCATTTGGGGAAGGGGGAGGAGTGTGAGAGTTGGGTTGGGGAGGAGGTGGAGGTTTTGAGGGGGTTTTTGGAGTGAAGAGAAGGGAGAGGAGAGGGAGGACGGTGTGGAGAGGGGAGTGAAAGAGAGTAGTCAAGGAGACGCGAGGATGTGAGGATGGCGAGAGTGGTGAGGAGAAGATATGACGATGTGTTTGGGGGTCTCGACCTAGCCCTGGAGGTACCTGGCTATCTCGGTATCTGCCCATCACGGTCTAGGTACATATGCTACGATATGTAGCACAAGAGAATGCAACGAACTCCACGCAACCAGGTTCACGGGAAGACGAGGAGGGACGAGGGTAGGGATAATGATATGAGCATTGGACGACGACTTCAAGGCGAACAGACTAAGAGATGAGGTTTAAGCCTGCTCTTGAAACAGGAATAGGGAGTGATGCATATCTACATATGTCTCATGGAAGTTTTTAAGGGGAGAGGGGGGAAGGTTATATGTATTTGGCCCAGATGACTGACTGACTGCCATCCGCAACTGAGAATCCTATAGTTTTCTATAGTCTCTCGTGGATATAATGGTCGTCGATGGTGGCCTTGAATACAGGAGGGCACTAATAGGTAGTAATAGGAATGGCAATGCTTATTTAAAACAGTAATAGCAGTAGCAGCAATGATATGACTACCACTACCGCTATGAATTGCGACATGTGCTTTCATTATATTTGATTTATTCTTGTTCCTATTCTTATTCTTATTATTTCTATTGTCATTTTTACTTCTACTTCTTCTCTAACACATCCTTCAAACTAATCTCCCCGCTCCCCCTCGGCAGCGGCTGCGGCTGGTCCTTGGACTCCTTCCAGCCAATCATGTAGATCATGCGGAACGTGGCCGGTATGCTGCCATCCTCGTTGCCGTGCAGCGCGCGGTAGATGGCGTCGTTGGCGAGCAGCACGTCGCGCCGGATGGGGCCCATCTCACGGCCCAGCACGGCGTTGCTCTCGCCCATCGCCTGCAGGTCCTGCATCAGCGCGAGGGTGTTCGGGTAGTCCACCACGATGTCGTCGACGTCCACGGTTAGCATCTTGAATCCCGCGCGCTGCAGCAGCCCCCCAATGTCCCGAACGTCGGCGAGGGGGGAGACGTGCGGTGAGATCCCGCCGCGCCGCTCTTGCTCCGCGAGCTGGAGCGAGGTCCGCAGCTCGAAGAGCGTGTCACCCCCGAACATGGCGCCTATGAAGGCGCAGTCGGGTTTCAGGATGTTGTTAATCTGCGCGAGCGCCCCCGGCAGGTCGTTGATCCAGTGCATGCTCAGGGAGCTAAGGACGAGGTCGAAGGTGTTGGCATCGAAGGGGAGGGTCTCCTCGTCGGGGAGGACCTGCCGCGTCAGGTTGATTTGGGAGTTGAAGGGGAGGTCGGCGTCGCGGTGGAGGAGGGTGGAGGAGGAGTCGACGGCGAGGAGGTGACCGATGCGGGAGGCGAGGGGCTCTGTGACTGGGGGTGGTAAGGAGGAGTCTGGGTCGGGTGAGGGGTAGGCGTCCGCGCTCGGTCGGGTGAGGGCGTGCGCAATGTTGCAGGCGTTGGCGCCGAGATCCAAGACCTGCGCATACGTCCGCTTGATGTCATGCAGCCGGTCGACCAGCCGCATTGCTACCTCATCTTTCAGGTAGTCGGCCACTCGGCTCCCCTCGACATCGGCGGCCGCCCGCTCCTTCTGCATCCATTTTGTGCGCCGGTTGAAGACTTGGTGTATTGGTGGGGCGGCGGCTTGGAAAGCGTAGGGGCGCCGCGTTGTCGTTGTCGTCGTGGGGGTAGCTGATTTGGACTTGGATATAATGGATCTAGATATAGAGGTCCGTGGTACCGCTAGCCGTGGGAGGAGGCTGCGATGCATTATCTTGGGATTTTGAGCACCAATTAGACGGATCTAGTTTTTTCTCTTTCTTTTCTTCTTCTTTTCTTCTTTATAGCTTCACATCCTGTCACTTTTCAAGCTTCCTCGGCTGAGGAGGGAGGGGTGTTGCTGTTGCAAATTCCGAGGTTGTAATTGGTCATGACGTAGAATTGAAGAATTGAAGAATTGAAGTATCTGTAGGTCATCAATGCCCGTACCCGAGTATCGATAACATTGGTCAGGTACATTACATGTTGTACTACTATAGTAGTACATCGATATTAAAAACGTCAAGCCACAACTTACCTTCCCTTGATCTCAATGCTTGAATCTAAAAGAGGCGTAAAATCATGTGGCCCCACAAACGGTGACATTGGATGTGGTGGGTGCTCCTCTTTCGCCGCCCGGGGGCTTTTTGGTAAGATATCTGGGCAAAGAAACAACAAGGGCCGCTCTTGCTACTCCAATCCTACATACATAGCTATCTCATTAAACTTTGGAACACACTTTTTTATTTTTTGCTTTTTTTATTTTTTATTTTTATTTATTTATCTTATCTTGTTTCGTTTATTGATTCCCTAAATAATCAACACCCTTACTATACATGTCGTGACACCTCATTTCCGAATTTCTAGAAGTCGAAATCGAAGTCGAAGAAGAGGAACAAATACTTATAGTACTTACTTATCCTACATATCCCCGAAACCAATTCGGTACCCCGGCAACCGGAAACCTGTGCTTTCCCCTTGACTCTCATTCGCCCTCTTTTGCAACTGGTCACCTTGATCATGTTCATAGATTGACCTGCTGGTCTATCATGAGAGCCGCATTACTGAGCGCGCTTCCTCTCGATATTGGACCAAAACACTGCCGAGTTTAGGATTGCCATATATAACATTATAGTATCGTGAAGGTGCTGTTTCGTACCTGCGCATGCGACAGCTTTAGCCGACATTGTCTGCTGTAAGAATAGGGGGGGAATCATCGTTGCGACTACACCACCACCACCACCACCACCACCACCACCACCATGGCTTCGTCCGCCGCCGCCGGCTTCCTCGGCCGGTCGAGTAGCAGCAACTCCAATATGCGAGGCCTCGTTCAATTTATCGCCGACCTCAGAAATGCAAGAGCTAGGGACTTGGAGGAGAAGAGGATCAATAAGGAGCTCGCAAATATTCGGTTGGTGGACATGGCCCTTTCCTAATTGCCATTGAAGGTCTGGATTGCTAACGTGTAGCTTCTATATCACAGACAAAAGTTCAAGGGTATGCTATAACCCAGTCCGAAGCGAACAACGGGCCTTTGCGCGATGCTAGACCATTCCGACGATGAACCTCCTAACTAACGGGCTATGTAGATGGTAACCTGAGCGGCTACCACAAGAAAAAATACGTGTGTAAAGTACGCCGAACCACCTCACTCCCCCACACCCGATACGAGCGAGGCCTGACATGATGTATAGCTGCTGTATATTTATATCCTAGGTTGGAACGTCGATTTCGGACACCTCGAAGCCGTCAATCTCATCTCAGCCAATAAATACTCAGAGAAGCAGATTGGATACCTAGCCATGACCCTCTTTTTACACGAGAAGCACGAGTTATTACACTTAGTAGTCAACAGTATACGCAAGGACCTTCTCGACCACAATGAGCTCTTCAATTGCTTGGCTCTACACGCGATTGCGAACGTGGGAGGTCGGGAGATGGGAGAGGCGCTGAGTGGAGAGGTACACAGGCTTCTGATATCGCCGTATGTCGAACAGTCATATCCCTCGACCACATCAAAGTATCTAACAGCGAGTGTAGGACTTCGAAGGCATTTGTGAAGAAGAAGGCTGCGCTCACTCTTCTCCGTTTGTATCGCAAGCATCCGGATATTATCCAACCTCAATGGACCGAACGAATCATATCACTCATGGACGACCCTGACCTTGGAGTGGGTCTCTCGGTTACATCTCTGGTCATGACCGTTGTTCAAGACAACTCGGAGCAGTATAAGGGAGCCTACGTCAAGGCTGCATCGCGTCTCAAGCGGATATTAATCGATGGCGATTATACGGCCGACTACTTGTACTATAAAGTCCCGTGTCCTTGGATCCAGGTCAAGCTATTGCGGTTACTTCAATATTTCCCACCTTCAGGTATGAGCTATCACGGTTGCGAAGGCTTTCCCATATGATTTGAAGACTAACCAACCGAATAGAGGATAGCCATGTCCGCGAGATGATTCGAGAATCGCTTCAGAAGATCCTTAATTTGGCGATGGAGACGAACAAGAACGTACAGCAGAACAATGCTCAGAATGCTGTTCTGTTTGAGGCTATTAACCTCATCATCCATCTAGACACGGAACATGCGTTGATGAAGCAGATATCATCCCGCCTAGGACGTTTCATAACCTCTAGGGAGACGAACGTCCGGTACCTAGGTCTTGAAGCTATGACGCACTTGGCAGCTCGAGCAGAGAACTTGGATCCTATTAAACAGCACCAAGAGGTGATCTTGGGATCTCTAAAAGACCGCGATATCAGTGTCCGCAGAAAGGGTCTCGATTTGCTATATAGTATGTGTGATTCGACCAATTCTGTGCCGATTGTCTCTGAGCTGCTGCATTATCTACAAAATGCCGACTTTGCGATCCGAGAAGAGATGGCCCTAAAGATTGCGATTCTGACAGAGAAGTATGCCACTGATATACAATGGTATATCAACGTCTCGCTTCGCCTGGTGGCTATTGCAGGAGATCATCTTAGCGATGAAGTTTGGCAACGAGTCATCCAAATCGTTACAAATAATGAGCAGTTGCAAGTTTACGCTGCACATAACACGCTACAACATGTCAAGCAAGATCACTGTCACGAGACGCTGGTGAAGATTGGGGCGTACATCCTTGGAGAGTTTGGCCATTTGATCGCTGAAGAGAAGGGTTGCAGTCCTATCGAGCAGTTCATGGCACTATCGAAGAAGCTTCCTGCTTGCTCTTCGAGTACTCGCGCTATGATTCTCTCATCGTTTATCAAGTTTGTCAATTTGTTCCCGGAGATCAAACCACAGCTCTTGCATGTCTTCGAGATATATAGCCATACCCTGGATCCTGAATTACAGCAACGAGCCTTCGAGTACTTGACCCTGGCAAGCCTCCCATCCGACGACCTTCTCCGAACCGTTTGCGATGAAATGCCGCCGTACCCTGAACGACAGTCCGCACTCCTGTCGAGACTTCACCAGAAACATGCCGGTACTAGTGATAAACGGACCTGGGTGGTCGGTGGCAAGGATGCGAATAATGATGTTTCGGAACTTGCTATGGCCAAGAATGCCGGACTTAGACGAACCTTTAGCGCCAACAGCCCGGCTAACGCCAACGGCAACGGCAACGGCAACGGCGCGGCAAATGGTTCCGCAAATGGCGCCAATGGCCATTCTACTGATTTGGCCGGTCTTGACATGACTGCGGGACCAACGCCCGAGAAGGCATTCAAAGCACCGAATCTGGCGAGTGCTGCCCATCTATCTCCCGGGTGGGAGTCAGGTTATAAGAAATTGCTGCTCAAGGCTGATGGTATACTCTTCGAAGACGGACAACTTCAAGTTGGTGTTCGCTCCGAATACAGAGGGCAGATGGCTTGTCTTATTTTATATTTCTCGAATAAGACTCCAGCTACAATAAGCTCTTTTACAACGACGCTGGACTTGGATGAGAGCGAGAAGGCGAACCTCACATGGGATGTCAAGGCTTTACCGGACAGCTCTATCATGCAAGGAGGCCAATCACGGCAGATTATCATGTTCGAGTCGAAGAAGGTGTTCACGAAAAGCCCCACTATTAGGATAAGTTACCTGGCGGGTGCCTTGCAAGCACTTACGCTGATGCTCCCTCTTACCGCGCACAAGTTTATGGACCCAGCAGATCTCATGGCAGATGATTTCTTCAAGAGATGGAAGCAAATTGGAGGTCCGCCTCGCGAAGCTCAACAAATCATCGGACTTGCTAGTGGTAAATCTGGTTCACGCGAGATCACAGAAAGCTCTATTCGGAAGGCTCTCCAAGGATTCCGCTGGGGAGTACTGGATGGCGTTGATCCGAATAGTAAGAACTTTGTCGGAGCTAGTGTGCTTCACACCTCTGAAGGTGGCAAGTTTGGTTGTCTCATGAGACTGGAGCCAAACTATACGTCACAGGTAAGACTGCCTTTTTTTCTTTCTCTTTTTTTTTTAAATTCCATGGGAGGAATCAAACTAACCCGCAAATAGATGATCCGACTTACAATTCGCGCTACCGATGAGAGTGTACCCCCTGTACTTCTAAAGCTGATGGAAGAGCGGATATCCATGGGTATGTCGACTACACCGGAGTCACGTGAAGGGCCGTCTCATAAAGAGATATCAGATACTTTTGGTAGTATAATGGTAACATAAGCTACTACTGCCGAGTCAAGGAGATTTGGAAGAGGCGAAGGCGGTAATGCATGGGAGAACTCGAGAAGAGTTAATATACCTCTGGAAGTTCAGTTGAGCAAGCATAGGGTGTTGTTATGCATTTTCCAGCCTGCGCGAAAAGGAGTTCGTAGGCAACGTGGAACATGGATGTAGCCAAAACAGGTCTCAGGCCAGATGGCTGTGTGCTAGAAGTAAAGGATTGCTTTATATGATGATGGATACCATACCTACCTACTTACCTAGGTACCTAGCCTTTGTAAGTAGTTCTATTCACCTGTGAAGCTTTTTCACAGAGTGGGATGTTTTAGTCCATTGTAATGTTCAATTTGCTTATAACCCATCGCAGAGAAGGAGCTTTGGTGAGTTTCGGTGATGGATATTACTTTCCGTCAGTCTAAGTTAGTTTCATGGTGTTTTATACTCTATGCCTACAGCACGATATCGCACGGTCAAGTACAATATCAACAAACCCCCCTTTGGAATACCTACCTAGTTATACATTCTTGGATCCGAGTGTATCGCCATCTTCTAGCAATGCCCTAGTAGTAACACTTGATAGTCGACCTTGTCGACCTCCTTTATGTACAATAATACCAATGTACCTATGTCGCTGTTGCCCACTTGCCACTCACCCCCTATGCCCATCAGCACAGCCAACACTCGAAATATGCTCATACTGCCGCCAATGCTACCAGCGTACTTGGATACTTCTCTTCTCCTTCGACCTATTTGTTGATTACCCACTTACCTAGACCCTCTAGGTCCTCCTCTCATACTTTCAATCTCATTTCATTTTATTTCATTTCCTACTTCTACTTCTCCTTTCCTGTTTCTCTTCCACCCACCTCTCATGCGCAACTCAAATTATTCTCACCACCCTTCTTCAAGGCCATGTCAACCGCATGACTTAGACGACTGGCAACGAGACCTGCCCCAATCTTTATTATTTCCGCACTCACTTCAAACCGCCGCGCCCGGTCGGCAAGTTCTTCTACGACACCAGCACGTTATTCTCGCGCCGCCGACTCCGCCACCTACGACTTTGCAAGCCAGCGACGAGGAGAAAGGAGAGTGGCCTCCTACCGCCAGTAAAAAAATGGCGCCCCTTATGGATCGTATTCGAGACAAGTGGAATGGTGTGTATTATTTCTTACATACTCTACCCTTTTTCGATCGTTTCTTTTCCTACTTTGGATTGAGGTTCTATCGCGAGATTATGAGCAATTAAGAACTATATGGATATGCTGACTGGTTGATCTTGGTATATAAAAGTCTTTAAACAACGCTTTGCCACTAAGCAGTACCCGTTAGCTTGGTTAATCTTCTTGATCATTATCGTGATTGGCACTGTCGCCGTTCTTGGTACGTTAGTCGTCTATGATGCTCAGTATCATAGGTCCCCTACCTACCTACCCATCTTCACGGTTCAAAGAACTCGTAACTAACGCTCGGTTTGCGATGAAAGTCGGTTGGTACGGCCTTGCAATCGAGACTAAGTCCCATGAGGCCTTGACAAGTTCGCCAATCACGAACCCGCATACGACCAAGCAGCCAGCGGAGCCGAATTTCGACTTTGCTAGTGGCTACGTGATGCCGATAAACAACACGGCTTTACGCGCGGCCCCGGGGTTTCTTATAACTACCGATAGTCAGTTGCTTCCTTTCATTTATTGGAGATGTCTTCCTCTTGCTGACGGACAGTTTTACTCTTAGTCGCGAACGAGACGTCCGTTACGTCTAGTCCTACTCATGTTATCACTGCAACCCCAACTCCCCAGGAGATGAACACCAAGTTGGCTCTGCCCATGGTTGTTCCGGTCACCGACGGATATTATACCGGTGGCCTCGATGCTAAGCACGATGCTGGTGACAAGGGTCATCAAGTTGATAGCGATGATGGTGGTTTGGTTTCCGTTGTCCCGCCTGCTGTCGTTACTGTAACTGTAACCGTTACTCCGCACCCCAACGAGTCACCGCTATCTGAATCTCACGAGAGCGCAAGTCTAATCTCTACTGAGACTCTGAGCATGGTTTCCCCATTGTTGTCATCGTTGTCGTCTCTCGCGACTACTACAACCCCCGCTGTTTATTCCTCTTCTTCCATAGTGGAAAGCACTACTTCTGCCGTGGTCACAAGCACTATTACCACCGCTTCGACAGTGAACACCTCGAGCATCACCACCCCAGCCGAAGGTGGAGGAAGCCTAATGTACTGCCCGCACACGACGCAGCCTAACGTATGGACGCTGTGCCCTAGCCACGATCTGGATAACACCGCGGTCGCGTCTCCTCCCGTTACCGTCGTCGCCTCGTCTGCCGCCGGTCCGCTGAGACGTCCCCCGTTTGGCACTCTGTGGAAGTCTATGCGAGATGTGCTGAAGGGATGGCTGGGATACGGCCACGAAGTGCAAGGGCAGGTACAGGAGCTCAATATGGATGATGAATACTTCTACCAAGACGGCCAATACCATTATGAGGACTACTACAAGGATAGCAATGACGACGGTGATGGCGACACCAACGACCATACCACTGCCGACAAGAAAGCCCACGGCTCAGTCTACGACGGCCTCCTCGTCAGCCTCTTCGTTGCGGAAGCCCGCCTCGATTCCCTCGAGCAGCTCATGCAGGGCTACCTGGACCTCGTGCAGAACTTGACGGATCTACCTGCGCATCTGGAGAATTTTGGCGGCGTGCGCCTGCAGGTGGTGTTCTCGAGATATCTGCGCATCATGCGCGAGATGCTGGGTATGATGAAGGCCATTTATAGTGTCCTGAGGGTGGAGGAGATGTTGGGGGCGGAGTTGGAGGGGGTGGGTGGGGGTGGAAGTGGGAGTGAGAAGGAGAGGGTTTGAGATTGAATGGCGAGGGAGTACGTGCGCGTGTGCTTTGGGATGAGCAAGCAAGGCGTTAGGCTTGGTGGGGAGGACGGCTTCATATCTGGGCGTTTCGAGGTTATTTATGTTTCTGCTTCCCATACAATACTCATGTTTGCCTATGGATTTCCTACGGTAGTTACTTGAGTACTTAGGTAGGGGAAGGGTGGGAACGGGATATCGTGTGTGGGGAGGGTTGGTATACTTATGCCTACCTACCTATGATTCCTCCCCTACCCTACCCCCTTTTCCTTTCCTTTCCTTTCCTTTCCTTGCCCCTGGTTCCTCGATAATACGATGAACATGTTACATGTTTCTGAACTACAGAAGGAACCAGGGAATCAGAGAAAGGTATTGTTTTAGGGGGGCGCTTTAAGGGTTAATAGGTTGTGCACCTTGCACGACTATAGTCTTAGTTAGGTACTTACTTCGCATTCAGATTGAACTTGAAACTGAAATTGACATTGGAATTGATAATTCATATTGGAGTTTTATGCTATGGATTAAATTGATTCTACTAATTACTGAATACCTTACTGAATACCTTCATATTAGGTAGGTTTAGTATGTGACTATAAGTGCCTGGTCATGAGTATCGTCGTAGAAGTGTTGGTGTTGTGATGCTGCGAGGTGAATCATTTCCAGGCAACGTACTGCTTTTTCGGTCATATATGGTAATATATGGTAATAATTCACCTCCTACCAATTGCTCTACTTACGAATAACTTCACCTAAAAATTACTCTTCCTAAATAACTGTATCCTCTCTGGTCCAAGTATAGGCAAATCATCTTTCTTGGTCCCAGGTGGTATATAAAGATCCATAGCTAGATGATAGGTAATTAGGTTAAGTTAGTAAGTTACTCAGCCGAAAACAGCCCCCCATTGACCTGCTTCGGAGCTTCTTGTCTCACGCCGCCTCCCCCAACCAACCAGCCATCCCATTCTCACATACCGGGGAAAATCCAACTGCGGGGCTCTGTGCATATTTGACTTGGCGAATAAAACTGCTACGTGCCGCGAACGGATAGGCAGTGAATGTAGTATGGTAGCAATGTCCCCCCTCCACTCAATCCTTCGTCGATGGCGTCAGAGGCTAAGAGTTCGATCCGGTCTGATATTTAGCTTCTTCGCTGGCGGCAGAGTTAGCGCAGCGTAAGCGTAAATATAACTACCATCGGGCCAAAACTATCTTACCTTAAATCGCCGAGGTGGAGGGGTCTTGTTTCTTTGACTACCTACTAACTACTGGGCAAGAGAAGCTCTCGCATCTCTCTTCCTCTTGTTCTACACACGTGGTGTATGTGGGCTTTGTATGTATGTAGGTACGTTTGTATTATTAATTCGAATAGCCTACACAGTTGCCGACCTAGGTAATCTAGAGGTATATCGTAGGTATCCCTCCTACTCGATTCTGACTAACTCCGCAAGGAGACAAGCGTAGGTAGGTAAGCAACCTTTTTCTTTTTTTTTACTTCGTTTTTTTTATATGCCTATCTGCTAGGTAATGGCTCTACTCCGAATCGGTGCGGGTGGTGTACATGCCTAGTACCGGCAAGTAAGGTAAGACACATACCTAGGAGATAGGTATATGTGGTAGGTAAGAGGTATTAGCTACGGAATAAATATTTCTGATTGATCTAAGCTCCTATCTCCCTTTTTCTTCTTCTCCTTCTTCTCAAGATACGCATATTTGTCTAGGTACAAAGTATTACTTAGACTCCGCCCGTGCCTCCTCCTCCTCATCCTCCTCATCCTCATCATCCCCTCTTTTCCCTTCCTTACATCTAAACCCCACCAAGTGACGGTAAAAAAAAAACCTCGGGATTAACGAAGAGAAGAAATAAAAAGGAAGGATTTCGAAAGAAGAAGACAAGAAGAAACGAAGAGGAAAGAAATAGCAAAGAAAGAAAGAAAGAGAGAAAGAAAGAGAGAAAGAAAGCAAAAAATGACGAACGACGTCATAGCCGCCAGCGACGTGGAGGAGGGGTGGTACGACCCGACCAAGATCTGGACGACGCTGCTGACGAACCGCGCCTACTTCGGCGGCCTGCTGGTGCTGCACCACTCGCTGCGCCGCCAGCGCAGCCGGTACCGCCTCGTCGTCATGGTGACGCGGGATGTCGAGGCCGACACCGAGTACATGGAGGCTTTTGCGGTCGCCGGCATCCCCACCATCGTCGTCGATAAGATCGAGCCCGCCCCTCGCGATGGCAAGGTGAATAAGGGGACGTGGGAGAAGCTGGCGCCGTGGTCCTTCACGCAGTATGAGGTATGTCTGTCGGTCTGTTTGCCTGCCTACCTGTCTATCTGTCCCCCCCCCCTCATCTTAACTTTCACTGGGTTTTGATTTGATATATCTGGCGGCATATATAAAAAAAAGGAGGTTTCAAATCAGCTAACCCCGCCGCACGTCCACAGCGCGTCGTCCTCCTCGACAGCGACCAAGTGATCCTGCAAAACATCGACGACATGATGGCCGTGCCGATCCCAGCCGGCTGGATCGCCAGCACGCACGCCTGCACCTGCAACCCGCGCAAGCTCGCGCACTACAGCAAGGAGTGGGTGCCGGAGAACTGCGCCTTCACCGCCGCCGACCAGGCCACCGGCGCCCCCGCCCCCATCACCGCGTCCAGCCACGCCAACCACCACCTGCTCAACAGCGGCACCGTGATCCTCACCCCCTCTAAGGAGCAGTTCGGCGCCCTCATCCACGCCATGAACACCCACCCCGACGTCCCCACCATGCTCTTCTTCGACCAGGACCTCCTCGCCATCGTCTACCGCGGCCGCTGGAAGCCGCTGCCGTACGCGTATAACGCGCTCAAGCCGATGCGCGCCTGCCACGCGGGGTTGTGGAAGGACGGCGATGTGAAGATTCTGCACTATATCCTGAACAAGCCGTGGAAGAGCCGCACGTACGACGCGGAGGACACGATTGAGTCGACGCACAAGCTGTGGTGGGACGAGTTTGCGCTGGTGGAGAGGGAGTGGACGGGGAGTGGTGCGGGGGAGAAGAAGAGGGCGCTGTGGGAGAGCGTTGTGGTGCCGGTTGTTGCGCAGGAGTGAGGTGAGGCACTTGGGTACTGGTAAAGGGGTTGTCGGCGAGAAAGGAGTAGAATAGAATTGGTGGGCGGATGTTGTTTGTAGGTATAGCATATGGAAGTTCGGCATAGCGGAGAATGTCTATCAGCATTGGGACTATGGATAAGACAGGACAGGACAGGCAGATTCAGATCAGGATAGAGAATAGAATATCACATCAGATCACATCACAGCATATCTAGATATGCATAAAGGTTTTTCTACAAAGCTGCTCCAAAACTGTTCAGGCGATTGTGATGTCTACTCCTTGGATTTGAATAATACTACAACTACCTATTGCCTGTGTATTATACTCATTTCAGGGGTTCTCAACCGACTAATGAGCACTTTGAATTCACTCTCTAAGCTTGGCCTCATTCTTCGGCGGCCGTGTCCCGAAAATGGTGCTTCCGACTCTGACCTCACTGCTACCCATCGCAATGGCGCCCTCAAAGTCCTCGCTCATGCCCATGCTCAGCTCCAACTCCCGCTCCAGCCCTAGTTCCTTGGTTACTAGGTCACGTTGCTCGCGCAGACACAGGAAATCCTCGTTTTCGTTCTCGGCCGTGGTAGCCACGCTGCGGGCAATGGCACCGATGGTCATCAGTCCCAAGAGGTGAAGATTTGGCGCGGCCTCGACGAAGCGGCACAGGGAGATGGCGTCGGGGCCAGGGGAGCACCCGGATTTGGCGGTTTCGCCCGAGGTGTTGATTTGGACGTGGATGTTGAGTTTCTCGGGGGCGGGTGAGGGAGGGGATGAGGAGGAGGCGGCGAAGGTGGATAGGAGCTCGCCTCGGGTTTTGTCGAGGAGCTGGGCCTTCTTTTCTGTGTCTACGCTCGAGACACACCATAGGTTGGGGATCTTGGCTAGATTCTTGCAATGTCCTATGAAAATAGACTTGGTCAGCTTTTGAGAGGAATATGGCCAATGGCCGTTATTGCCCTGGAAAGATTATAGTATATTTTCATGATGAGTCTTAAGGGTCGAAAATGTGAAGATATGCATGTTTTAGTTCAATAATCCTGTTATTTCCTCAGCATATCTGCTCGTCACTTGACTAGACTGAAGTTACGATGAGTTCTGGCTTGCTTGCTTGCTTGCTTGCTTGCTGACTAGATGATCCTCTAGTTGACCCGGAGAATAAGAGAAAAAGCAACGCCTTACCGGATTGTAAGCCGCCGATAAAATGCCATTTTATATTTCGTGGCAGCAGCTCAGCTTTTTGGCTCAGCTCTTGGGCATAATTTTCGCCAAAGTGCAGTTGTGGTGGCGAGTCCTGATTTAGGAGAGCCAGTATATCGTTGGCCGGCTTCAACTTGGAGACAGCAACTAGCCGGACCTGGATGAACGATTAGCTTACAGCAGGCTAGGAATTATAAGTTCTCCTTTAATACAAAAAAAGAGCAATAACGAGACTTCAATATATAGTAAGTTTAGGTGAAGTGATGTAACAACTTACATCTCTGCCGTTGGCAACAGCGGTGATGCGCTCGCGTACGGTCTTGATCTGCGATATGAGAGCGGCGGCTCTCTGCGGATCGATCTTCATTTCTGCATCTGTCATTTTATTGTAACCTAGACACTTATAAAGTCTGTCTATCTAAAAAGGAAAAAAGGGAAAAAGGAAAAAAGACACGATAAATAATCCACGGCGGAATAATACTGGGTATGTACCTAGTACGACTCATTGAAAAGAACGTTTGAATATTGAAGCCATGCCCAATGGGTAGAAAATCAAAGACTGCGGTGACAGGCCATACAGTAGATGTACTGTATGTGGCACATGGTATTCTTACTCTATACTCTCTTCATCTTTAAGCTTTGATATGACGGGTGAAGTCTTTTGGAAACTCAATGTTTGAATTGATATCTTAGTAAGGTGAATACAATCTACTCTACTCTGACTGCGGAGAGCAGATATGACTGGTATAAATCGATACAACTTGGAAGAAAGGAGGCACAGTGAAATTGAGATTGCAACAGTCTGGATTGTCTGGTAGCACAAATTCAGATCATATCATTTATCACGATCTGGACTTGGTGCCGAAGAGGACTTTCACATCATTCGTCGTACATGCTGTAGGAACTATATCAAGATTTGATATACATTTTGACACTTGGGAGAACCAACCGGGAATGATGATCGGAGATGTTCAAGATGTAAATATGTACGTTCGCACATGGCAGTATGGATACTGAATGTACTAGGTACGATGAAAGATAAGATAACTAGTTGCATCTTAGTGGCGGTTAGATATCGATAAGACAACTCTCTAATATTTGAGATATCAACTAACATTGAATGTAACTTTTTAAAGTTACAGTACAAGATTCAGTAGTGTCGCCTCTCGCTTCACATTAAATAATCACAATCGCCGTACTTCTATTACAGAGTAAACAACACTCCAGGCCCTTTATTTGTTATTTGTTACAATACCCTCTAATATCAATTCTCAATACATCCAGACAGCCTACTATGGCCGATCCCCTCTTAACTTCTTTATGCACCATCTGCCATATCCAATCCCCCAAATACAAATGTCCTCGATGCAAAGCGCGAACCTGCTCTCTCAGTTGCGTTAAAAAGCACAAGAATTGGTCGTCATGCAATGGTGAACGAGACCCGACAGTATACATACCACGAGAAAAACTCAAGACAGATGCCGGTATCGACCATGACTACAACTTCTTAACCAAGATCGAGAGAACCGTAGAGCGAACCGAGAAGTTGCTGAGAGAAGAGAAGGAAATACTGCCACAAGAGGCTGCCTCTTCACGGCAGCCACCTAATAAAAAGGCACGCCTTCATAAGGGAAAAAGTAGGGGAAGGGTCACTTTCGAGGAAAGTTCACGAAAATGGGATAGGAACTCGATACAACGAATGCGGCAACTTGGCATCAACGTCGCCTCTCTTCCCTACGGAATGACTCGGTCAAAGGAGAACAAGACGAGTTGGAACAAGCGCACCAGAACCATTAACTGGCAGGTGGAATGGTTAGAGTGGAAAGTCACTACTCCTACCAAGGGAAATGACAGCCCGAAGCCCTCAAGAATCCTACACAAGATCCTAGACGAAGTACCACTATACCTTGGCTTCGTGGAGAGTCAAGAGTACCACCGCCAACATCAATTAAGTGACCAAGAACGCGCCAAAGAGAAGAAACAGAAGACGATGGAAGACAAGAAAATATTTGCTGGAGGTTGCCAAGACGTGGCCAGAACAGCTTGGTCTAGTCAGGAATACTCTATGCAGGACCACGGCACCACGGCATGGAGCAACCTGGTTTCGGAGTCTCGCGCGGTTGGGGGATCACCAGATCAATATTGCTTCTTCTTTCTCAAGCCAAGAACTCCTTCGAGAGAAGCGCACAAGCTCATACCCTTACAACCGACCGACAACCTGGCTACCATGTTACCCGAACTCGATGTTGTGGAATTCCCAACGATCTGTGTACTACCGGCAAACTATACGACGCTTCCTGATGGATATGTGGTGGAGAGTAGACCTGGGAAGTCCAAGAAGAGACTGGGATCTGAACTCATGGAATATGCAAGCGAGGAGGAGGACGGTACAGGTGATGAATCAGGGGAGCATAATGATGATGATACCACAAGTAGTTCAGGGTCAGATTCGTCGGATATGGATTGATATCTGAGTCGGTTACCTCGGGCACCTACCTACATAGCAATTAACGAAGAATTTGCTCGGTTGTAATTCTTTGAACGTTGCAACGTGTGGTTTCAGTCTTCTTTGTAAGTATATTACCTATGCATGTACTGTGTTTGCGTGAATGAGGGTAATTTGATGTTGCTGAATACCTAGTACCTACATATGTACCTAGTAGTACCTACCTAGGTACTTTACCTTCATACTCTGCAGCTCTGGATGTGACTGCCTTGCCTACCAGATATCAAGGAGAAAACACTGTGTAGCAAACAACGGCTGTCCTGTTAGAGAGTGAATATACAGGTAGTGACAAAGACACCTTCCTAAGTTATTGGGTGTAGGCTAATTGGGTGTGATTGAACAGTGATTGATACCTACATGTAGTACTGTTGCGCAGGTTACCTGGGTACATACATGATAAAAAACCGTTGATTGGTTTCGAATTGTGGCTTAGCGTCCGGTCAAATGGGAAAGTGCTCTATAAGTACGGCCTACATAGGGTACATAGGTGCCTTGTAAGGCATGAAAACGTTGAAAACGTTAGTATCGAGGCTGGTGGGGTTGGTGCGTTGGAGCATTAGTGCGCTAGAAGTGGAATACTAAACCAATTTTTTATTTCTTAACTGTGGAAATTCAGCCTTCTCTTCCCTCCATCTTCCAATCCTTCATCTACAGTGGGGCGAAATTGAAAACGGGTAATTTTTAAACGCGAAAAAACGCGACTACCACCTTAAACCATACACCTTCTTTTCAACAATGGCTCCTACACCACCACCAAGCCCTAGAAGGGTCAAAAAGCACTATTCTCCTCATAAAAGGACGAGGATTTCATCCCTATATTCAGCTGGCGTTGCTGCTAAAGCAATCGCATCGTTAGAGTGTGTTCCAGTCCGTAGCGTTTACGCGATCAATGCCCGCTATAAGATTCAAAAATCAGGGCAGTCACGCCCTGGCCGGGGAGCGCTCTTCAAGCTTCAGGAACGCGATAAAAGACACATAATGAGACTTATACAGGTCGACCCTTTCGTTACATGCGCTGAACTTGCCGCGGGGATAGGTGGTTTAGTGTGTAGCCGCACTATAACCAACTGGCTCAAATCTGAGGGTATCATGCACCAACGTGCACTTCGTCGGCCGAAATTAACGGCAAGGAATGCTGCAAAACGCCTGGCGTTTGCTAAAATGCATGTACGAAAGCCTCCTTCATATTGGAAGCGTTGGAAATACTCAGACGAGTCAACGGTGGCTCGTGGAGATGGCGAGAAAGTGGGATGGGTATTTTGTCGTCGGGTAAGTCATTTCCGCTCTCCGGTATCTCTAACTTCACTTATACATATTTTAACCACCACAAAACTTTAGGATGAGAGATTACTACCCCAGAATGTACAGCCACGGGCCAAGCCAACAAGACATTCACAAATGTTTTGGGGCTTAATGGGGTGGAACAGTCGCAGTCCTTTGATAGACCTTTATGGGGATCCCGATGCTAGGTACCGAGGTATCACCAGCGTGGTTATCTTAGAGGTTTTAAGCGAAATCCTTCCGCAATTCTGTCCAAGAGGAAGTATATTCGTTATGGATAACGCTCCCACACATAAGGCTCGTTTGGTCATGGATTGGTTGATCCCTTGGGCCGAGAGTAACGGGGTTACTTTGGTGGATTGGCCCCCATATTCGCCTGACCTAAACCCTATTGAAAATCTATGGAAGCTGCTAAAAGAAAGGATTTGCGCAAAGAGACCTGAGCTAGCAGACATGCCAAAGAATGCTAGGGCACTGGAATTACTGGTAGAGACCGCTAATGAGGTGTGGGAAGAGTTTGAAGATGAGATGTTGAATAATCTGGCGATGAGCATGGAAAACAGGTTGCAGGCGGTTATTGACGCGAAAGGTTGGTATACAAAGTACTAGATACAATCATGTATATATCAAAAAAAACGCCACTCATTTCTCTATCACATACTAAAATTTGAATATTTAAAAGCCTCAATTGATTGCATAGTCGGCCATTTAAGTTGTATGGTCATGTTGAAGGTTTATTGCCTTGGTGGGGTTGAAAAAAAATTACCCGTTTTCAATTTCTCCCCACTGTACATAACACTCACACAAATTCTTATTTTCTTCCTTCCATCTTCTCTTACCAACCACCCCCCGAACCAAAAAAAAAACATTTCTTCTTTCTTTAACAACTTCTCTTACAATAATTCCCTTACCAACCTCTACCTCTACTTAACTCTCGTTGTATTTACATATCTGATTGCGCGACAAGCGCACAATCTTCTGACATCATGTCTGAATTTCTTGGGTACGTATCTTCTTCGCCCTGCTGTTCCTATGATGCCAAGTCGTCAGCCAATTAGTGTCGGCCCTCACTATCCAGCTGTCCTTATCTCATTTGATTTGATCCATAACTAATGAAGATTGTGTGCATAGCTCTCGCATATCTCTCATATCGAAGAGCGATATTCGGTACGCCTCCTCCCCACGAACAACCGGACCTGCGTTGAGTGAGCTCTTCCTCTGATCTGACCTTGCTACTAGCTATTCGGGCGTATTGCACGAGATCAATTCTGAAGAGTCTACCGTATCTCTCGAGAATGTCAAATCATTCGGTACCGAAGGCCGCAAAGGTAACCCGGATGAAGAGATAGCACCTTCTGATCAGGTATACGAATACATCGTCTTCCGGGGGAGCGATGTGAAGGACTTGCGCATCGAGCAAGCTCCCGTCCCACCCAAAGAAAATCAGCCTCCCCAGGTTCCAGATGACCCTGCCATTGTCGGAGTAAGTTTCCCATTTCTCAATCTCACATTCTTGCCATACGAAGTTCCATATGCATGACGAAACATTTCGGATGTTAAATACAAATTTGACTGAAATGCGCAAACATCCCCATGTTGATATTTCCGTTGCCTTCCTTCTGATCCATCTCGGACTTCATATATATGCAAAAAACATCAATAAACCTCGTGTTTCAAGTGATCATCGCTAATTATATGTTCTAATACCTAGTCTCGTACCCGTCCACCTCCTCAGGGTGGCATCCCACCTGGACCAGGTAACAATGCAGGCCCTCCTGCCTACAGCCAAAGCCCATACCAACCCAACCCATTCTACCCACCTCCTGGGCAATGGGGACGCGGTGGTCCTGGACCTGTTCCCGGACCTGGCCAGGGCTTTCATGGAATGCCCTACCCACCTCCTCCCGGCTGGTTCCCTCCTGGCCAAGGCTTCCCAGGTGGTGGACCTGGTGGACCCGGCGGTCCTGGAGGTCCTGGAGGTCCAGGTCCGTGGAACAGCTTCGGCTATCCACCTGGTCCGGGCCCTCAAGGACACCCAGGTGCACCTGGCCAACCCATGCGAGGTCCAATGCAACAGGACAATAAACCTGCTCCGATTGGTGCCGGAGTAGAGAAACAACAGAAACCGGTTGGTAACCCCGCAGTTGAGTTGCCTACCGAGTCTAAGTCTTTTGGACAGCAGCCTCCTCAGCCTGCCCCGACGAACGTGGCCCCCACTCCACCGGTCGAGTCGAAACCATCGGCAGCAGAAGTCAAAGCTACTGCCGATTCGCTGTCGACGACCGCGGCCCAAAATAACGCCGCCGAGAAAGCCGCCGAGAGAAGGGCCATTCCAACCGGCCCGAAAAATAATCGGATCACGCCTGCTGTGCCAATGCCGTCCGCTCTCTTCACGAAAAGCGGGCCACAAGTTACTGCCGCGACCGCTACCATCAAGCCTTCGGGAGACCAAGCCAACGGACCGATGAGCGCGGCCAACTTGAAAGATGCTACCCAAGCAGCAAAGGCAGCTGTGGCCGTGGCAATGGCGAAGCTGGCCAATCCTCAGGCTGCGGACGTTCCCGCCTCTAACGGCAGTGCGATGGATAACTTGACTAAGAAGGTCAACGAGATGCGCATGACTGCCCCCAGATCTACTGGGAACGGCCGAGGACGTGGCCGAGGGGGTCGCTACGGTGGCCCAAGCAAGGTGGATGTTCCCGATTCCGACTTCGATTTCCAAGCCGGAAACGCCAAATTCAACAAGCAAGATCTTGTGAAGGAGGCCATTGCTGGCTCACCACTTGCCGAGGCCTCGAATGGGCCTCCTACAGAGCTAGCACAGCCTGATGAGGCCATCCCACCAATCGCTTACAACAAGACCAGGTCGTTTTTCGACAATATCTCGAGTGAAGCAAAGGATCGAGCAGACAATGGTGGCCAAAAGCCTGGTGGCCGGGAGTGGCGCGGCGAGGAGCAGCGCCGAAATATGGAGACCTTTGGCCAAGGTAGCGTCGACGGTGGTTACCGTGGCGGCTTCCGTGGTCGAGGTCGTGGACGCGGTGGCCCTCGTGGCCGTGGATTTGCTCCTCGGGGAAGAGGGAATGGATACCGCCAGCAGGCGGCTCAGTAGTTCCACAACATTGATGGAACACTTAGCAGAGCAATTGGCATCATTGCTCAAAGACCCTTCCCATTCACGACACGACTTCCAGCAAACGACCACTTTGACATCAATTTCCAGTGTATTAATAAGTCAGTTGCATGATATGGTTTTTTTTTCATGCTTTAGGAACTTTAGTGGATAAGGCGAGCAATTTTGCCCACGCCTTAGAACTCAATATGTGTGGTTTCAGTTGAGGCTCCAGCAAAGGCGTAAGGATGGTTTCGCAAGGGTAGGGTGTCAATATTAGCATTAGCATCATGAGGATGATTCATCACAAGAGTTACTTGTGATGAATAAAAACGGCGCCTTGTTCTAGCTTGGGTGGGATAAGGCAAATATTGAAGAGACGTTTGATACCAATGACTCTTCCGGGTTACGGCGCTTGAGAAGAGGCACACCCAGTTCTCAATACAGGCGCAAGTGGCACAAATTGGGCAAGTTTTGGGCTTGATGCTTTGCAGGTAGACAAGGTTACCGTGAGCCAGTACAGGGCCAACCTTACTCTACCTATCTAGTTAATACACATCATCAAGTCTATTTTCTGGGGGGGTTTTTTCTTTGCAATGTGATTTAACGAAGACCAATGTTCTACAAGTATATTAACGTTCTATGATCGTCCCTCTTTCGTCGTGCTTCAGCCCAAGGTTATATGGTTATATTTGAGGGTAGACATCCCTAGAAGTAGTCAGTATAAATCACGAAATTCGTACCTTCACATCACCGAGAAGTATCATGAAGCATCAAGGTTCACAAGAAAAGGAAAAGAAAGAGGAAAAAAAAAAAACTCACGTCCTCCGCACAAGCGGCATCTGCGCCCTGATCCTCTCCCACTGCCCGAGATCCACATCCACGATGCCCAACTGCCCCACCGCGCCGTCCTCCACCTCCACCTCCACTTTTTCTTCTCCTCCTCCTCCCGTCTCACGAACCCCTTTCAAAACACACACCACCTTACCCCAGGGGTCGACGACCATGCTCCGCCCGTAGCTCAGGCGCGGGGATCGGCCGGGGTTGTGCAGGCCGACCTGCGCGGAGGCGATGACCCACGACTGCGTCTCGATGGCGCGGGCGCGGAGCAAGGGCTCCCAGTGCGCGCGGCCGGTGGGGGTTGTGAAGGCGGAGGGGTAGAGGAGGATTTGGGCGGGTGCTGGGAAGGGTTTTGGTTGGGGTTTTGGTTGGGGTTTGGTGGTGGTGGTGGTGGTGGTAGGGGGGTCGGGGTTGTTGATGGGAGAGGGGGCAGGGGTGGTGAGGTAGATGGCGGCTTCCGGGAAGCGAAGGTCGAAACAGATCAGACTTCCCAGCAGCCCGATGGGGGAGGCGAAGGGGGGGGTGAAAGAGGAGCCGGGTTGGGTTGTGCTGGACTCGCGGAGAGAGGCGGAGGGGTAGTCGAAGAGGTGCAGCTTGTCGTAGGAGGCGGAGGGGTGGAGGGTGCCGTCGGGGAGGATGTAGATGGTGCGGTTGTAGAGTTTGGTTTTTGGCTCTGCTGCTGCTGCTGAGACTGGGGGAGGGTTGTCCTCCGAGGATTGTGGGATGGGGCTGGTGGTGGTGGTGAGGGTAGGGGCTGGCTTGACGGACACGGGGACGTGGATCCCGACGTGGATGGCGAGTTTGTGCTGTGCGGCGGCTGAGCGGAGGCCCGTCACGAAGGGGGAGGTGGCGACGGGTTTGGCGAGGGAGAGGGATTCTTGGGGGGTGGTGCCGATGTAGTCGGATGCTTCGGGGAGGAAGAGGATCTATAGGGGGTGTTAGATGGTTGGTGATTAATTAGTAGAAAGGAAGGAAGATAGGGGGATAGGAAAATAGGGATTAGGCTAGAGTGACTGGATGAACAGGTATGAATGATTATGCAAAGTAGAGAGAGCATAGATCTGGGTTGGTATACGATAATGGCCTTGCCCCCTTTAATAACCGAGACGCAATGTCCTCGTGACTTTCAGCTAGAGTCTTTCTCTCAATCTTCTACGAGCTCCTCAAGTCTCCTCACAAGCCAACGGAGGCTTTTACGACCCAGAGCGAAGACGGCAATAGCGAGTATTTATGCAGTGCAGGTACTGTCTCAGACTACTAAGACCTCAGCACCTCATAGCCCACTCTCTCTCCCTCCCTCACACACACACACACATCCTCTCTCTCCACAAAGTGAAACACAAAAAAAAGGAGAAAAGAGACTTAGACACGCAGCCTCTGTACATACTTTAGCGCCAGCAGCCGCAGCTTGGCCGACGAGCTTCACGCACTGCTCGAGGTTATGCGCCATCGAGTTCGACGAGCATATCTGGCCCACCGCCTATTGTTCATTTTTGGCATCGGATTAGCTGGGTATTCTGTTGTTTTGTTTTTAAGGGGTGTGTGTGGGTGGCTATTTCATCCTTAGGTGCCTAGGTATTTGAATTCGTGTACCCCTATCCCAGATATTTCTTGCCCTACACTTCCACCCTTATAGAAGAAATAAAGGGAGCACATCATAGTGAAGGTATTCTTACCGCTTTAGCCATTGCAAAAAAAAATAAAAAATTTCGAATGAGTATCCTATATATTATAGGTATGCGTGACTCAATCTCGGGCCCAACAGTGAGGGGACGAAGGAGGGAGCACGTGAACGTAGATGTATGTACGTCAAACAGTCAAAGAGCCGAAGGAAGATCTACAACATGGGATGGGCATCGGAGAATTTTCTTCTTCTAAAAAAAGTAAAGATGTAATAGTTGATAGCTGTAACAAGTAACAAGCTCTCTCTCGTGAGGGGAAAAGGGGGGACCGGGAAATATAAAAATTGGATCAAATGTAGTCGGGGAGTTTCTGAAAAAAAAAAAAAAAAAAAAAGCAAAATCGGAGATATTCTTCTCCACTTTCCCCCGTAGGGTATACTATACGCACCTGGGTAAGGTACAATACATATATGTAGGTACCTACATGCATGAGGTACATACATCAATGATGGATCATCATGTATGTACCTTGTAGGCATCAAAGACATATGGTACATATAATATGTAGTTTTACGGTCAATTTCCATGTTACTTATCATCACTGACCCCATCACCATTACAAGCAACGCAAAACTCATCACTGGGAAGCCTGTTGCATTTATACACTTTTTTTTGAACTGGCCATTCTTTGCGGGTGCTCTTATGTACCTATGTATAAGGACGTCCGTCACGCCAAACCAAGTCTTAGCCTCCCGCCCTCTCTCTGTTCTTCTGGTTCTCACTTAGCACGAAGCTGATGTAGGCACCATATAAACAGGATGATCGGTACCCAGCATTACAGCCATGACGACGACGGCAATCGATTGACTCCGGCATAATAGGGTCCTTTCCATCATTTCCTCCCCATTCCCTTCCGCCATCTCGCCCTGCCCCTTTCATAAAAAATGAACACACTTCGCGAGGAACTCGTCTGCCCTTTCTTATCTCGTTCGTTACCTAGGTAGATACCCTTCTTCGTCGTTTTTCTTTTTTCCCTTTTTGCATATAAAAAAGGGCCAGCGGTGATGGTGGGGAGGTGAGGATTCCCCCAGGAAAAAAAGCAAAAACCAACCCAGTAGTGTCACCTTATGCCCCTCTGATGCCAACGCCTGGCTAACGTAGAAACGTAGTAGAAACTGTATACTGAATACAATAACGAAGAGGTCTAGGGGGTGTCTTCAATTCAGCCCCTCTCTTTATGAAATGCAACTTATGCCATCGTCATTTCGATCCATCCGTCCCAGGCCTTGCTAGACTTGGAAGAGGCCACTTCTTATTCTTATTCTTATTCTCCTGTAGCATTAATTCTTTGGAATGACTTCTTTCCCTTATCCTCAAGTTGTACTTTCCACCGTAGCCTTGCTGGACTTGTCCAATATGTCATATGCCTCTTGTAAGGTCTTTTGATCAAAGCCGCCTTCTTCCAGGGCCACTATCCAATCCCGAAGTTGGATATTCTTTCCCTTGTCAGAATCCTCGCGAAACTGTCCCAGGTGCGTCACGCCTGCTTTCGTGAGAGGACCCCGCGCAGCTCGGCTGCTAGCACTGCCCGTAGAAGCTAGTGTACCTGATGTGCTAGTAACTTGAGGTCGAGGTGTGCTTGCTCCACTTCCCGGACCACCTGCTGTCATCCAAGAATATTTCTTCTTCTTACCACCCGCAAATAGACCTAGTGTCTGGTTCACCGTAGTGCTGCTGGCTTCTGCGAGCTTCGCCGCCTTCTTGCTCTCCTTCTTCGTCGGGGGCCTGACATCGCCTGGCTCTTGACCAGCGGTTCCAGAAGTACCCGGCGCTACAGATCCTGCCCGTGATGTACTATCACCACCTTCCTTGTCCTTGTCCGCCGTCTTCTCAGCTCTCTTTAGTCGTTTTCTCAGCCGACTCTCCTCGAGGTTCCGTGCTTGCTTTCCAGCGCTAGTCATAGCATCTACTAAGGGGTTGGCCGGAGACGCTTCCGAAACTGGCGTTGGCAAGCCGTTGCTGATTTCATCGGCAGGACCTAAGAAATTGGGTTAGCCATACAAAATGAAACGAGAAAAGAGTCAAGGCCAAGAATATACGTTTGAGTGGGTTGGTGCGGGGGCTGACCGCGCTCTCCGCACCCGTTCCACTGGCTTCATCCTGAGTGCCATTCGTTATGGCAGGCTGCGTAGCCGCCACATCAAGCCACTCTGGGGGTACCAGGCCATGCGCGCTAGTTTGTCGTGTGGTAGCAATCTTGTTTGCATCACCGATCAACTCTCTCAAGCGCTGCTTCGTACTTATCGAGATCAGAGCTAACTGGTCGATCAACACTGCGTCGCTGGGAACAAACGAACCAATCGTCTGGACCATTGCACCGTCTGGGCCCTTCTGAACCACAACCTGGAGTTCGGGTTTGGGAAATTCGCTGGGTGGTACTGCCCTGGTTGTCGTGTGTCGACCACTAGCTATCTCATGTTTCATTTCTAGATTCAAGCCCAATCCAAATTTTTGAGCGGTAACTTCCAGGCGCTTGTGTAATGCTGTGTAGTCCAAGAATTGGTGACTGGATTCTGAATGCCTAGCCCGAGCGAGCTTTGCTGCTGCTTCGTTCCACGCTCGATCCGCAGCTTCAGCAGCGAGTTCTTCTTGAGTTAATGCTCTGGTAGGTTGCGCAGGCTGATTAGCTGGCCCAGCTCCGTACATAGTATCGCGCGTGCCAGGTGGATAGTGGGGAAATCCGCGAGTGTCTATGTTGTTCAGATACTCCTCTTCCTCCTCAAGATCGATACCAGTACCCTGTAACATGTCGTTCATATCATATGATATATTTGCTCTACCCGACGTAGACTTCGAGGTCTGTTTTGTCGCATCGTACGACGACGGGAAGGAACCCGAGGTATTGATGGCGGGTGGGCCCATGTTGGTGATTACTGGCGGTGCCGATGGTGCTGGTGGTGGCGTCGAAGTAGCGGTAGAGGGTGCTGCAAATCTGGCATTCGAAAACAGCGCTTGAGGTGTCGGAGGAGCAATAGGCGTCTGGGGTTGGGGAGATGGTATGGTTGGAGTCGGTACGGCAGTAGGCATAGTTAGGCTCATTGCGCCTGACGAGGGTCGACCGTTGGCTTGTTGATACGGGGTGTTGTATGTTCCCGAGGAAACCTGATTGTTCGGGAGATTAGGTGTCGCGGTTGGCGGACCAGTTGGGGTAAGAACAGGTGTAGAAGCTCGGGGACTTGGGGCGTAATTGGGAAAAGGTGAGCCTGGATTAGAAGCAGGACCCGGAGATAATCTGGCTCGTTTATTAGGCGGTAAAGGATAAGTCGGATTGGCAGAATGTTGAGGCGAGAAGGGCCTCGGAGGCATCGTTGGTGGATGCGACATGATATATTTTCGCCGAGAAAGAAGACGGGGAAAGGTGGTTGGGTAGCGATAGTGCGCGTTTCTGGGTGACAGATACTGTATGTAATATACGCGATGAAGTGGACAAGGTCGCGTTAAATACAGGTAGAGAATGACGACAACTCTTTACGCGCTCTCAGGACCTGGACAGGCACAGAGCCCTTTAAGACTCTGGCGGGAAAACCCCATCCAAGAATAGAGAATTGGGGGTATTGAAAAGGTAGTTGATTCAATGATGGAAATGCGATCGGTTCAACGGTATCTAGATAAGAAGCTGTTGAGTAAATGATGTGTCGCGTTCGAGAACGTGTCTGGGACAACGTTGGCTTGAGATGGGATGAGGATGGGGATGAGGATGAGGAGGCGGCTCATAAAAGAGTTTACTGTGGTAGAAGAGTTCAACAGCACAGGAAAAGCTCCTGGGTTCCCATTGGAAAGATTTCCCTGTTGGTGCACGGTCCCTATTTCTTAGTACCTATGTACTATGTCAATGTACCTACATATGTACCTATTGATTTCAAAGTTGAAATTCTCAGTGCTGTTGACGGTCAAACAACAGTACTAAAAACTTACTTAGTTGCATGTAACTGCCTTATGTAAGATTTCAATGTTCCACCTATGTACCTAGGGTACTACATAGGTAGTTAGCTTTGTTATCGGATCAACCTAGATGCCGACCTATGAGTCTCATTGCCACTGGCAGTGGCTATTACAGAAGCTATCCAACACCTGTGGCCACCTGGCAGCCTTAGGCTAGATGGTTATGTACCCAGGTACATAGATATATGTGCGTACCAAGCACCTACATGCACTAAAAGTCGCGTCGCGCCAAATCATTTGGCGCATAAGCCCTACTGATATGTAGGTACACAGTACATGTATATACATGGATGTCAATCGAATGCATGGATGCGTTAGGAGCTTGGATCAGCATAGTGCTTAAGCACCTACCATGGTTGTGGTCTAAAATATGCGTCACGTTAACCTGCGCAATTGCCTTGCATGGAATTGAAGTAGTAGAAGTACAGCCTACAAAGAATTTACCTTGTAACATTGCGACCTTCTCATTCTTCTTCTCAATCAACTCTTTTTTGTGTCAATCGCTACGCAACTATTTGCGAAGATACCAACAACAACTACACGCATGTTCTTGTCATCCTCATCCTCTTTCTCTCTCTATACCGTCACCTACAAATAGTAGTTGCTCTTTAATCGATAATCATTCATAGTGATCCGATTTCTTGCAACTCCCAGCAACCATGGCATCTAAGCGCAAGGCTTCCGCAATGGCTGCGACCGTCGACGAAGAGCCAGTCGACCCATCCGATGAATTGATGTTCCTCTGCTTGGGAGGCGGAAACGAAGTTGGCAGATCATGTCATATCATACAGTACAAAGGCAAAACCGTGATGGTCAGTGGATTGTACCATCTCATATACCCAGCCTTATACACATGCTGACAATCATTCTCTGTGTAGCTTGACGCCGGTCAACATCCTGCCTACGATGGGCTTGCGGCCCTACCTTTCTTCGACGACTTCGACCTGAGCACCGTTGATGTCCTTCTCATTAGCCAGTAAGTCACAGTTACCCCTCCTCTTGTCATATCCTACAATCTACACGTAGTCAAGGGCTTTATATTGGATGCGGCGGAGGAAACATGCTTCCATATCCATAAGCAAGAGTCGTCTAGGGCCATGACTAGATATTATACCTACGAGCTTGTAGGATGTATATCATCCTGCTCTCTTGTATCGAGCCATCAATAAAAGACATTATTCCATTACTCAACCGGGAATCCCCCTTGATGGTCGTGATGTTCACTGTCATGATTCGCTTGTCCTAGCTATTCTAGTCTTCGTACTCGACATATGATGCCACAAAATCACGCTAACATCGCACAAGTTTCCATATAGATCATGCCGCATCTCTCCCCTACGTTCTAGCAAAGACGAACTTTAGGGGCAGGGTCTTCATGACCCATCCGACGAAGGCCATCTACAAGTGGCTTATCCAAGATAGCGTTCGAGTTGGCAATACGTCCTCGAACCCTACGTCGCAGCCTGTATATACGGAGCAGGACCATCTAAACACCTTCCCTCAAATCGAAGCGATCGATTATCATACTACGCACACCATCTCCTCAATCCGTATCACTCCTTATCCCGCCGGCCATGTATTAGGCGCTGCTATGTTCTTAATAGAAATAGCTGGATTAAACATATTCTTCACAGGGGACTACTCTCGCGAGCAAGATCGACATCTTGTCTCTGCAGAAGTTCCACGAGGCATAAAAATTGACGTTCTCATCACTGAGTCCACCTACGGGGTATCAACCCACGTTCCCAGGTTAGAAAGAGAGCAGGCGTTGATGAAGTCTATAACTGGCATCCTTAATCGGGGTGGCCGCGTCTTGATGCCCGTGTTTGCCTTGGGTAGAGCACAAGAGTTGTTACTAATTCTGGATGAGTACTGGGGAAAGCATCAAGAATTTCAAAAAATTCCCATTTACTATGCTAGCAATCTAGCTCGAAAATGTATGGTCGTATATCAAACCTACGTTGGAGCCATGAACGACAATATCAAGCGTCTGTTCAGAGAGCGAATGGCAGAGGCCGAGGCTGCTGGGGACGGCGCAGGTAAAGGTGGGCCATGGGACTTCAAGTATATCAGGTCTTTGAAAAATCTAGACAGGTTTGACGATGTCGGTGGTTGCGTCATGCTCGCTAGCCCTGGCATGTTACAGAACGGTGTCAGCAGAGAGTTGCTGGAGAGGTGGGCGCCGAATGAGAAGAACGGTGTCATCATCACGGGTTATAGTGTCGAGGGTACCATGGCCAAACATATCGTCCAAGAGCCTGACCAGATCCAAGCGGTAATGTCGAGAAATATCAACGCCGCTAGGAGAGCACCTGGCGGCGATGGCGAGAAGATGATGATACCGCGAAGGTGTAGTGTTGCCGAGTATTCCTTCGCAGCACACGTAGATGGTCAGGAAAACAAGGAGTTCATCGAGGAAGTCGGTGCTCCTGTAGTGGTAAGTTTATTGCTTGATGAGATGTCCAAGCTTTGCTAACTAGTATGGATAGATTCTAGTGCATGGCGAGCAGCACAATATGATGCGGCTCAAGTCAAAGCTACTATCTCTGAATGCTGGAAAGACGGATAAAGTTAAGGTTTTCAGCCCAAGGAACTGTGAGGAGCTACGGGTTCCGTTCAAAACAGACAAGATAGCCAAGGTGGTTGGAAAGCTAGCGTCAATACCTCCTCCACACAATTTACCTACACCCGACGACCAGAGCCCCGAGTTGATTGCCGGAGTTATAGTCCAGAACGACTTCAAGATGTCACTCATGGACCCTGAAGACTTGCGAGAATATGCAGGTCTTACGACTTCTACGATCGCATGTCGACAACGATTCACGTTAAGCGCAGCAGGTATCGACCTTATCAAATGGTCACTCGAGGGCACATTTGGTGGTATTGAAGAGCTTCCGGAAACTAAGAACCGGAAGGAACGCGAGAATGGCGAAGCCAATGGGGATGATCAGATGGCCGATGCGGATGAAGAGGTTGCTCAACTTGTTGCATCGTATTTGGTTATGGGTTGTGTCACAGTCCGATACCGCAACAATGGCGAAGTAGAATTGGAGTGGGAGGGCAATATGCTCAATGATGGTATCGCTGACGCTGTAATGGCGACCTTACTATCGGTCGAGAGTAGTCCTGCTGCTGTGAAGCGTAAGCAAAGAAAAACTGCCCTCTTGTCAGCCTTACAAAAGTTCATCTCTTACTAACATATTTCCAGGCTCTGCTGGAAAACATTCGCATTCCCACGCATTACCGGCACGTAATCCTCACGCCAATCTTACCTCCACGGAGCGATTAGAACGCCTATTCCTTTTCCTAGAGGCACAGTTCGGCGCCGACGCATTAACACCCGTCGCCACTCCTAAACTTCCACCTCTCGCTAAAGACAAGAAGTCGAAGAAGTCAGACGAAGACGAGGATGACGCAGCGTCGGACGCATCAATGGAATTATCTGACGATGAGGAGGAGGAAGAGCGACTGTTGGAGCTACGACAAAAGACTGAGCTCGAGCGACTCCACAAGATTGGCATACCAGTACCAGGAGTAACCATCAAGGTTGATAAGATGGTTGCTATAGTCTGGCTGGAGGACCTAGAGGTCGAATGCAATCACAAGGCCTTTGCCGATAGAGTTAAGGCGGTTGTCGAGCGAGCCATCGAAGTCACGGCACCCCTATGGGGTTAGACTCTCGAGACGTGGATAAATGGGCTAAGAAGGGAATTCATGGGGTCACGATATATGATTTGTTATGGCGCTACAGGTCTAGGTTGATAGGCGTCACATTTGGGAAGAGTTGGCGCGAAATAGGAGATAGGCTTTCAAGGTTTGGTACAAGGCTTTAAAGGGGGTTCAAAACAGATCTTGGGACGAAGAGGTTAGGAGAACGGTACATCAGTTTCATACTACATTTATTAGGTGCTAGCCTTGCATAGCTCTAACTTAGAGGTGGTAAAGCGCTCGGTATCGTGGATTACGCCTTTGATGACTGCTGGGAAGTCTGACGTCTATTTGATACCTACCTACCTATGTATATATGATGTTAGGACCTGAAGTGCGCCGAACATTCCGAAGTCCGGGCCGAATAAACTCATAGCTGGAGATCCCCCATCCGATCCCGATCTCTTGTGCCTTGGAGAATACATTTTAACCTACTCTATTCCCTACTCTATTCCCTACTCTATTCCCTACTCTATTCCCTTTAACACTGCCTTTATCAAAACCGCCTCTAGGCATTGTCTGACCTCCATGGCTCTTTGGCTTTTACTTAGGTAAATATTGACTCTACAGAAATTCCAAATAGCAATATAATATTAGGTATTTGCCTGCATACATGTAGTACAAGTAGAAATTCACCTTGCATACCTATGTAATAACACCGATAGCCCCTTATGTACCTAGGTAGCCCAGTGGCAAGGCTAAGTCAGGGGTTCAGGCAGTGTACCACACAGCCTCGAAGTGATTATCGCCGGTTGTTTTTAGGCGAATAAGAGCTGCAATTAGTGCGCCCGCTATGTAATCCTATTGGTCCCGATGGAATGGCACTGCCCTCGGCCACTGCATGTGGTCGCTTATGTAGTGGTTACAATATGTCTCTAGACACCTATAAGTTAGGTACCAACCCCAATGTATTTATCCCTCAAGTTTCATTAGAATTTCAACTTCGCCTCAAGGCCGACCGCGAGGCTTTTATAATTTGCATAACATGATATCAGGTAAGTTACACCGGCGTTATGATCGGATAATCAGGTGAAACTCATATCACGGTGTTGGGCTTCATGATGGCAAAATATGATATAACTGTAAAATATATGATGGTATAATTAGGGGCAGTTGGTCCCCCTTTTAATGGGATATGAGTATGAACGACACACAGAACAAGAATATTAAAGTCCTACCAACACAATAAACCCAATGACCGCCACCTGACTAGATACTTACCACGACTACCACGACTACTGCAAATCACTACGACCACTGTCACCATTAGTATCAGATTTACTACTACCTGCCCTACCTACATAGCAACTTAGTTCAAAGCTTAGGTTGCTCCAACGCCAAAGTTCTTGTTAGAAGTGGAAAAGATAAACCCACAGACTAGAAGACTCAGCCGCCTTGTCCATTGTTTGTGTGTTAGTTAGTGTTGGTCACTTCTGACTTACCTACATTCCTGTTAGCTTGTTTGTCACAAAGGGGAATTCCATCCCATGATTACCAAATCCACAATGCCATATATCCTAGGTACAAACGAAGCTTCCTCCTCCTCCTCCTGCTCCTCATCCTCTTTTTCCTCCTCATATTCATCAACATCTTCTACAAAATCGACTCGCTACCCAAGGTCCTGCCGCTCTATCGAAACTAGGAATCTACACGAATACAAGATGGGCAACAATCCATTTGACAGACGCCATGGCCAAGACTCTTCTTCTTCTCAGCCATCGCATCTGAGTCCCGATACCCCGACTCGCTCGGCATCCACTCGGAGCCGCTCCCCCTCCGGCTTCTCCCTGCGCAGATCCCTCAGCGGGCGCAGCAGCCAGGAACCCGGCGAGAACCGGCAACCCCGCTCGTCGTTCTTCGGCGGCATGTTCTCCTCCAGTTCGCGCCCCACAGCAGCAGCCCGCGCGGAAAGTCCACCGCCCCCCTATTCCGAGAACGCCAGCGGCTCCTCGGCAGCGTCCAGCAGATCGCAGCCCCTATCCTCACCAGTGCTACCGCCAGCCCCACCATCCACGTTCCCCTATTCCCCCGACACTGTCGGCTCCGTCTCCAATCCCACCGCCAACTTGAACACAGGCACCACAACCCCAACCCCAACCGCCGCCGACGACGACCAATACGCCTTCCTCGCCGAATTCAACACCATCTTCCTGATCGACGACTCGGCCTCGATGGCGACGGAGAACCGGTGGGCGGAGACGCGGCGGGCCGTCTCCTCCCTCCTGCCCGTCTGCGTCGCCCGCGACCGCGACGGCGTCGACGTCTACTTCCTCAACCACACGACCCCCGACCGCGGGGACCCCGCGCGCGGCGCCTGCGGCGGCGGGTACCGCAACGTCACGAGCGCCGCCGCCGTCGACGCGCTGTTCGCGACCGCCGTGAGGCCGCGCAGCGCGACGCCGACGGGGCTGAGGCTGGACCGGATTCTGCGCGCGTATCTGCGCGCGTACGAGGAGGGGGTTAGGAGAGGGGCTGGTGCTGGTGCTGGTGCTGGTGCTGGTGGCGGCGAGGACGGCGCGTACTGCCTCCCGCCCATCAACATCATCGTCGTGACGGACGGCGAAGCGACCGACGAGCCCGGGGAAGTGATCGCGCAGGCGGCCCGCAGGCTCGACGCGCTGTCCGCGCCGCCGCACCAGATCGGGATCCAGTTCTTCCAGGTCGGGCGGGACCCGCATGCCACCAGGGCGCTGCAGGAGCTGGACGATGAGCTGTGTCGCCGGGAGGGGATACGCGATATGGTCGACACGGCGACGTTCAATGGCGCGAGTAAGCGGGATCTGCCGACGCTGACGGCGGATGGGATTTTGAAGGTGGTGCTGGGCGCGGTGAAGAGGAAGTTGGATCGCAAGGTTATGGTGAGGGTTGATGGTGGGAGTGGTGGGAGTGGGAGTGGGAGTGGTGGTAGGGGGGCAAGACGGTGAATAGGGGGTTTTGGCTGAGGGAGTTTCATACTTGGTTGCTATTACTTCCCTACTAGGGAGGTAGGTGTGCTAGTTGGAAGTATATCTGTATTACTAGATCATGGATTATGTATGGCTCTACCGTCCTGCTTCGCGGGGTCAGGTTCCTTGGACAGGAAAAACAGAACTGTCAGGGGGACTTACAGAGATACCTTGGTTAGAGAAACTATCGGGCTTATGCCCTGGAATGATGATTATTTTCTTAATTACCTCGGCCTACTAGTGTTCTGAGTGATAGGCGTGGGTATGCCTAGTATGGCTATTGTAGATTTACGGATGGTAGGATGATAGTAAGCTTGGTATGACGGACTTCACAGGGTACTTGAGGCTCTGGGCAGGTAAGCTTGGGGTTGGTAGAAAGCAATAAACAGTGGTATGTACCAGTCAAGGAGATAAATACCTATCAAAGAGAGCAAGATGAGCATTCGTGTAGCGATGGATCGTAAGGACGAGTTACCTAGATAGGTATGTATGGTTGCATATTCTATCTGGCCACGTGGACTTGACAGAGCCTAATATACCTTCCTCTCATACGATACTAGGTACATATAGGTCAGAGATATCACAATAGAATCGGTATATATGAAGATGAGCCAGTAACTTAGATTAGCACACCCCTATCCATCAACACCATATCTACCTCCGCGAGCTTAATATCACGATTCTCTATATATCTTCCCATGAAAGACACACCTTAACTTCAAATCCGTTAAAACAATGTCCTAACCTAGTACCCATCAAGAGAGAATATGCTACTAATCCTTGCCCATCAGACGATCGATCGATCCCAGACATGAGTCTTTACTTCTCCTCTCGAACCCCTTTCAACTCCATCTTCCTCAACTCCCATGAACAAGAAAAGGTAACCGTGACTAGGTATAACGGTTTATTGCTGACCATCGTGCACCACAACCATGACTCAGTATATCCCATGTCCCACGGCATCTCCCAGCCTAGTTCCAGTTCCAGCTCAGTTCATGCCGCAACTTCCCATCACCATAATCGGACGTCAGCCAAAATAGCATCGGGCACGAGTGCTGCGGAGAAAAACAAGAAGGCGCATAAATGGAAAAGACCCAAAGACCGAAGGATTCCGCAACGTAAGAGGAGAAAATAATGTGACAGCGCAGTCAAGGGTACCTCATTAGAACATGTGGTAGGTAATAGCCAGGTAAGCAGATAGGCATGCGAGACCGAGCCGCGACATGGTCATGTTCTTCGTCAATCTCGACTCGTAGGACTCGCCGTTGATCCTCTCCTCGCATGTCATAGAATGGCAAAGTTCAAAAACGAAATATCGGAGTGTCAAAGGGACCGGTGTAGAGTAATAGGGAGTTTTTATATATAAGATGCTTCGAACTATGTAAAGAACCCATAATAAGCTGTGCTAATTTAAGTACGAACAATCAATGACATGTGGTCGATTTATCTCATGACTAACACCATACACCTCTTGATGCCATAACATGCCAGCCGGGCCGGGTCGCGCTCATCACGAAGAGTTAGGACTGGGGATACGACGAAAGAGATACGAGCTTGCATTTTCTGCAGCTCCTCGGGGTTTCTGGCGAACTGAGGACCGTTGCATGCTTCCATCGTGGCCAAGGCAAACTTGAAGCCAACATCTGGGAATGTAAAGTGTAGCGTCATCCCAGACGACCAGGTCTTGAAGCTCATTTCCAAGGATATGGACACGAGAAACCGAAGAGCAGATATGGAAGCTTCCGGAGTGACAGATTCGGATTGCATCGGCTCTAAGATCGTATGCAACACCTGGGAGTGGTGTGTCGTGAGGCTTTCTTGAAATGACTTCATCCTGGGGTGCTGCAGAATAAAGGCAACGACTTTTGCATGCTCGTTGACAACTTTTTGTCGTTCTTGTTGGTCCGTCTCACTTTTCTTGGCATTGAATGCTATCATTTGGTTTCGGAGAGAAGTGAGCTTATCGTCGATGTCTGGGCTGAACCCCCTGAACACGTTGGGCGAGATGAGCTTCTTGTACAGGTAATCCAGCAGAATCCGCATCACGATAAAGGGTCGGTACTTTTCGACCCCAAGGAGATGTGATAGGTGTCCGTCAGCATGCTCATCGTTGAGGAGACTGAGCAGGTAGTTCCAGGTATCCGGCCGCTCCTCTCTCAGTGCTTCAAACTGGACCTTGTGGCCCTCGTCATCCTTCTGGTGAAAGCTCACACAATATCCCTTGGCGACCGTCATGATATGTTCAATACCACTCCTGACTTCCGGAGCCCCCAAGTGAATTTTGTGGCGAACCATGCTGGTGTTGTGTTCGCCTTTGGCACTGCTCTCCACACCAAGGGCCACCTTCGACTCCTTGCCTGCAGGAGCTGTGTTGTCGATATGAGTTTGGGGGCGTGAAGACAAGACGAGGGCAAGCGAGTGTGGCTGGCCCGCGTTGGCTGTCTGCTGAGTACTTCCACCGTCCACGGCCATCATCTGCTCTTTTTTAGCTGCCTCTGGATCGGGTTTATGGGTAGCATGATCCGACTTGTCCTCGGAGCTGCCCTCGCTCTTCGGTCCGTATTGCTCGTGAAGTCGTGCTAATAAGCTTTCCCGCACCTCCGGATCAAGTGTTACGTGCTGCAGCCCCCTTTCTTTTGTGTGAACTTCCGGAGATGAGCCCATTCCACTTAGAGGTGATAGTCCCACGGGGACCGAGGCGGGAGGCGACGGGGTGGCAAGCTCTGGTTGAATTTCTGAGCTCTCGTACGGCTCTGCTGCAACCCCTTCAACGAGTCTAGCATTACGTTGATGTAACTGCTTGATCTCGGCCTCAAGAGACTGAAAACGAAGGTAAACGAGGTTAGTTGATCACTAAGAAAAGTATCACACATGCTTAGGTACTTACTAGGATGTGCTTCGTGGTCTTCTCTTCCATACGAGTCCACCGCTTGACTAGGTCATCATGTTTGACGCGGAACTCCTCCGAGGCATCTTGAGCTGCTTTTTTCTCATCCTCTAAGGAATCGACGCGAGCCCTGAGTATCCCAACTTCAGCCTGGAGGTTGTTCTCACGCATTGCAGCCTCAGTCTGGCGCTCCCCGGCAGCCTTAGCTGCAGCATCCCGTTCGGCATGAAGCTTTTGACAGGCGGTGTTGGCCAGCTGGCTAATGCTATACATGACATTAGCCATCTGGGGAGGAACGCCAGGCTGGGCATTGAGCGCCTGCGAAAAGGCCTGGGTACGCTGGCTGAGCGTACGGTACAAGTCCAGGCTATCACCCTATGCGTAGTTAGTACCTATCAAGTATCTTTCGGAATATTAGTTATAATTATAAGGTGAGGACAAGAGCTTACTTCCGCAGGCGCGTGACCCGCCCCGCCGTGGGTGCTGTTAGTCAAAGGCCAATTCTGAGTGCTCATCTGGAAGCTGGCATCGTTGCCAGGGAACATTCCCCGGCCACGTGAGCCCTGGTTAGATGAACCAGTGGAAGGTGGGAAACCACTGGCACTGGTGTAGGCACTATTTTCGGCAAGTTCGTTATAGGCGACATACGTAGGATGGGTTGGTCGATCCATTGTCTCACCCAAAGAAGTGTCGGAATCCTTCTTCTCTACCTTCTTTGGGCCCTTTGCCTTGGAAGTATCACGCAGTCCCGACATGATTTCCTGTACTTCGACTGGAATCTTCTTTTAAACAAGTCAGTCAAGTCGCCTGACGTAGTGAATGGCCTCAATAGGAGCACCAAGCAGCCCGTCAAAGAAAGCAAGGACCAGGGAAGCCCGCCCTCAAAGATCGATTTGATGTCGCTCTGACCTATACAGAGTTTGTTAAGGTACTATAGGTAAGCAGTTAGTGTCATGAAACAGAAGAGAGTGGTGGATATAATTAAAGGGGTTGGGAAAGCGATAGAGGAAGAAAAGGAGAAGAGAGAAGAAGAAGTACCTAAGGTAAAGGTATACTAGAGACAACAATAGTACTCTATTCAGAGAGGATTGAATGAGACTTATTTGTGAATAATATAACGAAGGGAAGAGATGTTGAGAATAAATATTAAAAGGGGGGAGGATGAATGTTGTTAGGCTGATAGAATAATAATGTATGCGACATAGAATATGCGCAAGAATAAAAAATATCTATCTCTGCTAAAAAAGAGAAAAAGAAAAGGCGAAATTAAGAATGAAAACGCCGGATGTGCTAGGTGAATAAATAAGAAAAGAGTGTCAAGACCAATGATGACTTCTTGGGCAGTTGCTCGAAAACTTGCGCAAATAGTTTGTCAAGCACTTGCCCAAACACTTGCTCAAGCAGCTGTTGGAGTAGGTGCGTAGGACTATGTACCAGGCAGGAATTGATCGGATAGGGGAAGTGCAGCAAGGTTTGTCACCTGTAGTCCCACAAGTCGCCCCCCCTTTTCGAGGCAGGTAGGTACCTACCTAGTAGACAGAGGAAGGTGCCTCGAGGCAAGTAAGGCAGGTATGTACCCAAGTAGCTTTATAGCACTGTATGAATAAGGATACCCATGCTAAAGTGCTATAGCACTATCATAGGTATAACATATATAACATGGAACCCCCAAAACGTTGATGATCCAGCTGTGGCATGTTATGAAGTTGGATTTTTTTGGTGTACAAGTAAAAGTAGAGAAATAAGAGGAAAGGGAAGCAAAGGCTGGTTGGAAATGTAGAAAATAATGTAACTTACAGCACATCATCGAATCGAAAGCCAGAGACGACCCGTCTAGGGAGCCAACGCCCCCCTCGGGATCATCTCGAAAGCTTGGGTGTGAATCCAGGGCTTCCAGTCCCTATTAGAATGTTAGCTTTGGTAGTCCCTTCAAGTACATGTGGGCGAAGGGTAGAAGTGTTATGGAACCCCATATGATTGTCTGGGTATCCATTTCAGATCACTTCTCAATCAATATAAGCAAGCAGATATTGAATAATAGACTGAAGAGAAATGATTATACATACCTCGCTATCTATGTAATGAAAAGATAGCTAGGGAGCTGGGTGGAACCTCAAGAACCACCTTGGTGCTGGTGGTTCTGTGGGAAGATGAATTTTGAGTATTGTCGTTTGTTGTTTGCCTGTTGTAGGAAGGAGGAAAAAGAGTAAATATAGAAAATAAGATGGAGGAAATAATAAATGGCCTTTTCGTGGGCCCCCTCGAAAGCCCACAAGACAATTTCGACCAGGGCAAAGATGAGCCATGAGAGGGGACACCTAGTAGGGCACAAAACCCTAACAAGTGTCAGCGATGAAGAGAAAGAATTTAAGAGCTGGCTTACCTGGAAATGTGCCAGTGCCTATTCAAGTTTGCTGCTGTGAATAGATCTAGTTCATGGAGGATGTGAATTCTTGTCAAAGCAAGATGATCATCTGGGAAGCAGGGCGTGAGAAGCAAGTCTCTTCCTTGTAGAAAGGAGGTGTGTTCCTATTACATATACATGTAGCCTCCATTAATTCTGCCAGAGAGGATGAATGTATGAAGATGTTATGGAGAGAACATGTGTGTGTTGACAGAAGATGTAGGTGTAGGATGAGGAGGTGGTCAAGAATTTTGTGTGAATATGGTAATGAGAAATATTTGTTATGGAAGAGGAGGGAAAGAATTTCTTAACAAAGCACAAGAAGATGCCCACCAGTAAACCAAGTAGTAGAATCACCCTAAGGACTAGGCCATTGATTCGACCTGGACTGTACTAGATGCAGGGAAAATCGAGTTGCAGTTTGCATAAGGTCTCGACTGCCCACCGATTCGAGAATGTAAACAAACACGTACATGAATAAGCAAACAAAAACCTTGGCCATCACCAAGAAGACTGCGGCTGTGTGGCTGTGTCTCGAAAGCCTCAGGCCTGGGAGAGCTTCGTATCACCAGACGGCAGGTTCAGCACTGAATATATCGAAAAGCAGAGATATACTAAGGGCAAATGCCTAGGCACCCACCTATTCAAAATACTAATGGCCCATCATAGCCATCCTATGCTGGTTTTGTAGGGACAATTGGGGGCTCAGGGGTAGAAAGACCTCCATGACTAGGGGGCTTATGCCTGTAGTGTTGGCTAACATCCAACGTAAGCCCCTGAATAGGCCAGCGGGGAAGATCGTGTATTATGAAAGTTCCAAAGGATACGGGCTCACCTTAGCATTTTTGATAATGTTATTCATGAATGTTACCTATATAATGGACCGCAGTGTCAAAATCCCAGATAGCAACGGGCCATGAACGCTAGAGACTCGCTTCCATCAAAATAGCGGCACACCGAGCATTCAAGTTGCTGACATGGTACATATTTTCACTTGAACATAGATAGCTTATACAAGTATGGAGCTAGCCAGAGTACTCGATGTATAGGTAAGATCGAGAGCTAAAACTGGACGAAGAGCTGGCTTGCACAATGCATTATAGGTAGACCACTAAGTTATTGGCTGTTTTCTTTACATATCAAACACGGCTCGGGGGTTCGTCCCGAAAGCACGGGAGTTAAATCGGAAAAAGGTGATATTCGATATATTATCTATCGGAATGACCACATGATCTAGATGTACAACTTGTACATCAAGGAAACAAGATACTTGCTGCCTAGTAATCTCCTGACAAGTCGTCTTCCTCGGAGCTTTCTGCTTTACACGGTGAAATTTGCCCCGTATGATATCTACGCATGAACTTAGGGAGCGCAGACATTTGCGAGATCGTTGGATTCAGATACGTCCTCAGAAGCTCGGTCTATACCTGAGACAGCTGGAATTGCCGGCCGCTTGGAGCTCAGAGGTCAATTAATCTCATTGAAACGTCTGCCGACCCACGACTGTGGCAAGCTTAATCGTTATAGAGAAGCATAGAGTACCTATTTGCTTGTAGTAGATGTTCAGAGGACCCTACTTAACTCAAGTATAGCAAACTCACCATATCAATTCTTCAAGCCACGACGAATCGGCTTGAATATGTCAAGGATTACTCGAATACGTCGAGGACGACACGCCGGGTACATACCTAGCGTGCCATGATAAAGGCTCAGGGAGTCGGCGACCGAGATAGCGTGCAAGTGCTCGAGTCTGATACTAGAATGCGGTACATGACTTGAGTTTAATGCGTTTGTGTCCTCATTAAGATCCGATTCCTTTATTTTTTTTTAGGAATGGGATCGCATGGGTAGAAAGAATCCTACTTACATGAAAGATCTGAGAACACCGAGGTGCCTAGAGTTGCATGTACAGGATGAAATAAAAAACGAAACGTATGATTATCTAATAAAGCGGACATGCCCAATTAGCTTTAAGGATATTGACGATGTGTACCTATTAAGCGTTGCCTCATCGATAAACTGAGACGTGGCAGGACTCTTAAGAGACCATAGGAAATCTACAGGTGGAGTCAGAGTTGACACAATCACGGGTATCCGGGAGTGGCCATACCATTATCACCGAAACAGCACATGTGGAGAGCAAGACTAAAGTCAAATATTTAGTACTACTGACGACTAATTACCTGGTTTGACCCTATTGTCAGCAGGCCCGCGAACAATCTCCTAGCTGGGTGATGGTCGGTACTGAAGCAAGATTAATTTCAGGTTTTAGTAGAACGGTACAGACGTTCGGATACGCGTGTTCCTCCGGAATGGGTATGCTATTGCAGAATCAGCGTGAAAAAGCATTTCAGTCATGACATTGCATGACTGGGCGGATGTCTTCGTGATTAAGTTTTGAATGGCGTTTACCAAATTGTTTGGCGAATAAAGAGGATCACGGATTCGGGTTCGCCTTCCTGGGGAAGGGGGGAGGGTTATCTATGACGGTAACTGACTTCGGATTAGGATACAAATTCAAGAGCTCTTGGACTATGGCTAAGACTTACAATGGAAATTCCTAAATCGGAAAAGGCCAGGCCAACGATTAGCATCTCAAATAGCCTTGGTACGAGAGAACAAACTGCTGTAGACTGCGTCCACAACAGGCGCGGCGCTAATCATGCGTCCACCGAAATAACGACCGTTGAGGCCCTTGATTGCGTTTTCGCCTCCCTGGACCTTGTCGAATTTGAGGTATATGTCGCCTTGCGAGTTCGGTTCGAGGGCAATATGGACCACATGGCCATATTTCTCTTCGGCTTCCTGTCGAACGTCATCCTCCAATTCTTTAATCCAGGCTTCACCTTCTTCCCTATAAAAAGATACCAGTTAGTACTTATCAAAATGAAAGAATATGGCGGGGGGGCACGTACTCAGAGGGGTCAAACATGTTGTGTAGAACAACACACCGGCTAGCCATGTTGACATTCACAGGTAGCGGTTTAGTTTCTGTCTTGGGCTTGAGAATCTGTCTCTCGTCGCGGGCTCCGTTGGATGTGTCATCGGTTCTAGCGAGTTTTCTCATCAATGCATCGCGACTATAGTTGTTAAAATTAACGCCTGCAACATCGGTGTCATCCAATGCGCTAGCACCAGTAGCTTTGTCGTTATCACGACCTCCTGCGCGATCAAATCCAGAGTTTTGCGGACCTCGTCCGCCAGCGCCGGAGAATGCGGATCCCTGATATGGTTGGTTTTGGCCCTGGAATCTCTGTAGGATATTGGCAGTTGATTCAGGAGTAAACTTATCGTTACCAAGACCAACACGAATTGGGCGACCGGCGAGGTCAAATCCATTCATTTTCTCGAGTGCTTCACGAGCCTGGTCAGCTTCACGGAACCTAGGAAAACTTGATTAGCAATGTTACAAGCCTGAAGAAAGATCCCGTGTCAACGTACTGTACAAACCCATAGCCACGACTACGGCCAGTATCATCTTTCTGTAGCTGGACAAATTCGAGTTCGCCGAAGGGTTCAAATACGTTTTGCAAATCCTGCTCAGTAATACTGAAGTGGATGTTGCCGACGTATAGACGATGGAACGGAATCGAATTTGCGTGAGAGCCGGAGCCTTCTGTAGTACGAACTTGTCGGTTCTTCTCAGCTTCGGTAAGCTGTACTATAACTGGGATACCTAGGAGTTTTTGACCTGTGAGCTGAAGTGCAGCAGTGACGGATTCTTCGTTTTTAAATTCAACGTAACCGACTCTGTTGTTGATGTTAACAATTAGTAAACAAGTATGTTAGGCTACCAACTGTAGTGCGGTGCTTACCCTTTAGACCTTCCACTGATACGGTCCTTGACGATTTGAGCCTCGTTAACGGGACCGACTTTCTCGAAAAACTCTTTAAGCTCTTTGGTGCGAAGACGTGCAGCTAGCTGTTGAACGAATACGGTACGGCGATCTCGCTCATCTTCGGTCAGTTGGGGAGTAGGATCCCGCTTAGGGGTGCGCCCTCCACGGGGCCTATCATCATCGCGGCTTCTGTAATGACTCCGGTCATCACGGACGCGATCTCGATCGCGATGGTCGTCTCTTGGTCGATAATGTCGGCGAGGAGATCGCGAGCGAGAGCGATCCCGAGCGCGACCACCACTCCGATAGAAATCGCCATCACCACCTCTGTGACGACGTGAGTGTCGACGCTCATCATCACGACTCCGGCTTCTGCGCCTACTCTTGTGACTACCTGCATCACTGCGTGGGGTGGCTGGGATATCTTCACCGCGGTCACGTCGTCCACGGTCGGTGCTACGGTCGCGTCTTCGGCCGGGACTGCGGTCTCGATCTCTACGGTCACTTCGGTCAGATTTTCCGCGCTCTTCGGAATCCTTAGACCGATTCTCCTTGATGTCACTTTTGCTAGTAGCAGTGGCATCAAGCAAGGCCTCGACGTCGAGGGTAGCCATCTTGAAAGCTTACAGTCGGTCAGAATTAAGTCGAGGGGGGTTTGGGGGATTGATAATTTGGGAATTAAAGGCAATGCAATACTAAATCCTTGTCCAGGATTGAGCAGATTAGATGGGATCGATAGTGAGGAAGAAGTACTTCACAAATCGATGAATGTTTAAAGTGAGAAGTGATAAGTTGACGTTAAACTGGAAGATGAGAAATGAGAGGGGTGGCAGGGGAGAGAGGATGCGCGCAAAAAAACGCTAGTGCGGCGCCTTGTCGGCAAAACTTTCCGTAGGTACCCTTGTATGTACTTGTACAGAACCTTGAATACATACCTAGGTACACATGCAGTTTAAAACTTCAAATCCTTGGCACTAACCTACTACAGTACATAGCCTCTACATGTAGGTTTGCACGCAGTAGCTAGCACGCAGTCACCGACTTACCGTGTGCTAGTGCATAACATGTATGAAGAAAAAAACATTATAACGTACTAGGTATGTATTTAAGAGAGTTCAAATGAGCAATGAGCATTGGTATGTAAGTACCTTACATACTTATAACAATGGACTCAAAAGCTTCAACTTGTCAAGGCTACGCGCGTGACAAAGATATTGTCAACGTGGAAATCAGACAACAAATGAACGACAACACTTCACCGACAACAAAGCAGTAAATACTCGATACTCAGTTATGTTAAAAAAAAGTTTAACACGAACGATTGGATATATATTACGAGTCGAGTGTGAATTAAGCTAGGTTAAGTATTTCCATGATCCCCTTTGTCATATAATCATCGAACGCCAGTAAAATCTGCCGAACCTCTACTCCTAGAATCTCTCATTCCTCATCCCAGTTGTTGCGTCATGCCCATTCATTCAAGAATACATAACGACATGCCCCGAGTAAGAATGAGCTTCTCCCGCTGAAGGTTGCGGCAATAATTAAGGTAAGGTATCTGGTATCTAGGCCGTCTTGACCACTGTCACCAGTTCCGTACCGAACACTTGGTCCCAGAAACGGCTAGTCACGCCGAAGCCTAGCTCGTAGTCGAGGAAGTGGTGGGCAAGGTGGTATTTCTTCAGGTCTTTGTACCAGAGAGGTAGGTTCTGGTGGTGGAGGAAATAGTGTGTCAAGTCGTAGCATACGTATCCGAAAATACCACCACAGTAAACAGCGGTTGCAATATACCAATCCCAGTAGAATATCGCATGTGCCAACTTCCAGAAGGGTGTTGCAAGCACCAGGAAGAGGGTCGGAGGCATCACTAAACGGTACTTGTCCATTGGCAGGTAGTGGTGGACGCCATGGAGAAGGAAATGGAGTGTGATTCCTACTCTGTTGTCTGGTAGGTAGCTAAGGGTTTGTATTAGCATGGAAGTTATAGTTGTCAACACGTAAATAATAAGACTTACTCGTCAAGGTGGAAAAGACATCGGTGCAATATGTACTCTATGAGAGTCCATAGTACTAAACCGAATCCCCAGCAAGTTGCCAGTCCTAATCTGGTTTCGATCCCTTGCGAAGCGAGGTAGGTACCGTATGCAACTGCAGGTAACCAGATGATAGGGACCAACCACCAGGGTGTTAGGCTGAGCGGCTCAAGGAAGTTTCCGAACAATGGCGCGGAAGCACCTCCTTTGTAGTGTCTCGGCCGATGAACCTGGTCGAGATAGAACCTTTTGGTAAAGCCGCCATACCACACCTGCATTAACAGAGGCTTGCTCAAGTCAAGGAACTTATGCTGCTTGTAGTCTGTGTTGAAGTCCGTTTCCTTGCTTAGATCCTCTTCGCAGGACATACCGGTCCGAGGATGAATAGTACGAGTGACTTCATCGTTGATTTGAGGATCCGCATTCTTTTTCTGTGCCTTTCCATTCGGTGCGAGCTTCCCTGTCACTAGAAATGCGACATGTGATTCCTCCAAGATCTCATACGCCGAATCGGAGTGCTTATGCGAGTCTTCATTCTTTAGGATATCTGTCACGTCCTTTCCGGCATATTCGAGGACCAAATCGGCACCACCGGGATGGGACTCGACGAAGTCGGATACATCGTAGACATTGGTACCGATGGTAACATAGCAATCGTCGGCCGTGTTATGAGACTCGACTTCGGCTTTAGTAAGGGTCGGCAGAGTTAGGCCGGGCATTGTCGCGGAGGATCTCAGATCAGGTAAAGGAGTGTGGGGGGGAAGTGTTGGGCAAAGAGCGGAGAGAGAGGCGGCTTAAGAAAAGTATTCCTAGGAGCCAAACAACTTCCTGCAGGGAAAAAATAAAAGGGAAGGGACGGAACGGAAGTGAAGTGAGAATAAAAGAACCTATGGAAACTAGTTCGGAGAGAAAAGGAGATATGTAATCAATCCAGGAGACGGCGGATTTAATAATGCATTAACTAGAGATTTATCGAATTTTTATAAAAAAAGGGGTCCAATCAGTTTGTTAGCTTCGAAAGAACCTAGAAAGAAACCTGGGAAGAAATAACCTTGAACCTTTAAACTTTCCTACTAATCAATACTAGAGACTAGAGTCCTACTAAAGTAGCTTTTTTGCCTTCGGTGGACGCGATCTGAGTGCTGACAGCCTGACAGTGGCGTTATCGGGGTATCGTTATCGTATGATAGCCCTGCTCACCCGGCTCCGTGGGATCCGCGATGTTTAATTTAATTAAGCACATGGGACCATTTCATTGTAATTCATACGCCATGCAATTTCATGTATAAATATTAGTCACCAGTTACGGAAACAGGGAAGTTACCTACATATGTAGTACTAACACTTGTGGTTAACATTCATGCAATTACATGAGTGTTACCTATAGGTCTTATATACATATTATATGTATGTACATATAGTATTGACATTGCTATGTGGCATGTGTAAATATGTAAACTTGAAGCAATAAACAAGCCATAACTACTACATACATCGTCATAATCAGGGATCCCTCTCATTCTATTCCTATTCATTCACATATAAAATAAATGCCTGGGTATCTCCTCTGAAAGTCCTACCTACCTATGTGCCCAGTACCTATGCTATGCTATGCTATTCCGTGTAAACAAATGCTGCTATCCCCAAAAAACTCCTGAGCCATGCATCGATGTAATCATGCTATTCTGCCATTTTCCGCCATAAATTATACGTAGCACGGCACCCTTTGCCTGTTTACAAAAAAGATGTCCTTATTCCAACCTCATGAGCTGACCCTCCTATATATTCTTTCCGCCTAACATGATCATGATCCTCAATCTTTTCTTCCTCACCTCTATGCGAATGTATGCCACATGTGATGAACAATCACCGTCGCAAAGTGGGCACTACCGTACATATGGTAGGAGGTATAAGCTCCATTCTCTAACCAGATAGTCCAGGCAAGTATCAATGAAGCTACCACCAGTGCCAATCCCAGATTCGCCCACGACGGGGCAAAAATCGACGGCGGCTTTCCGGTCTTCATTTGAGCCTCGACTTGCAGATCGGCGGCAAGTCGAATCGAAACAATGAGGCAGGCAATAATGGAACTAAGTGCAAGACTGGAGCCATACTGCTCTTGCGTGCGTAAAGCAGCAATCCAACCACCGAGTGCGATGATAAGGACGAGTAGCTCCACTGAACGCGTTACGCGATGACTCTGGGTATCCACCGCGCCGCCCTTTCCCCCGAAAATAATGCTTTTCGATGTTGTCGTTCGAGGCCTACGGTATCTCTCTTCCTCTGGATCTGGGCTAATGCTGAATGAGTTGGCGAACATGTTAGATAGGCCATCGCGGGGGTCATCTCTATCTTCTGGCGCAAAGAACTTGGGTTCGGAAATTTTGAAGTCCGACAAAGTGCCTAGACTCGAAGACCCCAAATCGAGAGGCCCTCTACTCGTGTTCTGAAAGAAGTTCTCTTTCTTCTCTTTGGGACTTTCTCGGATGAGTGGGCGCATAGGGGGGTTGCGTATTCTCTGTGCAGGACTAGTAGGCGCTGGAGGGACCTTGTACCATATTGGCCCGGATTTGGGCTCTATCGGGATATCACTAAACCGTGGGTTGGTATTCTTGACTTTGTATGGATTGTAGGAGCTGAAAGCTCGATGTTGTGAAGCGGACGGCGTCCAATCCATTTCTTCCTCGTACTGAACGATTTCGGGCTTCTTCGATTTCGGCTTTTCAACCCTAGCTGCGTCGGATAGGTTAAGAGAGCCAAGGCCAGGCTCGGGCAACTTGTTATCGTACGGTCTCCGGATTGGGCCACCGAACAACCCATTGCTTTCGGTAGTCGTTGGATGAGTATTCGAACTCCAAGGCGGATGCGCAGAATCGGCATGCGCTTTCGAAGATGATTGGGAAATCTCATCTAGTATGCTGCCTAGGTCATTTCGGTCTCTAGGTGCCTCTGGTTTGGTCTCTGGTGCCCTTGCTTTTTCTATCTTCGAATGACGTCGAAACAGAGGTGTCGTATCAGTACGGATAGAGTTCTTAGACGTGTAGTATACCTAGAGTATAGTGTTAGTCTAAGCCCACCCGTATGTAAGTTCCACATGTACTTACGAAGGTCATGAGCAGCGCTATGGCGAATTGTGCGCCCAGTTGTGCTGAGATTTGTAGCCCTTGCGAGGAACTATACTGAGCCATGGAGAGGCCGGCGTATCGTATCAGTAGGGTAAGCAATTGATATGTGTACCAATGCTTGAATCCCAGGTAATGCGCCGTGAAACCTCTGATAGTCTGCTTGAAACGTGGATTCCACGGAAGTGAGCATATGCCTAGGTTTATAGCCCATTGCATAAGCTGATTTGCGCTCAGGGGCAAACGATCATTGGCGAGCCTTTGTGCGCCTTTTAGGATCGTAACCATGCGCGAATCCGTGGCAGTTAACGTAAACTGGCTCATGGCAAGGGACCAAAGCATAGCGATATGCCATAAAAACTGAAGCGCAAAGCCAAGATACCATGTCCATTTTCCCATGAAATCAAAAACATCTAGGATTCCTCGCCTCTTGACTTCTTTCCTTTGTGATCGCGTACGAGCAATCATTCGGCGTAGATGATCGGTTTGCGCTGTGTAGCTAGCCTCGTTGAGTTTCTTTTCTACCTTTGGCTCGCAGTTTGCGCACATCTGAGGATATCGTTTCTCGAGGTCTTTTCGGAGGGCCCAATATTTTCTCTCCCGGGCGGCATATTCAACACTGTTATGGTCGTCCGGCCACTCAAATTGGGCTAGTGAATTCGTGAGCATATGCTGATTTCTTAAGCATATATCGCAGAACACTGGTTCTTCAAAACCTGATCCAACCGGTGATAATGATCGTGTCGGTGAGCGGAAACTTGACGCGCGAGGAATAGCGAACTGGACTTGACTGCGCTCTACAGGTAACGTCGCGGAGGGTGGATCGGTGATATCTCCATACTACAAACTGTTTAGCTTTGCAACCAAAAATCATCATATAAGCTCGAGCGCATGGTGTATTTACTTCGTCTAACCAATTTGTTGCTTCACAGTAGGCGCAAACAAATGAGTTTTGGCCCTCAAATCGTAGTTTGGATCTTCTTCCACAATAGAAGCAGCTCAAATACTTCCTCGACCGTAAGGTCGCCATGTTTGTTGAGATTTACCCAGTTTACCTATGAGCTGCAGAAAAGGAAAGATGCGGCCTTTTAGAAGTAAAAATTTGTATGACTGCAGATACTCGGGAGTTCAAGAAACAAGTATAAATTCGAAAGGAAGAAGTATTCCAAGGTATTCAATGGATCAAGATACCTAAGGTAGGCAGCCTAGGAGGAGAGGGATGAGATGCGGCACGTTTAAGACGCGTAAGGTGTCAAAACTGATGCCGCATGAGTATGTAGGTACTATATCAATATGTAAGTAAGGGAATAAAAAATTGACAACGGTTCTAGGTAGTTACATAATGTACGTGCATGCGGTTAGTAGGTAGTTACATATGTAGGTACATGTACGGAGTACAAAGCAACGCGTTTCCGTGTAGCCCGAGATAAGGATGATTCGATAAGTAGCCGCACGATGACGCTAAGCCTTTAAGGACATGCCCAAATAAATTCTATCTGTCTTATTGCTATGAACCCTGCATTAGGTAGACCCACATTCCTTTATGTGAACATTCAATGTGCAATCATCAACGTTGAATCGAACATTGAAGGTATGTACTTAGGTACCTAGACATCTTAAGCATTCAAGCATACCTAGTACCTAATACAAACGTTGACTGCTACACTTCGTTCACTCTTCTTTAAACATCACCAACGAATGAGATCAAGCTTACACAATAACCTCCATACCTTTCTGGAGTGTCTTCAAGGACACACGAAGACTCTGGAGTATGGTGGTTAAAGAATCACATGCATTGAAGAAGACAAAAAGGTAAGAACAATGCTTTCTTTGACATACATTATTTCATATCTTGAGAGTGATATACCGTTCTTTCCGGGAAGTTCTACTCCTGCATCCGGCCGAAACCCCTTAGATTGCCACGTGCGTCTCCGTCTCGATCGCCGAGTCAATCACGGCGCTCCTTCTTTGACAAATGCAAATGAGTCGTGAATCGCCAAAGACAATGTATACAATACGTGTAGCAACAGTGTTATCAAAATGAATTCCATTGACATATACTAAAACATATTCGTTTTAGTGACTTGCAGATCAGGATTGATTTATCAACAACATCCCAAAGTCAAGGCTAGGGAGCTAGCCAGTCGTCGGACAACATGGCCACCCAGCCGGGAAGTCCCATGACATGTCCCAGCCTGTCCTTTGAACCGTACCGTAAGCACCTATCTTGCGTTTCCAAAATGGAGGCGGCCAAAGATGGCATCCTGGCTGAAGACTCCCCGATATATGTCAAGTCGTACGCCAACCTCTTCTATCAGGTATTGGCTCTTATTGGCTATGCCCCTGCGAAGTTTGTGGCCGTAATGATATTGGGCATGGCCATTGCTTCCTGGCTCGGAGGCCTCTTAGGTGTTGTCGGTTTCATTGTGGTGAGCATGGGCAATTGAACTCGGCTATTTATACTTACTAATGCTTGGATAGTATCGCCACGTGGCTCTAGTGATCCAACGCCGTAGAAAGATAAGAGATGGATCGTACTTGCCCGGTCAGTATGGGCTCAAGAAGTCGACGGATGTCCCTCATTACACCTTGATTGTATGCGGATCAGGTGGCCACACGGGCGAGATGATTCGAATGTTGTCACGCAGCATTCAGCACGAGGCCCTCGCTCACCGACGATGGGCCGTCGGCCGCGGTGATGAGTTGAGTTTCAGTAAGGTCATAGACTTCGAAACCCGTCTTTCGATGAACTTCGCCTCGAAAGGCTGGGAGCCTGGTACATTCGATATTATGTCCTTTCCCCGCGCTCGTGCCGTCCATCAGAGCTGGCTCACCACACCCTTCACTGCAGTCTTGTGCGTTGTGGAAATCATCCGCATTCTGCTTGAACAACCCTCTGGCAAAAGTATCGACTTCGCGTATCCCGGCGTAGTCGTTAGTGACGGCCCAGGTTCCGGATTCCTGTTCATATTAGTCGCCCACATTTTGAAGGTCTTGCAGCTCGTCCCTTCGGATTACATGCAAACTATCTTCATCGAAAGCTGGGCCCGAGTGGGCCGTCTAAGCCTCTCTGGACGTCTGGCTGATCTCTTGGGGATTGCCGATATGTTTATCGTCCATTATCGTCCCCTTGCCCGGAAGAATCACCGAGTCTTTAGTCAGAACATGATCGCGATGCCGCGAATTCCCACCCTCCCGACGGATTAAGCTACCGCATACTCGCATCACGAAGGTACCAAAGTGCGTACCTAGACTCACTCTGCAATACCTACCTAGCAGCTACAGCAGCTAACTATCTCATAGTTTGGGCATGATGAGGCACATTGATAGCCACCTCAGCGCAGAATACTATCAGCGTTAATACTAGCTAATCGGGAGGGATTCCTTCGTGTGTCTTAATGATGAACCGAAGGAGGTCATTATGTGGACTAACGGAACAGGTCTTTGAGGACCAGTGCTACGTGAGGCTCGCTCATAGTTATGGTAGTAAAACACGATTAATTTCCCATGAACATCACATAGCTGCCCCCCCTTCTTCTGACTAATGTGGCAAGTGTAAAGTGCTATCCTTACCCACTCCATTTCCTCTCCTCATCTGGTGATAAGTAGCCTTCGCCCATCACATAGCCTTGTAGACAAAGTCCATCCGTCTCATTTTTTAATCAGTCATGCGTTGCGCTGGCCTATATAACCAGGTACCTAGGTAGGTAACCAAGGTTAGTATTAGATGTAGCACGTTATAAATGTGACATGGACATGAAGCCGAATCATATATTGTGTTTATATTGCTCTAGGTTAGACGTGTAAGATTCTCTTCCGCCTCTGGACATCTCTACCTTCCATCTATCACCACGTTCTATCTTAAACTTGGAACTCATATCTGCTTCTGAGTTGCCTGGATCCTTAGGCATCTCGATAACATTCAGCTCTTACATGACCAGTAGTCATCACACCCACACAACCCCAACTCCCATAACCCCCCCTTTCATCGCATTCTCCCTTAGGGCAACCTAAATGGCAGCCTCCGATGCAAGCGCATACAGATCTCCACAAGATCCTTCTCATTCTGCGCATTGAGCACGCCATGCCTCACCAAGAAATCCACCAGCGCCGCCGCCGAGTCGGCCTTGAACTCCCCCCTCAACAGCGCCGTCTGCACCTCCTCGACCGTCATCAGATAAAACTCATCCACCTCGTCATCATTCGGCGTCGGAATCACGTCGGGCGGCAGCTCGAGGTCGTGGGTGTAGATGACGAGGGGCACGACGAGCCCCTTCTCGCCGGGAAACCCGTCGGCGGCGGAGGAGGTGGCGTTGATGTAGGTGAGGGCGCCGGCGGGGCGGACGCGCTCGCGCACGAGGGCTTCGGGCAGCGAGGCCTCCTCGTCCGCCTCGTGCACCATGGTCTCGAGCGGGGTGGAGCCCGCTTTGATGCCGCCTGCGACGGTGACGTCGAGCTTGCCGGGGCCCGTGTACAGGTGGGCCGCGCGACGGGGGATCCAGAGCTTCATCTTCTTCTTCTTCGTAGTGGATCCGTCGTCGTGGTCGGACGTGTACGCTATGATGTACGCGCCGCGACCGGTGATGCCGAAGAGGGCGGACGCGAAGCGCTCCAGGTGGATCGGGTGCTTGGCGCTCACGATGGAGAAGGGCTCGCTGTGCTTGCCGGCTATGACGTGGAAGAGGTCCTGCTCAATGCATTCGTCGATCAGCTCTTGGAAGGCCAGGTTGACCGCGCCCGCGGGGTCGGTTCCATTGGATGAGTCTAGGACTGTGACACTTCGCCCGGGACTGTTGTGATTGACATGGAAACGGGGGGTCCATGGCATCTTCTGGACTGTCTCCGGCAGGAGATATCCATGTGGCTGGTCATCATCGGGTAGGAATAATTGATAATATACCTCTGAAGGCACGATATCATATGGAAAGCTTGAGAGCGGTATTAATATTGCATACTATGTAGCTTAGGTACCTAGGTAGGTTAGGTATCTTGGGAGATGGACACGATGCTCACTTGTCGCATGATTCGATTAAGGAGAGGTAAGTCCTCTCCTTGGCATGATCGGCCATAGTTCTAGTTTTAAATCTGGTTCTGGTTCTGGTTTTAACTCTGATGGATCTTGGGTTTAAAGAACGGTGTATGTGCTCAGTACCCTAGGTAGGAACCTATGGAGATACCCTCAGTGCTCCAGATGCCCTATAAATGATTTGTATTACTGTATTACTGTGTACTACCCTACATATGTAGGTATGTATTGTACCTACCTAGTAGGTAGTTAGGTATGTAAGCTGTAGTTACTAGTTAATATCCATGTAACATCTAAAAAGCATGTAATGTGGGGTATATATAACCAGATCCGCCGCTGTATTCCAACAGGAAGGTTTACCGTGGTCCTCACCGTTTCTCACCGCAGCTGCCTTGCTTGTAACATTAAATATGATTATCAAATTTGATTATCAAACATACTAAGCTACTAGGTAATGATGTACACTTCTTGACATGTTTTTACTTCCAGTAACGACGCTCGAGCCGCGTAAACGCATCGACTCTGATGTAGCAGCCACTTTAAGCGCATATGCAGGTACCCGCACCCCCTGGTATCGGATCATTCCCATCTTCTTTCAGTCATGTTACACAACTTGACACTTAATATACACTTTCATCAAACATTCAACTGATCTCTACCTTAATCTTCCTACATAATCTACATATAACATTAAACACTGAACATTGAACATTAAACATACATACTTATACATACATCAATCATACCCAAGTAGATGTAGTCTTGCTAATATATAGGTATCATCTCATTGATGTTCCTCATACATAATACATTTCCTCATGTTTCTACATACCATACCATAATAGTACATACGTACACTCTTCATTCATTTTAATATAAGTTGCTGGAAAACATACCTTCTTATTACCTTCTTGTTACCTTCTTACTACCTTCTTACTACCTCCTTACCTAATAAATCAGATGGACGATTATCCGGATGTGCCTTCGTCAAAGGCAATGCTAGCCACGGCGTTGGCAAAAGCAAACACGGCAGTTCAACTGGATAGCACTCAATCTTACGAATTCGCACGAAAATACTACGAAGAGAGTTGCGGGCTTCTCTCAAAACTCATCAACAGAGTCCCCAAAAAGGAGGACAGAGATAAACTAATAACCATTGTGAGTTGATACATGTGTAGATGTCACAATGATGAAACACGTAACGACCACAACACTAACGCTCATGCTATAGCGTCAAACATATCTTAATCGAATAGAACAGCTAAAAGCGCGTTGCATATCAAGGGGGTCGTCGTAATCAGGGAAAACGGGCATTGCATTTTTGGCGTCAAGGAGCATTCAGGGCTGTTTATATAAGCATCAAGCGAGTAGGATATACCACCGTCATGTCTAGGTTAATGGCATCAGGCATCGAAAGTCCAGGGTTGAGTAGCAAGGGCTATCTCATAAGCATGTGGGATTTGTACAGTTGTGTTACATCGCATATATAGGATATCGCTATCGAACCTATTTTCATTTGGTAACTTCTGCGACTGGCTCTTCGGCGGTGACTTCGTCCAGATCGATTTTCTCAGCTTCTTCCTCTTCATTTCCGAAGCTGGTGTAAGCCTGGCTCTGCTCCACTTGGATAGAGTCGATCTGTTTGCGGGCCCATTTCTTCCATTTCTCGTACTGCACGTCTTCGAGGTCCATACCAACTTGTAAGAAGGACTTGCCAAAATAAGCGCCCGTCATTTGAGCCTCTTCCTTGGCTATCCTCCGCTCGATCTCCTCCTCCTGTCGTAGCGCATAGAACTCTCGTCGTACTGCGTCATATGCCTTTTCTTTCGTCATGCCCGGCACATTGTGCATCACCCATAACTGACGTTGAACGACACTAAAATGAAGTATATGGTTAATGTATATCTTCAACTGAATTCACGCACTTGGCTCCATGAATAGGTAGGCACTTACGACTCGCCGCATAGCGGCATGCCTGGCTGTATCAAACCCTTGGACCAGTCATATCTTTGCAAATCTTTTCCATCCATCTCAATAATCATGCGCGGCCTCGCCAGTTCCCAAGGGTGGTCCTGATAGAATGTGCTCCGCAGCTCGTCTTCTTCATATACCAACTCTTGCGGCTGGAACAATCTGCTCGGCCTCCTCGTCTTCGGATTGGGGGTTTTGTGTTGAGGGGGTATCGGTCTTACGAGTGTCTCGGAGGGCGGTATCGACTCGACCACTTTGTACCATACTGGTTGCTGGACCTTGACATTCGGGAAGATGCGATGGTTCATTAACGTCGTTACTGTCTGATACACCCTGCCGGGGATGACCTGTCGTTGACCACCCATAGTGCTGCGCACTTGGGACTGTACGTCCTGAACCACGTACAAGCAGCAAAACTTGGCGAAATTGGCTTTGCGTTGGGGATTCGCAGAAGTCGCAATGAAGTGAAGCTTGGGGCTTTACTAGCATGCAAGTTTTGAATCTGAGAAAATCAATTGGCAATTCAAATGTTGCTTGGTCTTAAGTTCAAAGGGGATAATATGGGCCGTCCCTGAATATGGGCCGTGGGGCTGGCCCTTACTGCTTTAAGTAAGGCTCTTACTACTTTAAGTAAGAAGCGGTACATTCTGGGAAGCGAAACGAGCTTTTTTAGTTAATGTGATTGGTTGAAATAGCTTCGCAGTCAACCAATGAAATCAAGGAGCTAGCACAACTTAGGTTTAGCTCAGTTCTAATTCTCAATTTGGATCAAAACGTCCCTAAGGTCCGAGCTTTGGCAGACTCTTTGAAGGGCCATGTGTGAAACAGTAATATTAATACTGTGCCAGACTGTATAAATCAGCCAATTAAATAAGTTCAAAATTACAATAATTATTATGTAATAAAATGCTCGCATCACGTGACACTCAAGATTTATACAGGTTTCATAATATTGCATAATTACGTACCTAATCTTGGTGCGCTAAGCGCCGCTAGTCCGGAGCCTTTAGTACACACCAATTTTCAACCTGGTGCGATTAATTCAATTTAAGGTCAAATCTCTATTTAAAAATACAGATCAATAGCCCTTAATTAGAGCTTTTGAATTTGCCAGGTTGCACGACTTCAACGTTATTATTGCAGAAGTTGTTTGATACTTAAACTGGTAGCGGTACCGCGTACGGACCCATAGAGCCATATGCATCTAATGTTTTTGTACTCTTAAAGTAATCATCCAATTGAAATTATCCGATAAAAATCATCTTAGTAAGCCGATAAGAATAAGCCCTTTCATTGGCTAAAAGATAAAATGGAAAATATCAAAAAATACATAGAATTTATGTGGCCTTCTTAAATTTTATTGGCCAACTTGGCCCCACGGCCCATATTCAGGGACGGCCCATATTATCCCCTTTGAACTTAGTGCTCAGGCGCTATAGTACATACATGGTAGTGGGGTCCTCAATAGGCTGGGGCAACTGATTATTCCGGTACCGACGTCACTAAAGGTACTTGCTCGACAGGTATTTTGACATGAATATTTTGTACCTCAAGGCCCTTGTAGCGTAGTAAAAGCTTAGTGGGGTATGCTATAAAGTACTTTTTAGAATACTTGAGTAGCAAGTTCTTGTAGAGCATTGAAGCTTCAATGTTGATAAAGATCCCTGCACTTTTTTTTTGAATTTTATTTTTACCAATCGCTTTTTTTCTCGAAATGCTTTAGAGTATCCGGCGACCCTTGTCCATTCAATTACCTCTTAAAAACTTCAAATTGCTGGACTTCATAATACCCCCACCACGTCTTCGTCATACTTTAATCGTCAAGCCCATAGAGAAGCTGTGATGACCAGACCAACATGCGGGACAGCTCATGAGAATCCTTACTCGAATTGACGGGTCGATTTCCGGCGCAACTCTCTCCTTTCGACTCTTGCCAGGCTTGAGTTCCACACCCTCGCCATATGGTTCAATAATACGCCATGAAGATAAGGATGACCTTGGCCATGGCTTGCTCGTTCCCATCAACCGCTGTTGTACATTGGCGCCCCAGAAAAGGCATGGGGCTTCATACTCTTTCATACAGAGAAGATATTACAACACCACGGTAGTAACATGCCGGCGCTTCATGTCCAGCTACTTTTGCTCAAATATGTACCCTAGTCGCAAATGGAATCATACGGCCGCAAGTACTGCTGAACCCATTGAACCCGCTGAACCCACTGAACCTGCTGAACCTGTCTCGTCATCCCAAGAGCGTCGATCAAAGCATGAGCTCCTCGATCTGGTTGACCAATATGATGATACCCCGGTAGAGGAGCACCTTACGTTCCTGAAAGACCCTTACCTGCGAAGATATGCCCCCGCCGATGGCCCTAATCTTGAGGTATCGGATAGAGAGGAAGATGAGAACCTTCAGTCTGTCGACCCTAGGCAAAGATTGGATCCCGAATTATCGGAGACAGTCCGAAGGTTGCGAGAAGCTGTGTCTATTAAGCTCAGGCGTCCTCCAAAAATGGAGCTGGACGAAATATATGAGCTGTATCTATTACTTCCCGAGCCTCGGATGACATATATATCAGCTTTTTTAAGACACCAACTGCTCGCTGTGCTAGGCATGACGGAACGAAAGGATCCAAAGTCAATGCTACGGTATTTTGCTGTAGTGACGGACGTGAAGAACAGCGGGTTTCCCCTGACTTTGATTGAATGGAATACCGCATTATCCTTCGCCAGTCGATATGTTGGCAGATCAACCGAGGTGGAACTCGAGGCAGCGCTTCACCTGTGGCGTGAAATGGAACACGTCGCCGGCATCCGAGCATCCGAAGTTACCTTCAACATCCTCTTCGACGTTGCATCGAAGGCTAGAAAACTAGACCTCGCCGAGATGATCTACCAGGAGATGATCACCCGTGGCTTCTCATTCAATCGGTATCACCACGTTAGTCTAATCCACTTCTTTGGACTTAGGCAAGACACCAGCGGACTGAGGGCTGCCTATAGGGAGATGGTAAACGCGGGCGAAGTAATTGACTCTACTGTGCTTAATTGCGTTATATCTGGTCTCCTATTATCCGGAGAGGAAGACTCCGCTTTGAGAGTTTACCAAAAAATGACGAATTCGAATCGGGAGTTAGAGCATATACCGGATCGTGACTATACGATGCAGAAAAATATAACCAAGGTGCTCATGATGTTTGCAAGAATCGGGAAAACGCACCCTGATATGCGCCCAAATTTTCAGAAAACTGCGTTGATATCTCCGGACTTGCAGACGTATCGCCTCCTCATCAACCACTTCGGATGCAGACTAGGTAGTTTGCCAAGGGTCGTACAATTTCTTGACGAGATGAAGATGTTCAACGTCCCAGTCCACGGTGCCATCTTTCTTGCCATGTTCAAGGGATTCGGCAAGCATGGGGGGCCCGGATCGGACTGGTCATCGGAAAGATTGTTCAGCGTATGGAATGCTTTCCTAAGCGCACTGGATGCTGACTCAGAAGGATTGCATATCAACACGTGGATGGCAATGGCTATCCTCACGGCCTTTTCCCGATTCTCATCCAAAGATCATATCCTTGATATATATGAGACGCTGAGATCCAAGTGGGACCTAGACGCAACGAACTCACAATTCATGATAGATTTTTTGAAACGACTCACGCAGCAGGGTGGCTACCGCCCTCGACATATGGGTGTAATTTTATGATAGGGGAAACTTGGATCTGGCGAGATAGATATACATCAGCAGCTGGGTAGGGTGCCATCCATGGATGGTTGAATGATACCAACTTTGTATGAAAAGTTAAAAGAGGCATATTTATAATAATATGATGAGACTATGCTACTCAAAATGAACCCGATAAAGACCGATAATCATGCTATGAACGTCCCTAATGTGAGAACTCGAACTGATTTGCTCAAATATTAGGCTTAGGCTTCGAGATGGCGCAAGTTGGGCTTAGTCACTTGCCTCTACAATCATTCATTCGAGGGTTAGCCTTTTCCATATTGTAGTGTGAGTAAGACTAGTTCAACACTACTATGACGACAAGCATTGAATCGATTGTTAAAAACAAATGTAATTGTACTTTGGCGACGGTCTCAATGTGTACTGCCAACTATATGTACAAGTTGCATCGTGCTCTTCGTCACCCACAGCATAGCTGGAAATATGCAACCTCAGGGTGTTTCCTAGCCTATCTCGCCCAAGCCCAAACTATAATTTGGTTACTTAAGCCTTGGGCTTCTTGATTTGCCAGACTATATATATGTAAAAGTAGGTTAGTGGCTGGTACCATACACTCTATGATGTCTCGTCTGATTCATATATGAGAAAAGAAAAGGTTCGGGGAAATAACGCACCGCAAATGCCGAAGGGGGCAAAGAAGCCAGTGGCCATGTAGGCCCAGTATCGGAAAGCGAAGAACCGGGTCTTGGTGTTGAAGGGCAAGTTAGAGCGAGGACCCTCGGGGTAGTGGTAAGGCGACGATAGACGAGCGCGGGTTGCGTGGAATGCACGGCTGCTGATGAGAGAGGTGATGCGCGGGCTGGCGCGGGCAATAGGTTCGGCGAACATCTGATTTGTGTTGATTAGCTTCTTTGAGATTTTTATATCAGTGAACTGGTATTTCATACCTTGATGATTATGATTGCGCCAATTCAAGGAGAGGAGATGTCTGAAGCTTTAGATGTTTTAAAACTTGAAATGGATCGAACGATGATAAGTTCCTCCTCGGTACTAAACTAACTATGTATAATTCGTTCGGATGTTCTTCGGTTGACGTGACTACCCCAAAATATTTGAAGCATAGTGGATCACGATTGCCGGGTCTTAACTAAGTTTTCACCGCCTGCCTTTTACTTTAGTCTGCCCCACACCTTCGGTTTTTCTGCCATTCAAGACCCAGTTCTTTTCTTCTCCCTCGAGTTAAAAAAAAAAGAAGTTGTCGTTTTAACATCTACAATTTGCTGCATCTTAGCATTTATCAACTCTTACTTAATCCATCGCCCTTCGGCGTTTTAAACATAATTCTAGGGCGACTGGCTCATTTGAACTGAAAGCATATTCTTTCTGTCAATCAACTTGCGACGACAAATTACACCATCGTCGAGAGACACAGACCATCAACAAAGACAGCCATGGATGACGATCTTTTCAATGTATTCGACGACCAGCCGGCCAGCAGGGTCAGGTCAGAGCCCCAAATCTCACCTTCAGCTAAAGCACCCAAATCCAAGAAGAAGAGTAAGAAGAGAAAGGCGGACGGTGGCATGAAGAATGGATCTACTACAGCCGTATCAGCACCATCCGCACCAGATGTTGACATGGCCGATGCTCAGCCTACGTCAGCAGAAGAGGACAATGTCGCAGGGACCGTGTCCGAGAACCAGGGAGACAGCAAGCGAAGACGAAAGGATGGGGCGGAGCCTGTACTGACGGATACGTTCGAAACTGCCGAGTCCCGAGAAGTAGCAGCAGCAGATGGATTCGCTGCTACCGATGAGGCGTCGCTAGTCTTGTCGCACAATATTCAACATCAAGTTGCACTCCCCCCCGATCTCGATTATGAATACGTCCCACTATCGGAGCACAAACCGCCGGAGAACCCTGCCCGTACCTGGCCATTCACACTCGATCCCTTCCAGCGTCTTTCGATCTCCTCTATTGAACGAGATGAGAGTGTCTTAGTGTCGGCGCATACGAGTGCTGGAAAGACTGTCGTGGCCGAGTATGCCATTGCACATTGTCTCAAGCAGAACCAGCGGGTCATCTACACCAGTCCAATCAAGGCGTTGAGCAACCAGAAGTACCGAGAATTCAATGAAGCCTTTGGTGACGTTGGTCTTATGACGGGTGATGTGACCATCAACCCTACAGCTAGTTGCCTTGTCATGACCACCGAAATCTTGCGATCCATGTTGTACCGAGGATCCGAGATCATGCGAGAAGTTGCTTGGGTCGTTTTCGACGAGATCCATTACATGCGCGATAAATCACGTGGTGTAGTGTGGGAGGAAACGATCATTCTGCTACCGGACAAGGTCCGATATGTCTTCTTATCTGCCACGATTCCCAATGCCTTCCAATTTGCTGAATGGATTGCCAAAATACATCGACAGGCCTGTCACGTTGTATATACTGACTTTAGACCAACGCCCCTCCAAAATTACTTCTTCCCAGCCGGTGGATCAGGAATATTCTTGGTCGTGGACGAGAAGGGTGTCTTCCGAGAGAACAACTTCAATAAGACTATGCAAATGGTTGAGGAGCGCAAGGCATCCGATTCTAAAGATGTCGATCCCCGAACAAAAGGCAAAGGCAAAAATAAGAAGACGTTTAAGGGCAACAACAGTGATAATCAAGCCGATATCCAGAAGATCGTTAAGATGATTATGAACAAGAATTTCAACCCTGTTATTGTCTTTAACTTCAGCAAGAGCGATTGCGAGGTCCTGGCATTGGCAACATCCAAGTTCGCTTTCAACGACGACAGCGAGAAAGGTATGGTACGAAAGGTTTTCACGAGTGCCATCGAGTCGCTATCAGAAGAAGATCGCGAACTACCACAAATCCAAAACATCCTCCCACTTTTGGAGAAGGGAATAGGTGTCCATCATGCCGGTCTTCTACCTATCCTGAAGGAAACGATCGAGATTCTATTCCAGGAAGGTCTAATAAAGGTTCTTTTCGCTACCGAAACCTTCTCTATCGGGTTGAATATGCCGGCCAAGACTGTGGTCTTTACTAAAGTTTCCAAGTTCGATGGTCGATCTGTACGGCCTTTGACTCCGTCTGAATACATTCAGATGTCTGGACGTGCGGGTCGTAGAGGTCTCGATGAACGTGGTATCGTCATCATGATGGTTGACGATGCGATGGAACCAGATACGGCCAAGAACATCGTAATTGGTCAACAAGATCGCCTGAATTCTGCTTTCTACCTAGGTTATAACATGGTTTTGAATCTACTCAGAATCGATGCTATCAACCCAGAGTTCATGCTGGAGAACTGCTTCTTCCAGTTCCAGAACACCGCTAGTGTCGCAGGTCTAGAAAATCAGTTGGTGAAGCTACAAAAAACGCGAGACGAGATGGTGATCCCAGACGAGGCAACCATCAAGGACTACTATGGTCTACGACAACAGATTTCGCAGTACACCAAGGATATGCTGGCTGTCATTCAGCACCCAAATTACTGTCTCGAATACCTACAACCAGGTAGACTCGTGCACATAGCCCACCCAAAGACAGGCAAGGACTTTGGCTGGGGTGTCGTCGTCAATGTCATGAAGCGCAAGGAGCCTAAGTTTGGTGAGAAGGACTACCCACCACAAGAATCATACTTAATGGATGTCTTCCTTCGTCTTGACCCAACCTGCGATCCGTATGGCCCTTCCAATCCTTCGACGGAGATGCCAGAAGGGGCTCGGGCGAGTGATCCCAACCAAGACAGCATCTTTGAAGCCATACCTTGCATGCTCACTTGTATCAAAGCTTTGAGCCAGATTCGGGTATTCATGCCCAAAGACGTGAGCAGCAGGGAGGATATTGAGTCTGTTCGCAAGCAAGTCCTCAAGTCGCTTAAGGAGGTGGAGCACCGCTTCCCTGATGGGATGCCAATCTTGGATCCTATTGAGAACATGCATATCACAGACGACTCATTCAAGAGACTTCTCCGCAAAATTGAAGTCCTTGAGTCACGACTGTTAGCCAACCCACTCCATGGCTCGCCCATGCTACCAGGCCTATGGGAACAGTACTCGGCAAAGATTGCCCGTAACGAGGAGATCAAATCTCTTAAGAAGGAGATCGCTCAGGCCCACTCTATTGCTCAACTTGACGAGCTGAAATCGAGGAAACGAGTTCTTCGTCGTCTCGGCTTCATCAACGAGTCCGAAGTTGTGCAAATGAAAGCCCGTGTGGCCTGCGAGATATCCTCGACGGATGGCCACGAGTTGCTTCTTTCTGAGCTTCTCTTCAACCGATTCTTTAACGAACTATCCCCTGAATTATGCGCCGCTATTCTAAGCATTTTCGTTTTCGAAGAGAAAGTCAAAGCACAAGCCTTGCCGGAAGAGCTAGCTAAGCCATATTCGCAGGTGCAGGCACAAGCTCGAATCATTGCTAAAGTCAGCCAAGAAAGTAAACTTGAAGTGAATGAGGACGAGTACGTCCAAGGTCTAAAGTGGCAGTTAATGGAGACTGTCTATGCGTGGGCGAATGGGAAATCATTTGCTGAAGTTTGGTAAGTTTGAATTCCTGATGATGTCTATTCGGTAGACTAACGAACGCTCTAGCAAAATGACGGATGCGTACGAGGGTTCCTTGATCCGTCTATTCCGCCGACTCGAAGAATTGCTCCGCCAAATGGCGCAAGCAGGAAAGGTAATGGGCAGCGAAGAGTTGACGACCAAGTTCGAGGAGAGTCTAGCCAAGATCCGTCGTGACATCGTTGCTGCTCAGTCCCTTTACTTGTAAGACCATTCATCTAACCGTTATATCTTATTACTTGCGTTTTTGATATTATCATCGTATGGAATCTCGGTAGGTAGGTGAATGTATGGGAGATCATGCAGCATACTTAAGGTATCTAAACATGCCCGAGGTGGCTAGCAACGCCATACTTTTCGAACAGTTAGGTCCTGTGGCCAAACGAGCAGGAGTGTCGTCGAGGCCGCCCCTTACCCGGAGGCCTATCACATACGATCACGGGTCATGGAGTTTTGAGAGGGAAAATACCACACTAATTCCCCGATGAAGAAGAAGAAATAAAAACGGAGACTAATGGATCTTGAAGTTTTGTGACTCTTTGATACCCTCTCTCCTTTATTTTATATTTGGGAGATGGGTGGGAGAGTCATATCTCTTGAGGTCTTTTTCTAGCTCTCCTGCACTACCTTAGATACCTACATTTGCCGTTTGCAAGTTGTCCTAGATAGAGAATGGGGGCATCGCCGCTGTTGGCGATTGCCCGAACCTGCTCTTGCTGTTGCTGTTCCTCTGGTGCTCCCCCTTTTTGTTGTTATATAGGTGAAGTGCGTGATAAAATGTACACTGCCATTCCTCCCTCTAGCTCTAGCTATGCATATCCTCTTAGCCCCTCTGTCTCTATTCGTAATCGCTTGATAGACAAGTTCCCCGAGCAAATAGTTAAGTAGACAAAAACAAAAAAAGCAGAGGTGAAATTCAATGCTATACTTTCTGTTCCTTGCGCGCACGCTTATGATGACGCCTGGTTGAACGCCGTCCCAATGCTGTCTGTCCGTCTGTCTGTCTGTCTGTCTGTGATCTTGCCAATGTTCGCAAGTAATTACAGTACAGGCCCCTTTTTTTTCTGCTTCCACTTCTTCTGCTTCTTCTTATTCCTTCTCCTTCTTGTTCCTTCTTTAAACGACATCCCAAGAACCCGCTCCCTTTCCCCTTCCCTTTTCTCGTAGCTTTAATTCGCGTGGCCGGGGAGGGGAGATGAGGGTGGGGGTAATTAGGTACGTAGTAAGTGTAAGTGTAAGTGTAAGTGAAGCAAACGAGGCTCTTTTCTTCCTCTCTCTTCACTTCTCCCCCGAAATCCCCCTGATAATCCCAATCAGCACGCTGAACCACACGCCCACGCCAACCATGAACCGCCACCGCCCGCTCGCCATCCCCTCCTCGCGGATGAGCCAGCCGGCGCTGCCGAGGGGCCAGACGAAGCCGGTGATGACGCCGCGGATCATGACGTCGACGAGGGCGACTAGGCCGACGTCGTCGCTGTCCGTGCCGTTGCCACCTCCGCTGTTGAGAGCGCTGGTGTTGGGGTTGGGGTTGGTGGGGTTGCTGTTGTTGTCGTCGATCCACCCGTCCTCCATGCGCCGGAAGCTGTCGGGCGAGGGCAGCGTGTCGGGCGTGTACCGCGGCGCGTGGATGCTCCGGAATTGTAGGCGTAGCTGGTTTACCTCGGCGGGGGTGAAGCCGGCGGAGAGGAGGCGGTCGAAGCCCCGCGGCGTGGCGGAGGTGCTGGGGGTGTTGGGGGGCAGCGGGGAGGGCAGGAGGGGCGAGGTTGCTTCGCCGCCTACTTGGGATCCGGTGGTGGTGGTGGTGGTGGATGTGGCGAGGGGAGGGGGCAGGGAGGCGGCGGTGGCTTCGGCGTCGAGCTCGGACGAGGTCAGGCTGTCGCCGATGGAGCAGTTCACGTAGATGCGTAGGGATGGGTCCGGGCGGCCTGGGATGGATTTGCCTTTTCCGCTGCTGTTGCTTTCATGAGCGCCGTCGCCCTTAGGTTGTGCTCCGCCTTTCGAAGCGGCGTTACTGTAGATGTACCCTGCATTGCTGTCACGGGCGGAGGGCGGCGGGGGAGGAGGCGGGCGTAGGACGGAGCTGAGGACGGCGGTGTCGGGGAGGATCTTGCCGCCGTGGATGAAGCGCAGGCGGCGCTGGGAGTTGGGCTCGGAGAGGCGGGCGCGGATGAGGTGTTTGAGGGAGACGACGGTGGTGGAGGAGGGCCGCGGGATGTCGAGCTCGAGGTCCGGAATGGCGGCGCTGAAGCGGATGGTTAGGAGGAGAGGAGGCGGGAGGGGCGTTGTTGGCGATGGTAGTGGTGAAAGTAATGGTGATGAAGAAGATGTGATGATGGGAGGTTTGAGGGATGATGGTGGAGAGGTGGTGGTCATCTTGTAGTAGGAGGGCTTGGTCTATGAGGCATTGCGATGATATGGATGGATCCCGAGGGTGAGTGTTGTATGCAGGGCTGAGTGTTTGCTGATTATCGATCCGTTGGATTGGGTCTGCTACTTCAATGTTCGTATGTAGGTCTACACAGTACAATACGATGTACCTAATTTACAGGGACCTAGGAGTTTGTTCAGGGGATCCATTCAACGTTCTAGGCTTGTTCAGTGGGACCAGGTACCCAGGTATTCTTAACTCCAGAGCTGTTGCAAATATTCTAGCGGACTTTAGCCGCGTCAGCTTAGGTGCTCCTTGTTAAAAATGACGTGATGGTTTAGCGGGATGCAGCTTGAGTTTCCAATGATAGAGCGCCGATTACGGAACATGCCCGCTGTGGCTTCTAAGAAGACGTTAACTTTACTTAACTTTAGTTATGTAGTACCTACCAATTCACCTATAGCTATTCACCTAATACCCTGTAAACAAACACGGCCATTTATAAAACGAAACCATAAGAAGAGGCATTAAAAGAAGAAAAAAGAAGAAGAAAAAGCTCAGGGATTCATCGATGACAAATCGTTTCCTTTAAATCGTAGACAAACTAACCTCGGTGGTGTGTCTAAGGTATATTAGATATACCTTAGATACCTACCTATATACAAAAGACCATATATGCAGTGCTTCTCCAGCTGGAACCCATCCTATCACAGATTACTCACTCCCACCAACACATCTTGCCTTATAAGACAAGCTACCCAGCCGAGATTCGCTGCTATTGGGTATCGAGGGTTTCATTCAACCATAACCATGGCCACAGCACAACCACCACTCCCGCCCAAGCTCAAGCCGGCTGCTCGAGTTGCTGGCCAGAGACAAGATGTCTGGTCCATCGTCAACGAAGCGGCCGCGGCATCGCCCAAGCAGCCCATCGTCAACATGGGTCAAGGTTTCTTCGGTTACAACCCGCCCCCCTTCATCATCAATGCTGCCAAGGCAGCTTTGGACCGGGTAGACTGTAATCAGTACAGCCCGACTAAAGGTCGACCCAGGCTAAAGAAGGCCATCGCTGATGCCTACTCCCCGTTCTGGGGCCGGACGCTCAACCCGGAGACTGAAGTCACGATCACGACTGGAGCCAATGAGGGCATGCTAAGTGCTTTTATGGCTTTCATAGAGCCTGGTGACGAGGTCATCATCTTTGAGCCATTCTTTGACCAGTGAGCATTATCCCACTCTCAGTTCTGTTTTACTCACACTGGTCCTTCTTTTTACTAATAAGCAATTAGATACATCAGCAACATTGAGATGCCTGGCGGGAAAATCGTCTATGTTCCTCTGCATCCGCCTACAGATGGGGCCACGCGGACCTCGTCGTCTTCTGAGTGGACAATTGACTTTGATGAGCTCAAGAAGGCCATCACACCCAAGACGAAGATGATTGTTCTAAACACACCACGTTGGTTTTCTCTTCCAATTCTATCTAGGTACCTAGGTAGATTCTATATGGGACGAAGTCACTAATAAACTTATAGACAACCCTGTTGGCAAGGTCTTTTCGAAAGAAGAACTTCAGCAAATAGGAGACATCTGCGTTGAGAACGAGATCATCATCCTTTCTGATGAGGTGTATGACCGTCTATACTACGTCCCATTCACTAGAATCGCTACCCTCTCGCCCGAAATCGAGAGATTAACCATAACCGTCGGCTCTGCTGGCAAGAACTTTTACGCTACGGGTTGGCGTGTAGGTATGCTATCAACCCTCTCCTATTATCACATCTGTAGCTATCGCTAATATGGAGTAGGCTGGCTCATGGGACCTGCCCACCTAATCCAATATGTCTCCGCAGCTCACACGCGCATCTGCTACTCTTCCGTATCGCCACTACAAGAGGCTTGCGCCGTTGGTATGTTTTTTTTAACATCTGACTCATCATACCCAATAAAAGCAGGCAACCAAACTAACACAAACCTCAGGTTTCGAGCAAGCCGACGCCGAAGGCTTCTGGGACGAGACGGTAAAGGACATGCAAGGCAAGATGAAGCGATTCAACGAGATATGGGTGGAGCTGGGACTTCCCTACACGGACCCCGAGGGTGGTTACTTCGTGCTGGTGAACATGGCGAAGGTCCGGCTGCCCGGCGACTACCCCTTCCCGCCCCACGTCGCCAGCCGCCCCCGCGACTTCAAGCTCGCCTGGTTCCTCATCCACGAGGTCGGCGTCGCCGCTATCCCCCCCACCGAGTTCTACACCGACCCCAACGCCCACCTCGCCGAGGACTACATTCGCTTTGCTGTCTGCAAGGAGGATGAGGTCCTCGAGACGGCGAAGGAAAGGCTGAGGGGGCTGAGGAAGTATATTGAGGGGTAGAGAAGGGTGTGTTTGCTGGCTTATTAAACCCATAGGTGGGTGCCTTGTCTAGGTAGCTGGAGATGTAAGGGGGTTATGTATGGGGAAGGAGATTAGATAGAGTCGATTTAGATTCTCACAGTGAGTACATCTAATCTAGGACGTACCTAGATGTTAAAAGTAAAATTTAACGATGGCCTAAAATACATTTCAACACTTGACTGGCCGACTGTTGATTTATATATTTCTTTAATTGCTGAAACTGTATATACCCCTAGTATATACCTACCTACTATCGTAGGTAGGGTAGAGATATCTAACTTGGTAGGTAGATACCTCTACTATGTAAGACGACTACATGGTATCGCCTCCACCCGCATATCCATCTACCACCGCTGAAATAGCAACAACGCAATTTATACATCTTTGACCATATTTCACTTTACATGTCCTTAAGAGGTCGCCAAACCACAGCGCAACTTCATAACTTGGTTGGGTAGGTAGGTAGGTAGGTAGGTATCCCAAAAACAGCGCCCATCTTTACCTACACAGGTAGGTACCTACTACGCAATCACTTGGCGATCTGCAAGGTCTTGATCTGCGAATAGTGCAGCAGCCCCTCCTTGCCGAGCTCGCCGCCGTACCCGCTGAGCTTCCAGCCGCCGAAGAAGCCGGCGTGGTGGGGGCGCTCGAACTGGTTGATCCAGACGGTGCCGGACTCGAGCTGGGCGGCGATCTTCCGCGCGCGCGCCAGGTCCGGGGTGTAGACGGAGGCGCCGAGGCCGGCGTTGTCGAGGTTGGCGCGCGCGATCACGTCGGCTTCGGAGGTCCAGGAGAGGACGGGGACGATGGGGGCTGTGGTTGCGGGTGGGCTCGTTAGTGGGTTTTCTCAAATAGGTACCTACATTGGCATTTCTTTTTTTTTTTTTTTGTTTTTTTTTTCTTTTTTGAAGAGGAGGCGGGTGGAGCTCGTGACTTACCAAACTGCTCCTCCCTCACGATCAGGGAGTCCTCGGGCGGCTTCGACACGATGGTGGGGGTGATCCAGTAGCCCTTGCCGGTGGGCTTGACGTCGCCGCCGGTGACGATCTTGTAGCCGTTCTTCTTGCAGTCCTCGACGATGCCGACGGCGCGGTCGTAGTTGACCTTGTTGGAGAGCGGGGAGAAGGCGGGGGAGTTTTCGTCGTCGTCGACGACGTACTTCTTGGACTCCTCGACGAGCATGTCGAGGAAGCGGTCGTACAGGGACTCGTGCACGTAGATGCGCTTGCTGGCGACGCAGACCTGGCCGGCGTGGAACAGGGCGCCGCTCGCGACGAGGGGGACCACCTTGGCGAGGTCGACGTCCTCGCACACGATGCACGCGTTGTTGCCGGCCAGCTCGAGGATCACCTTCTTGAGGGTCTTGGTGCAGTTCTGCAGGATCCGCTGGCCGACGGCGATGGTGCCCGTGAAGCTGATGTGGTGGATCCCCGGGTGCAGGGTCATCTGCTCGCCGAGCTCGGCGCCGCCGTTGAGGACCTGGAAGACGCCGGGCGGGAGGACGGACTGGGCGAGCTCGCAGAACTTGAGCAGGGAGTAGGGGGTGAAGGGGGAGGGCTTGATGATGACGCAGTTGCCCGTGGCCAGCGCGGAGACGACCTTGATGACGGAGAGGATCATGGGGAAGTTCCAGGGCGAGATGGCGCCGAGGATGCCGATCGGCTGGTGCGTGCTGTAGATCTGGACGGTGTCGTCTTCGTATTGGAGCTCGTCCTCCAGTGTCACGTTCCCTTTATTGTCAAATTAGCTTACTTGTTCACAATAGGAATGGGAGGATGGGGGTACTTACTGTAGTACTCAAAGTGCCACGCAGCCCTCTCGACGTCGAACTTTGACATAGTCTTGGACTTGCCGGTTTCCCTCATCTGCACCTCTGCCAATATGTCGACATTCTTCAGAATGACCTCGGCGACCTCGTGGACAGCTTTTTGCCGCTCAGCGGTGGTGCTGTTCTTCCACGTCTTGAACGCGCGCGTTGCCGCCGCGACAGCATCGTCGAGGTCTTGTGGGGTGGCAATAGGGGCATCCCAGAGCGGTTCTTCCGTACGGGGATCGATGACTTGGTGGTGGTCCTTGGAGGGACGGGGCTTCCCGTCGATTACGTTGAAGAACTTGTAGGACGAGTCCCCATTCGAGCCGTTGGTCTCGACAGAAGGCATGCTGGCCTTATATATAAGATGGGCTGGGCAAGCTGCACAAAGGTCTATAAATGTTCGATATTGAATGTCGACTTTGCTTTACGTACACACACACACACACATGTAGATACGGAGCACGGAACGAAATAGAGCTGCAGGACGAGGAAAAGTATCTATACTTGTTCTGCCACGTGGGTCTGAATGGCAAAGTTACAGAATATCAGCTTTGTAGACTGCCATCTATCCTACCCGCATAATGATATTTGCCATGATGATTACCGGTAAGGGGATGAAACGGGATGAGGGGTTAAAGGTGGTTGAATTGCCGAAATTTTTAGTCTTGGTAGGCTCTTCCGAATGAGGATATGGACCCGGGAAATCTTCCGTACGACGTCTCTTAGGATGAACTTTGATGCTGTCTTAAGTATTCTAGAAGTTACCCATGTGACATAGATTAGTCAAGGGCTAGGATTCTCCCAAGCACTTAGTGCCATCCTAAGGCTCAAGATGCATATCGGCAATGGATATACCGTCATGGACGGCTACTCCAGCGGCTACTATGTAGGACCACAGTTCCGAGCTGTATGATGCCAGGCCAGTGCGCACCTACCTAGGTTAGGTAGGTAGTCACCTGATAGAAAGGACCCTTGGCTATTACAACTGATGTAAGCCATCTAACTATTGCACATGTGATGTTATTGGTAGGTACTAGATAGTTACCTACATACCTACCCTAGGCTAGGTAGCACCTATGTAGGTACATATGTAGTTCAAGATCCAGATCTTTCTTACGTAGCATGTTTTATGTACACAGTAGTGTAGAACTGCGGCGCAACTGGGAAGACCCGCGTAGGAATCCGTGTGGAGGTGGTGGAGTAGTATATGTAGGAAGGTTAGTCAGGAGTAGGTAAGGTAAAGCCAGCCACCCATAGCTGATAGAGAATATGTTGGCTCAGCCATGACCTAGGTTGGTAACTTTGGAAGCTTTATAATACCACTTGACTGCATAGTAGTGAATATATAAATAGAGAGTGACTGGTTCATGAAGTCGAGACTGTCGAGTATGAGGGCTTGAATAGATATGTATATAATTACCTAGGGTAGGTTATTACCTACATATATGTAGGGTACTAGGTTATGTAGAATGGAGAAGGAAAAGATTTGGTTCGGAATACGGAGTCAGCCGTTTCGAAATACCTCCAGGCTCCGTAGATAAGGCTAACTAATAGTAAGAACTTATGCTAATGGTGATAAGCTACATAGAGCCTAGTGCAATAACCTTAGACCTTAGCTAAGCATCTTTAGCCACCCCGCTGCTGACCGGCTTAAGCTTAGTGCTACCATGTACCTGCCTACCTGCCTCCTAGAGGGCCTAGTAGAGGCTCTACTACAGTCAATACTACTAGTACTACTAGTACTAGATGCCCTACTATGCAGTACTAAAGTAATAATTTCACTTCTGATTCGCCCTTCTGTGTCATTTAGACTCATTCTATGACACAACTTCCCCAGGTAGTCAGGAGTCTACAGTATGTGTGGTAAGATAGGAAGTCTATCTATCTATGTCAGGGACTCCACAGAAGCTGTTTGGCCCATCGGTTTCCGGCGATTAACCAAAGAGTCAAGATAGGCAGGACGCGCATTGCCACCGTACCTACATACATACATATTTCAATCAGCTACAACTTATACAAACACTTTCTCTTCTTGACTGTTGCATTTTCCACTCTTCCTTCGCAGGTACCTTACCTACATACAACCTAATAAGGCAGCTGTTGTCTTTAAAGACCCGATCTTGAATCCATAATTGTGTCAGCGGTATTAGTCTAACCTAGTACTTACATGGGGTCTTGTCTTGTCTTGTCGATCCTATTATTTCCAAGCTAAGGGTTAAAGAAGATACGTTATATCATGGCTCCTATTGCCATCTCTCCCGAAAGGGATCAAGCATTGCCCGATGGAGGGGTAGCTTTAACCACAGTATACCATGACACTATCCGATTCTACCTTAACGGCACCCGAGTTGTACTCGACGAGATTGATCCCGAAGTAACCTTGCTGGAGTATTTAAGAGGCATTGGCCTAACTGGAACTAAGCTGTAAGTCAGTACAACGTCCAACTTGCTAGGTTAAGCAATACTAACCGAATACTCCCACAGTGGTTGCGGAGAAGGCGGGTGCGGTGCCTGTACCGTCGTGATTAGTCAATATAATCCAACCACCAAACGAATATACCATGCTAGTGTCAACGCCTGTCTAGCACCGCTCGCCAGCGTAGACGGGAAACATGTAATAACAATCGAGGGTATAGGGAATGTGAAACGACCCCATCCAGCCCAGGAACGTATAGCCAAGAGCAACGGGAGTCAATGTGGATTCTGCACTCCAGGCATTGTCATGAGTTTGTATGCTCTTTTGAGGAATAACGAAAGCCCTACCGAACATGACATAGAAGAAGCTTTCGATGGGAACCTTTGCCGATGTACTGGGTATCGCCCAATTTTGGATGCCGCTCAGACATTTACTGCCAAAAGCGCGTGTGGTAAAAGCACTGCGAACGGTGGCTCCGGCTGTTGTATGGAGAATAGCGACGGTACTAAAGGAGGTGGTTGTAAGAGCCAAAGTCTAGATGATGGACAACCCATCAAAAGATTCACACCGCCAGGCTTTATTGAGTACAAGCCAGATACTGAGCTGATATTTCCACCCTCATTAAAGAAGCACGAGTTCAAGCCTCTCTCCTTTGGAAATAAGAGAAAGAGATGGTATCGTCCCGTCACATTGGAACAACTATTAGAGGTCAAGCACGTGTATCCAAATGCGAAATTGATCGGTGGAAGCACAGAGACTCAGATCGAGATCAAATTTAAGGCTCTGCAGTATCCAATCTCGGTTTTCGTCGGGGATATTCCCGAGTTGCGGCAGTACTCCTTTAAAGACGACCATCTGGAAATCGGCGGGAATGTTGTGCTAACTGACCTTGAGAACATTTGCCAGGAAGCTATCAAGCACTATGGCGAAGCAAAAAGCCAAGTATTTCAAGCCATCTACAAACAACTCAAATACTTTGCAGGGCGGCAGATCAGAAATGTTGGCACTCCGGCCGGGAATCTGGTTACAGCCTCGCCCATCTCTGATCTGAACCCCGTATTCATGGCAGCAGACTGCGTTCTTATCGCAAAGTCCCACACGAAAGAGACCGAGATTCCTATGGCAACATTCTTCAAGGGCTATCGCAGGACAGCTTTGGAACAAGATGCCATTCTCGCGTCCATTCGTATTCCCGTAACTCAGGAAAAGGGAGAGTTTTTCAGAGCCTACAAACAAGCTAAGCGCAAAGATGACGATATTGCTATCGTTACTGCTGCATTACATGTCAAATTGGACCAAAGGGGGGTTGTTGAGCATTGTAATCTGGCCTACGGAGGTATGGCTCCATGGACTACTGCGGCGAAGAATGCTATCGAGTATCTAAAAGGCAAGCTATTTGCACATCCTGATACCCTCGAAGGTGTTATGAATGCGCTCGAATCCGACTTTGCTCTTGACTTCAGCGTACCGGGAGGCATGGCCTCATACCGAAAGTCATTGGCCCTCAGTTTCTTCTATCGGTTCTATCACGATGTGTTATCCGGCCTCAACGCCGAAAGTGAGCATGGTGATAGCCAGGCGGTTGAAGAGCTTGAAAGGGCGTTGTCATCCGGCTGGAAAGATGAGGAGGCAGCTTCGGCATACATGAACGGGCCCCTTGGAAAGGCTTCCAACCACGTAGCGGCTTTGAAGCAGACTACCGGAGAAGCTCAGTATACAGACGATATTCCACCGCTCAAAAACGAACTTCACGTAGGTCTAGTTTTATCTACCAGAGCACATGCAAAAATCAAATCGATCGATTATGAGGCAGCATTGGATATTCCCGGAGTTGTCGACTTCGTCGATAAGAATGACATCCCCAACCCCGAAGACAATAAATGGGGCGCACCAAATTTTGATGACTTGTTCTTTGCCGAAGATGAAGTTTTCACAGCTGGCCAACCGATCGCACTCATTCTCGCCACCTCGCAGGCTCGAGCCGCAGAAGGGGTACGAGCTGTAAAAATTGAATACGAAGATCTCCCTGCTATTTTTACCATGGAAGAAGCGATAGAAAAGGAGAGCTTCCACAAATTCTACCGTTACATTGAGAAAGGTGATACCAAGGAGGCCTTCCAAAACTGCGACTATACATTCACAGGTGTTTCGCGAATGGGAGGCCAAGAACACTTTTACCTCGAAACAAATGCGTGTGTGGTCATACCAAAACCCGAAGATGGCGAGATTGAGATTTTCACCAGCAGCCAAAATCCCACTGAGTCGTATGTTTCCTCTTCTATATTGACTAGGCACCCAGCCTATTTCGCATTGTTTAAACTAACATGAATTTAGCCAAGCATGTGCAGCTAAGGTTCTAGGTGTACAAGCCAACAAAGTAGTAGCCCGCGTGAAGCGTCTTGGAGGTGGTTTCGGGGGCAAGGAAACCAGATGTATCCAACTCAGCACGATTTGCGCATTAGCTGCACAGAAGACCAGACGACCAGTCAGATGTATGCTGAACCGAGACGAGGATATGGCCATGTCTGGCCAACGGCATCCTTTCCTCGCCAAGTGGAAGGTGGGTGTTAATAAAGACGGCAAGCTTCAAGCTCTCGATATGGATATTTTCAACAACGCGGGTTGGTCTTTCGATCTGAGCGCTTCCGTGTGTGAACGTGCCATGACACATAGCGACAACTGCTACAAGATCCCCAACGTCAACGTTCGTGGGCGCTTGTGCAAGACGAACACCATGTCAAATACGGCTTTTCGTGGCTTCGGTGGGCCTCAAGGCATGTTCTTTGCCGAGTGCTACATGAGCGAGGTTGCCGATCGGCTTGGGATACCAGTCGAAGAGTTCCGCGAGATCAACTTTTATAAGTATAACGAGGAAACTCATTTCAACCAACGACTCGTAGACTGGCACGTACCTTTGATGTATAAGCAAGTCCAAGAGGAATCAGACTATGCTGGCCGCCGCAAGGCCGTTGAAAAATTCAACGCAGAACACAAGTGGCGCAAACGAGGGCTGGCGTTAATTCCCACCAAATTTGGTATCTCCTTTACCGCCCTCTTTTTGAATCAGGCTGGTGCATTGGTACATGTCTATCACGATGGCTCGGTCTTGGTCGCACACGGCGGCACGGAGATGGGCCAGGGTTTGCATACCAAGATGATCACTATCGCTGCGCAAGCGCTTCAAGTGCCGATGGAGGACGTTCATATTTCGGAGACATCTACCGTGACGGTCGCAAATACTTCTCCTACTGCCGCATCAGCGTCATCCGATCTGAACGGCTACGCAGTCTGGAACGCATGCGAACAAATCAACAGCCGGCTTGCGCCATATAGAGAGAAGCTTGGGCCCATGGCTACCATGAAGGAGTTGGCCCACGCAGCGTACTTTGACCGGGTAAATCTAAGCGCCAACGGGTTCTACAAGACACCGGATATTGGTTACACGTGGGGGGAGAACACTGGACAGATGTTCTTCTACTTCACGCAGGGTGTTACAGCAACTGAGGTTGAGGTAGACTGTCTGACGGGCACTTGGACGTGTTTGCGCGCCGATATCAAGATGGATGTCGGGCAGTCGATCAACCCTTCGATTGACTACGGACAAATCGAGGGCGCATTCGTACAGGGCTTAGGGTTATTTACGATGGAAGAGAGTCTATGGCTACGGAATGGACCGATGACTGGCAATCTGTTCACCAAGGGGCCAGGTACATACAAAATCCCCGGTTTCCGCGACATTCCTCAGGTATTCAACGTGAGTCTTCTTAAGGATGTGAAATGGGAGAACCTACGCACGATCCAGCGTAGTAGAGGTGTCGGTGAACCACCCCTGTTCATGGGGAGTGCGGCATTCTTTGCCCTTCGCGATGCACTCAAGGCGGCGCGTGCGGAGTATGGGGTAAATGCCAAAGTCTTTGCTGAGGGAGGTAAAGATGATGGGCTACTAAGTCTGGAAAGCCCGGCTACGCCTGAGAGAATTCGACTCTCGTGTGTCGACCCTATTATGGAGCGTGCTAGGGTGCAACCTAAAGAGGGCGAGAAGAGCTTCTTTATTGCTATCTAAAGCCCGATGTATGGAGTTATGATCATTTGGAATTATGCATATTGGAATATGTAGAGGTTACGATGGAATGGCTATAGCATGCTAAGGAAGCATATTAAGGATATCAATAATGGCGTCAGCCCCTTTTTGATTTTACACATGTCCATACCATTATGGAAGTTGGTATATTGCCTGCCTGCCGATAGCCACCAGCCTACCTAGTGGCACCTTACACATATACATAGGTGTTTATCATCATAACTTGAAATGCAATAGTTGACTATGATGGAAGCGAATGATTATCAGCCCGAAATGTATGCAACTTAACCTAGTATCTAACCAATATTTCTATAAGTACGACCCACACTACATTCCACAGCTACAGGTTTCTATGACGTTTTGACACCGTTTCCTACATTGGGATTGCTGTTGACTAATAAGTGTTTCGATTTCTAATAATTTCTACGGGCGTGGCGTGGCGTTGGCTCAATACTACCCAAGGCTAGCTCTTAAGTGTGTACATACCTACATAATAAACCAAGCTTGGAAGTCTCTATTCATATATCTACACCAACCTCGCCATCTACTCCAAACCAACTTGAAAAAAAAACCAAAAAAAAAAAAAAAACCAAAGTGAATAAATCCAAAAAAAAAATGCCCACCATAGCCATAACAGGCGCCTCCGGCAAACTGGGCGGCGCCACCCTCGCGGGGATCCTCGCGCACCACGAGAAGCTTCTCCCCCCCCCTTCTTCCTCACATCTCCTCTCCATCATCGCCCTCACCTCCTCACGCCCGGGATCCGCTACCTGGGACCGGCTTCTTGCCACCGCCGCCACCACCAACGACAGCAATGGTAGCGATGGTGGGGAAGGCGGTGGTGATGATGACAGGAAGGTGCGCGTCGAGGTCCGCCACGCCTCCTTCGAGGACCCGGCGTCGTTCGAGGCGGCGCTGGAGGGCGTGGACCGGTTTTTCCTGGTCTCGACGCCGCACATTGCGCTGGACTTTGAGGATGATGAGGAGGAGAAGGGGGAGGGGGGGGAGGGAAAGAAAAAAGCAAGAGCAGGCCGCGAAACGCACCACCGCGTCGCTATCGACGCCGCTGTCCGCGCTGGCGTGGGGCACGTCGTTTACGCTAGCCTTGCGTACGCCTTCTCTTCCTCTTCCTCGGGCGCGGGGTCGGGGTCGGGGTCGGGGTTGGGGTCGGGGTTAGGCAGCAGCAAGGCGGCGGTGATGCGCGCGCACCTGCGCACGGAGGAGTACCTTGGCCAGCTTGAGCGCGAGGGGAAGCTGGCGCGGGTCACGATTGTGCGCGAGGGCTTGTACAGCGAGTCGTGGCCGCTGTATCTGGGGTATTTTGGTAGTGATGGGGTGGACGAGAGGGAGGAGGTGGTGGTGGCGGGGGACGGGAAGGTGTGCTGGACGGGGATTGGGGATCTGGGGGTTGCGTGCGCGGTTGTGTTGCTTGCGCCTGGAGACGAGGAGAAGGGGCGCACGTTGTTCTACCTCTCCACGAGACCGGCAGCAGCGAGGAGTCTGAAGGAGATAGCGGGGCTAGTGGGCGAGGCGAGGGGGAAAGAGGTTCGGGTTAAGATTGTGGACAAGGAGGAGTATGTGCGACACTATGTGGAGGAGAGGGGGAGGGAGAGGCCCGCGGTGAGGTGGTGGGCGAGCACGTATGAGGCGCTGGAGGATGGGGAGTGTCTTGTTGACGATCCGACGTTGGAGGCGTTGCTGGAGAGGGTGGGGGTTAGGCCTACGTCTATTGAGGAGACTGTTAGGGCGATGGTGAAGAAGCTGTAAGCAGTACACAGGTAGGAAGATGCCTATGAAGAGCTATTAAATGCGATGATTGGGATATAAGGACGAAAGGTCTAAGCTAGGCACCTATGTATTTGGGCCCCCTATGTCTTCAACAATACCAAAACATTCCACCGCCCCAACATCATCCCCCTTTCGTCCCCCCTTTTCCTCTCTCACGCTTTACTCGGATCATGCCCCCAATTCTTCAAGCTCCTCGCGCTCTTACTATCCGGATCCTGCTTCGCCTTGCCCTCCTGCGCAAGATGGCGCTTACAGTACGCGACGACGCGACGCATGTGATCGATGTCGTCCTGGTCGTACTCATCGGGGTTCTTGTCCGGGTTCTTGTTCAGGATCTCGATGATTTTGCGTCCGCTTTGTTGCTTTCTCATGTTAGCTACCTCACAAAACTTGATGTACATAGGTAGGTAGGTGGAGGTGGGTGGGTACCTACCTCTCATGCCCGATAGTTTCCCCTGAACCGTCGCTTTTACTCCAGCCCGCCGACTCGGACGCGCCCTCCTTGAGCCAGTCTTCGAGTTCGGATGCCGACATGTTGACCAGCTCATTGAACTCTCTACCATAGGACATCTAGTTAGCTTATACTCATCGGTCGAATTATAGCTCTTCACTAGTTCATTTGATGACTCGGCTTGAAGGGGGGGAGTGGCTCACCTAATAACAGTTTCCTGATCCTTCACCATTTTTGCCGAGCTTGATTTTTTGTCTGTGTATCTGAATGAACTAACCTATGTACCTAATTTTCCATCCAAATGAAAGAGGTTTGGTGTGAAGGTTTCTGCCGATGGCAGTTATATGATACTCTGAGACCATGGCGTAAAGACGGCCATATCAAAGACGTCATGACCACGCTCTCTAAACAATTACGATAAAAATAGCCGCAAATCTAACAAGAACAAGGAACAAACAGTGCTATTCTTCTCCCAGTTCGATTAATACTTAAAAACTACCGAGATTTGGGCTACTAAGCTATTGAGCTACATGGTATAGTATAGCCATCGCGTTTCGGTTGACAGACAAAAACATCAAGAATCCCACTTGAGGTTGATCTGCCTCTTTTGGAGCTCTTGTTCTAGTTCCCCTCCATCCTGATGGTAATGTGCCAACGTGAGCGCATGGGAAATCCACTTCTTGCTTAGCTCATCCTCATGAGCTCCGAAGAGGTCAACGCCGTGGTTGAAAGCGGTTGTAACAAACCATTCGAGCTCTAGAGGAGGGATGGGGTTTTGGGTCTGTATGTTCATTAACAAAAATACCCCTTTCGGTCCCTTTGAGACATAACTTACACTCGCACATTGCTTGACTAGTCTACAGATATCGTCCATAACTCTCAGAGGGTAATCAGGATCTGAAGAAAGAGTAGCCTTCAGCAAACATCGCAAGTATTTTGCCAACTTCTCGTTATCAAACTGTTCAAGTAAAAATATGTGGTTGATAATCTTGCGTAGCGTACCGTAAAGAACTATAATCCCTATTAGAAAAGGGTTCCTCATCTCGAAGCTTCTAGGGTTATACCTTGTGCGGGCACAGACTGGGCTCGAAGAATACAATCGGCCATCGCCTGAAATGTCGGCAGATTGCAGCAGGTATTAGCTTTTAATAAGATCTCCGAGAGGTCATCCTATGACTTCAGACAGATAGATCCTTCGAAATCGAAAGCGAGGAGAGTTGAGAGCTTCATTTGAAGATCATCCTTAAATACTTTGTTCAGTGTTTCTAGTCGTGAGTTTAGTTCTGTATCAAACCCATTGACATGACTGCGCATCATGAGGTAGTCCTGGAGCTGTGTCTCAATGTTGTCTTCTGATCGAGCCAAAGAAATGAGTGCCGTTGCCATTAGAAAATGGCAAAACATTGCGCGTAGTGATAGATCCTCGGAGGCTTGAAGGGGTATGTCTGGGGGGTACTGGGACATGATGGAAAGGCAACATTGAAATATGCGGACGCTTTGCCTTAGCTGCCACACATGTATATGCTTCAAGCCTAGGTTGTAAGCATTCTTGCAAAACCAGTCCAATTCGTTTATGGTGAAGAGTTTGTCTCCCTGCTGATCACGCGGGTCTCGTTGTATTGCTGTTATGGCTGAGCAACTTAGCATAACCCACAACACAATGGGTAGAGGTGTAACTCACCACCTTCAAAAGCCTGGCAAATATCATCTACCAGAAGTTGAAGATCATCACCACTTTTATCTTGTTCATTCAGAAGCGATGTCTCAAGGCGAATAATCATACGAAGCAGAGCGGGCAGATGAACAGCATCGGGGGAGCTGTACTCATATTTCTCAATGAGATATTGCAATGCTTCGACCGCGCACAGTTTGTCTTCTGCTTCTTGAGCATCTATACAACAGGCATAAAGATACGGAGAGTCCTTCGAAGAAATTTCACTGAAGTGCTTCAAGCAATCGGAGGCCATCACTCGATCTCCACTCCTCAGCGCCAATTTGTATGCCAGATACATGGTCATGGGCTCTCGTTTCGCTGATGAATCCATGGAATTGAAGATTTCCATGGCATTATCCAGGTTATTTCTTTGAAGAGCACAAACAAGTAATTTCCTGCTCTAGTAAGCCAGAATACGATCTCTATTACAACTTTTCTCAATATACATAGACATACCTGACGATCTTTGTTGCATTCACCGGGCCGGAATGACGAAGAGCTGGATGCATGGCAACACGGCACCAACTCTCAGTTAAATCTAGATCGCCTTGACTGAACGATGCGTCAACTCTCTTCCATATGAGCTAGGAAATATTAGCTCATAATGCTAAAGGGATAGAATTAGGTCGCATGGCCGACTAACTGTTTGTATAGCAAGAACAGCAGCCGAAGGCAACGGCTTTTCCAGGCTGGCTTCGACACTATCATAGGTAGATGCGAGGCTCCGTATCGTATCAAGAGTATCCCGATGCGTAGTTGCCATATGGGTGCGCAAAACGACGGCTCGTTCGACCCATGCGTGCTGCTGGGTGGGCAATACTTGTGATGTTATAAATCCATCGAGGACTGAGGAGGCGAGACTTGGACTCTTGTCTTCTAGCTTGCGGATATGATGTATCATAAGATTGAAGCTTGATTCCGAAATATCTATGCTTCTAAGCATTCGTCGGAGGATTGCAGCGTATGCGCTGCTATCAAATACTTCTGCTGGTGAGTTCACTAGGAGTTCCAGCCTAAGTAACAAGACAACTAGCTGGTCACCAAGTTCTGATTCGATGTAGCAAACATGGTTTTCGGCTCTCTGAAAGTCTTCCGCCGTGTTGTTATTTAAGTATGCGTGGACAAGGGCTTGAGATATTGCCAACCTCAACTCGATAGCCTCTCTCGACAACTGTCCTAATTCTTGTCTGTTGATGAATTCAAAGGCCCTTTCCAGCCATTTTGCTACTAGTGTGAAGTTCTTCTTCGCAGTCAAATCTTTACCAATTTCGAAGAATGAGTCGGCCAAATTCTCTGCCGATATGGGGTCTGTGGTACTTTCACAACTCTTTATCTTGTTGTAGAAATGGTCCGCTACGTCGTGGCGGCCTTCCTTCGAGGCCTTCAAAGGCTGTTAGCGACCCAATAGGTCCGGAGAGTAATGAGAATAACATGCAACTTGCCAGTACTATACGAAGTGTTAGATGCTCTAACTCCAACCTTTTGCAGGCATGCGACTCCTCGTTGGGTAGCTTCGCTTGCAGATTCTGCAACAGTCCGTTATAGTCTGCGGCCTTCTGCAGGGCCACAAGTGCAAATTTAAACTCACCGTCCACTACGCAGGCGTAAGTACTTAAGTTCCGCAATTCTGCAACCTTGGTGGAACGAGGGTTAGGTAGATATACCAATACAAGATCTGCCGGCTTTGATTGCCAATTTTCCCAGGCGAAGGAGATCTCCCGGTGTATTGTGGTCGCCCCATTGCGCGAGTGATAATATTAACAATGAGTATACCCGGGTTAGGGCGAAGAGTCTACTTCTATTTGGCGAACACTGGTCGTTATCTTGACGTTTGATTTGCACACACCAATTCCAAAGGTCAGTGCCGGCCTTATCAAGTTGTGGGTGACGGTGAGAACCGGATGACTTGAGAGAGGATGACTTGATGATCTCAATCTGATTCTCTAGTTCACTGATCAGGGCTTGGAGGGCGTGCTCATCGTCCTTGCTCGGCAGCTGTTTCTGGAGGTTATGGCAGAAGGCTTATAGAGAGAGTCAGTACGTATCCTACGTCAACAGGAAGCGAATGTGCGAACTTAGGATGGATTTTACACGCTTTTCTCGGGCAGAATGGTGCATATCAGTGGGCATATCCATATTCAGTACCGGCTATTATTTTGCCTGGAAGTTTTGTGATATGCCTGCCACAATACTAGTTACCTTCTACTATGTAAGTAGTATGAGTATACGTGTAGGTATTAGATTAGAAGAAAGGAAATGAGACGAGGTAACAGGAGGTGAGAAAAAAAACCTTGTAGTGCTTTGATGTGGTAGTCTATATCCCATCTATGGAAGGAGTCACAGAAAAATCCCAATAGCACCTTCCAAACATAGTGGATATCATTTGTCCCTTCATTGCACACCCTAGGTTAGGTACCTCCTTCTCCTCTGATTCCTTTTTATGAACTCTCCAAAGATACATCCATGGTCCTAGGTCGTTGCTCGTTGCTACGCTACGTAGTAGTAGGCCCCTTTCTAATGATAATCATTGCCGTCGTTTGACATGGCGTGGCCCTCGACCTCTAATAATTAAATATCCCTTACGATAAGTACCTATCTATCATGAGTAGGAGGAGTAAATCAAATTAGACACCGCATAGAAACTATGCTACCACTATGACCTATTGGAAACATCGGAATGTGGCCCGGTCATACTGGGCAGCTATCTACCTAGATAGATACTAGGTAGACAGAAAATACCTATGAATGTGAGGGATCATGCGGAAGGAAATTACCAACGATGAGACTGGGTCTGTACGTTTTACCATGTAGTGGTTAGCATTATCCTCCTTGGACAAACGAATGAAAGGAATTCAGGTTGCAAAGTAAAGCCACCATAGATTTGTAACTCACATCTTGTGGTCGTCCCTCCGTATCATAAATGAAAAGCAACAGTTCACGATCGGGTGGTTCGATCGGTCATCTGGATTTTTCAAGGCACACGCCGTCAGGAGAGTGTCGTGTGCCGCGTCGAATGCAATAGTTCCAAATTCTTCCCAATACCGTACGAGTGACTCTTCTGTAAGTATTTCGTGTATTGAGATTTTGCCCTACGCATTTATTCGGGTCAGTAGTTTTCTTTACTCATGGACGATGACAGAGAATTCAAAGGCACCCACGTCTCGTAATCTCTCCACGGGAACATGAATGAGTTCAGCCATCTCCTTATTACCCCTGAAGATCTCCCCGGTCCTCCTCCAGCAACAAGCTGGAACCGCCATAGCTGCGAAGACCCGGTCGTATTCGAGTAGCGTCCTCTCAAACCACATCTCTACATAGACTAGCTCTATATCTGTAAGTCCCTGCACCTTTTCTCGGAACTTCGGCCGGAAACGATCTAGTTGTCGCAGGATCTTCTGTTTCGATGAAGGAGCGATATGGCCATCCATGTAGGACGATAGGCGGGCATAACCCTTGATGTAGTTGAATGGTTTCAACAAACCGGCATCGTATTTAGCCTTCATAACCCGCTGCATACGAGCCTCGGGCGTGTCGTTGCCTGATGGATCCGCCGCCTGAAGATAAAATTCACGCGTCTTGTCCGCCGGGTTGGCGCTGGTGCTCGCCTGCTCCGTGCTAGGCGGAGGCATGGAGCCTGCCTGCATCGCGCTCGTAGCTAAAAGGTTACTGTTGCCACCCACGTAGCTAGCCATGTCGGATAGGTTGGGTTGCGACTGGTTGTTCCTATATAATAAACTGTGGTCGTCCGGCAAGGTACCAGCGTCATCGAGGAGGCTGGTGTTCAAGAAATCATTGAGCAAGTTAAACTCATGCGTGACTTCTGGGGCAAGCATATATTGAGGATGATAATGGTGCATATCGTGGAATTGATTTTGGGCGGTTAGCCAAGCTTCAGAGAAACCACCGACTACGAGATCAGCTCAGCTTTTTTCCCCAGCCAACACGGCATTCATAAGGGTTTTACAAAACCTACATTGGTTCATATTGCTGCCAGAGGCACTGGCCTGCATACTAGAGACCGTATTTGGTGACACAAGCTGTAGGGGGTTTGTCTGGCCTAGTGCACCTGCACTAAATCCTTGCTTGGTTCTCTGAGCTGCTGCTCCTCCAGTTCCTTCAAATGACGGTGGTGCCATGGCAGTGGAGCCCTGATCTATTGAATTCTGCGATATTTCAGGCTGAATTTCTGATTCGTCGTGTCCAGCCGCACCGTGGGAGCCTTTGGGCTTCTTAGAATCTGGATCCCGGGGCTCATCATGGCATAGATGGCCAATATTGCGCTTGATACATCTCGTGCATGGTCTCTCCTATTCAATAGGGGTCGGCCCCGGTCAATTTCGGCTTATGCAAACCAGGGCAATATTTCCCTAAGCCATCGACGTAAGAAGTAGGAACAGATCTTACATACGAGATCGCAAGTCATATGCTAGAGTCCCGGGAAGGTTAGTATTAGCCAAGTACTTTGTGAAGCCCAACAACACGCACGAACACGCGCACGCGCCCCCATACATATGTACATATGCATACATATACGCATACGCACGAACGAATATAAAAGAATATATAAAATATTCGGACACTTGGCCCGTGACATCAACAACCAAGCCGCCTTGTGATTATAAATAAATCAAGATAAAATAGATCAATAAATAAATAAATAAAAACGCCCGTGAACAAGGGGGAAGAGGGCACCGGCATTGGTACATATGCGTAGATACGTTATGTAGATGCGGAACCAATGGATTATAATGTCTGACAAGCTTGGTAAATGATGACTTACAGATCGACGGCAGTATACACAAGCTGTAGGAACGCGCGACCAAAATTAGCCCATGCGGCGGATGGATACGATGAGGGCGGGGATCGTGGTTGAATTTAGGAGAATTTAGGGAGAATGGTACGGCATACCATGGTTTACCTTGCGCCTCTTCTTAGGGCTCTTGCTGGTATTATCGGGGGGTGTGGTGGTAGTTGAGGTCGTAGGGGTGTTGTCCTTAGACCTGGCGTCGCTGTCGGGCCTCTTGTCCTTGGCGTGGCTGCCATCGCTTTCCATTTCTGCGTCCTACTTCAAATACTATCGGGTCTGGTGTATGTAGGAGGCTCCCATTGGGCCCTCGGGTTACGCAGTGGGCATGTAGTTCGTGGACAATCGAGTTAGGTGCCAACGGCTTTGTGCAGGACCAAGAGATGATTTGTTCAAGGCCTTTCCCGAGAAGAGGAGGCTGGCTGTGTATCAGTCGACGAGGTAATACTGGAGTCGTTGAAAGACGGAAGATCTGGGGGCGTTTCGTGATCGGCAAAGTAGAATATTTCTTGCTGGACCGAAACCTGTCGGCGTCCACGTGTAAACTGAGACCACAGCCAGGAACAGGAGGAGTTGAGACTACAATTACTGCCGTACCCAAGTAGGTATGTAATGTACCTAGTGGGTAGGTCGTGTACTAGGTAAGTACCTTTAACGGAGGATTTCAATGTCCCTCTCTTATCCAAACAAGACAAAATCCCGGTTGCGATCGCGGCAGATAAAAATAAAGCAACTTTGAAGTAGGTAGGTACTGTGTTGTACCTAGGTTAGGTAAGTATGTAAGTGTACATATGCCTAAGTATATATTGTATGGGGTTACGAAGCGGTGGGCGGTGGACGAAAAGCTTTGGAAACTCAAAGAGGAAAGGAAGGGTAGAAATAATAGATGAATAAAATGCAAAAATAAAGATGTGAAGTTCAAATGTTGGTCAGAGTTATAGATAGTATGTAGTAAGTAATTAAGTTTTAGAATCCATGGATAATAAGGTAATAGTTTGAGTTTTCTACTAATTACTAAAATCCTCCACTTTATCCTAACATCTTGTTACTACATACTTTCTTCCCGCGTCCCGCTTCCCGCTTCTCTTTCTTTTCTTTTCTTTTCTTTGATTGACCTTTTCTAATCTAATGCCTAGAAGAGGAAGGCATAAATGGCATGGCCGACGGCCTGAATGGCCTCGACTTTGATTCGGGGAATCACGCTCCAGAGCAAGGCCAACAAGACCAATGGCGATGATCAGAGGGGCCTTGGGTCCAAGTCAATCCAGTAGGATGAAGCCATGAGAGCCGAGGGTTTAAGAATTTTACTGGGGCCGGAGGGGCGCTTTCGGCATGGTGGGGTTCTAATTCCTAATTCCTCAAGGGCCGTTCATTGTATCATGGATGGTGCTTATGGTGCTTTTTAGCTCTCCATTCTCCATTCTCCATTCTCCATGTCTACCTACATATAGTAGGCACAGTATCCATCCATTCAGGTACATGTATCCATCATGGATGGATGTATGTAAGTGATTTGATCTATCTCTCGTACTTACCCCAACATTGGAACCTTAAAACGATCAGATCATACTTACATACGTACCTGCCTACTATATAGTAGTACATACATATAAGTACATGAGCAAAAATGCTGTTGGTCGATCTTGCAAGGGTTGCGAACAGCTTTTGAGTTGAGTGACGTCGTAATAAAAAAAAGAAAAGAGCAACTTGAAAGCTCCAGGGCTCAAACTGCAAAGCAACCACAAAGACGGTTGGCATTGTCACTTGACCATTTAAGCTTTTCATCCTCTTTTTTCTTCAATTCTTTACTCATTAAATTTCGGCTCAAGGAAATCATCATACCCAACCATACCAATCCCTCCCAGCCCTAATCAACCTCAAGTGACATTGCACATATGCCAAGAACCTTTTGTGCGCGACAATTCACAGAGCCAAGCCTACGTGCAACACTCACTCAGCTTGGCTCACATTGAATGCTAGTCATTGTTGGATGGTCATATATGAGTTCGAACTTACAAGTTTCATTGCCAAGTCTGCTTCCAGAGCCCTGGGTTGCTCAAATCTGCAAAGCATATGCATCTAGCACCGTCAAATTCAAATAGCCAAGCCAAGATGGGCATTGTGACAGCACTTGGACGGCTGATGGCCGTTTACATTTGCATATACTGCTTCACTGCTTCCTTAAATTGCTGCGCGGACGTGGGAGCGGGTGTACTTACATGTATATGTAAGTGTACGAAAGACGCAAGCGTAAACGCCGCCGCCTTGCAGGGTTCGATCGACTTTTGTGAGACTAGCGCAATGTGACAATCGACGCTGGGATGAACCATGCCGGTGATCAATCCTTTTGATCTTACGTACATAAGTGACCTCAGGTGCTTGCATACCTCCCCTTATGTAGCCATACATAATAGGTGCATACCAATTACCTACCTATTCAGACTTTTGAACCGTACCTAGGTAGTACAAATATATACTGTTCGCATAGGTACCTAGGTAGGTAAGAGGATGCGAGGGGGCTAGGCTGATCGAGTGTAAGAATCTAGGCGATATTCTTCTACGATTAGATTCAAAGCTTTCGAATACTAGGTGTACTTTCGTCCCTTTCGCATGCCCACTCCTCTCTATTCCACCTCCATTTTTGGCCAGAAAAATAACATATCAGCAGTATTTTACCATACCACATATGGCTGTCATCACATAAACGAATAATCTCGAGCACAATTACGAAACAAAGGTATGCGGCCAGCTGGCTCCGTTACATGACTACATAAAAGTCGTCTCCTGCTGTACCCCTGACGCTACTGTTAAGGTCGTCCTGTCAGGGCCGTCCACGAGGCTCAAGTTACACTGGATAATTACAATACGACAAAAACTACCTAGGCAGTCTATTTCCGGATCAGGTCCTGGCACGGTAGTCGATTGTCCGCTTTATCAGGGTTTTGCCAGCTTCATTTCGTGATTGCTGCCTGTGTCATACGCTTGCAATGTCCGGGGAAGCAATACTTTCCCCTGCGTTGGGCCCATCCGTGAGAAAATCAAGTCGCTACTTTGAAAATACACTTCCGAGCTCAGCATTGGCCAATCGCAACTCCGATAGATCTGGGTCATATAATTCGAGGGTCTCACGACTATTCATAGGCTTTGTGTGAGCATTTGATTCGTCGCTATTGGTGTATAGTTTCTGGGTCGTCAATGACTAATGAAAGGTCAGCATTATTCTTACCAGCGGTGAGGTCGGTGAGGAAATCTTATTCCGAATATTCATCTAGTAGCTGAACCGTTGTTGTGCTACCTAGGGGCTCAAGTCAGAACGCCAACCCGATGAGCGATCAAATACCAAGCGCCGTTCAGCTCGTTATAATATTGTACTTACGAATGATTTACATCATTGCATATTGTGTAGTTTTTTAGGGGTTCTTTCGACAGTTTATGCTTGCGTGCGTGGGGGCGACCTTCAATGTTTCCAACATCACACAGAGAACCCCCCTTGTGCTTAGGCTTTCCGCAGCAGGTTCTCGCAAAAATATGAAGCATCGTTTCTTCAGAATCAAATGCAGGATCTCGATAAGCTAACAGACTAGTTCCTATTACATATAGCCAACAGAAATTCAATATACGGGCTGCCCCTTTTACAACAGCATCGGCTACAGCGGACACAAATTTGACTAGCTTACCGAAAGCTAGGTCCATTCACGAACTTCATGCGCGCAACACGACTTTCTTCCGCATGTAGTTGTACGTGTTCGACTAGGCTAGCATATAACTATGCACAATCGCTGAAAGTGCACTATGCCCTTGGCGTACCGCATAACCCATCCTATTCGAACCGTTGTCATTCGTATCTAAGAAGCTGAATGTCGACTAGGAACCAATATAGAAGCTTTCAGATACTACATTTCGACTTACCTTCAATACTACCCAAGATTTTCTTGTCTCATTCAAACATCAACAGCGGCTCTGTCATTCGGGCCATCTAGGTCGCTGATCGCTAGTTCATACCCTCACGACAGCCCCTTTAGATCCTCACCACCATTAAGCAAGGCGGAGATTGCTCGAATCTCCTAAATTCCCCGACCAGATATCGTTCAGCTAGCCCTTGTCGCTACTAGTCCTATCGAGGTCGACGGCGGAAGTTATCGTGGTAAATATGAAAGTGATATTTACTAAGCCAAAATTCGCCAAGCACGACGATGACTGCCTACTAGGTACATACCTCATATGTAGGATTCGTTAGCTGGGGTAGAATCAGCATCACCGGAATGCTCCTAGGCACGCAATTCGTCTATATTAAGATGAAGACGAAATAGCTACATCATAAGATAAATAGTTTACCATCTAGTCTCCGAGATAACCGGAATCGCCACTGATGGCGTTTCTTCAAAGCCCGCGGGGCCGTTCTCCTCCAACCACCAACCTCTCGCCCTCTAGTACCTGCCCTAAGGAGATGTCGAACGTACAGTCGTTTAGACGGCCTCAACGATGAGCTACCATTGTACGATCAGAGGCCAGCGCGTGGCAAAAGTACCTACTCGAGTTACGACAGAACTGTTTTAATGGTGGGTGTCCTTATTTGGCCTCGACATGACACGCTAGAAGTCGACTGGACATCCTTCATCCCGTACCTACCTAGGCATGCACCCCGATCCTTCTTCCTCCACAAGCATAATATCAAAACCTTGCATCCCTACTGGCCGTCAAATTTCCACTATCATGATAGCTATGTAAGGTACACGTAACATGTGATTGGTCAACTACGGCCGGCAGACGAGTAGGATACTCAGTTAGTGCTTAGGACGAAGGCGATCTTTGAGCAACGGAACTGGCTCAGGTGACTGCTTTACGGTATCATAGTATACATCGGTGTAGATGTAGATAGATAGGTAAGGCAGACAGACAAGGAAATACCCTATTCATACCTACCCCATATCTTTCACTCGCATAAGGGGCGATAGGTAGGCGCCTACATACTATTGATATTCTAACCTAGGTCATTCAATATAGCTACCTACCCAAGTCAGCTAGCAACACGGAAAGCGAATACTACACACGAGAAGGAAGCAGAACCCACCTAGGTTAGTAAGTAAAGTACCTAATATCTACCTAGTACTGGTAGCTAGCTACCTGTCCCTTCGGGTACCTGTATGGACAAAAGGGGGCGTATTGCTCACTAGGTACTGGGTAGGTGCGTATATGCCCCTACTAGGTCGGCACAGTAGTTTAGAAGCTCAAGTTATGTACCTACGTCACCAATTTAAGCCACTTGAGGTCAGTAGAGGGGTAAGTACAAGAAAATCGCAACTAGACGTTGGTAGATGTTTAACATGTTTAATCTTGTATATTATATTCTCTCTCTCTCTCTCTCTCTCTCTCTCTTGAATATCCCACGCCCCCTATTTCCACTATTGCAAATATTTTATCTTCGGACTAAATACATAAGAGTTTAGCTTACGGTAGCTACCTACCTATGCAGGTACATAATCGTGCCACCATGTAGACACCTACAGCAAAGTCCAAACAAGCATTGCTATGCATGTAGGTTTTCTAATTCCACCCCCTTGCTTAGGTAGGTACCTATGTAGGTAGGCTTGCTTACTTAACCCTCCCCATAACCGTCTCGGGGCCCCTAACAACATCCATCTGCGCCGCCTTCGCCTTAACCGAGTTGAGCATGCTGCGCTCGAAGTCGTCGCGGGATCTCAGCACGGCCTCGACCCAGGTGATCTGGAGGTCCCAGTACTTAGTCTTGAAGGCCTGGAAGACGTCAGGGATGGCGTCCTTGGGGACGGTGAGGAGCTCGAGGAAGTTCTCGGTGACGCGCCAGGACTGGGTGATGTCGTTGCTGAGGTCTGGGTTGGGGAGGCTGCGGAAGTACTCGAAGGCGGTCGAGACGTCGTTGAAGATCTTGTCCTGGAAGGGCTCGGTGCGCCGGAACTTGGCCCCCTTGTTGCGCACGCACATGAGGTATTGTGCTAGCAGCTCGTCGGCGAAGATCTGGATGAAGACGTCGACGAGGGAGTGGTGCAGCACCTGCTGGTAGTCCCCGACGTACTCCTCGAAGGTGATGATCATCTGCTTCATGGTTGTGGTTTCGTACCATCGAGCAGTGAAGAATGTCGGCATGACAGACATGAAGTCCACTGCTATGACAAGCTTGGCGAATTTGGTGAGGCACCAAGTACTGAAATCGAGGTAGCTGTCTCGAAGTAGGTTGATTTCGTTGTCGGCACGCTCCATGTATTGCGGTGTAACCAGAGGCTCGAACTTTTGTTTGAAGTTGGTGAGGTAGGCAAAGCGGCCCTCTTCTTCGTTGTCGTCTATACAGGCAATTTGATCATTGGCAGTCGCAATAAGCCAATCTTGTAAAGCTTGGAAGCCATCCAATTCGGACTCTCTGTCAGCTTCGTACCTAGCCCCTTCTTCTTCGAGCATCTGTTGGAATGACTGCTGCCGGCCACGTAGACGGAGGAACATGGCATCGATAACACCTTCTGCCACATCGGCTCTCTGCGAGTTTCCGGCGGCGTCAACCTGTTCCCGCAGCATGCGCCACATGTCGACCAAATTCCTAGTACGGAAATAGCCATACTCATCCGTATCGAGATTCGAACCCTCCACGTTTCGGTCGGCAAAGTCACGTCTTTCTTGGGCGAAGATTCTCTCAATCCATTCGTCGAGGAATTTGATGATGAGCTGGCGAAAGTCCTTAACCAACTCTTGCTCTCTGTTGTCGATAACGTGAGGTTTCAACTCGTTTTCTTGGAAGCCAAGCTTTTTCATCTTCTTGTAGTATTTCTCTGGCCAATTGATAATCTCGAGCGTGTTTGCCGAGCTTGATTCGGGGTCATCGATCATGCCCACCAAAAAGTCGTGCATATGTTGGTGGTATATATCGCCGTAGGTCTTGAAGATCTTCCATTTCTTAGGCATCAAAGTGACCATGCCTTGCCTGACGGCATTTAGGTCGTTGAAGAACCACTTCATCATCTTTTCTAGCCCTGTGGGGTCGCCCAAGAACTCCTCTCTGACTTCGGCAAATTGTCCTTCACAATTAACAGCAATTGCTTTCAAGAACTTGTCCTTGTACCCTCTGACTTTCTTGGCACCGTCTGTGATACTCTGGAAACGTGTGGCCATTTCTTTATGATCCTTTAATGCTTCTTGCAATGCCTCGACCCTTTGGTCACTCTTCTCCTCGGCCTCTACGATGATGGCTAGGCGGACCACGAGACTGTTGTTATCGGCGATCAAAAGATTGATCATGTTGAGGGCAATGAGGCCAACATGTTCGTCAAACCAATCTATAGCATCGTCCAGCCTGGAGAAGTAATCTTCCAAAGTAGATTGTAAGCTGGGATCGTCGGCTCGTAGTATCTGTTCCATTGCATCATCTCGGATATTTCGTAATTGCGTCAGTTCGTAATGCACTCTCAGAAGATTCGGCATGGTCTCCTTATCCTCCTCGTCCTCTCTCAGCATGGTTTCGATCCTGTTCAGGCGATCATTAAACGTCTGGAGATTTTCGACCATGGCCTCTACGGCGCCAAAGTTCCTGTGTGCTTGGGATACCAGATTTATACTAGCAAAATCCTTGATCATATTTTGCGACTCGGAGCAGAGGGTGTCGATCTTCATCATCTCGTCCCTGATAGCTTGTATAGTCTTCTGACCGTCGGTGATGCCATTCATGCCAGCTTGTGTCGTCTCCAACTGGTCGCGTAGGCCTCCCCTTAGCTGGGAGTCGATAGCAGCTTTCTTGCGCGTGAATTCCAGCTTCAGCGTGGGGATTTTATCGAGGTCATCGGGATGTCGGAGTAGCTCCGAGAGCTTCACTGGGGGCGCGTCCATGGCGAAGTCGAGGTCGACGTTGAAGTCGGCGGGGCACCACTACGACCGTCGTACGGACTTTGTATTTCTAAACCATCACGTAGTAAACCCATACGTTCAAACGTCTAATTATCGATTTGCGTATGTCGTATCGCCGTTGGTATTTGTCGAGTATTGAAGAGGGTTGATCTGGGGGGGGGATTATAAGTGCAAGGCTCGCTTTAGTCGCTTCGATCGCTTTGATCTTGGAACCTTGAAGTTGAAGTGGCTTGGAAGGTACAGAATAGTACGTAACTGTAAGGTGTGAAATACATGGTACATGCATGTGTAGAATTGAAGCTAGCGAATATTCTTTTTAGTTGCATATACATGCAGATATTAGATATAGTAGATATATTATATGCTCCTAAAGAATTGCTCCACTTTAGCTACTCACTCTTGACAAAGTTATGTTATATAAGCTCACTACGGACATAAAACTTCATCGCACTAGGAAAATCCGCATTCATAGGATGTGAAAATCTCGATTGGTCTAGTGGTCAGGATACCTGCTTGTCATGTACAAGTTCGCAGGTGGCCGGGGTTCGATTCCCCGATCGAGAGCATACTTTCTTTTCTTTTTGCTTTTTTAATACTATATAACTGGACAGTATCTATACAGAGAACTCTTCAGGAGCAAGTTGGGGTGGTTACGTCCAATGTTGTCGCAAACCTTTTTTTATTCTCAGCCTTCCAAGTAGTAAACCTTACTTGCACGAGTGAAGATACTCAGAGGCTTACTAAAGCATCAACAAATCGATAGTAGATATCTAGGTTACATAGTGTATTATCGGTTTTTGCTTTTAGAACAACCTCCAACTTATGAGTCAAAGGATTCAGGGCTAGACACCACTGTTTGCTATCGTGAAACGGACGACACCTCTTGGATATTTACACATCACGATTTTTTATGTTTACTGTGTGTGATTCAGCAGGACCCCTGATGCTTGATATTTGACAGTTTATATTTCAAATATGACTAAATAATTCCATTGCTGCGAAGCAGGGCTAATCTAAGAGTTTACCTAGACAGTCGCAGCCAATTCTCACTCGATTTCTTCGCTGGAGCTATTGGATCCGGCTCTTCAATCGTGTCGTTGGTCGTTTCTTTATTAAACTGCACAGACGTCTCCGTGAAACCCACGGCACTCTCTGCCGCCGATTCGATGGTGTGCTGTACCTCCGTCGTGACCAGGATAACGCCGGTCTGGTCGCTCTTGTGCGGGAATATTTCATCCTGGCTACCGTTTTCGCTGATCTCGTCCATGCCCGCCGCCCCCGTCGCGCGGACCGTCATGCCAAACGCAGAGGGCCTAGTCTGACTCCACAACGCCTTGGACTTTTGCGACTGGATGTATTCCTTGCGTGGCCGGCTTTGCAGCTGCAAGGGTATCGATAAAGCATTCGCATAGTATGTTTTTGAGTGTTCGTTCGACGATAGACCGAGGACGCTGTTGAGGCCGGGGATCCTCGCTGCGACCTGTCTAAATGATGGGATGCATGAGCAGATGATGAGTGAGCATAACTCCACCATGGACCAGATTAAGGGGTCCGCAAGTTCATCTACTGGTATTAGTAATGCTCGACATCCAAAGAGAGGCTTCGAACTAGGCTACTCACAAGTATCGTCTGCACCTATGCCGGTAACCGATACAATGCGTATTACGGAAATCGCTGTCACCCTGTTGACACGGGTTAGCGGATAGGAGTCACACTTCGGCCTTGGACACTTACAGTAAGCCCAATGAAAGCATCGTGATAAGGCCAAGCCTTTTAAGGAGAGGTAGCTGGAGTCTCCATGTCGAAGGGATTGGTTCGACGAATAGGATAAGGTCGGTGATGAGATTAAAGGCGAACTAAACAAGAAGATGAGCATACTCCTCAACCACTAGACTGTCAAAAAGTTAAGACAGAAGACCACTCACGGTTGTATACCAAAGAGGGTGTAAGTCGAAGCATGATCCCTCCAAACGATAATTCCACGATTTTGTAACAGGATCACACTTAAACATAACAACACATGTTTCCTCAGTGGCTTGCATGAAGAGGAATACAAGCATACACTTGTTAACGACCCTGAAGCCGCCCTCGGGAAAGATCCTTAGATAAAGAACCGCGAACGATGCTTTGGCGGCTGCCACGCCCCAGCTATACGTTATTGAGGTGGCTATTTGAATCTAGAAGCGATTAAGTCAGAAAGGGACAGCTCATGAGCAGACAATACTATGGATTTCACACACGCACCTTGAGATACAAATTATAGTCCTCGTCGCCGACTTGGTCACGATGAAGTCCCAGTCCATGCTGTGTAGCTATAAGACGGTTAGTATACCAGCTATGCCAACAAGAAAACAATAGCGATGCATACCAAGCATTGCACTAGAGCATATTCCTATGGATAGTATCTGCTACTGTTAGCCGACGGTGTCTCGAGATGGCGAGAGAGTGCCGAGACCACTCATGGGGCAAGCATACCCAGCTGATTAGGATCAGAACTGTGAAAAGGAGGTAAGCAAATGTTCCCTTCCAGGTTTCTAATAGTTTTTAATAGCAGTAATGGATCAACGAACCATCGTCTACACCCAACGTCTTATGCATGCAGCGGGCTACAGCCCTCGCCAATATGCATAACCCCGTAACCACAATCAACGCCACACCAGCATTGATTACTAACTGGGCATTCGAAGCTGCCATCTATTAACCGAATCTTCAAGCTCGTCGGCGTCTTCGTCGTCTCGTCATGGGGGATAGATGTTCGATCGATCTTGGCCCATCGCAATGGTGTCTAGGGGGGAGGGAGGGAATGGATGTGGACTTGCAGGGCCAGTTATATAAAGGGAATCCACGCCAAGCTCAGATCAGATCCAATCTATTCCCTTTCCCTTTTCCTACATGGATGCCTCTAGAGTTGTTTTCCTTCCTTTTTTCATCTTAAAACTCGATCCGATATAGTCACCTTTCTTTACTACATATGTAACTATGTACCATTCCAGGTCGATACATGGGAAACTAAACAGGACGCTAGAATGATGAAATGGCCCTAGGGTTTCCCAGACGCTTGGTAACCTGACAGTCTGGGCTCAGGCTAACCCTGGACACAGTTTTACATGCCCCTTCAGCTAGAAGATGCTAGCTGAGGCGAGCAGGCAGGTTCCTTGGAGCTTCAAAATCATGACGGGTGCAGCTTGACCTACCTGGGTATCGTGTATTCCCTGGGTATAGAGAAACTAGGTAAACTCGGCTCGGGCGGGGGGGAGCAGTCTCCTTTGACACAACACCATTGTCTGGTATTGCGCTTTGATATGGGGTGGTAGGCAGTGGTCTCCCCTACGATGATGTCTCGCGTCTCCTTTTGGATCTCATTAGGGCCTTGGTACTAGCTACCTTAGGTCCACTCGGCAGTGGACTGATCTATGGAGTGATCGCCAAATTGGTTATATTCGAGACCTTTTAGTAAACTCGAACGATATAACTATGAATATTATGCAAACAGAATACTACCCAGGTCAGCCTTGTGACGTTTGTCAAGAGCACATACATATACATAAGACCTACATATGTCATATGTACATAGGTATGCAGGTACTCTATATATGTACTACCCCTGATGAGGAGAGCTGAGATAACCAAGGAAAAACGTCAATGTATCGAACGTGCTCAGACGTTTCCTGCGTACATCCTGACGGGGATGGCCAAGCTGGGATGAAACAACCCGGACCACGACGCATCTAAAAAAAACCCCGTCTTGGGCATCTATCTGATGCTGATCACTTATATCTGCTATAGTAGTACCATCCTCAGTGCCAGTACTTACATGCGTAGGTACATATTCTTCACGCAGCTCAACCTTTCCCCGAGTGTGACTATGCCATGCGCAGCATAGATAGTGCCAATACTACAACATGCACAAAATCAGTCACCTCTAGTCTTTTAAACCATCCGAGCCGGAAACCCTTCCGTCGAAGGAGCCAAAAGAGGCAAGGACAGAAGTTTAGCGACCGTCAGGGGGTGGGCCGGGGAAGCGCGTTAGTTGCTGCCGCTAGGTTGCTAACTGCTAATAGGCAAGGTACCAATGCTACCTAACCTACTATGTATTCATTGTATTGTAGAGACGGGCTGGCTAGAGCGTTCGTTGCGCGAGCGAATGGGCTAGGAAGCCAGAAGCATGCACTAAAGCAAGCAGCTGGGTAGTGGGTAGTGGGTAGAAATTACGACAGGCGCGGGAAACTTCGAGGGGCCGCTTGTTCGGATGCTTAGGACACAGCAATAGGGATCTTCGTATTGCTAGTCCTGGTCTATCGGTGCAGATGAAATTGCCTATATCTGACCTATTATGCCTACCACTTACCTAGGTAGTTAAATACCTAAGCGTCAGTATGTTCCATCAAATTTTATAGATCCTGCCTACATATATATTGTGCAAGTCGGTAGGTAGTTCGGCAGGTATTCACGTGAGCTGCTTGCTATGCGTGTTGTAGCACATCATATAACAGAGCCCCTGTACTATGTAGATCCCTCTTCATCTTCCACCAGTTATCGTCCTCATACCTAGTATACCTAGCTGGTATGTAAGACATGTAGGAGTCGTCGGCAATTATTTGATTACAAGATCAGCGCAAAGATGGCAACCAGGCGGTGGTTAGTGTATTGTGTCGAATCTAGATCAGGTATCTTGGTAAGATTGATCACCCCTACGCTATACTGACCATGGCGATAACTCAAGTTGTTTAGATACCCAATCTACATAGTAGGTAGGTTTGGATGGAGTCAGGCATCAAGATCGTCCTGTTTTATAACAGCTCCCTCTGTTCGGCCGATACATAGTGCTATCCCTACCACTACTACCAGCAACCTTTTGCTAGCACGAAAAAAATCGTACATATTCTTATTCGGGTTCTTCCCAGAGCCGAGAACAATACTACTACTACTACTAGTCTACTACATATTAGCACCCTAGGTACCGAGGTAACTGTCACCCTACCTGCTTAGCAGGTAAACTAATACTAGACAAGCTCCAGCCGGCAAACGGTTCCGCGCATTTCTCGCGTTGCCTTTTGAGGCGTTAGCGCTGCTGGTTCCTGGTTTAACCAAGCAAGAAAAAAACCTCCTAAGGAGAGGAAAAAATCTGGTTCATCGATCAGCCATGAACCAGGACGGAGCAAGAAGCGGTTCAACACACACAAATTAGGAAAAGAAAAATCGTTCCATAATCTACAGAAGCAAGCTATTGTATGTTCGTTTTTCCGGGGTAAACAGGCATCCACTTAGATGCTTGATAGTGGGAGGTATTATTGATAATCCTAATATTTTTGTGGCTTCTCCATGTAACTGTGGTAGTATGTAAGTCAGGTGGTGGCAGGTCTAGATCGCTGCAACTTACCAATACGTGACTACCGACATACTTGCGTCAGGCAGGCCAGACATACATATCTCCCCAGGCTCAACAACTTTGGTTATGGCTAGAAGCTGCCTAGTCTGCATGCAGTGCGTATGCAGAGGATAAAGAAATGGTCACAATAGATAACTTATCAACATCGAATCATATAGGCTTGCAACTTTTCAAGATTTCTAACCGTGAGGTGAACTTTTTTCTGTCCTCGTCATTAAAGTGTCTAAGGAGGTGTACACAGACACTGCTACCTACAGATCGTGAGACGTACAATCATAACCACTGACCACCTCTCTCTCTCTCTCTCTCTCTCTCTCCCTTTCTTTTTACCTACTCCCCTTTCCTCCCTAATCAGCATCAAGCCTCGCCACCGGCGGCGTATCGTCGACCTGGATACCCCCCCTCTTCTTCTCCCCGGAGTCCCAGAACGGCAGCCTCCAGCCGCCCTCGTCCTCGGGCACCGACAGCCACAGGCGCATGAGGTGGCGCCTCGGCTTGCCGCTGTCGGGGCCGAAGTCGCGGTACGCGGTGCGCGCGTGCAGGGTGTGCGAGTTGGAGACGAACTGGATGTCGCCGACGGCGAGGACCATGTGCAGCTTGACGCGCTCGCACGTCGCCTCGAGCACGGCCGTCGCCTCCTCCTGCGCGGGCGACAGCGGCGGGATCAGCCCCGCGTCCGAGAACCGCTTCAGGCTGCGCACGTAGTACGGGTCCCACTTGCAGTACACGCGCTGCGGCGCCGCCTCGCCGGCCGGGTCCGGCGTCTCGAGGTAGAAGACGGCGGTGCGGATGTACGGCTCCTCGCCCTGCGACACCTCGCCCTTGCGGTCGAAGTACCACACCGGCTGGGTCAGCAGCTCGGCGACGTCGGGGCGCTCGGCCTGCAGGATGTTCCAGACGTGGTGGATGGAGGAGACGTCGGACTCGCCGCCGAACTCGGCCTTCGCGATGCACAGGAGGCCGACGATGTCGCAGTCGTCCGCGTGGAAGAACTGCCGCGCGTTCGTCCGGTAGATGCGCACCTTGTCGATCTGCGTGCTGTCCTCGCCCAGGTCCTGCACGTGGCCCAGGATGTGGCCCCGCCCGTTCTGCGATACCGGGTAGCCCAGGTACGCGCCTAGTCCCATGTACGCGACGGCGGACTTGTGCGTGCCCCACTCGTCCACGGGGAAGCCTTTGTACAGGAGGAACCCCTTGCCGTTCAGCAGCTCCCGCCGCATGGTGATCAGCGACGGCTCCAGGCCGGGTAGCCGGAAGTTGTCCTTGCTGATGCCGGTCAGGGGTAGGCCGGAGGCGATGAAGGTGTCGGCGGTCTGGGATATCTCCTCCAGCTCACTCTCGGAGAAGGGGTGCACCCATCTCTCGGGGTTGTTGGCGTAGTCCTCTGCCTTCCATACTGTAGGTCCCTCGATGTGCTTGGGGAATGCACTGTAAGGGTACAGCTGGTCATATAATGGTGGGTGTTGGCCTAGTAGCTGACATGAGTACTTGGACGCTTATGGTTTATGGTAGGTAAGTCAAGGATTAAGTACTAACCTGTGGTCTTTAGGCCATCTGGGAAGATGGAACGGTCGGCCTTTTTGGCCTGGGCCTTCAAGCCCTGAATTATATCTACCGGGCTCTCGGTATCAATAGCTGGAGCCATGGCTACTGTCTAGGTCTCTAAGGAGGTAGGTGGTTTTCTTCTTTGTGTGACGTAACAAGTCTATTTATATCCAAGTATTCTTTAAGGGAAAAGAGAGCGATATCAAGTGGTTCAAGTTGGAGGGGAAGGGAGGGGCAGGATGGAAGGGGTGGGAAGGAATATGGAAGAGATAAGGTATAAGTCGGCTTAAAGCGCGTAAGTCAGCTACTCTTAAATACTACGGAAATCTCCATTATCTGCAAGATGGGCGATTAATGACACCATGTCTGGAGTCCCTTTATCCCGAACGGGGATATAAGGAGAGGCTTAAGATTGAGTTATGGATCAGTACTGTAACCCTTTTCGCTCTCCCCCTTATCTTTTTCCCCTCTGCTCTCTACCTATAGCGGAGCTTAGATGTGCCATGCCTAGCACGCAATCCGGCAGGCAGGTTACACCACCACGTATCATTTGTATGTACATTTATCGTCGAACGGTAGGTACTAAAGCATTGATGCTATTGTATGATAGATACTCTATGCCGTTGTTTTGTGATTGGTCTTTATTTTCGTTGCTGTTACCTTCGTACAGTCGTTATAACTGTCCCCCAATATCAAAATATCTACACGCATGTCGTCGGCCTTGGCAAAACAATGAATGGGAGTTCCAATACGATTCCGGAGAGACCCGAAAATACGTAGGTAGAATAGGTATCTCGAATGTGAGAAGTCCCTGAATGGCTCGATTATGTTTCGGTTTCGTGGTGATGATGTATTTTTGCTGGCACGCCATAATGGACCAAAATCACAAAAGCGCATTAGTACAGGATCTAGGTAAGGATAAAGCGTCGATGAAGTCCCGACGACATCGGAGCCAAGGAGAAACGTCGATCGGATCAAACCAGTGACTTGTGCTTAGATAATAAAATAAGATGTCCTTTAAGAGAATTCGTATCATCTGTTGCAGTTACGGTAGTTGTTGATATTGACACTTTACAGTACCTATTCATTTACCTACTCCAACTCCAGCTCCAATTCTCGTCATTCCTTAAGTCGATAACAACTTCGCAGATAGGTAGCCATCAATGTAAGTTACGTAAGTCGTATCATACCAAATCTCAAGCTGTATTGCTTGATATCAAAAAACCCTCGTTTGCGTATCATCCATCCATCTAGAAGAAGAAAAAAAGGGGGTATCTCAATCTCGCCCATCTAGAAAATCAATCAACTACTGTATATAGACTCCAACCACTTCCCTTCCCCTTCCCTTTTTCCTTTTCCGTTTCCAGAATAATCTTCCACCTCTCCTTCCCCACCCCCATCATCACGAGAAAAAAACAAGCCCTACCGACTAGACGCCTCCTTCTTAAAAAACGTCGTCTGCGACCCCCAAAACGGATTCGGCTGGAAGTCCGCCTGCGGCCCTATCCCCATCGCACTCCCCCCTCTAAGCTCCTGCCCCCTCTTCGCCCCCAGCAGCGCGCCATCATCACCGCCACTATCCTCACCTTCGTAGTACTCCTGCGGGACGGGAGGCGCGCACTTGATATCGCCCCTCAGGATCTCGACCACAGACACCAGCGGGAGCAGCAGCATGCCGACCGACAGCAGCTGGCCAAAGCTCCACAGCTGCTCGCCCGGATCAAGCAGCGTGATGGGCGGCTGCGCAAAGGCGTCAGCGAGGTACGCGACGCGGACAGTGGCGCCGACGGCCGACGCCGTCATGAGCAGCAGGCCCGCGGCCTGGAAGGCGGCGTAGAAGCGGGGCAGGCGGCGCGCGTGGAGGTACCACGTCGCGAACAAGAACACCACGACGTTCCCGGCGATGACCGCGATGGTGCCCGCGAACGAGACCCCCGAGTTGCTCGACGCGTGCCCGGCCCCGGCGGCGTCGGCGCGCCAGACGCAGGCGATGGGGTACGTGGTGTCGTTGAGGCCGCGCATGACGGCGCGGAGGACGCAGACGCCGTACACGCACGACAGCACCAGGTTGGCGAACATGAGGGCCTGCCGCATCCAGCGGAGCACCCAGTCGCGGCGGAAGTCGCGCGCCAGCGCCAGCAGCGTCGCGTTGTGCACCGCCATCGACAGCAGCGACAGCATCCACACCAGGAAGAAGTGGTACGGGATCAGCGTGTCGGCTTTGGCCAGGCCGACCCCCTGGATCCCGATCCCCGTCAGGATCTGCTGGTCCGAGTACGAGTTTAGGAGCTTGCGGCGTAGGGTGGAGGGTTTTTGGGGAGACGTCTTGTGGGCGCGGCGGCTCCGGGTTTCCTCGATGATCAGGGAGGCGCTGATGATGAGGGCTATCCCGGCGGTGATGATGAAGGAGAGGAGGACCTGTTAAGCTTGTAAGTCACCCTGTTTCGTCTCGGCATTGACAGGAATATAGGGAATCAACGATGAGCGAAGATAACAGATTTTTGAGTCCACTTACACCAATACCCGCAACGCCAGCATCGCTCGGCACAGCGTCTGGCGCGATCGTACAATTTGCCGACATTGCGAATAGTTACACAGCCCACCAACCAACCTGTAATATAATCAAAGTAGCAAAAGAGTCGTAATAAGAACAACAACGATACTCGAATTCGACTATCGTCAGATCGTAAATATCTAGGTAAGAAATACCAAACAAATAAATTAAATTAAAAAGACGAAAAGAAAAAAAGAGCATAAAGACTAAGAGGACAGGGCTCTCTAATATTTACCCATCTGCTTGGAATTCAATCAACCACAAATGCCAATCAATGCCCTCTTTGATTCCATGACATGGAACTCCCGCCCTGCCCCTCTGTGGCACCTTGTTAGTTACAATCCATACGTATTGTACAATACAGTCGTACATACAATACAATGACGTCGCCCCCCCGGAATTCAATAGGCGCCTCGCATGAAACGCAACGTAGATTACCTCAAAAATCCCTGCTGGCGATTGATGACTGGACGGGAACTGGTCCCTCCCAAGACTGTAAGAGCGCGGTTGGCCGTCTCCTTAGTCTAGGCTTTCCCAATCACTCAATCGCTCACGCCAACTGATTCGATGGCGGTGTATACTTCGTATCCAACAGAACAGTTTAGCTAAAAGAAACTGAAAATGGAATAAAAAAGAAAAAAAATATAAATAAAAATAGGAAAATAGCACCAAGCTTGCCTGACTTTGTTCTGACCTTTGTCTGATTTCATCCTGCATAAAGACTATTGCTTCCTTGGCTTCCCAACTATTATGGTTATTATTAGTCAACTATGGGACGATAGGACAATAGGACGATGCAAAGAGCACGAGCTGTATTTCGATACGATACGATACTACTTACTGTATGTATCAAGTGTTTGCAGACAAATTCGTCTGATGCAATTAACTATAACTTTTCCATAGGAAATAGGTCGTTGCGCGACGGCACGTCTAAATCTAAAGTATCATAATAAACCCGAATCGTCCATTCTTTCCTCCTCCTCCTGCCCTTCCCCTTCCCATACCATCACTTCTCTCTCTTTTCATATGGTTCCTTGAGGGGGGAGGACATATGTACCTGGGTATGCTGGGATATCGATTAGAAATGACCATCATAACACCTGACTCCGGCAAACTCCAACGCTTTCAACAACGCCCTTCCTTTCGGAGATCAGGGCATGTTCGTCAATTTTACTACTCCACGTCTTAGCTGTGATGACGCGCATGAGTCTCGCTCGTAGACCCTAACAAGAGGTTGGAAATACTCTTAACACCCTCCCTGCTGATTGGCTACTTCAGCTTAACTCGTACTCATCACGCATGCTCTGCCCAATATAACATCATGCCTTACGTTGCCTTTTGGCAGCTCGACCGGGGGGACTGTCATCTAGATCATTTCGTGGAATCTCCTCGGTGCCGCTAGGACTAGGCGACTTGTGGCTTGGCGTGTTTGTCTCGACAATTCGGCCTAGATTCAAAGTGTCGTGCGCTCCAAATTCACCACCATCGATGTTCCAATCAAAGGGGTGGCCATTGCTGAACGAAGGCGCATCAAAGTTGAAGTCAGGGCCCGTTGTGTCTGCCGTGTATGCGTTTGGATCGAGATACTGATTGAGGTCGATGTTGTCGTCAAAATAAGCATTAGAATCATCCAACCCAGGTATTCGACCCGAAGGGCTTAGAGGCCCCAACAAATGGTTGAGATCTTCTAGCTTCTGGCTTTGCTCCGTCTGCAAGCGTTGGAGATGCTCGAGCTCTTCTTCTGTTTGCGATATCCGTTGGATCGATGGTGGTAGGATGGAAGGCAAGATAGGCGACAGGGAGCTCCGAGTAGTCGGGGCTGGTACAGCTCCGGGTGGTGAAATCCCCGCAGCGGGCGTTGCATCCGCTGCTACGGACGGTGAAGGTACCGAGGCCACAGGTGTGGGAGCACCGCTACTGTGAGCACCAGACATAATGCTCAACATCCGGTTTCGCTGATCATTGGTAAGAGTAGCCGACGTGTTGGCAGCCATGTTGGGAAGGTCAACAGAAACATTGCCAGAATTCGTGTTCGCATCATGAATGATCTTCATCATACCCTCCTGCGGGTTCGACTCGAGTTCTTGTTTAAGATAGGAAGGCGTGGCAGACGACTCTACCGGAGTATCAAAGACCTCCGTAACCTGTCCTGTCTGGTGCGGCGGAAGATTTGAATAGTTGGGGAATGGCGTAGAGGCTGCCGCCGGTGGAGGGGTCTTGGCGGCTTGGTTCTGAGGAATGGGGGGCAAAAGGCGATGCTGCCTCTTTGGTGTGCCAACTGGTGTCGCAGTCCTAGGCACCTGCTGTTGCACCCAATCTCCCAGATCAACGACGCTGCCCTGGCCTCCTTGTGGTGGCATCTGAACATTTGGGATGATAGTGGCTAATAGGTCGTTCACGTTCTGCACACCTCCCTGTTCCTCGAGTGACTTCCTAAATACATTCGCAAGGAAATTCAAGATAGCATTGATAGAATTCTCATGTCGATCATGCATGTTTTGAAACATAATGGCTTGCTGGTACAATTGGTTATGTTCCTGGCGAAGTCGCTGGATTGCATCGCTGATCTGCTTCTGGCGTTGCTGTAGTGCCGTCATCTGATCCCGGACAACCGCCAGCTCCTTCTTTTGGAGTGGACCCGACTCTGGTGCTGGAAGGGCTCTGTTTTGCACATTCTGGGGAACAAAAGCATGGCCTAGGACATCGTCGGCAGTTACGGTATCCTCATCACTTTCAACCTCACCTTCTTCGCTTCTTTTCTTGCCGTTCTTCTTAGTGCCACTGCCACCTTTCGGTTTGTTGATAAGCCATAGCAGGTTGGGGTGACCGCGTTTGAAATAAGGATTGTAGTATTCGCTTGGGCTCTTGTTCTTACGCTCGCTGGCCTTCATGGAATTGTCTGAAAGACCGACCTTCTTGTGGAACCCGTACATATTGAGCTGCCGGACAAAGGAAGCGTAATTGTTGTGCTTGAAAAGCTCAGGAATGAGAGTCTTGGCAAACTCATCCTCATCTAAAACAATAAAAGAGTCACCCTTCTCTGACCACCTAATCAAATCTGTATTCTTGGATTCTTCTAGGAAACTATAGAAAATGTCAAAAACTTGAACATGGTCAGTATTGGGGAAAGAGGTGTCAAATTCACCTGTTCAGCTTCTGTACGAAAGGTGGAATCTGCTTCCGCTTCGTCTGGGCTTCTCGTTTTGCCCTCTGAGCCTTCTCTTCGAGTAGCTCTATATTATCATGTTCGTCAATAGCCCCATTATTCTGATTCGCGATTAGACTCTCGTCAAAGTTCGGCCACGGGTCGCTCGGCTGCGGAGTAAAGGCGCGATTGGTAGCGACAAGGGCGTTATTCATGCCCCGCCTAGCGAGAACAGTTGAAGGCGTTGGTTGGCTGTATTGGCCTTGAGTCGGCGACGGGACCACACCATACGAATTTACGCCATTCGCAGTGTTATCACCGAAGTTCGCCGCATTAGCCCCATTCCACCTCAGTAATTGATCTTGTGTATTGTAAGGCTGCGCCATTTGTTGTATGGGCACACTACCCGGTGCCGGTCGTTTTCGAGGATTGGGAGATGACATAGGGTGGTAGTAGGTGTACATGGAACCACGGTCCGGAAGGGTGGCGGTGGTGTGGAGAGCGAGACCCGGAAACGCGGAATACTGTGCGTCCTAAAAATGAGAAAATAATTTCCAGCGAAAAGAACACGAGCAATTCAATGCGAATGGGATACAACAAAGGCAATGAATGTGAGTGTTGCTTCAAGGTGATTGTTGGGGGATATAGGCTGGCAGGCGTAAAACTTGGAAGTGAGAGAGAGGGGAACGGAGAGCGGCTGGACCATGTACGAAACCGCGAGGCTGTCAATAGAAGTTGAGAAAGGTGGGCGAAACGGGGAAGATAGGCAGTTGGACCAAGAATCTAACCGCGCAACGGTTTCCGTTTGTTCCTATCCTAGCCAGGGACAACTATCGCGCAATCCTGCAGTCGAGGCTGTATTTTTCGGTAGGCTGGAGAAGAGATAGCCGCGAAGATTCAGGTGATAATCGTATAATCGGACTGATGCAACTACCTAGTGATGCATGCGAAAGGCAAAGGCGCGTAGGAATTTGATAGATAGTAAAGATGGTCAGGTTCCAGTTCCAGTTCCAGTTCTGGCAAATGTTCAAATCTCGATGATAAATTCGATAGAGTAAGATGGTGGGTTCCAGGCTTTCCTCCACATTTGTACCTTTTGGTTATATAGCATCCGACCTTCAAAGGGTCTGAATGAGGAGAGAAGGAAGTGAATCAGCCCTAGAAGCTGGAAAGAAGCTTCCAAGACGACCGGGATTGTAATGTCTCTGGAAGTGCGACAGTGAGTATAGTGAGTGGGCAGCCTGATAGATGGGAAGGCTGTCAAGGATAAGAAACAAGGGCGGGAGCAAAGCCCGTTGTTGTCGAAGTCGCAAGAATTCAAGTTGAGAAAAAAAAGATGATGTCGCAGAAGAAACACAAGCACGACTAAATATACCTAGGTACGAAATAGATCATGCACCCATGGATATACTAGTATGTACTATGTACTGGGTATGGTACTGTAGATATCGTGTAGATGTACATGCTACGACTCCATCTGTACATATGTAGTAGATATGTGTAGGTACTTTTTGTACTATATAAAGTGCTAAAAGTAACATACATAAATAAGATAGTATGTACGATAGTATGTACGATAGTATGTACCACCTGCGTATAATATAGGTAACTACCTGGTATATATATACCTAGTGCAGCTCGGGAAAAATGTATGTGCGGGACGCCAACGTAGTTCAGGACAGTGACAGGAATGGAAATGGGGAATGCAAAAGCTGGCAGGGCTTTGATGGGATTTTCAAAATTGACCCGTCTTCCGGGCGCACTTGACCTACTAGGTGGTAAACCCAGTAAACAGTAAACTACCTAGGGTAGGTAGGGTAGGTAGGCCCTGGCCGTGGCACCCAAAGAACAGTTCTTGCCGTGTCTTGGCTTTAAGTCTTTTCAGCGCCTTTCCACTGTGTGTGCACTGACACCGAACCGAGCCGAGAACATTGAAGCAAAGAAACTAAAGCAAGTAGCCGAACCGGCGGACAGACACATATGAATAATGAGGCAAATGAAGAATAAGAATAATGATCATTAATGTATTGCAAGCAGCAAGCAATTCATTGTTGGCTCATAACATTGAATTTATAACCGCCAGCCAGAAGCATGTTATATGTAGGTATGGATGTAGTTATGTACATACATACATTATCATGTAAGATGCAATTGTTGTCGGGTCAAGTGGATTCAATGTTGGTTTTGGCCAAAACGGCCAAAACCTGCCAAAGATTTAAGTTACTGGGATTGATGGCCCACAAAGACGGCACTCGCGATACAACCATGTACATAACTGACATAGTACAAATGTTGAACCTCCAGTGCCAAAATCTTTTCATTTGGCCAATCAGATACACCGTTGATAAGAGTATCGTCATTCTCACCATCGAATGATTTCCTCGTTACTACACACATGGCATACATAGATCATGGATGTACTATGATAGGTATCTACATATTAGGTATCTACATACTAGGTAATGTCGTGATCAATTATACAAAAAATATTTTCTAACAAGTACAGACATAACTACATGCTTTCATCCTCTTAAGTTAAGCTGCATAGTCTTGGTTTCCTATTCTATACTCGGCAGTGATATTCATGCCTAGGTATGTACGTCTATATCTTACGATTTTGAGAGTTCCTTCAATATGCATGTGCATCTGAACATTAAATTTTACATACATATTATTAGTTATCACTTTTCAAATTCTTGCCCAGGCACAAAAAAAAACACCACACCATTAATAAATCGCCGCAGGGGCAATGTCGCGGGAAACAAACCACTTAAGAAAAAAGCTGTGGGGTTCTTAATAAGAGCCAGGTTCTCACATGCTACAGGACCGGACCAATACCTCCAGTTGATGCAACGCTAACCCACAGAGCAGCGAGGGGTAGCTACTGTCGCAGTGTCGATGAATTGATGAGATGCTTCTTGACCAATAATCTATCGTCCAATAGATCATCAAATATTACTATATATCACTGAAGTCCGATCGCCAATACTATATACGATTGTTATGAAATATCTACCCAGCCAACCCAGCCAACTAAATCGTTTTTGGGGGTGATCTTGTGTATGAACTGGTCAAATACGATGGCTTCACTACCATAGGCAGGCGACCCCCTTTTCTCTCGGAACACTGGAGGTGCTATTGGGATATGTCTGCTACCTACGCTTCAGTATCAGAACATTATGGGAATCTCTATAGCTTGAGGGGTATCATGATCATTTCAAACCAGTTCTAGAACGCAATACAAGAACACTCCATAGCGTTGTGGAAACCAAAATTATCGAGCACCTCTCCCAGCTAGAACAGATGTCCTTGCCGACTTGGCATTCCTTGCTTGGTCCCATTCTCGCCCCGAATTTCCAGACTGTGCCTCTCTCTGCGCTTTCTTCTCCTCCTTGAGCGTCCGCGCCTTTTCTCGCGGATCAATAACAAGTAGTTCCTCTTCAGCCTTCTTCCGATAAGAAAGGTCCTTGCCCAGCTTATCCGCCGTAAAGCTCAAAGAATGTGACATCCACCCTTCATCGTCGCTCTCCTCCTTCTCCGCCTTATCCCACGAGTTGCAACTTTGACAATTTGCTATGAAATGTAAATCGCACAATCCCGCCTCATCGTCTTGTTCTCCCGGTTCCTGCTCAGCACTGTTCTCTGCCACTGAGACATTTGGCTGTTCTTTTTCGGGCCCCACCTGGCGAAGCCTGGAACGAAACGCCTGGAAAAACATCAAGTCTTCACCCGTTGTGTTTCCTTCGCCGCCTCTTCGTCTTTTCCGGCCCCTCGTAGAAGACACTGGGATTAGCTGCTCTAACGCTGTTTTCTTGACCTCCTTAACTGGCTCTGAATGGATAGTCCGTTTCATAGAGGCCTTCAGTGCTGCTATTTCTTCGTTTGCCCGTTCTAGCGCAGATTTCTCCTTTGGTGATTCTGGTTCGGGTGATAATTCATCTCGGATAGGAACGGGTTCACTTTTCGTTGGTTGAGTCGATGTCTTTCTTTCCGGTGTTGCGTCAGTTCGGATTTCACGAACTGGTATAGTGGACTTAATGCCTCTTTCATCCTTTTTAGAGTTGCTCTTTGGTGGCTTTATGGTAGGTGCTGGCTCTTCGTCCACGTCCATAACTATTCGCGAATCGAACTTGGCCTTCTTGAGCACTGGCGCGTCATCGTCGCCCTCATCGTCGCCAAAACTCAATAGCTTCTTGCCCGCCTTCGGTTTCGTCTTCTTTTTCTTCTGTGCAGTGGATGTCTCGTGAACGCGCTTGGCTATCCTTTCTCGCTTTTTCATGTCATCAAAAGGGTTGACTAATATTTCGACGCTCGTAATTCGTATAGTATACAGAGGCCGTTCGGTCCCTTCTGCTACCTCCGCCTCGCCTATGCGTGCCAAGTTGTAGATTGTATCGCCCACTATCCTCCCAAACATGGTGTTCTTGCCATTTAGCTCTTCTGCCTTGTCCAGAGTGAAGAAGAATTGGCTGGCATTCGTATCCGGCTTGCTCTCGTTGGCCATACCCAATAGACCTCTCCGGTTGAACTTCAATCTTGAATGAAATTCATCTTTGAAATTCATGCCCGTGGGACCAGCATTCTTGCCGCGACGTTGGTCCATTGGCCATGGGTCTAGATCACCGCTGTACGCACCGCCATCATAGATAGACTCGCCCCCATTTCCTGTTCCAGTAGGGTCTCCTCCCTGTATAATGAATCCGGGAACCAGACGATGGAAAATCGTGTTGTCGTAGTATCCGTCGAGACATAGTTGAAGGAAGTTTCGCGATGTGATCGGAGTTTGTTTTGCGAATAGTTCGACAGACAGGTCGCCTTGCGTCGTATGAAGGATGAGCGAAGCCGTAGGCTGAGGCTCGAGATTATAAATGGACGACATGTTTCGTGATTAAAAATTATTGAGACCCTTGGGGTTGCTTGTTGTAGCAACAATGTAGTCCTAAGGTCCCAAGGTAACACGGTTTACGTAGTAGTTTGTTAGATGTTGAAAAGAAAAAAAAATAGTATCATTGATTTGATCATGGATGCAATCTTAGGTACAAGTTGTACCTAAGGTTAGAAGCTTCAGGGTGCAAACTGACGTAAGGATGTACGTTACAGTACGTTACCAGTGGCTCGTTGCCCTACCATACCACCTAGCCCTTTTTCTTACGACACCTAGCGTGCTGTAATAAATACGATACTCCAACATTGAATCTCCACAGTACTAGGCTAGGTAGGTACAGTACCTAACCTAGTACCTTAGGTAATTGAACTTCAGTGATCACGCTAGGGTGCTCCACCTGTAAGGTAGCACACCCCAATCACTAAGCTAGCCTAATACACAAAGTACCTACTACGTAGTACTAATGAATAAGATACAAGTAAAAACGTTTTCAGATCTTAACATTGAAATCAAAATTATCACGAAGAGTATATTGAATGTTCTGATAGTGCTTTCAGGTAACTTAGTACTTCACTGAAAAAATATTCGTATATCTTCGTATACGATTCCATATAAGCCCAATATATTCTCTTCCTGGCAGTTCATCATTTAGCTTTCAGTAACAATACGATAGCTTCGAATCTAGCTACGCACATTGTCGTCTGAGGTTTATATTCACCAAGGGCTAAAAATTATAAGAGGCCCCTAACTTAGAAAACCTATGAGTTAGGACAATACTCGCCATCATGACGGCGCAAGACAATAACTCAAATTTGCCGCCTTCTGAGGCAACAAACGCTGTTCTGGTTCCGTCTGATGAACTACCCGAAGGCGCGCAAAAGGTCGAAGAGATTGATTTCAATGCCTTTAAGGGGCGACCTATCACTGTGGATGATATGCTTGATGGCATGAAATATATGGGATTTCAGGCTTCCTCTATGGCTGAGGCCGTGCGGATTATCAATGATATGGTTAGCGAGGCTAGGTACCCAGTTCCCCTGAGAAATAATAGCTAACTACTCCTTGAGCGAGCATGGCGTGATCCCGAAACAGGCGACAAGACGACGATATTCCTTGGATATACATCTAACATGATTTCTTCTGGTTTGAGAGGAATATTTCGGTACCTTGTAGAACACAAGCACGTCTCCTGTATAGTCACTTCTGCCGGTGGGATTGAGGAAGACTTCATTAAATGCCTCGGCGATACTTACATGTCTTCGTTCAGCGCCAAGGGGGCTGAACTCAGGGCGAAAGGCCTCAACCGAATAGGGAATCTCATGGTCCCTAATGCCAACTACTGTGCCTTTGAGGATTGGGTTGTTCCTATCCTGGACAAGATGCTAGAAGAGCAAGAAGCCAGCAAAGGCACTGAAGAAGAGATCAACTGGACCCCTTCCAAGGTTATCCATCGACTAGGCAAAGAGATAAACGACGAGAGATCTGTATATTACTGGGCATACAAGAATGATATCCCAGTGTTCTGTCCGGCTTTGACAGACGGTAGTTTGGGTGATATGCTATATTTCCACACATTTAAAGCCTCGCCGCGGCAGTTGAAGATCGACATAGTGGAAGATATTCGGCGCATAAATACCATCTCCGTGCGGGCGAAAAGAGCTGGAATGATTATATTAGGCGGCGGAGTGATCAAACACCACATCGCAAATGCATGCTTGATGAGGAACGGCGCCGAATCCGCTGTCTACATCAATACGGCCCAAGAATTTGACGGGAGTGATGCAGGTGCCCGACCAGATGAAGCAGTGTCTTGGGGGAAGATCAAGGTGGGAGCCGATCATGTCAAGGTAAACCTGCCCGAAATCATTTCGTCTCATCTATCCCCGAGAAAGAACTATCTCTCCTTTTTTTTATCTTTCATTTGGTTTAACATATTATTTAGGTTTACCTTGAAGCCTCAGCTTGCTTCCCTTTCATCGTGGCTAGCACTTTTGCCAAAGACGCATAGATCGATACATAAGATCGATAACCCGTTTTGAGGCGTTACAGCGGTAACATCAGGTCATAGAGTTAACTTAGATCAACCTTGAAAGATTAAAGATCGCACGGCTCGTGTTTTCTCAAAGCTAGCTACCCTAAGTAGATAGCTGAACCGTCAAAGTTTGGGTGCCATGGATGGTGGCGCCAACTTAAGTGTGACCGGAAATACATTTCTAAATCTCTAGAAATGAATAAATAGAGCTACTCTTGCTCTCTACGTATGAAATATATCCCATCTCAGCAGCAGCACCTTGATATCTATAAGCCTCCGGTTGCAAGATTGCCCAGCCATTTGAAGCTTCCCCCTGGGCTATTGCTGACCTACTGAATAAGCTCAGCAATACATGACAATCGGCCAACTACCTAGGAAAGCGATACTCCTCAGTTTAGATGAATTTTGGCTGGGCTTTCTAACAACGACCAAACAGCTCTAGGTTTATAGGTGTTCTCGACGTCCGAGGCAGCTTCCCGGTAGGATTAACTCACTCACTTCACTACGAGATTAAGAACTCGTCTCTATAAAGTTCTTGCTCAAAAGGGAGCACAGACGAGAATATTTTGGCTGCTGTGGTAAGCACAATCTACGATACTTTCCACCACAGAAAACCTATTTGCCAGCGACTCATTTATTCTTGCCTAAGGCCTCCAGAGGAAAAACTCTGGTAACTACGCAATCGTTCGCTTGGAAGGTGCTCGACGCTCTTTCTGGATACTATTTTCTGTATTTCAAGTAAAATCAGAACTACAAATCCCATTCTTCTCTCTCTTCTCTCGCTCCCCTCACTTCTACTTTAGAGGCATTAATACTTCCATACAATCGAATATTGTTACAACCTGGAAACCTTTCTCTCATCATTCCATCTTATTATTTTATCTACTTCTAAACTCTCAACATGAGCAATTATCTCTCCCTAATCCTTAACGGTGATGGTCCTAGACGGACTGAAAATGAAGCAGTCGTGGAATCAAGTAGGACTCCAGACCTACCTGAGCATTATACCCCCGACATGATCCAAGCTGCCGAGATCCTCATGTCTTTAAGATATGCAGAAATAGAAGAGGGAGCACAGGTGCTGGGCTCTATGCGGGACAACTCAAACACCAAATCAATTGAAACTGGCAACATCGATCACTCACACCAATCTGGGTTTATGAGTAATAGCTTTCGTGCCAGTTCAGTTTCCTCGGACAAGACCATCGATGGAGCCACCAATGTCCAGAATTTACCTTTAACGAAAAGTTCTGAACAACATACAGAAGGTCATCCTATGATAACAGCACACGCAGCACGAAGCAATGGCCAACATTTGCCAGAATCAGCTCCTGAAACCATGAGCAAAGATGGCGATCGGGGACAGAGTGCGAGGCCAATATCAAGAACCAATGCCAACATTGATGCTTCGGTGAGCAAGTTCACGGATGAAATCACAGCTCCCATTGGTGGTGAGCCAGCTCGCAATGCACGGACTAGACGGCGGAGTCGATATATCGAGCAAAAGGCACGGAGACATGAGGCAGACACGAAATGGCCTCAAATCCAAAATGCCAAACAATATATCGATAATATGGGACAAAAGAAATCTCACACAGTTGGTACCAGTGGCGAAGTTGCAGAACCGCGTAAATCGATCATATCTACGAAGGCACGAAGACGGCAAATAAGCCAAAGAAATGGTTGGACAACTGGAGAAATGGACTTGAAAGCCGATGCCAATGTCGATGATGCTAGCAAGAATGTTGCATCTCGAAAGAGACGTCGAGGAATGGACCAGGCTGGAAACTCTGAGCAGCCAGAAACCCCCACAAAGAATAGGGCTATGATAACCGTGAAAGTGGGAGCGATCAGTCCCAAACCAACCAATGCAGGCGAGACACCGGCTCCTGTGTCTACCACCCTCTCACCTAACTCGGAGGACAATCCTGATGGCGAAAGCAACTCACGCTCTCCTAAGAAAAGGCGGCGAACACTGGGATATGATCTTGAGTCGGATTTAGGTAAAAAGTGGGAGGCCCAGATTGACGAGGAAGGACACAGGCCAGCTAGGAAGGCGAAGAGAGTGTCCAACGTAATATAGGCAAGCTGGCTGGAAACCTTGGAAGTTGAAATGCTGTGGAAATAGGAAGGATGGAAATCATATTCGCTACGAGGAGGACGAGTTGCTTTCGCGCATAGTTAACAGATACCCAAATTTTTATGTATTCACTGGAAGCAGCCAGGTCATATTGCGATGAGTTTGATGATCGTTCGATGCTGTGTTTAGAATACACATAGCTACTATGCATGTATGTATGTATAATATATACATATAATTGTTGTTATTATAGCGAATGAGATGATGGTCAAGTGAACATTTCACTGTTGGCTGGATTTTTGTAGATCAGGTTGGGACGTTGTCTGCATGACAAACGGCTACCCTTGGCAGCTCTCGGGAGGGAAGACCATGCATGTTCCTTTCGAGGCGGAATCGTGGTTCGAAAGAAGTTTAGCGCGCGAAATAATTTAGATGTGCTCAATTGGCAATTGCAGTGTCGTACGTACACGGGCTATTCTAAATTCCTGGGGGTATCCCTGACAGGGAACACCTACATTTAAGATTCCAATGTTCGCTTGCTCGGTACTACATGCAGTATAAAGAATGTACCTAGTACTACCTAGTAGGGTACATAGATACATGTACAGGCTACTACAGACTACAGGGGGGATTGAAGGTTCAAATGTTCATGTCGTGCAGTCTGGTGTTTAGCATTTGACATCCAACCACGACGGATTCTGCATGTAAAGACGTGTCATTTGCTCATTCATTATACTATGTATGTACCTACATGTAATGCATACTACTAGTATATGTAATCCATAATATTGGTATGTACATACATATGTAGGTATGTTCTGTTGAAAATACCACTACGTACTATATAGGTACTACATACCTACAACATATGTAGGCATACACTGTATTATATTACATTTGTGGAAGATACGCAGAAGATCTTCGTTCCACAGATAACCTGATCATGCAAGTTTCGCCGTTAGCAGTCTCAAAATTGCATGGGCAATATACATACCTTATGTACCTTGAATCTTCCTACTACATGTAGGTACACTAGGCCCCGTAGTAGTTGCACCTTTTAATGTTCAATGTTTACCTGGCAGCTTCAATGTTGCCATTGCCTGGTATCATAAAATACCACTATACAATGGTACATGCTGGTACTGCTAGTAGCATGTAGCACTTTAAAACCGCAAAAAAAAACAAAAAACACTCGAACAATTAATTAATTGGACTCATAAGAGTGGCAAGTGCAAGGGTTTTTTAAGAAACTACCAAGGGTCCAAGGCTTACCTTCAATGTTGTGTGGGGCTCAATAGCCCCGATAGGGTCTGATGGGAGCCAAACATTCTTCAATGCTCAACCCTAGAAACAGGCTAGCGGCTTCAAGGCTCCGGCGCTTTAACCCCTGTTAGGATTAGTGCAAGTCTAGCCTATCTAAGGTTCCCTATTCATCTAGTCTCAGCAGCCGGGTGCCACGCGAAGTCTGTGTTTTCAAGATCTCCAATTTCAGCCTCTTCAAACTTCTGTCGTTCTCATCCACCCTATCACGTAGTAGTGTTTCAATCATTTCTCAATACCTGCGCGTTTTCCAAGAGGGGTTTATTTTATTCTATTCAAATCACTTTGATACAGGAGAGAGAGTCTTGAATTATTCAACCAAGCAAAAAAACTATAATAAAGGAGGGGCTTCAAGTGTAGCGCCCTGCTAAATCGACCAAAGATTCGCTTTGCCCAACCTAAACACTTTCTTACTCGACGTCCATCCAATATCGAATCGCCCTTTAGATTCTATGCATGTCTATGGTCATTATTGGCCCCATGAGAATTCTATAGTCCGGTATAAACAGGCGGGCTTGTTTTGCTCTGATGCCTAATATGTACGTTGAAAAATCCTCTCCCTGGAATACTTGTTTAAAGCACCGTCATCCTTATAGGAGAAGATTACGTCTGTGTTTGTCTTCGTGAATCTAGCAAATTTTGTAGCGGGACGTCTGTTGACTACTAGCTACAATCTTACTCTGGATACGGTCGTGATATACATGCATATATCGTAAACGGGACCCAATCTCCAAGAACCATTGCTCACTCCTTTACTCCTAGGGCATCCCGCTATTCCGGATCGCGGTATGATGGCGATTCGCGCCGCTCTCGGTCTCGAGATCGCTCACCAGATCGGAGGTCGTTGTATAGTGACAGCGGCCCCCGCCGTTCTTCTGCTGAGTCTCGATCGAATAGCTCAGCCTTTCCGAATAACCGGGATTCATTTCGCGACGCTCTGCCAAGAGATCCCCCGAGGGGTCCCAAAGCCCTACTAGATGCGCCTAGTGGACCTCGCGGAGGTGGTTATTCCGGAGACTATCGCGGTAGAGGCCGTGGAAGAGGTAGGGGCTGGCGAGATGATAGTCGAGACCGTGGAAGGGATCGCGATATCGACTTTAGAGATCGTCGGGATAACTCATATCGGGACGAGCGTAGCCGGGAGCGAGACCGCGGAGACTGGCGAGACCGCGACCGCGACAGTTTTCGAGGACGACGCCCATCACCACGTGGAAGATCGCCTCTAGGAAGAGATTTCCGGGATTCCAGAGATTTGAGAGACGCCCCATTAGGTGTTGACGCGGAGCGAGCCCGACGAGGATCGAGAGATGGCCCACTTTCCGCAGGATCTTCTTCGTCTGACCCTCCTTTCGGACCTTCATCATATCGCGGCGGTTACAATGGCCGGGGCCGCGGTCGAGGCCGTGGAGATTGGGATAGAGGTCGTGGACGAGGTTTTTATGATGACCGTGACAGATATGGTCCGGGCTTTAGGTCTCGCTCTCAAGAGGGGCGCTATCGAGAAAGAGATGACCGTGATCGCGACAGCCGGTTTCTCGACGCTGACTTGCGCTCTCGTGATCCTCGGGATGACCGTGATATAAGAGATCGCGAAATTCGCATAAAGCCTGAACGAGCTTCGCACGAACCACCACCGCCTCCGTCCAAAGATGTCTCGCCCCCCCCTGTTGCACCAGCCGCGCCATCCTTTGGGTCAGTACCCAATAGAACGACATCAGTAACTGATGTTGGGTCTGCTACAGGCAAGGCGCCGCCAACAGGTCCTAGAGCGCTCAAGGAAGAGCGTGCAACGCCATCAGGTTCTACACCAAATGTCGATACCAGACTACCACCTATTGGGCCGTCCAGATCGTCCTTCTTGGAAATAAGCCCTGCCATCCCTTCTGGTCCACGTTCTCAAACACGCCCTGGTCCGTCTAGTAAACAATGGATCAATCCGAATATTAAGAATCGGGTTCCTGAGTCGCCAAAACTAAGTAGATCGGTAAGCACTGCTCAACCTTGGCCTACTGGGTTTCGTTCGGACGGCGCGCAATCAGACCAACCGGTAGATAGCAGTCAAAGACCGCGCAGCAGTGACGCAAAGACCGATCCGCAACTGGATTCACCAGTTAAGCAGCCTCATGGGACCTATAATGCTGAACCAGGCGAGATATCCTCGAAAAGCGATCAAAGACCGCAGTCTGCTGGGTCGCCGTTAAGTCGAGAAGATAAACTCAAAGGTGTACCCGATGTGATCAAGGATGAAGGCAGCGAACTGGGGCGGGGTGATAATTCTCACAGGGATATCAATGAAGCCGAGGCACTACCTAAGATAAACGAGACCGAGACTGAGACTGAGACGAAGCCGAAGCCGACAACGAACCTGGACCGACGACCTACTCTGAAAGTTCCACCGAAACATGTTTCGGTGCCACGGAAAGAAAGACGGCTGCCTATCTTAGATCAATCATCGGAGTCAGACGATGAAGAGTTTGGCGATGTCATTGAATCTCAGATGGCCGAGGTGGAAACGAAGCTAAAGCAGCTTGAGGGAGTAGATGATTTGGTGCCAATGGTTGCTGTCCTTCGCTATGCAACCATATCGCTTGAAGCGGTCACGAGGATTATGCACGAGCCCGAGGATATAGAAAAAATGGTTAACCCTATTCCAGATGACGCAGCTCTTCCAGGAACGACAACCATTGAGCCGGAACCTCAGGTCGAAAAGGTGCTAAGCCCTGAAGGAAGTAAAAAAGCTAAAGAGGTGAAAGATGTGCAAGATGTGAAAGACGCAAAAACGGGCATCGAGAAAAAGATTTCTTCCCCTCTCACAGAAGAACCGCACCCAACAGCTACAAAGTCAAGCCCAGAGCTTCCCCAACCATCGATCGAGCAAGATACGGACTCACTAGTGCCTCACGAGGCACCGGCGAGGGAAACAATACAGTCGAAGGATGATGATGGGGATGTGCCTATGGAAGATGTATTAGATGTCAGCCAACCCGACTATGAATTCCAGGCTCCACGAACTCACCTGCCAACCTCGCGCATACAGTCTGCTGGTCCTCCATTTGAAGAAGCCCAGGTACAATCACGGGAGATCAGTAAAAGGGGATCAACCACCCCGTTCCCCGCTGAAGAAGAGGACGATGATGAAACCGATATTGAGGATATTGACTTACACAGTATCGAGATTGTTCGTGAACATATGACAACACCCCCCATCGAAAGTCTTCCACACTTTGACGAGATGCCATGGTTCAAGGACGAGGCTTTCCTCAGATCAATGGACGCTCCACAACCTGATCTTGATTCTTTTATCTCAGGGAGATTGAAAGACGAATCCTGGAACAGAACAACCGAAGAGACACAAAAGAAAAGCATTTATGACAAGAATTACGACCGTTACCTACGATTCACTATGTCAGATGATCCTGTTGCCATGAAGAGTCGTGAGAAATTTACGAGCATCTCTGGACTTGAACCTGCAACCCAGAAGCCAGGGTTTCACGAGGCCAAGCCCGAAGGCACAAGACGAAGCAGATATGCCTCTGAACGTGATCTTGAAAGGATCTTGGAAGAGTCTAGACGCGTTGAGGATGAGAAAAGGGAACGACAAATGCAAGCAGAGAGAGAGAGATACAGGACCGAGAAGGAGGCAGTTTTGCCTCGTCAATATCAAACCACAGAAGAGAGGGAAAGAGATTTCTATCGGGACGAAACTGGTTTTATCCCTGCCGAGAAGACTGTCTCAGCTTGGCAACTTCTCCCACCCGTGGACAATTTTACAGAGGAAGAAACTGCAACATTTGAGAAGGCTTATCTTGAGTTTCCCAAGCAATGGGGCCGAGTGTCTGAACCATTGGCAAACAGAGACTTCGGAACTAGCATCCAGTTCTATTACCTGAAGAAAGAGAAGAGTGAGCTGAACCTCAAGGAGAAGCTCAAGAAGCGCCCAAGGCAACGTAAGAAGGGTGGACGGGGTAAACAGCGGTCTAGTGCACTGGTCTCTGAGCTTGGAAATGGGGACAATGAAAATGAAGAACCCCAAGAAACTGGTGAAGGTGGCGAGAGGCGTCGGCCTCGTCGTGCAGCGGCTCCTACCTTTAACTCGGAGGCCACCCCTGCTACGGATGGCGAAGGCGGAACGCCAGCTGGCACTCCTGGACGCCGGGGAGCCGGCACGAAGGGAGATGGAAATTCAGATAAGCCAGAACGAAAGCCAAGAGGGCGCCGGGCCATAAAGGATAGAGAACCAAAACAACCCCGAGCCAATCAGGCTCTTGCTGCAGCGCCGCCCTCAGGAGCTAAGGCTAATCGCTCTCGATCCAACTCTCGTGTTCATGGGCCCGAGTGGACAAATCAGCAGGTCCCGAGTGACGCCCCTCGGGTGCCGATTCAATATGAGTTGGCCCCAAGCACTTCCGCTGTCCCACCCATAGCTATTCCCGCACCACTACAACAGGTGCAGCCGATGCTTAGTCCCGAGAGAGGAGCACCTCCTCCCCCTCCGCCTCCTCCCCCGGTTCCGATTTCCGTTGAAGCGATGGGACCTCCACCGTTACGCCCAGAACCACCCCAGCCACCTCCGGTTGCTCCTCTTGATCTTAACCAAGCGACAACACCAGACCGTAGATCGGGCACGCAACCATCTAGTTACTGGAGCGTACCTGAAGCAAACGATTTCCCCCAGTTGCTTCGTTCGTTCGGAAGCGATTGGGCTGCTATCGCGGCGCACATGCGAACAAAAACTTCAGTCATGGTGAGTATCATCATTTTTCTTTCTTCAACTAGTTTCAGCAATTTTTACTAACTCTATCAGATTAAAAACTACTATACTCGCAAGAAAGATGCCAATAACTGGGAAGGTATAGTGGATGAGGCAGATAACCGCAAAGCCCGGGGAGAGAAGAGGCCTGCGCCGCCAGCCCCAAGCTCTGGTGTTAAGAAGCGTTATGAGTCTTCGAGTAACCGACCGCTTGCAGCTGCAGATACGATCATGGAAGACGCTCCTACGTCAAAACCTGATCATCCACAAACTTCGCAGCCGACGTCTGGCCGTTTCAATATTCCAATAGCAGCTCAGCCACAGCCAACACTCTTACAATCGTCGTTTATACCGGCACCTTCGCCTCAGATGATTCAGACTCACCCGATCCCCATTACCCCATCCAGCTCGCAGTCTCTTGTCCAACCAGTGACGCAGACCATGTCCCCTCGGCCTATGAGGGCGCCCTTCTCATTTGCTGATAGAGAACGGGAGATGCAGTCTGGCCGTGTTTCATTAGGTCAAAAGTCTGCCCAGCCAGCACCTCCACCGGCACCAGAACCCCCGATGGGAAGACATCCTCTTCCTACTTCCATGGTCGAGCCTCAGTCAGAGCGGTCTAAGGCTGACCACAAGGCTCCTAAGGAACAGCCTCGTCACCAAGATCGCCAGCCGTTGCGCGTAAAACAGGAACCTGATCTTATTCACCAATACGACCCTTACCCCCCTCAGGCCCAGACTGCCCGTATGGTATCTTCTCGCCCAGGGAGTGTGCCTTTATCTCGACCTCCAGATCCTCCTCGTGCAGTAGCGCCAGCGCCGCATACACCTTTTGCGGCGATTCTCCAACAACATGGCCGGAGCTTATCAGGTGAGGGTGTTCCCTCTCCACCAGCTCGTCCTCGACCCATTTCCAACCTCTCCCGACCAGCGTCTGGGGCCAGCGGTGGGACGGAGCCTTTCAGCGCTCCACCGGCACAACCTACACCACCTATTGTTGCTGCCCCACCATCTCGCCCCCCAGAACGTAAGACGTCTAGCTTGATGGCACTGTTGAATGATGACCCTCCCCCTCCACCACCTAAGAGGATTGTCGAGGTTCCTGCGGCGATGAAGCCGTCATCGACACCCCCACCCCAGACGAATCTCTCCCGCCCCCCGCCTCCTCCGCCGCCGTCCCATGTGCGGAGGGAGTCGGGCGTCCCCGATGCACAAAGTTATGGTTATGGGCGTAACCCGCCGGCGGCGCCTTCTTCAATGCCACCTCTGAAGCCATATGCGACTGCGTCACCTCAAGCACAGTCTTTGAATGCCCCACGACATATGCCGTTAGAGACAGCTTCAGAACGAGATTATTATGGTGCTCGACCACGCTCGTTCCCTGCCTCACAACTTTCCTCAGCAACACGCTCGCCGCAGAGCACTCATCACTACCTACCTCCGAACCAGGCACCTCAAATGGCATATCAGCCCCAAGTGTCGTACCCGTATGGTGCTCAAATCCAGCCTCCTAATGTCGCATCTCCACCGCCTCAATATGGAGGTCATCCTGCTCCTAGGGGCCACGAGCCTCCTCAGTCGAGCCGTGATGTCCGAGACGTTAGAGACGTTAGAGATGTTCGCGATGTCCGGGATGTCCGGGATGTCCGGGATGTCCGGGATGTCCGAGATGTTAGAGATGTTCGCGATGTTCGCGATGTTCGCGATGTTCGAGATGTTGGCTGGCCTGGTGCGCATCAGGGTCATCCACTGCAACAGCAACATCAGCAGCAGCAGCAACAACAGCATCAACAACAACAGCAACAGCAACAGCAACATCAACAGCAGCAGCTTCAGCAGCAACACCAGCAGCATCAGCAGCAGCATTCACAGCATCAACAACACCAACAACAACCGCCACCGCAGCAACCGCCTCCTCAGCAGCAACCAACCTGGTCCTCGCACCCTCCGCAGCCGCCCAAATCCACACAACCTCCGCCGGCTCAGTCAGCATGGGCCGCTCAGCATGCGCCTGCACCGAAACCACCTCCACCTAGTAGTTCGGTCCCACCACAGCCGTCTTGGGCTACGGCTCCACCGCCACCGAGAGGTCACGATCCCATGGCTCTACGTGATGCCCGAGATGTATATCCTGCACATAGGATGCAGCCTGCACCGGTGCAGTACGCAGCTGCTTCGCGAGCTCCGGAGCCGCCACCGCCACAAGCCCCGGCTGCATATCCTCGATATACCGCGCCAGTGGCTCGAGATGGTCTGTTAAGAAGCTATACACCAATTAGCTATGACAACAGAACCTACATGAACCCCCCTCCGCCTAATCAAGAAATTATTGGGGGACAGCTACGCGAGCACCAGCAACAGTCCATTTTGCAGCAGCAATTGAGACCTCAGGATCGACATAGTCTATATGATCGTCCACCGCCGCCGCCGGATAGATATGGAAGATAGATATCTACCTAGGTATGGTTGCCGTGGCACGTTGATGGCGCAGAAAGGGGAATGATGTATCAGTTTCTCGGACGACCCAGGTATAAATTGTTTGAATTATACCAATAATGACCTATAAAAATTCATCTGTTTAACTTTGTAAATGAAACTGCATTCCATGGGCTAGAAGCAAATATATGACCTTCTATTGTTGTTCATGTTGACGATTCGCCCCTTCCAACTCGTCTAACGTCGTCGAAGAGATGTCAATTGTGTTTTCTAATCACGTACTTTATATCGATTGAAGCATTATGACTTGAGTCGGAGAAACTCCAATACAAATAGCCAATCCAATTGTATGGATTGGCTTTCACTTCCCTTTTCATTCACTTCACAAATTTGCATGTTCAATTCTAATCTTGTATTTTAAACAATCGATTCTTTTTCCTTTCTTTTTATAACACCCCCGTAGACGAGATCATTCTATTCGACGCCCGCTTCCTTTTTTTTGCACGATTCATGGTCTTCTTTTGAGGTGGAGAATGCATGGAAGAAGAGGAGGAGGAGGAGGATGAAGGGATTGGTAAGAGGGGGGTTTAAGGAGGCAAGCATGCATTCGTCGGCAAAGAGAATGAATGGAGAAAGGGGGAGGGGGGGTCAACGGGCGGCTTAATGTTACATTTGCAAACAACAACAACAACAAAAACAACAAAACCTCCTGGGGGCACTGGCTAAGGAGGATTTGGCCCGGCCCGGCCCGGGGGAATCAGAAAACAATAACACAAATTCGAGAGAGAGAAAACTGAGAAGGAAGAAAGGAAAAAATCGAATATGTATCGCAACAGACTCCCGTGTGTGTAGGTGCAGGTGCAGGTGTAGGAGTTGCGATGACGAAAATGACAACGGCAACGGCAACGACGATCAAGAACGTGTCGTCTACATATTGATTGCTACTTGCCGTCGTTGTTGAGAATGAGAAGGAGAAGGAGAAAGTACCTACTGTACATAATACATATAAGTACGTACGTACACACATAAATAACTTGGAGTTTTTTTTTTTCTGTTCGATCACCTAGTAGTAGTTTACGGGGGAAAGGGATTGCGACCGCGCTATTATGTACCTATGAGTGAAATGTTCGGTGTAGAAAGAGGTACGCTAGGTACTAGGTATTTGAGCAACTCGAGCAGTTTTTCAACGTCTTGTGGTCATGAGTTTCGAATATGTAGATATGCGTAAGGTATACAGTACCTGTGGAATAGATTATGACTTACCTATGATACTTTACCAACCTACGTATAATACAAAATATCGATATCAACCCTCTCAACTCATATGTATACCTACGTACTTACTGGGTATGTACCCAGGCATTTAAAAGACGGAACGAAAATAGTCATGGGGTATATCCATCTATCTTGGAGTCTATTTCTAAGTAAGACATCATCGTTGGAATCATGAACAAGCAGGAGAGCCCACGCGGTACCTCCAGCTAGGTATATATGAGCTCACTGATACCTGCTTAGGTAGATGCCTAGCCTTCGTTACGTACCTGAGTAGCTATTAGGCAGTCAGCCGTCTCTATCTCTATCACATCATATCAACGCCCTAATCACACAACCGCAACAAGCACACCGACCGCCACGCCCACAACTCCCAACACCCCCAACACCCGCATCCTCCCAGGCCCCTTACTCGCCCTCGCCACCGACTCACCACACATCGGCGCAATAATCCCATCGATCCGTTCCGCCATCTGCGCGAGGCCAAAGCCCTCCTTAACCCTCTCATTGCCCGCCCACGCCATAGCGTTCAGCTCCTGCGGCGTCATCCTGTTGAGCACGCGGTCCATGACGGCGGTCCAGTCGTCGACGCGGTCGGGGTCGCGCAGCCAGCCGGTGACGCCGTCGACGACGGTCTCGGTGGGGCCGCCGGTGTTGGCGGCGAGGACGGGGACGCCGGCGAGCATGGCCTCGAGGGGCACGATGCCGAAGTGCTCGTTGGTCGGCGTGTAGATCAGGAGCTGCGTGCACTCGAGGATGAGGCGCTTCAGGAGGCTGGGCACCGAGAGCACGAAGACGACGTCGACGTCGGTTGGAATGTCGCGGGGCGCGTGCGCCGTGCTGCAGGTGAGGCCGAGGGACTCGGTTAGGGCGACGAGTTCCTGGTGGTAGCCCACGTTCTCGGTGACGCGGGGGTCGTAGCCGCCCGCCAGCACGAGCTTGACGTTCTTACGGGCTTCGGGCGCGAGGCCGGAGAAGGCGCGGATGGCGAGGGCGATGTTCTTCTTGCGCTCGAAGCGGTTGATGCTGAGGAGCAGCTTCTTGCCCTTCCACCTCCCCTTCTCCTCCTCGATGTCGACCTTGACCGTAGTGTCGACGCAGGGGTACACGACCTTGAGGTCCTTCTGGCTCACCAGCGAGGGCCAGGTGCGGCTGACGACGCCTTTTGTGAAGTTGGAGTTGACGGCGATGGCGTCGGCGAAGCTCATGCTCCATTGCTCCCACCAGTCGAATGGGAGGCGGTACGCACGCTTCCACCATTTCTGGCGGCCCTGGGCGAGGAGGAGGTCCGGGAAGTGGCAGTAGAAGAAGATGCGGCCCTGGGGGTAGAGGTATTGTAGGAGCGGCAGGCCGGCGCTGAGCTGATCGACGAAGTAGGCATCGGGTCGTAGGTCCTGAAGCTCGGATGTGAAGTAGATTTGTAGGATTAGATGGAGTTGGCGGAGGATGGAGCAGAGGATGCTAAATCGGAAGAGGATCGAGGGGGGGACGATAGTATTTCCACGCACGCGGACGTCAAGTGTGCCTATTGGAATTGGTTATAATTAGCACTTTATCAGATGTAAGCTTTAATTAGGTATCTCATTAAAACATACCATCTCGAGCCTCATCGAAGCAATGGTTTGGATCGCAATGGCTTGTGAATATGACGACTTTATGTCCGCGATTCTGCAAGCCAACAGCAGCATCAACAACCAATCTCTCGGCACCCCCTATGCCAAGGTCTGGATGCAAGAACACTATTGTCTTGGGCTTATCAGTTGTGGTTTTTGCCATGTTGCGAAGTGCTTGGCATACGTGGCATATGTGGCCATAACTTTTTGAAGTGAAGGAAGTTCAATTCAATTCAAACAAAATGTTGAATAAGAATATTTGATAGTTATGTACATATGTAGTTACCTAAGGTTAGTTACCTAGTAGTTACATAACTATGTAGTTAAATGACAGGTACAAAACTACAAAGTACCTAGGTTAGCAAACGTATCCATTTCAGCCCTACACTGCATGTGCCCCACCAGCCCACCTACGTACATGACCCGCAAATCTTGCAGATGCCTTCAATGCTTATTTGACATATACATAATACTTCATCTTCAAATCACATATTACTACTAGGTATACTACTACATACTACTTGATAGTTGTAAAGACAACGAAAAAAAAAAAAAAAATAAGAATAAGAAAATAAAAACATATCAAGTCATTATAGCATAGCTAGCTTCATCTCATTCTAATATCAATTCCTCCCAGACTGCTACACATCTTCTCTTCTCTTCTCTTCTCCCTTCAGCTATTGCTTCATAATCATCCCCTCACCCCTTCACCATATTCTTTCTTTTCCCCTCTCCTGACTGTTGAAGAAAAAGAAGAAAAGAAAAGAGAAAAGATCCCTTCGTGCCCATCCCCGTAGCGCCGAACAATCTCGAGACGCCCCAAAAATGCGGGTATTGGTAGTGAAAGGAAAAAGAGAGAAAAAGAAAACCATGACGACCAGGTGTACACCTCGCCCAACCAAAAGACCTGACATACCGATGCGCCCTTCTGATTTTTTGCAACCGTCCAGAAATTATAAACAGAGAATCGAAGGTAGTGCCGTATGCTTGTTCCAATCTCCAGTAGACTACCACGTAGAATAGGTAGTCCTTAATGTGCAACATTTGTCTCCCTTCCCCTCCCTTCCCTTTACACTCACTCACTCACTCACAGAGCCCTCTTCGTACTCGTCCTTCTCATCTTGGTTCCCATCTTCATCATGTCTACGAGAAATTCCTAGCCCCAATTCGCTGCGCACATCCTTCTGTATCTTAAGAAAATACTTCTTTAGCGTCGCCAACCCGCGAAGAAACCCGCGATCCGGCTCATTCGGGTGCCTTGGCGGACATGGTTTATTTTCGGCCAAGTCCCCTGCTGTGACGCTATTGGCGAAGTCCGCCATCTTGAAATCGATCTCTTTCTTGTTCTTCTGCCGTTTTCTAGGGTCCCAAGCGTCCTCCGCGTCTGTTGGGAAGTCAGTAGTGGAGTCGTCCGCCGCCGTGTCGTACCCATCGTTGGATGTGTCTGCGTCGTAAAACATGAGTAGGCTAGCCGCATAGAACCGATAGCCGCGCAGCCTACGAATAGTCATTTCAAGTTGGTTTAATTTTTGTAGGATAGTTGGAATGTGTCTCAAGACGCTACTATAATCCACGCCGTCATAAAGGAACATGGTAAGAGCATCTTGAAATTCTGTCCCAGCTTTGAGGTCTCGTCCGTAATATTTGTCTTTGAACGCATAAGTCTGAGACTTGGCGTCCCAAGCCTGCAATCCGCAAACTCTCACACCTAACTCCCTTGACGTAGTTGCTGCACATTTGCGCCGTTGCGAATCCCGTTTCTTTGGGTTAGCCTCCACGCCGTACTGCCGAGTACCCATCTTCAAATCCATGATGCAAGGTCGTTTCATACCGGCCGTGAGGTCCTCCAAAAGGAGAAAATATTCGACTCGCGAGTCGTGCTGCGTCTGGGCTTCTTTGGGGTTGACAGGCCGCGGGATTCTCTTAAGCTCCATCGTCGGGCTAGGAAGTTCGGAAGGAAACTCTGATGAGAGGTTGGATGGGAATGTGGAGCTATCCGCAGTCCCATTTTCAACCAGTTCGGCCCCCTGTTTGAGTTCATTTCTTGGGTGGGGAAGTGTGCGCAAACCCGGATGAGTCTCATTATCTCTTATATATTCAACCTCGTCTAGGTCCTCGAAATATTTAAGGCTACCACGCGACTCCATGACATCTTCAGGCCTTCGCCGAAGCTTACTTCCCGAATTACGCCGCTTCCGCCTTTGCTGCTCAAACTTATCTGACAAAGTCTCGAGCTCAGGTGCGCTAGTCCCGGTAACGTCCTTCAAATGGTCCATACTCTCCGCTCTTAAACAACCTGGCTCTGCGCCTAAATCACTATGGCTGTGTATATTTAGTATCGGAGGGTTTGTAGAGTTCAAGTTGTCACTACGCCGAGAATCATCATAAAAGTCTTCTCGACAGGGCAAAGGGTTCCCAGAGCTTGTCGGTCGGTCCAGTCGTTGTACTGAGAGACGAGGTATCGATCGTTGATGAGATGCCGGCCTTCGATGCTTGTGCACCGCAATAGGCTGCTTCAAGAAGGCGTCATTAAAAACTTCATTTCGTAATCTCTTGTTAACAGTTGTGGCACCCCAACTATTAGTATGCCGATCTTCAAGGCTTGGCCGAGCAGCTGATACCGCATCGTGGTCCGACATCTGACTGTGGAGATCACGAAAATACTGCTGCCCCAAGGCTGCAGATGCACTTGCCGGACGGATATAGTCGCTAGACGTTACTGCAGGCCGTAGCAAACTTCGGGGAAGAATATGCCGGTTGTCGACAAAAGTAACTGTAGGGATCGGTGTCTGCGATGATTGAAGGGATTGGCTGACTATCCTGCGGTGATATCGCTGCTCCTCTCTCTCCGGGGCATCTAGTCCCTTCCGGGTACTTAGGCTTGCTGGCTCGTTGTTACCATTCGGTTGACTATCCTGATCACCTATCTTCCTTTCTAAAATATGACTGTCCTCTTTTTTAATCGTTGACTTTCGGCGCGGCTGCTTCTGGAACGTCACATTCAGAACACCAATGTACCTGGGACGTAGTTAGCTTGGATTTGATACTTAAGAGCCTTGCCATCAGGCGCAATGCAGGCCAAGGAGTGTAGCAATAAGACATGGCAATAACACACCTAGGTAAGAAAGGTAGGAGGTCACGGTGGTATCTTTCGATTTTTTCATAGAACTCATTTTCTCGGTTGTTTAATTGCTTGCAAACAGCTCTCTTCGAAAATCTCCAAATAGTTGTGTGGCCACCAACTTGATGCTTATAAGGTATGAGTTCAATTGCCTCCAACGGTAACTCTGGTGCAGGCTGGTGTTCATGGGCCATGTCTTCATAATACTGAGAAACTGGCCGAGACGATTCAACAGATAACCCACCAGATTTTGGGGGAAGCTCGGCTTCATCCTCGATAGCACATTCATCATCTATTCGTGGGAACTCTTCAATATGTGAGGCTGCTTCACGATTACGGTTAACATTACCACCATCCAGTCCATCAGGCTTTGCCTCATCCTCAGCTTCAGGCTCGTCCGCTTTCACCAGCCAAGGATGAAAACCCTCACTATGGGGTTTGCGAGAAGCAGGTGGTGTAACTTTCAAATCTTCAGGAAGAGCGTTGCCATTTTCTGGGGATTGATTCAAGCCCTGATGCGGTAAAAATACAGCAGATGATATCTTTTCTTCGGATGACTCGTCGCCTTCTTCAACAGCTCCCCCGATTTCCGCTATGTCACTTGACTTTCTGCTAACCTGCGCAGCGTCCTCACCAGATACAGCAGTGGAGCCGTTAGGTGCACCATAAACACCCGTCCTTGAAGCAAATTTTTCTTGGGAAGACGATTTTTTGAAAGGTTCTGTGGCAAGCTTCTGAGGGGTTTGCAGGCCAAAATAATCGAGTTCGGTAGCTTCGCTAGAAACTGATTCGGAGGTTGGAGCACCCCACGTAGGTGACTGCACGTGCAACACGCGAGGCGGAGACTGTTCACCTTCAATAGGCTGGGGCGATGAAGTTGGCGTCTCGAAAACATTGTTCTCGTCATACTTTTCTTCGCGGATGTCCGGTTGTAGACCCTTGGCAAGTAAAGCCTTTTCTCGTTGGTGACCCACGGATTTTGACTCCCTCCGTCTGCCTTTTTCTTCTGGGAGGCCTTCCTTAAAAAAGCGCAGACTGTGACTTGCTTTTCGACTACGAGTAGGCTCAACACCAGCTAAAACCTCTGTGATAGACTTCTCGACCTGCCCGTCCTGGTGTCCAATTATGTCGTTTGTGCCGATGGACCAAGCCTTCTCTGGGCCCATTGAGACGGTACGCTCGACTCTCCACGCTCGATATTGGGCCCGGGAATCGGAAACAGGTTCGGATTGATCATCAGTAGACGGCGCAATGTCAGAAACGCTAGCTGGGTGTGGAAGCATTGTATCTCCAACATTATCAGACTGTGTTTTAGGATAGTCTAGCAGACGCAAACGAATCTCTTGCTCCGTGCGTTCCAGTGATCGCCCTCTGCCCCCCATTCCGAAGTCAAAGTCCCGGCCATCTGCCAGCGCCGTGCTTACGCCTACGGCACCAGGCATTGCGATGGGCAAAGATGTTGTACTGTCTGGGGTTGGATATGTCGTCGAAGTTAAGAATGGAGCCGATATCGTTCTCGTCGCCTCAGATGGTCGTAGCTGGCCAGTTGACGTTAAAGAGCCGTGTTCAGTCGACTGAAGAAAGTCATTCTGCGGGTCAATCACCGCGTGTCTAGTGCGCGCTTCGGGTACATTTTTGGATTGGACAGGCTGGCTCGGTCCATTGAGCTGCACAGGCTTCTGCTCGGGATATCGTTCATCTGCCTGAGATGCGGAGTTGGATACGGAGGTGGGTGGGATTCCACGAGCAGAAGCGAGAGCCTGAGAGAGTAAAGATGGGCCATTAGATCTCTGGGGTGCGGTGGGTGGCCGAGATTTCTTATTATTATTTTGGTCGACATGGCCAGCAGCGAGGGATGGTGAAGGGGTGAATGTGAATGGCAGATGGGGACCAGGGGTGAGTGATACAGCAGGCGATACCGCAGGCGATACCGCAGACAAGAGACTTGCAGCTAGTGGTGCATTGTCAGATATAGAAGACGAACCAGTCACAGTCGGGGAAGAGAAGGATGGGCTGTCAGTCGCTGTCCAAGTGGCAGCGACTGCACTGAGACTGGGACTGGAACTGGAACTCCAACTACCAGTTGCCACACCTTGAGAGCTCACCGGTGCGGCAGTTGCGGCATTTTCGAGCTTACGAGACGGACTGGACATGAGGTAAACATTTGACGAATACCATGGCAGTGTGGGAGGAATGATTCGCAGGGGATTGGGGCAGGAAGCGGGAGGTTATTCAGGGCGGGAAGTGAGTTAGGTATAGGTATGTATTAAAAGGTGTATTAAAAGATGATTTATGATGGGAACATGGGAAAGTATTGTACAAGTAAGGTACAAAGTTTAATTCTACTTACTTTTTGGTGGCGGTTTCGGTCAAAGTGGAGAATCATACCTTAGGTAGTACGTACTAACTAGGTAGTTACCTAGTACTTTTACCTACATATGTGCCTAACCATGTACTTACTAGGTACTTAACATATGGATGGATATCCAGTAGGACAGCCATAAACTTGGGGTGCCTCTTGCCCTAAAAATGTAATTCTTAGGGGAGGGGCTCTTCCCCTAGACAGCCCTGGAGCCCTGGAGCCCTAGTCATGGAGGCCTTTCAATGTTAGGCATGCAGCCCTGGACATCAGCTTTCAATGTTCCCATCTCTGGAGGATTATGTACCTACCTAACCCTTGGCGAAAGACGGCTAATACGGCAACAGTCTAGTACGCATCATTTAATTGTTAGGTACCACTGTGCAGTAACTGGCAGCCCACGTGCTAACCAACCAGTCAATCCTAAAGCATCCAAAAACATCCACGATGAATCCAAAAACACCCAATACTACCTTACATCTACAGCATTCCACATTCCAGTCAGTCCCCAGGTTTCCGTCCTTAGTAGACTCCTTACATACCTAGGTACTAATAGGTGCCTATCTAATTAATACCACCTTGCTGCATTGGGAAAGCAAATCCTACTAAAGCCGAATCATCACTTTTGGCACTTATGGGGTCAATAGAAAATGCCACCGGGCTTGGTCGATAAAAGTGTCCAATGGCTCGGCTCAATCCCGTGTGCCATTGACTGACCGCTTCAAATGATACCCGAATTACCTGACCCAGTATGGTGAGGACTATATGCATGTTGTAATCTGGGTATATGCGAGATTCATATCCTTATGTACCTATCCATTTTGCTGTCCCCCTAAGATCAAACGTTGTTAATCATCTAACCTTACGAAGTAGACTAGAATTACCACGTAGGGAGATCCCCAAATGCCATACATGATGTTATCATTTTCGGATATCTATCCAGAACACGTTGCTGCCTTCTCACTTCTTACAGGCCATGTACATACATGTGTAGCATTGCCCACGCATACATAGTATGCACTATTTACATACATGCATACCTACCTCTAGTAGGCACCTACTAGTAGTACATAGGTAAGCTACACATAAGTATGCTTGTAGGTTAACATCTAGCCGTCCATAATCACGACGAACTTGTCACTTACCATGCCGTTTCGTTAGGGTGCGCCACGTCGTTTGTCAGACAGCTTGGATTGTGTTCCACGGAAGATTCTGTACGCCTACCTTGGCGCCATATAGCATTTCACCTCCTGACTATCGTCAGTCTAAAAGTGCAGGCTGTGAAGGTTTCACGGCATCATACCAAGTACAATGAAGCCCCGTATATGTAAGCCATAAACACGGATTGCTTCCTACCCCCCTATCTACCTATTAGACATGTATGTACCTTGTTACGACTATAACAACAAAATTGGAGGCATCTACATAGGAGCTCTCTGCCTTGTTCAACAGTTGGTAATCTTGAACCGTGTCGATCATGATCAATTATATTGAGTATCTACCGGGCACCTACTCAGATATTTGCAGACCCAGACTCAATATCAAACGCTCATTCGTTACATGCTATCTAAAAAAAAATACTTGAGTGTAATTCATCAACTTGCCGATCTCGAGATCTTTCCTCAACCAATCATTCAACAACGTGCCCTTTCTATGGTTTCTAGGTCCCCCAACACGACAATGATACAAGAACATCCACATCAGTCTCACAAAATCGAAGGCCACCCCATCGTCTTAGGAATTGTAGCAACAGCATGTGTCTTACATACCTAGCCTAGTCAACCCAGTGCTTGATGCGTTAGGATCACAGGAAAGTAATGGAATGATATCTGTTTACATACATAGGCAGGTATCTACGTAAGCATACCTCTAGTCCATATATAACTCCATATATTGATATGTCCAACAGTGTTGCTACCCAATACATTAGGTGGCTACCTGACTGCCTTATATACATGATACCTACTTACTTGTGAGGTAGGTAAGTAGAATAGAGCCGTATGCCTAAGTAATTATGGTTCCTACGAGCTAATTATTACCTCCCGCACCACCTCCTCCAGCATTGGGGGGGTTAGCAGGAGCATTTCCTTGATAGAATACTCTTGAAACCCAATCCCTAATGAAGTTATCATCTTCCGCAGGATATGTTCTGTGGACAGCCGCCTCGGCGTGCTGTAATAAGGCCCTTAAAGTCGGACGATCTTTAGGTTCGTGGCTCATACATCGCGCAAGCTCCGTGCGGAATCGTATGTCGATATAGGAATACTTGGCTTCTTCAAGTAGCAACGGGCAATAATGAAGTGGTAGTCTCTCGGATGATTGCGGCTGGGGTTTTTCGGGTACGTGAAGCTGCGTGATAAGCTGCCACATCGTCAACGCAATCCCCCACACGTTCGTTCTCTCGGTGTATTGCCCAGCCATTGGCGCTCCAGAGACCTCGGGGCCGAATTCGTGAGTAACGTGGAGAAGTTCCCATTCCTGCCCAAATTGCTCTGGGGCGAAGTAGCCATGCTTTGCTAGCCGGCGTCTGTCGTAGTAGTATCGGTTCCCCTTGTTACGCTTCATGGACTGTGCAAGCCCAAGGTCCCCGATCTATTTACTCATGGTCATTACATATTCCCAAGGCCGCTTCGTTTATTCTAGTTGCCTTACCTTCAGCCTCGGAATGAGGCGGTGCTCGCCGTCGCCGAATGGTTGAAGACTGCCTACGAGTACTTTTGGAAGCTGTCAATCACCGACTCTCTTATGGGTTAAGAATCGGCTGAGATCGTCTTCAACTTACTATTGGTTGGATCGAGATCGAAATGGACTATGTTCTTATGAGCCCACCGGACCGAGGCGGGGGGGATATATTCATAAAGCTCTCTGCCATCCGTCTTGAAATCCAAACTGGGGTTAGCTGCAGCGTTATCTGCTATGGTAGCACGCCGTCGGGGATGGAACTGTCGCGGGGGGTAACTGCAGCAATATTGTATTAGATCAGCCAAGTACTGAAACGACTACCCTTCCATATCCGATAGATAGAGAAAAGCAAAAATCGAGATGGATCTCTTACTCCATGCCAATACAGCCTTTAATCACTAATAATCATATCATTAGCTGAGACTGGCCAGAAGCGGAGGTATGTACAGGACCGAAGTCTGACTTACAGCAAAGCCAAAATTCCCAAAGCACACGGTTTGGAATACGCTCTTGTCTTATATCGATCATCCTATGTATAAGACTTGCCAAATCGCCGAATTCCATGAACTCTAGAATCATGTATTCTTTATGATTTACTTGATAGAGATCATGTACCTCCGCAGTAGGCATTAGGCGACCTTCATCTACTTGATCCAGGATAAATTCTCGGGATCTAATTTCACGTCTTCGTCTGTTAATTTCTCGTCGGCGGCGTCTAATCTTTTCATTCATCGCGGCTCGGCTGTTGTTGTTATCCCAACGGAATCTCCTATTTCTCTGGGGCCTTGGCCTTGGCCCAGGGCTGTCCGATCCACTGCTCGGCCTTTCTGAACTAGAATCATTCGACTCAAATACATCAAATCGGAAGTCTTCCCTCGGAGGCAATCCAACGTCTTCGGGCTGGATCTCCTGAATGGTATGGGCTGCGCGATCCATTTTCTGTGAAGCCTGTTAGCTAGCTTTTTGTGAGGCATATGGGGTTGGTCCTAGGCACCCTCATCATCCTCCGCTCTAGGCGGATATCTTCACTCATATACTCATGCAACCCAATCTTCAACACCAAATCGATATCCGGATTAGGATGCATTGGATCAGCCCATTTGAAATGTAGTGCCAGGCCGAGGCCACCATAGCCCAATGTTCTTTGGTAGGTAAATGGTCCCATTGACTGAAACCAATTCCTCGTTCTCCGAACTCGAGCTCTTATGTTTATTATCTTTCGGCCATCACTGTAACGTGGTGTGCCATCAATAGGACGCCTAAACGGTCGGCGGTACAATACTTGAAGAGCTTCTTGCCAAGCATTATTCCTAACCGGCCGGACGGGATTCTTCCTAGCTTTCGGAAACGGAAGTGCCAACCATTGTGCTCGGTATTGGCCTAGGGTGCTATTTCCGTGATTTGAATAACCCTCTGTTCGATATCTGCCAAACCACCAATTACTGGCTCGATACTCCTCTTCGAAGTTCCTAGGTGGTGCATGATTATTAGCCATTGCGTCTGATATTGTAGTGGTATAGTCTGACGTAAAGACACTAAACTCCACGTGCTGTGTAAGGGGAGAGGGGGGGGGGGGGGGGGGCAAGAATGGAGACTCTTGAATATATAGATTCGCTACACTCAAGCTTCATAGAATTTGAGCTAGGGCTGTGCTAGTTGAGATCTATATTGAGATATTGAAAAAGTACCGCTTTCGGAAGGAAGGCTGCGCCTGTACATTGTGACAATGGGTCTAATTTACAGGAGAATACCGCAACAAAGACTCGGGACACCCGAACTTGCGACTCTCGATACCCGGATCCGGAATTATGGCATGGATTTGGCTATTGTTGAAATGAACTTTACTGAATCTCCTTACCTGTTAGACATTACTTAGGTAAGATAATATATACTTAGGCACCTAAGGCCACTTGAGTACTACCTAAGATGACAGGATTCTGAAAAGGGTCTCGATATAGCGCTGTGTATATCGTGCATCATGTGACATATATCGGGTTTTCGAAATACTCGAATAACAATTCATTGTTTCCAAGTTTGCATTTGTGTTAAGAAGATAACTAGGTACCTTACATGGTTTAGGATAAGTTCAAGGATGGATAAGTTTAAATTCACACTTGGATAGCAATGCTGCTGTGGCTGTTGTTGTTAATGATGTTTAATGTTGTTGTTATATTTAAGTTATTTATTATGGAGCTTCAGCTTTAACTACCAGGCATACCTACATAATTACCTAATACATAACTATAAGGTAATACTAATTATATACATAACTAATAATATCGTTTAAAACTTTAACCTTATAAACTAAGGGTTTAAGATTATATTACATAATAAGTACTTATAATAATCTTATATAAATAATACGTTAAATAATATATATTATTATATAAATAAATGTGGGTGGATTTATATATTAAAAAAATAAGATTTAAGGATTAAACCTTATTATTAAAATATTTTTAAATATATAATTATAATGTTTTACATTTTTCTTTTTAACATATTTACCACCATTTATTAAGGGGGGATAATAATATTTATTTTAAACATTTTTAAGTTTTGTTTTAATAACGTTAATAAACTTTAATATAAATATTCTCAAATTATATAACTATTTAATAAATATTAAAAATAAGTAACGTTATATTAAAATAACGATAAAATGTTAAAAATATAGTTTTTTAAAATAAGGGGTTAATCGGATAAATTGTTAGGACATGGCCATGGACGTGGATGGCCACCATGGCTACTGCCATGTGGGCATCCCCATGGTTGCTGCTGCCACAGCTGGCTGAACCTTATCTGTGTATATATAGCCAGCCTGAGACGCTGGGAGCTCAGCTCTCTTCTTCTCTTCTATATATTTTTCATTGACTGTTTGACCTTTTGAGTCCCATCATCTGGTAGCATCTCTTGCTACGGTTGGAAGACCTCCAACCCCCATACCATCCCGGTTCATCCGAAGGGTGAGCAATATGCTCACCTAGAAAATCCTCAGACCTCTTGGTTGTTGAAGGGTCAATCAACAACCCCATCCTTATTCATTGCCCATATCCTTATTGATTGCCCAACCATGGACCCCATCCTTATTCATTGATCAACCATGGATCCCATCCTTATTCATTGCCCATATCCTTAATCATGGACCAACCATGCCCATCCTTATTCATTGACCATATCCCTATTCATGTCCTATTCTTATTCATTGACCATATCCCTATTTTGCCCATCCTTATTCATTGACCACATCCTTATTAATTGACCATATCTCTTATCCATTGCTATATGGATACCTACGCCCCTGGGACAACTCTTATATCATTTATCCATTGCTGTCTAACTACCTCTCTTCAATCCGACCGACCCCCATAGATATATCAATCTGTTTCAGCATATCCGCCGCCGGTCCGACACCCACCGAGCGCAACGAATGCTCTCCCTGGCCAGGAGACGTTCGTGGCTGGAACCATCCTTATTACTTCAACTCTCGGTCCCCCCAACCGACGAGATCAATCTTCAATTCTCGGTCCCCCCAACCGACGAGATCAACCTTCAATTCTCGGTCACCTCAGCCGACGACACCCTCCAACACAACCATTCAACATGGTTGTCTTGGAAACACTATTCCCCTTATATCTTTATCCCTATATATCAGCAGAGCCTCAGGCAACCTAACACCACACCAACCACCTAGGGCTTAAGCACATGTATCCCGCTAGGAGGACTGTCTGGAGTTACTTCAATTATCGAAGCAGCACGGGTCTGCTTAGAGATTCGTATCAGGGATCAACACACATGTGTGTATGTATTGGATTTGGATAACGTGGACGTTATCCTTTCCATTAAAAGGGGGGTGATGTTAGGACATGGCCATGGACGTGGATGGCCACCATGGCTACTGCCATGTGGGCATCCCCATGGTTGCTGCTGCCACAGCTGGCTGAACCTTATCTGTGTATATATAGCCAGCCTGAGACGCTGGGAGCTCAGCTCTCTTCTTCTCTTCTATATATTTTTCATTGACTGTTTGACCTTTTGAGTCCCATCATAAATAAAATATAATGTATTTTATATAAAAAATAATAAAATAAGTTATAATAGTTAATAAATTATAGGTTTTTTAAATTAAATAAATAATTTTTAGATTTTTTAATTTAAATAAATTAATTATAAATTTTTTAATTAAATGACTTTTAAATAAACGATTTTTAAAATAAACAATTTTTTAAATAAACGTTAATTTTTAAAATAAAGTTTTTAATTAATAATAACGTTTTAATTAATAAAAGATTAAAATAATTTTAAAAATAATAAAAGTTTTAATTATTAAAAAAAACTAAAAAATTAAAAATGAGGTTATTATTATAGCTTTTTCGGTATAAGGGTATTAAATAAATATAGTGGTGGTTATATAATAAGGGTACGTATTAACGCGGTACGTACATAGCTGGAGGAGGTACTTATATAACTTAAATTATATAAGGAGTTAAATCCCTTTTTTACTTTTAAATTTAAACCTCCTTCCTTAAATATTAATATTACATTAATTTTACTTTTATTGTTTTTATTTTACTTGTTATTTAATTTATTATACGTACGTATTTATTAATATATAAGTGGATTTATATATTAAAAGGATAAGATTTAAGGATTAAATTTTGTTATTAAAATGTTTTTAAATATATGACTATAATGCTTTACACTTTCCTTTTTAATATACTTGTCATTATTTTATATGCATAGGTGTGGTTGATTAGGTATAAGGCGGAGATAATAATTGTGGAACCTTATGTATAATATATTTAAAAACACCTGCAATTGTTGTATAAGATTTTAAATAAAGTTAAATAAACGTGGAAAAGTTAAATGGAAATTTGGATTTAATCACCGTGATATAACATAGTCATGTATCTTTAACACATGCAAGTATCATAATGTATGTAGTAAGATAACTTAAATTATATATGTATGTATATACTTCTAATGAAAATTATGTTATCCAATGTTACTAGGTAGTTATGTACTCTGTATGTAGGTATGAATGATGGATGGATCAATCATGATGCAACATTGAATGGAAACACAAAGAACTTCAATGTTGAATAACTACATAGTACTACATCGTATTTACCTAGTTAGTAGGTACATAGATAATAATAGCACTCGCTTAGTAAGGTATGTATTTAACAACGATGTAATATGTTCCATATGACTCCATCATCTATCATAATTGCATTCAATTTGATCCTAACCCAATTTTCCAAGTTTACGAGTTTATTATTGCCTTAAACCCAACCAACCTTCTTTTTCCGATTGCATCTTTGCATCTTTGCATCTTTTTTAGTAATTATTTCTATTCTTTTCCCATTCCGTCCATCAAATCGGATACCTGCAGCAGTACCTAGTAAGAGTCCTGCAACCTTCGCCCCGAGTTTGCGGCTCGTTTACCATTGTATTCTGTATTCTTCATCCCATCCCATCCCATCCCATCCCATCCCATCATCTCCTCTCCTTTCTAATTCGGACTTTCAATTTCTAATCTCAACTTTCTTTTTTTCCATTTGAGATATCCCAACTTTGTATTTTTGGAGACGCTTCTTGCTGCCACCATCATTTCAAATTTCCTCCTCTACTTTACTCCCTTCCCTTCCCTCCCCTCCCCTCCACTTTGTGCCTCCCACCTTCAAGTGCTTCTCCCACCTTGTCATACGTAGTGCATCACTTTGTTGTTAGCCTATGGTTGGAGAGTTCCGCGCCAAACGTATAGTGACAAACAACGAAATTGAACACAATAATTCCAATTTGGTTTGTCCTACGAAGTTGTACAAGCATTGAAGGGGAATATACACATAATAAACTCACACGTACCCAGTAGCAAGCGTAGTGCTGCAGACAGAGAAACATTAGGTGATCTTTGTTGTTGCGCCACGCATACATACACCCAACATTGAACACTTCAAGTTGTTTTCTGCTCCAACTAGATTTGGCCTGAGTTATACGGATACGGTTACGGTTACTAGCCACGGTATAAGTGCATCTGTAACGCACCTACCACCTAAACATCGTCATCACAATGCGTCGCGCTTCCACAGACCTGACCGACCCCTCTCGAAACCTGGAGGAATCGATGGGCACCCCAGATCCGACATCCATAGATTCTGATCTAGATATGACTTTAATCATAGAAGAGGAAGGGAGTAGGATATATACCCCTCCTCCACACATTGCCGCCCGATTTTACCGACCTAGTCAGATTCGTCGAAAAGACTCGGCTGCCTCTTCTCGTCGTAATTCGATATCTTCTGCCCACTCGCGATCCTCGCACGGCTTTGGTCACCATGGCGATCCTCAGAGTAAATACATTGCTCAACAACTTCGCCGTGCCTCCATTCTTGAAGACCGAAAAGCACGCCTGGCCGACAGAGCAGCGCATGCCGAAAAGGTGCGACTAAGAGCAGCTTTGGCTAAGGCTTCTCCGCAGAAAAGCTCACACTTGGAAGAGCGTGCATTGGCTGCTGCGCAAGCGCGAGAGAAGAACCTAGCTGAAATTGTAGCTGCATGCGCCGAGGAGGTCAAGCGGGCCAAGGCAGTAGCCGAAAGCATGAAAGAAAAGAGAGAGATCGAGCTGCGCAAGCTCAAAGCACAGATGGAAGAGCGACTAGCAGAGGCTGAGAAGAGGAGAGAGGAATTACGCAGGCGACACACCGCTAAAAGATCCAGAGGCCATAGTGTAACAACCAAGAAGTCCGAAACAGGCAGTTTGTCGGGAGAGGAACATGAATCCTCGAGCATGAGTGATGTTGTAATGATGAGTGATGATGTGGCGGCATCTAAGATCCAGTGGTGGTGGCGAGGAGTATTGAAAAGGAAAGCAGTCTGCGAATTCTCCGAGCTTGGCTTGAACATTGATGGGGTCAGAGACACCTCATTCGAGCAAGTGACTGAACTTCTCGCTCAAGAGAAAGTCCTCGTGCTTACAGCAAGAATCCTGGGTATATGTGGCCTACGAGAGGGCGAAATCGGATCAGTTGACGAGATGACCGCTGTCCGCACCTTCTTGAGTGCCTTCTTAATTTTAGGCCATCCTACCCAGGTCCTGAGCAACAAGGATCACAGGGGGGAACAGGAGCAGGTTGGACCCTCTCAAGGGCATCCCATTCCCCATGATGATCTAGCTAATCCACAGTTACAGGATCTCGTCGCTAAAGCACGAGATTTGCTGATCTGCTTTGAGAACATCCTTTCTCGGCTAACGTCTATGAACAACCATACTACACCACCCGCATTACAGTCGGCTCTCCCAGAATCGTACGCGACGTTTTACAATGCTTTCATAGCGTGGAAGGCCCGTGATTCGAATGCGTTGGTCGAAGTGATGATTTTACAGTTTGTGGAACTCGACGCGATACTCCAGACTGTTAAGGACCGTACTGAAGAAGTTGTCACTGATTCATATCGACAAAGCATCAAGGACAATCAACTTATGCTGATGGTCCGGATCAAGAGACTTGCCGGTGCTGAACAAGGAAAGAAAATGATATTTGAGGCCGTCAAGCAAGCAAGGAAGGCTAGGGCAGCCAAGAAGCCTGCGGGTGATATGAAACCTAGAGTTGCGGAACATTCTTTTAGAAATGACGACTCGGTTGGAGACCATGTAACAGCAGAGCACGTTGTCTCGTCACAACTTCAGACGCTCACGCCGCCGCCGACCCCCTTAAGAGAAAGGGAAATGAAGCAAAACATACCTCAACCAAGCTACCCACCGATACTTCCAGATAATCGAGTCATTGTTCACGAATTAGCTATCAATCGTGAATATCGCATCGAGTATGAGTACTTTCAGGAGCAACACAAGCTCCGTATGGATCCTCTCTTGAACGATCTGAAAGCTGGCCCAAAAAACGAAGAGAAGGAGTTCCACTATCTCATTATAATGGCCAACTATATCAAGGATAGACTTCAGCATTTGGTCAAGCCCGGCTCGTCTATGTATACGTTCATCGGCGAAATTCTCGATACAGAGGTTGCTCAGCGACAGTTCATAGCTGGCAGTTTTTCATTTCAACACTTCTTTTCATCCATGGGATCTCTTCTTCCTAAGCTTTGTGCGCCAGTTCGCGACGACGAAGTTAAAGATTTAGTTGAAAAAAGGCTTAGCCAGGGCGACGTCGTCAACCGACTCGAGGCCCTTCTCTCATTCATTGATACCATGCTCTATGACTACGCGAACTATATGTTGCAAGTCGCAGCACCAAGTCTCCTAGAGCATGCATCTGCTTACGAGACGAAAAGGTTCGCCGAAGAACTAGATAGTGGCTCCATCACATTATCACGTGCAGAAACCTCGTGGCGAAATGCACGCGATAAGATCCACGCGGAAGTGGCACGCCGAGACCCTGAGGGCATCAATCATCCACGCTCACGGCCCACTCCGGATAAGGTATACTGGCAAATGTTGTTAGACGAATTTACGCAACCTTCGCCTTCAGTGGACACAGCGCCGGAGCCTTTAGCTCTGGATACAAAACGTCGTTCCCGTATAGGCCGGCAAACGCTGCGCATTATCACGGCAGGCGCTATACTTCTGCAGTGCAAGAACATACTGAAGCGTGATGTCCGAGCTCCTTGGAGAACAGAGGCTGGCCGGATATTCACCGTTCTCGAGTCTATAGACGACGATACAAGACCGCTTCCCGAGTCGACGGCTATTCATGGTATCATGGCAGCGCTAGAAGCCGGGCGATCGATGCCAATGGCTACAAAGACGCATTTACAAGCACTCGTTACCAAGGTGCTTGGGGCTTTTGTAGAAGCCAAGCGAGACAACACAGATCCAAGAGAACCCGTGCTGAAATTGTTACTAACGCGGGTGAGGGGTCATATATTAGCCAGGTTGCAAGCAGCTTCTGCAAGTGAGAAGGTGAAGGCTACAAGTACAGCTGGGGAGAAGCTCGCAAGTCTCGGACTGCCTGAATTCGTGGAACGAGTGCGAGAAATGGTGGATGAAATTGTCAAGGCAGGAGCTGTAGACCGAGAAGCCCATGGAATATGGTGGGAGATAGTAGCTGAGAAGGTGAACAAAGAAGATTCTGTAGCGACAACTGCAGCGACATGAAGGCGAAAGGGCAATAACCAGCAGGAATTGCATATTTCAACATTGCGTTAGGCATCGGGCATACACTTTCGAGGGGCAATGGGCCTTTGGGCCTTTGGTTCATGTATACGGATTCGGATCAGTATTGGGATGGGCGTTCTTTTGAATGGTCGTTTTAACATGTTCGAGTATGAAATATGTTTGGGATTGGGAACTGGATGGACGCCTTATTGGAAGGATATACCTTTTGCATCAGCGCCTATTTGGGCTCGTGCGATGAATTACTATTGATTGATAGCTTGGAAGCTGCTTTATACAGGATCGGCTTTTCTCCTGGTAGAAGGGTAGAATAATGCCAGCGAAGTATACGAATGCAACTTTGAATGTTCTTTATCTTCAATGTTGACTTATGAAAGTGAACTGTTTAATCTAATATGTATCTAAGAGAGGTACAGTTACTAGAGTTATTTGCCTATTTATGTAAGCTGTACTACTAGTATTGGAACTGTCTTTAATTAAACCTTTTAAGCACGTGATGACGAGTCAACGGAGTTAACGCGAGGCGCGTCTTCCAGAACTCAGGCAGCTGCCAGGCCAGACCAGACCAGACATCCTCGGACTTTTTATCTACATTACCTACACACACATAATTATGGTCACGACTTTTCAGGTACGATCATTCAGCCAATCTTAGAAGATTGTTAAAAAGAACATGTGTGGTCTTTTGAAATATGTTGAGCGGCTCATTGTTTCTTACCTACTTCAGTCTTCATTGAACTAGAACACTAGAACACTAGAACAGAACCTGCTACTATCGATATTGAGAATGTCGCCATCATCGTCACAATTCACTGGCAAGTCTCTGAGAATAGCATTTCCCGCTAAATATCCCGCCAATCTTGGAGTCGCAACTAATTTATTTTTTGGTAATAAGATGCGGATACTATCCGTATCCTCGTCGCCACTGATAATCATGTGGGGTATGAGGAGCGTGATCCGATCCGCGGTGACGATAGTTGGAGAACTTTCGACGAGATTATGAACTTGGCCCGAGAGCAGGACGTCGATATGGTATTATTAGGTGGGGATTTGTTCCATGATAATAAGCCGTCCAGAAAGTCCTTATATCAAGTTATGCGCTCGTTACGGAAAAACTGCCTTGGGATGAAACCATGTCAACTACAGTTCCTGAGCGATGCAACCGAGGTCTTCCAAAGGGGGCTCGGACATGTCAACTATGAAGACCCCGATGTCAACATAGCCATTCCCGTCTTCTCCATCCACGGCAACCACGACGATCCAAGCGGTGAGGGTAACTATTGTTCTTTGGATTTGCTTCAGATGGCCGGGCTCGTCAATTACTTTGGCCAGGTCCCCCGAGCGGATGAAATCGAAGCCAAACCTATTCTCCTCCAGAAGAATCTGACCAAGTTGGCACTCTACGGAATAAGCAATGTGCGCGATGAACGTATGTTCCGGAACTTTCGCGATCATAATGTCAAGTGGTTCAGACCGAACCAGCAATCGAGCGACTGGTTTAATCTGCTTACTGTCCATCAAAACCATTCCGCACACACTGCCACTGGTTATCTACCTGAAAACATGCTACCAGAATGGCTGGATTTAATCGTTTGGGGTCATGAGCACGAGTGTTTGATTGATCCCAGTCATAATCCAGAGACTGGTTTCCATGTCATGCAACCAGGCTCCTCTGTTGCTACATCCTTGGTGCCTGGAGAAGCTGTGGCTAAACATGTCGCCGTAGTCAGCATCACCGGAAGGGATTTTAAAGTAGAAAAGCACCGACTAAAGTCAGTCCGACCCTTTATGACTGCCGAAATCGTGCTAGCAAACGACAAGAGATTCAAAGGTCTGGATAAAAAGAAGGAAAATCGCCAGGAGCTCACGCGAAAACTGATAGATGTAGTCGAGGAAATGATTGAAGAGGCCAACGCAGAGTGGGACTCTATACAAGAAGAGGATCCAGGGAGCGGTCTGAGCAACAGTCGGCCACTACCCCTGATCCGTTTGAAGGTTGAGTATACTGCCCCGGAGGGAGGGCAGTATGATATTGAGAACCCACAGCGATTTTCCAACCGATTTCAAGGGAAAGTTGCAAACATAAACGACGTAGTCCACTTTTACCGCAAAAAGATAGCACAGAGTAGGTAAAATTGCATCTAATGTTGCTGAATATCACTAATGGTTTAACAGGGAGGGCTACTGCCAATGAAGGGCCGTCAGAAGAGCTGCTGGCAAGCTTAGAAGAGATCGAAGATATCAAGGTTGACAAGCTAGTTGGGGAGTACCTTTCAGCACAGACACAGTCCTTGAAAATCCTTCCCCAGGCACCATTTGGTGATGCAGTCAACCAGTTCGTTGACAAAGATGACAAACATGCAATGGAGTCATTCGTGAGCGATTCGCTGTCGGAGCAAGTAAAGCAGATGCTCAAACTTGATGACAGGGAAGACGATGATCTGGAGACGATAATGGAAATGGTCAAGGAGAGACTGGAGAAACAGTTTGCCACAGGCGCTTTGAAGCAAGCAAAAAGACGCAGATACAAGCCAAAACCAGATGATTGGGACTCAGATCTAGATGGCCACTGGGAGGATAGTCCCCAAGCGATAGATGATTCGCCGACTACCACCGAGGCGAAAGCTCAAACGACTCAACCTAAAGGCCGGGGTAGAAAAGCCACAAAGGTTGTAGAAGATGAAGATGAAGACGAAGACATGGATGATGTTGAGGAACAGCCGGTGCCAAAAGCAAGAGGAAGAGGTAGACCATCGACAGCTAAGCCAAAGGCAACTCCCGCCAAGGCACCAGCAAAGAAAGCACCCGCTAAAGGACGCGGCCGCAAGGCACAGATATTTGAACAAAGCGACGAGGAGGAGGAAGATGATGTGGTGATGGACGATGATGATTACGACCCCCCTGCTCCTCCGCCACAGAAGCGTACTACGACGAGAGCCACAACATCCAGAGCGGCGCCCAGTAGATCACAAACATCGCGGGCTACGCCAACGACCACTTCCAAGGCCGCCCCTAAGACGACGAAAAAGCAGACGACATTGAACTTCTCACAGAAGGCAACCCAAGACGACCCGCTGGAGATTAGTGACGATGAAATATCGGACGACTTTGAGTCGGTTCCGGAGACTAGGACTCGTCGACGTTGATGTATTGCTGCTATGACTATTAGGTATCGGATAAACTCATTCATACCTGCTATGTATGTAGGTATCTCACGCAAAGCTGATGTTATGGACTGGCTCATGACATAGATTACCAATATTGCAATTTGGAATGCATACCTACCTACTTATGAGAGCTTGATAGTGCTAATGGTATGGAATATCCTTGAAGTGATGAGTACAATCATGCAGGTCAGCCATAGCATAGCATAGTAGGCGGGGCTTTTGCAACATCAAGTAATATGGTATGAATGAATTGAGACTATTATTTACAATAATGCTTCCGTTATGTGCTTGATACAGTCAGTCATGTACTATACACCTTTGCGAGTAGGCAACGAGGCGTCATGCTAAACCTAAGTACGTAGGTGAGCGTAATTCACGTCCGTAAAGATATTTATAGGTGGCCAATTCATTGTTGACATCAGGTACCTGGGTACGTAGGTATGTAGGTACGCATTGGTAATTCAATTCAGGGGGGCCGTAACGTCTTGCTGTTTTTCTTCTTCTTCTTTTCTTGATCTATCCAACCGAGCTGACAACGGTTAAAGTTCTTTGGAGCTTAGGCGGCGTGTTTCGAATCACTAGGAGGATGGGGCCATATAAGCTCGAGAAAACAACCTTGCTCCTATTTCCTAACCCAAGGGGGGCTTGATGGTGTTTGGTGGGATGGGCTGGTGATGTGATCTCTTAAGGAGAGACTTTTTGTTTATTTAATAGGTGTTGGTGACTCTGGGGAGGGTTGTGTCTTGAAGATACTCGCGCGGGTTGGTTTTAAACCACAACTTCTCTGGTACTATACTATATTCCCTCCAAGACATATATGATGGATGAATGTCTATGTAATAGCTCTCTTAAAAAAGGAGGGGGTTTTTTTTGAAGAAGCTTCTTATTTAACGACTCTCAAGAGAACTAAGCTATCGGTAGTATATCAAACCTTGGGGAGAAAACATTCCGTCGCCACCACCACCGGACACCGTTGGCGGGAAGGGATCTAACGGCCGCTATATCTAAAAAAGCACATGTTGCTTGTTTCATGTTGTCCACGTTGTCTACGTATCCACGCATTTGGCAGAGACACCAAGGTTTCCTAGCAGCGGAAGATTGTTGTATAAACTCATGAGCATTTCATGGTATCCGGAGGCAAAATGGCTAGGGGTTACCTCATCATATGTCACCGGTATACACCAACGTGCCAGATCCTCCCCCCCCCCCCCCCCCTTTTTGTATTTGGGTTCAGCGCGAGATTCAGGGTCCCGCCATATACCGTCGTCTCCCAACCCATCCTTCATCGAGGGAGGAGTCAATACATGTAAATGCCATCTTGATAGGATTCCGTCTCAGGGGAATCATCCGCATGAATTCGACTTAGTACTCCCGAAACAATTCAGGCATGCCTGCCGGTTTCCTTCGAATATGCATACCACGCCCCCCTTTCTGCTCCTGCTCCTCCTCCTCGTCACAGCCGCGGCGGCGCTGCCCGGCAAGCCTCCATCGGGCGGCAGCAACAGCCAAAAGACGACCTCCAACACTAACGACAACAACAACAAGAAGGGCAGCAGCGGCCGCAAAAAAGCCGAAGACACGCAACCCAAGTACTTCCACGAGGCCGGGTACACGATGGAGCTAGGGCACTACGACGCGCGGTACTTCCAAGGTGTGGTGCCCTACGCGGAGCACCGGCCCGCGCTGCGGCGGCTGATCCGGTCGTGGCTGACGACGGCGCGGGAGCTGGGCGTCGACACGTGGATCGCGCACGGCACGCTGCTGGGGTGGTGGTGGAACGGGCGCGTGATGCCCTGGGACTACGACCTGGACGTCCAGATGCCGACGACGACGCTGTCGTTTCTGGGGAGGCACTTTAATCGCACGCTGCATGATTATAGGTTTCTTGTTGAAGGGGGGGAGGGGGAGGGGGGTAATGGCACCGCTGATGGGGGAGGAGGAGGAGAAGGAGGAGGGGGTGAGCCGTCCTACGTGAACAAAACGTACCTCCTGGACATCAACCCGCACCACACGGACATCGGGCGCGGCAACGGCGCCAACATCATCGACGGGCGCTGGATCGACGTGAGCAACGGGCTGTTCGTGGATATCACGGGCCTGGCGGAGCGCGACCCCGCGGCGAGCCCGGGGGTCTGGAGCTGTAAGAACGCGCACCGCTACCGCACTACTGAGCTGTACCCGCTGCGCCGCGCTGAGTTCGAGGGCGTCCCGGCTGGCATACCGTATGCGTTTGATAAGATACTGACGGATGAGTATGGGGCCAAGAGCCTTGTGTCTACTGAGTGGGCTGGGTGAGTTATTCCCCCCCTTCTCCTTTCCTTTCCCATTGAATCCTGTCCCCTAGAGATATATCCTCTCTATGTCGGGTAGAAGAGGGCTTAGTGTTGCTAACTCGGCGTATTATAGACACCATTGGATGCCAGAGCTCAAGGAGTGGGTGAGGATGCCAGAGGAGGAGCAGAAGCAGGCGGAGGCAAAGCTGAATAACCAGCAGAAGCAGCAGGATAATGGAAACGCGGTCGTGGTTGTCGTGGAGAAGACGGTTGTGAAAGGGGGTTAGGAAAGGGGATGAGAATGGGATGGGAAAGTTATTGACGATGGACCTTCTTGAATATGAGTTTTTGAAAAGTTGGATACATTGGATATGTTGGATACATAGGTACGTAGATACCAAGGAATAGATGGACAATTTAAAGCAAGGTTGAAGGTTAGAAGGTTAGAAAAAAGGGGGGCTGTCCCGTATATGTATAAGTAGTACAGGGAATGGTGTCGTATTGGCACAACAGCGACATATATATAGCATCTTATAGATGAAGGTATCAGAATCGTACCTGGGCTCAGAGAAACCATTGAATTAGATATCATTTGGAACGAGCTTCTGGAAAAATCGATTGTACGTACAAAAATATAACCCCTGAACTCTAGCCAAGAGCCTTCTTCTGTCCCCAGGGCCTGATGTCTACTAGAACTGCCATCCCCTAAACGCCATTATAATGCAAGATATGATGTAATCTTGAAGACCAGTGCCTCTAACGAAAAAAAATCTAGGAGAGAAGGCAAAAGGTATCGCATAAATGCCGTCGTAGATGACACGGATAGAGTAGCAACTCTTAACAATATCCCCAACGCCCAAAGCCGAACATAATAACCCTCCAAAAAGCCTCGAAACTTGTCTTGTCGTAATCGTAAATGTAGCAAAATCTTATTTCAAAAGTCACCGCGCTACTGAGCATCCCTATTTTCCTCTTCGCCCTGTGCTTGCTTTTGCTTCTTGAGGCGTTCCTCAGTAGCTCTAGCGATGATCTCGCGACGACTCACAGTGCCCTGGCCCGCGGCGGAAGCCCTCCCTCCACCGCTACCGCCACCACCAAGGACAAACTCGCCGCCCGTCCAGCCGCCATGGTCGTACGCAACCTCTTCGCTCGGCTCGTAGTACTCGCCGCCACCTATATTCCTGCCCGTATCCGCCTGCTCGACCTCGCGCTCGATCTGGTGACACAGGTCCCAGAACTTGCGGTCGTGGTCGCCGTGGACGTTGTGCGTGAGCTCGTGGCACAGCGTCTTGCGGATGGTCTTGTAGTCGCGGTAGCCGTCGTACGCGTCCGTGCGCAGGCGCAGCTCGATCACCTCGCCGCGGTTGCGGTTCAATCCCAGCAGCCGCGTCGTGCCCTCGTGGCTCGCCTCCGTGTTCGATAAGGGGTCCATCTCGGTCAGGAGCCCGACGCTGAACTTGTGCGCGCGCATCGCGGCACGGATCCCGATGTCGGCTTTTAGCCGCTCGAGGAAGGCGAGAGAGCGCTCCGGGCGCGGGAGGTTCGGGAGAGGGCGCAACGTCATGAAGGTGTACGTGTTGTTGTTGTTGTCGTTGAGGCCGGTGACGCCGCGGCGGGTGTAGGCTTTGGGGAGGTTGCGCCGTGCGGAGGCGAGGTGCGCTTGTCGCTCGGCTGCGTGCTGGGCGGCATGTTGCGATGCGGAGGCTAGCGAGGCGATCTCGTCGCTCGAGGTCCCGAGTAATGTGATCTTTTTGTTCGCTAGGTCGGTTACGGGGCGATCGCCGAAGGGAATCTTAAGCATGCCGAGCTTGGAGACCATGAGCTTCTGGTTGCTAATGGGGATGAAGAGCTCGCTTTGGACTTGGGCGGCGAGGTCGGCGACTGTCGCATCGGGGCTCATGCCAAAATCGCGCGATTTTCCATGATGTGTAAGTGTGATGGTTATCTTTTCAGATTCTGGTGAGATATTGCCTTGATCTGCCATGGTGGTCCTGATGCTGCGCTCAAAGAGGATTGGAGATCACTATCTGGATGTTCTGTTTAGTGCGTAGGGAGTTCAGTACTGCCTAGATCATAGGCATGCAAGTCGTTCACGATGCTTTGGAATATGCGACAAATAGTAAGACCACTCAAGGATGATATTGCAGTAACAGTGAGAAAAGGAGAAGCATTCCCCTATCTTCCGAATTCCACGGAACTTGTTATTTATTACTCTTTATACCTAAGTATGTGTATGTTCCGGTCGAAGATTCTACAAAGTCGATGCTCGGCGTCGCTTTGTAATCCACATGTAAATGTACATCCAGGTTAAATGCATAATAGTACGCAGGTACATACATACATACGTCAGAAAGGGGATGCCTCATCTGCCAAGAGATCTTCCACCAGTATAAAAGTGGAGGCTGATGCCGATGCAAACTAAGATATCCCAGCCAATAGGGTAATAATATCAGCATTACCCTCTGAAATTAGTGTTATGCTTGTGGCTTGTGTTGTACTACTAGTAGTATGTTTCCAGCCACAAGTAAAAGTTCCAAGAAAACATTCAAAAGAGACCAAGTAGCACGACGTATTTAAGCACTAAAGCTAGGGATCCAATCATACGTCAATCGCGTCCAAGGTTTCTAATATTGGCATTGTGGTATTGTGTCCTTTCATCAAAAAAACATTCTTTACTTTTGCCGCTTCTTTACTTCCACAGCGTTACCACCGACTCTCTCTAACTAAATAAATAAATATTACGAACTTGCTATACACCGAAACTCTGTTTGTGGTCTCTCTACGAGCCCTTTCTCTATCGAACAACCTGGAGTCCTCTCAAGGTCTCCAGTAGACCATTTCACCCCACGGAAGTCGTTAATTAGCTGTCCGCGAAGCCGTTAGGAGCTTTGGTCCCTCCAGCCCAGCATGACGTTAAACGTTTTCCGAGTCGTGGGTAAGAAGCCAATGCGATGATATGTCCTTAGGAAAAGTGCTAATAGCCATGTTCAGGAGACTTCTCCCATTTGGCGTCCATCTTTATTCTTTTACACAAGATGACCGAGCTCAATGTTCGTTTGTGCCCCAGTGCAATAAGCTTCAACCGGTAGACTAATCACTATACTAACTAGGGCGCCTCGGGTATCTCGTTCAAATCTCAAGCTCTGTACCTCATGGTTTATGTTACTCGGTATCTAGGTATGTTGCCAAACGATCAAATACATGAATCGAGCTTGCTAGGTATCTCTATACTTACATGAAACGCCTACAGACCTCTTTAGTACCTCGAGCATCTATAACATGATCTTCAAAATCCTTTTCATCAGCAGCCAGGGCTATATTATCTACTTGATGACTACCAAATACAAGCCGACTGTCGACCCTGGCCTCGATACCTTCCGCGTACAGTACCTACTAGCCGGCGCCGCTGTTCTCGCCCTCCTCATACCTTACAAGTACACCTTCTCCGAGATTCTCTGGGCTTTTTCGATTTGGTTGGAATCGGTCGCTATTCTCCCTCAGCTGTTCATGTTGCAAAGGACCGGCGAGGCTGAGGTCATCACCACTCATTATCTCTTCGCGCTTGGTATCTACCGAACTCTCTACATCCCCAACTGGATCTACAGATACTTCATGGAGCCCAACCACCAAGTTGACTGGATCGCTATCGTCGCCGGCCTCGTCCAGACCATCCTCTACAGCGACTTCTTCTGGATTTATTACAACAAGGTTCTAAAGGGCAAGAAGTTCAAGTTGCCCGTATAAACGGCTCAACACACATCTTAGCCCTTTGGTGGACTCTGGATGGTTTCTAGTGTTTCAGGGGGGACTACAAATATCTTCAGTCCCGACTGGATATTTATATCTAACTCACCCATCGGCAACTCTTGAGCTCACGGGTATGTCCACTCACGTTTTATGAGTGTGACGAGGCTGGCTGGACGACTTGGACGTTGTCTCTAATATGACGAGTCCTTAATGGCGTGTTGGTGTGCATGGCTGGCGTTAGGTAAGGCGGGGGCTGGCGGACGGTACCTTAGCCCGAAAATGCTTAGCTAGGAAGGTTTACTCAAGGTTTCAATGTAAATGTATATAAAATGAGTGTGGAAGATAATGAAACTTGTTGAATCTGAGGTCCCGGGACCATGTTCAGCCTCGCGACGAGCAGAAGCTACAGAAGAAGAAGAAAATAATTACATATGTTGGCCTATTACAACCACCCTATAAAAAAAACCAGCATAAAGAACAGCTAGTAATCGTTGAGAATGTTTAGTCGTGGTGTTGGCTGGCCCCCGAAACCCGGGAGAGCTTGTTACCAACGAACACCATGCTGCTGATTAACAGATCCCTTACTTAAAGACGTCACGCTAAATTTCCGGTTGGGTCATTACGGTCTTTACTATTTTTACTATTTGGTCTACTGATTTTTATGTTTTAAGAAGTGAACTACACAAGAGTACGAGAACCCGTGCCGTTCTCGAGGGAACCGTAATCAACAGGTCGCCTCGGAATCGGTGCCTGGACTTGTAACGGGGAAGACGCTTGTGGTGGTGTAGAGATGTTCTCGCCATCTTTTGCTGTATGTATGGTCGAGTCCATTGGCTCCGTGTATATGGGGTTCAACGCCAGCGGGCTGGACAACGACTCAGATCGTTCCCTTGCCGATCGCTCGCTGCCAACGCGAACAAGTTGCACGCGCTGTCCGCCTGTGCGGCTTGGCTTGCGCGCGAGCGATAGCTGAACCGTAGGCATCTCTGACCAACTCGGATCATCTACGTCGGGGAAGGGCATGTGCCTGTTTTCGAACAGCGAACTGTCCCGGTTTGCGAGGCTCTGTTCCTTCACAGTACTCAAAGGAGATACGGGGAAGATGGGATTGCCCCCATCGGATAGGGGCCGCACGCTATACGACATTGCTGGGTGCTGAGAGTCTGGCGGCCTCTGCTTCATGTCGGGCGCGAAATTGGCGCCTAACGTCGCGGCTCGTTGGTGGCCCTTGGTTGTGACTGCGGCTCCGAACACCTGGCCGGAGGATGTCACCTCTTTGGGGGCCAAACCGGATGGCGCAATGAGGTTCTCATGCCTGGAGTCAGGCGGCGAGTCGGGGTCGTATTTGCTTTTGAACTCTTGCTTCTTAGCGTTCCGGCGCATGAAGAAGAAAGTAGCCAGGGCGGAAAGAATCGAAGTCACGGCCGCCATGGATATGACGATACCGCCGATTTGTCCCGGCGTAAGGCTTGAGCCACCGCATGCGGCCTTTAACAAGGTTAGCTATATGTTCTTCACGACTTTTTTTATATAGGGAGAGAAAAGGATTTATACATACCATGGCAGCGCTTGCGCTAGCACTGGCGGCCTCCACTGCGGCCTGCGCACTACTACTAGCCACAGCTTGTGCTTCCTCTATAGCCCTACTGTAACTCGCCTGGAGATCTGCTATTGTGCCCGGGTCACCTGTCGTAGTTGGCTCCGCGGTTGCGGAAGCCCCGTTCGTCGCGGTAGCTGACGCGAGTCCGGCGGCGAAGCCAGATTTTTGCGCGGCCTCGATGGCGCTCGATGCGGATACCATGACGGTCGCGAGTGACGCCTGGAACTGGGACGACACGTCGCGCGCTACGCTGAACGAAACACTGATCGCGATGTCGTTTGATACTCCGGGGAGACACGGCGGCGGCGGTCCAGGCGGCGGTCCCGGCGGTGGTGCACCAGGTGGTGGTGGTGGAGGGCGGTCATCGTCGTCGTCGTCTTGTCGGGCCTGTAGTCTGTGTTTTTTCAAGATGGGCGTATCCCATGGAATCGGTGCCGGTGTCGTCAAGAGGACCGGATCCATAGCCTTCGTTCGTCTTTGTCTTTTGTATGGCGGGTTTCCAGCCTCGCCAATGTTTTCTCTCCTCTCCGCCATTAACCATTTTAAACTTGCGCCTGACCCTTCTTCCGCCCTATTAGTATTTGGTTCCCTGCCATTGAGATTGGGCGTATTTAGATCGGGTGTAGTAGCACTGCTGGGTCCTATGCCTCCGGTCGAGCACAGCGACCACAGCAGCAGAAGCGAAACTCCGGATTTAATCATAGTGAATGTGTTGTCATATATTAATACACGATGCCATTGTGAGGTTGTAACATAAGGAAACGAGTGGTAGTTGTCGGTGTTGGTGATGTTGTGGTTAGGTAAGGAACGAGAGACAGAGAGACAGGAAGGCAAACAAGAATAACAGGTAATTTACATTTACATTAATTTTCCATTTAGATTATTCTATGCTACATATGATATGTAATGTAGTTCATACTAAATAGCTATATGCCGCTCTTTGTATTACTACCACTACCTCATACCACTTAAACGAACCTAGTCGTATTTTCGCTATATCACATTGTAGTATTCGGTCAGCCGTGGTCCTACTTAATTCAAACCAAATGTCCGCGTTGATGAGCAATGGATGCGGCACCCATGGCTGGAAACATCGGGATACTAACCTCTATCAGGCTGAGCCAACTGCATAGGCTACTTGGCAGTGGACACGAGTTGTAGTTAGAGGCGAATAGATAGTCTTTCGGTGTGCTCATTTCGATGAATTTTTGGTTACATATTACCAAGAGAGAGAGAAAACAATTTATCAAAGCGTCTGATCTCCTTATTCGCTGCTGGCCCTCCCCTGGAGTTCAAACATACTAGAAACATGTAAGCTAAGCCCTGTTTTGAATAGAGGGACATGGGCTGTGGTGATGGATGTCAGACTGTCAGACTGTCAGACTGCCAGTGATAGTTCTTTGTTTGCCCCATAATACATATAAGTAGGTAGGTATGTACTCCCTCCCCTATGTATCCTCCAGGTTCCTTCTCTTACTATTCACTGGTTGAGCTGGCCTGCTAAACAATGATGTGGAAAATCCTCCCAGGATAATTGTACATAATCAAATGATTTACCTTCAAAACTTAAAAAGAATTGGGGGTTGATCCTAGAAGTTTAATTCTACAAATCCTTTATTTAGTAACTGAAACGTCCGGCGTTTGTAGGATCCCTGGCCCCTGCCCAGAGGTTTAGCTGATTTTTTTTTTTAACTGGCCCTAGGTGGTTTAAAAGTTTCCGAATTACCCGCAAATCCCCCGGATGGATCTACTAGTGTCTGCCTACAAGTAGATCTCCCCGTCCCGTTTTCTAACCTAAACTAAACTAAATAACTCCAGGCACCTAATCCACCGGCAGCCAAATTGATTTTTTAGGTTTTCTTCTTTCGTTTAGTTAAGTTAGTGTCGATCGAAAAGGTCCCGACTTGACGCCATTCCTTCTTCGTATTCAGCAGCCGTTTCACTGCCGGTGGGGAAATTTAACTTTTTTAGGTGACAGGAAATGTTGTTGGAAGGAGAGGAGAGAGAGAGAGAGAGCGGATGTGAAACGTGGGAGAGGCGCCGCCGAGGTCACTCCTTCCGGATCATTCCACTTTTTGATGCTGCTCATGTCTGCAGTACCGGTCCGAAGTAAACGAACGTCGTTCTTGCCGTTGGCGATAACGAGACCGAGATTTTAGAGTTGGGCCCCCCTTGTTGTTGTCGATACTTAAGGTTGCTCATACCTTCAGATACACAAGGTTCTTGCTACCAGGCATGGTAGCAAAGTTGCACGCTCAAAGTTACCCTGGTTTCTGGATGATCGAAGCTTCTACAGAACTAACTTTAGGACGCTTACCCCTGAGGTAATGGTGTTTCTGCCATTGAAGTAAATGACGTCCTTTCCATTGAAGTCGTGACAATAGGTACATGCTGCTATTGAATCAAGGAGGCTCTTTCTATAAAAGTTGAGAACGGTTTTATCCCTTCATCCCTAGGAGTTCTTAACCCTAAAGCTACTGACTTTTCGTAGGAGCACAACGGCAAGTGCCCTGACGATATGTCTCGATGGATAGCTACTATGTATGTAGGTAGGCACGCGCCTACTTGAACTTACACATATATCAAAGAGGGTAGGTAACACCCAGCACAATGAAATATTTAAGACATCTTGTGTAGTTAATATTTGAATCACCACACTCAGTCAATAACATGCTCAAATCAAATCACCTTCAACTAATATCTTGGAAAAACAACTTACTCCCCAGGTTGCTTTGAGCCCTACCTACAGTACTACAATGTATTACACACCTACCTACCTACATAGGTATCATAATATATAGCTTTCTATTTCAATATCAGGAATAAGGAAGCAGACACACTTTCTTATCATATACTTTCCCCTCAAGTTCGTCAATCATCCATCAAATGTATTGTCATGTCACAAATGCTCTAGGTATGTCCTTCTCATTCCGAGTCATTATTTCAATCTAATGACACCCACGCGAGCCTGATTATGGGAATGGGTGATAGCAAGTTTCCATTGGCCTGAACATGCCACAGCCTTTCACAAAGGTATCCTCCTATTATTTAGTATTTCTTCATTGACGTGTACCTGACCATACCTAGCTAGCCTTGTTCCAAACCACTGAGCAATCCCTTGGCACTACGATATTGTTTCATCATTGAAGTGCCTCGATAGCCTTCTATGTGTTGTTTTGAAACGACGTTCACCATCGCCCGACGTTGACATTATCGTTAGTCAAGGGATACGAGAATTTTTCTTGATTCTCAGCTCCTGGAAACCAGCTCATAACCTGGCATTAGAGATCGGTGCATATTCTCCCGGGGACTTCAAATATTGGTTCAAAAACTTGTCCTTTGATGATGGTGAACATGGGGCGGGAGAAGCATGCCAACAATCCGGCATCCAAGCACCACTGTACCTTACGACGAATTCTTCGCACAATTTTCCTGTCCTACTGTGCGCAACAACGGCAAGATCATTGCAAAGTTGGCAGCTACAATCACAGAGTCAGGACAGCCTTATAGCACTGAAATACATGGAACCATCAGCATAGAACCGTCCAAGTCCTACGCTGGCTTTCCCAAGCGGCATTCCATTCGGCTGCTTTGTTAACGCTTTGGCATAACAACAATTGAGTGTCATGAGGTGAAACCTAGAAGACCCAGACCAACACTGTTATTGCGCGGGGGCCTCTAACATATCCAGCTGAGAGGTCGAGAGCTCTGCTCTCTTCCTCTCTTTTATAATCCATGTTTTTGACGATTGATCTTTGATCTGGACTGGCATTGAGCCTCACATTTGGTAGCACCTCTTCAGGGGTTACCTAACCCTTTCACGATACCTATCTTGTACTATCTTCAAGCCGACCTCCTTATATATCAGTCCAACATCCCCGTCGTTTTAGCCCGCCACAAACTGGACGAGCGTGACTGAGACATCTTCAAATCCGACAATATTCAGAGACGCTGTCAAACATGTAGACAGCGGGGTTATTCATTGTATACCCACCCAGAACACTCGACGTCCTCTCTGACCAGGAGACGTACGTACCTGGGTTGCTGTCTATCCACTGCTGCAGCAGCTGAAAGAAGCTCCTTAAACCCCGCCCACACACCCAGAACGCCTCACGTCCACCCGGTCAGACGTCCGTTGCTGGGCCCCTTCCATCCGACAAACATATCTGTTTAATTATAAAGATATAGCTGAACTACAATACAGAAACTACAGAGGCTACATGTATATGTAGCTTTCGCTGCCTTAGCTAACCTCCGGGTCGTTACTTGACACTGAGAAGCAGCTTGAAACCGTCATAATGCTCACATCTCCTGAGACAGCCTACCCTACCACCACCTCCTGCACGTAAACTCCTTAAAATATAGACTGGCAACGAGGACGTTGCATCATCTCCCCGCGAGGGAGGTGTTATGCGATCAGCAACTTTCAGTTGCCCATCGGGACGTTCAACGAGTTATTGTACGGCACGATGGTGCAGAACTTGACCTACGATTGTAGCCCGATTGGAGCTATCCACCTCCCCCCCGCACTCGCCCCAACAGCGGCGCCCCGCCCCCCCCTTTGGCTCAACGCGGTGGAGCAGCGGGCGTGGCTGACGCAGCTCGTCTTCACCCTCGTGCACACCAAGCACGCGCAGCTGGACGAGGAGCAGGGTTTACCAATGTCGATGATGCTAGCAAGAAGGTTGTATCTCGGGAAAGATGTTGAGGAACGGAATCTCAAGCAAAATGTCAATAAACCCACAATTTAGAGACATGATCATCTTTGGGTACAAAAGCGGCAAACGCTTGAAACGCCTACGTGACACTCCGAGCAGCTGAGGCCAACAACAACAAAAACACTCGCAAGTGGTACAGACATGAGCTGTGCGATAACCTCATGTACTATGCTACGGAGGATGGCCGTCGCAAACTCATGATGTCCTCCAACTGTGTATAGGATAGACTAGCCCTGGCGTATGACTAGAACCATGGTCGGCAATAACCTAGAAGACGCAGAGCAACATCACTGTTACGTGGGGATTTCTAATATCTTCTTGGAGCCCATGGAAGTTATATATACATGTAACGGCTTTTGTTGTAGCTAACCCCCGGTTAGATCCTTGACAGCTAGAAAATTGGACAGAGATTGGGGTGAAGATGCTGAATGCACCATCAACATCTCATAGAAGTCTGGGACTTGTTGAGGCAGCAACAAGACTACCCAGACCGTAGTAAATGATTGGAATAAGGCTTTGATGATAGTCAGAAATGTTAATAGTCGATATATAAACCACGTTGGATTCTCAGGAAATCCCTTACTTTGCGTAGATTGGGGTGATAGTGATAGGCAAAATAGGGGAAGTCAATTGAAAGACAGTATGGATAACCGTAATAAGACAGTACCAATTCGCACTGTAGTTTGGCGCATTGGCAGATATGACGCAATAAGGTACGGCGTAGTAGATCGCCACTGACATAAGTCAAGCAGCATCCATAATCTTTCCATCTGCGCAACCTTGAAGGAAATATTTCAGCTTTATTTCTCGCATATGTGAAAAGTACTGGCCTAATGACGCCCGTATTTATCATTGATGCTTTTCCGTCACACAGCCTTTAGAGCTCTCCCACACTTGCGACGGGCGCAAATGGCGTCCCAATTCTCGACTAACGCCGCGGCAGCATCATCTATAAATGACATCCCGAAATCATGGACTTTCACCTCCAAACTTCCTGCTGATTCCCTCTTTCCCACACCTGCCGATTCACACAAAACACCCCGCCACGAGATTGGTCCCAGACAAGTCCGCGATGCCTTGTTTACGTGGGTGCGCCCACAGACTGTTGAGAGCCCCGAGCTGCTAGCGGTTAGCCCCGCAGCCATGCGCGATCTTGGCATTAAAGAGGGCGACGAGAAGACCGACGATTTCGTAAACACGGTCGCGGGAAACAAACTACAGGGATGGGACGAGGAAAAGTTGGAGGGGGGATACCCATGGGCGCAATGCTACGGCGGGTTTCAGTTCGGGCAATGGGCTGGCCAGCTTGGCGACGGGCGCGCCATATCGCTGTTCGAAACTACGAATCCGCATTCGGGAATACGCTACGAGTTGCAGTTAAAGGGTGCGGGGATGACGCCGTATAGCCGCTTTGCCGACGGCAAGGCTGTGCTACGGAGCAGTATACGCGAGTTCGTCGTTAGCGAGGCGCTGAATGCGCTGGGTATACCGACTACGAGGGCATTGAGTTTGACCTTGTTACCCAAGGTTAGAGTGCGCCGAGAGATGACGGAACCCGGTGCGATCGTGGCTCGATTCGCGCAGTCCTGGCTGCGAATTGGCAATTTTGATATTCTGAGAGCGCGGGGTGACAGAGATCTTATCCGGAAGCTTGCGACATATATCGCGGAAGATGTATTTGGCGGCTGGGATACTCTACCAGGTCGCCTTGAAGATCCAGATAAGCCGACGGAATCGACGGCTCCAAAACGCAATATCCCCGCCGATACGATTGAAGGACCGGAGGAATCCGCAGAAAATAGATTTACACGATTGTATAGGGAGATTGTGCGGCGCAATGCACTTACTGTGGCCAAGTGGCAAGCTTACGGTTTTATGAATGGTGTTTTAAATACGGATAACACGTCTTTGTTTGGGTTAAGTATCGATTATGGCCCATTCGCCTTCATGGACAACTTCGATCCTAGCTATACCCCTAATCACGACGACCATATGTTGCGATATAGCTACCGTAACCAGCCGAGCATCATCTGGTGGAACCTCGTCCGCCTAGGCGAGTCACTTGGCGAATTAATAGGGGCAGGATATAAAGTAGACGACCCTAAATTCGTCGAAGACGGTGTTAAAGAAGAGGACGCGAATGGGATCATTGAAAGGGCCGAAAAGGTGATTATGCAAATTGGCGAGGAATACAAAAGTGTGTTCCTCGGCGAGTACAAGAAAGTCATGGCAGCGCGTTTGGGATTGAAGACACAAAAGGAAAGTGACTTTAACGAGCTGTTCAGCGGCATTTTAGATACGATGGAAGCATTGGAGCTGGATTTCAATCTCTTCTTCCGCCGGCTAAGCTCAGTCAGAGTCGACGAGCTGGAGACGGAAGAAGCAAGGAAAGATAAGGCCGCGGTGTTTTTCTACAGCGACGGCGTGACGGGTCTTGGTGGCGAAGCCGAGGGTCGCAAGCGTGTTGGCGAGTGGCTGGAGAAGTGGCGGCAGCGCATTCTCGAAGACTGGGGAGATGGCCAGTCGGTCTCGGACGAACAAGACAAGGAGCGGATGCGGGCGATGAAGAAGGTTAATCCCAACTTCATCCCCAGGGGATGGATCCTGGACGAGGTTATCAAGAGGGTAGAGAAGGAGGACGAGAGGGAAGTCTTGGATCGGATTATGCAATTGGCACTACATCCTTTCGAGGAAAGCTGGGCCGGCCGCACGTTTGGCGGCAAGGAATATAAGGGCGATGTGGAGGAGGAGAGGAGATGGACAGGCGATGTTCCCAAGATAGGCCGCGCCATGCAATGTAGTTGCAGTTCTTAGGTTACATAACACCATGACATAGATAGAGCGTAATCAATGAAAAGACCAGCACCGTTTTCTTTAGGCTAGACCGCCAGCCTTGCCCCTGTACCTTTGTCGTCCATGGATGTTGATCAATGGTGTAAGCTGTTACTACTACGCCGTAGTAGTAGTTAGTGGTGATGAGTGCCAAGATCAATCCTGAGCCATCCTTTACGGCACATTTGACGAAGAATATTGGTCATAAGGCCCCGACTACAACGTACTCTGAACATCTAAGATCATTTTAGTGGCAATGCTTACCGATTATTCATCAATTATGTCTAATTATTTACTGACATTACGAGGTGCAGGAAATTGTCATCTTTTATAAAGGGGATCGTTATCGGCATAAATACCCAGGCGTTATGAACTAATGGATGTTATACAGATAGTGATGCCACTAAATATTAAGCATAATAGGCATTAGGATCCTCCTATTTAATGGGGACCTTTAGCGGCCTGCCAGTTTCATGGTTCAGGGGCCACCCCAGTTTTACAGTACACTATAGGCTACTGGCCACGCACCTATCAGCCCTATTAATAAACCACCAAAGCCGCCTGCACCTTAACTTACACCTCATTCCTTCAACGTTGCCAAAGTAGAAAAGGGATTAACTAGCTCCTCCCTTTTACTGAAATTTCACTGACAAGTGTACACAAAGATAATTTTACAAGATAGCTAAAGAAAGAATCATCACATCATGTTGTACGAGTTTGCCCTGAGGGCATTGCAGCCCCGTGACTTATCCCAGAATGCGGCCATATCACGACTCCTTTCGACCCGGGCTGTCTCTATAGTACCACCCGCTGATGACCCAAGTCCGGCCAAAGCTGTGATTGGGTTGGTGATGCTGATACTGAACATCGTCGTTGGCCTCTTTACCTTTTTGATGGTACGTAAACCTAGTTGAAACACTCATAGGAATATGATCGTGTGTGTACTAATCCGCATAGCTCTTTTACACCCTGCATTATGTCTTCCCAACTTTAGCTGTTGTGGAAGGTGATCCTCCACCGACATATATCCTGGTACCCACATCTGGCAAGGACACCAAGGAGAGCAGGGAAGCATTCATTGTCGAAGAGGCCCCGGAACCGCCATCAGAGCCCATCACTTCGAGTCTCGGGTCCACCTTCAGCCTCCTACGATCCATCGGCGGCTTCGACTCCCTCTTCCGCGGATTCAGCTGTTTCCTCGCCAACGGCGTCTTCGGGTTCGTCCTCGCCATCGTCCTCGCCTCCTTCGTGCCCCTCGTCTTCGCCATCACCGGGCCCATCTTGATCTCCCTGGCGCTCAACACGACCTGGACCCACATCGTCATCTCAGCGCCCAGCGACAAGTACTTCTGGCAGCGGATGCCCCGATTCGGCCTCATGCTCCGCGCCACCGCCCTGCCGACCCTGCTCTCCTTCGCCGCCACCATGTTCACGCAGAAGGCCCCCATCGTGCTCGCACGAACCCTCCTGGCCGCCCAGCCGAACCCCGGCGACCCCAACCACGCCGTGCTCGTCCTGGTCCTCTACTTCGCGCTCTCCGTCTTCGTCGCGGCCCCCATCCACATGAACCTCACCCGCGTCCAGGCTTCCCTGCTCCCCGAGGGCGAAGAGACGATTGTCCCGCTGGACAGCGCGCTGACGCTCCACAGGGCGAAGGGCAGGGAGTACATGTCCATGCTCGAGGCGCTCATGACGTTCCCGCGAAGCGCGTGGATCAGGGTGCTGGCGTTGTACGCTAAGATTTTCGCGATCACGGTCTTGACGCATTGTGCTATTGGGGCTTTGACGGCGGCGGAGTTCTTCTTGTACAGTCTCTTGTAAAAGGCTCGGGTCGTTTGGTCGGGGGAGCTGTAGATATCGATAAGAAAAGAAAGGGGGTCTCTCAGTTGCCTCGATAGGTCACTCGTGATGTAAATAAACATAAATTGTCTTTTGTCTTTGCTCGGTTCGATCGTTTGGGGATTCGATTAACGGCCTGTTATGTATATGTCTAGGCAGTGTTAGCATTTGTTGATATGTTAATGGATATGTTTAGTTGCAACACTTGTTGATGTTTATAGGCGCCTGTGTACTGGCACCTGTGTATGTGGTACCTGTGTATGTAGGTCGGCATCGTCAAGTATTCACATCTATGTTAAAGACTCATGGGCTAACAAGGCCATCAGCTTTCTTTGATCGAGGTAGGAAGTGGAAAGCGGACGGGTATACCTAAGGTGAGGTACCTAAGTAGGCGGTAGTGCCTTAGGCACATAGCAAGGCAAAAACAAACGCCCCGTTTTCTGCCCTCGTCACCGACCACGCTGCCTTACCACCCGCAACCCATTCGCATACGATCAGGCACACACACCCACGACCACGGATCATCTCATTGCCGGCCCTACTCCCCAAGCCCCCAGGGACAGTATATAATGGCAAATAAACATATAAATTTCCAACAGACAAAAGGGCCGGCTTGGTTAGCCGTGGTGATTTTGGATCCTGCCCGCTCCTTTGGATAGCGGGATTTTGGGTTACTTACCTCGGTGGGGTGTTCGATTCCCCCAACGGCCAACATTTTTTGCTTTTTCGACTTTTTTTCTTTTTTTTTTGTTCTCTCTTTTGCGGTTTACTGCCCACGGACTCCTCGTTACCGTTCACGGTTCTTTTTGAAGCTGTACTTCTTGTGCTTGCCTGACTCTGGATAAGTATTTCTTGTTGTTTATTTTTGCTCACCCACTTCACCACCCCTTCGTGAGGCTTTCTAGTAACTATCACCACCTTCTTTTGCCACTCCACACACAACGCCGACTTACATATTAATTTACCTCCCACCTACATAAATAGTACACACCTATCCATCTACAACAACAACCCTCTCTTCCTCTTCCCCCCCATCCCCATCCCCCCCACCACCCTCCTCTCCCTCCCTCTCCTCTCCCCCCAAACCTCCTCCTCCCACTCCCCCAGCCTCAAAACCCTAACCCCCCACCCCTCCTCCATCTCCCTCATCGCCTCCTCCTTCTCCTCGTCCCCCAGCGTCTCCGTCGCATCCTCGATCAGCACAACCTCGTAGCCCAACTTCACCGCATCGATGCTCGTCCCCTTTACACACGCGTCCGTCAGCAGGCCCGCCACGACCAGCGTCTCGATGCCGTGCAGGCCCAGCTCGGAGTGCAGCGTCGTGAAGCGGTGGTGCTGGTTGTCGGCGAACGCGGAGTAGGCGTCGACGCGGTGGTCCTGCGCCTTCTTGACGTAGTGCACGGGCGCGCGGAACCCCTCGAGCGCGTGCAGCCGCCGCTGCACGCCCGCCTCGAGCTCCGCGCCCCAGGTCGATGGCACGCAGTGGTCCGCGTACAGCGCCTGCGTCTCGAGCTTCGTCGGCGTGTCCACGAAGCTGCTGTTCACGGCCTCGCCCGGGGACATGCCGAGGTGCGCGGAGGCGAAGGAGACGTGGCCTTCGGGGTGCCAGTCTGCGGGTTTGGGGGTTAGCTTATATATTTACTAAGCACCTAGATGTATTAGGCGGGGTTGTTACCTTGCGACGCGACGATGAACGGCCATTCGTGGTTGTCCAGGAGCTTGTAGATCTTGGGCAAGATCGACGGGGCTCGCGGGTTCGGCAGCGAGCCGTTGATGAAGTCGTTCTGGACGTCGATGATAGCGAGAGCGGTTCTTCTATGCATTTTGCTTGAGAACTACGGGGATGTGGTTAGCGCATATAGCTCTTCATGTCGTCGTTACGGTTATGGGACTTACTGGTACTGCTATTGCTGTGCCGATGAGAGGCAGCAGGAGGGGTATGGTATGAGCCCTCATCTTTATATACCTGTCTATTTTCTTTTACAATTATTCTAGGGTTAAGAAGTGTCGCATTCCTTTGCGCGGATTATACAACATCCAAAAAGTCTCACGATCTAACAAACCAATTCAGACGGGCTGAATCACAGTTTCTCTCTGAAGTTGTAGGTGAATTAGTATAATACCTCTCTCTCTATTTTCTAGGTATTGACTACATTGTTTAGTATCATATGTCATATGTAATCCTGCGGTGAGCTCTACCCCTGTACCAAGATAACAAGCCCGATATCTTGGAGATAGGCGCACCAGAGAAGCTTGGAGTTGAACTAGGAAGGGTATGACAATCTACCAAGTATCTGATATGTAGGAGGCTTTTTGGGGTTAACGTTAACCGTGAGCGGGGTTACAATCAGATAACATGATCTGCGACCCCAGCCATAAAGAATACGCTCATGAAGAAGCTAAAGCCTTATCACGACAGGCATTGGCAGCTCGGTCAACCGCTTTATGATCTCTTTCTAATTCGTGTTCGTAAAAATAATGTGTACGGAGTAGTCCTTACTAGTTAATGGCTTAGATGCAGGATATGTGTTATTATGATACAAGACCGATAGAGAATATGCTTGGTTTCGGAGGATCATGTTTTATTAACTTGAACGATGAGATATAAAATGAGACGTAAACGCACTCCCTTGTTGTTGGAGTATCACGTGACTAAGTAGTCACATGATCATGCTCTAGCTTTCATTCTTGTATTCCAACGGACGCCGCCTCCTTGCGAGCTGCGTGCGAAGCAACTTCAAAGTCTAAGATAATTTACAATGAGGATAAGATGTTCGCTATCAGCTTAACAATAAGTGCGTCCCACTTTGCTTCCCCCAGTACCTAGGTAGCCTTACCCCCTTTTCTCTTGCATGAATGCCCTAGTTTTGTCCCTCGGCGCCTTTGAGATTTCATGTTGGTTTCCTCATGACTTCCCACTAGGTTCTTTCTGAACTCTGTTTACTCCTGATATGTTGTCCATATGCAGAATGGATTTTGGGGTAGCAGTCGGATTTCAAATAGTTATCTATATCCAGTGTTCCCGGCGGGGGCGCCCACAACGGTATCTGAGAACAATCAATCCGTCGTGGCGTTGATCCATCTTTGATCATTCCAAGGATTCGACTCACGATCCAAAGATCGGTTTCCGGCAAAATTCGCGCTGTCGGCAACAACTGGAGATGGTTCGATCCGACTTCTTCCTCGGGTTGATAAAAATATTCCTCATCATCGACGTTGTCTATAAATTCTGGCACCCATTCCCAGTGTCAATTTTCACAGGTCGAAACCAATTTCGTACCACGTCAATGTTTTCTTCGGTCAACTGACGTTGAACCGGTCTCCGCATCACATCGGGGCAGCCGTGCCGAATCTGGGATAGCGGCAACGCTGTTAAGCTCTGGTGATGGGGTATCTTCCCCAGCACCGTATCGCTGGAACTGCTGTTCCTTTGTCGCCTTCTGGCCAGATATCCCAGAAAGCTTCCATCACAGGAGACGTATGTAAGCTATCACCCGCATCCAATACATTTGAGTCAACTATAAACTGGTCGATCTCCGTGGGCCACTGCGCCGTCGCCTCGAGTAAAGTCGACGCCATGGGCGCGATTACCTCGAGCGCCTGCGGGGCGAGGGCCGGGTTCGAGTCCTCGAAGGCTGCGGATGACGAGGTGGAGGTTCGAGAGGGGGCGGCAGAACTGCCGCGGGATGAGCAGGCACTAGACGAATTTGAGGGACCGGACAACCCTAAGCCAATGTTGAAACAGGCTTCCACAATTGTATCGAATTCGACTCTCGGTCCCGTCCCGCCGACTCCTGATATCGTGGCGGGTTAGCGGGAGAGGCAACGAGGGCATGATTACGCTAAATATTGTGAAACGTAACAAGACGTGCATCCGTAGTAAGAAAATACTGTGAATGTCCGTCCTGTTCTGAAGACTGCTTGAAATAAATTATGGCCTTCGCCATATCCTTCCCTGATTGACTTACCGCGTTCAAGGGGTGGTCTTTCCGCCGCGCCCACATTGACCATGTGGACACGGCCACCCTAGTCGCTTCCCTCGCCGTCCAGATTCTCTTCTTCAAAGGACTCCGCCAACTGTCGATAAATCATGGCCGCGTCTTCGTCTCCATCCTCGTTCATTGTCTGGCTCTCCTCCTTCGAAGCATCGTCGCCACCGCCAACAAAAAGGACTCTCTTGGACAGCTTGGGGAGGTGTCATTCTTCTGGGAGGTTGATGTGCGTGAAGTCGTACTTGAGGCGCGAGCCCATTGGTATTGCTCTAAGTCAGGCACCCGTACAATTAGAGGCATGCCGTCTCTCACGCCACGTTCGGCTTATCAAGTTTGAGCAAGATTATAAAGACATGCCTATTTTTCAAAATAAGATTTATCACGACCCAACCAAAACTGTGGTCTGTCCGGGCGTTCACTCGATCTGCCTCACCTTTCTTGGCCTCCCCCGCCCTCTCTTGACAACATGAGCCACCTTCCAGTCGGCCTGTTGGCCTTCCGGAAGGACCACGGTAGGGGCATCATTGTCCTGTGTGGCAGGGGTTGGTTCGCCAGTCGAATCCGAGTCCTTGGCTAGTTTCAGCTCGTCGAGAGAGAGCCGGTGGCTCTTGTAAAACTCCTCGACCAGCTGTGCGGCGTTCTGCATCAGCAGTGGTCTCGGGTACCATTCGTCGAACTCGGGACCGTATCCCTTCCAAGATACGAGATATTCTAACATGGGGCGTCCGCCAGCACGGTTGACTCGGCGCTTTTTAAGTCTCTCAATCTTTAGGATACTGTTCCCGAAGAGCTTTGGCACTAGCCGTGAACTCGGTACCCGAGTCCCTCTTGCACACGAAGGCTCCCTGTTTTGTCTTGATGAACGGCAAATCGGGTCGCTGGGCTCCGAGTGAAGGGGTCGTAGGGATGTCTCCGGCCTTGAGCACGGCCCAAACCTCCTGGGAAGTCGTCTCCTCGGTAGCAAAAGCATGAGTTAGTTCGTCGGAGATGGCCATCTCCGCGTCAAACCACGAACCGACGTGATATGCGCCATGTTTGTCCTTCTCGGCCAGTGCTGCGGCGGTTTGAGCAAAAGAGGCCTATGATGTTAGGGTTGCAGGACTGTTGCAATTTGAGCGTCTGTAGTGGAATACAATCGTCTCCTTTTTCCATTTCCGATATGGTCTCGAAAAATTTCGAAGGTAAGACGCTCGAAACAATCCGATGTCTGTGAGCTTCCATCCGTTAAGCTGGTGCCGCTTTTTGGTGCTCTCGCGCTGCGCTTCCTGGTTTAGGCGAAACTCATCCCGCGCCCAACCCAGCTTGCCCTCGGAATTGAAGGCTAGCTGTACCCCGGCCATCATTTCTTGGATCCGTTGGGCAGTGTCCGAGATACTTTCTCATATTGCCGAGTGATCACGCGGCAGGGGCTCACCTGCAGGCATGATGCTGCTACTGCCAGCCATGATGGGTGCGGGCGCTGGTCCTGGTGACGGTTGGTTAGTTGGGTGCGGGAGGGCACTTCTGAGTGAACGGACGCTTTATGATATAACGATGACTGCTGGGGCAGTTCGGTATCTGGAGATTGGTAGAAGGGAGCGGAGGTTATATACGACAATAATGACTTATTCATGACCAGGTAGGTCATAGACACATGATATACGTAAATGGCGTACCGGAGCCCAAGGCTAGTCTATGATAGCCAATTGGGGCAAGCAAAGGGCCAGTAAGGACAGTCTCAGGCTCACCATATGAGGGATCGCCTATGGTCAGTGTACTGGAGCGAATATCGAAATTGGCCATGACGTCCCACAGTTGGGTCCTTCATCCACTCGACTTCGCCGTCGCGCTGCATGTCGTCGAACACTTTGTCGATTATTTTCCGGTCTTGGATGCCGAAGAAGTACACTTTAGTGGTCGAGCCGATCTGATGCGGGATTCTCAGCAACAAAGAGCAGTCGCTTGGCTGGGTTTCTGGGAGAAGAATTGGCCGGATGGATCTCTCGTATTCTTTGCACGCCAACTCTATGAGGTGCTACCAAATGATGGGACAACAATGGTCAGAGACCAGATGAAGATTAAAGGAAAACTATCTAACTATGGAATGGAGGAATGGAATATATAAACGCTCTGAAATATGGTTTCTAGTGGCTATTGCCACTGCTTCCTTATACCAAAGAGAAGAGGAAAGAGCTATAGTCAACAAGGCAGGAAGATTGTGATAGCAAGGCTATACCCACAGAGGGAAGCCATGGAGGTGATGTAGGTCTAACAATGCCCCCCTTTTGGGAAGGAGGGCCACTTTCCTCAGTGGCTCCATGGCTTCTCAGCTTTGCTGAGGCTTGCTTGGGAGTATGACCTTGATGTTGGTGGCTGGTATCTTGTCCACCAATTTCCATTCTGAGTCTTTCACTGGTCCCGGTGCTGGTGGTGATGTTTTGTCTGTGTTGTCCTCGTGGTTCAATACGGATTTCAGTCGCAGCTCGTCAAGTGAGAGAGGATGGCGCTCGTAAGAAAAAGCCGGGAGTCTAACCGCGGCCACTATTGAATATATGGGAGATGGTGGCATGATTTCGTCCAGGCATTATCGAGCCTCTGACACGACCCTGCGAACCTTCCATTACGATATCCCCGCAACGAGAACATACTTTCTCAAAGGGTCTCAGTGTGTACCTAGTACGAACCGTTTACCACTGGGTTTTGAAGGGTTCCTGACATGACATTTTCTCGTGCTCGCCAAGATTCCGACCATGCGTGCAGTTTCTGTTGGTGGAGGTGCTAATATATGTTGGGAACAAACAGTGAGAAAACAAGATGAAGATTGAAGAACTATTCAGTCATGGAACAAGAGAGAAGGATATATACACATCTTAATATAAGGTTTGCAATAACCATTGCAACTGCTTGCTTATATTAAGGAAGGAGGCAAGAGGGCTATCACAACGATGGCAGCTGAGGCTATAGCCATGGAGGTGTTTGCGAGTCCTAGCAATAGCATGGTAGTAAATCTCGGGATGCTAGCAGGGCTAACGATTTGCGGTTGATTGCGGAGAAGGAGAAGATGAACGAAACGACGTGACAGATTAACCTTCGTTTCTTCCAGGTTGGTGCGGTCATGTGGTTTATTGCGTCATGACTTTTTGAAGGTTAATTCGTTCGTCCGCCGTGCGTTCCACAGTAGTAAGTCGTTGCCTTTGGCAATTGCCACACTTGGTGCTGGAGTTGCTGGAGCCAGCATCTTTCGAAGCGTAGATCATGTGATTGTTGGTGCCTGAATGTCCAAATGAATGGATCAGACTTGAAGGTGCTCTAAATGAGAACCGGTGCGTATTGATGTGTGTGTGAAAGGGACTCGCTTATATATGTGAGCTTGAAGCTTGTGATGCGTGTGGCAAGTACTGGCTAATGTTTCGCTTTTAGTTACTGGGTTTCTAAGAACTTGACTCCCATGGCGTTTTGCCAACAAAAATCAATAGATTTTTATCGTTGCAAGATCAATCAAAGATTATGCATATTAAAAGTTGTAAAGGATAAGATGGTTCAGGATGTAAAGCTATCTACCTAGGGTAGGTAGATATTATTGGGAAGCAGCTTAGTCATCCACAGCGACCCCTTAAAACTTAGCCCCTGAAGAAGGAACAAGGCGACTTGTGGCTAAGTACCTATTTATACACAAGTCAGCTACGATGTTAAAACTTCTAGATAATTGCAACAGCTAATTGATTAGCATTGAACATCACTTTTCCTTAACCTGTATTGCCACGAAAATACTTTGGCCTACCCTAGGTACTTATTGTCTTGACCTCCCCTTAATATGCTGTTGGCTTCGCAAATGGCCACTGCCGTGCTCATGTTCCAAAGCATCATATAATATTTCCAAGTCCCTATTTATAAATATCGCTTCGATGGACCCGTATATAGGAGGTGGCCGAATAAGTCGTCGTGTTCCGCAAGTCAAGACTACGCTAAAGGACAGGATACACAAGATATGGAAGAGTTTGGAATTTGAGCCATATTCCATGCAAAAGCGACCCTCCTTTGTTCTATGGTTGAAAGCTACCTGGCTAGATATCTTCACGATGCTTGTCCTCGGTGCAATAGCCATTGGTGTAAGTCTAGAGAAGCTCTCAAGTGTAATGAATGAGCCAACTACCCTAAGGTACTAACATTACATACTTACCTGCTAGGTGTACAGTATTCGGCCAGTGGGAACCCGAATGTTCCCTCTTACGGTGATAGACGATCGCACGGGCGAGGATACTGGCGAGGTCGTCTATCCCGAGCTTGCATACCCATATCGTTCTCAGATTATTTCTTCTGGGCTGGACACCGCCTTGGCTATCTTGGTACCCCTTTTCTTTCTCTTAATAATCCAGATCCGCATTCGGAATTTCTGGGATCTTAACAATACCGTTATTGGATATATTTACTCCATCGAGACCTCCGCTGCGTTCCAAGTCATGATAAAATGGCTCATCGGGGGCCTTCGACCTAACTTCTACGATATCTGCAAACCGGACCCTAGTCTGGCGAGCGACCCAACTTTCAACGTCACCGGCTGGAATGGCGTCGGCTACAGACAATACATGTATACTTCGGATATTTGCACAAGTGGTCAGACCCGAGCTCTTTGGAATGCGATGCAAAGTTTTCCTAGCGGTCACTCAACGACCATCTGGGCCGCGTATGTGTACTTGTACTTGTATCTAAACGCCAAGCTTAAAGTCTTTGCAAACTATCACCCTTCGATGTGGAAGCTCATTCTCCTTTACTGTCCGATTTTAGGAGCCGTGTTGGTTTGTGGGTCCTTGAATATCGACCAATCCCACAATTGGTACGACATTGTCGCCGGCGCTATCATTAGCACCGTTTTTGCGTTCTCGTCATATCGTATGGTATATGCAAGTATCTGGGACTGGCGTGTCAATCACATTCCGCTGAATCGAGCGTCTGCATTCAGACGGAGTGAAGGTTACGAGGCATCGGATTTAGTATTTACAAATCGAGCTGGCTGGAGAGCTACACAACCTGCCGAGGAGAAGGAAGCACTGCCGACAACCGTCCTAGAAAATGATGGAAACATGGCCAGTGTTGCCAACGCCCAGTCTGATGGAACTATGAATAATTATCCTGCAGAGTACAGTGTCACGAATGGATATAGTTTGGGACAAGCCCAATGCTCTCTCCTGCGTTCCAGATATAGGGGTGAAGATATGGTGTAGGGCTAAGTTCATGATACGGAATCGCGCAAAACACGTCAAAATCCAATAGATTAATTAGTATCAGAGTAATTTCTAATATTTTACTATTTGTTTCGATGAGAAATGACTGTGCTGCTGAAATTATTTGCGATCATGATTGATGCGCTTTCATTTGGGGTGTTCAGGGGTTCACTTTTTAGAGGCGCTCCATAGATTTAGGGTCCCCTATTGCTATGTGAACAATCCGTAAATAGAAGCCCCAGGGCTTGCTTCTCTCCCAATAGTATCATGACAAACTGCTTGTTACGTAGGTTAGAGCTTTTATTTCAATCTTAAACATTAGGTATTGTACCTTTCGAACCTTTCAACGATTGATCATTACTCTTTGAACAATAGTTGATAAACACCAAGCATTTCCTGTAACAGAAGAAGGAATGAGATCAATTGTCTTTGTAGGCACCACAGCGTTATCTCTATAACTGGCCCTTTTAATGGTCCGCTTCCCTGAGAAATGCATTTTATGATAGAGCGCAACAACATTTGAGCATCCCCATCACTATTCTACTTGTGTTAATAGTCATATCCATACCTAAAAATACCTAAAAATTCCATTTATTGAGAATCTGAGGCTTACACGACAACAATGGCAGTTTTTATCCACGTCATCCGTCATGCGCAGGCCGACCACAACGTATCTGGCTCGGGCATTGCAGACCCTCCCCTAAACCCCGCCGGCATGAAGGAATGCGAATCCCTGCGAATAGACACTGGCGTGCTGATAGCGGACCGGATCGTCGCAAGTCCCATGAACCGCACCATCATGACGGCGATTCACGGAGTCACCCAAGACCCAAATCGCAAGGTCAAGATCGAGCTCATGCCTGAGCTGCAGGAGATCAGCGCCACACCGAGCTGCGTGGGCTCGCCCGCATCAGAGCTCAAGAAGATGTATAAGGACGACGACGTCGATTTCGAGGGCTTGGACGAGTACTGGTACATCAAGGATGACAACACCCCGTTCGCGCCGGACCCCGCCAAGGTCGAGCAGCGCGCGAAGCTGGCGCGGCAGAAGCTGCGGAAGATCGGCCGCGAGGAGGTCGCCCGCGGCAATGATAATGTGCACATCGCGGTGGTCACGCACGGCGAGTTCGTGCACTGGCTGACGGACGACTTCATCGGGTTTCCGGTTGCGGGGCGGAACACCGGGTGGTCCAACTGCGAGGCCCGCGTGTACGAGATCACGAACCTGGACGCGGAAGACGACGAAGATGTCGTGATGGTCGAGGTCCCGCAGAGCAGGGAGAGACGCCTCGCGACGGATGATGGGGTCGATACTCCGGCGAGGCGCGCGGAGCAGGCGAAGGAAAAGGAGACCGCGAAGAGCTATGTGATGAGGCATGCTGACATAGCCCTGATGGAGCAGGCTAAGACGGCTTGGTGGAATCATTGGAATCAGCCCTCTGATGTTGATGATGCTGCTGATGATGATGATGACGAATAGAGAATAGATGCCTTCTGTTAGGTATGCCTGGCGTATCCCAGCTACTAGGGAGTGGATGTCATACTGCATATAGACTTGGCAAGGAGTTGAATTACTTTTACAAAGTTCTTAGCATTATTATAGATAGCAAGTAGTGCTCTAGAATTTACCAATATATTCAAACTCCCCATTTGTTATATGAGAAGCAAGGTGATATGATGAGTCAACGCCTTCTTAAATCTGAGATATGAGCCCTTTTAATTGATTCAACACCCTAGAGCCATAGCTTTTTTTTGGCTTCTTTTTCATATTGCTACGAATATGCTACAAGCTTCCTAGGTAAAGGACTTTTTGAGCTTTCATAACTTCGTAGTCGTAGGTAAAATTAAAATATTGCCACAAAGTCTTTAACCTGCTTCTATATAGGTAAACCCAGAACTACTAATACTAACAGGTACATAGATCATGCAAAGCTGTAATTAAGACTATTAATCACTCTCCGTCTTCTAACCAATTTCTCAATTTTATTAAAGTGATCTGTATCCTCCCCCTTTAAGCCAAAGTAACCAACACCCACTCCCTCAACTCCCCAAGCGCAACCCACGCTCCCTCATCGACCTCACCAGAGCAGATCCGCGACGCAACCCGCTTCACCGGATCATCCCACTCGATTAGAAGAACATTGAGTCTCCTCTCCGCTCTAAGAACCTTTATAGTGTCGTCGTTGTACTTGCGCGAAACCACAATAAACGAGTGCTTGCCCGTCGGCTTCGGCGCCTGGTTCGGCCAAAACGGCTTTAGCTCGCCGACCTGCTCCTTCTTCTCGTTGTACATCTTGTCGTCTTCAATATTAAGGACCGCGTGACTGGTCCAAAATAAGAGACGACCCGAATCCAAAAACTCGCCGTCAGTGTCGTCGTCGTGTAGGAAGCTGGCGTCAATCGATGTATCCCCTTTCCACCCCGCAGAGGTAGACTCGTCGACACCGCACATATCCAGCTTCGAAACCGGCTCCAGCTTCTTCACCTCCCCCTCCTCCTCTTCCGAGCGCGCACTCAACCCAACCGCCTTCCCATCCACACCCACCCTCAAGATCTCCAGCTCCGGCACCAGCACAACCTGCCGCGGCGCCACCCTCGTCAGCCCCAGCACATTCTTCCACCCCAGCCACGACCAGCTCGGGAACCGCACCTCCCGCACGGCCCCCCCTTCCCCCCTCACCTTATGCATCTCCCCTCTCCGCGCGGGCAGCTCATGGTTCCGCCAATCGGCATCATAGTACCACACGATATTGGTCCACGCAAGACTCTCATCGAACCGCACCGTCACCGAGTGGCCCCAGTAAAACTCATGGCCCGAATTAGCCGCGACCCGCCGCAGCACCCCCGTGAACGCATCCAGCGCGTCGCTCTGCTCGCCCAGCTGCCGGGAGGCGTACGCGCGCACGGTAGAGTCCAGCTCGCTGTGCGCGAAGTTGTGCCCGCCGCCGCCGAAGTCCCCGAAGATCCGGTGCCCCGAGAGCACGCTCCAGATGATGTCGTTGGGGTGGACCGGTGTCGGGAAGGCTTCGAGCGCGAGGCTCTCGCAGCATTTCGAGGTCTCGCAGCTCCAGAAGACTTGCGTGGGGGTTATGATGAGGGTGCGGCGTGAGCAGAGGCCTTCTTGGAAGGTCCACCCGCGCGTGGTCCAGGCGCTGGAGGAGTAGGCGTCGTCGAGGGGGAGGACGTTCATGAGGCTTAGGTTTTGGGAGACGCGCGCGGGGGGGTTGGCGGTAGTGAGGAGAGTGCGTGGGGATGAATTGATCCCCGCGAGCCCGTCGGTGGAAGTCCCGCACGTGGCAACGATGGTCACCGCAGCGCGCGAGTACACGAGGTCCATCTGCGGAATCTGGATCGCTTTGTCGATGTCCGAGTCTTGGATGATGCAGAGACGGTCGACCCAGAGGAAGTCCACGCCCATTCCCTTTGCTAGCTCGATCGTGTCGAGTATGGTCTTCGGCAGTGATCCATCCTGGAGAAAACCCGGGGTCTTCATCTCCTCGACATTAGTCCGGATTGTGCGGAAGGGTTTGATCTCGTCGCCCCAGACATAGCTCAGTGCCAGATAGGGGCACGGCTCCTTAGCATCGACCAGACATCGCCTCCGCACGTCTAACAGTCGCAGCTGTGCAGGCCACAGCGTTTCCGGTGCCAACCACGGCGGCTGACTGCACGTCTCGCCATGCTTATCGCGACACGTCTCGTACCACTTCCTCAACAACCTCACATTGACCTCCTCCTTCACCAGCCTCCCCGTCGGGAACGCCGAAAACGGGTCTTCCCCATCCCCGACGTAGTCATCGACACTCCGCAACGGATACACACACGGATGCAGCTGCAAGAAAGTCTGCGCCGTCCACTTAACCGGACTAATCCCCGCCAACACCACCAGCCTATTCAGACTCTTATTCCTCCTCCTTTCCTTCTGAACACTATCCGCCTTCCCCTTATCATCGAGATAGATCCCCCGCTCTTGTAACGAGTCCCAGAACTCCTGCACCGCCAGGTTCGTCGACTTGTACCCGGGCCGCATGCCCTTGTACAGCGTATCCAGCACCATGTCGGCCTGCGCCAGCTTCGCCGTCTCCAGCGATGATCCGATGCGGTTGCGCGCGCTCCATAACGCGCACGTGATCTCTTCCGGTTTATCCAGGAGGTGGCCGATCGGCCACCAGGGTTTCAGGGACCGCGAGGCGGAGGCGATGAGCTGGCATAGGGAGCAGGTGCTGGAGGCGGAGTGGACGGAGCCGAGGTTGTGCTCGCCGCTCTTGACGAACCCGCTTTGCAGCGCGGCTTTTTGCGGGTTGAAGACGCCGGTGGTTAGTTGGACCCAGTCGACGGCGCGGCAGAAGTCGCAGAGGTGGATGTCGCTTTCTTCTGGTTGTGCTTCTGTCATGATTATTAATTATCAAGGGGGCATTTGATTATTCAGGGTTGTTTGTTTTGGCTACTGGGTACTAGTAAATTAGGGGAATATGATGGGAAAATACGTTTTCTCTGGATACTTGCGTATCTCGGGCTATAAATTGAGTTGACTAAAATCAATTACATGTCCCAGTCTAAACAGAGCAAAAAGCCTCGACTAAGTTACTTAGTATCTAGTATAAGTCGAGAAACTCAGCTGCGGCTGAGTAGTCATGCGGTAGTATCGTCAACGCCAAGGTTGATTTGGGCAGCATCACATGTAGGCATGTAGAGGCTAGTCAATATATCTGCAATGAAAACGGGACTCATGTGAAATAATTACAGTTTTCTCAGGCCATGCTATTTGATATCATGAGGTAGCCAACAGAAGACTCAATCACGATCTTCCAAGTTAGCCTAATCGCAAAGCATTATCCCTGACATCGTGGCATGAACTTTTCCTCTGGTATTGAATGCAAGGAATACAATATTGCTGGGCCCAATAGCCCCCGAATCACCTAGAAACAAAACTATGCCTTCTTTTTGTTCTTCGTTTGACCATCTCCTTTTTCGCCCTTTCCGGCCTTCTTGACCTTCACGTCACCCTTAGCCTTTTTAGCCTTCTGGTCATCCACCACGGCCTCCGCCTTCTCGACAACCTTCTCGACCTTCTTGCCGTTCGTGCTCTTCTTGGCCTTGTCACCGTTGGTGGGCTTTTCGCCATTCGCGGCCTTCTCGGCAACCGCAGCGCCATTCGCCTCTGCCTTGGGCTTCTCCAATGCCTTTGGATCCAGACCACGTTTTCTCATGGCGTTGCGCTTCGCCCTCTCCATGTACTTGTCGTCCTCATCATCGTCAAAGCCACCGAAATTGTCCTTTTCACGAGCTCCCTCGGGTGTATCCTCGTCTGCTGCAATGGGTGTCTTGTCGAAGACTTCATCCTCATTGCGCGGCGCCGAGGCGCCTTGGGCAGGCTTGTCTCTGACCAAGTTTGCGGGAGTCGGGCCAATCTTGTGAAACTTGGCGACGAAGAAACCGTCAACGTTGTACGTGTGCGGGTAGTATCTTCGTGTTAGACGTAGACTGGAATCGAATTTCTTGCCCATATAGCTAGTGAAGCCTTCTTTGCCAAATGGGAGGTCAGTAGAGACTAACTTGACATTGGGCCGTTTGCTCAGTGCATATTGAACAACTTGCTCATTCTCTTCGACGGTAACGGAACATGTAGAGTAGACCAAATAGCCACCAGTTTTGCTTGCGTGGTTGACCGAGTCGATGGCGGCTAGAAGTAGCTGCTTCTGTGTATGCGGCAAGACCATGAAGTCCTTCTCATCCTTGTTTGTCTTCACGGAGGGATCCTTGGCAATAACACCCGTGCCAGAGCAAGGGGCATCGAGGAGTACTCTGTCGAATCCACCCATAACTCTGGGGAATTCTCGGGCATCGTAGTTGCAAACGATGACGTTTCGTGCACCAAGACGGTGAACGTTACCAATGAGACCCTTCGCACGAGATTTACTGGGATCATTGGCAAAGATAGATCCTGTGTTCTTCATCATAGCGGCCATATGTGTCGTTTTACCACCAGGGGCAGCGGCCATATCTAGAATTCGTTCTCCTTCTTGGGGCATCAATGCCATGACGGGCAAGAAAGAGGAAGCGGCTTGGAGAATGTAATGACCTGCAAGATATTCGGGGGTGGCACCTAGAGGAACGTTGCTCTCAAAGACTTGAAGTCCTATCTTGGACCACTTGCCCACAGGTTCAAGGGTTACGCCACGATTGATGAGAGCTTGAGCAAGATCCCGGCGATGCGTTCGCAGAGTATTTGTTCGGATGACAACAGGTCGCGCCGTTTCATTGGCCTCAAAGAATGCAAAGGCTTCTCTTGCTGGAAATAGGTTAAGCAGTTTCTCAGCTAGGTACTCTGAGTAGCCATAGTAGGCGCAGATATCCTTGAGCAATTGTGTCGTATATTCAGTTCGGGATCGTCCCTCTTCCGCCAAAGTCGAAAAGTCGTCCAAAACGCGAATCGTATCGGTAATTCTTGTTCGTAGTAACTGCAAGTCGGGGGCTAAGAGTGCCTTGGTCTTGAGTGCGAGGTCGTCTTCCTCGTCATCGTCATCAAGGACGTGAGGTCGTTCAATGTTGGTCTGGAGTGCTGCTTCTTCCAATTCGGCCTGTGCCTCTGCCTCCTCTTGTTCTCTCTGCTGATCTAGTTTCCTCGATAACCCGACAATGTTTGCTGCAGTCAGCTTCTCTTCAGCATCCGATTCGTCTTCATCTTCCGAGAACATTGTTCTTTTTCCATTTTGGTCACCTGCATCTGAATCATACACCGAATCATCTGAGCCTAGGAAATCATCTCCTAGAGCATCTACATCCATCTCGTCATCATCTAGGTCTGAGGATCCTTCTGAAATTCCCCTGGAAATTCCTCCTCTTAAGGGTCCTCCTGAACGGTTCCCCGAGCGATCGCTTCCAACTCGGCCTGTCTTGTCATCACCCACTCCATTGCTAGCTCCGGAGACTGTGCGATCAATGTCCTGAGTAGTTCTGCGATGACCGTGACTAGCCTCTTTTGACGGGGGCGCGAAGGAGAGATTCGATCGAGATTTTGACGCATGGGTCGCTGAGGCTCCGGCGTTCTCTGATTGATGCGCCTTTCTCGTCTTCGAAGCCGCTCCATCGGGTGCGGTTCCTGTTGATGCCTTGCGCTGCTTCTTCTTTGGCGCCTCAGCGGGGACATCGTCGACGGGTAGACCAGCTTTACGCTTAAGTCTTGCGAAATGTTCTTCTGATAATGGTTCAGGTGGACCTTGTTTTTTCATACGACGTCCGACGCCCATCTCTAAATTGGACTGATGTAATGATTAATGTAGGTATATAATAAGTGTGGTGTGTGTATGGTATGTGAAAAGAGACGAAGTTTATTTTTTTTGGGTGCGAAATATGCAAAATGTTCAATTGCATCTGTACCTGCGCTGGAAACTTTTTGGCTTTTTTTTTCTGTCGATAAGCTGATAACGATAACAGCTAACGTGCATAGCAAGGCCCCACTAACAGCGCTGAGAAGTTTAATCTACAGGTACTAGCGTCGCTAGTATTTCAACGGTAGCAGCCTGAGGCCGTGCACAGTGGGCAATTAAGCTTCAGCCACAAGTGGGATGCTGTGTGGCGGCGCCTTGAATGTGGGACATCGTGATCGTCACCTAACAGGAACTGGGCTTGGGTTGCTCAAGTTTGCGACATAACTCAGAACACTGCAATTATTCACACCTCCCAGACTGTCAAAACACCTCCAACAAAGCCGAACATAGTCATAAATATGACAGAATTATCTTTCGCCAAGTCGTTCCTAACGGCTTTGGACAACCGTCCCGTGAAGTTGTCTCCCGACCATGTCGAGGATCCCAAGACCTACGCGGCGCGCGGCGCTGTACGTATTCTATCCCGCCACATCGTCATAGCGTTTATCTGGTTCCAGTAGACTAGGTAGCTAACACTGCGTATAGTACATACTTCCCAAGATGCCAAAGCCCATGAGCAAACGCAAGTCCGCTGCCGTTGCCCCAGGCCAGGAACGTAGCCTCACCGTTGTCGTCAAATCACTACGCAACCCACCACTCGACGTCAAGCTCTCAGCTCTGACCTTGAACACCTCTGTATTAGACATTAAGACTGCCGTATCTGAGGACACAGGAATACCGGTGGAGAAGATGAAGTTACTACACAAGAAGAAACCGATTGCAGACAGCAAAGTGCTCAAAGACGTAGCTGGCGAAGCAGAAACAACTGTCGAGTTCTCGGTTATGGTTATGGGTGGAGCCTCAGTTATTAAGACTCCGCCAACACCAGCACAAGCAGAGGTCGCGCAAGGACAAAGTGGCGGAGAGGTTCTAGAGACCAAGGAGTTCTGGAGTGACCTGAAAGGATTCCTACTGCAGCGAATACGTGACGAGAAAATGGCCGAGGAGTTGGCAGACACATTTCAAACTGCATGGAAGACAAAGGCTTGACCTATGGAACAGCTTCACCTGAATGAATAGATATCCATTGTTGATAGCAGAAGCATTCAGTTTCTAGGTACTTAATAGTATGGATGAAGAGTAGTTTTACGGAAGTGATAAATAACTGGCATAAACAATCGTAAGAGCACACCGGGGATCATTCACATTCCGATATGGCCTTTGTTTTATGCAGTGTATACCCTTGGCTAACATCAAATCTGGAGGTTCATGTCGTGCCTCTAAGAGTGGAAAAAAAGAGAAAAAAGCGACCAAACTGGCCATACTCAATGGTATTAGCAGGGGAAAGAGTTATGCCCATCCTGCAGTTTCGTAGACGTCGTAGACCTTTGGCACGCGAGTGCCCCTTCAACTAGCCGATCCCCCAGAAATTTCCGTCGCGGGTCGTTCTCGGGGTTTTCCATACATTTGGGTAGGTACGCTTAACCGGCCAAGCCTTTGCTGACCACCTTCAGGATTGTGTCGTATTCGATATCGTCCTGGTCGTTGGCCTGCAATTCGGTGGCGATGCCGGTCAGAGAGCGCTTTAGTGCCTCCTTTGATGAGGCGTACACCATCTTGGCCTTTAATGATAGTTAATATACTGTCCAAAATGAGTTTTATAAGAACTTGGAGATATAACTAACCATAACGTTGGCATCATCGGGTGACCATGCGATGAAGGTAATCTTGTTTCTACGTATCATTAGTATGTATAAATATGGTTGGTGTGCTGGCAATAAAAACTAACCGCGAGCCTTCTCCACTGGCGAGGCTGTATTCGAAGTCGTACACCGCATAACGGGGACCTTTGCCGACAGCGCCCTAGCCAGAAATTATTAATATAGTGTTCCAAATTGCAGGGTTGATGGCCGTTGATAAATTTAGGGGTTTAACTTACAGACTTGCTCTTGGTGGTGGCGTTGACAAGCCTCTCACGGAAGGCCTCCCAGTCCTTATCCGCCGAGGCTTCTTCAACAACGATCTCCCGGAGGTCGTCGGACAACTTGAAGACGACGTACTTGTACTTCTTCGCAAGCTTGAGCTCGTTGTATGCAGTAACGCATTCCTGCGAGACGGTAGCTCTATAATGAGGCAAATATGTTAGTCCCTCTTCTCAAAAACGCCACCCGAAACCGTGCTGGAAAAACGGCGGTGCATCGTGGAAGTACTTTATGACAGCGCGGAAGGCGGTCGCCGGCAGGGGCGGGAATAGGAGTAGAGCGAGCAGCTGAAGGAGGTTACGAACCCTGATTGAGACTACGAAATGATTTAATTAATATCATATATCAACTTGGGATGATTGGACTTGAAGGGCTCACCATTTTTGACGGTATATGCTCGGGATGCGCTGGTAGCAAATGAGAGTCGGGAGACGAGCTACATTGTGGATTTGTTAGCGGGGTTCTCAAGAAATCCTGCGATGACGAGAGGTGGGAGGATTGGGAAAATGAACTGGGTTTGGAAGGATGTCGGGTCAAGCTGCAACTAACATGAATCGCGGACTAGGTGTTGGGCAGCTGAGAGATACTCTCGTGCGATGTTTCGAGTGTTCAGGAGAAGTATAGTAAGAAGAAAGAAGTTGGAGAGATGTTTAATGTTTTTAGTGTGGGCGCTATCGCAATGGAGGGGAAAGTCGGGCTGATGAAAAAGAGGCACGCACGCTTCGAGTAGTGTAAGAAGAAATCCTAGAAGAAATCAACAGACGCACAAAGCTTTTGGTGGGGTCAATGTTTTGAAAGAAGAGGGAGGGGGGTTTTTGATACGTTAGGGGGGGCAAGGGAAGAGAACAGGGTACTACATATGTATCATAGGGGGGTAGGGGACAGTACTACATACCTAGTACTATGTAATATGTAGGGGACAGGGGTGCACAGGTGCACATGTGGTGGTTCAATGTTGTTTGGTGGAGAAGTGTGTTGAAGAGGTGGGCAGTGGGCAGTGGGCAGTTACACCAGCTTTTTTTTAGTTGGCTGTGAGATAAATAATACTATGTAGTACATACCTTTTGTATACAATGTAATTTCTGCTAATGCTTGCTTGCAGGTTAAAAAATGGACTTCCCTTGGCCGTAACTGGGTCGACCATCGGGCAACGAGTGACGGGCAACAAAATTTCTAAATTTCTAAAATTTCATCACATTTTTAACACGTGACTTTTCTCAATATAGTTATTGTTCTACGACTTACATACAACCTATGGATGCTCTTTGTTTTCTTTATTCCCTTGGTCATTCCCCCTTGTTCCAAATCATATAATTGCTTGGGCGTCAAGGTAGCGCTAGCGCTGTCAGGTACAGTACAATACATAGTACCTTACTTACCGCCACTACCGAGCTACTATTCAGAATGAGCCACATGGGATTCGTCATCCCATACATATCACAACATAATGTCATCTCAATGGCTAGGCAGAAGTGTCTACCTGTCAATAACCCGAAATTTGATGCCTAAGAAAGTAGAAATCCGTATTTTCAATCATCAGATCGATTATGATCAGCTACCAAGACGGAGGTAGCCAGTTCGTGGCTCGTAACTTGTAGCTCTAGTATACAACCCTTTTTTGCAACGCCGTTCGGGATATCAAGAAGGGTATGAACAAAGTACAAGGAGGGATAGAGGGGGGGTGAAAGATGGCAGAGGGGAGAGGGGAGAAGATGAGAGATGTGTAAAAGACATGAAAAGCCACGTTTAAACCGTCCGCGTAACACCGAGGTCAATGCTTCCCGATCCCAAACTTTTTAATACATGACAAGAGTTCATTCATGAACTCGTTACATCATTCCACCCATTCCGCCCATACCGCCCATGCCACCCATACCTCCCATGCCGCCACCCATGCCGCCACCGGGAGACTTCTCTTCGGGTGCTTCGACGATGGCCACTTCGGTGGTGCCCAGTAGCGACGCAACACCGCTAGCATCGACTAGACCAGTTCGTACAACCTTGAGGGGGTCGAGGATACCAGCCTGGATCATATCTACGTATTCTCCCTTAGCGCTGTCGAATCCCTTGTTGAAGTCGCTGCCAAACTCGTCCATGAGCTTGCCAACGATGACAGAACCTTCCAAACCAGCGTTCTCGACAATCGTTCTAGCCGGTCGGGTAATAGCGTTCTTGACGATGCTGACACCGAGTTGCTGATCAAAGTTACCAGGCTTAATATCCTTCAAAGCATTGCTAGCAGCCTTGAGTAGAGCGGTACCACCACCAGGCAAGATACCTTCCTCAACAGCAGCCCGAGTAGCGTTCAAGGCATCGACGAAGCGGTCCTTCTTCTCGCCGACCTCGACCTCAGAAGAGCCACCGACCTTGATGACAGCAACACCACCGGAAAGCTTAGCAAGTCGTTCTTGTAGCTTCTCCTTTTCGTACTCGGAAGTGTTGGGGTCGCTCATGACGCCACGGATTTGTTCGCATCGTTGAGCAATAGAGTCCTTGCTACCCTCGCCGTTCAGGATAATGGTGTCTTCCTTTGTGATGGTAATAGAGCCGGTGGAACCAAGCATATCAGGGGTAGCCTTTTCTAGCTTGATGTCGAGTTCATCAGTGAAGACAGTACCATTGGTAAGCACAGCAATGTCCCCGAGGACGGACTTTCGGTTGTCACCGAAGCCAGGAGCCTTGACAGCAGCGACCTGGAGCTGACCTCGAAGCTTGTTTAGGATGCAGACAGCCAGGGCCTCTCCATCAATGTCCTCGGCAATAATGACGAGAGGTCTTCGCAGTTGCGTGGAAGCCTCGAGAGCGGGGATGATGTCTTGGACGGCAGAAATCTTCTTCTCAGAAAGGAGAATGAGAGGCTTCTCAAACTCAACCTTCTGTGCCTTGGCATCGGTAATGAAGTAGGGGGAGACATATCCGCGGTCAAATCGCATACCTTCAGTGACCTCTAGCTCATCATTCATCGTCTTTCCTTCCTTAACGGTGATAACACCCTCCTTGCCGACCTTCTCCATAGCGTTGGCAATGAGCTTGCCAATGTGGGTATCTCCGTTCGCACTGATGGTGGCAACCTGGGCAACCTCTTCACTAGTAGTTATATCCCTCTTATTCTTTTGTAAGTATTCGACCACAGCGTCAACAGCGGCCTGGGTACCACGTCGTAGGTCCATGGGGTTGCAACCGGCAGCAACGTTCTTGACGGTTTCCGAAAAGATAGCCCGAGCCAGAACAGTGGCACTTGTAGTTCCATCACCAGCAGATTCGTTTGTCTTGGATGCGACGTCTTGTAATAATTTGGCGCCAAGGTTCTCGAACTTGTCTTGTAGGCTGATAGCCCTTGCGACGGTGACACCATCTACAGATATCTTATATTAGCATTTGCAATTGGAATATGAGAGAATTGGAAGACTGATACATACCCTTTGTGATCTTGGGAGAGCCATAGCTCGACTCAATTAGTACGTTGCGACCCTTGGGACCGAGTGTGGTGGCAACGGCTTTAGCGAGGGTCTCAACACCAGCAAGCAAAGCAGCTCGGCCTTCCACACCAAATTTCAGTTCCTACGAAAATGTAATCAGTATGATGTACATGCGAGCAGTACGTGCAAGTCATTTTAGAATATAATATTTCAAAAAGAAAAGAAGTAGATCACTCACCTTGTGCGCAAATCGGACCTGTTGTGACAGTCCCGCACCAGCTCGATATTTAGTAGCCGCAGAAGATAGGACCGAAGCCCGCGCTCGTGAAGACAGAGCACGCTGCATCTTGGCTGTGGTAAAGGTGAATTAACTATATGAGAGACTAGAAATTGAGTACGGTCACAAAGATAGCGTACTATAAAAGAACGAGAGAGAAGGAGGGAAGATTGGTAGAGATTGTTTAAATGAAGTCGCAGGAAGAGAATTTGGAGATTCTGGGGAAGAAAAGCTTCAAAATTTTTGATCGGTTCAAAATGACGGAGGAAACGGCCAGAAGCCGAAGCTCTTCCACGCTAATACTAATTAAGTAAGGCGGCACCACAAGCTCATCCGACTAAAATCTTCATGGAAATTCATAGAACTCGATTTGTTAGAATTTTTACAATTCTATAATTCTACTGTACATTTTTCTTGAGTAAAACTATGCGAAATATCCAATGATCAAGCTCAATTCATTACTATTATACTGTATATGAATGGATGAATGGATCCATCATGAAATTATTTTGTGTTTTACCTAATTTCGTGCCTTGTACAAGGCTGCTTGGTACGACTCTGTTAACACCGTGACATGTATATTCTCTTGTTGCATACCTACCTAACCTAGGTTAGTACGTATTGTACAAACGTTGAAGTGAGGGGCAAACGATCATCTGCATATTCATCATCGAAACATTAAAATTGTATTCCAAACCATAATTACAAGCAATCGAGGGGTGTTGGCCACAAAGTCAACTCCCATATTTTGAATTCAAGGATACGAATTGATTTCTATTGTAAAGGTAGGAAGTAAATGCTTACTCAGGTAAGACGTTGGAACTGAAATTCAGCTGACAACAACACGCAACTCAATTATATTAAAACATAAAAACATAGGAGACAGAATTGCAACATTTGTCAGCAATGTGTCTTTGTAAGACTTAGGCTACTAGGTAACGACAACGTCAATGAATCATAGGTACCGGTATTAGGAGTTAAGCCCAAAATATACATATAAACCATCCCACGGATTATCTATCCGTACGAAAGTCCTTCTGCTTAGTATCATACTTTACGTATATCTACCTACTGTACACTTCACGTCTATCACTATGGCTGCCATTGCAAAGACTATTGTCGCGACAGGCACCTCCTCAGGCTTGGTAGGTTCAAGTTAATGCTATTTCAACCTCCTGTCCTTTCTATATGCTTGAAACAGAAATGTTCCTTACCTAGGTACTCATACTTCATAGGGGTTCGAGCTTGTCAAACAACTTCTCGCCCAGGCGCAACCATATAACTTCATCCTCGGTGCTAGAGATACACAGAGGACGCAAGCAGCTTTCGAAGGCCTCAAATATGACACTAGCAAGCACAGCTTAACTATCCTTCCCGTAGAACTATCGGACCTTACGACAGTCAAGACTTTTTCGCAGAAAGTCCTTGACAAGGTCGGACAGGGCAAAGTTGACTACCTGTTGCTGAATGCAGGCATGTGGAAGAGTAGTACCGATGCTGGCCCTCGTGGCTCCAAATGGAACGATTCTTATATCGTTAATCATCTCTGTGAGGACCTATATCCTGGCCGGTACCGCGGCCCCTACTAACAAGGCAATAAGCTCAGCATTACCTCATTCACCTTCTTCAAGAGAAGCTAGAAGCCTCGCAGTCGCGCATCGTTGTCGTCTCCTCGGGAGCGATTCGGGGGGCAACAGATACTTGTATGCCCACTAGGACTATGCCCATGATGTCGTAACTTCAACTTACCATTTACCACAGCTGCACTTGACGAGGATGCCAAGGCTGGCTCTACACCAGTGAATAGTCTATATAGTGCCACGAAGTTCATCCAACTTCTCGGGGCTCACTGGTGGCATCGCCAACTCCAGGGCAAGTGCCAAGTGGTTGCTGTATCGCCCGGTATGATCCCTGGCACGAACCTTGCGCGGCATGCCTCCCAAACAATTCCCGCGAATCACCCAGATGCGAAGACTATCGCTGAAGGTCAGTTCCCATTACTCGAAAAGTATAGAATCGCGGAAAACTTACGCAATTGATAGGTGCCCAAAGTATTTACCGTGCTTTTACCCGAGACGACTTCCCTGAAGACCCCGACCAGATTTTCTTAACTAGCTGGGGTGAATGGTGGTCTAAGGATATCTACAGCCTCAGCCTAGATAAGAAGCTTCAGGACAAGTGGTGTCCAAGCAAGGAAGACATTGAAAGGGATGAAGGCATCACAGCTTAGTCTATTCCATCCAAGCTGGAGGAAGTGTGTCTCGATGATCTTGGGGTGTATAAAACAAGGCACCAACCATGTAAGCTCGACTTACCTAACCTAGGTCATGACTGTATTATACGATGACTTCGCCTATAATATCAGAAACGATATTTTTGATTGCAATCAGCCATATGCCACGTCCTCTTGAACCCCACATTGGTATCGCTTTGCCATTGCCAACACGCGCGCCTTATCCCCCTACTAGCTGCCACATACGATAGGACATACAAACACGGCAAACAAATGCGAAAGGAATCTGCAAAAAGAAAAAGAAAAAAGAATTGGTACAGGAGGGATTTAACCTCCAAAGCTGGACTCGCGGGGAATCGAACCCCGGACCACTCCCATGCTAAGGGAGTATTATACCACTAAACCACAAGCCCGGGCTTATCAAAAGATAGGCGGTGATCTTTCAATTGTTGAAATCGGACCGGCTAAGCTGCTATATATATTTTGCTTGTGTGGGTTGAGGATAATGGGTATGCCCTAATTGACCGAGCGTGGGCCCACTTAGGTCACCGAAGCCGGCGGCTACAGGCACCTAGGCAGGTACCTGTAAAATCAATCGCTAGGCCTGTGAGGCCGCTAAAAATTACCGTGCAACTGGAGTCAAAATTTCATCTTCAGTCGACGAACCTTTTCCTCCCTGTCAAAATTTTCAAAATGGCAAAAGGTTAACGGTGTAAACCTCATTTCCTATGAGTAGTCAGACTGGAAATCAATTGCATAAAAAATTCATCGTCTCATATCTTTCCCTGTACCCATTGGTGGTTTTCCCTATAATTGCGAAACGCGCACCATTGCAGATAGGTATAACTGTGTGCCAACATCTCTGCCTGTAAGCCGAGCGCAACGCATATTGGGCGGAATCTCATGAACAATTGGAATATGCTCGTGTAGGTTCCTTAGACTTTCAACCTTACTCGAAGATCCTTGGGCTTGAGTGACGCATTGAATTGTCTTACAGCTTCCGTCGCTAGGCCGCCCAGGTATGAGTCTAATGATACGTGGTCAACTAGGGAGCTACAATCAAGATATGGGCTCATTAATTGACGATGGCGTCCTTGGTATCCCTAAGTTTCTTAGTTTTGACACCCTATTCTTTCTGATGACATGTTGGCAATCAAGCGTATCTATGGCTAGGCCGCTAAGATAGGGGGCACGTTAAAGGGGCTTTTTGTAGTGAGGTTAACAAGACTATGTCGTGTGTCATACACACACATAGGCATTCAAGCTTGTATTCTTCTTTCAACAACGGGTTTGCGTGTCATACTGACTCAATAGCCACCTATTTAAAGTCTAAAGTTGATTTGGGGGGATCTTTTCAGGTTTCAAAGCAATAAATAATGGAAGTGCTTCGTATATAAGGGTATCATCGATAGCGAGGGTAGATTCCGCTGTGCTTGCCGTTCTCGTGCCATAACGAAGAACCCTATGGTCCAGAAGCCGGAAGATTGGAACAATGGCAGTACACTGGAAGCTGCTTAACCTAGTTATAGGGTGTAGCAGAGACATAAATATTTTCTGAAACGTGAGAGGCAAATTCTATTTCTTTCTTCCACTTTGGTAGCTGAAAGTAACAATGGCTATGGCTCGCTACCTAGCTAACTACCGCCAAACAGCTTTGGATGAGACTCAAGATGATAACAAGCCATCATTCTAACTTCTATACGGCCCTTTCATAGGAAAGATTAACTATTATGATCTAAATATCCAGGAAGTTCTTACTATAACGGCTACCAATGGAGAACCAAGGATGGATAGAGGTTTTGCCACCTATAATTGCGTGTTACTATATACACTCGAGTTTGGAAAACCACGTCAAGGCCAAAACGCTATCCTACCCCCTTTCCTAATATCTAACACGCCATAAGGCGCTCACCGTTTTAACATACTCGTCAATGGGGCTACGAGACAAGCCCACTGCTCTACTAAGCTAGGAACCTAATGCCTCCTAGATTATGGTAAGAGTCGTTTTCTTTCTAATAAGCTACGTCTTTATGTAATTTCATAATGAAATACTCATCATTGTCTTCTCGCCCAACCCGATGGGTCTCTGAGGACATGATATGGACTTGATAGGGCATTTGCATATGATTATAGCCATACACTGCATCATGTCTACAAAGCAGCATTCCCGGCTTTCTTCGCGTCCTGCCACTACGAACATACTGGGCCTCGCTCCTCCGGTATAGTCTGCCTGATTTAGAGGCTTGAGCACCGAATACTCACGGAACAGAAGCCCACACGCAATTTACTGCGCGGGCGGGTGCATGCCCACCTCCAACGCGTATGGACCTTGGAAGCTTCTCCTGTATTGGAGGCGCTGGCTTCCAAATCAACGTCACCAGAGGTAATAGCCTCTTCTTCTTGCCCCCAATTTATGCAACTCAACATTACACAGTCCGAGAAGAAAGAGAGAGCCGCACTCGTATACTCAGTCTGCGAGAACATACATTTCAGTTTCTACCTGTTTGAGAACGCTACGTGATTGGCGCGCCCCCTTCGAACATGTTATCGGAGGGTTGGAATGATGATTTTCAGCCAAATGATGTTTTCCTCCGAAGAAGAAAGGAAACTGCTTTTTACCTCGATATGCAACTCAATTAATTCATTGTCTCCCATGCCAAAGCCCTAGATATTTCAAGCCTTGGCGGAATGAAGCCGTCTGAGCGCACTGAATGACCCTGACAACTTCAGGACGATGAGATCTAGCCGTCGGCTATCTGTCTCATACTCAATAGAAAGAATACAAATCCTGCCAACCTGTTGACTGGTTCAATGTAGCAAACATGAAGTGAGACTATATGTTTTTCGTGTGTTGTATCCTAGGTCAGAGCTCTCTAGGTTAGGCATTGTTAATGCCATTTTTCGATAAGTACATTAACCTAAGCCACGTATTAAGTCTTCAACGATTGATTTATTAGTAGAGTAACTCTATAAACCAGCTAGGCTGCTCGGCTTTGGAGATGAAAGACATGCACTTACAAGTTAAACAATTGGAGAAGAAAAAGCATGTGAAGAGCCAAGGTAGGCCGACGCTACAGTTATACCAAGTAAGACGCCGGGTATATTCCTAATTAAACCCCGGTTAGGAACACGGACTATGCCAGCTAGGCATGGTCTAACAAGCTAAAATTCTCGATTTCAAGAGCAGCATCAATAACATCAAAACACGTTCTCTAACCGTATATACTCGTTGGTTCATATTCCTCTGTCTCGGTCGCTCTTGAAGATTTTTTTTTGATTCTGCTGTGGGACAGGGATACGTATGTAGGTCCATACAGAACCACAAAGAATGCCCTGGCCTGAACTACCTGCCATTTATGGAAGGTGTCACAGCAGTCGAGGCATGCAATTGGCGCCCACTTTTCCAGCCCACGTCTCTTTCGAGACTAGCTTGGCTCTGGATTCAGAAGGCATGGCAAGACGGGTTTCGCCGAAGATGATCGGGATGCATCAGTAATATAATTATTCTATAGAACATTGTCTGCCTGAATATGTAGGTAGGCTGACAGTCGGCAATGTCACCGTCCCTCCCTGGGGGCTGCCTCATCACTTGCAGGAAGATAGATCTAGGATGGGCATGGGCGGATCCCCACGTGCGTGATGAGATTGGCCAGGAATCGTGGCTGATCTGACAAAGATCCCGGCGCTAAGAGTTCAGTCCCAGTCTTGGGGTTTCAACGGTCGGAGCAGCTATATGCAGGCAGGGATCGCAATTGGTCGATCTGCCTCTTTGAAATCCCAGGTCTACCTGGTAGGGGGGCCCAGCAGGATTTCAAGGGGCTCAATGATGCTGACCGAACGAACGAACGACTGACTTGCTTAATGCGACGCTGTTCGGTAGAACATGGGGTAGGCAGTATTTAAAGGAGCTGGTCGCCCATGTGATGTATTCGAGATGGAGCTCTGTAACCATCCTCACTGTCGTTAAGTCCAATTGCAAAAATGCGTGCCCAATTCATTCTTTCGGCTTTGCCAATTCTAGGCGCACAAGGCGCGCGTATCCTTCAATCGAACGACGATGGCTGGGCGGAGCTGTACATTCGCTCTCTAAACGGCGCGCTCAACGCTGCCGGTCACGATGTCGTTCTCTCCGCGCCTGCTGACAATGGCTCTGGTACAGGTAAGTCGCAATAACCCCTATTTCCATTATAGGGTTGTGAAACTAACGCAATCTTAGGATCATCCGACAAGGAGCCCTCTCCGCGCACCGACCCCTGCGAATACGACAGCTGCCCCGCCAACAGCGGCCCCGTCGGCAGCAACGCGACGAACCCGCGCCTGAACTGGGTGAACTCCTTCCCCGTGACCTCCGTCCGCTACGGCATCGACACCTTCGCCCCCCAGATCTGGAACGGCCAGGGCCCCGAGCTCGTCGTCTCCGGCCCGAACGTCGGCAGCAACCTCTGGCTCGCCGTCCCGTTCTCCGGAACCGTCGGCGTCGCAGTCTACTCGAGCCACGAGGCCGGCATCCCGGCTATCGCGTTCTCGGGCGCCTCCGACGGCAACCTCGCGTTCAATACCAGCCCGGTCCCGGCAAGGAGCACCGTGTACGCGCAGCTCGCGACGCAGTTCACGAATGCGGTTTTGGCTGCTGGGGCGCCTTATCTCCCCGAGGATGTCTGGTTGAATGTAAATTTCCCGAAGGTCGAGGGCGATTGCACGGATCCGGCGAAGTTCAAGTGGGTGCTGAGCCGTATCAACCCTGGTGTATTCTCCGACAAGGACGTCGAGACTTGTGGCAGTGATCGGTTACCGACTGAGAATAGTGTGATTAATGCAGGTGGCTGCCGGATTTCGGTTAGTGTGGGCGATTCGACGGACAAGACGACAGCGCCGGCTGAGAAGCAGGCGGTTGTGCTGCAGAAGTTGGGGGGCTTGTTGAGTTGCTTGGATTAAGGATCTGTACCCTGTGAAAATTAGTATCTTCCATATATAATTGTATATCTTTGTAAATATTAATTCAGATTGATGTCAAAGGAATATCGTCCGAGCGCGAACATGAAGATAGTGTGCCATCTGCAATCTCGTGATCCATGTATGTCATATAGAAGCGTCCTAGAAACCTAGAAGCTTACCTATCATGCTGGTTGTCTGTTCATGGCGAAAACCTGTAGATTTCGTCTTCGTAGAGGAGAAATCGTGTATATTTCTTATATGATCGAAGCTATGAATCTCAGCAAAGGCTGAGTGCGTAGTAGCTCGGTGTGCAATCGTCACTGTTTGTATCTGGCGGTGTACATCTAAGGTGGCTGCAATAGTGTATTATTGAATCGTGAAATTAAAAATCAAGGCATCGCGTTCGTGTTTAATCATAGGTATTGCCCAAAATGGGATGGAATTCTAGTACGAGAGCTGTCAAATGAAGCTGTACATTCGAGTAGGTGTATCTTCATCGCGTTCTTTTGGGACTTTACGGCTCGCATAGGGTAAGCTTTCTTCGCATTATCGATGGGTATATATACAACAAATCGTAACCTTAACTTGTAGTGACATCGTTCGCGTAGACAAAGAGTTACTAGTATCGGCAATGACATGTGTGGTGACTTCTGTAACGTCTGTGGTGGTCTCGATTGTAGAAGTATGAACGTGGGGAGGAAGCTTTGTCGCGGAAGTTTCGTATTCTCTCGACCTTCGGAGGATGTGGCATGCGCGCGCGTTGGTAGGTAAGTGTGAGATTCGGGATCAGTGGTAGTACTAGACTACTAGTTGGAGCAGAGGAGGTAGTAAACTTCGTTAGCAGTGATACTTCAGCTCTGACCTCTTTGTAGATGGTTTTTGTCTCTTGAGAAAGCATCAAAAGCATGAATCGCTTCGTAGTGGTGGGATGGATGTCGACATCAAGCTTCTGGTTCGGGTTGCTTGATACGAATCTTTGACTATGTGTATCTTTTCGTTTATTGGCATCCTTAACGATATAAATGGGTGCCTATCGATGGCAATTTGTGTGTATCTAGGTATGCAAGGAGATGTAGAGTTAGTTCAAAGGCATGTCTTGCATGATTTCATCGATTGTAAGCTTCAAATGTTTCACGGACACGAGCGACGAGTTTAGGTGGTGTTATCACGAATTCACAGACACTAAATTGGGACGGGGGTGGATTGAAAGGTGCCCATAATGTTCTATTATTAGCAAAAGGAGAAAAAAGACAGACCTTATGGCTAGGTGTTTGGTAAGATATCAGGTCATTGTTTGTTGCGAGGTTGAAAATACGTCGGAATGTTGGGAATAGCTTCAAGTTTTACTTTTTTACTTCAAGTGCAGGGAAGAAACGATTGAAGCCTACTTATTTAGCTCCGACAAGTACCTAAGTGAATCTACACTCCATTCCTAGGTATGTTAGTAGTACTCATTGTAAATCAGAAAGTTCTATGTTCACTTGAAGTATTCACATTCAAGAAAAAAGAAGAAAGTAGTCGGGAAAATTCCTATTCCGTGGTGATGAACCTATGCTATGTACTAAACGAGAAAACTATCCGGGTATATTTTCCCTTGGTCCCAATATTTTGTAGTATGTACGATGCTTCCTTGACCGTACTACCGACCAGACCCGAGCTATGCCTAGCTGTTTTCTCCTAAAACTCCTTATGAACAAGCATTCAAGTACATAGCAGTCATCTTAATCCCACCTTCCTTTCCCTATTTCCCTGTCCCATGTATCCTCTATTCCCTTCCCCGAGTGATCCTTTTACTCTATTGCTCTGCCGAAATAAGTTAGTAGACTGTTGTGGAAGAAGAAGAGTGAGTTTGGCTTACTTTGCTGTGCAAAAGACTTCTCCATATCATCGTAATTCATTGGTAAAATAGATCAGTCGATCAATGCCGAAGGTAGAGTGAGTGGTTTAGTGATCCCAGCCTAGTAGAGGTGGGCACCACCACTAGACTTCTTGAAAATTCCTTTGAAGCCTCGAGAGAAAAACTTGGAGATCTTCTGTCTTGTGGTTCGGCGGGCTGGGGCATTCATAGTGTTGGTGAGCTTAACTTTCAGCTGGGCCTGAATAGCGTCGATGATTGGATACATGGCGCCTTGTAGAGTTCCCGGAATCATCTGCTTGAGGGCCTCCTCAATCATGCGGGGAAGCATGTTGACAATAGTCTGTAGGAGACTGATCTGGGTGGTTAGCGAAACAACATTGCCGTTGGTCGAGTTGAGAAGGGTGCCGAAGGAGTTGATGTTGTTTCCAAGGGAGTGAACATGACCATCAATGGCGTTGACATGCTGGCCGATGGCGTTGAGGTGCATGATCTGGCCGTCAACATGTTTAATCTGTCCTTCGACGCGATTGGCTTGTTTATCCATGTCTTTGGCATGTCCCTCAAGAGCGAAGTCGATGATACCGAAGATATCCTCCAAGACTGCTTCAACGTTGGCTTCTCCAATGCCGTGAGTACTCTGACCGGCCATTTCCTTGATAACACCTCGAATTCCTTCAAGGAGAGCAGCCATGTTCTGGCCAGCGACAACGGCATCTTTGTCAACACCTCCATTCTTTGCTCCAGCGTACAAGACGGCATGCTGGACAATTCGGTAGAGCTTGGTCTCAGCAGTGGCACCGCTCATCATGTTGGCAACATGAGCTCTGACCCGTTCATCCTCAGTAAGATCGGCCGCGAGCTCATCGCGGTCGCGAATCTCCCGAGTGATCTGGATCAGGAGCTCAACAATATTGCGCTTCTGATTCCACTGTTCGCGAGGAGTGTCGCCACGGGCTTCAGTGAGCTGAAGGAGGCGCATGTAGTCGTCAAAGATATGCTTGAAGTTCTGCTGAAGGCACTTAGACTTGGGAAAGAGGCCGTCGGCACGAGCCTTTTCGAGTTCGGCACCCATCTTGATCATTTGCTCGGGAGTATACTGGAACTTGATTCCATTGTGCTCAATGATGATCTTGGGGCCCTGGGAGGCGCGTTCTTCAGCGCGGTCCATGGCTATATTCCAAAAGTTAGCAAAAGTACCAAAGTCGTTAGATCAATTGAGTATCAGATAGGACTTACCGTCAGACATAGAGGTGTCGTTCTGCATGAAGATACCGGAGTCGGCTGGGGAAGCCTTGGGGGGAAGAGTGACGTATTGAGGCATCTTCTGTAGATTGAAGTTAGTAAAGGCTGATATGATGGAAGAAGACAATATAAAAAATAAAGAAACTTACAATGATGAATTGAGGTGAAGACCTAGTAGTCGTAAAAATTGATCCTTAGATCGTTGTGAGTGTCCTTCTCTGGATGATTGAGTTAGTCGATTGCTTTCAATTGAATTGAAGTAGATGTGAGTTGATGAATGTGAAGGAGAACTTGAAGGTTGTGTGTGTGTGATTGAAGAAGTATCGAGAAGGATGGTATGTTTAAATAAAAGAAAGGAAAGATGGAAGAAGGGCTGATGGCCAGTGTCAAGTGGAAGTGGAAGTGGATCATGGAAAGGTAGAAAAAATAAAAGTAGACAGTACAGATTGGAGGGAGGTGGATTGAGAAATTTTATTTCAACTGTGTGAAATATGTTACTGTGGTGAATAGTACCAGTACCCAGGCAGAAAAAAGGCCGCCCAGTAGCAAGGTGAAGGATGGTAGGGTTGAGGAAAATTTGCGGAGGTTCTAATTTTTGCAACGAGGGAGAAGGGAGAGAGTTGAAATATTACTTACCGACAGTTGAGAAGTAAAGAAGTTCGCGGATTGACTAGAAGTCGTAGATTGGGTAGATGTCGTTGGATGACTAGAAGACAAGTAAGTAATGGAATGATGGTGGTGAAAAGGTCGATGGTAGATGAAGGATAGATGAAGGAAAGGTAAAGGATTAAAGTGTGCTGAGAGTAGGAACTTACCAAGATGTCAATGGTGGTCAGGCTAGAATTGGACACAAGGTCGAAATTGAAGGTCGAAGTTGAGGATTTGTCTCGAAGTCGATCTCAGTTCTGGCTCTCAGTTCTGGTTCGGGTTGCGATATGGAAGGAAGGGGAAAGAAGAAGAAGGATGGAATGCCAGGACCTTTAAATAATAAAGCTCTGTGGACCTCACTGATTGTGCACAGTCAACTTGGAAGTTGATTCCTAACTTTCCAGTAAAGAAATGCGAATAGTTACACTGTCAATGGTTTAATTTTTAGGTGCCAAACCCATTCAACTGCAGCCACACTGTGCATTTTTCGTACTGATTAGGAATAGACCCAATAATCCAGCCAATGGGATAATACCATTCTACTTATCTCAGTAATTGTCTGGTTTTTGATCTGTGAATCGATAATAATTCCTATTGTATCATTACACAGTACCATTCTACAGCAACATGTAGGTAAATCGATTGAATAATTCTACTGTTTTAAGCTAAATAATCGCCCACCAGATCCACTTGAAGCAATTCAATTTAATTCCATTGGTCCTTATTGCTGACTTTTCCATTTACATCGCCGACGATATTCAAGATCACTGTACAAACAAACTATTAAACCTACAAATCAATATTCCACTGTCTTCCTTAAAATACTCAGTCACACTTACAGCAATTGAAGTAAATAAATTCAGCCTTGCAACCAATGACCAAATTCCATTCGTTGATTTAGATCATGTTGGCGACCTGTATTATTCTGATTTGTACTGTGTACATTAAGCGGCTCAATTAATTGACGTTGAAACTGACCCACATCCCCACACTCTGATCTTGATTGCAGCCCTAAGCCCCACTCCCCGCGTACCACTTGCGGGGCTAAGACCTCACGTAATCCGGGGCAGGCACGCTTAAAAAGGACTAGGTACCTGTATTAGGGCATACCCTACCTAATCTCAGTGACATTTAGGCTGTGAACGGAATGCGTCTTATTTTAAGGGCTCTTCTTAAAAAGATACATTGGCCCCACACATAAAATCTTATGAATCCAAATGTATCTTCCTTATCCCTTGCAATCAATCTAAACTGAATACGGCTAGCCTAGCCAACAGCTGACGACAGCTGTAAAGACCTGTCACAGCTGTAGTAATTTAAATAAAATGGAAAGAAATAAAATAACAGCTGTAATTATTAAAAGACACTTGTAATAATTGAATGGTAATTGTATTAATATTTGAAAATAGCTAGTTGCGTAGTTGGCCTGCCAGCTGTAATGGCTTGTTTGCCAGCTGCGTGGGGCTTTAAAAGGGCTGTCAGGGCTTGTGCGACGCTGTAAGAGGCTTTTCTGTAAGCAAGACAGGTTGAAATCAACCTGTCTTGCATACAGGAAAATAAGAGCTCTTTTGTGGGGCGCTAAACCCCTTATCCCCTTAAGTGGCATAAAGCAGCAGCAGACACACCGTTACTAAAATTAGTAGCAGATACAACCAAGGCAATTTCCCCATCGCCCCATAAATCTATTATCCAATAAAATCAACAAATTCTATAGGTACTTAATTTGCCACTTATTTTTGCGTATGCCACTTGTACTAACAGTACTTAGAATTACATAAAGCCACATTACAAGTGCCACATCGAGATTGTGGCTTAATGTTTACCATTTGATACTTTTTGGCATCAGCTTTAATCCTCGACAAGAACGTCCCCAAATCTGGTTTCCTTGACAAACTTAACAATTAGATGCGTTTTTAGATCTTATTCATTCGTGATCTGTAAATTGCCCCTTCTACGAGTCGTTTGAGAGCCGCGTTTGCGTGCAGGTACGGACGAGCCGTAAAAGGGAATAGCCTCATCTAAAATACGGCTTATCCAATCCCTTAAAGCTAGCCAGGATCAATTGAGGCAAGAAACAAAGCTCTAAAGCCTCTGATGCTTGCCGGAGGTATCTATGATTAAATTTGTACGATGACCTCATTTGAGCTGCGCCGGCGTATCGGACCTTTCTTGAAGACTAGTTGTCGAGATCATATGTACTCAGTTACAATTACACTAAACGCCGGAATAACCTAGCGCCGGCCAGCTTTGTAATGTACCGCGTTGTATTTGAAGAAAAATGGATCAATATATGGGGTTTTGGGTAAATGTGGGAATAGTGGATTGAAAACGATGTACTAGGTGTTATTTTTAGTAACGGTGTGTCTGCTGCTGCTTTATGCCACTTAAGGGGATAGTTTAGCTTTGGACCCGATTTAAACAGTACATTGCATAAAATAAGAGATAGGTCTTACAGCGTAGTACAAGCTAATGACAGGGGTCTTAGAGATTTGTGCAAAAAAAAAAGGTGCTCTTTTAGGTTAAGTTCTTTTTTTAGCGTGTTTTTGAATATTTTGTGCAAGGGATCCACAAGCTGTAAGGACCCCTTCTTAAAATAAGACGCATTCCGTTCAGGGCCTTAGCCATCAAGGTACTTAGCGTAACTGCCGCGGCACGACTTACGCTTATTTACACTGTCAGCGCTGATTACTGCCACAAATCACGTGGCCTTTAGCGAAGACTACCCAGTGAAGCCAATCCCTTTTGGACCAAGCATCACAACGACAAGACAATGAGCACTGTCGGTTAAGATCTATTCTGACCGATACTCTACCCAATACTAAAATAGCTTCAATACGTAAGAAATAGATCAGTGAAGAAATACTACGAAGTCCTTCCGTGACTGTAAATCGTCCTGTTTAGCGTCATACCCAAACCACGCGCCCTAGATTACCAGCCCATGATGTGTTAGCGCAGGAAAGAGGCCATAAATACTGTATATATAAGACCTACCACTAAAAGAGAGAAACCAGAGCACCACAGTGCTTCCCAAGATAAAACTAAATGAGTGTTTGCTACGCTACTACTACAAGTAGCCATGCGCGTCGTGCGGATACATCCAAGTGTTCGGGGCAAACCCATAGTGCATGGAGCTAGGCGACGAACTCATCCTCGTCGGTCCCGACATCTGTTGTGGGGGGAACCCCATGTTATTAGCAGCGTAATCAAACGAGTGAATCCCCGGGATCATCGGAGCAGTAGGCGAGTGAGTGTGTGGTGAGTGCGCATGCGAGTGATGGTGACCGCCACTACCGTAGACAGAAATGCTGTTGCTGCCGTCATCGCGCCTCTCCGTGGCGGAGATAACTTGGACTTCGTCGTCGTCGTCGTCGTTGTTATCTCCATTCTGAGCCTCGGTAGTAGAAGCGGGCGTGTTGTTGGGCGCACCTGTCGGTGGCGCGCCATCGACAGGCAGTGTAGCAGCACTGGGTACGGCAGCAAGCCCACCACCAGTAGTAACACCAACACCCACACCACTACCACCACCGCTCTCTTGCTCCGCTTTCACGGCGATGGAATCTTCGGTTTTGACTTCACCTTTGACCTCGGTCTTGATCGGCTCGTCCACGTCGCCGGCATCCTCGTCCACGGCAGCGAGCTTTCGCCTCTTGTTGGCCGCGCGGCTCTTGATGCCGTCTTTGCTGTCCTTCGATTCTTTCTTGAGCCCGCCGCCGGCGCCGGAGGTCTGGATCCCGTGGGCTTTCATGAGGCGCTCGTATCGCTTGGCACTATTGGGTGGAAGGAGATAGAGGTTGTTAGCTTTGAAGATGTGGGTTATGGGTGGGGGATATATATAGGATGGGATTCAGAGAAGGATGGTAGGTAGGTGGTAAACTTGTGGCGATACTCACGCGGCGCCTTTGGTCACGATGTCGCATTCCTTGGCGACTTCGCCGAAGTCAACCTATCTCAGTTAGCGAAAATTTAGGACTAGTAGCCTAATGGCGTATGTAGTTCTCACCTTGCCGCCGGTAGAGTGCTTGATACACACGATGAGGAACTTGAACTGGGAATCAACGTCCAAAGGAGGCATATTGACTGTTTTCGATCAAAGCCCGGTGGTGATGCTATTATTCTTAGATGGAAGAGGACGAGAATTGCAAAGATACCCGGCCTAGGATGGTTGGATGAGTACGGCAAAGATTGATTTGATTCAGTTGGCAGAGAAGTATTACGTTCGAAGAAGCGGTATTAGGGTATCAAAGCTGTGCCTTCTTCCAGATCAGTACCCATTCAAATCTCTTGACAGCAGTTGTATTCGTATTGGACAGTATCATAGGTAATAGATGGCATATGAGAGCAAACCAAGTACCTCAATATGCGACAGCTGATGAGTCGACAGTCTGATATTCAAGTGTCACTATGGTTACGGCTAGATATTTCTTGGGGCTGTGTCGTGGCTGTAGACACGCTGAGGGAGTTTCTGGACAGTCAGTGTCGGGGTTGCTGGCTAAAATAAGAGAAAATTTCTACTACGCTATGGTGAGTTGTCAGAAGCCGGCCTTTGAGTGTCGTGAATGGTGTTCAGTATGATTTTGATGTTAGCCACAAAGACGAGAAGTAGCAGCTACCATACCCTTTCAGATATCACGGTATAACAGGTCAAAGATCTAAATATGATGGCACGTTTTCACCTTTGTCGTTGAAGGAAAACTGGGAAATGTGTGTGTGATTGGTGTCAAAAACATGAATAATAGCAAGCAAAAAAGAGCTCACGGCTGATTTGAAGATTGATATTACTCAAAAGTACCTAAGCAGAGAAGGCTCGGAGGGTAGTTGGGCCCGAATCATATATCATAACCTCCACGGCTACCTGGTGCCATACCTAAATATATAGGTGTGGTGCCTATATCATTCATTAATCGGGTTCTGTCAAAGAAAACACAAGGGATTGGTACTAGTATGGGCTGTTAGATATTCGAAGCGTAAATCATAGGTCACTCATTCTAGGTTAGAAGACACATTATATTGCAGATCAATCATTGTATTGTATTGTTTCGCCATGCGTATGCGAAATCAATGACTATCTACTTTTTGTATTGTCGTATAGAATAGCATAACGTTTATCAGTAACGTCTAGCTGCCATTACTCTTGCTCGGGCTCCTTCTCTTCATCATGATCCTTCTCTTTGGCCTGATCATTCTTATCAGCCTGCTCCTTGCTCTTAATCGAACCACGAGCCGTCTTCATCTTCTTTGCCGGAGGCTGGCCAGCGGACTTGTCCGCGGAGCCTGCAAGCTTTCGCTTTCCAGTCTTGGGAGCCGGGGTCTGGGCTGCCTCATTGTCGGCAGCTTCGGACTATTGCAATAATGTGTTAGTGATGTTTAATATTGTAGCAAAGGATGGAAGACAACTTACCTCACCGCTGCCGCGAACCAACTAATAAGTAAAGGAAGAGAGAAAGTTAGTAATCATATATTTTATCACAGAAGTTTTGACATATTCAGACCGGGCATGAATATATTGCATGGATACTTGGAATGACTTACCTGATATTTCTGGCGCATAATATAGAAGGCGTCATGGGACACCTTGGCGTTCTTATGACCGATTGAGGCAGCGACAGCAGCCCAGTCAACAGCAAGTTCGGTAGAAGTCTTCTTGGATTTCTTCAGAACTTCAAAAGCCATACGAGCCTCTCTCTGGGTGACAATAAGGCCATCGCCCAGATCGAACTTCTTGATAGCTCGAGATGGAGGCGACTGGTGGGCAGGCGTGGCATGGCCAGCACCATTACCAGCGGCATTCTTCAAGGATGAACGTCGGTCAGACATCTTTAATAAATATTAGTATTGGACTTGGAGTATATGTCTTTCAAGGCTTGAAAGAAAGCGTGACTCGTTGTAAGTGGGTATGGTTCAGGATGGGATATAGATGAAGAGAAAGGGCAGTGACAAAGGAAGTAGCTGCTGAATATTTACTTACTTTGATGCTTGATTGAATTAGTTCTTGAAGATACGATGCCAGGTTTGTTCTTTTGAGGAAGACAAATTGTCAAGAGTTACTGCTACCAAAGGTGGTAGAGAAACGATAGATGAATTTGCGGTTCAGTTAATTTGTGATGAGTGTAGGTGAAGAAGTGAAGAAACCAGTGACAGGTCAAAGGGTTTATATAGATGAAAAATTCTGCAAGCAGATACCTCAGGATCAACACCCGTAAGGGGATGACTTAGGTTACGATATTTTTTCAGGGCCTGATGAGCCTCTCGTCGTTCTCCCACAGCGGGTCCCCTGTAGGTATTAAATATCTGGCACCTTTCCTAATTTGGGTCAAAATCTGCCAGGGAAGAAGGCAAGTACTATGTACGCGACGTGCTTGTGCGCAATTCTGTCTAAATCAGGTTTAGTATCCCTATTTTAGCAGTTCTATTCGACGACATGGTCGAAAATATAAGTGGAAGGACCTGTGGTGGGATGGACAGTGATATGCCTCAGGTTGGTACCTAGTCTAGTACATACCTGTAGGCAAGGTAGGAGACACCAATGGCTGAAGGTATATCACACTGCTACTCTACAAAAGGAACATTAGGTGTAAACCTATTTTATTTTATTTCACAGAGGAGTCAAGTCATATCGACAAGTTTATTTGGGATAATCCGTAGATTATTGGGCTGTAGCTGCTTGTCCGGGCATCTAACTAGGAGGCTCTACACAAAGATCAAGATAACATGATCAGATAATCATACCACATATAAAGCCCAGGACTTGTACGCCTTTGTACGGAATCGTGTATCATTACTTTCTACCGGACTCGTTGTTGATAAAATAGGCATGTAGGTGCCCACCTCCTACTAGGTATCTAGATCTTGACCCTAGGTACCTACTTAAGTGGATAATCGACCTCCTATGGTACCTTACCCACCTGTTGAGCACCTGTGACTTTGCTGATGCGAACTTTTGTTTTATGAACGCAATAGATGTGTATATATCTATCTAAGAGGAGCCGAGAGTCGTCCAGGATAGCGTGCATATATCCCGGAGCGCTAGGCTTATATAGGTCTAGCGTCCGGGAGCCGTCCGGCAGCCGTCCGGGACTGCGACACTAGGCATTTACCTACGTATGCACATGTAAGCCACTTACATGATATCATACATACATATGTAGTACTACATACCGTTGAAATGACAGCTGTATTGGCTAGAAAAGAAAAATCATATTTGCAAATGTCAGATTCAATAGAATGCAGTAAATGCACTAACCTACCAAACCTAGGGTATCACGTGGATGAAAGATACACGTGATTATCCGGTAAAACCACGTGACTTTGTCCCGACAGTTTCCATATGTACTTTGTAAGATATTTTGAGGTTTCGTTAACCTCCCAAATAGGCGTGCCCTTCACATAGGAGAGGAGATTTTTCTCTTTTTTCAAATAGAACATCACTCACCATGAATGGCTGTATGACACCTCTGAATCCCCTCAACCTAATTGGAAGACTAAAAAAAGCTATACTACGTCGCAACGTACCGCGCAGACCGAGGAAATCCCAAGTACTGTTGCTTGAACCGAAACATTGTATTATTCTTGAGTCAAGCCTTGTTGTTTTTATTGCCCAAATATCCCATATCACCTTTTACTCGGCTGATGGAGCGGCCATTGAGCTCATTGCTATCCTTGTTATCGTTATCGAAAAGCGTCAGTGGGTGGCGTAGCGGGGTTTTAGATGTCGTGGTATGCGGATCTAGGCTTACATCCCCAGAGAAGTTGTTGGGGCTCTTATCTGAGAAAGGTGCGATTGTTAATATTTAAACAACTAGTCAATCAGAGGGAAGTTATATCAATGCAGTCAATGTAGGTAGATATCTAGTTCAACTTGAGTCTTGAGGTGTTGAAAAGTGTTCAGATCATCGCCATGATGTGTACCTAGGTACCTAATCAAACAAAAGCCGTGGCTGTCAGGGCATGGATCACATGATTTAGGTAATACTGCTTCTGCGCGTAGCCCTAGACGTCGCAAGCTTGGTGGCTTCTTGAGAACAAAATCTATTCTAGTTCTAATTATCCTCCTACCTAGTATACCTAACCTAGATGCATACCCATACCTATTACCTAGGTATGTTACCTATCTGTCAGTTGCCGCCAGTACACATGCACTTCAATGCTTCCCAAAGTTCTCATTGACAAGCACATATCTGTACCGTGCTTTTCCCTTATCCATATCGATAATAGCTTGGTTAGCTTCCTTTAATGGCCGTTCTTGGATCCAAGACTTGATATTCTTGTCCGCTGCAAGTTGCAACATCTCCCGTATCTCCCAAGGAGCACCGGTGGCACTACCGCCAACCTTGATGCCACTTGCAATCAATGTGAATGCATTGATTGGAGGCAGATTACCTCCATCAGGAGCTCTATCGATATATGTCAGTTTGAAACTCTAAGTAGTCTGTCTGCTTGAGCAGAGCGTTGGATTGGGGAAGAACTTACCCGACCTGGATGTATGAACCTCGCGTTTTCAAAAGCGAAAGATATCCATTCAATGGCATCTTTTCGCTCGACACAGTGGAGACGATTAAGTCCAAGGTACGAGCGTATTTGGCAGACCAGTCCTTCTCGTCGTCCGTGGCGATATACTGATCAGCGCCAAGCTTCAGCACATCATCCTTCTTGTCATTCTTCCTCGAGATACCAACGACCCTGTCAGCACCCAGGGCCTTTGCGAAAAGGACACCGAAATGACCCAACCCTCCAACACCAACAATTCCCACGGTCTTTCCTGGTCCGCAGCCGTTCTGCCTCAAGGGAGAGAAAACAGTGATGCCACCACACAACATTGGCGCAGCGATTGCTGAATCGAGCCCCTCTGGTATTTGGAACACCCAATTGCCATTGGTTCGGTTATAGTCGGCATAACCACCATAACTCTTCCCTTCGTCGTCGGGGTAGACTGAGCTGTAGGTGTTGATCAACCCATTGGCACAGTACGACTCGTTGCCGCTGGAGCAATCGGCACAGGTGCTTTGATGGCACGATCGAGCCTGTGCGCCTACGCCGACACGGTCGCCAACTTTAACGTGCTTGACGTTCTGTCCTACGCGTACTGCTTTGCCGACAATTTCGTGACCCACGACACAAGCTAGGAGTATGTCAGGACAACGCGCTGAAATATCACCAGAGAATCAGAGAAGGGGACAACATACGATAAGGTGTCGGGAACCAGCCAGACTTTAGTGTGTGGAGGTCGGAGCCACAGATACCGCAATGCGATATTTCGATATCAACGTCGTCTTCACTCCATTTCTTCGGCTCGTATTCACCCCACTCCATTTTGCCGTTAACCGAGTCTGGTGATTTGCCCAACCAGCCCTGAAACTTGAGGTTCGTTTGTGCCGCCATGTTGAAGAATTATATTGGGTTTTCTGTTCGGTTTCTACACTAGTTAAATTATGGGTGGTAGGTTACTGTGGATATGGTCAATGGCAAGAAAGATCAAGTCGTATTAAATGGGTGTCCTCCTGCCGAGCTTTATATCGCACTCTACGGACACCTCGGCTCGCCTACCTACCTACGTAGATCGGATTCTAATTTACCCATGATAGCATAATAGCGTGAGTCAGGGGTCCATTACATTAAGCTATCATTCCAAGCTAATTTGTAATATACCCTATAACGAAACCTCATTTCTCAAAAGAGCGGCATGATATCTTACGTTAGGTCGAAAATTTCTGTCCTTGGCCCACCTTTCCTTATAGTTGATGTTCTCGAGTGGAATTAGTTATGTATGGCATGTATGCAAGTACCGGCAGGTTTCGTTGCCGAAAATTCAATGGTACGTCAACGATTGAGCTAACTTTTTTATCTACTATAGTACTACTAACCTTGAAGATATCACTCCATCAGGCTTAGCACTCTACGTCATGGTTTTTAGTAGATAAAATACTGTTCGTGAACTAATGGTTCTACCTTCTACGAAGTAAAAGAAACGAATCAAAGTTGTGTTACCTAAAGCATAATGCTGTTCTCTCTCGAACAGAAAAATAGGGGTAATCAAGGTAAGAATAGAAGACATTTGGAAGCGCATACCTGTATTACCAAGTTGATGTTACACATGATAAGCACAACTTATAGAACAGAGGTACTTATTCCCATTTCCGTCTTTAGTCCGAGTTTCCTCCAAGACCTGACCTACCTAATTTGTACCCGGCAGATAAGCCCCTCCCCTCCAATGACGGCGTTATATCGTAACTACGTTAGTACTTACTTACTATGCAGTACATCGTACTTTTCTAGCTAAACATATCGTTGTTATTAATATTTCCACATATAAAGAGTGGCCATCTACAACTTCGACGACTCCTGTGATTATAAACAATCAAAACCTCGGCGATAAAAGGTCTATCGCCGCTAACACCACCAGCGGTCGATGACCTCAGATACCATGGATAATCAACTACCCAAGGAGGCAATGCATGAGGTAAATCTCTTAGTCGCTAGCCATATTAGGGCTAGTGCACGAGTATTGTGCCTCTTTACCCATAAAATTTACCAGGTTATGTGAACGATCCGTCTCTTTCGTATTTCACACGCTCATCGACCACTTATTAGTGTATACCTTCATGATGCTGTGACAATATTAATCAATCTCTTTTCGGCGCAGCCGTACTATCTGACAGATCTCAGTTCCCAAGAAAGCCTATCCACTTTGGCGTCAAGCGTAATTGACTACGCGAAAAGGTCACTGCATAGGATATTATAAGTGCATAATACTAGTTCCTACCTATAGATGACAGCTACTACTGCGTCTCAATTACTGATGGCCAAGAACATCTCCAAGATATATTGACAACACTGAAGAGTATTTACGACCCGGACTTAGGATTCAACGCTTAACTTCGAGACAGGACCACGAGCTACAATAGGGGCATTTAATCCCCCGGATTACCAATGACTCAATGAGGCGTAGATGGTAAAATATAGCCAGAAAAGAATGTGAGCAAGGAGCCAACAACAATCATCATGAGTCCTTAACGCCGTGGACTGTCAGTCGACCTAAGGTCACCCGCCCTGGAAGCCTCCACGAAGATGAAGTGCCGAAAGAGTGCAAAGGTTCAAATTCATCTGGCCGCACTGTCCCAAGCGCATTTTCAGGCACGCCTATCACAGTGTCTTTCAATTTTCCCCGCGCGACGTCTAGGCCGAAGTATCAAAGCGTCCTTGCTGTCAATCAGCCTAGGCTAGTATTCGTTACGCGAAGACTTTTCTGCAAGCCCACGGAGTCCAGTGGGAAAAGGGGAGTGGAAGTAGCTACATCCGCTTGAACGAAGCTTCGTCCTCATTCAGCCAGCACTCTATGCGGGAGACAAATAACTTCGAGAAGTACCTAATGCTCGTCTTGATGAAGCGAGAGGAGATCCATAGCTGCGTGTTCGGTGGGATGGGTTGTCTTTCGACAATGAAGAACCCGCGGTTCTGTTGATTGGGTCATGTTCAAGAATCTTTCAATACAGACACAGAGGTAGCAGCAGCAGCTAGCAATTTCCCGATCACCGCAAATATTATCGTCGCTTCCTAACGTAGGTACTCCGTATGTTTCTAGCTGACTTGCGGTCAGCATGTGGGTATTGTAGCAGATAGAAGAATAGTGTACAGAATGCTGTACTTGTAGTATACCTACGTATCTCTAACTTGGTGCAATATCATGTCAAGGTATACATGGGGAAAGCGTCTCCGGAGAACATATGAATCGAGAACCTACTAAAAGGGGAGAGGGAGAATATCTTAGACCACAACTAGATGGTTCACAGAGAACGCATAAAGATCATGTTAACATGTTTCTCTTCAGATAACCATGTACGGAAGATATACCTTGGGGTAGGCCTGCATTTGGTATGACTATAGAGCACAATCCCAACGGCTTCAGGAGCGGAAACTAACCACGTCGTGGAGCTTTCCATGTACAATCCAGGGAGTACACGAAGCATGAGCCGACACATCAGGTCTGCCTGCGTATAATGGCCATAGCTAAAGACGGGAAGGCATGCGGTGTCTGTGCTAAATCCTTTGCAGCGCTCTATAATCTTGACATGGCTGAAAGTTTGAGATCATTAGAAGAGTTGGTTGATGAAGATACTCAGTCCCTAGCTTGCCGTGGTGACCAAGTATGCGCTGGCTTCGTAACCCTTTCATTGTGTTAGCAAAGAACGTTACCTGAGTATGAAATCTTAACTTGGATTGTAGTCAAGCTCATTGCGACCTATTATCGCTACCAGCCCTACTATCGAAGCTAGTATGAAGGACCAGATACTTTCAGCCACTTGAACTTACTGTACTGTATCTCTTCTAATCTTAGAATGCCGCCAAATAGAGGCACATAGAGAACACATGGAAGCCGACGTAGAATTCGGACAGCTTCGTCATAAGAAGACCTGGAAAGGGCCTTGGAAGCTTCGGAGCGGGTAAGAGAAGACATGATGACCAAGTAATAGGAGTAACCCCGGAGATGTCAATATTCATCAAATGCTTCCACAACGAGAAATTCCAGAGAGTATGAGGACCAAGGCGGCATATTGTGGCCCGGAGAGTATGAAAACTTGGCTCCCAGTTACCACAACCACACATGAGTAGTGTAGTCGTCTCCTAGGGAGTGTAACCTAGGTACGTAGGTAGGCAGTCAAGTAGGCAACCAGGCACCGAGGCAACCGTATACCTACTTCTAGTTACTAGGTAACAAAGATACTTGTTAGATACTTACTTGACTACTTAGGTACGTTGCTAAAGATTACACAATGAGCCAGGGCTATTATCAACATATCAACGTACCCTCGGCCTTGTTCTCTAGAATTCCTTTTGCGGCACTCAAAAGTTCCTAGCAAAAAGACGAAGCACCTGTAAGTGATTAAAATGTATTGACTTCAAGTCAGGCAACCTGTTATACGTCTACTAACTCCTGGAGGTGATTATTTGGGTAGCATTACTCCTACTAAGGGGGGTGAAACTGATTCACAGGCTTCTAGTGCTGGCAGCCACCAAGAATACCAGGTCACGTAGGTACTAGGGCAAGTTTATTGTTGATAAGCAGGCTGGCCAAAGGGTACTTTCAAGTGAAAGCTCAAGTACTCGATATCCGAAGCATCCGCGTATGTCGTGTTAACATCCAACGTTCGTATACTACGGTAGTAGTTGACGCTGTGTTACGTAATCCACCGTCACAAGTCATGGGACTTATTCAACAACTCCAGGTGTTATTTCACCAGTGTAATGTCTGCCTGGGAGATACTTGAATCGGGACAGCTTCACCGAAGATCAAAAGCAGCTACGCCTGTATGTAGGTATCGGACCTTGGCATCACATCTATGTACCTAACGGCGAGGTGTGTGATCTACCATACAGTAGCCGAGATCCCACAAAACCACCTAGGTTAGATATCGTGAAAAATACGGTTTATATCGCTATAAACGCAGAACGCCGGCTTTAACTACCAGGAACCCACTTATCTTACCACCACATAGTAAAGTAAAATGGCGTAAAGGTGAATCAGGTTATAAGTCTTCCGAGCCAGTAGGGAGCGTTCCGGAGCCTAGTCTTTAGAAACAAGCCATAATCGGCGAGCGTCTCTTGCGTAAAGGTCCCTGTGAGTTAACGTAGGCTATGGATCTGGTTGATTTTTCTTTTCTTGTCGTTAACAAGATCCTTGCGGCATGAGCAGGCTGACAGTAAGTAGGCTACATGGTGTTCTAGACGGGCAGGCAAAGTAGGTACGTATTGCTATAAACTACTTATCTATCTGGTGTGAGCATATGCGCACGCCGTAGGCATGTTAGTATTACCCAGGGTCAGTATGTACCTTACTTGATAACACACCGAGACCGCACATCCCCCACTAAGGAGTATATGCTTATTATTCTGTATAACCCACGATGGTGGGGTAGCTTGGGGGTATGGGTGTGTGTAGGTAGGCAGGCAGGTAATAGAAATGTGACGGAAAAGCAAATACCAGGTTATACTTCACGACGCTCTTTTCTGTGAAGTTACACGCCACCCATTGTTCCCCGTAACAGCCCACACACATCTCCCTCCTCCACACTAGATCGTTCTAGCCATTGTATGCCTACAGCTATCGTACCGGATAACCTATGCAGTTGTCTATGTGTATTGGGGGCTAGGGCAGCGGAAAAAGCAAGCCACTGACGTGGGAAGTGGGTGTGTAACAGGCCCTAGGGCACGGAGATCCATGTAACGGTATCCGGGTACTCGACCCTTGATCTCTGACCTTCCTGGTTTGACCTACCTACCTGACTAACTAACCTGGTAGATACTCTACTACTTCTAAACCCGAAGTTCGTGCAGAAAGCGGCCCGTCGATAGCCTTTGGGGCTAGGCCAGAGGTGTGCCATGCGGATACTTTGACAGACAATGGCTATTGTATTACGACACCGCCATATGTAACCTTTGATATATGTGTGCTGTGTAAGAAAGTAAGTACCCTTTGGTTACCTACCTAGGTAGACGGCTTTTTGACACCATTAACGCCCAAGCGTGTGCGCACATACCATGTGATCTAACATGAACAGGGCTGAAGTGACAGGTCAGAAACTCTAGAGCAGAGCGATGTGATAAGACCCCTCCTGCTTCAGTTCCGACTAAATACCTCAAGTGAATGGATAGATAGGAGGGGAAGGGGTTATTCTCAGAATTGCACTCAAAGAATGGGAGGCCATGGAATGAAAGGGTCTGGGAGTGTAGCCACCTCTGGTTCGATCATCTCATCGTAAGTACTCCTAACCACTTCAAGCTGGTCAACGGTTTCTCTTATCTCACTTGCCGGATGAGATTCTCATTGAGGAGTCAATCTCACTCAGTCTAGAACATTGAACATGATGAATTCAACGTAGTGTCTCAGGGGGTGGGCTTTGTTCTAGAGTGTTCTCGCAAGGACTTGGAAGCGCATGATGAACTCGGTATTCACTCGTAACAATTCCAAACTAGCATTGATTGATCTGAAAAGTACCCTTAGTACGGAAAATTTCCCACCGCCCATAATTCACCAGCGCCGGGCGTGTAAGTCTCTGTATGAGACAGCAGATTCATGCCGCCGCCAAGTTGATGTTTACATGACTCGAACCTATCCAGTGACAGTGGCCACACACACACAACCCCCCCAAAACCACCCCGGCCTCCTCTCGCTCCTCGAACGCCAGCTTTTTTTTTTCTTTCAATCGTTGACCAAAATTACATGAATCTAGATCGTAACACGCACCGCCAGCCCAGAATATGTTGCCTAAACCGAGATTCCCCTCCCCTACCGCCTATCCCCCCATCCCATAACACGAGCCCAGAGTCCAAAGCCTAGAAAATAACCACAAGGACGTGATATTGAAGAAAGTAACTCGCCCGACCCACATGCTTTTGCGTGCGATCAGGAGTACTGGTCCCAATCCTCACGCTTCACATTCACGTAATCAGCATCAGATTCGATGCTGTGGTGCGACATCCCGAGTGGCAGTTGCGCATGGTGGTGCATGTGAGGATGGTCGTAAGAGCCGTAGTCATCGTAGGTGTAAGCCGCGGCGGCAAAAGTGGTATATGGTGGGGCGTGAGCCCACGCCGCTTCGGTATCGGGGCATGGCGAGCTTCGGAAGTCGAAAGAGTTGGAGGGATTGAGTAACTCGCCTGTGGTGGGACTGGGGGTCAGACCGGGGGAAGGAGAAAACATGTCCATGTCGCTGCTGGGCGTGAGCAGCCGGGGCTGGATCACAGTAGGAGTGTTTGCCATAGTTGGTGCAACAGGTATTTGACCCGGGCCCGGCGTGAGACGTGGGGAAAGCCGGCTCTCAAAGCTGTATGGTGAGCTTTCTTGCTTGACAATCGAGGGAGGAGGGGGCGAGACGGACGACCCTTGCGGCATGGGAGATTCGGAGGTTGGCTCCGACTTAATACCTTCGGTCTTCTTCCCTCTCAATCCCTTCTTCGCCTTTGTAACCCGAGACTTGGGCGTTCCCGTCCGGTTACGCCGGGTGGGCTCGAGGCCCAACATGGCGCTCCTGAAGCGCGAATATCTCATTCGAGCGGCGTGGCCGTTGGTGATCTCCTGGTTCAAGACCGGGTCATGAGCGACCTTGTTCCAGTCGATCTGGATTATGAGTTAGAAAGGTATATATCATGCTTAAATGGCCACAATCCAACTCACATCCTTGAGATTCTTCTGGCTCAAGATAGCAAACAGGAATCTAGTCATAGGGTTGTCGTGGTTGTTGGTCGACATGATGATAGTGTTCAACTGAGGTGGTAGTCAGGTAGACTTGAGTAGCAAGGAAGATTCAGAAGGGGCGAGCGGCCTCAATAAGAAGTGCACAGCTAAGTGTGAGGTGATTGGTTGAAGAGGTTGATTCCAGGGAGAGTCTGAACCATGAGGAGTTGAAATGTAATGAGTGAGTCACGAACGGAGTAGTTGTGAAAGTCGGTGAGGGCAGGTGGGCGGAATATAAGGCAAAGGCTTCTAAGATAAAGCTCCTAGCAAGCTTGGTAGAGGGTATAGAGTATCACATCAGGCCGTCGATCGAATATGGTGATGTGAGGTATGACGAAGGGTGGGGACAAGTAGAGAGAGAGAGATCGTTTGACATCGATACAATGGAGCCAAAGAGATTTAAATTTCATTATAAAAGACCTAAGTCTAGCACGAAAGAGGGAGATAAATGTATCTAGCTCCCCTTCGCTAGCTAGATTGTCGATGAAAAGGGTAAAGATAGGTCCGTGACAAGGCTGCTTTAAGTGCTTGCATGAAAAGCACGCTTGCTCACATTATCAAGTAGTTCCAACTGCAAGGAATCTGTACGGGGAAACAGTATGAAAGACACGGTTGCCTAGCAACTCCCATTGTAACGAGGCGAACATCGTTAACATCTTTCTTGGCTAGTACTAAGTAGAGTAGGATATGAGTCCAGGGGGGTGGAAGAGGCGAGAAAAGGGATAGCGGGGATCGTGTTGGCGCAAAGTGGGATGGTACGCGGCACTACCGCGTAAAGTGGTTTCTTGATCCCTGTTGAAGTTATATCCCTTTTTGCCAGGGTCTGGATCATCTTCCAGGGGGTATGGTATGCATGTAGGTACATACATGTCCGAAGCCTTCGAGGTACATGACCAAATTCATGGAAAAGGATGCGATATAACGAAAGTCCTAGAAAGCCATGTCGAGGCACTAGATATGCATACCATCATCACATTCCGTACGTGTACCTCTTTTCACGATGCGATATTCAAAACTCAACAAAAAAAAAAAAAAGTATTATGGTCCTGGCCTACATGTACTGAAGAAATGCACACGCTACATATAGGTATGTACATGTAGGTATTGTATGTATCGTGTAGTACACCAAGTGGTGACACTGGTGAGCCGAGAAGGGTTGTAACGCCAAGTTACATATGTAGCTTCAGGAACCGATCCCCGATTGTCCGGCTCACATAGGAAAAGTCAGGAAAACTACCGAGTGGTGGGTTAGTACAGTAGGTAAGGGCGAGAAGCCTACCTAGGGTAGGTATAAATGCGGAATAGTGTATACCTGGATAGTGGTTAGTTATAGTAGTAATAAAACACATCCACGATGTGTGAGTCATCCAAAAATTAAGGAGTCGCAAAAAATTTGACTGAAGTGTTGTTCGCTCAATGGAATATTGAATATTGAAGTATTACATAGTACATAGTAGTACTGCTGCATGCCTACACTAGCGTACTATGTAGTAATTAGCCAAATCAATGGTTGCATGTAATTAGCAAAACTGCCGAAGTACTTCCGTTTCTCACATATTTTGTATATAAAATGTATGTATCTTCTCATATGATCATACTCCTAATAGACACATAAATCAGTTTTGACTGCTGGATTATGTAATTGTAGTGAGCTGAAATGGTGTATTTAGGGCTGGAGAACTCAGTAGGTAGCTATGTAGGTGCTTATATTAGGTATGTAGTAGTTAGCTAAGCACTTAGGTGGTAGCTAGTTGGGCATTCATCGATGCTGGCAACGATAATGGCGATTGGTTTAAGTAGGTAATCAGTTAGTTTTTGGGTTAATTCCGTGAACCTAGTGGTCCCAGCCCAGCAGTGGATGTTGACGAAGCATTTCGAAAATGCCTGGAATGAGTGTAAACACTCCTTATCGGCTCCAAATCTGTTAAATCTAGATTGCCCATTACTATGTAACACCCAATGATTTCTTGAGGAAACAGAGCTGCATATTCGGCAATCTAGCGGGGCCTATGCCTAATGCAGGAACGACATATTCCATTTGCGGGCCGTTACTAACGCCGAGGCGAGACAACAGCATGTATCGAAGTCATGGCGGGGGAGGGGGAGAGGATAATGGCTTCAATGTCTTACAGAAAATAAGATTGTTGCATATGTATTTCAAACTTGATGGATCCTCCGAGTTTGTTTGCGCCCAACTGGCCTGACCTTGGCCAGCATCATCTCTTTACTCAAGCAAAACCCGGTCCAGAACATCCGGTCAAGTATTTGGTATCTGATTCATGTAACCTAGTTAGTTAGCATTCACACCACACACACGTAGGTATATTGTATCCTCCCTATGTACACTTTGTGATCGCCTTTGCTTTAATGTTTTTCTTTTTCCCATTCTTCAGTCTTGACCGAAGAAGAATTACGACATTTATTTGGAGTAAGTACATATATGTAGATAGTTAATAGCCAAGTGTATGGGACGAAGTTTCATTGTTTCATTAATGCATGCGACATTAATAGAACAATAAAATAGTGAAGAAAAAAAGCAAAATAGAAAGGGGGTCATGAGGGGTCACTACGCGTTACCCAAAAAGTTGGGACACTGTGCATAAGGATTTCTTAAAATCCCTTCACGTATTGTTCGCCTACTCACGTGATGTTTCAGGCAAAAAGACACTTTTCCATGTTTAAAGTTAAGTGCATGCCTCCACTACTACGTCGTACGGGAAGAATTTTCTAGTTTATGTCCGATGTTATAAGAAATGAAAAAGCAAACATTGTGAATTATCATACTACTAGTGTTCGGAAGGCCGGTTACATTCCGGCTTACCTTAGTTTACATGTATTTATAAGTAAGCGCAGGTATTAATGTGTAAGATATGTTATAAGTTAACGTGATTAACATTAAACCTGGATAATTATAACGTCATTACATGTTTACCCCCGACGCGTGCATAGTGTGGCGTAGCAGCTTGAAGAAGATTGAAAACTTGGAGGCGAGATACATAGGTTCATACACACCAAGTTAGGCAGGTATGTATGTATTGTAGGTCGCCGTAGGTGTAAGATGCGCGACAATAGCGTACATGTAAATGCAAAAATGCGTGTTCACGTGATTTGGCAATTTGGCAAACACTCCAGCGGCCAGGTAGTTAGTTAGGCTAAGTTAGCACACTGCGATGTATGCAGCTACAGGCTACAGCTGATTCAGTGCTAATACTAGGTACCTAGGGTAGGTAATTAGTGCCATATAAGGTAACACTAAAAGACTGCCAAGAAGACTCGGGTCCACTTCTTCCCTCGGACCGCGTAATTTAGTTTAGCTCCAATTCAAAGCTCTTTTACCCATTCTTCTCAACCTCTCAAAAGCTTCCATCTCTATCAATTTTCTTGATTCGCACGTGAAGGGGCGCTTTATTGCTAGCACTACTAGTATCAAGTTCCTACAGCTCTATCATATCATCCTCCCTTAAGCTTCAGCCATCAAGGCTCCAAGCTATCAATAAAATCCTCAAAATGAACAAAAACTGGAATGACAGAGCCGATAAAGACCTCTTTTTCACCATCCTCTCCGTCAAAAATATCGGTGTAATAAGTGGCGCAGAATGGACCACCATTGGTAACCACATGCGTACCTTGGGATATGGCTTCACTAACGAAGGATGCCGGTACGTAACGCTTATTTCTTCAATCTTCTATTCAACTATGTACCTATCTGCAGCATAGATAGTTCAATCTGCAGCATGGTCCGCAGCATAGTCTGTCTCTTAAAAAAAATAAAAAAATAAAGAATAAAAAATAAAAAACCCCCATGGCAATCTCCAAGCCAAGTTGGCCAAAAATAAGTCAAGTCCTGCATTGATTTGCGGCTACGTAGCTACATCTTCCTGCATTTACTAGTATACTAGTATATGTATGTAATATGTATTCCGTACCCGTCCCGGAGAGCCCGGGGATACATACCTACATCACCACCTACCTGCATCCTGTATCATAGGTCATAGGTCATAGGTCATAATCAGAGGTTAGATCGTGCCTCAATCTCTGCAATGTTGCCCTATCGACATTCCCTGGGCCATCGCTGCCTCGTACAAGGCAATTGAGATCAAAGATGTATTGTCGCCAGGATAATATTAGATGCATATTCATATTCATATTCACTTGGGGATACTCCCATCTCACGTAGAATAAAAGAACTAATTACCTCGTATTAGTCAACATTTCCAAGGTCTTCGCAGAGCGCAACACAAGTCTGAAAATGGGGATGGTCAGCGCAAAGCTGATCCTACTCAAAATCCCATCACACGGCGCCCCGGACCTGGTCGTGGAAGGCCGAGGAAGCAGCCACTAGTTCCGATGAATAGTCTTGACCAGGAGGATTCGGGCACGTCAAGTCATCCACAAGAGGTACAGTCAGGTACTGCAGGTACAAGTGTCGACTTGACTGAAGACATGCCTGGGGATGAGGATGATGCTCTGGAGATACAAGACGATTCGGGTCTAGAAGAACAGCCTTCAAAACGTCAACGGCTAGAGGAGGTTGAACAGCAACAGAATGACGATGAAGCTGTCTTGGCCCTAGCTGCGCATGGATTATCTGGCCCTGATGACCATTATGATCCACCAGAGTAGGTCTACCCCAAGTCACTATTATTATTATTGGGTTAATACTAACTGACCCCTCAGTTATTATGCAGAGGCATAGCAAGGCGTTTTTTTTTGTTCGATTCAAGGAAGGGCGTTCTCAGCATTGAAAAAACTCTAGATGGGGCAATGAGCATTCCATGATATTGAAAGGTTTCATCCTGTCGTAGGTTCTCATATTCTACCTAGTAGCTATAAAGGGCAGCACCAGTCTTCCAGGCTCTTGTTACCATGCTTTGTGCGGCTGTCACTAAGCCATATTATTCTCTAAAGATGCTAGAGGAACAACACACGTGTGCGCTTTCACTGGGAATGGGAAGGATACGACCTACACCTCGGGGAAGGGTCTGTATAGTAGCATGGCATCGCGTCGGTCGGCAGTCTGGAGTTATGAATGGGCTAAACATTATATAACATAGTTGGTAGCGACTAATTCTATTATATATCCACAACCCTCAGATTCCTTGGCTGTTACTACTGGGAGCATCTTGTCGTATATACTTAATAACACTTCAACGCTTTACTTCTACCCGAGCCGACAGAGGTAGAGCGGTCAACGTTCTTATGTAGTGTGCTAGCAGCTGTAGATATGCGTAGAACAGTGAGTGTGTCGCCGCTTGGATGCCTGAGGCAGCTGTTACCTACCTAGGGTAGTTCTAAAGCGTGCCCTAACGCACCCACGGCGAGGATATGGAGGAAATTTCTTCTCTAGAAAAACAAGAGCAGGTCTCTTCGCGACCCTGAATTATCAGGTTGCGTTTACTTTTTTTTCGAGTATAAATACCGACGCACCTGTCCCGTCCACTTCGAACTCATCTTCCTTTATTTATTTTTTTTATTTTTCAATCCAACCCATCATACCACAATATCCTCTTCTAGTCGGCGATTGTTAGCACACAGCATTTCATTCTTGCTGTCACTGCTTAACATGACCAGCAGGTATCTTCCTCACACTCATGGAGGATACCTGTTGGTCGTCGCCGGCAGTCATTGACATACATTTAATGCTTTGTTTACGAAAGGTAACGTATCCTCCGCTCATCATTGACAAATATTACGTTGCTAATAAAGCTCATCCAGCCTTCACCACGTTGCTGATAAAGTGCCACGCCGGTTCTCAATTCAGTCAACATCTACTATTTTTTTCAGTTCATATTTTATCTTCTCTACTTCATCCTCATCCAACCTACTCTTCCCAAGGGACCCTACCATCGATCACATTTACCAGAAAGGACACTGGCGAGACACGCCTTAACATGTTCTGCCTCCGCCGTCTGACCAGTTCGATGGTCGGAGCCAAAAACTACGGGTAAGTAACTTGTGTCTAATAACTGAGGTTGGCACTTCCAGCCACCGTGATGATATACCTAGTGTATTCAGTATACTAATCTTTACCACATATTAGCTAGTTCTAGGTGTCTTATTCGTACCCTTACAGCGTGGTACCTAGCACCAGGCGAAGGCCTCAACTCTGAGCAAAACACAACACTGGCCTAAGGCGACACTTCACGCCTTAGGTCCCAACACCCAAGGTACAAAACTTCCTCTCATTATCATTTTTTCAAACGCACTTATTTATTTTTCAATCTCGTTTATGTATTTTTCAACGCTAACAATACACTCTCAGCAACATCCTTGAGGCATCTGAGATGGAGGACGTTGCGGAAGGCGACACACCAGACACAAGACTATCGCACATGACGTTCCTGTCGAGCCAACCTTTCCAAGTTCCCATCCGGATAGTCAATTTCAGCTAGAGAGTAATGATCTCTTGGAGGTACCATTCACCGTATTCTTCTTTTGGAGGACCTCTCTAAGCTGAGGGCCATGGTATGTATTATTTTTCATTTTTCGCTTCTTATTTCCCGATTCCTTCCTATCCATACTTTTTTCCTTTTTTCCTTCTTCAGTACCATGATTGATTCCCTAATCCTCTCCCGGCGAATTGGCCAGTAAACTGATACGCGACGCGTGTTGTTTACATTGTTTACAAATTTATATATTTTTTTTACCTCAGGCAACACCGCACTTCCTCTCTACACCCACCCAACGCACAATTATTCCCAAATCCTTCTAACTTTCAATTTATTTGTTCACGTCCATCATTCCTCATCATTATACCTAACATATTCTCACTTCCTTTTACGGCGAAGACTAACATTTCTTAATAAGCAAAGGCCGGCAGCTCATTCACACAGACATGACTGTTCCACAGAAATGACGGTCTCACAGACATGTCGGTCACCAACTTACCAGACATGTCTGTGTCTGCCTTCGACCAAATTCTCCATCACGTCTACGCCTCTAGGCTTCCATCACCATCGATGCCTGGAAAGCGTCTTCGTGTCGGATGCTTACCATCTACGATTATGAAACGGTAGCTCTATGTGGGGAGGTATACACGAGCCTCTCAGCCTACAACTCGCCATTCTCCCCTACAACAAGATGGGGCAACGCTAACGCCAACAACGACATGGTCCGCAGCACATACATAAAGGACAGTTCGATACCAAAAAGAGGCTTGAGACCATTTCCTGAAGTACATACATTCAGTATCTAAGGACGTCTCAACTTAGCCACGTGACAAGACTCTTTGTCTGCTTTAGGGTCCTACCCTATTGCGGGTTCTGGTATTGATACTTACCAACGCGGCGATGCAAAACGCTCGCTCAGCCCAAGATGCCGCTTCGCGAGGTTCGAGACGGAAGAGGCCTTTGTCGAACCTCGTGAGCTGAAGACCGAATGCGACATGTTGTGGGCCCAAAACGGTAGATGATATCAAGTTGAAGGGCAACTATCACAAAATAGCTACAACGGTAGAAAATACGGGATTTCTATTGAAACCACCTCAAGGATCTGCAAAGACCACCAGAAAAAAGAAAGACAAAAGAAAAACGGAAAAAAAAAAAAAAAAAAAAAAAAGAGAAGAAAAGAAAAACGAAAAAAGAAAAGGAAAGAAAAGAGAAGTAAACCAGCCAACCACCACCACACCCTCCACGCGGCGCCGGTCACGGCGCCAATGGGCCTGGCATGGCCCTACTCCCTTGCCCTTCCTCCATCGCCTCGCCTGTCGGTCGGGGGATAGCCCCCATTGACCCCCATGGGTGGTGCCCCGGCCGACCACATCCATATCATTGGTGGCGGTGGCGGCGGCGGTGGGAAGGTCAAGGGAAGAGGAAAGGATGGCCGGGTGGAAGATCAAATCTTCAACCCCCGCAGATCGCCAAAGCCATGCCTGCCCCTCACTCGGGGTGGTGCCGTGCTGTCTTTGGTCACACACACCCCTTTCTCATCCTTCACCACACGACATTCTTCTTTGGCGCCCCAGTCGATAATGATGATGGCCGGGTGGGGGCCCCGGCCGTCCCGCATGACGAAACGCCTCCGAAGATTGATGTGGTGGTTCTCACACACAGTCACACTCCTTCGAAAGACTTCTATTACATGGATGGAGAGCAAAACTCGGCCATTGCATTCCTTCACCCATCGCACTTTTCAATATTATCTTCCTTCCCATCAAGGCAATCCAGTCCTAGCAAAAGATCTTTGAGTCAGATTCTTTCGAGATCATGCAACCCTGGAACACCGAACTGCACCGGCGTTGCTGGGAGGACACAATGTCGACGATAACTGTTCGAGTGACTCAAGACAACGAACAAAGCCAAAGCCACGCCGCTGTCGAGGTTTGCCACAACAATGCGAGGGCGTCGCATCTCATCGTACGGTACGCTTGACCTGGCGTGTGCCTGGGTTGTTCCATTGCCATTGCCATTCAATTCCTTTCACAACGGATGTGCACATCATTTCACGGCACAGTTCAGAAAGCAAGCAGAATATCCCGCTTAACGTCAAGGAAGCCAGGCCACATTCATCACTGTGGCCGTGCCGCTTTTACAAACACCTCAAAACCCACCACATAACAGCCGTTGATGGTGATGATGCAGACATCGCGGGCCAATGTAAGTGGCCTGGATGCACCGAGCCCGGCGTGCTTGGCATGCTTAGGCCCCTCCGCAAGCACAATCAAGATGCGAGAGAGGCCTAAGCATGCCAAGGAACCCTCAGACGGCAGACGCTGTGGCCGGGCTCGGCATCAAGCAGTCTGGCCAGGCACAAACGAACCGCCCACGGTTCGAAGTGCCTTTGGCCAGGCTGCTCGAGAGCGCCTTTCATGGTCGCAGCCCGGCCATTCCACCACCTCCTCCACGAGCACCAGAATGGTGGCTTTGGAGGCGAGGAGAATGCTTCGGTGTGCAAGTGGCCGGGCTGTGCCGAGCCCAACGTCCGCAAGCGCGGAATGCTTCAGCACTTGCTGAAGCATAACCACGACCCTTGGGTGGCTCGTCGACGAGAGGCTTCCTAAGCACAACAAACGTATCACCCGACACTTGCTAAGTGGCCTCCTTCAACACAAGCTCGACGCGACACTTCTTAAACAAGATCTTCGAACCGCCGTCGACCGTTCGGCGCGCGATATGGGCTCACAACAATTACTGCCCGGTCCTGGTCTAGGTCAACATCTAGGTACTTTCACGGACTATTTCGGATTCCGGTTCGTTGATTACAAGGGTGGGGTGATCACTACGTTTGAGACGCTGGAGAGACTGCCGATGGGGATGCGGGTGATGGGTGATGAAAGGAAGGATGTGAAGATGACGCTGATTGTGAGTCATAGCCCGGAGGGTCTGGAGAGATTCGATGCAGAGATCGGTCTCCGTCGCTTCTGAGTTACCAGTTGAGAGAAGAGAGGATTGTTGATTGAGCGACTGATTATAAGAGACACGTCTATCTCTCACCATCAAGGCTGCTGCCTCTCTTCAACTCTATGGAGAGGCCCACTTTGCATTGACTGTGCCTTTGGTCCAGACCGGTAGAAGCGAGAGTTCTATTGCTGGCGGCTTGTCGGCCACCAGCGAATCCGACGATGGCCTTTACAGTACCCGTGCCCCTCACAACAAGGTCCACGCGGCTCTTGCACGACAAGAGCTAAGCTAAACCTAACGGTTTCGATCATACACGTCTATCAAAGAGACATCTACGGTATTCGAGCCGCTTCGGATCATTCGGATCCATTAGCCACAGCTACCGCCGAGGCTCCCCGGGCCAGGACGAACACTACTATGCTGTCCACTTCCGAAAGGACCGTGGAAGCCTCGACGGTAGCTATGACTAATGGATCCGACGAGCTGTTCGAATGTGCTAAATACAACACCCTACGTCACCCACACGCGGAGGAGCGCAACAACTCCTCTGATTCCATACATTGTGCAATTTCTTCAACAAGGGGGATTCCGAGGGGTGGAAGAACCTAGATGTCGATATGACGGATTGCACACACGACGATGCTTTCCGATACATTTCCGGGGGCTGTCCTACGAATGCAAGCATAACTACTACTGGGAAGGCCCATCTACTAGAAATACAACGTGGGCGGGGACCAACTTTCCGCCCATCCGGCCTGGAAGAAATCGGAGCCCATGTGGTTTGTATCACCAATGAGAATAGCCAACAATTGGTGGCTGGTTTCCTTTTCTTAACCTTCATTGGCAAGATGTGCCAAAGGTTTAGTACGCTGACCTTTTTCCACGTCTCTGCGCAAAGTCTTTCGGTATGAACCTGGCTCGCCCTCGCGGTTCTATCGTCAAGAGAGCATTCACTCTCTCCCGACGTTCGGGCCGATAAAATATACAACGAAACGCAATTAGTTAGTTTCCACTGCTGTCACAGGCTGTCTTCGGAGCCTTCGTCGTCTTCATTGCGGTGTTCTATCACTGCTTTACGACAGAAACCCAAGAAGGGGGCAAAGATGACCTTCCCCAGCCATATGTGCTACATGGCGTTCGTTCCCCAGCCCACGCATCATGGAAGGTATTCTAGCAGACAGAAGCCTACGAAGGAATGCGAAGGGTGTTATGGCGGCACGGGCGCGTGACCTGAGAAACATAAACCGAATGAAAGCCACAATCCTCCATCGAAACTCTTGCAATCGAGACTAAATCTCACGGCGTGCGTTTGCTGTGCAGAGATTGAGAACATCCCCATTGTCCGAAGCACAGCATGAATCGAACCCCAAGAGCCTGCTAGCTGCTACCTGAAAGACGCAGGCGCTCCCTGCACACAACGGAGCCCGGGAGACTCTTCCTATAGGAGCAAACACAAAGGCAAAGGAAGGAGAACAAGCCATGTGTGGGGGGTCGAAGCAACATGAGCATTTCAGGCCGGCGCGGGTGCTTATATACACCAAAAGTCACCAATGCGTGGTTCGCAGACTGAGATAAGAGGCTCTGCCATTGACGACGATATCCCACCGAACGATCGCGTGCGGATAAGACGGAATAGGATACACGTAGATGTTGGGCGGTTGCTCTTCCGAAAGATGCATGTCCAACTAGGTGTTGAACGAACAACCGATCAAGCAAATATCCGTCCGTGCAGCTCGACAAGGTGACGGATAGAATAAGCAAGCACCTCAGGACAACAGGACAACTCTAAATGAGCGGCAATAGTCTCCCGTATGAGATACCGATTTTACGAGCACTCGCCGACCTTGCCAAGATGTCCAACGACGGCACGTACAAGTTTGAAGATGCACAATACGAATTTCTGGACGAGAACATCAAGATCTTCAAGGTCATCTTCTGCGAAGCTAGATTCGGATATCATAAAGCATACTCGCCAAATGCTCGGGGTGTTGTAAACTATCAACACCTCTTACAAACCGTGGTCCTTACCAGTATGCTAGACCTGGTCTAATCTACACTTACAGTACTGTTGAGCTATTTTTCAACACCCCGAGTGATTGTGATCAAGGGTGTCGGTGATACTACACTAATCGAACAATACCCTCCGAATGATGGCGATGCGTTGGCAACAGCCAACCCGACATCGCCGCCGTTCCAGCAGATTAAGCAGGCTCCCTGGAATTGACACAGAAAGACGCTGCGGTCTTCAACACTGGCATTGCTGATGCCCCGCGGGTGCCGGGGAGCACCAAGGGCCAAGGGCCAAGGACAGCAATAATGCCAATATTGATGCCCAAAAAGAAAAGCTTGAGAGAATACGGGTCTTCTGCCAGCTAGCCAGGCAGTGGAGTGAGGAACATTCCACAATAGGCTTAGCTTCCGCGGTCTCTGTGATACGCTTCACGATCTACATCTATCGACGACGGGTGGTGGCTGCTTTGCTGGCTGGAATCATAGACGTCAAAAGTATAAGGTCGCTAAGGCGATGTCTCGGAACACCTTACTGCCATTCAATGCCCAGTCAAGAAGCCTGATTCAGGGGCTGGGCTCGGGCATGAGTCTCTGCCACCCAAGGTTCCTTGGAAGAAAGCCCTCGCAAGACGATCCTCAGAGGCTAGGTCAGCGGTCTATCTCCAACCTCAACCTACATAGTCTAGCTAGAAAGCCGTCACCAAAATCAATCGAAGCAGCTATTCACCTGTTTCCAAAGCCCTCGTCGTCTCCCGCGGATGCTCTTCTCTGATTCATGAAAGCGGCTTCTTGCCAACTGATCCGACAGCAAGTGAAAGTGACTGTCGAGTATTTTCCGACTTGCTGGCAAGTCTTTCCGTCACGAGCAATCTTGATATATAAGTTGTCAACGAATGCCGCAGCTTCGGCACAACTACCCAATATGTCAAATGAGGAATGGGCGATTGGCCAGCCGATGCCAGCGGCCACGGACGGAAGCAATTTCATCCGTCACCTGCTTATCGTGGGAGGGATTGTTCGGCTTCCCTGATGTCCTTCACCGTTCTGATGCTGTTTCGAGTCCTATATCGATCGCTCTAATCTCGTTGAACTTCAATGGGTTTCGCAAGTAACAACCCGATCAAGAGATTCATTTCGAGGACCAACCACCACCTTGGGAGCCATCTCCGGCTCCGTTTCCTCTCTGAGGCTGGGTTAACTCAAGCCCCATTTGACTGAAGCCAAACCACAATGGCTGGCCATCGGGCGCGGGAATATGATTCTACCTACGAATTCTTCGCGTTCGGTGAGACGGCTGACTCAGAGGTGAGGACACTTGCTCCAATCAGGTTGTTCCGCACAAGCGAAGCCCAGGAAGAGATCCGCCTCGCGGAAGGCACGTGGACGAATGATCTACCGCGTTCCTTCCGGGCGGACTACTACAACAGCAGCAGCACAGAAGAGTCCAACGACTCAAAGCCGACGTGTCTCATCCCCTTCACCTTTCCACACTGTCCAGAAATACGATGGTTGAAACTTACGATATGGGAAAGGGACAAGGGCTGTCAAGGGTTACGAAACAGTTCCGCGCCGGTTCCTCTGGCCCATGCAAGAACGTGTTTGAAGAATCCGAAACGTGAGAAGAAAAAGGGGCGTTCCTGTCCCTGTCCCGTGGGACGGGAACGTCCCTTTTGCCGCAGGTGAACATTTCCTACAAGTATCACGAGAAAAGCGCCTACAAGCCACGGGGGTCAATGTGACCTACCCTGGTTGTGCGGAGAAGGCTTTTGGGGAAAGGGGAAAGGACCCCATGGGGGAGGAGCCCCTGGAGACTGATCTCAAGAGCATATACGTAACTATCAAGAGGCGAAACCTGGACCGCTCCAGCACAGCATTGTTGCTGTACGGGGATCTCTAGAATATTCAGGTCGTGGATGCTGTGGAGGCTACATATACATGATACTGGAAGGGATAAGGGTTGTTAAGGTGTATGGCTTGGGATTCAAGGTCTTTGCAATAGGTGATGGAAAGTATATGGTGGTAACTACTCTGAAGGTACATACTTGGGATAGCAGTTAGTGATTATGCGCGAACAATAACAACATTAACGCCTATCTTCTATTTTAAATGGGATAAAGAAGTGATATGCCCTCTTGTGTAGATAATTGTTGTCCCCCTATTCACTAAAACGACACGTGATCATCTAGCAAATCACAAGATGACTCTGTTCTGACAACTATCCATACTAAGACTTTGCAACAACTCAACGACAACTAGAAAGCAAGCCTTAAAAGCAAGCCTCCAATAAAAAGTGTGACATGTCGGTGATATGGTGTAGGTAGGTCATATCGGCCACACCCCAGAATTCTTATGTAGAGATCACGTGAGCACCAGGGCCAACACACACCAAGTTCTGATCTATCGTCGAACCAAAAACATCCATAGTGATGATAGTTGAATGTATATACATATAGTTTGGTAGCCTCAGTGAAGTAAAGCGGTTGAATTGAGTTTGAGTGGAGCTGTATTTGGTGAGAGAGTTCAGAAAGTAATGAAATGCTCTACAGTACACATCGAGAAATATAGATTGAGGAGGGCACTGTATTCAACACAACTAAAAAGCACCCTATAAATAAGAATAGTAGCTTTTTATCCTGAACCATCAAAGAATTGCATCTATGGAGTGGTGCAAGGTGAGGTCTGTCCAAGTAACTGGGGTTAGTCTGACGAGGATCATCATCATCTGGGGTTAATATATAATTCCTTAGTATTGCCTATAGGGGGAATGGATACGGGAGTTTATAGTCTCATCGTAATGACTAGAAACTAGTGGGGAGAAATCCGAACACGTTTAAAGAGAAAATCATGTTCTCGGGGTCGAACCCAAGATCTTGTATTGTATTCCACATCTTAGTATGTGTGTAAATGTGTTATTCCTTTACGAACAGAGTATGGAATACCTAGTCCACGAATTTCCTTACTACTGTATTCATTATGATCAAGATGCGTACTTCTTATTACGCAAATTGAAGCGATGTAATATTATGGCCACCTATGTTAGTCTATCGAGTCTGTATGACTACGTGCCTAGAAACCCCTTAACGCCGGCTTGTCCCAGTATTGTTCAGTTTCTCGATGCCTATCTTCCATCAAGTCGGCGCCCTTCGCTCGGTTTCTTCTCTGGCGCCTTGCCCTTGTCCTTATCCTCCCCATCACCCTTCTTCTTGACCACTCCTCTTAGAGTTTGGCCTTGTCCTGCGAAGTGTGGTTTGCTCGCGTTCTCCTTCTCGGCTTCTTTGTCCGCGTCCGTCTTCAACGGCTTGATTTCGTAGCCAAAGAACAGTTTGTTGGGAGGTAATCGCAGAGGCATAGGACCGTTCGTCCGTCTTGGCGGAATAGGGACTGCTCTTGAAGAGGTGCCAGGAACAGGAGTCGAAGGTTTAGGCGTTGGGGCTTTTGAGCCTTTCTTGGCATTCAGCTTGTGGCCCTCACTGATGAAATGAGACGAGACAGCCCGGGCCCCGGCCGCTGCTGTGGTGGAGTTGGGCGCAATAGCATCATAGTTGATGGATTGTGCCATCGTACCCTGCGGGTGCATCATACCACCAACAGGAAGCCCACCCACAGTACTTCTCGGCGTACTTGTCCCACTGCCCTTCTGTGGTTCAACGTATCCTACTGGTGGCGCAAACTCAACGGATACGTCTGTCTCGATCATACATACACCCATCTTCTCCGTTTCCGGTTTCACTTCTAGTACTGCCACCTCGTAGACCTCGTCGTTGTATTCGAAGTTAAAGACGTCACCCTTGGTCAGGGTGGCGAAGTTTCGAAATGCCTTTTCTAAGACGGCCTTGGGGTCACTGATCTCGAGGAAGTTGGTAGACTGGGGTTGCAGCTTCACCATCTTGGCCAACTCCAAGGAAGTGGATTTGATCTGAATCATATCGCCGACGTCCAGTTGCAGTGTTTGCATCATCTGTATCTGTTAGTTGAAGAAATCCCTCTCGCTGTATCTCGATCTCGAGACTTGGGCACTAAAACCAACCCATTGCGGTAGGTAAGCTCTACCTTCCTCCGCAACAAACTCCAAAACACCTGCGTGAGTTTGCACCCCCTTCTCGCCATTTAGCAACTCCATCATAAGGGGCCACTGGACATGTAATTGCGATATCTTCTGGAGTGCTGAAGGGGGCAGAAAGATCTTGGAGCCGTAGTTCAAATCGGGTCTCTCGGCGCCGGGGGCCATGACGAGGGGGTAGCAGCGGAAGTACTCGTCGAAGCGGCGCATGCCGGAGCCACGCATCAAGCCAGATCGGGCCATGAACGACATGGCGGCGGGATCGTCGGGGTCAAGAGGATTGAATCCACGGTACTATTCGGCGTGAAAGTTAGCAAAGCTTCAGTTCCGCAAAAAAAAGGTTGGGCTGCGTTACGAACCATGATGAGGATGTGGGGTTATATAGTGACTTGATAAGCTTAAGTTATACGTTGTTTGGGTTTCCTAAAAGATGGAGGGAGTATAATGGTGGCTTTGTTTGAGAAAAGAATCTGTAATGTGGTACCAGCACCTAGAGATGAAGAATGTTAAAAGGGAGTCACGTCGCGAACCTACTAGACTTTCCTCTTAAGCTCTAACAATTCATGAACATTGAAGGCAGCTGCATTTGATGACGAAACTGTACTACGCCTGACTAAAAGGTCCTTACCTAATAAGTTTGAACATGGAAGTTGAAAGTGGTCCGTGTGAAATGTTCAACGGACCTTGGAACTTAAAAGCAACTTAAAGCAAGTGCAGTGCTAGCGCTCATGTGCGCCCTAAAAACTCCACTAAGAGTGACCCCCAAGGTGCTTAAGATGCTACTCTAGCTGCCCTGGGCAAGCCCCACTAATAAGCTTCAGCTAGGTACTACCGAACCAGGGCAAATTTCAACGTCATATCCAACCTCCAATTGCCATTGAAACTCTATCTTCTTTTAACTACCCTACTATGTAACCTAGTGCTTTCTCTTCTTCAATTAGCAAACAAGCAAGCAAACAATACGCTACAACTTCAAGATTACAAGCCACAAATGTCTTCACGGTTCAGCGCCGCGCGCCCAAAGCGTGCGGGCGAGAATTATGCGCGAACCCACCATACAGAGCCCAACTCCAAGAAAGTCAAATTCGACGTGAGGAATCCATCCGCCCTCGCAGCCGACGCAGATGACGACGACGAAGACGAAAACGATGTATTTCTAGAAGCCGACGCAGACGTGATTCGTGGCAGCGCCGCAACGAAGCGTAGAGCTGTCAACATTGACGGCTACGACTCGGATTCCGATCGCGAAGAATTCGGTAGTCTGCACGGCAATAAAGCGAAACCTAAAAAGGATGACGAGGATATGGATGATATGTTTGCGGAGGTAGACGATGACGACGAGAAGGACGATACAGCAGACGGCACTACGGGGAAGAAGGCCAAGGAGGTCAGATTCCTTGACGCGGCGGAGATCGAGGGCCAAGAAGCAGTATCCAAATCCGGTGGGCGCGTTCACTTGGACGAGGAATCATCCGAAGAGGAAGACGAGGAGGTAATAGAGCTCGCAATCCAAGAAGAAGGCATCGACGAAGAAGTTGGTGCCGGAGGACTCAAGAAGCACGCTCCCAAGGTCGAGGCTTTCAATCTCAGAGCCGAGCAGGAGGAAGGACGGTTCGACGAAGCCGGAAACTTTGTCCGCAAGGCTGTGGACCCCAATGCCGTTCACGACCGATGGCTAGAAGGCGTCAGCAAAAAGGACATGAAGAAAGCAGCCGAGGCCCACGAAAAGCGCGAAGCCGATCTGCGACAGAAGCGCAAAGAGGAAGACAGCATGTTGACCTCCGAGCTACTCAAGTCCCTCATCTTACACCTAGAGCGCGGCGAGACGGCCCTGGAGGCTCTCGCGCGACTAGGCCGAGGGCAAACGAAAACGAAGAAAGTGCCAAAGTGGAAGCAGAAGAAGCAGAAGCCGGAGTCCATGGACGTGGACGCCGTGAAAGCCCCCGAAGACCCGGAGCAGAGTCGCATCAAGGAGGCCATCAATGCGATCACCGAGGCGGCAGACATACTGCTGGGAAGAGATCGGCCGGATATATACGACCGGGAAAGAGAACGTCTAATAAGAGAGTACACCCGCGAAGCAGATGAGCCGTGGGTGGAGCCGCAGAATAAGCCCGCTACGGCCGCCATTAACAAGACGTGGGAGTTCCGGTGGACAGACGGCAGGGACAATGCGGATAAGCAAGGGCCGTTCGACGGGCCGACCATGAAAGCCTGGCAGGATGCCGGCTACTTTGGCGAGGGCGTCGAGTTCAAGGAAGCTGGCGACGATAGTTGGACGCGGGTTGCCAACTTTGTATGATTACCTATCAAGATCTTTTTAGCCGCAAGGAGCGATATCATTCGGTCATATTAATGATGACATCTGAGTACGATGTACTGCTATTGTGGCTCTATATTGTGCTGTTCCATCTGCGAACCTACAATACCCCCCCTTTTTTTTTGAAGTGTACAATCCAGCAGCAGAAGACGAGAAGTATAGTAATTCGAGCCATCAACACAAAAGTTAGGCTCAAAGTGTAACAAGACATCATATTCAAGTTCGATTATGTGCTATGTAGATACGCTAATTTGCAAATAACATTATACCCCCTTAACTCCCATCTTTCCAACCCTCCTTATTATACATCTTGAAGGAAAAAGGGGGGCTTGAATAGACGCTACCTAAAGACAAAGACACCGTCAAAACTCAAGATCATAGTTATCTACAGCCTCCTGAAACGATTCTACAGCACATGTAATTCCTAGTATTCAAGTTGTGCACAACCCAACACCTCCCTACAAGCAAGCTTGCCTCCCTAGGCAGGTAGCTATTCCCACTTCCGCCATCACTAACCAACCCCCTGAACTATCATACAAACCTTCAGCACAATACACCTAATCTATCTCCCATCGCCCCCCCTTTCCATCAGTCCCTCTCCAGCTCTTAAGGCAACTAACTATTCCTCTACTATATTCACACTCAATAACCAAACAAGCACCAGATAGGTAGGTACCTAAGCAACAGCAAGTTTGTGGAAAAAAAACACGACACCTCACTACAAACCAGACAAGTAGATTTCATGACCACATCCCTAGTTAGAGCAATCCAACATCTATCCAACATCATAGGTAGTAAACAGCAAACACTCGACATCCCCCCCTCTCCTTACAAAACACAAAAACACCTCACCATCCCAAGTGGCCAAAGCCACACTACTACTAACACAACAATCAAAGCAAGTCATCACCACAAGTCACCATACCACACTACACCACATCACACCACAAATCACCTCAAGTCCATTTATATAAATAATCATTTGAAAAATACCATTTAGCTCGGCCGCGCCGGCGGGATATCATCTTGCTGGGAAGTCCGTCCGTCCGTCCCCTACGAATCAATACTTGAGAGTATAAAAAAAATACATTTAGCGGAGGGGAGGCGCCATTCTTCAAGGGCTTCTTCTCAAGGGGGGCCCGGCCAATCAACCAACCCTCTCTTTCTCTCTCTCGCTTCCATCTTCGGCTACTGTCTTCATTTGTAGAACTCTTTCTCTTGCTGTCTCTTCTTGCTCTGCTCTTCTCTTCTCTCGCTTTCAAGTCATCATCTAACTTTTCTCCTTCTGTACTGTGTTTCGTCTGATATGAGACACGCATGATTAGAAAATAACACCGGCAACCATTTATACCCTTAGCCCTGGAAATAAGCTATACAGGATTTTTCACATAGAAACCCCCACACGCCATCCATTTCCAGCAAGACGCCGTGATGCCGTGCCTGAGGCCATCCTTGACCCATGAGTTCTCAGAAATCCTGACTACCCAACTTTGAAAATGATTGTATGTCGCAAAGGCGGAAAAATAAACAAGGAGTCTGGTATCATGTCGTGAGAATCATGGTTCATAATATACATTACAACGCGGTTCATCGTTCGATGTCCCTGCGAAATTTGTAATTGTTCGACTTCAAGTAGTGACACCATTCGTTAGGGAGGGTCCGAGCTTGCATAGAGCATCCGCTGGCTTCCACTGACTATTCGCCTGCATGACCTTTCGTAGGACTTCGAGGGTGACAGGTATGGCTTCCTCCGGTATAGTCCATGGGCCTAGTCGATCTATGAGCTTCCCCATGGAACCGCCATCTCCCGATTTACTAGCCCCATCATAGACGCCCATAGCTCTGCGTGCGTTGTCAGCTAGTCGCCAGGTCTCTTGTTGCTCCTTGGAGTTGGTGAGGATTTCCTTCACATGGTCAGGGTCGGGAGGATATGACCACATTATACGGCCAATATACACAAGACATATGCCCTGGAGGCGTAATACTAGCGCGGTTAATGAGTTATGCCTGGCACAATCCGACCTAGTAACTCGGAATAGCATCAGTAATTCCCTCAACGACCTAGTTGAACCGGGTTTGCGCTCGAGATCCGAAGCATCGCTCTGCAGTTTGAAACCAAGTAGGAAGGAAACTAGGCACTGGATGCCGGCGGCGATAGCAACTTGACGGTCACGCTCAGAAACTCCCTCGGTTGGCTTTTTCAAGACTGCATCTCGCTCATGTTTTAATTTAGTAGCGAGCTGTATGAAATTTGCTGCCCGAGATTGTAACTTCTGTAGCTTCTCTGGATCGGCGAATGGGCGACGGCGCTCAGGTGGCTGCGCAGCAGGGGTGAGGCCGTTTGCTACGCCTGGAGTTCCAGCCTGGGAGCTATTGGATGCGACCCGCGTCATTGCGGATGATTGTCTCGGGGGCGTCGAGGGGCGCGGGTCCGAAGCCTTCGGTCGTTTGGACGCTTCACTAGTGTCCACCACGGGAACGGGACGCTTACGTGCAGTGCCGGGTTCCAAGCTATTGGAACGATCGCGGGTAGCACGTTCCTCCGTCTTTAGTAGATCAGCCTTCCTTCTTCCGCCTGGGGGTAAGTTCAAGAGGCGCGCTACGGTTTTCGCAATTCGTTTCTTGTATTTCAACGATACCATAAGCGAATCCCGCTGTCCTTTATTGCTATCAACATGGATCGTCTCCTCGCGTTTTGATATCTTCACCGTCTTCTTTTGTCCATTGGGTGAGTCGGATACTTGACTATTCCTTTGACTCAGATCCTTCGATTTATTCGCTTTTGCCAACGCCAATTCTTCTAGAACAATGGGGGGTAGTGTTGGGGACAGAAGAGGTGGAATTTTCCGCTTCTTAGGACTTGGAGATAGTTCATGATCTTGGTTCTTTTTCGGCGGAGGCTTGAGGCCATTCGAATCTGCTGGCTTCTTCTTAGGGCTAGGACGCGGTGCTTTGGAGTCGTCATCCACGTAGTTTGTTATGTCAATGGGTGATAGTAAGGGCGGTAAGTAATTGGATGAATGGTTCCCCTTCGTATTATGGTTACTTTCTGTCTTCTTCTCCGCTCCATCCTTATTCTTAACAGGCTTCTGAGAGCCATTCACAAGAGCGCCAGGTTTGGGTGAGACACCTTTGCTCCCTGTACTACTCAGCGCTGATTTTCCGTTAGCAACGGGGTGAGGTTTCAAGTCTTTTGATGGTTTCTTTTCTATTGGTGCCTGCCGCTCAGGTTTTAGAGAGAAGTTGTCTCTTATGGAACGCGAACTTGTAGAGTTGGGTGTCGCATTCTCAACCTTGGGTCGTTTCATCGGCTTGGAGTCTGGTTCTGCCTCTGGGATTCGTCTCTTTTTGTCCAGTGAAGGACTACGACCATGCCGCGCCTCGGATTTCATGTCAGGCTTCCCATCAGGTACTCCTTTCCTAGCTCCACGGCGGTCCTCCATATCCTTTGGAGTAGGTTCCGCTACCTTCTTCAAAGGCGCACTCGCCTTGATAGGCAGCGCGGCTGATTTAGGCGGCTCTTCGCCGTCGGGGCCAGGTGACTTCTTCCTGTTCTTGTAGTCTTTCAAAGATAACTTTGTCTTGGGTTTATTATTGGGGTCGTTTCTTCGAGGTGTCGGTGTACTAGTCGCATTAGCAGGAGTAGCGGTCTCTTCTCGTATGTCGAAGTATGCCCTAGTAAGGATAATTCCACGGTCTGCGTCGCTAACAAATGTTGTGTATTGTAGAGGCCTGATATCCTGTTCTTCTAACCGCTTGTCGTCGGCGTGTGGTGGATATCGGCGCGAAGTGTCGAGTGATAGGTAATGTGCTTTGAAGGGTAATATGTTTTTTACTAGAGTGTCAATCGTCTTGGTTGCCTCCTCCATGGTTTTCCGTTTTCATGCAACTTTCGAATGTTGCACGCGAAGCTTGATGCTGTGATCATGAAAGAGAAGATCGCGGTTGCGGTTGCGGTGGGTGGGTCAGTGAGTGAGTGAGTGAGTGAGTGTATGGGTGGGTGGTGAATTAAGTGAAGGGATGAAGTTATGGTGACGAGGGTATCATTAGGTTCCGAATTGTTGCGATAAGATCAATACACGCGAGTCTGTCTGCAGTATTTTGAGTTTAGCATGGCAATCTTTCTAAAAGTAGAATAATCATGAGATATAGAATTAGGTGAATACAGTGCAATTGGCTTAATTAGGAGTAAAATTAATGATGCAATAAAAAGAAACAGTCGAGTTATCAAAGATACCGTTTTGAGTATGGACTGATGGACTGACCTGAATAGATAGGTGCGGGTTTGGCGATTCTCGCGTTAGGCCTGCACACCGTAGTCTCTCGTACAGACAGGAAGTTGGGATTACAATGCGATAGATAGATAGGCACAAGCTATTGTTGTCGCGTAGACACCATCTGCTGTCTTATCCAGCCTCCAATAGATCCTCGTGACATTCGGCCCGGCGCATCGCTCATCAAATTATGGCTCGCGTCGGCGAATGATCAAGAAAAAAAATAAAAAGATCCCGGTTGCGGACGGCAGGGTAAATAATACGTCCAAGAGAATAAGATAATCCGGGGTGGGAAGTGGATATATTAGTCGAGAAATTAAAGGGAAGGGAAGATAAAAATAAAAAGAGAGACAAGAAGTTAGATAGAGAGTAGAGAGTAGAGAGTATGGAGTATGTGTGTGGTGGTGTGGGCGTGCGTGAGTGCGTGCGTGCCGATGATTGTTGTTGCAGATGATGCGTTATGATCGGCAGCGGGAAGAGTTGGGTGAAGTGGGTGAAAGCCGACCGTAGTATCAAGCTGGAAAGCGGTCCTTTTAGGTACTGTTAACTACTAATGACAGTAGGAATAGTTGATACCTAGCAGTAAGTAGTAGTAGAAATAAACATTTAACTAAGTAAATGCAAGGATTATTGTTTAATGTATCCAGAGTCCAGTGCTGTCTGTCTACTCAGCAATGCTCAGTGACAGTACATACATGGATATCATGTATTGTATTGTATTGTACAATACTACTAGGTATGAGACTTCAATGTTGCTGGAGGTTGAGTAGAGAAGTTGCAACTTTGCGTGAGCCTTGGGAAGTTTCTTGGTTGAGGGACCGGATGGTGGCAGAGCTGGCTGAGAATGGGGCAACTACTGTACCTCTAGTACTGCTAAAAAGGTAGAGACTAATTATGTAGTACCTAGCAGGTTAGGTAGTAGTAGGTAGAACGGGCAAAGATGGATCCCCCAGTTTCCCCCGTCGTCACCTAAAATACATGTGTACTACCCTTTAAATACTACATACTACCTACATACATCCATGGATAGTTAGTTAGTACTACCTAAGCAAGTTGCTAGGTTGGTAGTTTAAATGTTTGCTGCTCCTGCTCCTACCTCTTTTTTTTTCCCTGTGATGTGTATTGTACAATACCTAACCTACATACCTAGTACTAGGCTAGTAGTACGCCGCTGCTTACATGTAATTCGCACGTACCGGATTTGTTACTTGTCGCGCTCGCGGCTGGCAAAGAACCCAGCAGCCGGGGACTCGACAGTGGTCTCTTTGATAGACCTATCAACTAACAAAGGATTACAGCGGACCGGTATGAGGTGGGGTTTGATCATTAGCACCCAGTGTCAGTGGACAGCTTACTGCTTAGGTAGTACAGTACCAATCTACTGAACTCTAAATAGGATCGGTGTGGCTTTGCGTGGCTCGAAACGAACTTCGTTCAGATCCAGTCACTGCAGCTTGAGTGCCATTCAATGACCGGCCTGCTTTGCCTGCCTGCCTGCAAAACTCTAAAGTCTTACCCATCGGGATGATTTGATAGGTTCCCCCTAGAAATGCTGAGATATCGCATCATTTCGCGGTCTATAATATATTCTAACCGATTACGGATTGCGACACAGCAGATCAAATCAAGCAGCACGTTTTTTTTCTTTTCTTCCCTTTCTTTCATTCATTTCATTCATTTCATTTCTTTCTTCCTACCGAGCTTCGCATGTCCGATATGCACGATAATTCCGGTAAGCGAGCGATGTCTCTTGATGGAGCAACACAACTTACATTGAATGAGGTTTCTTTGACTACTAGTCTACGTATGTACCTACCTAGGTACTTTAAACAGATCTTGTTAAAATACATTATAGTATTAAAAGGGGTTTAGCTTCACGTTAGGTTGTTCCACACATCCGTCATCACGCTCAGTTCGACTTAGTGTAGGTATGTATGTACATGTACCTCAAGTGCATGTAGGTACAATACGAAGGTTGTGGCCAAAAGTTTAGACCAAGATATACCTCAGCCCCACAGTTCCTCCACTTTTCTACCACTATAAGAAATATTATCGCCAACATACTTACCTACTTATAAAGCCTTATAAATTTATTTAATAAATATTAAATATGCTATTACGTTATTTAATTAATATATTTAATAATAGAAATTTCTATAATTTTTTTTCTTTATTAAATTAATGTAAATACTTATATAATAATCTAAGGTTGTTTAGGACTGAAGGCTTTAAGTTTATAGCATATTATAGCGCTTAAATGTGCTATAAGGTGCTATACTTTTAAGGGTTGTAAGGGATTTAACGTTAAATGTATACCTATTATTGGTAGAGGCCCAAAAAAGAGTAACGCACTGTGGGGCAGAGGTATATCTTGGTCTAAACTTTTGGCCACAACCTTCGTACATTATTTTAAGAACACGGACGGGGTAGGTTTAGTTAACCACATAACTAACACCTTGCACATAGAGCCGCCGGCAGGTGAAAGCCGCATTGGGTTGCAACTTTGCAAGGCAGGGCAGAGCAGGGAAGGGGACAGGCAGGTGCTTCGCTTCGCATGGATGATGGATGGATGGATTGAAGAATTTAAGGAAACTGCCAAACTGGGAACACAAGGCTGAACGAACGTGGGGTGCTGAATCATTTTATTTTATTTTTTGCATCCCGCTGTAACATCTTTAACCTTTTTCAACTTGATCTTTGTTTAACTATTGAAGATCCCAGCCCAAGAAAAAAAAACCACTGCAGATAGTTAACTAACCTAGAGCCTTGCAGCTTTCTTCAGCCTCATTTTCTCATCTTTGCTCAGCTATTTGTCTAGGATCATTTTTTATATGTAGCCGTGCCAAATGCTTACACATCTACCTCGTTTAATATAACCCATCCTATAGCTACCTAGCTACCTAGCTAGCTAACTAGCTACGTAATTCGTATGAAACGGTGCTAGATAAAACCAACAAAACCACCACCAATTTTCCTCCCTACCTCCCTACCATCAAGCAAACCCACAACCCTCAACCTCCCCTAAACCAAAAAACCCCAAAAATGGCAGACAAACCCGGCGCCCTCGTAACGCCCACCTCCGTGCTCATATCCACCAGCATCGTCGTCTTCATATCCGGCTTCATGCTCGGCGTCTACTCGATCCGGGGCTACTTCTTCGTCTCGCCCACCCTCGCCTCGGAGCGCCGCAAGTACTTCGACGACCCCCCCGAGAGCGAGGAGTCCGACGTCGACGAGGACGACACCATCCTCGACCACGCCCCCAACTGGTCCAACGGCGTCGACGCCGACCGCCGCGACGGCCTCCGCCTCTCCAAGCCCGCGAAGAAGAAGGGCGGCAGCAAGAAGGCCAGCAAGGACGCCAGCAATAACAAGGAGGATGCCAAAGCCAATGATGATAATGATGACAGGATAGCAGAAGGGTCCGCGAACGAGGAATGCAAGCTTGTGCTAGTCGTGCGGACAGATCTCGGCATGACCAAAGGTACGTCTTACTCTCACTTCGCTTTACTTTATCTACCTACCACCTACCCCCTACTAACCCACCCTCCCCCCCCCCAGGCAAAATCGCAGCCCAATGCTCGCACGCGACCCTCGCCTGCTACAAGAAGCTCTCCCGCGCCGCCCAGCGCAACCCCAGCTCTCCCGAGGCCCGGCTCCTGCAGCGCTGGGAGCACCGGGGCCAGGCCAAGATCGCGGTGCAGGTGAAGTCGGAGGCCGAATTAATCCAACTGATGGGCAAGGCGCGCAGCCTGGGCATCACGGCCGAGGTCATACAGGACGCGGGCCGCACGCAGATCGACCCGGGCAGCCTCACCGTGCTCGGCGTCGGGCCCGCGCCCAAGAGTGTCGTCGATGGTGTCACTGGTGGGCTGAAGCTGTTGTGATGTAGATACTAGCTACTAGCTGGCTGGATGTTTCATTGGTATACATTTTTACTAGTAATCAAAAGGGCGGGCAAGGCATGAATGAATAAGCGACGCGGCGGATGCTACAAAAAGGGTATATAGATAGGTAGGTAGAAAAGGGCATCATCATAGAGCGCGCCAGTATTGTAAATACCAAATAGGCGGACATATTCATTTTACAGGGAAGGCATTATAAAATTGAAAAGCATATTCGATTGCAGCAGGAAATGTTTCTAGGCAACTACTATGTAGTCATATCATCTTCGAGCCGTGAGACTCTTCAGATATGTAAAAGTCCAGCTCTAGACCTCCAATAACACAGATACGCATGATTCCATCACTTTGAACCTGACGCATTTTCTCGTGTCTATTGTTTTCCTTCCCCCAACGCCATGACTCCAGCCAGTTGGTCTTTTTTAATATCCCATATCTCTCGCTCTCTGGGTATTAGCAGCAAAGCAAAACATAGGGGGGTGTTGTAACCATGTAGTACATCCGCTTTCAGTAGCACGACAATTAGCAACTATCACAAATGTAAGGTTCTTTCCCAAGTGGATTTCGAACAATCGTTAAAAGCATCAACCATATGGGTTAGTTTGGACTGTCCCATATAGTCCGACTTGACAATCGAACAATTATATGTCCACAAGCATAGCCATGAGATGGAATTGTACAGCCCGAGTCGACTTTCGTCATCCAATACTCAGTTGCTTTACTTTAACTATTGCTGCGCATTGTTGGTAATTGCTATGAATTGTCCGTTTTCTCCTAATTTTCTTTTCTTTGTTGACTCGTCGGCTGGTGATCCTGGGGAGGCGGGTCTTTTCTCTGGGGTTGGGGCCTTTGTAATGTCTGTCAACCTCTTACAGTCCTTAGCCAAGGGAATAATGCTTTGCTCAATATTTGAGAGCTTGGTCGTCAATTCATTGGCTTCCTTTTCGATCTTAGCAATTCGTGCTTCATTTCGTTGCCCATATGGATCTAATTGCACGAGTATCATTTCAGCCATCTGCTTCGAGCTAAGATTTGACCACTGCGTATTGATTGCTCGAATGGCTAGCTCCAGGGCGTTGAACCTTCGTTTTGCATCGTCTATATCCGGCTTGATTATTTGCAGGGCATCGCAATTATTTGTCCCTCCATTCGCATTATTTTGCTGGCAAGCCACTACTTTTTGTTCGAGTTCGAGATGCCTGCGGCCGACAAGATCAAGTCTTTGGCTGAGCTTTAAACCCTCAAGTAATCCGAAACGCGTTTCGAGTTGCGCTGCAGTCTGGCTCAAGAATTGGATTTGTGATACCAACTCTTCCTTCGTAGCAGCACCTGATCGTTCCAACGCACCAATATTTGTCTCAATTTTGTCCACATGAGCCCTCACTTCTTCAACCATGTCGGCACAGGCCTCGGCAGATTCAGCAACGATTTTCTGGAGGACCTCACCAAATGGCTTGAGCTTCTCATCTACAAGAATTTGAAGTGCGGCTTCGCCATCTCCCGACATCCTGCTGTCGGGCTGAGGTTGGGGTACTTGTGCAGTATCCACCGCTTCAAGTGCCTTTCTTGTCTCCTGAGCAAGGGAATCACTCTTATCGAACCGCGACGCAGTCGACTCTTGCATAGATTGCAGACTCTGTTGCAAAGTAGCAATTGCTCTATCGTTGGAGAAGACCTTATTTTTAAAGTCGTGGTCAATCCAAGTCTCCAACACTTCATTATAGGTTACCATGTCTAGTTCCTCAACCTTTTCCATAAACGTGGAGACCTTGGTTTCCACATCATCAATCCGAATTACAAGAGCTTGAAAGGCTTTGGACAATTGATCAATCTCTTCCTGGATTTTTTGGGTGATTTCGACGTTGGTGGGCTCGAGCTTAGTGAGTTGGCGCTTGAGTTCCGCGTTTTCAGACTGAAGAACATTGTGCTCGGACTTCAAGGCTTTGTAGTCTCGGTCCAGGGCATTAAGTTTTTCTGTCGTTTTCTCGTGGTCGCTTAACAAGGTCTCAATCTGCTTTTGGGCTTCAGAATTGTGTTTTTGCTGTTCTGACGCCTGTTGAAGGGCTTGTTGTTTAAAGCCTGCAAACTGATCCTCCAATGCTGATAGTGCGGTAGTATTCTGGGCTACGGTGGCCGCCGCTGCCGCCTGTGGCTTTGCCAACGCATGAGATAATATGGACGAGAGAAATCTTTCTAAATCTTCTCGATGCTGTTGTTCGACTTGAAGACGATGCTTCTGGACTCCTTCGCGTTCTGTCTTGGCACTCTCGTCGAATCTTTTTTGGAATTCCGAGAATGGCGCAAAGTCATCCACTTTATTAACAATTTTACCAACTTCATTTTGGCGTCGACCATCCTCTCGTAATAATTTGTCTTCTTGCAGTTTGAGTAGCGTGCGCTCTTGCGATATCTCATTCCATTTATAAACAGCCTCAAATACTCCTTGCAATTGTGGATCTTTAGCTTTTGGGACAATAGGGCTTACTGCCGCTACTGCAGGATTCAACGCCTTGTTTGCTCTTGCTAATCTATCCGCTGCTAATGTATATCTTAGTAATGTGGTTCAACGGGTGATAATAATAAAAAAAAGCTCACCTGGTTCTATTGGTGTTGGGCGAGCACTCTGAATTGTACTGTGAGTACTGCCAGGGGAATTAGTTGCCGATGGTGGTCGCCTGGCATCGGCAACTTTAGTGTCTATGCATAATTTATTAGGCCTGTCCATTTCTCTTCTGTTTCCACGTGGACTTCGCGGGGGGCGGATCTCTCTCGTGTCTTTGATGTCCCTTGGGTCACGTCTGACTGAATCCATATCATAGATTCGATCACGAGACTGACCTCCGGTTTCTATCGGTCTATAATGGCGGTCGACGTCGTTTCCATACGACGTTCGTCGTCGATCATCGTCATAAGCGTTTGGTTTCCATCGATGATAGGACATGGTAATAAGAAATAGAAAAGTTGAAAGTTGAAAGTTTCAACTTGAAATTGTTTGAAAACAATAAAGTTACTTTGTTTCCCCGCTAGCCAGGACTGCCAGGGCTGCCAGGGAAGGTGCTCCTTCAAGTCACCTACTAGGCAGATGTAGATAGGCAAGCTGTTGATCCCCCGGTCTTTTTGGAATTAAGGTTTACAGGGGACTTCTTCTGCCAGATCAATCACGTTTAATAGCATCGCCCAAGAAATCCGTTCGGGGTTTTAAGTCGGGGGTTTCAACTTCCAAGTAATTCGAATCGCTTGAGTGAAAGTGAGAGTGAGAGGAAGATGGCGATAAATCATGAGCAATAGTGACGGGGTGATTAGATATGTATGAAGATCAATCATCAATCAACCACACAAGTACCTAGTATTAATTACCCTAGGTAGATATTCTTCGAATATCAATTCCACCTCGAATAAGATAATCGAAGTCTTCAAGCAAACCCAGTAAAAGCTGAGCTTGAAAGATAACTTGGTTGGCTTATTTGATAGAGGTAACACTTGAGTCTCGGGTGTTTCTTCAACCGTCACTGCCTTTAAACTAAGTTGAGTTAAAGGGAAGAGCAAACGGTTGAGCAAAGACTTTGCGTCTGCGTGTTGAAAGCAGGTACGATGTAGGTAGCCAGGCGGGTTGGCTCAAATAGTTATCGGCAAGAGCCAAGGTTTAACGGCAGGAACAGCTGAGCTAGTAGTTAATGCTATTAGCGCTTGGTATGTGCACACACGATCCCACCGCTCCTTCAATACTTCAATATTGTTTTGATGAATTAATAAGAGCTTCGTTGCAGATATGTATTGTAGATACGTATTGTGATATGTATTGCAGATATGTATAGCAGATAGGTAGGTACGCATCGAAGAGGGGAAGTTATAATATAATATGTGAGTATAGCCAGTCAAAGAGAAATATATAAGAGTGCTTCGTGTAAGCTGTTTGTTGGCTAGGTATGTACCTAGTGGCCAGGCTTTTCAACTAACCTAGCAGTATATGTAGCTGAAGCACGAAATATGGGCCATCGGTAATGTGCCTACACTACAGTAGACCCATATTCATGTTGGAAGCACGAACATTGAAGTGAACATTGAATTGTGGGTTTCTTTTGCAAACTGAGGCAGAGACAATAAAAAATGCAATACACGTAAACGTAAACGTAACATCGATTATTTATAGTATTGCTGTAAATAAATGGGAAAACTAGAACAGATCACGAGGAAATAAGGGGGGGAAGAGCTTTTATTATATCAAGTCTAATCCTTGGAACCTGGGCTATACCGTGGTTGACGCGACAAAACGTGACTGTAAAAGTGGCGAATAGGCAGAGAACTTTCTGGATTTATTTTCTTTTCTTTACTTATCACCTACGTAGGACTTATGTAAATGATATTTTAAGTACATGGTTAATAATAATTTTCAAGTTTTACAAAGTAGTTTATACTACATGTACGTAGTACATGTGTATAGCCGTAAATAAAAGCAATCTTGCCTCGATAGATATTGGACGATAAAAGTGCATAAAGAGGGTGGGGTAAAGTACTCACTTAGGTATCACTGCATAACCTTGTAGGCCTCATAAACGTATATCAACTTAAAACCTATAGCCAACAAGATGAAATAAACTTGTTTCATTGGTAACGTTGGTTACATCGCCTAACAGTCACATGCAGCCCATGTTATCCAACGAATCGAGGCGAGCCGGGTCACTGCATGCCTAGTATGATATTGATGCATGTATGTATCAATCTACTATGCCGCCGTATGTACTAGGTAGTTACTTGCAACTTAGCAATAGTTAACCAGCCATAATCTTATGTGCATCAAGCCACACCTTCGTTGCACGTGACCTCCAAATGCAACTATACAGATTTGCCAAGATTTCGTCTACAGTGCGTACATATATTTACATACATACATAGGGTACATAGGTACTCACGATAAGGCACGATAAGAGAATTGAAGCATCCGCGTGTACCTAGCAGTACCCTTGTAAGCGCGTCTAATTTTCCAGAGCTTGTAAATCCAACATGAATCTTTATTCCTAACATTGAACCTTAGAACATTGAAGCTCCATCAATACTAGATGCTGTTAAAAAAGACAAACACCAACACAACAAACCTGAACTGAAGAGCCATATTCATCTTTAGCAATTGAACATCAATCGATTTCCAAGATGGCTGCTGTAAGTAATTGTCTATATTCCAGGAAATTTCCCAAGCAAATGGAGAGCTTCGAAAGCTAATACTTATTTGTGCAAACCCATATAGCCCGTCGTGACCGTCGGCGAGACCAAGGAGCTGCGAGGTCTAAACCTCATCGCGGCGCATTCCCATATCAGAGGTCTCGGTGTAGATGCCGACACGTTAGAACCTCGCGCGGCGTCGCAAGGCCTCGTCGGCCAAGAGAAGGCGCGAAAAGCGGCAGCCGTCATATTAGAGATGATCAAGGTTGGCAAGATCGCCGGCAGAGCAGTTCTAATTGCCGGGCCCCCAAGGTATGTGAAGCTACCGCCTATCACTTCCACAGCTCCATAGGGTTATCATTGACCACAAGGACTTTACAGTACAGGTAAAACAGCGATCGCAATGGGCATGGCGCAATCGCTTGGCCCCGACGTGCCCTTCACATCACTTGCATCGTCCGAGATCTTCTCACTCGAGATGTCCAAGACCGAAGCCCTGACGCAAGCGTTTCGAAAGTCGATCGGCGTGCGCATCAAGGAGGAGTCCGAGATCATGGAGGGCGAGGTCGTTGAGATCCAGATCGACCGCAGTGTCACTGGCGGCGCTAAGCAGGGCAAGCTTACGATCAAAACTACGGACATGGAAGCTGTCTACGACATGGGGGCCAAGATGATTGATGCCATGACCAAGGAGCGCGTCATGGCCGGCGACATCATCTCTATAGACAAGGGAAGCGGCAAGATCACCAAGCTTGGCCGAAGCTATGCTCGCAGTCGCGACTATGATGCCATGGGTGTCGACACAAAATTCCTACAATGCCCAGACGGCGAGTTACAGAAGCGCAAGGAGGTCGTCCACACAGTTACGCTTCACGAAATCGATGTTATAAACTCGCGTACGCAAGGCTTCCTAGCCCTCTTCAGCGGCGACACCGGCGAGATCCGCAGCGAAATCCGAGACCAGATTGACACCAAGGTTGGCGAATGGAAGGAAGAAGGCAAGGCCGAGATCGTCCCCGGCGTACTATTCATCGACGAGGTACACATGCTCGACATCGAGTGCTTCAGCTACATAAACCGCGCGCTCGAGGTCGACCTCGCCCCCATCGTCATCATGGCGAGCAACCGGGGCCACTCCAAGATCCGCGGCACCGACTACCGCAGCCCGCACGGCCTACCCCTCGACTTCCTCGACCGCGTCGTCATCATCCAAACCTCGACCTACTCCCCCGACGAGATCCAGCAGATCCTCTCCCTGCGCGCCACCGAGGAGGAGATCGACGTCTCCGCCGACGCCCTCGCCCTCCTCACCAAGATCGGCCAGGAGGCCGGCCTCCGCTACGCCAGCAACCTCATCACCACCTCCCAGCTCGTCAGCGCCAAGCGAAAGGCCAAGCAGGTCTCCGTCGACGACGTCCAGCGCAGCTTCAAGCTCTTCTACGACCCCGCCCGCAGCGTCACCTTCGTCACCCAGTCAGAGAAGCGCCTCATCGGCAACGACGGCGCCGTCGACTTCGCCATCGCGAACAACGGCGATGCCATGGAGATCAGCTAAGGTAGCTAGCTGTGACGTGCGAGGCTTACCTATTACCTAGTCTAGGTACCTACCTCATCAAATCAATCAATCAACCAACCATCTAATGAAATATCTCGGAACGTTGCTTCTTGCTTTCTCCCCACCTTGCCCCCGGGACACCACAACAATGGCGTTAATGATGGATATCATCCCCCAAAATTTTTCAAAGTGAAGAATGAACGATAATATTGAGTGAGGAAAAGGTTACTTGTTTGTATGCTTGCTTGCTTGTATGCTTGCTTCAAGCTCATGAGGTAGAAGAAGAAGAAGTGGTGGTGTATCATACATAGGTACTTGCGGCGTAATGGAATTGCAATTGCAGACAAAGAGCTATGTGTTTAGAAACTCTACGTTTCCTTTCCACCTCAACCTTGACCAGATCATCTAGAATTATTGTCTTGATGCGTAGAAAGTAAGAGTGCATAGCTACGTACTAAACCCCTATGATTACACATGCAGTAAGTGAGTATTAGGTATCTAGTAAGAACGTGATCGATGCACGAAGACTAAAGAGATTACGAGAACACCATACAGAGTAGGCATTTCAATGGAGAGCATCAAATCTTTTTTTGCATTTGTATTTACATTATCCTTATCCCCAAGTCGTGCCAGTGTCATGGAGCTCCATAAAGAGCTCGGCCGTATTCTTTAGTACCTAACCATTGTTTTCAATGAAAGCCGCCCGCACATTTGGGTTCCCACCGTCGTCAAATCCTTGAAGTCATTAATTTATTTGCCAGCATCAACCTTGGCGATGTAGGACACAAGGTCAAGGACACGTCGGCTGTAACCCCACTCGTTGTCGTACCAGCTGACAAGCTTGACGAAGTTGTCGTTCAAGGAGATACCCGCCTTGACATCGAAGATGGAGGAGTTGTTGTTGCCAATCATGTCAGTGGAGACAACAGCGTCCTCAGTGTATCCGAGGATTCCTATAATTAGAGCATTAGTTTATGATAAGTAGTTCAAGACATGCAAGAGTGTCAACATACCCTTTAGAGGACCCTCGGAGGCGGCCTTGATAGCGGCCTTGATGGTGTCGTACGAGGCACTCTTCTCGATGCGGACAGTCAAGTCGACAACGGAGACGTTGGCAGTGGGCACACGGATAGACATGCCAGTAAGCTTGCCGTTGAGTTCAGGGATGACCTTGCCGACAGCCTTGGCGGCACCGGTGCTGCTGGGAATGATGTTTTGGGCAGCAGTACGACCACCTCGCCAGTCCTTGTTGGAGGGACCGTCGACAGTCTTTTGTGTAGCAGTGTAGGAGTGGACAGTAGTCATCAGACCCTCAATGATGGTGAAGTTGTCGTGGACGACCTTGGCGAGGGGAGCAAGGCAGTTGGTAGTGCAAGAAGCGTTGGAGATGACATCGGCCTTGCCGTCGTAGGTCTTCTCGTTGACACCCATAACGTACATGGGGGCATCGCCTGAGGGGGCAGAGATGATGACCTTCTTGGCACCACCCTTCAAGTGAGCCTTGGCCTTGTCAGTGGTAGTGAAAACACCGGTAGACTCAATGATGTACTCGGCGCCAGTCTCACTCCAGGGGATGGTAGCAGGGTCACGCTCTTGGTAGAACTTGACCTTCTTGCCGTTGACGATAAGAGCATCGGCCTCGTAAGAGACGGTTCCCTTGAAGATACCGTGTGTGGAATCGTACTTCAGCATGTACTCTGCGTAGTGAGTCTCGATAAAGGGATCGTTAACGGCAACGACCTCGATGTCCTCGAGCTCAACTGCATTGCGGAAAACAATACGGCCGATACGGCCGAATCCGTTGATGCCAACCTTGACAACCATTTTGATCTAGGTCTTTAGGGGGGGATGTTAGTAGTTGATCGAGTTTAGGTAGTAGGTAGTAGGGTTGAGATGGTGTGAAAATGTGTGTGTGATGTTGAAGTGTGTGAGAATGTTAGGAAGCTAGGTATGTGATATTTCAAAGACGGGTTCGAAGAACGAGGAACAAGGTATTTGTATTTTGCGAAATGTTCGACAGGATAAGAACATTAGAGGGGTATTATGCTGCTCCGTAAAAAAATAGCAAATCACGATTGACTTTTCAGTTTCCACTGTTGAATGGTCTTGTGAAAATGCTTCGGAAGGAGTTTCCCATGTTTCAAATAGCTCCAAACTCAAAGCAAAAGCCAAGTGCTCCATGTTGGCGTGTTGGCGGGGCAGGAAACAGCAAGCTCATGGATATGGATGAAGCAATAGCGGGGTAATGGAACGAGTAAAGGTGGGAGGGTATGGAGGGGTGAGTTCAGCTCTTACTTACTTGTAGGTAATTTAATTAAATCTGAGGATTGTATTACTCCAAAATTGATCAAGAAAGATCAATCGAGTAAATAAATAGTTTTGAGGAAAGAGGTCAGATTAAATATTGAGTTGTTGAGAGGAAGAAGAGAGGGTTTGATTTGGAGGGGTAGGAAGTTTATATGATGGCATGAGCGACATAAATAAAAAAGGGTTGAGAGAAAAGTACTAAGAAAAAAAATATGATGCAGTAATCCTGGTAACATCCAGGGCTAGTTTGGTGGGTACCTTGTAAGTGGAGTGCTTCTAATCTTGCATGTGGCCCTACACTCTCGAGCTTAACACTGCTACAGCCTGTAACAATGTACATACCCATACTTGGAAGTAGCTACTTGGAAGGGCCTACTGGCCAAGATTGTTTCTTTGGAGGGGTAACAAACGGGTCACTCTCAGAGTCTCAGTGAATGTCGGAGAATTCCTACATAGGTATGTATTCCCACATACACAGAATCACAGATCTTATTACACATACTGTACGGCCCTGCCAAACCTATACTTGACAAATACATCCGTATCACTCCGCCCGTATTCAACTCACCTTGACTTACTACTTAACACTAGGTATAATGGTATCACACTCGAGATCAGGTGTTTCTTCTTCGAGAAACATGTGGTAAACGACATGAGCTGACTCGATATATCAAACGAGAGAATCAGATAATCACAAGATATATTTAGCTATCTTATTCTCCTATCCTATACATATTAAATAGTGGCCACTTTGTGAATTTTTTTTTTCTTGTTTGTAACATTGTCCTGTTTCGATATTCGTCTTGTTTGATCTTTATTACGTTGGTATGATATCTATCAGAAGTATAGTGGCCACGGACAAGCCCGTTCAGCTGAGTACCTCGAAAGTATAGGACTCGTAACTCCGGCGGGCTCCTTAGACAGTGCGTGGCCGAGTTCCGTTGACTATCACACAGACTTTATTCGAAGTCCATACCGTTTCTTTGTCAGTGAAACAAAACCACCCCCAAACCCCTAAGCGATAGATATGCGTACCTAGTAGTGAGAAAATAGCTCAACTAATAAGATCTCATTCATTATATTCCTCAAACTGAGAGCTTATAGGCCGTTTCGAAATCTCACAACAGTTTCGACCCTGACTTCAGTTCAGTGTTGTCATAAAATATCATGTATTCCAGAAGTCACTTTACTACAGCCGAGGGAAGCCTTTTCACTGTGTCAAACGAAAACGGGCACGAACGTCTTACGGGATCTCGGCCACGGAACGGGCTACGATTCACGAATCTATCCGAAATGGCTCGGCTCTTGCAAGGCTAGCCCAATGAGCTATAAACAGAAGCATTGGCATCTCTTTCTTGAGATGAATAACCGTGTACAATCCCGAATGATTGAATCACTTCGATTCCGTTTGTCCTGGGCCCCTGGAGTCTCGAAGTATGCCACGGCCGGCTGCTGCAGCTTTGTGGAACACAAGGCAACAAGACAAAGATACATTGGCATAACCCACTCACAGTCTACCGGTACACTACATGCTATGGGGGTTTCTAAATTTTGCCTTCAAGGTCATGCCCACTAGACCTACCTTGAATCCTGGACGTGTAAGCCAAAGACCGCAAGGTACCGGAGTTTGTGAGCAACCCAACTCCGTATAGCGTGCCGAGATCCAAACATACATACACCACCTCCCATAAATTGCTATCAGTACCAGATGCTCATCATTACCCATCAGCTTCCTTTTGCAAATCACGCCCTATTAGGTATCACATGAGCGACTTTCTATACATACATATCATACATACATAGATGAGTCAAGAGCGATTGTCAAATCATCAATCCGACATCGCAAGCATGACAAAACGATCAACCTGGCTGGCCAGATCCTATCCCAACCAATGTAGATGGGCAAGGGCTCAACGTGCCAATAAATCATACGCAATCTGGCTTGCTCAGCAGTAAGCAACGCCGGCTTACCGGGCTCACCACTTTATCAGCCTGCCAGCCTACCTTTTCTTTCTAGTCAGTAATGCCATGACTGATTACCTAGATGGATGGTCAAACGCCACACAAGGCTGGGGGGCAATAGGCCCGAACCCTTCAAGTTTCGATCGAAACCCGACTATGGCATTCCATTTTAGCTGCATCGTCTAAAACCCAGGCCAAGCTCAGTTTCCCCTGCTAGACAATTCGATCCTATTTTATCGACGGCTCCAGAGCTTCCTCACTTCGGTGCTTTTCAAGGGTCTCGGCCCCCCAGCCGCCCCAACTAATCAAATAGGTATTTACTCGATACGGACGGAGCCTATGTTATTACAAATGTAATGTGTATAGCTAATCAACACATTTTCAAGTTAGTAGGCAACACTTGACTACGTATTACCACATTCTCCAGAAATAGTCGTGAAGATGCTGCAAGCGGAGCGAAAATGATCTCGACACCACATTGTAGTAGGTATTATCCTCATCATCGAATTTATTTTTGTGATACGTTTCCCCAATCTTTATCCAGCATCGTATATATCAGGAAGATCTGAGATGCGCGCTTACCTAGGCAGTTTAGCATAGATAGGTTAGTATCACCATTGAAATATTACTTCGGTAGTACCTGGGCATAACTACTGCACTTCACCCGCTTCACTTTAAGGCCTCGATCAGAGCAGGCGTAGGCATATTTCGTGATTGAACAATAAAGAACTTATTTTCTACATATGCCCCGGCCAACCGCAATACGAAACCCAGTAAACCGATATGTACGTCAGCCAAGCTACATAACATTCTAAAAACCCTCCGAGGTTTCCCTCACTCCCGTTAATTCTTCTTATTTTCAATAGCCAAGCAACGCATCCAGTGGATCCTAGTATACCGACAACTACTATTTGCCCCAAATGAACCTACGTAATATTTCGTGTTTGAAAGACAAGCCACGAGCAGAATTGAGGATAGCCTCAAGCAAGCAAGCAAGCAACTACCTACAACGAACGCACCAAGACAACAGCAACAATAACAGGAACAACAACAACAACAACAACATGATAACCACGTTTCGGTATCCCATATACGCCATGTACATAGGAGCCATATCTATCTATCCAATCCATCCTGCAGCTATTGACTAGGTACTAGACAAAGACCGAATATTTGAAGTTTAGATGTGCCTAGCCTAGCCTGCCTAGCCTAGAGATACTAGAGACAGGTAAGTTTAGAGTTACTCTTTTGGTGCAACGAAAACATCATGCTTGGTAGGTCCCTAGGTTAGACATGTATGTATAGAGATAGTTACGAGTCGCAAGCGGCTACCTATCCCTGTGTGGCATCATTAGCTATGATGTCGACTTGCATCAGCTTATAAGCTCGTTACTACAACTACTTACTCCCTTCATTGCCCCTAGAGTAGGTAGCTATTCAACATCATGGTCAAGTAGGACAGATCTACTACGTAGTATGCTATCCATCCCTTAGCTGTATATCAGGGCTTGCTACACGCATCTTAGTTGGCAAACCTCTCCGATGTAAGGGCATTCTACACGAGACTATCAATTGATTGTGCATCGGATTTCCATTGGTCACTGGACATAGCTGTCATATATTGCGATGATAGTAATATAGCCTCTGGGGTATAGTCTTTGGGCTCCAAAGCCACTGATGGGTTCAAAGTCCTACCACAAGCACGCGTTGATTGTAGGAAACGGTCATCCCAAGGAAACATCCGTGGGTATACCCATACACCATCTAGCAGTCGTCCCGAGTCCATGAACGCCAACGCGAATGCAATCATGAGTACATGTTCCTGTTGGCGCCTTCACTTGAGCCCGAATCCCTCACTTTCATTCACCGCCCGCCACAAGCACTGTTCCAGTCTCGCTCGCGAGGTATAACGGTATAAGGACAAAACGTTAAAACATGTCCTCGCTGAAGGAAATCGCCCTTCATCCTCGCCTAGAAGGTTGACCCGTATAACGAGGGACGCTGCACCCATAGCGGGAATGCGGTCACTGCCCGTTATGAACGATAACAACCGACGCTGATCCACGGGCGAAGCTCTTTCAAATGTACCCCAGAACCATTGCACTGTTGGCTCTATATCGGGGTTTACATGTTTTGGCCAGCCGGTATAAATAGCGGCACCCCTCAGTGAGGAGATATCTAGCGCCTCGTCCGAACCGCGCACAAGCAGCTCAATTTCCTCCGGTCTGAAAAGTGTCAATGCATTACCCGCACAGACGGTGAAGAAACCGCGCTTGAACGGTTCAAACTGTCGAGTAACCGAAGTATCAAGTAAATATCGGACGTAAAGGTCGACATAATCTCGTCGATTGGCATTCGTAACCATTCTGGTCTCACCCCCTGCGCAAAGAGGTACTCTGACCCTAGTACCATACTTTTCGACTTCGATAACAAAATCTAAGCAGAAGGTAGATTGAACATCTCCTTCGAAATCCAGCAGTTGGCGAAGTCCCCTGGCCAGGGCTGGACGAAACTCGGCTAGATCATCCAAGGTATAGTTCATGGTAGGACGGGAGTGTGCTGGCGCACCAGCCGCAGGAGGAGGCGCGGATGCGAGCAGCTTTCGAAAAGCAAAGGGTGGGAAAGCGACGTCTAAGATGGTTGAGTTATATATAGCCAGCCCCAGCAGCACTCCCACGAGAAAATACTGATCAGATGTCTCAAAAGTATTCGGGTTGAAGTAGCAGAAACGCGAGTCCTCGTCATAAACGAAGAGACCTGGGATAACGTTTTAGAAATGATCTTACAACGCGGCGGGAAGAGGGGGGGTACATACCATGGTCAGGATTAAATACCTCTCTCACGAGTAGAAGGAACCATTCTTTTCGAAGCCCTCCTCCATCGACGCCTTCTTCTCCTTGGAATTCAATTCGCAGACCTTTTTTAATGTCCTCGCTACCACTACCAACGACTTCGCTCACCTGCTTGAGACTATCATCCACGAGGCATTCTCGACGGACGCTAAGAACAAGATATTGCGTATAGTTCCTATGCGTCAATATGCTGTCAAAGAAAGCTTCTCTCGCCTTTCCAGCCATTTGTCGTTTCGCATCGAACTCTAGTATTTGTATTTTGGCCCATATACTCAGAAAGAATGGATATTGGCAAAAGGCGAACCTGCCCCTTTTCGATTCCCATAGCTCATAATCAGCTTTGAAGTCCAAGCAGTCGACCATCGAATTATAAAAATCACTGGTCGATAACAAATGGTTATGGTTACGTCCATCTGATCTGTCAGTGCGGCGGATGTACGTTAAATTGTTTGCAGCAAATATGAGGGCCATTACTCTTGCAGCAGCTTTGATCTGCCAGTCGTCTGTATATGCCGCACGCTTCGGTTCAACAGGTTGCTTTTGCTTCTTGGACGCTTTCGATGCTTCCAAGGCAGCATGCAGCGTTGCCGGCGTGTTTCCAGTACGCGAATTAGACATTTGCGGGATCAAACCGCCTGTTACGTCGATCTGCGGTTCCACCCTTTTCTCACTCTGATGGTTCAACCGATACGTAATGAAGCCACTAATCAGATCCTTTGTCTGAAGGAAAAGGGGCTCGGGCAATCTAGAGAGCCACGGGACTAGATGATGATGACATTGCTCAGATGAATTTGCCAGCAAACCGAGAATTCGCTTTATAATTCCTGAATGTCTTCCGGGGGGTGATTTTGGTTGAGCCTCTGGATCGTTTTCTGCGGCTACACCTTTTCCCTTGCTTGAACGTTGGTATTGACCCGTGTAGGATTTAGACCCTGAACTGAGGAGTGGGTTGGCCAGCATCAAGATTAAGAAGCGTACGTCCTGAGGCTCAGCCAACAATCGTCCAGGGCGTTTTAATAGCACTTCTGTGCACTTCAACAGAACTCGTTGGATATGCTCCTGAGCCGTGATGGCCAGCGCTTCGAACTGTTGTAGCCTTGCGTCCGCTAACCGTTGGGATGGTTCCTGCTGCAACATCTCCGAGTAGACTTCTGACCAGGACTCAGCTGTGTTAATTACTACGTGATACCATTCCATGACTGCGGCCCAATCAATTCGGGGAGATCTAGTCGTCACTATGGAAGGTACATCTTCCTTTCGACGGGGTGGGTTTTTGGAAGGCAAAGGTTCCTCTTGGCCTCCAGTCCACCACGTACCATTCTCAGCGAAGTCGCCTAGAAGCAACAATTTGGGGTCGAGCTCTGATATAGGCGTGTCATCGCGAATCGGTTCCTTCTTATTTTCCACGACTCGTTTCTTTACGACCTCGGAGGGAATTCTAGAGTTAGCACTCATATGGCGAGTGACGAACGAATGATTGATACACGCATGAGAACTAAAGCATGATACGAGGTACTCCTCCAATTTCCTAAACACCTTCTTGGGTTCTGTCTGGAAAGCTGTAGTGTCTGGTTTGGAGCTAGGCTCTCCTGTTTGACTAACAGCAGGAAAAGTCGAACTCCTTGTATCGGGAAAGGATGTAGAATACGATCTCGTTATAGGTGCGTCGTTATTTAACGGATTTGGTTCAATATTGAGATCGGCGAAATCGTCGAACACGGCATTGTAAATATAACTAGGCGGACTTGCGTTTGCAGGGGGCGAGCCACCTGGCTGACTAGGAGAATCGCGCCGTGGAAAGCCCTCATTAGGTGGTCGGGGTGCGATTCGGTCCGGTGGAGATTCAGAGTGGTCTTGGTACGATCGTGTCGACATCCAAGATTGTAACGTCGAACGCAAGCACTGCTTAACGAGGTGTCTCGTACGATCGAGAGATATCGAGGTTGCTGTGATGGTAAGTAATAGCACATTTCCTGAGGATAAAGCGAGACCTACGGGGTTGCGAGAGATGCCGCGCAGGGCCGACTATACTTTCGTTTGGTTGTAACGAGCCACTTGGACTGGGATTTAGTTGGGTGCCAGTGTTCTTAGCAGCAAGATCGTATGGCTTGAGATCGTTTATTGTTAAGCAAATGGTACACCTAAAGATATGTAACTCTTTCGGCCATCTGACCAAACTAGCACATGTCATGCAGTTCCCTGTCGCGAAGTCCCCTGGCCCGCGCGGTATTCTTCTAGGAGGTGGGTTTTGGTGTAGATTCTGCTGTCCCTTAGGCCTAGGACTGTCGTCGTCGACAAATTCCTCGTTGCCAGGCCTAGCATTCTTCCTCTTCTTACTGGAAAATAACGAAGGAAATGGGTGGCTCATTGAACGGGAATGTTGGGAGGGTCGTTTCGTGCTTGGAACAGGGATATCGTCGTCGTCGGAGCTTGATTCGACATGAACTTGAGTATTCCTGAGAGGGTTGAATTCGGGAAGCCTTGAATTGGATCTTGGACGACGGAGCTGCTCGTTTATCGAGGGATCACGAAACGGGTAGTCAAAAGGGCCTAAAGTCGGTCGACCCGGCCGATTAGGACGGGAAGACATATTGGTCTTGCTCGAGAAGCTCGTAAGGATGTCGTAATTGCAGAAATGTGGGAAAAGCCCAGCACCAAGAAAGGACGATTATGTCTGCATCTGTACACTTGCTCTACCTGTAAGTAGAGATAGAAACCTCAATGGAGGCAAGCAAGTAAGTTAGATTGGACTCAGGAGAGTTGGGTGAGCAAGCAAAAAGTAGGAGAGCCTTGCAATTCTAATCCGTCGTACCTTACGTAGGTACCTTACGTACCAACAGTACCGAGACAAGACAAGACAAGACAAGACTCAAACCCGGTGATGAAAAAGCCAACACCAATTCGAGATAGCCAAATTGGTCTAGATCTAGAAGCACAATCTTTCATATAAGTTCTTTGGGTAAGACATAAATCAATATACTCATATCTTCTTTTTTTTTGTTAATGAAAAGATGCGAGAGTTAATTAAATCAAATTGAAATTGCCTAAGCTCATGGTATTTAGCATTTTAGAATTTGAAGTACGTATCGAACTATGTAGCTACAGTGCCTGCCAGAGCCTACCTACTTTAAAGAAAAAAAGACTAATAACTAATGGACTAATCATAACGCTTGCCGCTTCCCGAAGCCCCGATAAAATCAAAGTGACAGGTACAATTACCCTGGCAGTTTTTCATGTACATATGAACATTGGATGCCCCCACCTGCCCCAGTTCCCCACAGGAGATACAAGGGTCAGCTGGTAAGCTTCTCAGCTTGTCTCACAGAACAGTCTGATGCTAAGTGCAGCTGAAGGTAGGTGCTTACAATAATAATTCAGGCGGGCCAAGAACGACATGGCAATTTACAGATTACCTGCCTGCTGACGCAAAATCTGGGGGGTACCGGGTTTTGGGGGTTCCTGTGATACATGTACTTCGTATTGTACATACAAATATTGCACGTACTGTATGTACTTCAAGTCATTTCCCCATGTTTAGGTACATGTACATGCTCATGATCCCCCTTTGTAGCTTACAGAATGGGGTCGTTGCGATCGTACATACATAATAATGATATCCATGGATCATATGGGTACCTATAACTACTACCTTACTATCTTATGATATGTACATACTTAAGCCTGTCGAGTGGAAGGAACTCAGCAAGTGTCAAGTTTCAAAGACGGGACTCTGCGAAACCAGGAGTGATTACTATGTAATGATGCCCAACAGGACCTGGCAGTGCTGGCCCTTACTGGGTTACATAATGGTGTACCCAAGTAAATAGCCTACTTCGCTAACCTTGCCAACTTGCGCAGCTACTATTAAACACAGCCCTAATAGTAAAGACATTTGCAATGACGACTACACCGGATACAATATTCTTTCTGCAAATAAATCAATATTATGGCCACCGCAAGTCAAGTCGTACGAGTTAATTCTCTCTCTCTCTCTTTGTGCTCCTTCAATGGACAAGTTGATAGTTTCACGTCTACTTGAAGATTTCGAAAAGAGAAGTCGGATTTCATTAAAGGATATATCAGAACGCCAGTTGACAGCATTTGGCCAATGATGTTGTATCTTAACTAAACAGGATCCTAACAATACAACTTTGGTTTGCTCTGACAACATCATATATAAGGTCACTAATATGACTCTTCTGAACCGTTCTAGGTAGTTACTTACTGCACATAGATAACATCATTCCATCTAGTGGGGATTACTTATAACATCAGTTTTAAAAATTAAGCACAAGCACGAGTATCCAGGCCCCCACAAGTAACACGCATAAGACAAGCTTTGTCACTGAGTCTAGTTCAAAAGGGTTCAACTGCCATTCAAGACAGACAACCCCCTTTCAAGGTTCGAACATTTTTTAGGGGTCGATAAAGTAAGAATCAGGGCAACGAAATCGTCTTCTCGTAAAGCCTCGTAAGGCCCCATAGAGAAAACGAATACGAGGTCCTTTAATGCCATTAATCTAAGCTAAGCTAGTATTTTAAAGGTCCCTCTACCTAAGGCATTACTTAAATGGCTTGAGCTTAACGGATGCGGTGCTTATCTGACGTTGAGCTTGTGTTGTCTCTTGATGACTGAGATGAAGAAAGCAAAAACAAAAGCACAAGAGAGCAACTCAATTTAATTCCACCCACAGCCAAAAGGAAACTTTGTCTCGAACAATGATCATAAACTAAAACCACAGGCACCTAGGCAGGTAGGTCGATAGGTAGGCATCTAACTATGCTAATGTCACCTATTGTGGTAGTCCTAAGGGAGGCATATCGACCTACTCAGGCACCTATCTAAGCACCCTCCTCAGGCAGTCTAAATTTTATAGAAGATGGCCACGAGTGCGATGGAATGCCACCAGAAGTGATAGCTTTCACACATCATAGGAACAACCCCACGATGTTTGTAAGAGTAGCACTACAACCCCGTTCACATGCCCACTCAGAGCCAAGCTTCTGTGTGCATTGTGCAATACCTCAACCAACCAACTCACTGTCCATTCGTAGGGCTGCCACTCAACTTTGGACAACCTCCAATGTTGAAACTTTTGAGTAACAATGCCAAGTAGTAACCTTGAGAAACCTAGCTTTGAGCAAACACAAGGCACAATGGACAGCTCACATCTCCGTGTAAAGCCTAGCAGACAAGAGCTGTCTTCTCAAGAATCCTCCCTCGTCGACTACAGCTTCCAAGGAATTATACAGCAACATGCTCACGAGATGGAGATCGCATTTCAACGCATTATCAACGCTATACTGAAGCACAGTAAGCTAGATATCACTTTAATTCGAATTAGCAATGCGACAGAAGAGTAGGCCCCCCCCCCTCTCTCAATCTACCCATCACTAATCTAAAACACAGTTCTTTCCGCGTATCCCTCGCAGCCCGCGCTTCAAACACCGGGCCCATACGAGCCACACTCTCACCCATGACGATCGAGCTCTGTGGCCCTTCCGGCAGCTTCGGCACCATGACTCTCCCCGAGCTCGAGACAGCTCCCGGCGGTATCCCCATCGAGGTAGCCAAGCAGCTAGTGACGATCACGGACAAGCAAGCACTCCAGGCCTTCATCGCCCTCGTCATCAAAGGCCCCAACGCCGTGCTCTCTCTCAAGAACGGCAGCGCCACCATCTCCGCCGCAACTCTTGGCGTAGGCCCCAAGCCCATCCGATACGAGCGGGAGATCCCGATGCCGGGCATGGACGGCCCGGCCGTCAGCGTGAAGAGCGCCAGCAGCGTGCGCACAGCCACCTCGGCCAAACTCACCGTCGTGCTCCACGTCAAGAACCCGAGCCCGGTTGAGCTCAGCTTCGGCCGGTGCTATTTCGACATCCGCGACCAGGACGACAACACCTTCGCCACCCTCGGAGGAAACCTGGACATTCGGTGCGAGTCTTTCGAAGCCTCTTTCCACGGGCCCGTGACCTGGGTCGGCGAGCTCGAAGAGGGCAAAACGCGGCTCGTGGGTTTGGGATGCGTGGGTGCCGGGTGGTGCGATGAGACGATCAGGGCCATCGATGTGCCGATCATGGGTATATGGAAGATCCGCAAGGCGCTGGGGATGAAGTATGTGGACCCCTTTGAAGAATCCCCGGAGGTATTTCGCTGGCGCGGAAAGTTCTGGAAGAAAGGTACCTGGATCTAGACGCAAGTCAGAAGGTTGTGAGGCGGAACGGATATCCTAGGGGCATAATGACTTGCAAGAAGTGATGACTTGCAAGAAGTGATGACTTACGCAGCATGATACTGAGGGTCCGATACTAGGTTGGGAGTTAAGCAGACTGAATAACGAAGCCCCTGGCTAGGCAATGAAGAACCGATTCTGTCTCGGAAAAACAGAATGTATTTATTTGCCTCAAAGGCCCCATGAGTAGCATCTGCAGTAATTCCACCACAAGGCACATATACTTCTTCCCCTGATAATCATAAAGTAAAGCGTAGTTAAACCGCGTAGATAAATTCCTTAGTAAACTTGGTATATCGACGATGTATCTTTAAGGGACGGCTCAGAAAGTAGTTCACGGCAACCCGTTAGATAGTATAAGCGATACCTCTGTCCCCAATATGAAGCAGGGTGAACCCATAACTGTTGTTCTAGTCAGCGCTCGTTACGAGTGTGTATAAGATTATGGGATAAGGGGTCGTTATAGGCATAAGTGAGGGATGAGTCTTCAGTAATCATTGCCTGCTGCCATAAACGGACCCCCACAAACGATTATAATCCAGTTGCCCCGATAAATATTCCCTACCTAACTAGCAAGAGCTTCAATAGGTAATACGATTGTTAACATCACTCCATTCTATACCTACCCACTAGCCAAGACAGGGCATGGTGATCGGAGGCGTTCACACACCCACCCCAAATCCCTGCCATCACACTCCGTGCAAGCCCGTGCCGGGGCAAGTTACCGGCCAGATCCGGTACCTCCGATCTACAATTTCCATCATAGAATTTCCGCCGTGAATTTCAGTACCTCTCTAGCTAGACAGCCAGCTCCGTTAACTCGGTATACCTACCTCATTCCCTACCTCATATTTTACTTTTTCTCACTGTTGCCTAGAACCTACTTGTCCACCTTCCGACTTACCTAACCTATACTCTTATATCCCCCTTTTCTCCTCTCTCTTCCCATTCCTCTTCTTCTCCCTTCCGTAAGAAATACATCCACCTCTTCCAAAAGAATATAGCAAAATGCCACACATAGACCAAAAACTCTTCCAAGCCTTCCTCCGTCGCCAATCCCGACGTGACCATCCCTACCGACGAGGCAGGAAGCCTCGATCCCCATCCGCTTCTCCCACCATCACCGTCGACGGCCAACAAACCGACTCCAACAGCAGCACTTCCCCAGGCTCTGATGAAAGCCACAACCAACCACCGTACGGGTACCAAGCCTCGCATATTCATGTGCTCGAGCGACAGGCGCAAGCCCTGGTGAATACTCGCCCCCTTTTCCTTGTCTCCCACTTCCTCACTCTTTCCACATCCCCATCCTTACTACCCACTCCAACCATAACTTAACATTCTCCGTCCCATTTTCCTATCGCCCAGGAATGCATCGCCGAGATCCTCCATCACAAAATGACTTTCGATGGATACCCTCCTCTTCCTGCACCGCCATCTCCTCCCCCTCCCCAACCCCAACCCCAGCTCCAGCTCCAGCTCCAGCCCCTAAAGATGAATGGGAATGAGAATGAGAATGGGAGTTGGGTATGGCAAAGCAAAGGGAAAGAGGCAGGCAAAGAGAAAGAGAAGGACAAGGACAAGGAGAGTGTGAAGGGGAAAGAGCCAAGGAAGAAAACGGGAAAAGCAAAAGCAAAAGACCCCAAGCCCAAGCGCATAATCAAGCAAGAACCCCACGACTCCAACATCGACGTAGGTAAAACCGATACAAAGGCCCAACCTAGGTATAAACAAGCCGAGTCGTTAAAATAAAGTAAGCCTGCATTGCATACCCAACCAGGTACCCGCGGCGATCGCCCTAGGCTACGAAACGAAACGAAACGAAACGACGGGGACTGGGGACACTGGCCATCAAGGTCGTGGGGTCGTCGATGCTTATATTGACCGCAACAAGCTTCGTCCGACGAATGAGCATCCATCCATTCCCCTTTTTTTCGCATCTGGCATCTGCGTTTGTTTAGATTAGCCAGGTAGGTAGGTAGGTAGGTAGGTACACAGTAGTTACTCCGCTTGCTTGATGGGATGGAGTTCCCGCAATCCCTATTCGGGACGCCGTATAGTTAGTCTCCTATTGGCTGGACTAAACCCCCAGACATGACTATCACTTTCATCGACTGGATGATCAAAAGTAAACAGGGTGGGGTGGTTGGTGGGATATCAGATAATCTTTCTTTTTTTTTTTTTTAAATTATTCATTCTATTTATTGATTCATTTCATTCAAGATAGGTACTACCTAGGTAGAGACGTTATTCCAACTTCCTCCCTCCAGCAGTTCTGTCTAACTAACTCTTCGACAACATTTTGACATGTTCCAAGGTTTTCTTCATTAACCTAGCCTAACCCACGCTTCCAAGCCCCAGTCCAAACCCTCTTAGGCAAAAGCAAAGCCAAAAAAATTAGTCAAAAGCGATAACAGCCTTGATAGCCGACTTGTCGCGGATGCTCTGGAGCGCCTCGCCCCACTGCTCGAGCTTGAAAACCTTGTTGACGATGCCCTTGGTCTTGACCTTGCCGCTGTCGAGGTAGTCGACGGTGGCCGGGAACATGAAGGTTTCGGAGAAGGAGCCGACGATGGTGATTTCTGCGATACTGCTATTAATTTTGTTCTACTTCTAGATGAATCGGTATGGGGCCAAGACTTACCATCACCGAAGATCTTGGACGGGGGCCACGAGACGCGGCCGGCGTTGGGGTAGACGCCGTAGCAGACGAGCTTGCCGCCGCGGCGGACGTAGTGGATGGCGTCCTCGAGGACCTTGACGCTGCCGCTGGCTTCCACGACTGTGTGTGTATGTGTGTTAGCGCTATTTCCCATAGTTAAGATTCTAAACACCACCTACCAATATCGAAGCCGTACGGGTTGTCCTTCTTGATCTGTTCCCATTGCGGTGTGGCGTTTGCGCGGGAGAGGGGTACGTAGTGATCGGCGGCGTCGAGGCTCCTGGCCAACTCCATCTTTTGGCCTTCAGGGGCGGCAATCGTCAATTGCGAAACACCGTTAAGTTTTCTGTTGCTTGTAATCAGCATTGTTCTCCATTAGAAAAAGAGAATTGTATCTCGTACAGGAACTGTGCCATCATGAGGCCGGTAGGACCAGCACCAATTAGCAGAGCGTGAGAACCAGCCTTCGGTGCAATCTTCTCCAACCCGTGCATGGCGCAAGAGGCAGGCTCGATTAGGGTAGCATCGATGTTGCTGAGGTTCTTGATCTTAAACAGGCGACCTTGAGGGTAGGCGGCCTAGGATTGGGAAGAGTTAGTTAGTCATTACAAAGAATTTCTGGTATAGGCACAGAGTACGCACGTATTCGGCGAAACCGCCATCTAATCCTACGACACCGTGTGCCTTGAAGTCTTCGCAGAGAAGCTCGTCTCCTTTTCGGCAGTAGAAGCTTTTTATAAGTGTCACGAATCAGCCATGCCCTATTCAGTTAAGAGAGCGACAAGGTAATATGAACTCACCAGTGACCACAGAGTTCTGAGTTGTCAGCTGCAACGCGGTCTCCAATCTCGAAGCCCTTCACGCCGTCGGCAAATCCTATTGAAAACTGTCAACTGGCTTGTAACAAATATAGAATTATACATAGGTGAACTAACCGACAACCTCGCCAATGGTTTCATGGCCAGGGATAAGAGGGAACTCGGCAATGAATTCGCCTTCGTGGATGTGTAGGTCAGTGCCGCAAACACCGCAGGCCTACAGTCATTTTGTGTTATTAGGACTGAAATACAAAAAGACACATAAATTGACTTACCTTGACCTTGATTAGGACATCTCCAGGTCGTATAGTTGGTAGAGGAACATCGACGATATCCCAAACTTCCGGCTTCTCGTAGCTACGATGTATGACGTTGTTAGCTGAATGCGACAGGAGCTGGGTGGATCAAAATAGCCCCATTGAGCTTGATATACGATATGGAGCTTAAAGTAGATAAATAGAACTTACCGGACAGCCTTCATGGACTTGGGGAGGGAAGCCATTTCGAATTTTCTGGGTTTTTAGAAGAGTTGGATGTTGTGTAGAGGGAAAGAGGGGTATGCTCAAAAAATGATGTTGTGTAAAGGGAAACAAAGGTAGGTATGCTATTAGAGTCAAGGAGGAAAATTAAGGGAAACGAAACAAGAATGAGCTCGGGAGAAGATGTCTTCTTATTAAAGTATGCGCGGAAAGACGGATAGGAACAAAAGCCCCAGCCCAGCCCAAGGAAGTACACTTCGTAATAGGATTGGTTCCCGCGATGACATGGAGTTTGCTCCAAAGCATCGTAGTAGTACCTCCATCCATGACCGTGATTGTAAGTATGAATGTAGTAGTAGTCGTATACATACTATACAAGGGCTTACAGTATGCTACATAGTTAGTACTAATACCTGCTAATACTGTGACTATGGATGTAATAGTAACATCTGGAACGAAGAGGAGGGTAAATGAGGGGCAACTGGCTCAGAGCTACGCCCATAACCACCCCGCTATAGGAAAGAATGCGTTCACCTCGCAGATAACCTGACAAGCTAGACCCCAGTGCTGATGAATGATTGGTGTTAATATACATGAGGGAGACCCACCGAGTATATAGGTCGGATAGATCAAGTGCATACTGACGGAGTCTACCTTAAAATAGTTTGGTTACTGGCTTAGTACCAGATGTAGTTTGAGATGTCACTGCCTCACCTAGTACTCCTACTCTAACTCCTCCTTGTTGTAGTAGGCGTAATAGGTAGCGTAGCAAGACATTGTGTCACTAAAAAAATGGACTTGAATATTGGTCGCAACGGAGTTCGACGTCATCTTGCTTAAGTCTTTGTAGCATCGTCGTACTCCCCCCTCCGAATAAAAGGGGGGCCTCCGCGTTGATTCCCGTCTATCGGTAGCTACATGTAGGTATCTCGTATCTCCGTCTATGACATGTATGTTTGTTTGTTTTTTGCTCAGTCTGCAAATCAATACGAATATCGTTTGTCAATAATATTAAACTTTCTCTAAGTTCAATATTATCAAGTTAAGCATGTACTAAGCAGCTAGGTAGGGGAGAGTTGAGAGAGGCCAAAGTTCTGGTTGTCACTTGACACCCCGCAAAGCCGAGAGTTTTTTATATTATACGACGAAGGTTAGAAATCCTGGAGGTTAATGCCTCAATCTATTGGATCCATGGATATATTTGTTGAATAAGCGGCGTGATGTGGCTGACACATTTTCGAAACTTATCTCATGTTACGGTCGACTGACCCGTCAAACTCCGCCTCGAGTTGGAAAATAAGGAAAGTAGGCGTAGATAAAAAGTGTAGCATTGCTTTGACATTGGGCGGCTTGGTAGCATAGGTTCTCCATGTCTTGCTTAGTGACGAGTTCTTGGCACCAAGAGGCATTCGCGGGGACACTCAAGTAATCATTAGTATAACTAGATATACTGGATGTGTTCGGCCCGGATATCGTAGGTAAAATGGTAATATCCATGGATATATAATTGGTGGGTGTATCGGGGTTTCTATAGAGCTTGGCATATGAACTCGGCCGGTCAAATTTGTCTAGGTTAAGTCCAAGACAAGAATTTATAGATACATGGATGTTTTTTTTTTTAACACCAGACTGGCGGGGTTCTCCGTAGTCCACTACGTACTATGTAGGTAAGCAAGGGAAGCTGGTAAGGTACAAGTACCTACCTATTTTACAAGTATTTTACAGCGTGGTAGAGAATCGGGAAGGTGTCGCATCCGCCCCTGTTTATACACTAAGGGGAATTACTGAAATATAGGTATGTACCTGGAGATCGACGTGCATACATACATACACATATACATACATGTATGTAAGGTTAGATGCTTCGGGTAGAGTACTAACACACTCAACAGGCACGTACAACCCTATTTTCTCTGAGCCGTATACCTACATACATGCAGTATCATATACATATCTGGTGTGTATAACTGATGCGAGGCCTTACTACACGTATGGCCCAAGGCGTAGGGTAGGGGACACGGTGGGCGGTTGGAAACAACTTCATTATCTTTGAGCTGTCTCCCTACTGACCTCCGTGAGCACAAGGATTTCAACCATGCTAACAAGCACTGGTCGTATGTCCACTACACCCTACGAGGAATCTTGTCGAATTGTGTCTCGCGCCTCTCAACTCGCACGCGATTGACTGATTTTCACCGACCCGAAGAGCTTTAATAGGAAATAATGTAATGTTTTTTTCACGGCAAAAGCATTTCCATAATTCATTGATGTCCGAGGATTTAGCCTCCTAATAACTCCCAACCGTGCATCCGAAATTTCCCCCACGGGTTTCTATCACGCGAGTAGAGGCGAGACTATGCAGGTGCTCCCTTCCCTAGAGTACATGTCCATGCCGGCTATCATGTGTGTCGAAGGGATCTTTAAGAGAGTAGTAGAAGCTCCTTACGAGGGAGGAGCGCCACGGCCACGGCCAAATCCACCACGGCTATTGACGAGTATTAGTAAAGAATGGAGCCACGATTGGACGGGGGGGGATATCTTACAATTGAGGGTTGAATTCGCCAGGAGCACCGCCCTCCTTACCCTCACCAGCATCACGTCTTCGGTAGCCACCCTCACGGTCGCCACGGTCGCCACGATCACCACGGTCACCACCACGGCCACGGCCGAATGGTCGTCGCTCGCGCTCACCCTCACCCATCATGCCACGGGGAGGAGCGTGCGATCGCTGCTGCTTGATGTGTGTGGCAGGAACGATCTCGGCAGGAAGGTGAAGCCATTCGCGGAGGTAGTCGAGACCCTCGGGGGTGAGGGTGTAGTAGTAGTATTGCCAAGAGAATTGAGTCTTGACATAGCCGCGGGAGTTGAGAGACTGGAGGGCCTTGACAACGAAGAGGTTCTTGGTGTCGATGTCGGGGTGCTTGGGAAGGTTGAAATCCTTCTTCGCGACGAGGACGCCCTCACGGAAGAGGTACTGTATAATTACACGAACATTAGTTTTTTCGATGTGCCATCATGAGTTTTGAACCAATTTAATATAAAAGATAAAAAAACTGGTTGCTGGCAATTCTTACCTCGTGGATCTTCTTGCGGTCAGCCTTCGGAATCAGCATCTTGGCGGTTGTTGGTAGGTGACAAGATGTTGAGTTGGGTGGATGGGCGTGATTGATTGAGAAGTCGGCAGGCTGATGGACGTTGCGATGAATTGAAGGTCAAGTAATTTTTGGTTGTGCGCAAAAACCCTATGGTGGAGAAGGAAGCGACACTTGCTAGGTGGGAAAACTTTAGTGGGGGTTAGAAACCAATTGTGGCTGGGCTATGTGGGTCTACATTACTGAAGCCACTTTCTAGAATCCAAGGTTTGCATTTGTGGCTTGTAATAGATACATAGATACCTAGACATGCACCCCATAAAATTCTAATCATGGGTCTTTGATAAGCGATATGATAAAAGCCTTGGCGCATGGCATGCAGCCATAACGATCCACTTCTTCTTTTTATTCTAGCCAATCTTTCTTCTTCTACATTTATTTAGCTGCCTTTCCCAGTTGCTAGCCACCACTTCCACTTACATAAACGACGCTCAATCGTCAATCCTCAATACAGCACAATAGCATCAAAACAGCGTGTCTTCCCCTTCTTTCTAAAACAATATCAACACAAGACACACACACACCATGGCGCCCGAAAACATCAACGTGTTCGTCACGACCTTCTCAGGCCTAGGCCTACCGCCTACCCTATCCTTCCCCATCCCATCCACCACAACCTTCTCCGACCTGCACCACCGCATCGAAGACCGCCTGCCCCCGACAAATTCCCGCCTCATCCTCACCACCATATCCAACAAGCAACTCCTCCCCAACTCCCGCTCCCTCGTCTCCTCCCTCTGCGCCACCTCCTCCGATGCCTTCGTCTCCCTGCGGCTCTCCCTGCCCCTCTGCGGCGGCAAAGGCGGCTTCGGCTCGCAGCTGCGCGCCGCCGGCGGCCGGATGTCGTCGAAGAAGAAGAAGAACCGCGGCGACGAGAACGGGTCGAGCCGGAACCTCGACGGGCGCCGCCTGCGCACCGTCAACGAGGCGAAGGCCCTCGCAGAGTACCTCGCCATCAAGCCCGAGATGGAGCAGAAGGAGAAGGAGAAGCGGCGCGCGCGGTGGCAACAGATCGTCGACGCCGCCGACGAGCGGGAGCACGAGATCAAGAACAGCACCAAGGGAAGGCTCGACGGCAAGTGGGTCGAGGATAAGGAGGAGGCCGGCGAGCGCACGCGCGAGGCAGTGCTCGCTGCTATCAAGGCCGGCAATTATAAGGACAATCTGCTCGGCACATCCCATGGCTCGACCTCCGCGGAGGATATGGACGAAGACACATCGAGTGAGGGAGAGGAAGCAGAACAATCTGGAGAGTCCAGTGGATCCAAGACTACGACGCGACCAACAACAACAACAGCGTCATCGTCAAAGCAGCCGCTCACGAGAGCATTCGCCAGTTTCGACGAGGATGACGAATTTATGAGCTCCTCTGACGAGGAAGAGGAGGAAGAGAAGAGCAAGTAGGAAGGAGGCCAATAGATTTTAATACGATACCCACGAATGAGCGAGATGAACATAGATAGTATAATGTAACATTACCATGATCAAAGTGAACTGCTGTCTTTCGTTCTCGAGAGACTTGTAGCTGACAAACGGTTGTCAACTCTCCTTTGCTCTATAAGCGCTTGATTTAGGTACTCGGCACGCTCCGGAACCTATGTACACAATTTACCTCTGACCACGATGAACTTATCCTACCTATCCATATCATCTCCTACTTATACCCAAACAAATCATCTCAGCTTATAAAGCAAACGGATATGCGTACTACTGTGTGGCAAATAGTTTCTAGCACACTGCATCAATCAACAATCTAGGTTACAAGCATCACAATTCACGTTCACCCTATACCACCAAGACAAAATTCTGTAAATCTTAAGAATAGTTTCCGAATAAAACATCCGGGATTTTCGATTTTGGTGGTCACCCATCCTATTCGTGTGACCACGGTGTCTCTACCTACTTATACTCGACCGCAGTTTTTGTTTTCACTACCTAACTCTTCACCAAATGTAACATCACAGGCCCCTTGCCGTACACATGACATTTGACAAAATATGTATCGAATCTCAACTTGGATTAATTGGGCACGATCGCGCTTTTACTAGTTCGTAACCTTGCTCATCTGAACCAATCGTTTAACGCCAACCTAGATGATTATTAGTAAATGGGAGGAAAGTTAAGTTAGATAGATCAAATTAACATACCATCCAGTTGCCGCATTCATCTGTCTTGTCTCGCTGGATTTCCACTTGGAGGCGTTGCGCCTCCGGATAGTCCTTGCTTTCTAACGCGTTGGCTAGCGTAGTCAAATGCTCAATAGTATCCGGCTTGATCAACTCCTGGTTGTTGAGATGATCAAATAAGAGCCCAAGCCGCTTCTGTGTGTCCTTGACTTGAGGAGCAAATGAGGCGGGAGCCTTACTGGCCACCCGTTGCATGTCGCGGCTCAGTACGTCAACCAACTGCTGAGCGCTGGGAGGTATGTGGGAGCGATCACCCGGGGGGTGTCTAGCTTGCGCTGGCGGCGGAGCAGGTGAGGTGGCAGCGGGTGGCGGACCGCCGGTTGAAGGAGGGGGTCCAGTAGGAGGTGGTCCTTGTTGCACTGGGGGAGCCCCATACGGAGAAGGAGCGTACTGACCGTGGGATGGTGCAGCCTGCGGGGGAGGAGCATATGGATTTGGTGGTGGTGCTCGGGCTGCATTTGGAGGAGGCGCCATGCCAGCCTGCGGGGGAAGATTATTAAGCGACTGTGGTGCCGGTGCCGGTGCATATCGGCTTGTGGGTGCGGCCCCCATTGGTGGCGGGTTATAAGGCGAGGCTGTTCTGGGGACGGCATGAGGCGGTGGTATCCCGGGAGTTTGGGCAGCGGGAGGTGGAGCGTACGCTTGTGCTGCCGTTGAACCAGGTCGCGGCGGCGGTGGCAACTGGCCAGCTTGTGGTGGACCACCAAGAGGCGACATTACTCTCCCGGTAGGTGGACCCTTGGGAGGAGGGGGTGGTGGTGTTGCTATTCCGCGTTGAGCGCCATAAGGGCTTTGTGGTGGAGGTGGTATTCCCTGGGTTGCTTGATTGGGAAATGGAGATGGCACAGAAACTGATCCTGGAGTGTTTCTCCGAGGAGGCGGTGCTTTCGTCACCATAGGAACATCGTTCCAATTTGCCGCATCCGAGTTCCGTGGAGGGGGCTTCGTGGACGGAGTCGACGACCTTGGTGGACCCCCGAAGGAAGTTGGAGGAGGGCCATAGCCAGCGTGCGGAGCTGCTTGAACGGGCTGCGGAGATGGTTGGTAACCCTGCGGGGCATAAGGGTTGCTTGCTACCGGTGGGGCATATGGATTCGATGTCGCGGCTTGAGCAGCAGGAGGCGCATAGGGGTTAATAGGACTGGCGCCGGCCGTAGGCTGAGACGGCTGGTAAGCCGCTGCCACAGACGCGGTACGTGAAGCAACACGTGGAGCCACGGCAGGGTTTTGAGCTCTTTGAGCTGGTTGTCTTGGGGCAGCAGGCTGAGGAGCCACCTTCTTCGTTGCAAGCTGCACACGCTCACGTGCGATATCAGCAGCGGCATACTTCGCAGGCAGTAGGCTCAAGTATTTCTGTGCGATTCCGAGTTGACCATGCGCAGCAACAATATCGGCATACTCGATATACTTGTCATAAAGAGAAGAAAGCTTCCAACCCGAAGAAAGCCCCGTCTCGGCATCCTGGAACTTCGTCACTTGGCGGAATACGGTAACCTTCTCAATGAATTGTTGAAGGGACCTTGCGTGTATAGAGAAGGTAGAGTCATTGGCCTCAGTCAGGCCGGCCTTCTCGGCTTCCTCGAGCTCAGTTACCCATATGTCTACTACCTTCTCAAGTTTAGAGCCGACTAGGTAGCAGAATGATGCATCCTTTCGGGCACCCGATTCGTAGATGCGGTCACCCAAGGCTTCACATAAATCCGGGAATTCGGCCGGTTCCGCGAACGTACACAGCGTCACCATCGTCTCTTTCCAATCAGCTAAATCAGCATTGTATACGACATCCCATAGATTCTTGACAATAACGGAACCCAGAAGTCGTAGATAGCTTGGCATTCCTGTCTTTTGGGACAAATACGCAGACTGAACCTTGTCGACAAGCTCTTTTCCGCCACAGTTGGCAATCATGAAAGCATCCGCCATACGACCCTCCTTTAGGCAGATCTCAGTTGCTTTTTCAAACTGCCCAAGCATTAGTGACTTTGTGATTTGCTTTTCTACAGCGGTATCGCTGTCCGCAAATAAATGGAATGGGTTATCTGTTTTAGCACCCTTTGTAGCGGAGAGATTTGCCAAGAAATCCTCGCCATCACCTTCACCCCCATCAGAGAAGAACGTCGAAAAACGCTTTCTATGCCCCTTTACTTCGCTTGGCTTCTCTGTTTCGGTGTCCTTTGTCTCAGCAGACTCTTCGGTGACACCATTGGATGACTCCTCTTTAGCTTCTTCACTAAATCCCAGGTACTCAACAATTTGTTGTCGCGGATTATCAGTCAATAGTGTTTCCAAAACACGCCAGTCGGCCTTCTCTTCATCAGTAGGGGCCTGCTCTATGTGCGATTCACATATGGCTGTAACATCGCCAGTCTTGAGAGATTCTTCGAATTTCTCGGTAGCGGCTCCGATGTCCGAATCCACGGAGAATTGAGAAATTTGAAGCTTGGAAGATCGCTTGTGCTGGCCAGGTTGTTGAGGCTCCTGACTAAAAATGACAAGCTTGCCCCCAAATCCAAATGAAACCCCGACAGGTCTCTCAAGCCATTTTGGAGCTTTGGTCAAGGAGAAGGCAGCACCTTGCGGCTGCCTCTGGGCTTGAGTAAAAAAGTCCTCACCATCCAAACTAGGCTGCGCCGTGTTCTGTACAGCGGAAGGGTTTGTATTTTGAAGTGTTTGGATAGTGATCTTTCCGTCAAAGGAGGCCGTAGCCGAAAGGCTAGGATTTTGAGGATGGAATCGGGTCAAGAAAGTCCAATTGGTCACTTCAGGAAATTCCCCGTAACGTTCGCCCGTCTGCGGATTCCATACCAACGTCCTGTTATCCTTACCACATGAAATCAGAATATCACCATCCTGCTGGCACCAAGAAACAGAGAGAATGCCCTGCTCATGACCCTGAAGGGTTCTCTCCGGCGCGTTCGAGTTTCGCAAGTCCCATAATAAAATGACAGGAGTCGTATCATCGGGTGTGGCCGTTAACAGTTTAGTTGAATTGTTTGGGTCCCATGCGATGGCGCTGACGGGTTTCCGGTTGTTGTTTAGTGTTAATGACGCTTTCTTGGTCTTCAAGTCCCACACCGTCACAAAACCACCAGAACCACCGGTGGCAAGAATGTGGGCAACTTTGGTGTTCCAAGCCACACATTCCAAATCATCTGATCGGGCCGCAGCAGTCCCTAATCGAAAGGCATTGGAAGGGTCAAGAACATCGTAAATAAAGAGCTCTCCTTTGGCGCCAGCGGTGGCTAAGATCTGGGGTCTTAAGGGATTGAATTGCAATGATTTGATGGGCCCGGTGTGTTTCGTCGTTCGCGATATTAAACCGTCCGATTCACCATCGATAAGCTTCTTGGCGTCCCAGAGATCGAGTGATCCATTCTCTAGAGCACCAGCGATAATACCATGCGGATATTCTTCTGTGGGTTGGCCCCAGGCGATGTCGTAGAATCTACATGTAGCGGTGGCCCGTCAGCAACGGTGTGCATGTAAAGTGGGTGTCATGATGGATCAGAGTTTGGAATTACCTAGAGTCAGCTGCGATGCTCGCAATGGGCTGAAGCTCAAGCCCTTGTTCCTGGTTATCGAGGCTAAGATCCCACAATTCCAGCTTCGTCTCGTCGGAGAAGTCGGCGTCAACAGCTCCAGCGCGGGTACCAGTTACCAACAATGGCTTTTCGGTACCAGGAGACCAAGCAAAAGCTGCGGTGCGCGATATCTCGCGCAATCTAACCATTTTGACTTGACTGCGTAGAGGAGCAGTCTGGTCCTTGTCGAATTACGTCGAATCGGTCGGTTGGAGGTAAGGGGAATGTGAGGAACTAGGTGACGGTTTTGTAAGAAGGATTGGCTTAGAAGCCAGCTGGCATTGGGCTCTCTAGGCCGGCTAGGAATGTGGGAAACGGATTAAAATACAAAAAGGGAGGTTGTGTTTAGAGGTTTCGTGGGTTTAGTGAGAGTGATGTAGGAGGAAACATAAGTCAAGATCGGTATTGTTGCCAGATAATGCAAGTCTAGGCTACATATCAGTCTAACGGGTTTCGAGATGTGGGCGCATGAGCTCACATGCCAAGCCAAATCAAGAAGTGACAGCCGCACAATCTGTATCCCTCCTGGCTTCAAGTGTTCGGGGGCGGAATGCACAAGCCACAGGGGGGGGATACATGTATTATGTACCTAGTACTCAAGTATAACACTGCATGCACGTGATGATTATGTACATGCGTATCTCAAGATATCAATTCAGCATTGGATATTTTGATGTTCAACGTTGTCAATACCTAGTAGAATACTAATGTCAAAAATAGAGATAAATTTATTAAAATAAAATAATCTATAAACTGAAAACTATAGGAATTATAGATCCAATTGGGTAACTATGTCCTAAGTTAATGGAATAGGTCTGTGTAAAGGTACTAGGTAAGTACTATAATATTTACCTACTACTTACATTTTGCGTACCTAAATTTGGGGATCAACTCAATTCATCTTCAATTATTAACATCAAAGCTTTTTCAGCAACGTGCCTTACAAGTTTTTAAAAAAGTATAAAAAAAAGAAGAAACAAACACGACAACTTCATACCTCAAAGACTGGAAACCCAGAACCCAGCAATAAAATGACAGACGCAGCTCGTTGGAAAGCTACGATTTACGTCGGAGGCTTAGTTTCGATGGCCACCACTAGCAATCTTCACGATGTTTTCTTACCCTTTGGTGAGATCGTGGATGTTACACTACCCAAGAATGATGCGCCAAACGCAACCGAGCCTCATAGAGGCTTCGCCTATATCGAATTTGAAGATGCGGATGATGCCAAAGAAGCCATCGACAACATGGATCAGGCAGAGTTATTCGGAAGAGTCTTGAAAGTATCCGCCGCCAAACCCCCTAAAAGCGCCGAGGAAGGACTAGGCGGCAAAACAGCCATATGGGAGCAGGTATGACTAATTCTCATTGTGTTTGTATCCATATATATATGACACCTATTCTAACAAAGACGAACAATAGGAGGGATGGCTTGCTGAACATAATGTGAGCGAGGAGGATCGTACTGCAACAGCGGGGGCTAGAAGCGCCGTCGACGACAGGCCAGAGGATCCAATGCAAGGACTAGAAGGGCTTGACTTTGCCGGACCAAAGCCAGAGTGAGGATGACGGGATGGATATCATCAAATGAGCTAAATAGTATTTTGTCGCATAGCAATGGCGTTTGAAAAGGATCATATTAGCACGAAAGGGAGATAATCAGGAGTAGTGACTTCAAGTCTATAGTACCATGCTCGACCTCTCATATTTGACATCTCTGCCTTGGTCTTCTGCTTTGGTAACTATAGGTAAACATATACAGTGCCGAGCTTCTTTAAACCCCAAGATCTTCTTCGAAGAGCTACCCTTGACCAACCTCCACCCCATGTCCAGACCCCATGCTACGTTAATTCAACTTCGCTTAATGATGCCCCTCGCCGTGTTCGGTGGGCTCGTCCTTCCGGTTTTGACGGCTAAGTCGCATAGTCTTGTCTACTTTAAACTTGCGAAGACTCGAGTAGCCGGCCGCGCCCACAGCGAATACGACGACAACGCCTGATGATACCGTAAGCATATTTTACACTTGAAACATCTTTCGTTCGTGTTATCTAGGTAGACTGACCGAGAGGAATTAATTCTGCCGGAATTTGTCGCAATTTGCGGAGGCGCTGGGAGATAGTGTGTGCTGCTGGTTTATTAATATCTGGATACTTTGCATTTTCATGTGGTATGCTGAAGACGTAGTCTCGAGGAGGTCAAGGATAGGATATGATCGGATTCGGGGGATCAATGGTTCGAGATGGGTGAGAACATACCGCTCTGTTCCTCTTTCTATTATTGGTCATTAGCAAACGTCATAGCTACCTACGTAGGTAGGTAAGAATGTGGAAGGGGAAGAAAAAAGTAGAGTCCATACGGGAATAGGACTCATCATACGGCGAGTGGCCATCATTCTCAAAGCTCGAGTAGCATACATTTTGGCGGATTAGGTGGAATTTAATAATTTTAATTAGAAGTTTAGGGTGGGATATGAGATGAGGTTATTGAGGCGTAGTGAAATATACTTCTTGATCAATTGACAGAAGGTTTTGACTTTGAAGCGGGAAAAGAGCTTCAATGTACAATGTTCGCTGCGCTTGCGCTGCTTCAATATTGGCTTCGGTAACATGGGGATATTTTAGCTCAAGCCACAGCCAGTTAAAATGTTTAAAATAATCATAGTGGGGCTAAACCCCCCCAAATGCAATCACTGTGTCATGCCACCAAGGCTTTGAGCCACCATAAAATCACCTAAATTAGGTAACGGTCCATGATTCGATCCGGTAAGTACAAGAATCCAATTGGCAATTGTCCCCGGTGGTTCGAGAAGCTCTTTCCAGGTTACGGTTCTGAGTCTCCATCTTTCAAGACTTCTCCATCATTTTCGAACTTTCGAACTCTTCAACTTCTTACAACTACAACCACAGCCAACTATCGTTGGTCACCCTAATATTCGCATTCCCAACCCGATCATACTCAAAAATCTATCAAGATGTCCGACGACGAACGTGAGACGAAGCCCTTCAAGTTCGTCACCGGTAAGTCAATATTTGCAATTACCTCGGGCTCCGTTCATGCATCATATCGAATTATTATAAATAGCCGAGACTAACGATACTCTTCTTTAACAGCTGGTAAGAAAACCTCCTTATTCATTCCTATCAATACTCCGATGTACTCGACCAAACGATGAGATGAAGCGCACGACGAGGCTTGCATGCGAAATGGATTAATGGATACCTAATGTTTTCATTCGCATATGCATTTACGGCCGCGCGATAGTGTAAAGATCAATCAGCCAATCTAACCTTCTTCGCCTCTAGGTGTCGATGCTCGATTCCCCAATCAGAACCAGACAAAGCACTGCTGGCAGAACTATGTTGATTATCATAAGTGCATCAATGCCAAGGGCGAGGAATTTGCCCCGTGCCGTCAGGTATATATACCATTAACCAAGTAATCCCCATATGGGCAACACATACTAACGATACAAGTTCCTACTCGCCTACCGATCTCTATGCCCACACGGATGGTACCAACGATGGGATGAACAACGCGGTCAGTCGCCCGCCCGTCAAATGTATGGGCTCACGCTAACTCATCGCAGAGGCTGGAAACTTCCCCGCGAAGTTGGACGCTTAAGTGTATCCCTACGGTTTACACGGCTATTGGACAGGTCGGTAAATTTGGACTATCGTGATATAGCATATTCCTTAGACACCTCGAGCCAACCAACAACTAGAGATTCGTTGCAGTGCTCTCCTGTGCCGATTGCATGTTGTCCCGTGACCACACAGCCATTAACTTAGCTTTAGGTTTGGGAGACAATTAATTATACGACGTGAAAGCCGCGAATGAAATATCAGGCACGTATCTCTCTTTCACGTTCCTCGGCGCCTTGTTTCTCTTTTTAGGACATGATGCCACCGACAGTTGTACGATATCATTCTTTAAATGCTATCATTGGAAATGCCTCGACGGTTACTGGTCATCCTAGAGTAATCAGATAATCAAGGAGTTCATCACTACCTAATAACACTTCGTTTACTTCAACTGCTTAATCTATATCACATCAAGACTCCAGCAAGCACCAAACGTAATGGCACCATTTTGCTTCTCTACTTCTCATCGTTTATTGCCAGCACATTCCGTTGGATAGGCTTGGTAGCCTGCGCACAATCCTCGGTGATATTATTTGAAATATCTTCGCTGTAAAACTGAATCTCAAGACCGAGCAGGATGTATTTGTTTAGATCTTAGACCCATTCTGGGTCCAGTTGCTACCGAAGTTACTTCGTCTAGAAAATCTCGGCTGGAGAAGATGGTAGTTCGAGGCCAGATTCATCTATCCCCAAGATTGCGTCCCCGTGTAGTGAGTGTATGTGCACTTACTTTGATCCATCGTACCTGAGAATATGAATTTAAGCGTTTTGAGCTTTTTGAACGTAAATTTCATCAGGTCCATGGTCATGTGTTCGTGCGCCTATTAAACCTATCTGGACATGTTATTTGCCGAGGGCCACCGAACAATCCGAAGTTGCCTACTAAACGGGCGGACGATAGTCGGGATATGTGGGGACGACTTACCTACATTCAGTCGGCCAGAGCACGCTTTGTACCTGTACCGGATGTACATTACATACCTAGAGATGGTCATTACTCAGTCATCCATCAGTAAGTACATAGTAGTACGGGCCTAGGTACGTCGCCAAATATAGCTCTCTCTCTCTCAAAAAAAAAGAGGGGGGGGGCGCGAGTATATTCCGTACTACACCAGCTTCCAAGCGGATCTGATGGTAAGGGGGGGGGGGTTGTACCGTGCGGGAAATCCCCTTTCCTCTTGGACACTCGCGTTTTCTAGCTCACACGATATGTAAGAGTAGCTATATTATATGTACCTAGGTAAGCCGGTACCAGAGGGCAATACGTCGCACGTAGAGGTGAGATGTGTTGTTTCCAAATCTCCTACCTACCTACCCAGCCAGGTAGATAGATACCTGGGATTTAAGGGGGAAGTGACCTCAGGGATCACAGTTTATATCCACGTCAAGCTTTCTTGATACACTGGCACCTACCTACCTAACCTAGGTAGGTATTTATAACCCCCATTAACTCAGCTGTTCGTATATAGGTAATCACAAGCAGCGTTCCGGCCTGTACACATTAGTGGCATCATTGTGGCTAAGCATATCACTCTTCTTGAACATAGCACATATTTGGTCTGTCGTGTGGCATCGATTGTTTGAATATATTTATATTACGCCCCCTAAATCTCGGGCTAAAGTGGTCTCTGCCTACCTCCTACCTCCTAACTACCTACTCTACTGAATACCTAAGGGGGGTGGGTTCTGTATTCAGTGGGCAAACCTATCCATCCCATTGCATACACAAGTTATATCCCCTACCTGATTACTAGCTAGGTATCGGGAATACAACTAACTGGGTGGATGGTTTAGATACTTCTCGTCGGTTTACACCTTCCCCCTTTTCACCTCCTTTCCATCTTCCAATCTTCTCTTCTCATCTCATCTCTTCCCCTCGCCTTCTCTCCTCTCGACTCCAATAAAAAGGAGGCAGTCATACTAACTATCTCTCTATCTCTCTCCCTCTTCTCCCTCAATATTAAAGAATTTGCTTTGCATTTTGTATGGCCGTATCAGCTGGGCTAGCTAGGTTACACATATAGATATGTTTAGGTAGGTAGTGTGTTGTTTACCCAGTAGGTTAGGTAGGTGTACCTAGGTAGGTAGGTAGGTGTAGGGTAAGATAGGGGTAGGAAGGTAGCTAGCTAAACCAACCATCCTATCGACCAACCAACCAACCAGCCAACCAACCGACCAAAATCCAGCGAAGCAGTGTGTGTAGTTGAGCCTCGGTGAAGAAGGTGATGCTTTTATCTCAACCTCGACATAACGACGCGGCAAAACATATCAAAAAAAAAAAAAGCCACCACCACCACCACCACCACCAATTGTGTGCCCCTCCGGTCGTTCCTCTTCCTCCCCCCCCTTTCCTTCCCTTCCTCCTTGATTTGTTTGATTTGAATCCCTAATTCATTAGACCCTATACTATACGGAGCCGACGGAAGTGGAAGTTTCGGGAAGAGAAGAAAATATAAGTAGTTAAAAAAAAAAAAAAGGCAGATGAACAGATGGTTAAGCTCTCGCAAAAACGCCCTAACAAAACAAAAGCAAAAGCGAAAAAAAAAGATCGAAAATGCAAAAGAATTTTCTCTTCTTCTTCTTCTTCCAATCTTCCATGCGAAAGAGTTCGAAGAAGGGCGGAAAAAATGACGAGTCCGTGACATACAAGAAAAGGCGGGATTTCCTTCTTACCGTTCCTCTCCTTTTCCGAAGTCGTTATAAAAAAAGGACAAAAAGACCAGAAGATTGCATCGTTGAGGAATCGTCCAAGTAGAAAAAAGTATAATGGGAGGTAGGTAGGTGATGGTCATCGTGGTAGAGGAGGAGGATGGAAATATAAAAGAAAAGACATGTTGATGGTCATGCAAATGTAGTTCAGGTCATTACTAGAAAGACTCTTTTGTCTCTGGTTTCCCCACCCCCTTTCCCCTTAGCTTGCCTTCTTTCTCACTTCGCGCGTCTTGCTTGCTTGCTTGCTTCCTTTCCGTCGTGGTTTCGTGTCCCAATATATTCATCCTATGTTGTGGTGTCGCGTTGTCATATCGTGCTTCCAAGTTGGGTGTTGTCGTGTTGTCGTGTAATAGTTGTAGGTCAAGAAAATCAAAAAAATTCTTGTTTCTTCTGCTGCTGTTGATGCTCCTGCTTGCTTGCTTGCTGCTACCTCGTCGTTCCTCACAAGAAGTTGCAGTTCCGCTTCTTCTTCTTAAAAGCACGGACGCCGGGGATGCCGCCGCTGTCATGTTTACTTGATTTGCCTTCGTGCGAGCTGCTGCCCATAGACGAGGTGGGCGCGGCAGCCATGGCCATCTCGAGGTTACGGCGGTCGTTGGCGACGACGGTCTGGATCGCTCGGTCGAAGATTTCGTCTACCCCTGTCATCTCCTTGCTACTGCACTCCATGTACTGCGCCCCCATTTTCTTGGCGACTGCCATGCCCTGGTCGCTCGTCACCGGTGTCAGGCCTTGCGTCTTGAGCATCTCGACGCAAGTTTTCTTGTGTCGCAGATCAGATTTCAAGCCGACGAGGACGAGTGGCGTGTATGGACAGAAATGAAGGACTTCAGGATACCACTGTTTTATAGATCGTTAGTCCTTGCCCTAGGGCATCGAGGGTGGAAAGTGGGGAGTGGAGAATGGAGAGGATGAGTTTTAGTGTAGCGAGTAAAGGGGCGGAAAGGGACGGAAAGGGGCGGGGAAACCAACCTTGTCTATAACGTTGTCTAAGGAATTAGGGCAGTCTATGGCGAAGCAGACGAAGATAAGATCGGTCTCTGGGTATGATAGCGGTCGCAACCTATCGTATTCTTCTTGTCCGGCGGTGTCCCATAAGGCGAGCTCGACGGTCTTACCACTCGGTTGGTGAGTCGGATAGGTGATGTAATTTTCAAATACTGTTGGGACATATTTCTATAGACAAGAATAACAAGTGTTAGTTAGACAGATGCGCAAATGGAATCATCAGAGTAATAATTAGAATAAGAATAAGAATAAGAAGATGAAAAATCGGTGAGGTCATACCTCTGGAAAATACCCTTGGCTGTAGCTGATCAAGAGGCAAGTCTTTCCGCATCCACCATCACCAACGACGACGATCTTCTTGGAATAGGCCGGTGCCTCTGTTACATGCGTCGCCGACGAATCTCTACCCGTAGACGCGCTCATGACTGTGCTGACTGTGCCTTCGCTAGACCGCGTATTACGCTCCCCTTTGCCTGTTGATCGTCTCTGAATACCGTTGTCGTACTTCTCGCTCATGGGATGGCTACTTGCACTACCGCCGTAAAGTGAATTGCGATTTTGGTAGTTCGCCATGCTCCTGTGCTGCTGAGCGCTAGCAATGAATGGTTAATGTAGCTTGGTTGTATGAAGTAGTAATGTGTTGTCTTATTCGGATTTATGCTAATAGGGTACTGTGTAAATAGGTAGATAGGTGGTAGGTTCCAAGGCTGCTATCAATGGCTGGCTTTTGATTAGCCCCTCTGAATTGTTAAGTAGGGTACCTTGGAGTTTGGTAGGTTAGAGGTAAAGGTATGTAAGTAGGCAATAGGCGAATAAAATTGATGCAAAGCAGAGAGCCCGTATAATGTTTCGGAGGATGGTGCAATTGGGTGGTGAAGGGTATTTAATTGGAATGTAGGTAAGACCTTTTTTTCTTTTGTGTTTTAATGTCTTCAATGTCTTCGTAGTCGAGGTTCTGGATTCGAGAGACCTTGGGACCTTGGGACCTTGAAGAGAAGCAGGAGCAAGTTGTTAAGAGCCAACAAGAAGGTGGTTTGGGGAGATTGTGGATTTCTTGAGGCTCAGGTGGATAAGCTGGTTGGTCGGTAACAATTGTGCATTTCGTCACAAGTCAATACGAAAGTCAATTGGGGCGTTGATAGGGCAACGGTCAGTTCAAGTCGGTGGACTTGTGGTCGATTTTGGGGTTGTTGTCTACACTAGTGTTGTACTACGTCGTAGTACATACATATGTAGTCACTTTAGTGTGGCTGTTTCAGCTTTGCACAAACACAGCCCCACTCTAATTATCATTATTTATCCTTATCAACACTGGCTCATAGTACAATTTGACCAATAAAAACCATAGAAACCAATGAGAGAGTATGGAAAGCTGCATAATGTTCATAAGCTTGTATGCACTAAACACTGGCTAGATGCAATTTGGATGCAACTTGGACTAAGGCAGCCATAAAGTGCCCCATTTCCCAGATTCCCTCACTGAAAGAACCGCCGGAGCTCCACATCTTCCGAAACTTCAAAAAATCTTAATACACAGAACTACAAATATATAAATTCAATCTTGTCACACTTAAATTCTACTTTTCTTTTCCTTTCCCTTCTCTTCCCTTCTCTTCCTTCTTCATACAACCAACCATTTGTCTCTTCATGATCAACTAGACAAACCTCCTCCAAAAAATCTCAAGATGGTAAATCAAGAGTTGAATCAAAGCAAATACGTAACCTTAGTATCCAGTGATGGCTTCGAGTTTGTAGTGCTTCGTAAAGCCGCCATGATTAGTCCCGCCATCCGTGGCATGCTGGATCCTAAGAGTAAGGGCTTTACTCGTGTGGTTTGAGCATCAAGATGCCAGAGCAGAACTGACCTAAGCTAGGCAAATTCGCTGAGGCACAGTCTGGCCGATGCCACTTTCCAGAGATTTCGTAAGTGAACGTTCCTCTGTTGGTCTCATCCATCAAGCATTCCTTCATCCTCGTATCACCAATGATGAATTAATGAGATATTATCCACTTAACAGACCGTCAATATTGATGGTCTGGATGTATGCAACTTACACTTGATCTGATTTATTTCCGTCCGTCATCAAACTACACCATCACTCCACGCCTAACCTCAGACAGCGAGGCTAACAGGATACACCCAGCGGACTAGTCCTCGAGAAGGTAGTCGAGTACTTCCAATATTGGTACAAGAATAAGGACCGTGAAGAAGCCCCGGAGATGGATATCCCCGTTGACATGTGTCTCGAGCTTCTGACGGCGGCGGATTTCCTTGGTCTTGACAGTATGATTCCCAAACGCACAACTTGTAATAATTGGGAAAACATGTTATTAATGCTATCCTTTCCTAACCTACAGACGCAACCTAACTTCCCACGCGCAGCTACCAATCCTACCTAGGTAGATGAAGTTGGGATTAATCACGAGATACATGGCTAAAGACGGATCGGATATCACGAGGCATAATGGCGTTCCATCGGCGTAACATAACGATACCACTTCAGGATGAGTACCTACATTTGATTTGCAAGTCGAGGAAAGAGATGTTTTGAGAAGGTTAATGAAGACTGATATACATCATGGCCGAATCTCGCTGCCCGCGAAGGTTACAGTCAACGGTGAGTTGAATGAATGCCTTCAGTGACATGTGCCTTGCGGCTCTCTCTTATGCCCCATCTAAGCATATACGTTCAACATTTCACTCCTCCGTGGGTTAAACGTCTATATCAGATGGAAGATTGATTTTATAGTCCCCCTCACTCTGCGTGCCTTGAGTTTCTCTATGAAGATCATGCTTTTTAGGAGGGGATACATACCTATGCACATCGAAATTAATATGTCAGTAACCAGTGGGTTATGCCCACAGTATAATTAATATATTTTGTCGTGAAAAAACGTGCTCCAATTTTACTCGTGATTCTCCGTGTGATTTAAAATTGATTTAAAATGGGTTTCACTGGGTGCCTACTGCCTGTATCCATTGTAAAACGTACATATAACATCGAAACACCTTCCTACGACTCGGGAGTTGAGAATGTATGACTACCCTAGGCAGGCAGGTAGATAGATAGATAGATAGATAGGCCAAGTGCCTAATCAAACTCTTCCCTTGCTTTTGCCTTTGCCCCCCCTCCTGCCATTCTTATAATCGTAACTGCCCTTCCACCCCTTGGTGTTACTGCCATCCCATTCCCTAGAAGGTAGTTTTATATCCATCCTCGGCTCCGGCGGCGGCGGACCTATTCGTTTCCGCTCCTCCCTCTCCTCCTTGGTCGCGTCCCACGGGTTCGGGATGTCGAGGAGCTTGCAGAACTCCTGGGTCTGCGGGTTCGTGTACTCCTCGGGCTGGGTGGCGCAGGTCTTGGGGTCGATGCCGGGGCGGTGCGGGGGCGCGGTGATGGCGAAGTTCTCGGGGATCTTGAGTTTGTCCTGCTCGACGACGTGCTTCTGCACCCAGGCGCGCTCCTTGGCGATCTTCTCGCGGTAGAATTCTTCGCCGAGGTTCACGGGCGTCTCGGCGGTGCGGTCGCCGATGATGATGCTCGGCGCGAAGACGCGCGTGATGGCGAGCCATTCCGGGTCGTAGGACAGTTGGAAACGCCCCCGCCCGGGTAGGGTGGTGCGGATAGTGTGCTTTATCTTTGAGCCGTCGATGGGGGCTATGGAGCCTACTTGGAGGTATTTGCGCCCCGGGAGGCATTTGTCCAAGGCGAGGAAGCGGGTTGTGGTGTTCGTGATGGTGGGGGGCACGGGTTGGCCGGGTATGGGGTAAGTGGGCGGCGGCAGAGGGGCCAGCTTTTGTCTAGTGAGCGCGGCAAACGAGGCAGGAAGCTGTGCACGAAGTTCGTCAGAAACTGTTCCGCTCGCGCTGGAAGCTGCCGGTGGTGGGGGGGCCGTTCCGGTGGGCTGATTAGCTGATGACGGAGCTTCGTCATCTTGATCTAGATCAATCTCGTCCGGATTGGCGGTTGCAGCTTTTTTCGGGACTGGCTGGGAGGCTTTCAACAGAGACTCGTCATCCACATCTAGATCAATCTCGTCAGGATTGGCAGTCAGATCCGACTCCTCATCTGATATAAAAGCTTCAGGCAGAATACCACCATCTATATACTTATGAATCCTCTTCTTTTTCTTGCGCATTTCAGGAATAGCGGGGATTGGCTGGAGATAGTCTATAGGGCCAGGGACACCCTCGATGTCGATGTAAGTCTCCTGCTCCGGAGGCTCGTATTCCTTGATGGCTGCAAATTTGCAATGAAGATGGGCTGCGAACCAGTAGGAAGGCCTTAGTCGATCCATAACATAGGTGGCTGCCGGGTTTCCTAACAACCCATTTTTACTCTCCTGCTTGAAATCCGGCTTTTGTTTAAAAAGTTCATTTTTCCTGCCGTGATTCTCTATGCCACGAGGCCAGTCGTGGCTTAGACCAATGTCTACTGGCTCTCGTATTTGTAATAGCTTGCGAACGTCAATTTCACGCACGTGATAGAATTTCTTGATGTCATCCTCGCTGAAGGGCAGGCGTTCTGTGTGCGGCTTGCGGTAGTCGTAGCCCTTCCAGATGCCGCTCATACCAGCAATGCGCAGGGGGCCGAAGCGGAGAACGTTGGCCATGCCCATGTAATAGATATTGGGTGCAACCCAACCGCCGTAGTACAACTCCCATAAATGGGAGCTAGCTTCGTGGTTTCCATGGACGAAGATGGTTGGATACGGAGCTACCTTTTCGCCGCTGTAGTACGCCGGGAAATCACCCAACTGGCGGTAGCTTTGTGGCACGGACATGACAGAGAGGTCTGCAGCATTGCGAGTGGCCTGAGAATGTAGTTAGACCTTGCTCCTTATAATGCTTGGCATCAAGGTTTGAAAGATTAGATTGACTTACCTGGAAATCTCCTCCAATGATGACAAGATCTAAATAATTCCATTCTCGATGTTTCATTGCGTTAGCCGCAGAGGCATAAATGGCGTCGAGTGTGCCATGACCCTATATGATTTACCAGGTTGAGCAAAGAAAACAGTATAAAAGAATACATCGTAGAGTAGACTTACGCAGCCTTGGACAGCAATTCGAACACCGTCGAGGTCATGTGTAGTATCATCCATGAATGTTTTGTCGCCTTTTCTGTACTTGTCCCAGCTCACCGTGAACGGCGGCTCTGGCTTTTTCTTCTTTATTTTCTTGGGTTTCTTGGGGGGTTCGGTGCTGGATGTTGCTTCCTCTCCGTTTCCCTGTTCTGCTGGTTCTGCTGATTGGGTTGTTTCTGTTGTGTCTGTTGTGTCTGTTGTGGTTGTGGAGTAAAAGTTGGATATAGCAATGCAGCGATGTCTTCTTATACTTGCAATTGCACGTGCTGCTGAGCTTGGAATTGTTCCTGGAATTGTTCCTGCACTTCGTAGTAAGACCTGCCTTCTTGCCAAGGTAGGAAGGCTACCAGGTATTTTCATCATACTTTTTAAATTTACTTATTGATGATCCATTTTCTTTGTTCTGAACCTTCTGAACCTTCTGCTCATCCAATTGCACTTTTTAACCTTCTGAAGGTTCTAAAGTTGGAACATTGAAAAATTGCAAGTTCGAACTTGCAGCACACTGCAATGGCACTGCACAGTGAAAATCTCCAATAGATATCTGAGCCTCTTGTGGCGCACCTCTATAAGTGCATATAGCCCCACAATTCTGATATCTTATCATCAATGATACATGTACTGTATGTACTGTATCTTGAACTTGAACTTGAACTTGAACTTTCTTTTATCTTCATCACTTCTACTACCTTCATCACTTTCACCGGGCCAATCTTGGCCCATTCGAGGACCCTGGTGTTTCAGCAATAGGGAGACTTAGATCTCTTTTCCAATTGTTAGGCGGTTCATTATCCTGGATACCTAGGGTAGGTACCTCCATTCGTACACGACGATGGTGCGTTGTGAACTACGCTCATGCATGTCATCGATGGCCATACCATACCTACCTCTATATTAACTAGCTACTTCTATGCATATCTTGCAAATGACGTTACGCACCTTCGTGAGTACTAGGTATGTATACCTACATAGGTAGGTGCGCAGGCAACTTGGAAAGTAAGTAAATAATTGGAAAATACATAAGCATTACTCACTTAACATCATTGATGTCCTCTGTCAACTTCGCCTATTGGGAATCCCAGCTTCATATCCCCGTACTATAGCCATATTCAACTGCAGTCGTCCAAATTTTGTTATTACGTACATTTAACGAATCAGTTACTATTTCATATCATAGAAAACTATTTAGAGAAGAGAAAAGGGGGGGCGAGTAGTCATGGCAACGCTACTAGTACAAGCACAACCAATGAAGCCATTACTACCGGTGACTCTCGTGGGACGATATTTCTATGCTGGCCACGAGCGGGTAAGTCTTCCTTCGAACCATGATTCATATACTATTTTCAAACTATCACTTGGGTACCTACTAACGATATAACAACCCATAGTTTTTGGTAAATGGGGTTGTGTATAACCCTCATCATATTTGGGATAGACCGGGCGGGCCACCTCCTGATGCACTAGCCGATGATCAAATCGGAGATGTCGAACGCAGTATTCCGCTACTCAAGGATCTCGGCATAAACACAATCTTAGTCTGTAAGTAAGCTGGTCATCCATATTAGTTTCATCTCGCCTCCTGTATAGAGTCGACGAATAAGGAGGCTTACGATAACTACTCAGTTTGCATTGATGAGAACAAGCAACATGATAATAGCATGAAATTGCTAGCTAAAGCTGGCATATATGTGCTTCCAGTAAGTTCATGATACTCTGTTACTCTTGTGTTGAATTAAGCTGCAGTTCAGCTTGATGGGCTTGTCATTGTCAACATCCATATTGTGTACTGGTCGTAACCAGAAATAGTGTCTCACAAGCTTTGGTCACACGATTTCTCCGGATAGCCCAGCCGAATCCTACACGCCGAGGCTCTTGAAGCATTGTCTAGCAGTCGTTGATGCCATGGAAAAATACCCCAACACTCTGGGCTTTATGGCTTCTGTGAATGTGATTACAGATACGGAGAGCACCCGCGCAGCACCCGTCATACGCGCCGTCGTTCGCGATGTAAAGAAATACTTGGCTCTCCTCTCTGCCGTCAAAAAGCAGAGACTCATTCCAGTTGGTATCAGCGTACGAGATGTGTATCCCTTGAGGAAGCTGCAATTTGAATACTTTGCTGGCGGGGGTCCTAAGGAGGCTATTGATTTCTTCTCGGTGCGTACTCTACTTGGGCTAGTTTAGGATGGGGTTTATGAATAACAATGACTGACCTCTATACTATGCTAGCTCGAAAACTTCTTGTGGAAAGGAAAATCGACAATGGTAGAGTCCGGGTATCAAAATTTAATGCATACATACTATACAACCCATGTTCCGGTCTTCTTCTCCGAGTATGGAAACAACGAAGTTCGACCGCGCCTCTTTAAGGAGACGATCGAAATGTTGACAAACCCAACTCTACTAAATGTTTTCTCGGGCGGCATCGTGCGCGAATTCTTCAACAGCCCTAAGCAGTACGGCCTCATTGAGCGGGTCGATAACCCCGTGCTCGCCAGGGTTCGTTTTGAGAAGCGTGACGAATTTCGAAGCTTGAGATGGAGCCTGAAAAACTGTTATGGCCCATATGTCTGCCGAACCCTAGACCTCGACGAGCTCCAGGGCCGCATCGTCCCCACTGCTGGCAACATCCGATTCTCAACCAGCAGGTTTGGCGTGAGGCCCGACATACCTCCGCAGAGCAAGATCTGGCTGGCCACGTGGAAGATACCGTTCTCCCCCTTGGACTGGGGAAATATCAAGAGCAAGGCACTGCAGCAGGAGGTAGATGACGAGGAGTGGAATGACGTCGCGGTTTTGCCTGCCGGGGAAAATGATTGGGTCGATGTTGCTGAGGAGTATGGCGCCCCCTGATGGTGAAGCTTGTTGCCCTGGTGCTGGAGATATCACATATACCTAGATCCTAGGAAATGTGGCCGACTGACTGACTGGCTAGCTGGCTGGCTGGCTGGCTAGTTGGTTGAGTTGGAGAGCGAAAAGCTTTTTGGGTTGAGGGTGGCATTACGATACATAGCGATTTTTGCATACATTAGGGAGCATTTCTTGTACAGTAGCCTCATCACGGCGTCTTAGCACAGCGGGTTGATTAATAGTACTTAATTCAATAATAGTTCCTGGTTATTGCAGGACAATAGTTTGGACACCCTTAGATCTCTTGATATAGGTGTATCTAAACACCCCTTTTCTTCACAGGGGAAACATGGAGTTCACGATTCTTAAAAGTCAAAAAGAAGCATGGCAACTATAAAATCACTTTTGTAAATTCTCCAGTCGTGGCTCTAAACAGGTATCTTTATCTTCATGCTAAATCCCAAATCCCAAATTCCGCCCCTTGCTGAGACAAGAAGGACCGTTAGCTAGTACCGTTGATCTCGGCAGTGGTAGTTCCATTCGTGTTGTTGCTGTCCTGCTGGTAGTTCTCCACCTTCATATCGTTGAGGCCGAGGTCCTCCATCTCCTCCTCCGTGCGCTCGTAGTCCTCCGTCGTCATCTGCGGGTCCTCTTGATCGGGATCGACGGCCTTCTGAACGTAGCTGCTTGCCATGGGGTCGGTGAGGATGATGGTGAATTTCTTCTCGCCCTTGATGGCGGCGTCGATGCCCTCGAAGAATGACTTCCATTGCGACCGCTGCTCGTTGCTCAGGGAATCGCCTCCTTCGGACGAGCCGGTCTCGAAGATTTGGCTGTGTAGGTCATTTCGCACTTGCGTTAACAGACCTTCGACAGTCGTGAATCGACCTCCCAGCGTTCCTGGGTTTACCTGAAGGTTGAGTTCGGGACATTCGAGCGCGCAGCTCTCGCTCTTTAGGATGTCTCGAGCAAGATCCTCTTCGTTTTCGACTCTCAAGGTGATCTTCTTGCCTAGATCTGGTACTGCTCCTCCGGTCTTCACGTCGTTGGATCGATACCCACACTCAACACAGGTGGTCGACATCAATACAACGGCTTTGAAATGTGGAATATCCACCATCTTCATCTTCGTCGTGCAAGGGTGCATACACCCCGGACATGTAGCTGGGAATTCATATACCTGGTCCGGGATGATGTCATCATCATCCGTGAGCAGACCAGTGCCTGCGGCCGGATTTGTAGCTGCGAGACCAAGAGCCTCGTTTTGCTCACCGGTGCGCACATATTCGTGCTTCTCCCATTTGCCAACACCATCGCGCATATTCGGGGTAATCCAAGAGTTTCCAGCTGGGTCGTCCACCGAGAGTCGGAAAGGGAATGCTTGACCAGCTAGCATTGCTCGCCCTTTCTTAATTATCTCGTCGATCTTGGTATATACTTCTGGCGCTTGTTCTTTTCGTGCCTCTTGTCCAATCTCTAAATCATCTACTATCGTAGAAAGAAGTCCTTCTACGTTCGTGAATTGGCCGCGACCAGCAGGGACTTCGAGGTCAAGTTCGATGAATTTGACAACAGCTGTATCCGACTTAATGACGGATCTTTCGAAATCACCCATCTCGGTCAATCGCAATATATAGCTCGAGCCTTTGGGTTGGATGGTGCCAGCGGATTGCATCTCGGAGTTGGCGAAGCCGCACTTTTCGCAAGCAAAGGACATAAGAATGACTTCGCGGAAGTATGGGATGGAAGTTAGAAGCATGCGCGTAATGCCCTGTAATTAGATTAGTATAGGAATCATATAATGATAGTTTAGTTATATGAGTATTCATTGATGCTTACATTCTCATGGCAGTTCATGCACAGCGACTCGATTTCCTCAACAACCTTTTCATCATCGTCGCCATCGGGATGCGCAACACCATTAGTTCCATTGGTAGTGGTCGCAAGTTGCCCTGCTTTCTGGCCGATCGACTCGAAGAAGTCGGTTGGTGTAACTTTTGTGACGGTTCCTGGTGCTTCAGATGAAGACATTTTTGGTGATTTGGTTATTTCTTCTTTTAATTCCCTTTTTTTTTTTTCTTTTTTTTTTGGTTCAAACTGTATATTGTATGTTGATTTTGTTGAAAAAAATAATAAAATAAATATTGTACTTTGTATCGGGAATTCGATTCCTGTTTGACTCAAAATTTTGGAGGGGCAATTTGCAGTTTGTCGCAGTAGCGCGGGGTTATGACATGGGCCATGGGCTTATCAATAAGCACCCGGCCGAGAAGCTAGTGGTGCCCAGGTGGCTAGTGCAGTCCCTGTTAGAAAGAGCTCGAACCTCCCACGGTTCGCTCTACGGCTCGGTCCACGGCAGCTGCCGTAAGCATACCACTGACCAACGTACCAAGGTAGTATTCCCCTTTAAAATACTCTACATATGTCATGAACCAAAGTTATGGACAAAACCTATCCAGGGGGGGTTTTCACTTCATCATAAAGTCACTCAGACTTAGACCAAGTCCATTCTGAGGTTTAGACGACTGAGCTTGCTGAAGTAGAGCTTGAAGACCTTGCTTTCTACTCTTGGCTCTCTTCTTGCTGCTAGCATTGGCAGAAACCTTGGGTGGCTCGGTTAGGGGAGCAGCAGATGAATTCGTGTGAACGGTACTTGAGGTAGAAGGTTTTGACTTCAAAGGACGTCGTTTGGATATAGGGGCTGCTGGAGGGATTGAAATATCGGTGTATCGACTGCACATCCCACAGGTGAATCGTTTTCGACAACCAACCTTCTTCTCTCCAGGGTTTTTGAGATTGAATCTCTTCTTCTCCTTTCCCCTTTTATGGATAGCCTTATTCGTCTCTATCTTGAGCTGGCTACCTTGACCGGAAATCATGATATGACCACACGCGCCGCAAATGTGTTGTCTCTGTATGTCGGACTGCTCTAGCTCATGATTGAACATGAGCGAGTTTCGTTGGGCTATAAGATAAGCCGAAGTCTCGGGTGCTGATTTTGTGAGAAGATGCGCGGCATCTGTGAGGAAGCCGAGACTCTGAGGGAGATTCTCACTTTCCATCGTGAGATGTAATATGTTGTAGTATACTAAACTGAGAGTTATGTTTTTCGATTTGTCTTAACTTAAGCCAACAAGGTACTAACTACTAGTAGGTAGTAGGAGAAAACTAATAAGAGACCCACTAAATCTCCGAGATAAACGAGTATCTAGACCCCTGATATTTCAATATTGCTGCATATATCGATTACCTAGTAGGTAGTCCTGCTTATACCGTATAGTCACATATAGTTATACTTTATCGATTTAGCGGCTAAATCTCCTGTGGTTAACAATTACCATGACAGTATTGAATTCATAACACACGTCTTCATCTCAAAAAGCACGATTGCAATGATCATGCATAGAAGTGGAGATGATCTCTCAAATTTTATGCTCTTGTAGTATCAGTGCTGCTGAAGCCCAAGATATAATTTTCTAAATCTAGCTTCTACATCTACGCGCCATCTTTCACCGACAAATACTCGCTTGTAGGCCTCAGAGGTAGCTTTGCAGCCGTGTATGCCATGTCAATCATCTTCATACAATTGATCGATTCCTCGCCGCTCACCCATTGCTTCACCTCTCGCCCGCGAACCTTGTTGACGAACTGTTCTAGTTGGTGTCGATAAGTAGCCCAGTATACCTCACCGGGCTGATCGACGCCAATCTCCTGGAATGTAAAAGCATGCACTTGCTCGCTCTTCGTCCACTTTTTAATATGTCCGGCCGAGTCACCAATCTTCCGTAGCGTGAACTCATCGTCGATATGGATGGTGTGATGAATTACGGGCAGAACAAAGTTGTGTAACTTCAGCTTCCGCGTGCGCACGACTTCTTGACCTTCGGCCACCTCAATGTTGGCCTCTGCGCCCGATACTACGGCTGGCTTGAGCACCACATCAATCTCGACTGCTTTATTCTGATCCTCTCCTTCAGGCTTGAGATCCCCCTCCATCTCGCCAAGGCTGCCGCCCGGAAATCGATAGCGCGCCTTATACCCACGGTCGCATCGCGAGTCAACATCCGAGAGCACCGGAGTACACTCCTCACACTTCTCCGGTAAGCCACCAAAGATATGCACAAGGGCACTCGCGGTGTATGCGCCAAGATCTAATAACGCGCCGCCGCCAAGCTCGTATCGGAAGCGGATATCGTCTTTGGCAATTGTAACCCATGAGGGAAGATATAGCTGTGACTTGGCACTAGCAACCTCACTCGGTTTGATGTACGACATGAATTTGATCCAGGCCGGATGAAAATACGGATGAGATGCTTCGAGAAGAACCGGCGCTGTGGGACCGGCGAGAACCGGATTGTTAAAGAGCGCCTCGGCTTCGGTGGCATTGTTCGTTGTCGGCTTCTCTAGAAGTACATGCTTGCCAGCTTTGAGAGCGCGTAGAGCCCACTCGAAGTGAAGTCCATTAGGTAAGGGAATATACACGCAGTCGATTTTTGGGTTATCCAGTAGGTCTTCGAAGGACCGGCGCATGGTGGATTAGCTTACGATGACGGATAGTTACCCAGAACTTCTCACCTTGGTAGGATCCGACCACTTCCGGTATCTTGTACTTTTGCGCATAAGCTTTACCAGCCTCAACGTTCCGTGTGGCCACAGTCTGAATCACTATGTCTGGATGATCTGCTGACGGGTTGATCAAAGCATTCGGCCTATGCAACAGATATTAATTCCCAAGTCCGAAAAGTTACCAGTGCTAGGAGGGTAGAGAGAAACTAGAGCGACAACCTACGCAATCTTTGCAGCACCAAGAATTCCAAAACGAAGAGCTGTTGCTAACTTAGGCACCTCGGGCGGACTGTTAATTCGCGGATCTTGAACCTCGAGAGCGTCAAAAGTTGCCATTGTAAATGTTGATATCGAACTAAACGTCAAATCCTTGAACTGGGAATAAAGCGCTCTGGTTGATGTAAAAGATTGATGATGATCGAAGTTCGGTGAGGTGTCGCCTTTTATGTTAGTATTACGCCTGTGTATTAGTCAATCTGCAGCTCTGAGGCGGGTGACTAACCTCCATATACGGGGCGGATGTTTTTCATACATCCCGATTCCGAAATCAAGTATCATCCGCCCGAGACTAATTGCTGACCAGACCTAGACAACGCAAAGGATCGATCGTGTCATATCGGTAGTATTGCCTGGTACTGAGCAGTTCCAACGAGCCAATGCATGGTACCGACTGAAAAAAAGGAACGTTATGCATTAGTTACGTCTTCTATTTGTACTGCTGTCCAATAGCAGGCACCAGCATTGATGCATACAGAACGCCTTCGATGCGAGGAGCCGAGCTGCAGTGGCCTCGTGAACTTCCTAAGGCCCAAGTTACTATGTACAGGCCAACTACTAAACAACGCTCACTTTGACAGCCGAAAGGATCAATTCAACAGGTTCGGCTTGCGCCCAATTTATTTACAATGCTATCAGGTATCCAAGCATCCAGTCATGAGCATGCAGTGTCTTTGTCCTCAAACGCTTTCCTCAAACTCCTCCAATGCGAAGGTATTATTCAATCACCATACAGAATCTGAATCTCATGCGTCACGCATTTATAGAATGCCACCAACAACACCGAGAACGGTGGGAAGAAGTCCCTTGAGGACATTTTGCAGAAGACCAACGACGTTGTTCACCTGGATGTTGAGGTCGCCGGTGATGTTGGCAACAGCGCCAAGGGCAAAGCTGATGAGGGGCTTGACGGCGGGCTCGACGCTGGAGAGCAGGAGCTGGAGCTCGGGCTGGACGGCTTGCAACTGATCTATTGGCTTATTAGCATGATACCGGACCGGCTGTGGAGCGGAATATCACGTACCTTGACCCAGGTGGCTGATAACTTGTTGGACGGTGGACTGGATGTTGGTGGTAAGGCCGAGAACGTTCTGTAGGAGGACCGGGAGACCTTGGAGTTCAGCCTCGACGAGGTTAAGGGTGCCTTGGTTGACTAGAGGCCCAACAACGCTGACGATCTGGTTGACATCGCCGACGATGGCTAGGATCGTTTGCTCAAGCTGGGGAACCAGGTTGGTTGTGACGGTGACATTAAGAGCCAGGTTGACTAAGCGTCGTTAGTTTGTGCGCTGCGAAAAAGGCCATCCCGGAATATGGAACTTACGGAGAGACTTTAGTTCGACATCGACAACGGCCTTGGTGTTCTCGATAGTGGTGGAGACAGAGGCAAGGATCTCAAGAGCACGGGGCTCGGTTTGCTGGACAGCAGGGGCGGCAAAGGCAGAGCCTAAGGAGAAAGCAGCGAGGGCGAAGCTGGAGAAACGCATTGTGGCGGTCTGGTATGTGTGTTCGGGGGGAATCCGATATTATTAGGTAGGCGTATAATTAAGCTGAAGAGCTCGAAGCAATCAAAGAATGACTGAGTTGGAAATTAGAGAAAGACTGAGTGAGAGACACTGTAAGCTGATCTTGGATGGGATGAGGAAGCAAGAACAAAAACTTCCCGAAGGAGTAGAGTGGTGATGGTAGATATATACCTGCCGGATCACCAGCGCAACCACCAGCGCAACCCCCCCCCCCCCCCCCCCTGAGTTTCTGCATTCATTTGGGCCTTGTCGATTCAACGACCACCCACTCCGGCGAGTCTAAATTTCCTTCCGATGTCGTCATCAACGTCAGGGGAGGAGAATAGGGATAGACATTTCCCGCCTCTCTGTACAGTTCATGAGGGACATTTAGGTAGGGACCCTTGGCAACATGGATCGCACGTGACGGAATGGATACCAAGCGGTTGGACATGTTGAACTGGAGGAAGCGTCGCAGCGTCTCATTGAGGGGCTTGAAGTTGGACGTTGTGTGCCAGTGTGCTGAGCAATGTCCAAGTGGGAACCATAGACCGTGCATGGTAATCCATTGCCGCGGGTCCCTACCCGAGCGCATTGTCAACGCATGGGTTTTACATTGGTAGAAGAGTCGATCACAATGTTGCTTCCCTGCCGCCATACCGAAAAGTCCCTTTACCTAGTTGCTAGAGTTCGGTATACCAAAGCAAGCGTATGTTGCCAAGCGGGCTACCGTCTGGTGGTTTAGAGGTTCTCGGCCAAAGATGCTCAACTAACACTACGGAATATTCTTGACAGCTTCTATGGTTCTCACAGGTCTTTGGAATGTTCCATAGTCCCCTATACGATGAAGTTGGGCACGAGTCGAACCTCGAGTCTGCTTCAACCTAGAGGGAAAAAGACTCCTCCAAGTTAATCTAGATTTAGCGTGTATATTGTAGATCGAAGAGGGAAAAGAGCTATGCTGATGATTATCAAACCACTAAGTTTGTCGATCCCAACCTGTTCCTACGGCCTTTAATATGGGGAGGATAGATAGGTTATGCCAAGCGAAGGAAGAAGTTTGCATTAGCACAGCTATTAACTAACCTAACAGCCTGGGATTCTAGGAATCTAGGACCCCAGGTATGTGCCCAGGTATGTTGCTTGACGCCTTGCATGCACGTGGTTGATACCGAAGTTTCACAGGATGAAGATGGGTTATGGGTTATGAGATGGGTTCATTTATTGTCAGGATCATGCGCGAGTTGTTACGATATGCAGGAACATAATTACATAGTAGTATGGTCGCTATATAGTACGAGCCCTCCAGGCTCAGGATGCTTGCTGTCGTCTACCAGTCATTCGGCCTTGTTTAGGTGATCTCTCAACTAAACGGGGAGGCTCCGTCCGACGAGGGTTGAATAGCCCTAGATGGTTACGGAGAAGGAGAAGGTGTAATATCATACTAATAATATGTAATATGTAGGTAGTATAATGAAGTTAAGCGCGGAAATGGGTTTTCAGATCACAATAATATTGAATATTGAAACGCTCGTACGAATAAGATAATGCAATGCGAAGCACTGCGCATTAGCTTGAATAGCTTGAATAGAGATCCCTATGAACCCTATGAATTTGTTTTTTTACGTGAGATGGGTATAACATGATGTCATTTTGAGATTCTAGGATCGAATAAGGGTACAATAAACTCGGGATACCCGATGTCACCATAGTAAACAAGAATTAGGTAAGGTATTCTGGCTAGGGGATCACAACAAGGGGGGGCTTGTCCTTGAAGTCCCCAACCCCTGACCACCCACACATGGCACACATACACTCGGTATACATTGTACATAGGACCTACACACACTAGCGACTAGCGAGCTTAGCGAGGGTCGACGACGACGACGACGACGTCGGAGGTCCTACGCCGGCTCCTACGTGATGAAAAGAATTCTCGGTTAAGCGAAAATTTCCGAGAACCCCGAAAGTTGGAAGCTGAACAGACAGGGCTTATACCACAACCTTGTAGCATAGCCCTTCAGGGCCCTGAAGCGCTGAAGGCCCTGAAAGAGATGAGATGGCTGTCCGAAAAGTTATCCACTGTGGCCGCGGTCTGTGCCAACACAGATTCCTCGACGATAAGCTGACATGGCGAAATAGCAATGTCGTGCAGAAAATACGTATGCAAATAAGTACCCTGTCAGTTCGTTAGGCAATATACCCAGATACCCTAGATCATGAATAGGCTTCTGCCTATGCTGATTTACCTCGGGGATGGTGTTCTCGAGAGGGCATCGTGAGGATCATGAGGGGAAAGATTCAGATTCCTGCTTTGCTGCCCTCGTTATTCTCATTTTAATATGTGGATACTTAATTCTGACATACTGGTATGCTATGTTATGTATGTATGTATGGAGGTGAATGCTAATTCCGACTACGGCTCCTTCAAAAAAAAACTACTGCATATGTAATTTGCAGCTTGCGTTGCTCCGCGTAGTTATTAGGTTAGTTGATAATTCCCACCGAACAGGTATGTATTGTATTGTACGTACGCCGTAAATGCATGCATGCGTACAGCGTGCCTACATACGTAGCAATGCCTCGCAGTCCAACACAACATGCAGTTGGTTGTTTTGTTTTTCCCTATACACCAAGACTCTTAACTATCTCCCTTCATTCCGTCGATAATGAGGGTAACCAGATTCAAGGGATTGGTCATTTTTATTTTTTTAATACCCATTTGCCGGTGTTTGCATGCGAGGGTTTGTTGAAATTAATTGGTTTCAGGGCTTTCTATGCAATCTCTCTTCCAACAAAATTCCAACAAAAACCACCGTAGGTAACTATCGTCAAATCTTCTTAGCAATATCAAGCGTAGATGATACCATTGACAACGTCGTAAGGGGACATTGAACTTCAGCTGTACTGGTATTAACAGCAGTGGCTGAGTTCGTGATCAAACATCAAATAGCCTCATCGCACTTAAACAGTGTTATTCTATACATTCCACGACAGCGCGCACGTGTCAGCTTTTTCGTTGATCGCATTTATGATTGATTGGAATCCAACTTACTTACCTAGGTTAGTACATACTTACTTATCTTGCAGTAAGTTATTTCGTTTTTTCATTCAGGCCAGCATAGTTAACATTCCCTCAATTCAATTTCATTATGACTGCTCGCAGGATTCTTCATTCATCAAACAACCCCTCGCTAAACGTTTCGCGCCGCGTAGGGGCTTTCGCGTCGCTAATACCTACAGTAATAGCTTTCAGGGATCGTTTTCAATTAGGCCCATAGCGAAGGGGTTGCTAGTAAAAAAGGGTCCCATTTGGACGCGAAGTGGTGAAACAACATCGTTCGATAACTAACCTGCTCTGCTATCCGAAAGGTTTCGTTTGACTTGGTATTCGCCTGGAGGTAATAATAACTAGCAAGAGCAGAGAATTTTGCTTTTCTGTTTCATTTTTTGTTGTTGTACCAAACTTCACCATCTAGGACTTCTGGGCATACCTATTAACCTAGGTAGATGTTGGCAAAGTTCTTTTTTGATTGTCATTAGTTAAATGGCAATCAGGCTGAATTCGATATTAATTGGAATGCGAAACGACAGAGAAATAAGGAATTGGTCATCTTCATTACCTCTTCATTTTACTCGGCCGAAAGATAATTATCTCTCATCCAGTATCCAGTCTTACAAACCAGAAGACAATATCACAATGATCTACATTAGGGTCGCTAGTCTAGAATATCAACTTCTATACCGATCTACCATTATCCTTTCTACCGAAAGGAGTAGCCTAGATAGTATGATGTCATTGGGCTGAGGTCAAGGAGATGGCTGCTAGATGGCTAATGCGGAATCGGGCCTTCAGCCTTCAACCATGAGTTGATGTGTGATCGGCGAAGGTAAAGACGATAGCTTCACCATGGTTCCAAACTTCAATAGTAGCGAACCACCCTTCCCGCTACAAATAAACACCTGAACCTCGACTTCTTTCCCCCCCCTTTCGCACATCAATACCCGCTCAGAACTAATATAGAAAAGTGGTCTTGACAACCCATCTTGTCGGAACTACGATTCCTCTCCCCACGGCCCGACTCCTGGCCCCTTAAGCAGTCTTCCCCCTTTCCACACCCATCCGATCGTCGCCTTGTCTTGTAAGACCTTCACGTCCTCTACCGCATTCTTGAACAGCCCCAGAATGTCGGCCTCATATCCGACCTTCAGCTGGCCCGTCTTCGCCGCCTGAGCTCCAACCGTAAGGGGGCCCATTGGCCGTAGCGGCCTTGATCGCCTCTAGGTTGCTTCAGCCCGGCCTGCACGGCGTAGTCCAGCTCCATCGCCATGTTGAACCCCGGCGACGTGGCGATCGGCACGCCGGCCAGCGAGTTCTTTCCACGCACAGCTGCGCCTTCTCCCACTGCTGCTGCCACGACAACCCCCTTTTCCGCCCGCCCGACTACAGCAGCAGCAGCAGCTCCACGATCGTGCGCGTCGCGATGCAGACGGTCCCTTTCTCCTTGATGCACTACTACTCCGCATCCGCGAATGACACGTGCTCCACCGTCGCCGCCCCGGCTTCCCGTGCACATGCGCAGCGACTCTGGCGCACCGCAGCTCCTCGGGGCTGAACTGCGTGCGCGCCTCCCCCCCCTTAGCACAGTCGAAAGCAGGCAGCGCAAACACGTCCCCGTGCCCCTCAGACACGCGCCCGCGCCGTACACGTTCGGCCCCGACGCGAGCGCGAGCACGACCTCGCACCCCGCGGGCTGGTGCTAGTCGCGCGCCGGAGGTGGCTGGGGTGCGTGGGTGATGATGAAACTTGGCGAACTGTCCCCGCCACACCGTCGGGGGTTAAAGAAGAAGGAAGGACTCGCCGCCAAAGTGCACGTGGCAGTCCCACCCACAGCCCCGGCATCAAGGAACGGCACGGTGCGGCGCGGCGCCGAGGTGCTCCGGGCCGGCCTACGCGATTAGTGAGACGGAGATGACGAGGGTGGCGTTGGGGGGGGGGGGGGGGGGGTTGTGGTTGTGGCTGTGGTTGTGGGGTTGGGTCTCGGGTCATTTTATTTGCATTTGCATGCTTTCGTGTAGGTAGCCTTCACTGCGCGCATCGTTGACGTAGTGTAAGTATGGGGGCTGTGGAGAAATGGGTGTAGGTGATAGGTAGGTTAGTGTGAAGTTGAAAATATCCGGCCCGGCGCGATAGAGCGGAGGGGTAAGCATCGGTCTTGCGGCCGGACGACCAATACGGAAGGTAGGATGGTTCATTGGACCTTTGATGTGCATGTGCTAGTCCGGCTGGCTATAGGTAGGTACCTAGGTAAGCATACCCAGATAGGGTCATACATAGATAGGGGTAAGATATTATACTCCTAAAGGAGCGAAGATACCTAAGTATGACCGCCTTGATGAGTTTGAGGAATGCAATGAATAGTAGGTTAAAACTATCAGTGAATGCTACGCTACATAGTACATCAGCTGTTCTTGCAATAAGTACTCTAAACGTACTCTTCGGTTTGTATAGATACTGTTATCATACTGTCGTATTGTTTCCAAGCTACACCCCACATACCTAATACATAGCTATAGCACAAAGCTATGTGATTAATACAGTAGATTCAGGGGCTACGTAAAAGGGGAATCTTTCTCGGTCAGACAAAGAGAGTATGAGTTGGAGTTACAATGTCTTTGACTTCTACTTGTTGGGTCATTGTTCTCAGGCAGGAAAATCATGACGAGTCCCAGAAGCCACATCTAAGTATAAGCCATGTGAACTCCATCATGTGTTAGCCTATAGTAGATCGCTAGCACGGTAAATTGTCATTATGGACCAAGATAACGAAAGTAAGCCGGCAGGATCGTCATATACTACACACAACGCAGAAATATCACCTACAAAGCCAAAGCCGCCATGTGCTTTGTGCAGGCTTCTAAACCGTCTTGAGTGTACACATCTCACAGCGGAAGAGTGCGCAGAACTGAAACCCTCGAGAGTATTAAGGTCGGCTTATTACAAAATAATTCAAGTCTACGAATGCGGACATCTGTACCATGGCGTTCGCCGTGTCCCACGTGGAACAGACGGGACGAGAAAGTCCCAGAAGGGTATGTGTCCTAGGTGCTGGAACCTGCTGGTGTGGGATGGGAGGGAGGTTCGTATAGGTAAGCCAGAGGGTGGCGTACGTGCTGTCCGACGTGGTAAGAAAGCCCAGGTTGCCGAAATGCCGCCTAAAATAGCAAAAGGGGTCATAAGGAAATGGGTTCGGCGAGGCATGATGATAGGCCAGGCTGAAGCGAGTGGAAAGAGATCGAAATTATTCTAGCTAGGGGGCGGTAACTTACACAAACTGTCATGCTATTGTCATCTTTAAATAAGTCCTGGAAGTAACATTTTGAGTCATGCTAGGTAGAAATTAAGAAACAACAATCTGTTAGGAAACTGTTTTGATAATCGTTTCTGTCACCTGCTAGACAGTACCGTCCAGTCAACGACAAGTATACTTTCCATTAAAGACTGGCCGAGATTGTATTGTGGTTGGCGACGAGAATGGGATAGAACCTGGGGGAGACAATGCCACTTGGTCAAAGAGCTATAAAAATAAGGAATAACGTCTTAGATATCTTAGGTACCTAGTCGAGGCAACTAATACTTCGTAATCTTAAAGTCTCATAGCTTACATACATACCTTAGGCATTTGTTGCGAATAGCTTCAATTATGGAGAGTAGTCTAATAAAGGGGTTATATAAGTCTGGCAGGTAACAAAAAAACTTGTAAAACTCCTAACAGGTTACTTCTTTTTCAATCTTCACCTAACATAGCCTTTTATTTCAATCACAAACGTTTAGACATCCTCTATGCTTGGATATACCTATATGACTCTTAAAGTACCTAAACATACGGGGGCAACAGTCATAACCTTAGGCGATACGAACACCGTACGAACAAGCATATTGGACCTAGGGAAACAAGGATACAAACATCTATACCATTAGCATATTTAAGACTTTTCACCTTCTCATTTCATTTTCTACGATAAATCGATTCCCAGCGAGTATTAGATACCCTCCACCCGTATCTAAGAACTTAATTAACCTAGCAACGTCGTGAGCCTTGTCATCGCTCAGGTACTCAGACACATACCTACACATTTTTGCTTGTCTATTTAGAGGGGGCCGATATGGTTTCCAAAAAGCTAACAATCCACTCCTTGGAGGATCCCGAACATCCTAATATCCACCTATCCAAACAGAACAGCGAGGCGCTGTTCTTCAGCAAGATCCCGCTAGATGTTCGTAGTGCTTTTTATTATCTCTATCGATTTCTAAGTGCCTAAGACATTAATGCTTACTCATTTCCTAGATTCGCTTACGGATTTACGACTACGCGGTAGCTTACGACGGATTTATCATACCTGTACAGGTCAAACCCCGTTCAAATAAGTTTGTTTGGGATTCTCGTCAACATCGTTCGTTCAAGCCTCCTAAGGCATTATCTGGTGCTAATGTGCCTCCCTTGACGGTTGTTTTGCTTGGTAGAACTTGCCGAAGAATATATGCGGAACTGGAAGCATGGCCTGTCTTCTATCGGGTCAACACCTTCCTGTTCGACACCTCAAATATCATTCCATACTTGGCGGCTATAACTCCTGAACGACGACGAGCGATCCAACATATTGATTTGAATGGCTTGGTAGACCGTATCACCGTTTGGCCTCCAATCAAGACCGCTTGGGGAATTCCCTTGAGTCAGTACAGCAAAATGCAGCACCATATCATGACGCTTTTAGCTCAGTGCTCTAATCTGCGGGAAGTACGACTGAATGTGAGAATCCCCCTGCGTATGCTCGAGGAGAATATCTTGAAATTAGGAAGCGAGTTACCGGATCTCATCAGGCAACCGCAAGAAATCCCATTGCTATTAAATCGACATTATCTACGACTCAACTTAGTTATGATACCTGGCCCTCGCGATTTTATCTTGGGAGACCCAACCTCTGATTTACCTTCGAGCTTGCGATTGCCCGGCCATCTGGGCCCAATGGATATTATACCTGCAGTGACGAAGATTCACGAAGCTAGTAAGAACTTCATGTTCTATTTTGTGAATATCTCGTTTCGAAATTTCTTTAGAGAAGAGTACTTACCTATAGAGAATACTGACCTTCGAACGTTATAGTCCTCGCGAATACTGACCTTTGTACGCTGTAGTCCTCGAGAATATCCGCCGCTTCAACCATGAACATGACCGTTTAGAAGTCATCGATCATGCGGCTAGCCAAGCTCAATTACTCGACGCTATCAAATATGCAGACCTATATTTCGCGGGAGAGGATCGCATTCATCTTGATCCATACAACACCGTTGTCCAAGGACCTGTTTCGAGTCGAACTCGGCGCAAATCCCACTCCGTCGACCATAAATTGGGCACCATCGAACGCAAGGTACCTACGTTCACTATAGATGGGCTATTGACCTGGGACTACGGGTCGTACACTGTGGAGCAGATTGTATGGGATCAATTACAAGAATCCGAGGTGAATTGTGGGCTTCGCCGGAAAAGGAGCGTAAGGCCAACTGGTTCTGACCTGTGCTGGGTGCCGCTCCGCGCTATGATGACCAGAGTAGGCCAAAAGTCACTGCAAGAATGGTACAAGGCACAGATAGATCCGTCACCCGACCTCGAAGGCCAACTTCAGCTAATGTACGACACGCCCTCCCCTCACGACGTAATGAAAATCGTGGATGTCAGAATCGCCATTAGGGATGACCATGGGGCAGATTCCCCTTCGCGGGAGAGTAAGAAAGTTCTTGGAGAATGGAAGCGCCTAGTGGCAAGATGGGCCCGACACTTGGCCACCTTGCAGAGAAGGGTGGCGGATAAAAGGAGTAAGGAAGAGAAAGCTAAGGAGAAGAAAGCCGAGAAAAAGGAAGTCAAGAAAAAGGAAGCGAAGGGGAAGAAAGCCCCGAAGGCTACTGGTAGCGGAGGGAAATAAGATATGTGTGTTTTTGGGGTGGATGTATGTAAAGGCACTTTGACTGCATACGAGACAAGTGATTACTATGGGTTTCTCTACATTCCGCAACTTACACTGCTTGCTCTACGCGTAAATCTGAGTCTCCACTATCGACTTTTTCCCTTTCCTGCCACTTGCTACTCCTCCCATTCGCAAGTGACACCTTTAAAGGCCCTCCGAGAAACTCTGTGCCGTTAACGCTTTTCAAAGCCTCTTCAGCTTCGTTCGACGTGGCGAAGTCGACAAAACAATAGTCGTGACATCCTGGTTTGGTGCGCGTTGACTCGTGGGCGGAGACCCTTTTGCTGATCGCCTCACTACGATGTATGTATTAGTAAATTGCAGAACTTCTTGTACCGTAGACAGTGAAGATGATAATGACGAAAAGGGGGGAAGGCTAGGAGAACCAGAAACTCACACTTTATAATCCTTGAACAACTCGGTCATCTCCGCAAAGTTGGTCGCCTGGTCAAGCATCCTAGGCAAGCCACCCACGTATAAACGCTTGCCGGTGAAATCCTTCTGGTACCTGAAGGCCGACGATACCACATCGTCCTCTCCCTCCAACCGGCCCCCCCGAACCCTGTCTCTCCCTCTACCACCATCAGCACCGCCACCATTCTTCCTCTCCGACCAATCGCCCCAGCGACTCAACCCCTCACTTCCCCCCTGGCGTCCAGCACCACCCGCCGACCCCCCACCACCAGCACCAGCACCACCACTCTGCGCCCCCTTCGGCACGCAAGGCCGACACTTGAGCTCGCGGCCCAGCAACAGCTTGCCCTCGAGCGTCTCCATCGCGCTGGCCGCGACCTCCTTGTCGGCGAACTCGACGAAGCAGTAGCTGGGGTTGCGGCCGGTGAAGGGGTCGACGGACATGTGGATGCGCACGAAGGCGTCGAAGCCGCTGGCCTTGAGCACCGTCGCGATGTCGTCCGGCTTCGCCTGGTACCGCAGGTTGCCGATGTAGATGCGCCGGCCCTCGGCGATGGCGACGGCCGCCGCGCTCTCCTCCTCTGACTGCGGGCGTGCTGAGGTCCGCGCGCGTCGGTCCGAGGGCCGCGTGCCGGTGCCCGAGGGGAAGTCCCGGCGGCGCTGTTGCTGCTCGCGGGGAGGAGCGTCGTCGTTATCGTCGTTGTTGGTGCTGGGAGAGGCCCCGCTTGTGCGCCATGACGGGGCGGTTAGGCGGCCTGAGAGCGGCCGGGGGGGCTGCTGCGGTCGTGCTGGCTTGTCTGAGGTGGGAGCAGTGGCAGCGCCAGCCGCTGCCGGGTCCCGGGTCCGCCAGCTCGATTGTTCGCGCCAGTTATCCATGGCTGACACTTTCAAAAGTAAAGGTAAGTTATGAGCTAGACTTTTATCTAGATTAGGTACCTAGTAGAGAAAATATAATGAGGGATAGACAAAGAAGAAAAAATAAAGGCAACGGATGGTGGCTAAGAGAGCAGGTTGCTTGACTAGTGTGGCGCGGAGCTAGTGGGAAAATCCTCCCCCTGAATCGGACTGGCTGCAAAGACCGTCTGGAAATTTCAAAAGATCTAATGAAAAGCTTTAAGTCTGGTCTAGGCACTAGGTACAAGTACCTGCCTATGTGAGCAAACCGGGCTAAGCCCGATATTTTTCGCTGCCACGAGAAATTAAATTGATTTTTACTTGCGCAAAAAAGAAAACAACCACCGTCGCTTTTTGAACCTTGAGGGTCAACTTTGGATCCAGGGGTTAGTTAACATGTGCGTCTTTCTTGAGCAAATTTCCATCTAAATTTCTCATGCTTGATTGGTTGGCTATGGAAATTAGGATACGTCCTGAAGTAGTTAGCTATTGAATTGTTTCCTGTACATTTGGAGGCTCGGTAGGTAGTTTACGGTGGCATTGACGAAGTTATTCCAATAGCTCAGATCACGTGATACCCCTTACCGCAACACCATCCATAGATGCTCTGACACAATGTAGACAAACCCGATTTAATTTGTTTTAATTCCAATTCCAATGCATTAGAATTGGGATTATCTTATTGGTTCACAAAACTTTCAAAACGTTTGTTATTGTGATACTGTAGTAGTTCTATATCCAAGTGCCTTTCCATAACCTCTTGAACCCAAGCACTCCATTGGGTGTATTACTTTCCAATGTCGAAGTAGCCACAGCTGTAGCCTAAGACCGACGATCACGCATTAATTATAAAGGAAAAAGAAGAAAAAAAGAAAAGAACAAGTTTGTAGTCAAAAATGACTGGGTGATATATGATCAGTAGTAGTGGATGCGGGACCTCTTAGAGGTGATGTAATAAATTGTGGAGAGGAAGATGGAAAGCGCCCTTTTCGTGAAATGGCTGTCTTTTCATGAGGCAGTTCTATTTTGGGGTTTAATACTGGATTTAATGGAAATACTTTTAAGCGTTTCTAAAGGGTCCTTAGGATATGCAGTGCCACGACTATATGTAAAAAGGAAAAACAAAAAAGAAAAAAGGTCCAGGGAAATTTCAGACAGAATAATAAATGACGTTGACCACTGCCAGCTGATTAAGAGCTTCTGATCAATCACAACGGCTGACAGCCAGATTGGACCTTGCATAGGACTAGTTAGGGGGTGATTTAGTTAACTGTTAGGAGCGTCCCCCGTGGGAATACACTAGGTACCCGGAGCCGGGTCCACTATGGGGTATCAAAGTTACCGGATAATGGTGGGGGCAATCACGGGGCAAGCAGGTACTACCGCGCCTGTAATATTAGCGATTGTTTGCTCCAAACATTGAACGCAGGTATTGTACATACTGTGCCTACCTCAGGCAGCCAATCTAGGTATTGTACCTAGGTAGGTACCTATTATTTAATAGCTCTTGCATGTATTTAACAACCACTCGCGGCTGCTGTAATTGTAAACATTTAAACTCTGCCACCTTCAATCTTTTCTTCTTTACTGACTTTCACTTTCACTTTCACTTTCACTTTCACTTTCACTTTCACTTTCACTTTCACTTTTTCTTTTTAATTTTCATTCGTTTTCCCTTTTACAAAATGCCACGAAAGAAGCACGGCTATATCAAGGACAAGATAGGAAAGAAGAATAAAATGCCACCAAAGATGGACAAAGCGACAATCGCACCACCTAAGATCATCCAAGCTATTACCGACACCGGCGGCATTTGCATCTACGACCAAGATGGCAATATGATCGTACCCAAGAAGACGGCCCGCACTCAGGTCCAGAGTCTTGTGAACGTGTTTCTCCCGGCCGGTTACCCGTATACTGTCTCGGATGATTACACGTCCTACCAGGTCTATGTATGAGCCCAATCCCATTTCTTTTTCTGTCAAGGCGCATGCATACATGTGTATGCATGTATGGTATCGTCTATGTGTTGTGCACCTACTTACACTCTCAACAGGACTCGCTCCAGGCGTTCTTTAGCACCATCGCCGGACTATTGTCATCGCGTGCTGTTCTCCAGGGCATGGGCGTCGGCGACGCTGCCTCCTCCGCCACCGCTGCGGTGCTTCTGACTGTCTTCCAGGAGTCGACTGGCAGGCTGGCTACCATCTTGTTCGCACACCGCTATGGCCGCGCAATTGAACCCGAGTGCAAGTTTTACCGCTACCTGGCGGACATCGTCAACGACTCGGCAATGTTCCTCGACATCTTATCGCCCGCACTCCCTTTCTATCCAAAGGTCTTGGCATTATGTGCCGCGGGTATCCTACGCGCACTTTGTGGTGTTTCGGGTGGTGCTGCTAAGGCCGCACTGAGCGCACACTTTGCGCGTAACGGCAACCTGGCTGAGCTCAATGCCAAAGATGGCAGCCAGGAAACTGTAATTTCCCTAGTGGGCATGCTTGCCGGCAGTCTCTTCGTCCACTTCGTCCACAGTCGAGAGGCAGTGATGGCCTGGATGGTCGTCCTTATTACCCTCCATCTTTGGACCAACTACCAAGCTGTCTCCGCTGTGCAACTGAATACCCTGAACGCGCAGCGTCTTACTATTATTCTCGATGAGTTCTACTGTGGCAGCGGTGCTATTCTTCGCCCCAATCAAGTCGCTGCCAAGGAGAATATTCTCAATTGGGTGGGCCCCGCCATCCATTTCGCCGACTGCTTACCCGAGTGTAGCGAAGTTGAGGGCGTCAATCTTGAGGATTTTGTGGACGTTGGCTACGTCATCGTGGATGGGAAGAAGGGTAAAAAGATCTTCCTGAAGGACCGGCCCTACCATCCCGCTTTTCTGCTCCTCGGGGACCCATTGGATCCCGTGATTGCCTGGATCGAGGCATACGCCGGGGTTCGTCTCAGTGAAGAGAATGATATGTGGCAACGTCTTCTAGATGCAGGCTGGAAGTTGCATACCAGCAGTCTGGAGACGGGTCCTGCCATTAGAGTCATATTCAATGACTCTAAAAATAATCCTGTATAGCCCATGCACATATAAGGGAAAAAAGGAAAAGGGGGACTCTTTTCCTTGGTGTAACAATATTTAGGGGCGTACTGGGTCGTATGGGACTGGACTTTGAGATACCCTATATTGCGATGCTGTCTTGGCGGGCTTCCCGCATTAGATAGAACACGTTACCAATGAATCAAATGCGAAATGACTTTTATAACATGACTTGTAATGAGATCGATTTATCGATGAATGGGGATCCTTCTCTACCGAGATATACGCCATGCTATGATCTAATTCTAAAAATGCAGATATCTCTTCGTATTATACATGAGCCTTTCAAAAACACGCACCCACCGTATCACACTCATCCATCATACCGCACTCACCCAAACGAAAAACACTCCATCCATTGGCACGGCCCTCATACCAACCCAGCAGCCCGCATAGCCCGCATCTTGACGCCATCCCACGAATTCAGCTTCGGCCTCACGTCGAGATAAAACGACAACTTGCCACTACCACCGCCATCGCCGTTATTGCGCCCCGCGTAGAAGTCAATGATGTACTCGATCTCCTTCCCGCAGCGGTCGACGACCCAGTCGTGGCGGTCGAAGGGCGCCTGGTAGCCTAGCAGAGTGTTGATGCGGGCCTTGGGCGACATGCGGGTGCTTAGCCCCGAGAAGGAGTGGAGGCGGGGGCCGCCGCAGCTGTTTATTACATCCTTATTAGCATCTAAACTCACCCACCAAAAAAAAAAAAAAAAAAAAAAAAAAAAAGAAGAGAGAAAGAAGAGCGAGAGAGAGAAGGAAGGGGAACCAAGCTTACCTAGACCCCCGAATCCACGGCTCCTCCCACCCCTTGATCTCGGCCCACGCGCGCTCGTTGACGGCGTTGTGGATCGGCACCACCGTGCGCATGTCCGGCGCGCGCGGGTCGTGGCCCTTGCGCTTCATCGCCTCGAAGAACATCTTCTCGGAGGGGTACACCCAGTTTCCTGACGCCAGGTCCGCGCCCGTCTCTTGCTCTGTGTTTGCGGGTGCTGATGTCGGGTCGTCGGGCTTGTTGGGGGAGCGCGGTATCGTGGAGACTTCGCGGTCGGTGCCGAGGGGGGATAAGGTTGGTGTGGTGGAATGTGGTGGTGGTGGTGCTGGGCGAGTGGGCGAACTGCTGCTCCAGAAGGGGATGTGCGGGAGGTAGGATGTCCATGACGACGCTGTGGAGGGTTGGGAGGATGGAGGAGGAGGAGGGAAAGAGGACGTAGATGCTGCTGCTGCTGCTGCGCGAGCGGCCTGCTGCAGCCACACTTCCCGCGCCTTATGATCTACGGGGCAGCTTTCCTCGGCGGCAGCAGCATCCTTCGACGCGGCGGCGCTCGGGACGGGTGGATGCGACGGGGGCAGGGATTGCGATTGCGATTGCGACGGAGGCCCCCCTTCGGCGCCGGACGCCTGTCGTGCTTTCTCGAGCCATGCCTCCCTGCTCTTGTGGTCGACGGGACAAGCCGTTTCCGATTGTGCCATGTTGATTTGTTAGGGCGTATCAAGCAATGCGACAGGCCTTTATCAGTTATAGTCTATGCGATTGAGAAGGAAAATCATTAGGTATGAAAGTCTCACGATCATTTTCCCATCGGCGGATCTAACTAAGTCACACAATAAAAATTCTTATCGATAAAATCGGCTAGTCGCGCATCGCATCACATTGAAAGAAACTCTTTTATGGAGATTTTTTCGGGCTCTGCCGAGTGGGTGGGTATCCAGTTTTTTGCATAGGCGTGTAACTACCTAGGTACCTTCGCGGCAGGAGGCAGGTGCACTGGTGCAGGCGTCGCCTCAAACTGATACATCATTAAGGTTAGGTTGGATTCTGAAGGTTGATTGAAGATTAAAACATGCAGGTACGTCAACGTCACTGAAACCTCCCGAGCCGAGGTCCACCGATGCTACCTAACTTATTAAATGCCACTATATTCTATTTGTACGTACTACTAGTATGCACTGCATATATGTAAGTTTATAGTAGTACTATGACTAGGACTCATCGCTTCGTCTAAAATGCTATCATCACTCATGCTACTTTATCTTGCACTATGACGACCACTCATGCCAAATGTTGCTCCGACTTTATCGGACCTTCACCTACCCCCGTCATTATGATTCTACTCACGCCACCCTTGATCAGGCTCGACACGGCCTCGTCAAGCGGTACGGCTGCCGAGGCATGAGCCTGAGCACCTTCCTTCCACCCATCAGTTCCCGCAAGTATGCTGTTGAAGGTACCGACAACAGGGCCACTGTTCTCTTCTAGGTAGTATACCACAGCATTCGGGCCTGCGTCAAAGGTATACGCGGCAATAGTCTTACCCGCCGCAGCATTGATGGCCTCGACGGCTCGAACAGCAGCTCTCGACACATCGTTCATGTAGTAGATAGGCGGGTACGTGTCCGAGCAGCAGGAGTGGAACGAGTTAGAGTCCTTCATCGTGACCTCTGCGAACCCGGCAAAATCTCTGTCCCGGATGGCGGCCTCCATCTTGTCCATATGGGCCGGGACGACATTGGCAATGCGCCCCTTGAACAGGTCGGATGTAGCGACGGTCTGCTGCATACCGGATGTCGAGCTAACGCCCTTCTTGGACGCGGAGACGACGAGGATAAGGGCCTTCATGTTGGGCCAGTGTGATGCGGGTGCGACCTCTACCGCCTTGGAATCTAGGCCATCGTCTTGCTCACCGCCCCTCCAGGCGACGTATCCACCGAACAGACTACGGCAGGCGGAACCACTGCCTTGACGGGCAATAAGGGAGAGCTCGGTCGGAGAACTTGGTAGCTCGTAGAGGTCTGCAATGGCACGAACCAAAGCTGCGAAACCAGCGGCAGAGGATGCTAGACCAGCGGCGGTGGGGAAGTTGTTTTCGGTGACTATGCGAAGGGGCATGGTCGATAGTTTGGGCAGAGATGGGTTCTCCTTTTCGAGGGCGGCTCTTCGAGCACGGAGTTCGCGCAAACACGCCTGCGTGCGGGCGCCCGTAATATCGGAAGGCTCTCCATTGAGAATAAGGACATCGCCTTGGCCTTCGTAAGAGGCAGAGCAGGTAGCGGTGGTAAGTGTTCGTAGATCAGCTTGTGACAGCGTAACCGACAGGGACGAGTTGGTAGGTAGATTCAACTTCGCATCTCGCTTTCCCCAGTACTTGACGACGGCGATGTTCACCGGAGCAGTGGTGCTCGCCTTGTAGATTTTGTCGGCCATTGCTTATGTAGATCTGTTTATGTTTATTTGGGACTTAAAATTGGATCGAATTTCTATTAAGGGAAGGGGAGAGATGGTCAGGGACGAGATGTATACTAAATGGTTTTTTTTATTTTAATGCACATGTGTTGGTGAAGTGATGGACTAAAGTGTTGGTGGAGGGGTAATTAAGTTAGGTACTAGGTACCTAACGTGGGATCGCCAGGGAATCAAGATCAGGGACTTCCCAAGATTGACTCCACAACTTACTACAATGGGTCTAAGCCGATAATCTACAGGGGGCTGGCACCAAATTAGGTAAATTCCGAGCAATGATAGCGCTGGAACTAGGCTTGGTTGGCCCAGTTTAGCTTACCATCACTGTAGCAGTCACTGTTGTCTTACCGTGGTTTCAAATTTAGGGATCCTTTGTTCAACCTCAACGTTTTTTTTTAATTAACATCTGTATTTGCCTATCGCAGCGTCCATAATGAAGACACTACCTATCACAGGCTATCAGTATTTCCACGATCCTACTGAATCATGATCAATGATCATCATCATGTGACGGAGTCGTCTGGAATGACCATTTTCCATAACATGCCTACCTACTTAGTAGTACCTAGTATATTCCTCGAGCGAACCACCTTCTTCGTCTCCTTCGCCCTCATATACTAGCCAAGTAGGTCAAGGGCTTTCCATCATAGCCTTGGTTCTCTCACTTCGACCATCCCTTCATGAGACAGTGTCCATTCCATACACCCTCAGCTGAGTATCTCGTAATCACAGCTCAGCAATCGAGTATTCTGTGGCGTGATATCTCTGCCAACCAGCCACCTAGCATACTCCCACTTTATTCTTGTTCGTCTGCCCGTAAATGCGCGAATACCAACACCATGCAGTTGTTCAATTCGTATGTTGTATCATCCTTTTCATAGTACCATCGTTCGGTACTTAGTAGTAGGACCATTCTTATAAAGTCATCGTTCTTATTGTTTCATCGTATCATCGTTCTCGTAATCGCGGTTCGTGTAATCATATCACCCCCCTTTTAGCGTCGTTCAATTTCAGGAACACGCAAATGCTGCAGTATAGAGCAGCCCCTTAACGAAAGTTGATTAGAGGTTCGCCGTTGATGGTCAACGGACGCTTTCCCGGGGGAGCCGGAGGTGCCTGAGGCAGAGTGGATTCTGTGTCCTCCTCCTCATCGGTTTGCGACTCGGGCTCCTCGACCGGGGGGACGTTTTCAATATTGGAAGTATCGTGATCGTGATCTTCGTCGTCATCGTTATCATCGTCGTCGTCGTCGTCGTCATCGTCATCCTCTTCGTCATCTTCTTCGTAATCTTCTTCAGACTCTGATGATGAATGCCCTCCATACTCAGTGCCATCATCATACACATCTTCGCGCCTCATATGGCACCCTTCGAGGAACTCCAAAAACGACACCAAGTCCAAATCCAGCATATGCAACTCCACATTCGGGCGGTATTCGTACCGGGGCAAAAGCCAGAAGAAGTACGGGATTGGATGATACCCTCGTTCATTTCGGATCAACTCCCTACTCACGATATGCTCCCACTCCTCCTCAAAGTCCTTGCGTAAATTGTCCAACTCTGCAATCAGTTCGTGGACTGCCTTTATGCCATCTACGACATTTACGCGCATGCGCGCCAGTCGGATGTTGACTTTGCGGATGATTTGGCACAGCTCGCAGTGGTAGGTCTGGGGGTGGACGTCGTTGTCCTCTTCGTCCTCGTCATTACCATCATCGGGGAGCGTTGTGGCGCCAGGGTTTGGATGGACCAGGCTAGGCTCGTGGCTCCGACTGCCTCTCTCGCTGCCGGTCTCTGAGTTTGAGTCATGCGCGGTCAGGCCATGTCCTTCAGCAATGCTTTTGCTGACTAGGCGATGAAGGGCACTGAGATTGAGGTTGCCATATTGGTTGTCGTATTCGTCTTCTAGTGGGGTGTGGTTGGGGCTGCGATATAGCCACCCATCAGCGTGAGCTGCCTCGATGAGAGCCGGAGCCACCGGCGAGAAGACTAAGTCTCGAGTAAGAGCAAAATGGCGGCCGGCGGGACTGGTGCCGAAACGACGATTATTGGCGGCGACCGTGGCCTCCTGAAGCCGTCGCGGTAGACCGCTGTTAGTGATGGAAAAGTTCCGGTGAAGGGCCTCGCGGACGGGCTGAGGCAATAGCATTGAAATCGCTTGGTCCAGGCATAGATGCCGGTGGTGAGTGATATTGTCCCAGCGGAAGGGGCTGTGGACGGGAAACCCAAGTCGTTCATACATCTCTGCCCAGGCATCTTCCTTCGCGGACCAGGAAGTGTTGGGTCCGATGCCCAGAAGCGGGTCGATGCCTGCCGGTATAAGTCGTCGCAACGTGTCACGCATGTTTCTGCTCAGGAAGAGAGGTGGGTGGTGTGGGTCGTAGTCGCTCGCTAGGAGGTCGTGGATGATAGCGTGGTAGCGGTTGACCATGTCCAGAGCTCGGCCGAGGTTTTGGCCCCGAAGATTCAAGGCCATGGTTGATGGATTGATGGGATCTTGCTTATATGGTAATAGGAGGCGACGGGCAGGCGTGTAGGTAGGTACTTGTACTTAGTATAATAGTACTAAGGCTAGTGAGAGAAGAAACGTGTATATGTTGGTGTGTGCGGAGATCTTCAAGTAAGGCGTGATCAATCTTGGAAGGCACTTGCTTGCTTGGTACGTAGATAGCTTCACAACCAGGAGAAGTACAGAAGACTGGCGAGGGAATATATGTGTATGTGATATAAGGTTCAGTTGTCTTTCCTTGAAAGGCACTAACTTGGTAGGTAGGAAGCTTGACAACCAGTCGCAGAGCCCAAGGCTGGTGACGGAAGATATATGTCTTCCTCTTCTTGTGATAGGAGGGAATGGGTATGTATGGATGGGAGTATTCAGTAAACTAATACCCGGACTTGTGAATGAAGATGGGTAGATGTATACGTGTGCAGGGAGAATCTTCAGGTGAGGCTCAATTGACCTTGGAAGGTGCTGGCTTGGCAAGTTCTGGTTCAGTAGGTGGGTGGGTAGTTTTGCAACCAGCAGTGCAGTCAGGACCTAAGACCTCTTCTTCCCTGCAGAGGGCTGTGATCTTGAACGAAGACTGATGCTTCAATTGCTTGTCAATGATCATTTGGTGTGATTGACTTGACTTGGTAGAAAGGAATGAATTGGTGGAGAGAGTAAAGGGTGAATAAATGTGCCTGTGGGATCAAATGAAAGTGAATGAAGAGTGAGTGGTGTGCTTGAAGGAAAAGGCATATAACCTGGAAGGATGAATTTTTTTTTAAAAAAAAAATAAAGAGAAAAGATGTGCAGGCACCTTACCTATCTCTTCTATTTTCGAAAAAGGCGAATTTGTGTGTACTCTTTCCCCGTACCTGAGCACATGATCAAGCTTGAGGTTGGAGTGGTCGTATCGTATCGTACCGCGCTGTCGTATGGCCGTGTAATGTGAAGCCTAGTGTGATTAGGGCGACACGATGGTACGTGAATGAATGAACGACTGAGCATGATTTGCTAATGCCTTTCGACATTAAGCGGGGGGCATACGAGGGGCCATACTGTGAGAATACCATAGCTTTGTACAGATTATTGAGTGATGTAGGACTCGCAGTTGCCAGGTTGGGTGAATTTTACCCCTTTTCAGCAGAATGGAAAGAAATACCTGGTTGGGGGGGACATGGTTTGAAGACTGTCGTGTGGGATGAACATATGACGGATATATCATCTTTGTTGCAAATGAAACCGCCCAGGACAACACGTTCACGATGGAAGGAAACATTGTACATTGGAGCTCGATTAAATGCAAAAGGGTGACTAGAAGCGTACTAGCCAGCAAGATTTATACCATGATCTATGGTGTTGATATGGGCATTACAATCTCTACGGCGGTTATGTCGATACTTAGCAAGCTCGGCATCCCAGCGACCCAGATGATTGTGTGTGCGGATTCATTTTCTCTATATGAATGTCCAGTCAAGCTGGGAACAACGAAGGAGAAGCGTTTGATGATCGATATTATGTCACTACGACAATCCTATGATTGTCGAACAACTCTCTTCTCGTGAATGTATGGCGTCTGCTGACGTGTAGTTTCAATGTAGTTTCAACGTCTCTAGTGCATACGCTCGCGGGCCATAGGGTTGGTTGAAGGTCTTTTCTCGCATTGAATTCAAACATCGATGCATGGGTAGCCGTCTTTGTTCGTCTTCAATGGGTACTGGTCCCTTCGTGCGTTGATGGACGCGATCTTATAACTGTGTAGTCTCAACGTCGCTAGACGTCGATCAGCAGTCCTACAACCTAAAAGTAACACGAAGTCCACACATTTCTACTTAGGCTCTGAGGTCGGTAGACTTGTGTCCCTTCGTCTCTTCTTGTCCGGATAACTAATAGGGTCCTAGCAGTGAGTCGCCAGTGAAGGCTTCACTACTTGGGCTATCCGATATCCTTTCCTCTGAATACCTTGCTGTTCTGTAGTCAACTTGCTGAGTCGACTACTGATCAGTGTCGGTGAACAAGGTCAACCGAATATATAACGTATTGCAATACAATGGTAGGGAGTAGCATACACGCTGCTGCTACGTTACAACAACGCAAAATAAGATATCAAACATTTGGTATATAACTATATTAATATCTAAAAAGCAAAAAAGACAAATGTAAACAGCTATCTATATTCACAATAGCTGCTTCGAGGTCTTTGACATGCTGGGAAAATAGTTCCCAAGCACACTTTGTGAACAATGTGGTATTATGTATTAAATCACTAGGACTGGGCATATTACATTACTGAGTTTTGTACGAGTTTCGTTTAAGCCGAGAATCAGTTTAAAGAACCGACAAACCTTCCACGATAGACTCAGGGCCCAGTGTAAGTGAACCATTTCCCGGTCTCTGTATCATGCGTCAAGTTAGCAAATGATGATTTGCCACCTTTGATACTACCAGCCTGTACCGCCCCAGCAGCGGGTGAGCCTTCCGTTCGATGTAATTTATTCTCGCCAGCAACAACCGTGAAGTTGGCCAATGGGATCTCGTACCCATTACGGACGGTAGTGGTGGGGATTCCGAAGAAAGCGGCGTCTACCTTCTCGTGGCTAATGGTCAACTCGAAGTAACCACGGTAGTATACGTCCTGCCATTGTAGCTCAGAGTTTCCGGATGTGAGCAAATTAGAAAACTGCAAAGCAGCATTCAGAGTGATGTTTTGACCGGCTGGTGATGGAGAGCTGACAGCTGATCCAGCAAATTCGACACCCACGGATCCGGATCCAGTGGCTGGGTCGTACGGGTGCTCGTCGAGCCAGACGAGATCAGATACCCAGGATGCGTGAGAGTCTCCGGCCAAAAATATATTGTTGTGCACCTTGTTTTCATATATGGTGTTGAATGTACGATTACGGTTCGCCTGATATCCGTCCCATTGATCGTAGTTGAGCAGCTGGCCTCCACCAACAGCGGCACCTAGATCCATTCGACTAAAGATTATTTGATTGCCAATGATGCGCCATGTAGCATCTCGAGTAGAACTTTCCTTCAAGGTACGATAAAACCAAGCCTCTTGTCGTGGCCCCATGAGGCTTCGGCTGGCGTCATTGTAAATTTCCCCTAGGTACTCGGTATTCCAATACAGATCAGTAATGGACCGGTCATATTGGCGGGTATCGAGCATGATGAGGTCGAATAAGTTGCCAAATTTGAAGTTACGCCAAATTCGTAGATTATCATCCATGTCTACTTGTCGAATAGGCACTTTTATTGAAGCAAGGTTAGCGTAAAGCCCCAGCATGCAGTTTCAATCACTTACTCCATTCAAAGTAAGCACGCACGGCATTCATTTTACGCTGGTCGACTGACACGCCGCCATCTGCTATGAAAGTCTCCTCGGTATTGTTCATATGCGCAGAACCATCGCGCCAGGTATTATCGCCAACCTCTGTGACCGCACCATCAGTAGGAGATTCGGTCCGCATGCGAATAGGGGCAACATACCGTGATCGTCCCATACAGGAATCCAGGGGAAGGCCTGGTGACTAGCGAGTAGGTCTTGATCGGTTCTGTAAGTCGCAATTCGCTTCCGGAAGTCGTATAGACTGCAAGCACATTAGACATCGGTTAGGTTATGTCTTGGAGCAAAACCAACGTGAATATCTCCCGGTTTGGAAGCGGGATCCGGTCGTAAGCATCGCCCCACCCATACTCTCCATTGGCATATTCGTATATGTAATCTCCTAAGTGGATGACAAAATCAACAGAATCTTTCCGAACAGGATTTCCGTACGCGTTAAAGAAACCAAACGCTGTATAGGTCGAGTTAGCCACTTCGAAGCTACTTCAACCTCTCATTAGGCGTATGTGAGAATGAACTGACGGTAATTGCTACAGGAATATACGGCAAGTTTTATCGGGTCAGACACCTCCTCATTTTCAGATGGAATTGTCTTGGTGCGGCCGATAGGTGATGTATTATTCGAATTACACACATTAAATTGATAATCTAGTAGAACAGTTAGTATGATATTTCAAACTCATACCCAACTTCTAGACACCCGAGCGAAACATGATTACGCCGCTACTCACAGTATGTAGTCAGTGGCTTCAATTTCTTGGCCTCAACCTTTATTTAAGACTATTAGCGTATTACAACTGAGATTAGAGAGAAAACACTGAACCTTGACTGTATAGTCAACATCAGAACTGGTGTAAGCAGTTCCAGAGTCAATAATGTTTTTGAACGCGTCTGTGGTACTGATCTTCCAGTTAACACAAACCGGCGAGTCGCTCTTCGCCACGAATTGGTCGGTCGAGTGGTCATAGAGGTTGACGTAGCCCGAAACAGTCACATTGCTCTTGTCATTATCACTCGTAGGTGCTACCCTAGTCCATAGGATAACACTATCCTCATAGGGGTCTCCAGAAGCAATTCCATGAGTGAAGTTCAGTTGATTTGGGTTCCAAGGGGCGTTCGTGTAAGTCCTCTTGGCCACCTTACTGATCGATATACCTAAGGAGGCATGACGTTTCGAAGGAGAAAGGTAATTGAGATTGTCGGTGAAGGCAGCCAAGGCGGTGCTAACGAAAGACAAGTAGCAAATACTACGAACCATGGTGAAGTATGTCGCGAATGAATCGTGGTATGCTTTGCCGTCACTTGAATGGGATATATATAGCGGCCTCGAAGAACCTACAAACCATCTCGGGACGAGTCGCAATCTTGTTTACTAAAGACAAGTCGGAGATTACTTGCTGAATCCTGATTATTCGGAAGGAATACGCTTGTTATATATCTAAGACTATATAGCTAATAGGTGACTACTACATACCTAGATAGCTATACTACCTAATGTTGTTTATTGAACGTAGTGCGAAGATAGGCGATAGTATACCCAGGTAGTAATGATAAAAAGGTGATTGGCTACAACTGAAATAATAGCACGAGAAAAGCTTCCGACTGGTTATAGGTCGATATACCTTGATAGGGTGGTAAAACCTGCTAGATCATGTCTGTAGAGGCTTGGATTCGAGCCTCCAAACGTGTGTAAGTCCGTTACGCTTATTGGATCGTCATTGAGGGGTTCGGTGTTATTCCGCACGTGTAAATACACAGTATAGTTAAATTGCGGAGGGTTTTCACTTGGCAAGTTGCAATCAAACATTCAAGGATCTGGGTGTTAAGAAAGAGAGAAGGGCACGATATGTGTAGTAGGCACATAATAGGGTACCCAGTTACTACTAACTGACAGGAGGTAGTAACTGTAAGACATTTCAATGTTGAATATTTAAAGTCGGAAAACAAAACCTTCCGTTCTTACTAAGTTCAATGCCAAAAAATACCTAAGAACATCACTCCTTCCGTACAGTGTTTATCTTATCATCCCGATAGATAATTGCACTGTAAATACTTGGTCCGTGCTTTGATTGAAACATGAACACTTATTAAAGATTCAATGAACGAACTCAAATCTGATTCTCAATTTGCTTTTGATTCTCACCCACCTGAAGGATCTCACCAGTCATCATTCCTAGCACATAACTAGTACATACTACATACCTACCTACATAAGTACCCTGCCGCCGCCCGGAAACCTGCAACATTATCTTTCATGGCTTTACCTAGCCTTGAGAACGGGCGGGGAAAGTCTCAAGTGGCGTATTTGTGCGAGCTCTTTTTGATATTGTATTGGTGAAAACGGATTTGCGTTTTATCTTTCAGCTGCCAAATTCAACATGCCAACCCGTTCCCGTCCCGTAAGCCCTAGAGCTAGGGACTGTGGGATTAAGCCGACACCGTGGAAACTACGTCAAGATTAAAGCAAGGAATAAGAACTATGTATGTTGGTATGTATGTACGGATGTGAGAAATAGAGCAAACTCAAACCACTCGTATGTAACTGAATATTACCTACTTAATAAGTTTAGTATTTACAGATGTCTCACACAAGCTTCCAAGTTCCGAGATGATCCTCCCATACATACATATGTATGTACTCGATCCCGCCAGCGTTAGACTATCTGCGCGTGGGGTACCTACAGGGGCACTCTAGCCTATCAACGATCGTATTATAAGAAGCTTATGATTGCACGAGGATCTTCTACCATATCATACACCTAGCCATGTTACAGCTAAACCTATTATGTAGATGGCGAAGGCGCCTCATGCACTTGCCGCTATTCTTACAAGGACCAACCCTAAAGGGAGACCGTGGAAGGCCATGTTACTCTGTGAGTTAATATGCTGCTTAATGCTTACCTAGGTACCTACCTAGTTAGGAATTTTACTATGTAGGAATTCTTTGCCCTATCTCTGATTCTCTGAGCTCTGAGGAAGACGTCTGATTTGACTGCGACACTATATGACTACAACTACAAAAGCATTATTACGTACCTAGGACCTATAGTATAATATCCTATGAATCCATTCTCGAATTGATCTTTCTCATCTTTCCTAAATCACTTCTTTGTTTCCCTAATTGACTTTCCTAGTATACCTACACATACCTTTATACCTCCATGTGTTACCTGAATCACTATATATATATAAATAACGACTAAACCATCTTAACCTCGGATAAAACAGTCCCGTTTCGATACTGAAGCAAATCATGGCAACAAGAGATGTCACAATAGACGACGGGAGAAAGGACTCTGGTTTACTCGAAAGAGACGTCGGGGTTGGCGAGGATGATCGAGCAAGTAATGAGTCCCTGACGGGGAGTGCTGAGGATATCCTAGCGCTTCAGGACTTAGATCCTGCACTCAACGCCAAGATGCACCTCGTCAATAATGTGAGATTTTATCTACAAGTGTCTACGACAGCTCTTGTATGAAGCAGCCCTTTTGACACATCTTAGGCCATTGACGAAATTGGTTGGACTAATTACCATTGGAAATTATTTGCATTAAACGGATTCGGGTAAGGACGTCGCCGTTTCGATTCCGAAGAACCTGTGGACCACTTACGCGACTTCTTAGATATGCTGTCGATTCCTTGGTACTGTTGCTGCAAAGCAATATAGCAGGACCTGCCTTTAGAGAGTTTGGTGAAGTGGGCTATGCCAATGCGCAGACAATCGCGACATATGTTGGGATGCTTCTAGGTGCCCTTTTCTGGGGCATGAGCGCTGATATCATAGGACGTCGTTGGGCGTTCAACATATCTCTCTTCATATCGGCTATAGCCACGATTGTCTCCGGCGCCGCCCCAAACTGGGCTTCCTTGGGATTCTTCGTTGCCATGACCGGATTCGGTGCTGGTGGTAATCTCATATTGGATACCACCGTCTTTCTCGAGTACCTCCCGAGTAACAAACAATGGGCGTTGACCTTCCTGGCCTGCTGGTGGGGAATTGGTCAAGCTGTCACAGGCTTCATCTGTTGGGGATTCCTAGGTAAGCTTCGTGGGATGCTGTTAATGTTGTCTTGTGCTCAGAACACTTACTTACCAACCTGTAGTTCCGCCCCAGTGGAATTGTGCATCTGTTGACAACTGTCCACGAGATTCCAACAACGGGTGGCGATATGTCATGTACACCTCCGGCGCTCTGGTCTTCATCATGTCTATCTTGCGTATTACGATCGTTCATCTGCAAGAGACACCAAAGTACCGCCTGGGAACGGGAGAAGATGCCGAACTGGTCAAGACGCTGTACTCAATCGCCAAGAAATACAACCGGCCCTGCTCGCTCACCGTGGAGAAATTGGAGGCTTGCGGAACGGTAAGATCCGCACACAGTGAGAACCGCTATTATCTCCAAGAAAGTGTGGTTCATCTCTCTGGACTATTTGCCACGAAGAAAATCGGCATTTCGACTGGGCTGATTTGGCTTTCGTGGACGTTGATTGGACTTGCGTAGGTTGAAATTTGAAGTCTTCAGTCCCCTAGCCAAGCTAATATAGGTGACTTTAGGTACCCCCTTTTCTACGTATTCCTCAAGTAAGTGCAAATCACCTCTAATTTTTTTTGTTTCACGTATCTAACTTGATATCAGCTCGTATCTTGCCAGCCGTGGGGCGTACGATGGCGTAGGTACTTTTGACACATGGCGTAACTACACACTTACGAACATTTCCGGCATTTTTGGACCAATTCTAGCAGCATGGATGTGCAATCTCAAGATTCTTGGACGGAGATACACCATGGCAATTGGAGCGCTGGTAACTATGGCATTCTTCTTTGCCTATACGGTTGTCTCGACCCCAACGCAAGATGTCGGATTTAGTTGTGCGATCGCCTTCTGCCTCAATATCTACTACGGGACCTTGTATGCGGTAAGTAGTCAACATCAATCCAGACCCCTATACACCGAAGTGCGAATATTATATCCAAAAATATTCCAACTGGGAACTAAATCTGAATCTTATTGCGATCAACAATCACTAACAGTTCCACAGTATACCCCTGAAGTGCTACCAAGTGCCCATCGCGCCACAGGAAATGGCATCGCCGTGGGCTGCAACCGGATCATGGGTATCATCTCAGCAGTGGTTTCCAGCACCGCCAACACCGCCACAGTCGTGCCGGTATACATATGCGCGGCGCTCTTCTTGGCAATGGCAGGCGTCAGTGTTATCTTCCCCTTCGAACCATACGGGCGCAGAAGCTCCTGATCCCTCGGCTACCTACCTATACTCACTTTGACAAGCGATGGGTGTTGCTGAGTCTATACCTAGGCAGGTATTTATGCTTACTGAGCACATGGGACGGGACTCGGACGCTTATATGAGGTATTTTTTATTGTTAGCAAGTGGATGGACATCTAGGTATATTCGTTAAAAGGGTTATAAACAGTAATAGCAGTAGTAGTGTTTTATTTTACTACATTTATTGAATATACCATCTTAGAACGTTACTATAGGACTGGATGAGGTGTCTTGCTCAATATAATAGGGTTGAAAAGGGGTTCTGGCTAATTCACTAGGTTACCTACCTAAGTAGACACTGGGTACCTCCCCCCTATTACAACACGCATCCTATTCTATTTCCTCCTTTCCCCAGATGTAAGAAATCTTTTGACAAGGGACGACTCAAATGAATAGGCACTAGGTTAGGTATGTAGGTACTCCTAAGCCACAGCATTCAAGCTACATAAAAACACTCCACCGATACAAATGCATCCCTACCTGCATAAGTACCTACTTACAACTCATCAAGCTTGAACTTACTACTCTCCTTCAACCACGTCTCGAAATCCTGCAGCTGCGGCTCCTCCATTCTAAGCGCCACGATATCAACGCCATACCCCTTTTTCTCAAACCAGCTAAACATGGCGCCGACATCCCTCGCGGCAAAAAGTCTGCGCACGACCCAGCCGACGACCCACCACGCCTGCGGCAGCTCCTCCTGCTCCTGCGCGACGCGGTAGTAGATCTCGCGCGCCTCGTCGTACGTGAGCTCGTCGCCGGCGAGGCCGATGGCGGTGTTGTGGTGGTAGGAAGTGGGGAGTATGAGGGCCTTGGCGGCGAAGAGGCCGATGTCGCGCACGCTGACGAGCTGGAGCTTGCGTGAGGGGGGGAGCGTGTTCCAGAGGCTCGCGAAGACCATGCCGAAGGTACCTGGGTTTACTGCGGTGGGGAAGGTAAGTAGGGTTAGTGGTGTTACGGGTGTTAGGGGGAATGTGCCGGGAAAGGCTCACGATTATCCATAAACGCCGCCGGCCTCAACACCGTAAACACCAGCCTCCCCCTCGAGGCGCGCGCCACATCGCGCAAATGCACCTCAACACGGCACTTCTGCGCAAAGTGCGGGATCTCCGTCTCCTCATCCCACGACTCCGGCTCGCCGCCGCGGTCGACGCTCGAGAAGACGAAATGCAGGGGCCCTGCCAGCACATTCTTTGCGTGTGCGGCAGCGGCGTCGATCAGCGCGCGCGCCTGCGGCTCCTCGTCGGGAGGCGTCGTGTAGCTGAACACGGCGTCGATTTCGGGATGGGCCGCGAAGATCGGGGCGGGGAGCCGGGTGTCGCCTTCGATGACGGTTAGGGATAGGTTCGGGTACTGGGACGGGAGGGCGAGGGCTTTGGGGGAGGAGGCGGTGCGGGTGAGGGCTAGGATTTTTGGTTTGAGGGGGGAGGAGGAGGTAGTGGAGGAGAGGAGGTGAGAGAGCTCTGTGAGCACGGAGCTGCCCTGTTGGCCGGTTGCGCCGACGACGAGGATGGTGTGGGGGGTGGTGGACATCTTGAGATCTTTGGGACGGTGGCTTTTTTTTTGAAGATCTTAAGGTAGGTTGGTTGTGCTTTGTGGATACTTCTACAGTAGAATAGATTGTGGATGAATTGTGCTCGAGTGGAATAATGACTACATTGAGGTAGATGACTGGATGCCTACCTCGTGCTTGCTATATTCTTAGAAGTTTAATTTTAATAAAGTTCACACCAAGTAGGTCGTACTTGCTCTGAATATCATCGGTATTCCCCATCCACCGAGTTTCCGACCTCATGACGTTATTTTAAGTGCGACAAGCATTCCAGGTGCTGGTTCCGACTCCTTGTATTGTACAAGTAACACCTTTCAAAGAAGTTACAGTGAACCGAAGGGATGAACCAATTTCTATCAGGTGGTCAGTGGTCCCCGGTCCGACGTTACTCTTCGGTCCCGACCTCGAATACGCGATTATAAATAAGCATGCAAGTCACAAGCGATAGCAATACAATTGGTCAATCTCTGCTGTCATTGTAAACCACATTACTCTCCTGGTGTAAATGTAACGTCAACGCCTCTCGTACGATAATCCTACGAGATGAAATCTAAATGTCAGCTGGAAAATGGATTTAAAACAGTTGCTTTTCCTCTCTTGTAAATGTGGCACGCGCCCATTATGAATGCCGGCTATGTATGTGGCTCGCTCAAGAACACCTAAGTTCGATACATTTGCGCCTTTGAATGCAGAAATCTGAACTCATGATTCAACTAAAAAAACTTCACATAGCTGGTCCATCCCAAACATCTCTTCTCAAACGGCAAAGCCACGCTCGCTTGTGGGGAAACGATATCTCCTTCTCCTTGGCGAATCCAGCAAACTCGAGGTGTTGAATGAATCTATTCACAGGTCAGCAAAAACTACTTAAGGGCCAGGGCCATCTTGTGGTTTGACTTACCTCGCGTTATCCACTCTCGGTTCAAGGCAGATATTCATAGTTCGGTAATCTGCCTGCAAACACCAGTGGATGAGGCTCGACAGCCATTGCTGTACTCTCCCCCTCGCCCACTCTTCGCCGATCAAGACGTGTATGCCTCGATCGAAATCTTGCGCCTCATTTCCCATATATCGTCCCAGCTGATCCTCCTTCACCCAATAGATCTCAAAATACCCAAAAGGTACACCATCCCACATAGCAATAGCTGGGAATGAGTGGTGCGACTGGAAAGCAGTGGACAGAAATTTGGGATGATATTCGCCCCAGAAAGCGGTAACTCTAGGGTTTGACAGCCACATTTGAATAAGTGAGGTGTCGCATAACGTATTCAGGTGTGTGTTCTCCCTTTCACCCGGGCTAATAGGTCCAAGGTGCGGGACGGGTCGTGGTGCAAGTGATGCCACGCGGAATGAAAGATATTTCCCCACACTGGGCACGAAGCGTGTGTAGAAGATTTCACCCATATGCGGGGGCTTCTGTCGCAATGGATGCCGGACGTTGTTACTTATGATGTATTGTAACGGTGCTGGAGGATAATAAGTTGGCAGGTGCGAGGTCGAATGATAGGGTCCTATAGGAGAGCTTGGCAATTCACCGGCCAGTTGATTAAAAAGGGTTGCTAGCTGACCCCCTTCGCTTCGAACCGGTGAAGTAGGACGGCTGTTGCTCGGGGATCCAGGATACGAATTATGCTTCACAGGCTGGAGGGTGAAGAGAAACAGCCCGCTGTGTATTTGCCAAAACATGCGTCTGGTAACAAACATGAGATCCCATCCATGGTTTGATTCATTGACGTTAGACCCAATAGCCGAATCCAAGCTCGTTATAAGACCCATCCTCTCCAGTTTAGGTATCATATTTCGCGTGCGCAGAACACCTTCTCGTTTTATCTTGATGCGCCATTCGCCTCTGGGTCTGGCCTCCGGGGGAGTATGCTTCGACTGCTCAGTCACAACATAGGGTGATGGCTCAGGCTGTTGGAAATACCAGTATAGCGTCACCCACAGCATCAACGCTATTTGCCGAGATTGGCTGGCGTGCGGTTTAAATTCGCTACTGGACGGGTTGGAGATAGACGAGATGAATATGGTGTCATTTTGCAATGTCGGCTTGCTGTATCTGTGAATATGGCTTCGTCTAGAACGAGCTTCGTTGGGGTCATCTTTTAGGGTGAGGCCTTGGATATGATCCTCCGGGTTATCTTCGCTGTGTATGACGACGGTCCAGCCAACGGGAAAAGGCGCGTGGTGATTATTATGTTCGTTGGACTTGAAAAATAGGCCAGAGAAGACAGGTTGAACGGTAAAGCTCTGGCCGTCTGGCAAATAGACGACGGACGGAGACATCTGCTTGGATAATTGTGGGCTATGATTCAGGGCAGGGTAGTGTTATTGCTAAGTTGAATGCGTAGAATATAGATCTACATCAAGCGTATAGTAGAGAGGAAATATCACTCATTTCGATTTCGCGCATCGATCCACTGTTGATGTTTAAGTACCCAATCGACAATAATCTAAACCAGCAAAATGCTCATGTAAAGCGTTAATTAGGTAGATACCTAGGTAGGTATGTGGATTAGGAGAAAGGGTTACACAGGTGATTGCTAATATGGTGGCTAATATGGTGATGGTTTGCTTCGAAATGCCGAGGAAGAAGAAAAAGGATTATTTAGGTAGGTAGTGAGCGGATAGTATGTCATCGATAAGTCAATGTGGGACGATATCTACAGAACAGTTGGGAACAAACGGCGACTCCGTTTCGTCATACCACTTGACCGGCGCGTGGGAGGGGAGTACGGATAGTGGGGTCGCGGTTACGGAGATGCCCTGTCATGCGAGGGGGGAATCAGGGGATTGTGGTATGTCAATCTAGGGCTGATCTCCCTTACCGATCTATAAACTTCCCCAGATTCCTTTCTTGATATCTTATATACCTAGGTAGGTAGTTGACAGCCGCATACACATGCCTGACAGGGCATTCAGCTTAGAAAAGCACGCCTTGCCCGACTGTTGTAGGTGGCCAATAAGCAAACAAGTAATGGTAAGCTGATGAGAAAAGAAGACTGGAGAAGGTTGGGGTGAGGCCGGACACGCCCGTTAAACGCCAGAAATAGCGTCGACGATGCCAAGAGATCCAGTCCGATAAACTACTAAGGACATGCTAGGGATTCTAGGGAATAGCTAGTAGGTTCTTAGCTAGTAGCGGTAGCAGTCTTTTAAAATAGAATGGCAAGTAGTTAGCAAGCCCTGGGGATTAGCAAGATCCATTTCGTTCGAATATAATAGTCCTGGAGAATTCAGGATTCTTGGAATACCGGGCTACCTACTACCTAGGCACCTTGAAGTTAGTACCTAGGTAATATATACATAAGCGCCCTTCCACGACATGACAATAAAAAATCAACGTCGGTCGGAGTGTTTGGATAAATGCAAAAGATCAAAAAGTTGTTTGTATGACAAAATAAAAAGGTGAAAACCCTCAGGATAGGTCGATCTTATCTAATCTAACTCTTTCTATTACATAATTGGAAAGATATTCGGCTATCAGTGGTTTATGACTCCAACCTAGTTATTCATCAATTGAAATATGACTTGAAGCGAATCTCATGTAATTATTTTTTATTTTGAGATTTACTTTGACTCATATAGCAATCTTATACTTACCAGACTATAACTCGACACTGTTGAATCCTCAAACAAGAACTCATATAAATTGAAGCAGTTCAGAAAATGGCGTCCAGCAGCAAGCCTGGAGAGAATATGCTATGGGGGGGTCGCTTTACCGGTACGTTATGCGAATTACTGGGAAATTCTGCCCAACATGTAAAGGGTCACGATAAGGACGAATCGTTTTGAAAAAAAATATTATTCACTCACATCCAAATGAATGTATGTGCTAACCCCTATCTCAGGCGGCCTCGACCCTCTCATGGTAGCTTACAACGAGAGTATCCGCTTCGACAAGGCTCTGTACAAGCAAGATATTCTCGGCAGCATAGCCTTTGCCCGTGCCAACTTAAAGGGCGGCATCTTAACCGAGGATGAGTTCACCAAGCTCGAGGCCGGCCTACAAGCCGTGATGAAAGAATGGGAAGAAGACAAGTTTGTCATCGTCCCCGGCGTGGACGAAGACATCCACACAGCCAACGAGCGCCGGCTCGGCGAGATCATCGGCAAGGACGTCGCCGGCAAGCTGCACACGGGCCGCAGCCGAAACGAGCAGGTAGCCTGCGACATGCGCATGTGGCTGCGCGACGAGCTGCGCAAGATCGACCAGCACATCGTCACCTTCCTCAAGGTCGCCGCCGACCGCGCCGAGCGCGAGGTCGAGCACGTCATGCCGGGGTACACGCACCTGCAGCGCGCGCAGCCCATCCGCTGGAGCCACTGGGTGATGTCGTACAGCCTCGCCTTCGCCAACGACCTCGAGCGCCTGCGCGAGGTCATCAAGCGCGTCAACCAGAGCCCGCTCGGCTGCGGTGCCCTCGCCGGAAACCCCTTCAACATCGACCGGGACATGATGGCCGCCGAGCTCGGCTTCGAGGGCCTACTGTGGAACTCGATGGGCGGCGTCGCGGACCGCGACTTCGTCGCCGAGACGCTGCAGTGGGCGGCCATGCTCATGCAGCACGTCTCGCGTTGGGCCGAGGACCTGATCATCTACTCGACGGCCGAGTTCGGCTTCGTGCGCCTGGCCGACGCGTACTCGACCGGCAGCTCGCTGATGCCGCAGAAGAAGAACCCGGACAGCCTGGAGCTGCTGCGGGGGAAGAGCGGGCGCGTGTTCGGGCAGATGGCCGGGTTCATGTGCACGCTTAAAGGCCTGCCCAGCACGTACAACAAGGACCTGCAGGAGAGCTGGGAGGCGATGCTCGACACGGTCAAGACGGTCAGCGACAGCGTGCAGATCGCGACGGGCGTGCTCGCCACTCTCGACATCAAGCCCCAAAAGATGAAGGCGGCGCTCGACCCCTTCATGCTCGCGACCGACATCGCAGACTACCTCGTGCGGAAAGGCGTGCCGTTCCGCGAGACGCACCACATCTCCGGCCGCGTCGTCGCGCTATCGGAGCAGACGGACACCCCCATGAACGAGCTGACGTACGATCAGCTCAAGGGCGTCGACGCCCGTTTCGAGCCTGATATCGCGGAGTCCTTCGACTACGAGCGCAGTGTTGAAATGCGCTCGGCTAAGGGTGGCACTAGCAAGGATAGCGTGCTGCAGCAGATCAAGGTCTTGAGGCAGATGCTGGATGGTTGATTATGGGGTGATTGCCTAGGTGCCAACTGGCCTGCATAAAATTATACCTGCTGCTTATGTGCTGAGCGTACGACTACTTTGTCCCTATAGACGAGACGTATAGGAGGGTAAAGGGATCTCCTATTTCTAGGCAGTAAACTACGTGGTGGGAGATGGATCCATTTTTTACTCAGGTATAAAGAAAAGAAAAAGAATCGTCTTCGGTGCTTAGCATGAAACGAAAGAAGAAAAAAAGATTTGAAACGAAACGCCTAGTGCTGCTTGCTATCTATGTTCTATGTGTATTTCTCGGGTATCATGACTCGTTACCGTCACCATTATCCGGCTTCCGCCTTGCATTCTCTCGCGCATTTTCCTTGCGTTCTCTATTCTCATGCTCCTCCGCCCTCCCCGACTTCTCCTCCTCGTGCTCCAGCACCTCCTTCACGCCCTCGCCGCCCAGGTCCTTCGTCTCGTCCCAGTCGACGTCGTACTCCTCCGCAATGGTCCGGATCTCCCGGCGCAGCGCGTTGACGTCGTGCACGAGGACCTCCCACTTGCGGGTGTCGAAGCCGCGCTCCTGGTACAGCACGTTCTGGCGGCGCGAGACGGTGATGTTGAGCGCGGCCTGGTAGCTGAGGTCCCGGCTGATAAACAGGAACCACAGGTACCCGCCCATGATCATGGTGAGGCCGGCGAGGTAGGTGACGGGCTCCATGAGGTCCCAGCCGGCGTCGGTGTGGAAGGTGAGGACGTAGACGGCGGCCCACCAGCCGGAGAGGGCGACGAAGCCGGCCTTGGCGATGCGGTGCGCGCCCCGGTGCGCGAGCATGTCGCACTCGTGCTTGAGCTTGGCCAGCTCGTCGATGCGCCGCGACATGCGCCGCAGCCGCACGCGCATGTAGTGGGTGCGGTCGTTGAAGGAGGGCACGCCGACGCGCATCTCGGCGCTGTGGCCGACGATCTCGATCGCGAACTCGCGGCCGCGCGCCGCGTCCCGGATGAAGTCCCCGATCTCCGTGCTGCTGCTCCACCGCACCCATTCCTTGTGCTCCGCGGGGGTGTCGGCCCCCTCGCGACCCAGCCCCGAGTACGACGCCACGTTCGGCTTGTCCTTGTTGTCGCCCGTCTCCTGCCCCTGCTTGTCCTTCTCCGAGTCCTCGGCCAAGAAGTACACGCTCGGCATCTTCTCGCGCCCGTCGCTGTCCCGGATGGGCGGGAGCTCGGCTTGGATTAGCCGCTCGAGGTAGGAGAGGGGTTGTTGGGGGTGCATGAGGAGGGCGAGGGGCTGGATTTCCTCGTTCTGCGCGAGGGACCGGAATTCTCCCTTGTTTCCTTGCTCGTCGTGTGTCGCGTCAACAGGTAGGGGTAAGATTAGTTTTAGGAGTCGGGTGGGCGTTGTTAGGAGTTTGCCTGATATAGTTTGTCAGTGGTCTTCCTCGAATATTCTCGCTGGAGTGGCAGAGTGGTAGAGTGGCAGAATATGTACCCTTGGTCATAGTCTTGTTCATGAGTCTTGAATCGTTGTTGACGGGAGGCTGATCTGCGCCCTCCCTTTGCCAGGGGCGTTTGATTTGTTGCTTCGTAGCATCTTCAAAACCGGCTCGGACTTCTTTTTGGTGTGCGTCTTGATCTTTGTGGTCGATTTCTCTAGCGGTCTCGTTGCCAATTAAGTCTTCTCTAGCACAGGGTGTCGTTGTAAAACATCGATACGAAGCCGACAATGTATTCGCTTTTTGTATTATGGGACAGGTGCGAGTAGTAACGTAACGACGACTAGCCAACTGCCTCACAGTTGAGGGTGTCAACCTCGAACAGGTCCTAAACGCATAGCTCATCGCTGCTCCGTTTGCTATTTCCCATAAGCACCTGGTTAGGTAGGTATGTACCGAAAGCAAAGGAACCGATTATGGTTATGGTCACAATGCCTAAGAGCTGGAAATGAAGGTACCTAACTGACTGCGTACTAGGTACCCTCAGTCCAGTCTCACACAGCCTTGGAAAGCTGCCGGACCAGAAGCTCCCGACATGGGGTTGGATTCATTGGATTCATTGACGTCGCAAAGGATTCAATGTCCACTATTTTGTCCCTATTTCTGTGATGACGTCATATGGCTTGCAGCAATCAATCGATAGGATAGTAATCACATCTTAAAGCACGTGACTCTTTCCTTTTCTTTGTCAGCAAGTCTTTCTAATAATCTAACCTACATGTAGTTAATTGGATTATTAAAGATCCTCACCAAAATTAGATGTAAGGGCATTAGGTCTATAGAACTTAGAACAATACAACAACACAATTCTGACGAATTACTAAATACACGCTTATTTATGACAGTACTAGATCAGCATACTTTAAGCACCTTAATACTCGCCGGTTTGATCGCCCAAATATATTTTGTTGGTCTTGATCAATCAGGATGTAACCAGTACACCATCGGTCGGCGCCCATGAGTGAGGCAGCAGCTCGTCGAAAGTGAGTAGCCCAAGCCTACAATCATTCTCGGAGGCCATTTGGAGGTGAAACAGCAATTTCTCAGCCCTCGTACAACATCTGTACCTTATATATTAATCAACCCACCCCTTGGCGCAATACAGTTGGTAGCAGAACAGCTCATTGCTACCATACTAACGTTAGCAATGAATCCTCTTACTAGCAAGCGTTATTTATGAGTAATCGCTAGTATGATGATGTGCATAGTAAGTGGCATTTACTACCTGCGCCTACCAATTGCAGGCATGGCCATCCATCCGGTTTCCCATCCTACAACTGTTTCGATATTTTCAGGAGAAGCGAACACCATTGGCAATCATTCTAATTTATAGGGAACCATCTGAGCCACTTTATGCTTAGGGGAAGCTGGGGCCAAAATCTCAGACCTCTTACAAAAAGTACATGCATACTACTATAGTACTAGAAGAAGTTCAAATTTCTAAAGTTGGAAGTTCTTTGACCACGGAGGAATACGCTGGCGGTCCTATATGCAGTGGAATTGCTGCCTACGCCCAGACGTTGTTGGTACAGCGATTTTTATGGGCTATGCTGTTACTCTGATCCAATCAGTTTCAACCTATCGACCTATAAACGCACCTCTACGTTTCTATTGCCGCTAGACGGACAGCGCAACTCTAACCCAGCCCTACTCGGCCCTGGCTGTCAGCAGCATCTTGGCGTTAGCTGTGCCCCATAATCTGCTGGATCGGGTTCGGGTAGAGTAGGCAGGTATGTATGTAAGACTCGACCAAGTGAGAGACAAGCCCTCGTGGTTGTCAGTGAAAGAGGTGTAAGCCATGCTTTATAATATGGCCACTTCACCCTCTATCGGTTGCTTGGGATGTCATACAAAGAATTATAGATTTTAGACCGATTCTGATATCCTCGACGGTGGTCCTTCTTGGAAGCTATCGCGAAATATCAACGTTCCATATCTATTTCATTGGATAAGAACCCAGCAAAGCAGTAGACATAGTTCTTGACTATTTCGTCCCGATCTATTGTTACCATCGAAGGACAGCAATTCGAAGACTCGTAACACTATCAGAGACTTATACAAAACACTAACATCCTATATCGGCTGACCACCCCAACTCGATCCCCTCTTCAATATCTTCTACCTCCCAGAGGAAGCAACATAATGACTACCGTCAACGGCAACTTCAGAAAGGAATTCATTATTGCTATTGCAGTTGGAGCGTCCATAACAGTTGTGGTATTGGCGCTTGTTTGCGTCGCAGCACAATGTGGCCCACGCCTGTGTGGTCGTCGGCGGAAAGAGAAGTGGTTTAGTCCTACGCTAGAAGAAGGGCACCCTCAAGAGCTTCCCCTAGTACGGGAAAATCCTTACCCGAAAGAACTATCATGAAGGTGCCGACGGTTTTCATATCACGCCAGAACTAAGAAGTACGCCGAGCTCTCACCCAGGAATGCGTGGATTTTCATAATCAGCGCATGCGGCGAGAATACGACGGTATACATTCATCCAAGCACCTATACATGGGGTCGGCCGGAGTAATGAGCGATAAATGGCAACGTTATTGCCACGTACGCAATGTCAGCTCGACGACACATCCTACTTTAGTACAAGCTGTGATTCGATATCAGATGAAATTCTACGGCTATATCGGACGAGTGAAGGTGCCAAATCCACATCACTTGAATTGTTTCAAGGTCGAGATTTAAGGTATTTTTTTGCTAGGGGGAAGTTGGCTCGACAGATATAGGCCAACTTGCCTAATATCAACCCGAGAGGAGGTCGAATAGACGTGGAATGAGAAGACAAGAAATTGCCTCACTACGACGATTGCAATATCCAATGTTTGTGGTGGGCTACGATTTATATAACATGTGGGAATGAATAAATGGCGAACATCACAATCTCAAATCACATACCTAGAGTTGTATAGAGTTAGCAATTGGACTATGGCTTTAAAGTCAACAATGATGAACTTGCTTGTTACCGAATGTAGCCAATGCCCAGCGAGTTTCAATGAGATGTTATACGGAATCTATCTCCATAATGGTAGATATGAAGGAAGAAACCATGCTGACGTCAAAAGACAATAAGCTATTCAACGTCGAGATTGGGTTTAAAATGCCATGAAAAGCGGTTGCCATCTATAAATATCACTGTCAGCGATTTAGTAGTCAGCAGAGCTAAGGGGTCATCCGTCCCCGCACTAACCACCGCGCACGCTGCCTCAAGGGTATAAAAGGGGGTTATCGCTCACTACGTTACCTAGAATCTAGCAGGATATTGACTTGATGTATATTTGCTAGATTCCAGTACAAGAACGTTAAGCAGTTTATCTGTGATTTCAACTACCTATCCACGTATTCGGCGTGTCAAGCATGGCCAAAGACAACATAAACCACACCACGTATTGTCCAGTATGCACCGCACTAACCAAGCCACCCGCATCCTGCACCACCACGGCTCTCCGTGAATCCTCCGAAGGCGGTTGTGCCACCTGCACGCTCCTCTGGGACGCGCTATCCGCAAAGCTTGATCTGCAGAAGCCCGGGATAGAGCGCGTCGAGTCCATCGGCGGCTACGAGTTCTTCAGCCTTACGGCGGGCTCGGCGCAGCGACGGTTCACGGGGGGCTCGCTCTGGGATTATATCTCGGTTACGCTCGCGGTCGATGGAGGTACGTACGTATGTTGTGGATAGATAAAGGTAGGTATTAGGGATAAGGACGTGTGCTAACGTGGGGGGTTGGTTGTTGTAAGGAACTCATCCGGAGATATTGGATTGGTTGCCGAGATTGGACAAGCCGTCGCTTGATAGGACGAAGGAGAGCGATGTCAAGTGGATCAGAGATCGCCTGGAAGACTGTCGACAGAACCACGCCCAATGCCCTGATTTCGGCGAAAAACAACTGCCAACCCGCGTCATCGACGTCGGGCTCAGCGGGCAAGAGCCCTTCCTGCACATTTCCTCCAACGGTGAAAAGGGCCGGTATCTAGCGCTGAGCCACCGCTGGGGCGACCCCAGCTCATCTCACAAGAAGCTCTTGACTCTTACGCGGAACATAGCATCCCGCCGCCAGGGCATCCCCCTGGCCGCGTTTCCCAAGACGTTCCGCGAAGCCATCGAGGTTGCACGGGGGCTGGGGATCCAGCACATGTGGATCGACTCCCTGTGCATCGTGCAGGACGACAAGGCGGACTGGGCGGTGGAGGCGGGGCGCATGGCGAGCGTGTACGCCGACGCGTTCGCGACGCTGTTCGCGGACCGCGCTGCGCACAGTGACGATGGGCTGTTCCAGAGCGAGGGGGACCGGGAGACGCCACAACAGCGCTCGGTGCGGGTTCTACACCACCACCATCACCACCACCACCACGACAACAAGGACTCCGGCGATGCTGCCACAAAGGTCTTCGTACAGACACAAACCGACGCCAACACCGCCTCCTTCGCCACCTCCCCCGTCGAGCTCTTCTGCCAGTCCTCCCAGCGCACCAGCCAGCTCGCGTGCCGCGGGTGGATCCTGCAAGAAGAGTGTCTCTCCCGCCGCAAAGTCCTCTTCACCTCCACGGAGCTGCTGTGGGAGTGTCCCGCAACCTCCATCTGCGACTGCGGGCTCCGCGTGCCCCCCAGCATGGAGGACCCGAGCCTCAACTTCGGCATCCTGGTAGCGGACCCGGGGTCGGAGAAGGCGCGGAGCCAGCGGTGGAAGACGCCGGCGTGGCTGTGGATGCAGATCGTGGAGCACTACACGGCGAGGGACTTGACGTTCGAGGCGGACCGGCTTATTGCGCTGGCGGGGATGGTGAGCTTGGTCCCGTCGGGGCGCGCAGATGGGGGTGCGTATCTGGGCGGCGTGTGGCGCGAGCAGTTGGATAACCACGTCCTCTGGCGCGCCGTGTCGTCCAAAAAGGAGGGCAAGAGCCGCAGGACGGGGGTGTACGTCGCGCCGTCATGGTCGTGGGCTTCTATCTCCGGCCGAATCAAGTTCGTCCCGCTGTCCACCGGAACAAGGTTCGTCTGGCAGGTGCTCGACGCCGTGTGTGTACCCAAGGCACAGGGGAGCAACGGCGGTTTTGGACAGGTGGCTTCTGGTTATCTGCGGGTTAAGAGCCAAGCTATGCGGGTTAAGCTGGAGGAGCGGCCGCAGAACATGCGCAAGGAGATCGCGCAGGAGCACTGGGATAACGGGGACACGACGTGGCGGGTTCGCGGCGAGGGGGTGCGGTTCCTGACGGTGGTGCCTGCGCAGACCATTCCAGGTGTTGCTCTCCCGCTTGACACTATCCTGGAGCTCGACGTCCAGAGCGACTGGGACGAGCCGGCGCTCCGCTGTGGCCCGTCATCGTCGGATTTGCGGCTTCTGTGCGTCGCGCTGGTGGACACGTTTTGGGAGGGCGTCGCGGCGGAGAGGGCGATTTGTCTGCTACTTAGACGCTCGGCGAAGAAGGGGGATTGTTGGGAGAGGGTGTGCTATACTTTTCTCAAGGGGACTTGGAAGTCGTGGGAGCCTTATGTCTTCGATGAAGAGGTTGCTATAGTATAGACGGTCGGGGATTGCAATGAGTCTCGGTTCATGCCTACCAATAGGTGTGATTAAAGTGAGGCAATCATCTTCGTGGTTAAATTTCCTCGTAGGTACATACATGTAGTTAAATATACACTAGTCTCACGTCATCTTACATGAAAATCTCAGGAGAAATTATATGGAGTTATTACCTGCAAAGAGACCGTGATCACTACAGACCCCTCGGGACACCGTTGACGTGTGAGAAAACGTAGCAAGATAATTGTGCTGTGATGGTTAGGAACTCTCAATTACAACATACCACTTTCAGCTACGACTTGGATTATCCCTATTTGTATCTACGTAGAATCTCTCCTTCGGAGCTATCGTGAAGTACTTGTTAAAAGTTGGAAGGATTAGGCTTCTTGTGCCTGCTCTAGGATTTCCTACTAGGTAAGTCATTCAGGGGTAAAGGGTGGCCAGACCCACCCCTTTTATTTATGTGTCTTGGAAAAGACGAAGGAAACAGCTATTCTCGACAAACAAAACCCCAACTCACCCAAAAGCTTGATAATATCGTTTGGAAATAACAACCAGAGCCATTATGTAGGTATCTTTGAAGTCATCTAATGCTACATAGTCACTAAAATTGGCCCGCTCTTCGGTAATCCTTTTTCAACATTCGAGAATAAAATATCAAGAGTATGATGAATTCATGGCTTCGATCATACCTAGTAGCCAGCAAGCACATATGAAACAAACCTATCAAGACAAATCACAATCAATCGATCCTCGAAGAAGAAGTATTGAACCACGAAATACGAGTGTGATTCTATTAAAGCTAAAAGAGTGTGATCAAGGCCATGACATATATAAAAATATAGAATCAAAAATCAGAATCGAAACTTCTCAAGTTCCATCCAACCATACAGTTTATCTTCCCCATCATCCCTCCCTACTTCAGCTTATTTCTTCCAACTAAATCTCCGTTTCGTTTTTTCTAGGTAGGTAGGCAGCAAAAAAACTCTAGCGTCGAGTGCCGTGCTGGCTCTCTTTGTCTCGTCTCGTGCTTTTTCTTTTCACACTGGAACCCATTTAGAGGATGAGTTGGGTGCAGCTGAGGTCGAGGTTGATCAAGCTGTTCTGTAGGCGCGGAGGATGAGATTAGTGATGATGCCTAGGTACCTACTTTAGGAATGGAAGGGCAACATACGACTGGGGAGTTGTTAGAGCAGCAGTAAGCCTGTCCAGTGCAGGCCGAGTTGATGACCTGGACGACACAGGCCAGGATGCCGGCGGTGCAGCACACCTGTTGCTGGGTGTTGGTGCAAGAGCCAGACTGGGTGCGGACCTCGATCTCGGCGGGGGCAGCAGTGGCAACGGCGGCCAGGGTGAAGAAGGTGAGGGTGCTGAACTGCATTTTAATGGTTGGGTTGGGTTGGGGAAAAAGAAGTTGGTCTTTTAAAAAAGAGGGAATTTTAAAAAAGGGAGTTTATGCTGAAGAGACTGAAGACGGTTGAAAGACTGAAGATGGATGATGATCTGAGCTGGTGATTATATTTTTTTTTCTTTCCATTTCGTGAGGACTTGAGCATCGTTTTATACCCGTCGAAGCTGCTCTTCCATCAAGTCTGGTTACGCCTAGCTCTGCAGCCCTGTTGCGTTTTCGGACATGCCCAGTCAAAGCTTTGATACTTGCTTGGGGCTCTTTTCCCCCTGAGGCTGTACATACTCTAATTTCTTCTTTTTTTTCACCATGGCGTTCCGTATCGGAATATGATCTCTCAACTGGCCCATTTCGATCTACCTAGGTTAGATGAAGGGTGTCGAGTTAGGAAACATACCCATTGATTTCAGCAAGGATATTGTTTTCCCACTGCCAGCAGCCACAATGACCTTTTGTCAGGCCGCTTCATCTTGCCCGTGCGACTCTAGTGCCTACATATCGCACCACGCAGAACTGTTTGAATATCAGGTTTCGATGATCGATGTACGCCACCGCAGGCGTAGACTACTTTACCAGGCCTCGGGCCCACGGCAAATGTGACTGAATAGGACGTCCAGGTCGAGCATATCCAACCAGCTACCCTTGTTCTTCAGCTGGTTGGGTGTAACCCAGCTCTAGATCCAGCCACTTGGTCTGGGGGTAATGCAGCTCTAGTACCTATCCTGAAGAAACTCCCCGGGAACATGGTTTTTCTGGCTTTCCTAGTAACGGCTGCAGATCGATCTACGCTACGCGGGAATGCCCGCGCCAGATCTAGCGATGGGGTAGGTGAAGAAACATAGAAAGTAGAAGTGATCTTCTCTCCGCCTTTTCAAACTGGCTCAATAGGAGAATTGATGGGGATGAAAAGTCAAGACATGCTTCCCAACGGTCACTCTGCAGCATTTGATTCACCTTAATTGTCATGACGAAAAGACAAAGTAGTTTTGGCATGCAAGAAATAGGGACTTCTTTCACAACATTAATTAGGTGGCTCTCTGTGTGGTTACTACGTGTATTATCACAACGTCATGATTACTCCCCGGGACTTGTTTCCTGTGCATACATACTGCAGGCGTAAGCGACCAGCCTTATACTCTATTTTTCATGATTGGCGGCAAATAAGTAATACCAATGCAAGCCCCATGGAAAAATAACGACAAGTCAGCCCTTCTACCTAAGTACGTAGCTGCTTAGCTATGCGCCCCCTTTGGCGCGCTGGGTCGCCCTAGAGACTGATATGGATTTTCCAGCCGCTTGGCGAACTGTCCAGTCAGCAAGTAGGATTCGGGGTTCCCAAACCAGCCTCTTCCAAGTCATTGTTCATAGCTTCGAGCCCAATCCATGCCATTCCCACAGTATATCTTCAAGTAAGGTTTATATTCAGAAACTGCGTGGATCCAGCCAGGGCAATATGTTAATATTGCGGGAGCTGATCACCTAAACAAGTTAAGTAATGAAAGTCTTCATCGAGATCTGATTGCTCTATAGACCGCTAACCTAGAGTTGCAGATGTTAGTAGGAGTGCGGGCTCTTCCGCCGACTAGGGGAAGGGGAAACTCCGTCCGTCCGAATATCCTCTAATCCTGTATAGCAGCAAGATGGATTGGACAATATTCACCAACTCCGTCAACAAACACTACGACATGCCGGAATTGGAGGCTAGCTGAATATAAGCAGCCCACGCTTGAGGAGGAAAACTTATAAACTACCCCGTTAGGCCCGGCAACCTTGTATGTGGAGGATTTGCTCCTCATCGTTTCCCGGTATCCAATCCCTGATCAAGTCAACTTGGGCTTGATACCCCGTGGTCATAGACTCATGATATCACTGGTCAGATGGTTTTCCTTGGAAGACTGCCATCTCTACTTTAGAAGAAGAGACAGCTCTAGCCCTTGCTTTTTCCTAGAACCATCCAACTTTTAGAGTGTAAGCCCCGATGACGCTCTTTAGACTAGATGTCCCTTGGTTAACTAGGTGTCGGTAATACGAAGAAAGGGGCAATAGGGGACTTTTGCCGATACTGCTGTGTGACCTTGCTGCAATTCATATGAAGCTTGATCAAGAATCAGAGGCTGGCATACATATCTATCCTGAAGTCCAATTTGGGGCACATGTGGCAAGTACAACCGATGACTAGGATTGCAACACGACCGAAAGAAAAGGCAACATGCTTAGTCTCTGGTCTAGGCGTAGGTGATAGCTGTGGCCGCAATAAGTCATACGACCAGGAGTATACATGCAGGGAACCTGCGGAGCCAAGGGACATTAGTTATCGTGTCATTGCTTGGGAGAAATGTTACTTACCAGCAGGGCCAAGTCCATAGCCTAGATTGCCAGAAATCCTAATTTTGGAAATTCGTTTCATTAAGTCTGGCTCTCCGATTCCGACCGTTTTCCACGACTTCAGTCACGATAATACATATGAACCATCATTCAATCAGCGATTGCAGAACGAAGAACAGAACAACGCATGTTATTGGAAGGGGCAAATAGCTGCACCGTACCGGAAAACGGGGATCGTGTGGCCGAAGAAGTCTGTAGCCACGCGGGCGCCCCTTCGTTCTGCATGGTGGCGTGTAGGATTTCATATACAACAAGTGCATCAAATACATGCAATACGAGCGCCACATTCTTGTGCATGTATTTCATTGTGAAGACATATGTGAGTTCCTCCTTGGGGCAGGCTTCCGTCCGAAAGACTATTAGGCTATTAATGAAGTCAATTTGCCTTTGGAAATTGGAGTTGGATCGTGTTTGATAATTATTTTGTAGAAAGCGATTTCCAGATGTTGCAATTGTAATCATCAATGACAACATTGATACAATCATCATAATAATACTGAGAAGCCATATAGGCAGCAGCATATCCTAAACTGGCGAACACGTTCGATGCATCGACTTCATTCGGCGGCATGCCTCACCGCCGTTGGCTGCAGAAACCTATTGGTTCGAACTGAATGGAACGGCGTAACGGAAGCCTGGATAAATCTCCTCTATTCGTTGCTCCTCCATATGAAAAATGACATGTTCTCGACTGCAAAGGCCCAATCCAGCTAGTCGACAAGTAAGGGACGTAGACGTGCCGTAGCTAGGTATTGCAGGTTCCTTGAATTTGGCAAAAAAGCATCATTGATCTATACAACGTGCTTCCATCTGTGATTTTCAAGAAAACTTGGGGCTACAATGGATCTATGAGATCTAGGTTACTTGCATCTGCCTCGTAAGTGGGCGAGTAAAAATGAAGGCGAAGGAAAAAGAGAATCTCAAGAAATCCTGGGGATGTTGATAAATGTTACCTCGATCTGAAAGATCACAAGATCATAGTTTTGAGTGTTCATTGTGTAAACGGATTGGAAATCTTCTTTTTTTTTTTTTTTTTTTTTTTGCCTCGATTAGCTCATGGCATGACATGCATATAGCGAAGAAAATCTAAATAGGGGGAAGGACTCCGAAGGAGAAAGCCCCTTTCTTAGGCAAACTCTAAACTGCCAGCCGAAGAAACTCCGTCACCTGGCAATCAGGTGACGGGCCAAGGAACGTCATGGCTCACTCAAACGTCTGCCCCGCCAAGGCCAACTCGTCTGTTTCTAGCACGCCTATCACGCTTGCCACTATCCGCCTAGGTAACCTACCTCTGTATGTACTACTTAGTAGTACATAGCTGCCTGCGACGACAAGAGTCACTATCGATACCACCGATATTTCAACCTTGAATTTTTAAATAATCCAATTGCGAGCCGAGCCACCTACCCCAGCTACCTCATTACAACGAGAACAATCCTCGAAACGACTTCATTCAACCCACCCACCCATCCTTTTCGCACCGCACCGTACCGCCCCCATGAACCGCCTCTTTGGCAGCGCGCCCAAGGCGCCCAAACCCACGCTCAACAGCGCCATCTCCACAATCGACAGCCGGATCTCCTCCTTCGACGTGAAGATCGCCTCCCTCAACGCCGAGCTCGGCACCTACCAGACCAAGATGTCCAAGATGCGCGAGGGGCCCGGCAAGGCCGCCCTGAAGTCCAAGGCCCTGAAAGTCCTGCAGCGCCGCAAGCAGTACGAGTCGCAGCGGGACCAGCTGCAGAGCCAGGTGTGGAACATGGAGCAGGCGCAGACGATGCAGGACAACCTGGCCGGGGTGATGACCACGGTGGACGCGATGAAGACGACGCAGAAGGAGCTCAAGAAGCAGTACGGCAAGGTCGACCTCGACAAGATCGAGCGCATGCAGGACGAGATGGCCGACCTCATGGACGTCGGCAACGAGATCAACGAGACCCTCAGCCGCGGCTACGAGGTCCCCGACGACGTCGACGAGTCGGAGCTCGACGCCGAGCTCGAGCTGCTCGGTGCCGAGATGGAGATGGAGGGCGTCGGCATGGATGCCGGTGGCGTGCCGGACTTCATGAGGGATGAGGTGCCAGAGTTTATTGACGAACCGCCCGAGGCCGGTGGCAAAGTACAGGAGGCAGCGCGGTGATACCACGAGACCATATGACTGCCGCTTTGGAGAGAGCAGGAGGAGTTACAGGAGTTCATGTAATTACGGGGTTTAGGACGACATATCATTACAAATTACAATATCACTAGGAATATCCTTTTCTATTCACTTAACGTCTTCTATCTAATTATTGGTGCTATCAACAACACGGTCGACATAGTGTGTACTAATAAGTATATGTACTTTCACGGCTATTCCGCACACCAGTGGTAAGAATTACTTTACGTTTGGATCTGTAGCATCTCTACTCCACCGTTCCAAAAAACGGAGATGCCTCCTCGAGTTCGGGGTCACCGTTGCAAAAGTCCCAGCCTACGATAGTACTTGTTTGGCTACAGCAGATGATTCGTCGTGCATCGAATTGCAGCTTGAAAATCCTAGCAGCGCTAGTGTCGCCTGGCGGAATATGCGGGTGTTGTTGGTGTTGAGCAGGCGCCGGAACTTGCGCTTGAGGTGTTGCGGTTTGTGGTTGCGGAGTGGGATTCATTATATGAGCCAAACTGGGAGGTGGCCCACCCCCGTTGCTAGCCATGGCATGTCCTGTAGTAGGAGCATTGGACGGACCAGCGGTGCTAGAATTTGCATTTGCATGAGTTGAACTGTGTGCAGGCTGAGAGGGTGTTGTCTCTGCCGAGCCCGAGGTTGCCGAAAGTGCCTGTTGTACAGATTCTCTGATGCGATTCTGCGCGAGCTGTGCTCTGACTAGAGCAGCGCTAACGACTTGCCGCAGTTGCGAGCGAATGATGGCGTTTACTTCACGATCGATGGCTGCTTGAATATGAGAATGATAGGTTAACATGGTAGGATAAGCAGCTAATGCTTGTTGAAGAGCCGCTGGTCCTTGCGGCACACACGCATCGATCATCTGGGTGTAAGACTGGGTGGTTTGCGGGGTGATTGTAGCGATAATAGGATGCTCAACATGTGTAAAGTTCGAGTGTGTTTGCGCCAGCGTTGGCGGCGCATTTGCAGGAGGCGTTGGCACATGACTGGAGAGTGCATTCCTAGCTTCTGATCCTAGTGTGGATGGCCCAGGAGTTGCCCTCGAAGTGGAGTTCAAAGATGCTTGTCTCAGAGCAGCAGCAGCCCCTTCCTCCTGACGAAGGATATGCGCACTCTTCCAGATTCCCTCTCGATCTCGTCGCCAGATTATGATGGTCTGGTCATAGGAGCCCGACACGATTCGTCCATAAGGGCCGCCACCGCCACCAGGAGGGAGCTTAGCGCCATACGCAGTGATGTCTTCGGGTCGGCGACTACCCGCATTGTGGGGTTTACGTCTTTGCGACTTCACCTCTTCTAGATCGCCGGCATTCAATGCCCTGAAGTACTCTTGGTCGACGGCTTTTGCTTCCAAGAGGTCCTGCTCGGCGCTATAGGGAAGGTCGGCAAAACCAGCTTGTACAGTTCGCACCAAGTTGCCATGTGCTCGCAAACTCGCGACCTCAAGGCCCGTTTCTCGGTCAAATACTTTTACTTCGTTGTCGCTACTACCACTGACAATACGTCGGCCGTCATATTGAACACAAGCGATACCTTTATGATGTCCTAGGAATGTCCGCGAGCACATCTGGTTCGGCCAATCCCACACTTTAATATGCCTATCTCCACTGGCCGACACAATTTCACGGCCACAAATCTGAACGGCGTTCACAGCCGCATTGTGACCTTCGAGACACCCAATCATGGTGAACGGTGGCTTAATGGCTAGTTGATTCACAGGTGAATCGTCGTAACCGTAGTTTCTCAGGTTGATAGGGACAGGACTGACACCTTGAGTATCGCCGTAACCCATGTCCCCCGGTCGTAGTGGCACACGATTGAATATTTTGATGGTCTTGTCCTTAGAGCAGGTGACGAGAATTTGTTTGTTAAACTTGACGTTCAGAACCGATTCTTTGTGAGCTTTTCGAAGCCGCTGTATGATCTCGCCCGTTGAGAACTTCCACAGAATGACATCTGAATCGCTGCTTCCGGAGACAATCAAATCTCCTTCAGGGTCCGAATCGAACTGTAAGCAGAGGACCGATCCCTGGTGGCCTCTCAAAGGTGGCCGTACGAGGCGTCGGGTGCGTAGATTCCACACTCGGAGTGTCCGATCTCGACTACCGCTAACCAAATACTCGGAATTATACTGAAGGCTATAGATGCATTCGTTGTGACCCTCTTCTAGGTGATCTGGATGGGGTAACTGGAAATTCGTGAATCGGCCACGGTCCCAATTGCGCTCCAATCTTCGTCTCATCGTATACATATGCTTCCAATTGATTTTGTACTTTCTTTCCATCTCATGGTAATTCCAAAGCGAAGACTTGGGTAGGCGGTGAGCATTGGTGGTCTCGATGAGCGAGTGCGCAGGATTCAGAGACTCGGCAGTAGCCTTGCCCTTTCCCTTGGACATTCCCCTCGAGTCTTGAATGGGGCTGGGTGATTTCATCATCAAGGTACCCATATGCTGGGTGACGCTAGTATTACTCTGCGCGGACGAGCCACTTCCTCCCTGCTGATTGGGACCAAACGAACCGGAGTTGAATATGCTAGGTAGATGTTGTTGCTGTGTTGCGGGTGCATCGGCATCTACCATTTCGTAATCCTCGTCAACTTGAGATGCCGGGTCCGAAACGGCCCGCTTCTTACTAACATGGCCATCTTCGGATGATTGAGCTCGAATTTGAGAGGAAACGAGGATGTTGTTCATGCGTTGCTCGGCAGCCAGGATCTCGTAAGGTATAGCCTTCCAGCCTTCGAGATAGAACAAGTCCTCCCAAAGTTTGCGATCCACGGCAAGTTCATACCAGTTTCGACAACAGGTTGCAACGTGGACTAGAGATACGGGATCTAGAAAGCCGAGGATCTTGAGGCATATCTCAGCTGGTAACCAGTTGACAAAATCGATATAGAGGCGGGGATTCAGTTCGTTCATGACGATATCGGCAACCACAGTGGTGGGTAGACCGTCCAGAATAAGCATGGCAAGACCTATATAATTAGTGTAAGGTAGGTAGGCACACGAACAAAAAGCATCTAGATTTGGTGTGGTTTGGATAATGCGAAACGGGGGGTTGGGAAGAGGGTACATTGGGAATGCTTGGGACCTTGGAACTTACGAGTCCTTTGATGCACCGACAATGTGGGTAATTGAGCCGATAACCATGCCGGTATATCGGCAGGTGATCGCTTTGCCGACAGCGACGTGTTGTTCACAAGGCCAGCGGAGTCGGATGGATTTAGAGGGTGTTCGGAATAACCCTCGTCGGGTTCCTGGGTGGGAGAGAAAGGATCCATTATTCGGTAGGGTTACTTGCGGTCACCTCGGGGGGAGGGGGAGGCTTGGGAGGCTTGGGGACGATACGTTGGTCGTAATGAATTGAAGTCTGGGTGATCACCTGTTATACGACGGGGGCTTTAGCAAGTACGGATGTACGTAAGGCGACAAGCGAAAGGTAATATGCGACAAGCGACAAGCGACAAGCGACAGGACAGGCAACTAGTGATTAGTTACCAGCTACCAACTACCAAACGTGGTTGAAAAAGGCAGCGTTCTAAAGTTGGTCTAATAGGTGGTTGTGATGGTATCATAGAGTGCGTCGCCAATTAGGCGGCCAGCAAAATGCAATGCACTTCGCCTCTCGGATTTCCCATATGATTCGATCGTGTGATGAGATTCAAGAAGAAGGGAAAATAAAAAGAACAAAACAAACCCCAAAGAGCACTTGAGAGTTTGTTGCCTATCTAATGCAGCAACAAAGCAAGTAGGTAGTAGATGCGCGATCGTCAAGGCAGGAAAGATGTACAACTGCTCTAATAGGTAGGTAGGTATAATAGATGCTATCCATGGAAGCAATGTTGCCAATGTTGCACTGTAGCCCTGGAGTTGTTGATGTTGTGGGGAAGGGATTAATAGTAGATTTTAGTGTTGATATCTGGTATTAGCAACGTCCCTAATTAGTAAGAACTTTGAGGTGTGTGTTACAGTGGGTTCTCATCAATCTGCCACGCAAGTATGTAACCTTAAAAGGCTTCAGTTAGGTGTGCCACTGCCACCATCAATGACTGCCCCAGTGCACTGGCATTTAATCAACGAAAGTACAATACTTGGTGGGTCATTTGCTTAGTTGTGTAATTGATGATTGGTCAATTGTCAATGGTCAATCCCTGCATCAATACTGCTATGTACAAGTATTGTACATATGTACTGTACTATCATAGGTAACAACATTAATAAATAAACATCCAACTTTGAAGCACACATGTGCATGTTGTAAGCACGGTGAGGGGGAGGGGTCGTTGCTATCAGGTCCTAGGTTAGGTATGTATGTATGTTGGTATTTAGCCCCGGCATTTCCTCCGCAGGGGTCTAATTTAGATGTAACCGATCCATTGATGTCCTCTTTTATATCTTTATATAGAAATCGGATTCCCTATCATCTATGGAAACAGCTGAAAAGCTTGCCATACAAACCTGGCTACGTATATCTACATCTAGAAATAGATAGGACTGATTATTACCTAAGTATACGTAGTAATTAGACCTTCATTTGCTATTATTACTACAATGAGTTGCCGTTTACTTGTCGATCTATCCCACCAATTATTCCACATAACTTGGAACTATGTCGAGGCTAGCTCTTCACGTCTTATTTAATGTTTGACAATGTCTTGATATCTTTTGCTTTTAGATTATACCTAGCAGTTAAGCCATCAGTCAATATCGACTACTTAGGTGTATAGCGTGAACATCAAGATGTCCCTGAAAACGAAACAACCCACGCCACGGATGAATGCATACACTCAACCAACAATATCATACTACGACGTGAAGGGATTCTGCAGGTAGGTAGATTTGATGGATGTGATGTTTCAAATGAGTGCGGTTATCCGCCACTTACACATCCAAGGCAAGTGAAATGCTTGATTCGATGCTTTTAAAGACACTACGAGGCCTATGTCTCTTTAGCATAAGACATTCGATATCTACATATAAGTGCTTGTATCGTAAATTGGCTTGTAGCCCTAAAGACCCTCGGCCACTACATAGTACTGTAGCCACTTTTGCATCTTCGCTGATCATGGCTTAAGGTTCTATGGATTGCATATTATATCAAATATAAAAGACTCAACTCGCAAAAAGGTATGTACTTACTTATACCTAACCTACTAGGTAGTCTACTGCTATGTAATAGTGGGTTCAGCATGTGACTCGGATAGTCTGTCTCTTGGAACATGCATAGAAGCATTAGAATCTTCGATGCCTAGGCTAATCATACAACTCCCTATCACATCCCTGTAATACCTTATCTTCTCTGCTTCTCTGCTTGCACGAGAACATGCCACCACACCGTCGTCCCTGGTGGTTGTGGTGGCAGGAATCAATATCCTCGCTCCACGAGTCTTGACGTGCTTGTTACGAAACCATACCCCTCAACCCCCTTTCCAATGCAGTAGAATTGATGCTCATTCTTTGGGGTAAAAGATACATATTAGAGTAGTATACTTATACTACTGCGCAATTTGTAGTATTTTCACTTACTAAAAGCCGTTGCATCCTAGCCTTCTTGGAGTTTAAAAGGACCGATCCGCTCTCATGTGGAGTAATAGTATTATGGCTGACTGCATGTGTAAGAAAAACCCAAGAAACTCACGGTGAATGCTGATACTCAGCTACCTACCTAGGCCCTAGGGTATGTACATACCTGGGCTGCTTGGTAACGATATGTGTAGTGTATTCACGCAGGTGATGTAATTGGGGATATTTCAAGGATTGCTTGCAGTGGCCAGGCTGCTAGGTAACCTAGAAGTTTCCAATCTGCTGGTCTCCCCCTCCCCCTCCCCCCTTTTTAGACCTACAGGTAGACTTCAGCTTGTGTACCTATGGTCCTATGCACTTGCCGCCTGTCGCAACAAGGCAATCAAGCTCAAGCGTTCTGTTCCAATCTTTTACATCCTGGCAACATTCAACCTAGTGAGTGCCTGGCAAGTCAACCTTTCGTAACAGGTGCGGCTATCGGGATCGGTACGAATAAGCATACATACATATCTACATGATACTACATATGTAGGTACATAGGTGGCATAACATGACCGCCGGTTATCAGAATATCATAGTCCTGTATGGGCAAGAGCGGGAAAAGCTTGTCGATCAGGGTCACTTTCGGGATGACAATTCTCTGTCCAGTGCAACGGGATTTAGCTCATTCAGGCATAGCTCGGGGGATTCGCTAATTTGAAACAGCTAAAGGCTCCATCACGATTAATGCCCAATTGTGGGAAACTTCTAGGTTGACAGTTCTTACCATTATAGCTCTCGGTGAGTTGAAGCTATCAGCAGTCCTAGCCTCCAAGTAACGCTTCGCGCCTGACTTCAACTTACCACCTACATATACATAGCACGTAGGCAGCCTCTTAGTTTATTATAGCCCTGCTGGGGGCCCATAGTTTTGGGCACATTCAGTAAGAGCATGCATTGAAAGCTCTCCGGTAAAGGTAAGTTCAGGTAGCGGTGGACAAATATATCATAATATATGTCTGCTTTAGGTCTTCTCTCCAGTTCTTTGTTGTCAGAAAAGATGCATGATGATGTGTAAATAGGCACTTCGAGGCATGCTATTCAGCCTATTTTAACACTTACATACATGGATAGCATTGATAGGGTTGTCTACAGTGCCTACTTAGGATATAGGACACCTAGGGTAGATAGTTGTTTCTGAATATTTGGCGAAATCTTGAGCTTGCTTGCATATTGCCATTATCATTCTTGTAAAGGAAAGAAGAGATACATATGTAGGCGCAACATTGGAAAGCATTGTCTACACTGTTCCACATGCTTGTAACTCATTGGGTTTATTACATGTGTAGGTACTTAGCTAGGTTAGGTGCTTCAACACTGAAAGTCGATTTAGTTTTAGTGAATATGTAACAGTCACTAGCGCCCAATATAATGGGAAACTGTCATGTGCTACATACAATCGCACGGATTCGCACCTGCTAAGGTAGGCGAGTAAGGTACCTATAGGTAGGTTTGTAGTACACCAAAAATCAACCAAAAAAGACCGGCAGGTAGAAAAAATGCCGGGCCATGTAACGATAACTAACCCAGCTAGGATAATTGATCACTGATATTATTCCTAAACGTCAAATTGACAAGAACAACCTAACTAAGTACATACAATAGTTCATAGTCCACTGTCCACTGTCCACCGTCCATCGTTCAACTAACTGTACTGTCCACCGTTCGCCATTCACCATCCACAATCCACCTAATCTGCCCATCCGCATCCCGCAACCCGCAAACTTCAATCCACACAACATCAATGAATCGATAAAGCCACAACACAATCACCGTCGCTAGCCAACCAAGTGACGAACTACTTAAATATACATAGTGCTTTACGCAGGAACCGCAGCCGCCCACCTGACTTGCACTGTGGTCGAATCTGCGAAAAGAGAAAGACGCCAGCCCGCCCAACTCTTCTACGCTGGTGCCTCCATAACCGCCGAGTACGGTCATCTTGACCTGGAAGTGTTTCAAATTCCCCTATCACTCCAACGCTGCATTTGCGATTCGAAACAATATACCGAATTTCCGTGAATGCCCAACTATACTTTTATCTGATCTCTTCACTTTTTCGAGGAAACAACGGAGTAGAGAATCACTTATGGCAGTTCGCGTAACGGAGCTTGACACAACACAAGGAAGAAAACAACTGAACATCGCCTTCACCTTCAGCCTTAAGTAGTTGGCTGTAAGGTTATAGAAACCGACGATAAAGACCTCAAACAGTTCATGAGATACCAATCGACTCTAGATCTACAGAGTCCGACTGCGATAGAGCGAACCAAAAGACTATATTCTCAGGGCGATCTCGCCGAACCAATTCTCACGCTTAGCCCCACGTTACTCTCACTTTGAATACTTTTGAACTGCGGCACCCTAGTTGTGGCCCAGTACGCAAGAGCCAAGTTTCCCAAATTGTTAACAGCCCGTTCCACTTCCTCAAATCAGACACGATCAGCGACTGGAGTACGATTAAATCTTAGCAGGACTCGTATGGGTTGAATACCTAGCATGGCACATGCTCCGGCACTTCTACGGACGAACACGGCCCCCGTATTCCCTGCCGACAACAAGTACGGTCCTATGTCAGCGTCTACTATGAGTAGCCTTCGGACAAGCCAGTTGTCCGGCTCCACAGCCCTCAACTCTTCGAACTCTTCCCTTACCTCTATGTCGACTTCTACCGTCGTCCCCCCCTCGAGCAACGGCAATGTCGTGCCTACTGCTAACATCGTCAACCAAAAGGCTGACGCCTCGAGGTCCCTATATCAAATCTGCATCACATTAAAACAGCGACTAGCACGCGTCCCTGATTTCGATGTTCACCTTGAAACTCTAGCAACGTCGATGGGCGAAGATGGCCCCGTCGAGTCTTTATGGAACCTACTACGAACCGGTTTACCGCTTCTGACTATATACAACTGCCTACAACCCGAGAATCCCTTAGAAGTCGACCCCAATGCCAGCGAGGCCAGGAAGCCTAAATTGGCTGTCTTCAAATTCGTTGAGGCATGCTTGAAACAACTAAAGATCCCCCCTTCCGAGTCTTTTGTCATCAATGATTTGTTGGGTAATGATACCACTGGCTTCGTCAAGGTTTGTCCTACCCCCTGAAAATTGTATCTCTCAAAACGCGAGCTCCTAGCTAGCCTGTCGTATGCCACGAACTGGCTGACTGACTTCCTCGATCAGGTTACCCAAGTCGTGAACCATGTTTTGGACCTCGCCGACCAACGGGGGTTTCTCTTAGATAATCAGCCCTACCCAGAGGAGATTGGACCAATAGCACCCGGGTCTCGTATGACGTATCGCGACCACATCATCCAAGAACTTGTCGATACTGAACGAAAATATGTCCAGGATCTTGAAAACCTCCATGATCTGAAGAAGACTCTAGAGCAGAAGGGGGTGATACCCGGGGATATTATTCATCAAATATTTCTAAACATAAACTCGATTCTCGATTTCCAGCGACGATTCTTGATTCGCGTCGAAACAACCAACTCAATGGGCCAGGATTCGCAACGATGGGGCGCGCCGTTTGTCACGTACGAAGATTCCTTTGATATATATCAGCCATTCATTGCCAACCAACGGAAGGCTGGCCAGATAGCCACACAAGTGTTCGACAAGATCCAACTTGCTGAGCATCCCGTGTCCTTTGATTTCAACACTCTGGATAGTTTTCTGCTGAAACCAATGCAGAGACTAGTCAAATACCCTCTACTCCTAAAGGTTTGTGATGGCGTATCGTCTACAATTACCGACGAAGATACTGACCCGTAATAGTCTCTCTTGAAGAAATGTGAAGTAGAAGAAGTCAAGGCGGATTTGACGGCAGGTATCGATGCGGCGGAGCGTGTTCTTACAAAGGCAAACGAAGCAGTCGACCGCGATCTCCTAGATGAAGCATTGGAAGAGTTAACACGCAGGGTGGACGACTGGAAGAACCATCGAGTGGAGTCGTTTGGAAGACTTTTACTGCACGGCGTGTACACTGTCATCACTGGCCGCAGTGAGCAAGAGAAAGACGTAAGTCCCGTAATGAACCCTCTCTTTGCAGCGACAATACTGACATACAATACTGTCGGTATTCCAGTATGAAATATACCTATTCGAGTGTATCCTGTTGTGTTGTAAAGAGGTCCTGCCGAATAAAAGCAAAGAAAAGAAGGATAAAAAATCTGCGCCGAGGGCTCCGAACAAGAATAATAAACTACAACTCAAGGGACGGATATTTATGACGAATGTGACCGAGGTCCTGTCATTCGCAAAACCAGGTACGTGAAGCAGAAAGCCCGTAACTGTAGAACTCAACTTAATATCTGCTTAGGCTCCTATACTGTACAGATATGGTGGAAGGGCGATCCTGGTGTAGAAAACTTTATTATCAAGTTTTCCAACGAGGAGACGATGAAGAAGTGGGAAACAGGACTGGTTGCACAGAGAAAAGAGAATGCGCCGAACACGAACGCGAGCCCCGATCAAGCCACCCCGGACTTTGCTTGGATGCGAAATCAGAACAATCTTGAGAATCCTTACGCTCAACAAGAAGAAGAAGACGAGGAGGAGGAAGAGGAGGTAACACCAGGGCAGACTCCTTCATCGAATACAAGCTTTGGTAACCCTCCAGCTGGTGGTATTATGAACCGCAATGCATCTAGTACAAGTCTTAGATCACGCTCAGCGACCGCCGAGAGCACTCAGTCACTGGCAGGCATTATTCGAGCCCCGCCACCGCGTTTCCCTTTGCCAGCACCTCCTGGAAACCTAAGTCTTCAGACGCAAGCTGGGGCACAGTCGCCGAGTACACGTCTTGGCGAATCTTATTTCTCCCCTACAGCGGAGTCCCCTGCTTCATCACGGACAAGTACAGCAAGTGCTATGTTTGCATCGAATGGGTATCCATTCCCAAGGACTGGGACACCCCAAGGGGCGTGGGAGGACAACAATCGTTATACCGCCCCGGCTATGCCACGAGCTCCTTCAAGGGATGGGCCTTCTCCGTTGAGCGGGAGGAACCCCAGAGGACCTTCTTTGCCTGTGATGACTTCTCAACCGCCGAGTCTAGCCCAGCAACAACGTAGTCGGTCCTATAGTACACCAGACATAAATGGACAGCCCAATGGGCGCAGAACCAACAGTAGCACTCCTGTTCCTGCTGTACCTGGAATCCCCCCTCATCTTCATCCGGCACACGACGCGAACATCCCCCGATCTCAGACTGGCTCTCCCAGACAGGATGTCCCCCTTCGCACCAGTACCCAGAGTCCCGGCATGCAACGTGAGGCAAGGCTGACCCAGCAATCTGGTCAATTTGGTGGGACTATGGCTCAATTCCCTACACAGCCTGTCTACTCTCGACAAACGACTCCCGCTCCAGCAGCAAACACCGGGGCCCAGTCTAGACAACCTGGATCACCGCCACTTGGTACTGCTACTCAGGGTAACCCTCTCTCTGCCCCGGATCTGCCTATTCCCGCACAATTGAAAGTCAAAGTAAATTGTGATAATGGAGCATATTTTACACTGGTGGTTCCGTTCAATATCGCGTATCAATCGCTGAGGGATCGTATCGACGCTAAGCTTTCGCGATTCACAAACAGCTCGATTGCTAAGGGCAATTTGAAACTGAGGTATCGTGACGAAGATGGTGACTCCGTGACAATTGAAAGCGATGACGATATCCAAATTGCTTTTACGGAGTGGCGAGAAGGCGTGAACAGCATGTACTCTGGCGGCGTTGGAGAAATAGAACTATATTGTGTTGGGGAGACGGGCTAATCGTCTCGAGGACAATATGAATACTGACCCGGAAATCCTACAAACATCAAAAGTGATGCAACTCACGACCGGTCAAAATGCCATCTCGCTCTGGGTTCTAGGCTCCCTTGATAATAATATGGTAGCGCCAGGAGCGGGCGGGCCATATCTCGATACCACCTCTTCACTTTTCCAATTTTCTATTCGAATAACGTTCGTTTCACGATTTCACGATTCTTTGCACATATTTTAGATACCAGACCTTTCTTGGTCACAGATGGGCTAGCTTTGGGTCCTTGCCCGATGAAAAGGAACTCTTACACTCATTTTATCGCCGCATTTAGCATTATGCTAAAAGAGTTCTCGATCGTTATGGATATTGTCCCCTTTGTGCAGTCTTTTCAAGAGCCAGGCGGTCTTTTTTTTTTTTTTTTTGGTCATTTTTCCCCCTCCTTTCGATCCAAGTCATATTTTACTTACTAGCTGTCCTTTGACACTTCACAGCAATCACAGCAAGAATACTAGGAATCGACAGTATTTCGTTGAGAGCAGTAGCATAGCTACACCAGCCTTTACAGGGAGCCGCAAGGAGACTAATCAGATATTTCTGGCTTTGACCACATTTGATAACCTTTGCACAGGTCGGCGCTAGTTAAGATGGATGGCGGTTCTGCTATTTCGCGTATCTTTGCAAGCATGAGAGGAGGGCAGAGAGGAGGAAGAATTGTTGCAGCATCGGTGGTAGTAAACCTAGGGTACCATACTCTAGGTATAATGCGGATCAGACTTGATAAAGTTGATAGTATTGAGGCGCGGCGAGTATAGTGGCGGATCCTATTCAGAGTGTTCAGGGACCAAGAGCTTGAGAGCTGAAGCTGCCTATATATAGGTGGAATGCGATGCGAAGATTTGTAACCCCGTCTTCTGTTCCTTTCTACTGGACTAGTTCATACTTGTTTACCCAAATAATCACACTTTTTTCAATTTCAATCCATTAAATTGAAAATCATCTTAATCTTATAACTGCATAGTATCTAATGTGATTTGCCCCCTCCGTAGGATGATGGATGGATGCTGGCGGATATAGTCCTCCGCATTTTGCCTATTTCATCCATCCAAATTGAGATGATGTCCTGACCCATGTTCAGCTTATAGGTTATCTTCCCACGTAGCCAATGTAGTGTTTCATCAGCTAGAAGTACGGGTTGAGCCGTATAAATGCGTAGATGGTGCTCGTGGGAAACTAGCATCTAGGTACCATCTCAGCTATCCTGACGATCACTCGCCTGTTCAAGACTTCTTGGTAGCATTACACATAACTCCCTCAGTTAAATTACAGTTATTTGTATTTCATTAGAGATCAAACTTTGAAGAATGTCATCTTCTGCTGTTATCGGCCATCTTCTCCTTCTGGCTTTCGTCGCGGCAGCCCCGTCGGCGCTCGCAAAGCCGGAGCAGATCCGCGCGGTGCAGTCGCCGATTTTCCACTATTATCTGCAGGCGTATCCCGAGGATCGTATGTTTGGCTTTTAAGAATTTCCTTCTTCTTCTTCTTTTTTTCTCATCTACGCTATTTATTGATTTATTTATTTATTTCCACCCAGTTCGTGTCTAACGAACAACACACACAGCCACGATCCCCGTGATGGGCCCCGAGGCCAGCAGCGAGTTCTTCACCATCGGCGCCACGATCCAGAGCACCAACACGTCGGCGTTCCTGAACATCGTCAGCGGCGGCGATGACGCGACAGCCTCGTACAAGACCCTCGCGTTTGCGGATGCCGGGAGCACGGACGCGTGGGCGCTCGAGGGTGATACCATCATCACGAGTACGGGCAGCGCGTACGGCCGCCAGCTGAACTTTCTGGTGTGCCAGGTGGGTGGTGGGGGGCAGTATTGGCAGGTGTATCTGCAGACGGGGAGCGAGGCGCCGCAGGGGAGGACGTGCAGTAATTACCAGAGTCTGCATTTGCCTTGTTTGTGTTGATTTCAAGAAGGGGAGGGGGCAGGGGAGGTTGTGGATGAGGTAGAGGATGGGGAGGAGTATACTGGGTTAGGACAAGGGGCTTGTCGGAAAGGGGGCAGCTTGAGGAGGGTAGTGTAGTGTCTTAGTTGGGCTAGGGGCCTAGCTAGTAATAGCTTATGACTGTTCATATGCTTCCTTCTACTACCAACCTTAAAGTGTTTCTTGAATTGTGCTTTATTCATGTGCGGGTTGGCACCTAGCTATGTACAATTTGGTACATGAGGATAGTTGAATAGTGCGGCCAGATACCTATTCAACTCCAGCTTGGGGTTTCCGCAAGTCAACCTAGAACGCCGTCCATGCCTTCAACAGTCATGTGAAGTATGCTTCTCTTTCGTATAATATAATCGTGTCGTACAGGAAGGTAGATGTCTCCTCCAAACTCATACTCGTTTAGGTTTGTACTAATGTGTTGTTGGTAGTGAGATATCATGGCTCCCTGTCATATGTAATCTCTTCCCAATCCTGTAGCATGGAAGAGTAGTCTTCTTCTTTTGGAGTGATCACTTTTTCTTCCGTTCCGAGTAGGTGAGCTTGGTCTTGAATCGCGCAAGATGGTAGTTGATCTCGTTGGATTTCGGCTTCGAAGGTTGTGGCCCGTCCATACAAGCTCGCAGGGCCTGTTCAACTTGGGCACATCCCGCGGTGCTATATCCAGCAGAGGCCCAGCATGCTATCCAATATATCTAGTTAGCCCAGACCTGCAATAACAATGTACGTCATTGTTTTCCCCCATCTTTCTTTCGCTTCCTAAATGCGTACCTAGGACAGAGGACATGATCGTCACGCATGGGCGTTCCCTTTGACCATTCGGGTTGCGCACTCGCAGGGTCTTCAATGGAGGGAGGCGAATTGGCTTCTGTGATGCCGACATCTTGAAAGACGGGCGATGCCGATAGTTAATGTCCGGTGATTGTCAATCGCAATTGTGTGGACCGCAATGAAGCTTCTTCGTCTCTTTTTCTTTTTTTTTTCTTTTTTTTTGTTTCTAAAAACGAAAAGAAAGGTTTGGACCCCACCTCAGAATAGCTAGGTGTCACGTGATTAAAACAGTGCATATCAGATGTAGGGGTTATAAGGGTTACTCGGATATTACGCGGTTATTACATATGCACCTAGTGACCTACTTGGTAACGGGCTCCTTGGTAACTTGAAATCTCTGTGCGAATATCAATGTAACCTTTACAAGATTCATCAGCCTCTCTTATGTCTTGTCAAAGGCTTCTCTTCTTTAGCTGCCGCCCAAACCTGGTAGGCCACGATTTGAATCTACGCACTACCATACTTATCTATATGAAACGGGATTGGACGATCCCATCAAATCCACATCAAAATGGGGGCAAGACGCCCACGAGAGGGTTACATGTAGCATGCATACCCGTGCCCAAGGCCTGCCTGTCATTTGCTAGGCATGTACTATATGTACTACTTACATAGCTATGATTAGCATACGACCTACCTCGGACTTCGTACACGTAAGCCCCGGCCTATACACTCTGCAATCGTAGTGTGCCCCGATGCCACGGGAAGACCAGGGAACGCGACCCAGTTGAAGTTGGTTCCACGAAGCTGTCCAGTCCGAGATCTACCCGCGATATCGGCCTGCTTTCGTTTGATGATGATGAACTGGCTTGCGCCGCTTTGGAAATTTGCACGAAATGAGGAACGAAACTATCTGTTCAGCTAGATGGTCTAGAATTGTGGCCACTGATCACCCAAGTCCACCTCACGATCTCGAACGGACGGGATGATTCACACTCGAGGAGGTATGTAAAGCATCCAAGCCACTTACAAGAAAAGATCTGGATGCCAAGTTCAGCTTGAGCAGTAAGGCTGTTTAGTAGACCAGCTACTGCAAGTTTACACCGCATATGGTATCATGTTGTTGTTTCTCAACTAAAGGTAGGTTTCTTGATTTCATGGCAATACACACGGTACTTAACCTAGTGTCTTCAATGTGTCTCTAGGTAGGTACAGAAGTAATTAGTTTCTGTACCATCTCGCAAAAATAGCCAGTTAAAAGTCTTGTAGATACTAGACAATTACTAAAGAAGTCAATCCATCTATTTACGGCCGCTTGAAAGTCGCGCACAAAATAGCCGAGCTATCCATGGATCCAACTGTATACATGCTAACTATCCAGGCACTTCGTAGGCTTACAAGTAAATATCTACCCAACACACCATCTTGAAAGTATGTGGCAAGTAACGCTCGCGTGTCCCAACCCACAGTAATTAGTGATAGATTCGTGGAAAGTTTCCAGCTTTCTAGAGATCCCGAGGCATTGTCGTCCGATTTATTGGCGATTCCACGAGCAAAGAGGGCATAAGCTCCCTGGAGGGTTAGATCGACCGCTGTCTAGCTCCTTTGATCGCTTTGATCACGAGCTGATCCTGGGTGGTGTGGGTACTGATTGATAAGATAAATTTTTATCAGATCAGAAAATTTCGCCGTGGTCCGTTTTTCCCAGGCCCTCTCGCAGATCAAGCTCGCCCAATCAGATCCAGTCTGGTTCCTTGGGATTTAGTTGCTTGCTTTAGTCGCCTGAGATGTTGTTAGCTCTAACAGGAATCCCCGAAGAACCTTCCCCGTTTGGTACCCATTTGCGTGACCACCTAGGCACACCTCATTCAAGATTTCCCTCCTCAGCTCAGGGACAGAACAAGGGATCCCTCATGGTGGTTTGGTTTTACGTAACAGTCGCTTCCGACAGATTTCACGGCCTGTATGGCACATTGCAACGGTTAGGTACTAAATATGTATACATAACCACATGTGCAGAATAGAATGTACCTAATGTACGTACCTTCGAAGATATGTCTGCATCTGAAATGACGCAGATGATGTTGTTTCTATATGTACTATGTATTGTAGTTCCTGCATACTACTAATAGTAAGTAGATGATCAACAATTTCAAGTATTGTGCTTTTTTTTACATCAAGGAAGGAATGGAATTGTTACCTGCTAACCTAGGTACATCCATATAGAAGCCTGTACGACCTCCACTCCCGTTCCCCACTCCTTTTAGATACTAAGGCATGTAGGGTGGGTCCATGGCCAGACTCGATGTAAAGATCAGGACTACTAAGTCGGTCGGTAAGTGCCAAGGGTAAAGGTCTGTAGGTACCAGGTAGGTACTACCTTGTAGGTTATGTAGGCACGTCCACCTTGTTTAGCTACCTCTATCGAAGCAGGCGCGCCCATCCTTTACAATAAATAAAAGGCCGAGTTCTCACCATTTAACTTCACACCCGGCCCTTTCTCTTGTCACTGCTTCTTAATCGCTCGGCCGGTGCCATCCCTCCATTATACATCGGATTATATATATTAAACAAATCCCCCGGGTTTGTTTTGTATAATTGTTCGAATAGTTGGTATCCTTTGTAACACCAATTATCGATACAAGCAACGCCGATCTATATCCATATCCACATCCCCCCAGGGTTCAGCAGCAGCCAAGAGTCACCATGAGAGGCCTGCTAAGCCGGTTCTCTCACCCGGCCGAGGTGCCAGTGCCAGAGACAACCACCCCCGTAAGAGACGACAAGGAGGGCGGAACTGTCAATAACGAGCCTCGTGGCAGCGAGACCACTGATCACGATGTCGACGCTATCGATGCGGATGCCCAGGCCGGTGTTAAGAAGATTGAGGCCACTACCAAAGTATGGTCGAGATCCAATCTGATACTAGCCTATCTCTTGTAAGCCACCCTCAAACTCCCCTATTCTCCATCCATTGTCCATTAGTTAACAGGATGTAGTATATGGATCATCTACTTTGTCGACTCCATGCAACAAGGCACAGGCAGTCTTTTGACCCCATACGTCACAAGCTCCTTCGCACAGCACTCGTTGACTGCCACCACCGGTGTTATGTCTGGTATTATCGGTGGTGTTTCTAAGCTCACTCTTGCTAAAATTCTCGATATTTGGGGTCGCCCTCAAGGTTTCCTTGTGGTCGTTATTCTCATGACCCTTGGTCTTATCATGATGGCAGCTTGCAACAACGTCGAGACCTACGCAGCTGCACAAGTCTTTTACTGGGTTGGGTAAGTAGCCAATTTCATAATAATTATTTCGATAAGTTACGTGCTAACCTGTCTCAGATACAATGGCATCAGCTACTCTCTCTCCGTCTTCATTGCCGATACTTCATCGTTGAAGAACCGAGGGTTGATGCTGGCTTTTATCTCTTCGCCTTACATCATTACCGTCTGGATCACCGGTCCCATGGCCCAGAGCATTCTGGAAAGCATTGGCTGGAGATGGGGATTCGGTATCTTCTCCATCATCACTCCGCTCATGTGTCTGCCATTGTTCTTCCTGTTCACCTTCAACTACCAAAAGGCCAAGAAGGCTGGACTCCTTGTCTTCACTGACAGCGGGCGCACGACATGGGAATCGGTCAAGTACTATTTCTGGCAGTTTGACGTTATCTGCCTCGTGCTAATCTCCGGTGGTTTCGCCCTCTTCCTGCTTCCGTTCAACATCTATTCCTACCAATACTACGGCTGGAGAGACCCGTTGACCATCTGCTTGATCATCTTTGGTGGCTTGCTTCTGATTGGCGCTGTCGTTTGGGAGAAGTTCTTTGCGCCAGTCAAGTTCATGCCTTGGGAACTTCTTATGGATCGAACCGTTCTTGGAGCTTGCATTCTCGCCGCCGTTCTTTTCGTTGAATATTATATCTGGACTGCCTACTTCACGTCTTTCCTCCAGGTTGTTCTCGACCTTAACGTTACCCAGACCGGTTATGTCAGCAATATCTATAGTCTGGGCTCTTGCTTCTTCTCCTTCATTGTGGGTATCCTGATCCGTTGGACTGGACGCTTTAAGTGGATCAGTTTGTACTTTGGTGTCCCCGTTACTATCCTCAGTATCGGTCTCCTTATCCACTTCCGACAGCCAGGTACCTACCTAGGCTGGATCATCATGTGCGAGATCTTGTACGCCTTCGCTGGTGGTGCCTGCGTTATTTGCGAACAGATGGCTGTTATGGCTGCCGCGGCCCATCAACATGTTGCAGTCGTCCTCGCCATGGAGGGCATGTTCAGCAGTGTAGGTGGTGCTATCGGAGGCACGGTTGCTGCTGCCATCTGGACCGGTCTCTTCCCCGAGGCGCTAGCCAGATATCTGCCAGCTGAGGCTTTGCCGGACCTTGCGACTATCTACTCCAGTCTCCCAGCCCAACTATCGTACCCCATGGGCTCCCCTACCCGAGATGCTATTATTGCAGCTTATGGCGATTCCCTCAAATGGATGTTCGTCGCTGCCACGGCCATCACTACACTGGGTCTTGTAAGTGTTGCGATGTGGCGGGACATCAAGGTCAAGGACTTCAAGCAAGTCAAGGGCCGTGTGGTCTAAAATATCTACAGCCCTCGGAGACATATGTTTCTCTCATAATCAAACGAAAAGGGGGTTTTGGGGAAGGCTTTTGGATAGAAGTGATTCAATGAGGCTATGAGTGGGGTATTGGAAGCGCATTGGTGGTCATGGGGCATAAGGGGAATGGAGGAAATGAATCTATTGCATGGGAGATGAGACAGCGATAGACTTATGATACCTGCCGATTCGTTGAATCGCGCACATTAGAAAACACATATAATGATAACAAAAAATGTTCTTTAATTATGAGGTCTTCTATGTGACCATGTAGTATATTGTAATATGCAAGAACTGCTTCTAACTATCGTGATAAGAGTTGCCTTCTTCCTCAACGACAAGGAGGTTAAGGCTATTTCCGTGAAAGTACAATATTTTACCTCTACTTAAGGGGTTCGTCGCTGTTAATGTCTTGATGCTCACCTGGGCAATGATATTATTTTCGTGTTAAGCGAGGTAGGTACTTGCATACAGCGGTTAGACAGCTATGAAGGGGCCCCTACTACATAGTTAACTAAGCTTTTTTTGCATTAGGTACAGGGCTTAGATCGAACGTTGATCATTGGTGGCTTTGCTGTGGGCGTGTTCCGAGAAATAAAGCCATTTGCACATTCAAATATGCAGGCTCTCGGTTGTCCTATGCTCCGTTTTGTTGCATAGTCTATTAGTCCCCGTGTTGGACGTTTTCGTATTCTTGAGAATGGAAGTCTACTCCGTACGAATGGCTGCTAACTATTTGAGACATATACCGTATATATATGAATCCTAGGTACACACACACATATGTACCTAGGTTAGTAGTTTTACATCTACATACACAGTACATACCTATTGTATAATGTAACCTTGTAGTCTGATAAATGGTTCTGACGTGTGAGGTTCTGTTATATGTAGGCGCATACTACCTAGGTGTAGGGCCATTGTAGGCACATGATACTAGGTATACATCAGTTACCTAACATTTACATCTGAGTGCTTACCTATTTTCATTTAAGCTGACGGTTACACAACTAAAAACAGCCTTGGTGCTTCTGAGTGAGGTGCATACTACGCTAATTTGTAGGCAGCTTATGTGGGGACCCTAGCGCTTGTATTGTACCTGCGTACCAAGCACTAACAGTGCTAGAGCTGACACTGACAGAAGGCAGGTGGGGGCTAAACTTAAACTTATCTGCTTACCTAACATGAACAACAACATCTCAATGCCACAGTGCCATGTGTAAACCGGAACGTGCAGGTATTTACTATTGATGTATTTACACCTTCTATCTACCTCGTTTATTATAACTAATTATTTCCCAGGTCCATGCTATATAAGAGTCCAGATAGCATTTCAAATATATAATCTACAGAAAGAAGACAACAAACGTCACATTCCAAAATGCGGGAACTTTTCTTAACTGCGGTCGTCAGAGACGATGACTTCACAATGGCATGTGCAGTCTTACAAGGCTTGACTTGGATGAAAGCTCGTCAATCCGTTCATCGAATCTTATTCTTCCATGGCCAGCCACAACCAAAGCCCTTCAAAATCCCACGCATATATCAGCAATCACGCTTCCTACCGTTTTGGAAAGAGTTAAGCAACCAACTGGCCCGATCGTCATACGTCCTGCAGCTAGCCTACGAGGTAGCCCGTGATAAAGATTTCGGAAAAGGCACTACTATGGATTTCAATGCTCTCCCAGGCACCTTACGATGGACCGACTTGCCAGATCCACTCCGGGACACGCCAATCACATCTCGAAAAAAGATTGACATCCCAGATCAGTCTGCTCTGCTAGGGGCCATGAATGAGAATAGTTTCCGGTAAGTAGGCCTCACATTATCGAAAACGCATTAGCTAAATGTTTGTTGCTGACGAGTTGTCCCTAGATACAAGAATGAGCTGATCCAGGAAAGCTATTCCTTCGTGCGAGAGAACGTCGAGTTCGTGTTCAGCAGATACTACCATCTGCCCGAGCCTTCTTCAGCCGGACCAGCTGCAAGTCTCCCGGCTTGGGAAGACCTTCGGCCAGTGGACCCGGCCCAGAAGTGGGTGTTGAACGTGAAGCTCAATGTATTTGATGACTCGCAGCCAGACAAGGTGAAGAAGGCAAACGAGGAGCTTCTAGGGGTAAAGGCAGAGCTGGAAAAGATATTCAACTTCCAAGCCATCGACCGGAGAGTATTCGATACGAGGATAGCGCCGCCACCGGTAATACCTATTCGTGGATAGGGCTCTATGCAAGCTAGCGTCTACCAGATTCGGCTGCCCTTAGAAATATTGAGTGTCTAATTATCAACATCCGTTGTACCGTTTCTCAATATGCTCTGAATTCCTGTAGGTAGTTAGGTTATTATAAATTCAAGCCCTCATCACTTGACTTATTTTACTGTTGGTGGCATCAAGCTGATTCATGGGTTCTCTACTTCTTTCTAACTAGGACGAGTATCTAGATTATGAAATTACTAGTGTTGAAGTAGAGGGAGGATTCAAATAAGTCAAGAGCTACATGTGGAAGCACACATAGGGGGGGGTTCTTTTTCTCGCACAAACTCTGTAACGGAAAAAGTGAGGAAGGCCTTACTTGGATTTCCCCCTAGGCAGATTAGAAGACGAATATGAGACGGGGTATACTGTACTTAGCATACTGCGTACCTTCCCTGGCAGTTGATGCCTGAGCACCAGATCATCTAAGTGGTACAGTTGAACGGCTCCATAGTGTTCCAAGGCTGTTGAGCCCTAATATAAGTGGTCCTACTGGCAATGGCGGCGTTCCTTCCTCGTCCAGCATCGAGCACAAGCTGCTTAGGACGGCGTACCTTCCTGACAAACAGACAAGCAACTGAATACATAAAAATTCCAACTTTCTCTTCCCACTTATTGTCATCCTTCCATCTTCATCCTCCCACCTCCCACCCATCGTCTGTGTTTTTCGTCTTTCGTCTTTCGTCCTTCACTTCTCGTCTTTCGTTTTCACCCTCCGTCTTCCATTCAAGCATTTCTTTACATGGTCAATTGAATTACACCAATGCCAATCAATATTCAGCAAATGATTTGATCAAGATAGCACTTCTGTGGTAATTATATACCACAGATCTGTTCACCAATCTTCTTGTCGTGTCCCTCACCCTCTCTTTCTTCTCAGGTGATTCTATTGTGAAGACAGTGAACACATGACACCTATCTGAACGGCGCGTGATACCAACGCCTCAGAACAAATCACAATAATTTCATTGATCTTCGTCACTTTCATCGACTATCTGTGACCCTATTTTCATCAATCTCATTTGTCACCATGCCTTCCATGACCGGAAACGACAACATGAAAAAGGAGAAACCCCCCGGACGCCCAGCCATTCCGCTGGGCCCCCGAGGCTTCCCTCTGACCGACTCCCGCATCGCACGCGAGAACTACGAGAAGCATAATGATGGCAAGGTCCTCCCGACTTGGGAATTAGGTCTTTCGCCCCCGCCCCCAGGATCTGCTGCTTTCATGGCGGCTTCGCGTGGACAATCCCACGCCTACCGTAAGCTTTTTTCTTTCTTTTTGCGGTTGTGCTCTGATGGGTATTGATTTGTTTGAAACTTGTTAACGTTGATCTTTCAGCACCTGCCCAAGGTTTCAATGCCTATGGCGGTGCCGGTTCCGGTGCCGTTGGCCCTGTAGGCACCTCTGGTGGTGTCAGTACCTACGGTGGAAATGTTGGTACTGGTGGCAACAGTACTGCGAGCACTTCTGGTCGTTCTGGAATTGCAGGTACCTATAATGGCATTCGTACCTCTGGCGGCACTGCTAGCATTGCCAGCATTGCAGGCGCCCGTGGTAGTGATCATGCCTACGGTGATCTGAGTTTTATCGGTAGTTCTCTTCGCTCTGGTAGAATTGGACACTATGGTAGTGGCGACACTTATCGTACCAGTGGCAACGATGTCTCTTGGAACCAGCCTCCCTCAGGTTCTGGCTATCGTGCTACTACGCCACTGTGTCCTGATCCAAACTCTGATGGAGAGATGTCCAATTCAAGGACACCTAAGGTTGTACTCCCTCCACAAGATCAGCGTACCCTTGCGCCTCAGACTTCGGACAAGTTTGGTCAGAACCCAACTGCACCACCGCAATCTCTCTATATGCCTCGCTTCATCCCTGGACCCCGACGAGACGTCCCTCGGCCCGCTGTCACTGTCAACGATCAATCATTTAATGCTCCTCATTTCCGCTCTCACAAGCAAATCCATGCGTTGAGCGCAGTTGCTCCCCAAAGTCCGAATTTCGTGCAGCTACGTTCGCAGGGGGAAACGCTACAGGATTTAGAACTACGAGCACAACAACGACGACGACGAGCCCAGGATCTGCTCGCAAAAGAGCGGGGAGTATCACAACGAGAAGTTTTCGATGGCCAATCCAGTCTTACACAAAAGGGCGACAATGAGCATATGCAGCAAATAAAACAACGAGAGATGTCACAGCAAACGCAGTCACAGAAAATATCGGAGCAAATGCAGCACTTGCAGATTTCCCAGCCGACACCACGTCTGCCTCAAGCACAGCACTCACAGCTGGCCCAGCAGCAGAAACAAGGCCCAAGTCGAAGCCCAAGTCCATTCGAGCTGCCGCCACTGTCTGAGGCGCACAGACTTCAGCGCATTCGTGACGAGAAGATGAAATCCTTCGACTCGGACGACGACGATGAGTTTTATCCGCACAATGATTAGATGGGTGTTTCGAATATGAATGACGCTCGGAACCATAAGGCGTTGGACATTGCTACGATAATTTGCAGCTCTTAGGAGCCAAAACAGTGAAGCAGCAGCAGGTCTTGATGGAGAAGCCAGAAGAACATTTGAGCACCAAGGAGATTACGTTTGCTATTTGCAATTACGCTTTGCATGAATGCTATGAAGAAATCGAACGCTACGAAGGATGATGCACAACAAAACAGTGCAAAACGGAGTACGGAAAGGAGTGCCTTTTTAATGCATGAGAAGTCTTTTGCTGGGGGGGTTGTGGGGGATTAAGGGGGATATTTTCCTTTTAATGGCTTGATACTTTCTTTTCTTTTCCCTTTTCCTTCTTCTTTCTATTTCTTGTCTGTATTTCTTCATATTTGAGGATTTGCATGGCTTGCTTTCTTAGATATTCGGCTTCCAGAGATACGGTTTCAATACTTTGCTCGATACAGGAATACCTCCTGGACTCAAACTTGAATTGGCTTGGTGGTTAATCACTGGGACATGCTCATGGAAATATTCTTGTACAAGGCACAGGGAATTACTACGATAGTCTATGGAAACGATGATCGATACTTCTTCACGTGGTTTAAGTAGTTGTGATATCCTTTTAAAATGCATTATTCTTATCCGGATTGACATGAATTACATACTTATGGAATTCGGGGTATATGCTAAGCATGAAAGCAAAGGTGTTCCTAAAATGCTATAATACCCAATCTCTAGGTACTTGGGGGCTTTCCTTTATAACCAACCTGATCAAATCAAACGCCAACCTCCAAACAAAAACAGAAAATATAGGTATATGTAAATACCCAGCCAGTCTTCGTAAGCACCTACACGGTAGGTACTAAAGACAGACACGCGTCTAAGCTTTTTTTAGTAGTTATCGAGATCGATCTCGGGCGTCCTCCTCCGGATCTGGACCTTGGCGTCCTTGTTGACCGTGTTGACCGCCTCGAACGTCTGGGTCGGGGGCCTGCCCTCGCCGGGAACGAAGCGCCACTCGTACTTGAGCAGCAGGTGGCACAGCACGATCTTCATCTCGTTGGCGGCGAAGAACCTTCCGGGGCACGCGTGCTGGCCGTAGCCGAAGAAGGTGTGCGACGGGTTGCTCGTGACGAACTGCCAGCTGTTCTCCTGCCCGGGCTGCTGCCGCATCTTGAGGAAGCGCTCCGGGTCGTAGGTCTCCGGCTCCGGGTACACGGCCGGGTCCATGAAGTTCCCGGCGACGACCATGCGGGCGCCCTTGGGGAGCACGGAGCCGTCTGAGAGCTTGACGGGCTCGGTTACGAAGCGGTGCATTGTTGCTGGGTTTTGCCGTTAGCATGAAATATAAGGGGGGTGGGTATTTAGGGGGAGGCTTTAAGGGGTAAACCTACAATATCCCAGCGGCCGAACCCGCTGCCCCTCCTTCAAAAAGCTATCCATGAACTTGAGCTTGTGCAGCGCGACCTTGCTCCACCCCTCCGCGCCCAGCACCTCGATGATCTCCTCGCGCAGCCGCTGCGCCACGTCGGGGTGCTCGCAGATGTCCAGGATCGCGGCGCACGTGGACTCGGTGGTCGTGTGCATGGCGGCCGCGGTCAGCGAGAGCTGGCCGGCGACGTAGTCGGCGTCGCGGCCCTTGGACACCTCGTACATCCAGCCGATGGTGTCGGAGATCTTGGGGGCCTTCTCGCCCTGGGCGTGCGCCGCGTCGACGATGGCCTTGCGCCGGGCGACCTCGGGGTTGATCAGGCTGCGGGCGTCGCGCACGTGCGCGCGGAGGCGGCGGGACTGCGGGAGCAGCAGGTAGGCGACGGGGCGGAGGAGGGCGGGGGCGGCGCGCATGAGGGCGGAGAGCATGAAGGAGTCGAGCGTGTAGGACTTGGAGATCTCGAGCCAGCGGCGGTTGCGGCAGAGCTCGCTGCCGAGGAAGACGCGCGAGGAGAGCCGCGCGATCACCTCGAGCATGTCGTCGCGGATGTGCTTCGTCGTCCACTCCGGGCTGTCGCCGAAGACGTCGTGCAGGGCGGCGATGGCCTCGTCGACGAGGTCCTCCGTCACGAGGCCGAGCGACTGCGTCAGCTTGATCCGGATCGTGTCCTGGATCATCCGGTTGTCCTCGAGCCCGAGGCGGAAGGCCTCGAAGCCGGGGTAGTTGATCATGAAATCCTGGGGGTTTGGGTTGGTGGATTTTCTTTCACGAGAAACAGCAAGGGGGGAGGGAAAGGGGGTTTGGGAGTTGAAAAATTACCTTGGCAAAAGCCTTGTTGAAGTTCAACGAGGGGTGGTTGCGCACCTCTTCGGCGAATTTGTTGGGCAGGACGATTTTGGGGCCTGTCCCGGTTATCACTTGCGCTGGCCCGGAGAACTAGTTTTTTTTTTATATATATTAGCCGAGAACACAGTAAAATAAGCCGGATTGCGACTATGATTTTGGGGGAAATACCTTTTGCATGCCCACGGCCAGGACTTGCTGTCCATGATACAGCCAACTTTCTCTCGGATTCTTGCCGTCGACTGTTAACACCGGAAACCCAGAGAAGGGCCGATCCGCAGTGATTAGTGAGTAGACCACGCCAAGTACCAGGGTGGCAATGACCACTTGGATAGATATTGGTAGTCCCTCAGGGACAAGACCGCGAAGGGTCGCTAAGGTATCTGACATGATGTGTAGTCAGCAGGATAGATCTAGGTGGTTAGATAATCCAGGGTTACGATAGTTAGTTTCTTGATGGCACAGAAAATCACGGGCACGAAGTTTGGTGGAGGGTCAAGCAGATTTATATTCGCAATAGAAATCCACCGAGTCGGGACCATGTTACACTGCTGTACCCCTATGCACAATCTTGGAATATACTAGCTAGGTATGTCGGTACTGGCAGTAGTGCTAGTTATGTAGGCAAATTACTGTATCTTTGTTTCAACCTGCATCAGGTCTGATTCGCCGCCAAGTAATTTAACCCATCCAGGATGCCATACTCCGCAAGCGACCTCCTATATTCAACATATGAGCTTGCTACTTATCTAACCTAGTGCTGTGCATTAAGACTTATGCATCTGAACTAATATCCCCCAGTTTCCCCCCCCATATTCGTCGTTAATATGCAACCTACTCTAATCGGAGATCGAGATCCATTCTGGGCCAATCATGTTTGTTCCCCAGGCCGAATACGGATACGGAATACGAAGTGTACGAAGCGCATAGTAACTCTTTCCGGAGCGATTGTGGAACAGCCCGGCGCAGATCGTGCACTAAATTTGACGTCAAGTGCCGGACGGGACATCCTGGTTTAGGAACATTTTCGCCGCTTCTGGCCAATTAGAACGTGCCCATCACGAATACGGGCCACTTGATTTGGAGTGGGGTTGGGAATAGCATCAATTTTTGTAATAACTACATCTATTAATCTTTCTTATATGCGGATATTACATATCTGGGGAATTCACGGGGTGCACGACTCCGGGATTTTCAGATTAAATATTCAAAACAGCGAAGAAACAAGCAATGGATAAGACTTCTTGGAGATGTCTGGCAAGGTATACGCTACACGGACACAGATGGATACAGTACCGATTGGTCACGAGGCTCTACATAGTTATATGTAAGTCACCCAGTAATTAACACCCCCTTCCCTTAAGTAGAAGGAGAATATTGATACAGGGAATACCCAGTACATATTATTACCATAGATACTTATACTTCAGCCTTATCAGCCCTATCGGATCAGCCCAGCCTCTCGGTGTAGTCATGACGACCTACTAACCTAAATCGAACAGCTGGGAATGCATTGTTTCCTTCTAGAAAAGGGGTTTCCAATATTTATTTAGACAGTGTACTAGGTACCTAGTAGGTATTATCCTCCCCCGAGCTACATTACTTAAAATCATAAATCTCGACTCAGGGGCTTCAAGTGAGGGACTTAGTCGAACACGTTTAACATACATCATCTTTCCTGCCAAGGTACCTAGCCTAAGGTAGGTAGGTAGTTTGATGTAAAAAGCTTTTTCTAACCACCAGCGAACACGGCCTGTTGGCATGTCGTTTCGTTTTCGTTTTCGTGTTCAGGGGCTGTTACACTGTACTAAAGAACTGACTCTAGAGCCTAGGCAACTGCTGCAGGCACCAGGCACGTAAGATATGGAGGTATTCTAGAGATAATAGCTTGGTGATTAGCTTAAGCTACGTCATGAAATAGAGGTGCCCCTTTCCTAGACATTTATACATAGGTGTTACGTGCCACTTTAGCCTCTAACCTAACCTAGGAGGAACAAGCTGATTCTTTAATCTTCACCTTCACCTGGGCATTGTTGGAAAATGGATGTTACCGTCATAGCACCGCGCTACTCAGACGTCAGACTTGGAGAAGTAGCTGTGCCAATATTTTGTTACGTTGCCTTTCAGCTGGAACTATTTCATGTGTGTCAAGGGTCTATCTGGGAGCACATGGGCGTTCACATGGAACAAGAACGACTTACGTGTGTATGTAGCTTCCACACCTACTAGGTAGTCTCCGGGAGATGTTAGAGATCCCCGCGCAGCAACGATGTTGTTCTGCATCTTCTACGTTCCGCCTCGTGACAATGTGGAGAAGATACCTAGATAATCCCCCTCCCCCCCCCCCCCCCTTTTAGAGAGAAAACGTCAGCAAGATGATCTTGGGGTACTCTCTACCCAACTAGCTCCTTCATGAGTCGGTAGCGCATGCGCATAGCTCTCGATATACCTCAACAAGATTTAGATGCATTACGTACCTCTTCTATCTACCTTCCGAGTCGGTGGAAAGGCCATCATCAGCATCATCATCGTCAGCCACACTAGCGCAACCTTCCCTTCTATAGGTACCTAAAACGGACAACTTATTAATAATCAACCGGGAAAATCAATATAAGATTGCTTACCTATCTGAACAGTTCATCAAAAGGAGTCTGTTACAGCTGGCGTCCATTGTCACTTGGATAGGGGCTGAGCCACTGTACAAATAACCTGACCAAAACTGTACCACTTCGCACAGTAGTTACTGGCTACCGTCAGTTCCGTCAGCCACCTCAAGCAAGCACATTAGTCATCCGGAATTAATGCATTCAGGGGCCAGCAAAATCCAAAGCCCACCCCTTAACACCGTATCACCGGCTTCATCGCCGACCAAAACTCTCGTAGGAAAATGGTTAAACATGACGATGGTTCTAGGAAGCCTGGTAAAAGCAGGCAGCCGTGCAGCTTTGTCATCGTATTTCTAACCAACTGTGTGAAAATGACGGACGAGATCTCACACGTACACTGTTTCAGCGAAGCAGAAGAAGTTGGCTTTTGATGTATAAATATTAGTCTCAGTTCCCCTCTGAGCTGTGGTTATGTTCTTGTTATAGTTATCAGTACCTAGATTATCGACCGTACGAAACGCAGAACTGACAATCAATCAATACCTATATCACAAGTCAAAAGAGCAAGATATAAACAGAAACTACCGCCACCATGTCTCCTCCCCGAACCCTTCCCACCAAGCCCCTCGGAAAATCCGGCCCTCAAGTCCCTAGACTTGGATTTGGCCTGATGGGCATGAGTGTCGCATACGGCACCGTTGGGTAAGTTTTCTTTTCTCCAACTCACCCAGACCTTCCAATCGCCCAGCTACCTGTATATATATAAAAAAAAAAACAAAAAAAAAAAACTAACGATGTTCCCTCTCCTTTCTTTTGCAACAGCTCCGACGAAGAACGCTTCAAGATCCTCGACAAAGCCTGGGCGCTCGGCGAAGTATTCTGGGACACGGCGCTCATCTACGGCGACAGCGAGGACCTCGTCGGCAAGTGGTTCAAGCTGCACCCGGAGCGGCGCGGCGACATCTTCCTCGCCACGAAGTTTGCCCTCGAGTTCAGGGGCATTGGTGAGAGCGGGGGGCCGATTATCGGCGTTGATAGTTCGCCCGAAAATTGCGTCGATAGTTGCGAGCGGTCGTTGAAGCGGCTTGGTGTTGATTATGTCGATTTGTTTTACTGCCATAGGTTTGATGATGTGACGCCGGTCGAGAAGACGGTGGAGGCGATGGTGCAGCTTAAGAAGTAGGCAGGCGATCTTTTTCGACCTTCGTGGAGGGAACGAGAGCTAATGTGATTGATGAGCTAGGGAGGGCAAGATCAAGTATCTCGGACTATCCGAGTGCACGTCGAGCACACTGCGACGAGCTTACGCGATCCATCCGATTACTGCCGTCCAGGTAGAGTACAGTCCCTGGACCCTGGACATTGAAGACGAAGTCGGCACCAATCTCCTTGCCACCTGCCGAGAACTAGGGGTTGCCGTGGTGGCCTACTCGCCCCTGGGCCGGGGGTTTCTAACCGGACGATTTAAGTCGCTCGACGACTTCGAACCCACCGATATGCGCCGAGGCTACCCGAGATACAGCCCAGAGAACTTCCCCAAGAACGTCGAGCTGGTCAAGAAATTCGAAGATGCCGCGAAGGCAAAAGGCTACACCTCCAGCCAACTGGTGCTGGCGTGGATATTGGCACAGGGCGATGATTTCTTCCCCATCCCGGGAACTAAGTCGATCAAGTATCTGGAGGAAAACCTGGGCGGGTTGGATGTCACGATCTCCCCCGCAGAGGATGCACAAATCAGAGATCTCATCAAGACTATTGGTGTCACTGGCAAACGAAGCATAGCACTTGCGACGATTCCATCTTCGATACTCCAGGATACCGCCCCTTTGTCGTGAGTTTCGATGAGCTAAGGGGGGATTCATCGTTGTACTTATGGAAACCTGTCCCGAAATGTAAAAATTAAATACTAAATAGAAAGACTCAGCTCACAAGTTAATAGACAGCGTGTTGCACTAGAATTATTATAAATTAGCCAGATAGGCAGAATTAGAACTTTGAGTAAGGCTGCTTATGATGTGAGATTCGGCGCAGTATCTTCGTATTGCTCATCGTAGTTTGATCGTCGAAACGAGCTATATACTAGTTGGAAATAACCCCCCATTCGTCTCATGATGCGATGCAATACATGCTCGTAATCGTTGCGTTTGGGCTGTGAGTATCATAAAGGTATTTGTCTATGTCATCGGGTTCCTATCGCTCGTTAGGTCCCTTGTTTGCCGTAGGTCTTTTTCATCTTCTCTTCTGACTTTCCATCGTTGCTGCTTCAATAACTCCAACTCTTCGTTTGATGGCTTTGGAAAGGATTATTACACCACCCTTTTCAATCATCCTCTCCAACCTCGTCATCATCATCATCGTCCATCTCTTCACCTTCTGCCCCATCCGCATCTTCATCTTCTTCAGAGCTGGTACCTGAGCCCTCACTCTCGCCCTCGGATCCGGGGTCGTAATCTTCCTCATCCTCATCTTCATCATCCTGTAACTGTTGCTCGGCCTCCATTTGGGCTCTCTCTAACTCCGTCATGCCATCATCTTCTTCGGCATGTCCACTAACGTCCTCCGCTGTACCCTCAGCCCCCTTCTTTCTTTTCGCGTTTTCTGCTAGTTGTCTCTTCGCCTTGCGTTGATCTGCCATGCTCCGGTCCTGAAGCCCGTGCCGGGCGACGTAGTCCTCGTTGATGCCGCCAAAGTCTGCTTGGTCGAGCATTGAGAACTCAATCTCTTCAGTGGCCTCATCATCACCGTCGCCAGTGAATACTTCCACTACCATATTGAAAGTCCTTTGTAAGATATTCGTAAAGCTAATAGCAGCAATCTTATCCCGGGGTATGAACAGTAACGGTTTCTTGAAGCCCCACAGGATGCCGGTTTCGAGGAAAAATAGGTACCCGTCCTTCGACCCCCTGAATGCATTCACGTGAACAGCAGGTTCCTTCGGGCGTTGTGGTTGTCTGACTTTGCTTTGGAACTTCGCAGGATCCGCTGAAACTATTTGTACACTGTTTCCGGCGGCCTTAAGGCACTTGCTCAAGGCCCAATGGAAGAGGGTGCCAAAAGAATCCGAGACGGCAGATGCGGCACCAGCGTTCGGTCCTCCAATAGTGCCTGGTTTGGGTGCAGCGGCTGATACTGTGAATAATAACGGTTCTTCGGTAGGCGTGCTTGCTTTAGATAAGGAGAAGGAATTCCGGGGAAATAAAACGTAGTTATGTTGAACCTGGGCCTTTTCAGGCACGGGGAGGTAGAAGGCGTACTCTACACGACGGTTAGCTTCAATATTTTACAGATCTGTTCATATAGCATACCAATATCCTTCCACGCGTAGACTATATTAGGAATAGGGGCTGTTTTGCCCGGAGCCCGGGCATATAGGTGTTTGGGGGTGAAGCAAAGCTCGAACTTCTTCCTCTGCGGAATGGAGACAGATATTTCTTTTATCTCCAACAGAACATTCTCGGCAGATACATCCTCAATCGTGTCTGTGACGGGAGCAGTAGTGTTTGGTGTATGTCCATTTTGGGATGGTTCGATGTCGACTCGGCGGCGCTTAAGCGATGATCCAGATAGCTGGTCGCCAATCTGCTCGTAAACGAAGTTTGCAATATTATTGAAAAGCTTGACTCGTGATGGAGAGTCTAATGAATTATGACTCTAGTAAGTCTATCTAGGTATACAACAAGATTGTAATTTGAAAGGGTGGGATGGATCAAACGTATCATACCTGCAGCCTTACGGATATCTGCTATAATATCTGGTCGCGATTTGAATACAGAGTCAAGTCTCTGAATATCCAATTCACCAGCCATGATATTAAATGGAGGTTGTTGGAGATTGTATCCCCCGAATTCGCGTTGTGTTAATTGGCGATTGGGAGGAAATGGACGCGATTTGCGATGTGTAAGTTGTAGTTATATTGATAATATTGATAATATTGATAAACTTTTGAATGTTCAAAGCAAAACTACGACGTACGAAAAAAGATAAATGACGTACAGGGGGAGCTTGAAAATCACAAAGCCTACACTATTAGGTAATCTCCATAGTGCTCAAGCCACTTGTGGCTGATGTGTGTAACTACTCAACATTGAAAACCCACGTGCTTCGATTGAAGTCACTGGTCTCCAAATTGGAACCTTCCAACTTCATTCCAAGTTCATCTAATTCCCCTAATGTTAAGCATTCGCTCTCAAAGATCTCATGTCACTAATATCCTAGTGATTCTATGAAAACCTTGACAGAGAGTGTATGTTTACCCAGGTATATGTGATCCTATCTTGAGTGAGAGTCATCATGTCGTTCCCGAATATCTGGCACCATCGGAAGGTAGCCGACACCTCAGCCAAGGCATGCGAGCTTTGCTTTAAACCAAGTACCAGTGTGCTCTTCAACCCAGAGAATAAGGTGGGTTTAGGCTCATATCACACTATGAACGGTGAACGCCTTCCTGATATCGATCGCTTCTACTTAGGACTTCTTCTATGTATGCCTTGCTCATATCAAGGATAGGGGCTTTTGTTCCCCGATAATTGATCAGGAAGCCATTGCCGCCAAGAAGAAGAAGGAAATGGAAGAGGAGCTCGAGAAAGTGAAGAAAGAGTACGAAGAAAAGCAACGTAAGAAACAGGAGAAAAATTCGAAAAAATCAGAAGAAGAAAAGGATAAGGCCAAGGACGATGAAGGAAATGACTCCAAGAAACCCGAGAAGAAAGATGATTTGAAGCCAAATAGTAAAGTAGGCTCTTCATATACCCCCTCGCTAAATACCTCTTAAGGTCTCGGTTGATTGACAGTTACAGGACAAGGCGGACGACAACACCTCACCAAAACCAGAGGAAGAACCGCGCGTCTTTGCATTACAAAGGTCGGTATCCTTACTAGCTACCGGGTAGACTTTGTAGTTACTAATGATATGCAGGACCTTCTATCAACAGCGACTAGATAGAAAACGCCAAGCTGAGATGGCTAAGAGAAACCGAGAACGCTTAAGTAACCCTAGCTACTTTCCATCCGTTCCTAAGGACCTCCCTTGAGAGGTCAGCGATGCTTTGAATAGGTTACCTTCACAATCTTCGATTCAAGAGGTAGTATACAGGAATCTGCCGAGCCCGCGGATATTTCTAACCCATGCGTTCACTACCTATTTAACGTAGCATATAAAAGCCTGCGGGGGCTACTATGCTATGCGGAGCAGATGTAGCTCTTGGAAACCTCCCTTATTGTTGAGTATACCGACGGCCCTAGTTGGAAGTTGGGTCACAATTACCGTGAAGCGAGCTATGACCTTAAGCCTGAATACCTCTTTTCAGAGTTGGCAATACTCTTGAACCGCAATTCGCTCAATATAATAAACCGAGTATGTTGTATCTTGGGTCAGCACAGCGTTTACGGGAATGCACACATGATTTCCCCTCAACACCCCAATTTCTGCTTTTGAAAGTCGCGTCTAGCAATTCGCCCAGTTGCGTCCATTTCGGATTGGTGTTTTACTCCCACAGTAGTCTCCTACGGGCTGAGATATCGAAAAGCTGACCACCAAAAGCTGTCTGTGCCTTAGATCTTTCCTTACATGCCAGAGATGTCTGAGCTGCTTTACAAGGCTAGCGGTGATCAATTTCTGCTAAGAACATATCCCCAACATGATGCTTTCGAGCACACAATTTTCTGTCGAGCTTTGAAAGACGTGCTTAGCGAGTTTCGTTTACAGTCCGTCTCTCCTATTGTCTATCACTCAAATGATGTGAGAAAATGTTATGCGAACTAGATGAACCAATCTTGGCCTCCCCACTTCAGTCACCTTCGTCATCTCTGCAATCCGCTATAAGAAGATTAGCGCTTACATTGCGTCGACAACGCACGGCAAAGGTTCTGATGATACCATTCTGAGCAATGAGGTAGTGCAGGCAGCATCACTCAACGAGTGGATATGGTTGATCTACTGGCTAGCTCCCGTGGTCTCCAAACAGACGCAGCATTAGTGCAACTACATTTACAACTTTTTGACGAGGATACACTAGTTGTCCATGCATCATGGTTCTCATATTACTTTTCCTAGGACCGGTCTGGCACGTAGCGGGCGTGTGATGGTGATATATGGTTTTGACATGTCTCCTGCAAGCGGACAAGCCATCTCGTCGCCGGTTTAGGAAGGTTTTACGACACCACGAAAAAGGTTACCTTCAGCGTGCAGCATAAGGTGCAGCATGAATCTAGTCCCACAAGCTGATCTGATCCGGCCATATTCGGGTGTTCTCTGAACGAGTGGAACATAAGTCCCTGGGCATATATTTTGCCGTCAGCCTTATAATAGGTAGCACCAACTATATGAGCGATCTCGGCCTTTTCTAAGCCATTATTGTTGTCCGGCGATACTAACTGTGGTAGCCGTGACGATCGGTGATGTAGCAGGCCAACTTTTTGGCTACTGCAACATGCAGTGCAATATTCACTCACAATAGATTAGCAGGCTGCATTCGACAAGGCCGTCTTACCTAGCACCACCATCTACGTCTTCGTTCCGTTTAGGTCACCGTTTTGAATTACTGCTCAGGGACTTAGCTGGATGGTTGCTACGTTTTAGGTACAACTGGAATCTCGGTCTTTCTCCTCACACAAGGCCAAAGCACAACGCCGTTGAGTTATGCAGCGTCCCACCACAGGCCTACATTTCATCTTGTGCCTATCCCTACCACACAGACTGGTCTACTCTTTACATATTACTTTGTATTTCTCCGCCAGAGAATATTCATCCAGCACGCCTGCTTCAGTTCGGCTCATTAACCGGGCTATCCCATTGCTAGGTGCCTACGTACTTACGCGGGGCCGTCTAACATGGAGACGCATGTTAGTGCTGACACTTCAACTGAACACACCCCTCTGCGAATCCTTCATGACTTAGATTTGAACACTTCATGCATCATCTTTACAGACACCCCATGGGCCTCAGAATCACTTGGTAGTAATTGTACACCCCAACTGCAGTTAGCTGCGGGGTGCTATTGACGAGTTACGACTATGATACAAGGGTTTCTATAGCGATGCTAGACTGATGGAAAGCAATCGGAAGGCTTTCGCACATTCATACATTAGCCAAGCTGACCGGTTATAGAGGGTTATGTGACCTTGGGAGGTCACTGGGTCGATATGTCCACCTCTTATTCAGTGTATGACATGGTTTTGAGAGGGATTTCCTGAGGACCAACTTTACCACAAGGCACCGGAATAACACCCGGATGCGCCAGTGAGTCAACATCAACACACTCAATGCAACTAAGCAACCCAATTCCTAGGTTAAACGGCATCTGAAGTATCTGCTTTATTCGCAAGCAGACGTGAAACAGTTACTCATCACTCTTTCATGCTTGTGTTGGGTACCCAAGCTGTACCACCTACTCTGTATTTGGTCTTAGACTTACATTCCAAAAGTCACGCCGATAGGCTACTTCAAAGACGAAACTTTGTGATCGGCATATATATTCTCGATCGCTAAAGGTTGCGGAGGTGCCGAGACGTTGCATAACGGACGATTGCCCGGAACTGGCTCCGCTTTACGGATCCGCATTGAAAGTTACACCGACACCGAATCCGGACGCACGCAATTCTTGACTAAAAGGGGGGGGTTGTCCTTCCCAGGAGGAAAACTCCTCTAACTGTTTCAGGCCTCAAAGTGAGACTTGCAGGGCTGAGGTACGAGGCACTGGCCGGTCACACAGTTGTCGCCTATTCCTGCCAGGAAAAGCGATTTGAGGCACGTAACACAGGTAAATCCCTTACCTTCCACGAATATGGCTGGTATTACTGCTGCGCCTCTTGAGTTCTAGACTGCGTAGGGCTGGAGGCTAGCCCTATGTACGGCTCAATCGAAACAATCTTGAAAACGTGGTGGCTTGTCTTGGCGAATAGCCATCCCTAGGTACCTAGGTAGGATTCATCTCATTTTCAGACCAAGGATTCAGTTGAAGGTTTAAGGCGATAGCTTTGATTTTGATTTTGATGGATTATCTGCTATCAATTTCGGACTTTTTCACTGAACCGGCATGGAAGTCAATGCCAGAATCACGAATATGACTACCTCAGCTTCGGCCCGGCCTTTACCGAATCAATTTACAGATACCTATCGTGATAACTCTTCGTCCTACGTATGAAATCCCACCCTGGTGCATCTTAATACCTGGTTAGCTAGCTCTATGCTGTGCTACCTTTGTAATGCGAGGGTGTTACGTCAGGCTCATGTTTTACCCCTATTTTCTTCTTCTTCTTCTTCTTCTTCTTCGGAAAGGGTCCTACCAGCAGCGAACACAAAGAATGACAAGTCACGATCCGGAAATCCCGAAAGTTTCACGTCCAAAAATATCGGAGTTTTGCCCATAACATCAATAATTCGTGAAGACAAAGATAAAACACACACAATCTCACAGGCTGCAGGTCGGAACGCCCACCAATCTAAACGCAGCCGGAGCGAGGGCAATAACTATACCTAGGTACCTAGGAAGCAAATATTATTGATTCGGATTTAACACACTACCCGAAAACAGAAGCTGGGGGAGAAAAACAAAAAAGGATGGATGGGAGCGCGGGCCATCCGAAGTGAGATCTTTGCAAGATCCCAATGGTTAGGCGAACCAATCTAACTCTCAATCTGGGTGCATTAATCATTGAGCTTACTACTAGGTAGGTACATACAATACATTGGAGGCCAGAACCGGAAGTCCGCCGTTTCATAAGTACCTACCTTGGTCTATTTCCCCTCTACTCACACACCGAGGTGGGAGGGAGTACGACGGATAGGCAAGGCTAATATTTGCAAGGGTTGGCCGCAGTCGTATCCAACTTCCTGTAGCCTTCTGGATGTACGTACCGGAGCTATTCCTTCAAGCCAAATCAAGATGTGCGCCGCACAACCACTACCTACCTACATGTAGGTGTCTACCGAGTCGCAACGGGCTATTACCAAAACCAGCATCGCGATGTGATGGATCATCACTTAAACAACACATTTACGTAAGGCTCACCTGTTGCCCTTTTTGTGACAATCCCAATAAGCACTCCGACCCCCACGTCTCTTATTCGGGGCTTATCGTGGGTGAGATGATGCTGTGGTTTGGCTAGGCACCCGGCTGACGTCGACAAGGCTAGGTTAGGGGAGCTTTGTTGACGAGGAGAGCATAATAGGTTACCTAATCAGCACGCGTATGGCAGGTGATCATCCAAAGCCCTGCCAGCGGCGAGAGCTTAGTGGGCACGGAACTTTCGATACCTAGGATGCATGTGACAAGCAAACAAGCAACAGCCCTACTGTACTCCAACATTCCTTCCCCAATTCCCCAGTTTGACTACAGGGCTCTCTTTATGCGCAGTCGCAAGGGGAAAGCATATCGATCCTTCAGGTGGTAAGGCAAGTGTTCCCTATCGCGTGCGCGTGCGCGTGCGTCCAAATTTTATACGACGGAACGCTGTCGTATTTCTGGTTTGTTTTGCAGCCTGTGCCACATGTCGTGCAATTTTCCGCGGATGTAGATACGCGGTGCTGACTGCAGTATCTGGGGGGGCCTTCCGTCGGCGAGCTTCCGGTCGAACGAAATCTTGGGTAGATAGCTGCTGCCAACAGATATGTAGGTAGGGAGGTGAGTAAGTAGGTAGGCAAACAACAGCCTTATCAGAGCAACGTCATCTCTCTGTTTTGTTATGCCTACGAGGACACTGTGCCGTTTTGCATATGTATATGCACGAACCTAGGTATACTCCTACCTGGGAATGCATGTTTTACGGCAAGGAATAGGTAAAGTTGGAGTTGTTCTGCCCTACGAGGAAGCCGACTAACCCTTTTTCGATCATGGGGAAAGAGAGGGCTCGGGGAGGCTCCAGGGCTTGTATAACTTGGCATTGGATGGGTGGAAACCTAGCTTCATTGAGCGACGCCTTGCGCTATTGTTGACGACGAAGGAGTTACATAGTAATTCAGGATTCGTGTAACTTACCTATCACATACTTTCTACACATCATCTTGAATAAAACAAGTCAAATTAAAGACTTCAATCTTAAAGTTCCAATTCTTACTATTACCTACCCCCTACCAGACCAGCACTGCCCTCTCTTACTATGTAGGTACCTATTTATCCACCAAATACCAACACCCATAATAGGTACTAAACTTCAGCTGTAGTCTGTGCGCAAAATCCTGCCCATCAGTTGTCACTTTGCCCATCCCATCCCATCCCATCGTATCCCCAGCTACTTACCTACTTGCCTGCCCTCGCAAAAAAAGATCCAAACTAAGTATTAATTAATGACTGGGTTAACAGCAAGCCAACGGACGGACGAACAGCATTAGTTATGTAGGTTAGTCAATACTTTGTTTAGTAAACCACAAGTCCATCCTTAGATCTATCTAGTCTTTCCACAAACCATCTACCTTTCTCCAAAATTTTCCGGACCACAAGAAAGAAAAAAAAAAAAAAATCAAACGAACATCGCAAAGTCCGGGCGACTTTCGGGAGCGAAACCGAAAAAACAAGCCACCACTCTCTTCCCCCGCCCCCCCCCCCCCCCCTTCCTCCTTACTCGTAGCTTCGTCCAATCTCTCTCGACGATGGTGCAAAACTTCCAACAACACAGTAAGTAAAACTAATCATCTTCTTGGTTGCTTTACGTGAAGGAAGGCGTGAGATATATACTTGATACTTCCCAGATACCTTATTAGGTAGGTAGAGCTATGTATGTAGGTGTATGCGCAGCGATTCCTTTGGCACGTGAATATTGTTCTAGATTTTTCCGTCGCCCAGATCTACATACCACGGTATACCTGCCATATCGCGCTACCACTGGAAAGCCCCTCGTAACAGCGACGTATAATACAGCAAGAACAGAGAGAGAAAGAGCTTCCTTCCCCCTCCAAACACAGTACATTCTCTCCCAACAACCACAACCACAGCTACTGTAAACCCACAACTCCTGCGCGGTGCTTTTGAAACCAGGGGTTCACCCAGATCAACCAAGCCCGATACGATCGGACGAGGGAATAACAGTAGGTAACTAATGCCTGGCCTTCCTCAACAACAAGCCTCCTTTAGGTATGGGCACTTAACCTAGGTAGGTATGTACCTAGAATCCCGACAAAGCCCTCAACTCTCAAACTCCCTAAACGAACCCGGCGACGAAGCTGAGTAAGTGATGTGATATCAAGACCACTCACTCACTTACACAGGAATATGATTAATCGGCCACCAAACCACTAACAGCGAAAAAAAGGGGGTTAGGGGGGTTAGGGGCAGGGGTGGGGGGGAAGAAGATTGTACCTACAATTGGAAACCAGTGGAGTTGTAGTTACACCAAAAACCCAACACCCGTTGACGAAAAATTGCTTCACGTAAGGGAAGTTCCGTACCTTACCTACTAGAATCTTAGATAGGTATAATATAACTAGTTAGTTATATGATGTGATATGCTAACGAACCTAACCTAACCTCACCAACCTACCTACCTACTTAACCAAGTAGGGCTGACTAGCCCTCGTCAGGAGTCTTACACGGTGCTGACAGCTACATAAAGTGAGATGTGATCACTGATCACTGATTCATTCCATGTACGGTAGGTTAGTAAATACCAAGATACTTAACTACTCACCAATCTAGGTTAAATTCCTACATACATAGCTAAAGGTAGATAGATAGATAGATAGATATTCTAGGGCTGATTTATTGAGGTTGCCTACCTACCTATCTACCAAGCATGTACGTACGTATGTGTTGGTTGACAGCAATGAATTCGCCACGGAAAATTCCGACGCGCCACGAAGCATACATAGGTAGGTAGCTAGGCAGCTACATGGTACAGACGTACATACGTATCACATATTGATTTGCTCTATCAATTCAGCCGCAATGAACACAAACCTACTAGGTAAGCTTGGCTTTTTTTTTATTCGGAAAGGGGTTAATTAGCTAGATACGGATAGCCCAGGCCCAACTACCTAAATATCTAACCTAATAGTACATAGGTACAGTAGGTAGGTAGCTATGCAGGCCGGCACAAGCTTGCTTTTGACGTCAGCATAAGCCTTGCAGTCGATCTACGTGTCCATCGCCAAGCCATGCATTCATCCCCGTACATACCTTCAGAGGGCGGAAGAGATTGGGGGTAGGCAGGTATCAGAAATGGAATGAATACGGCAATGCATCATCTACCGCAAACACGGCACTATGTTGTTGCGAGAAGACCAAAAAAAAGGAGGTTGGGGGGCACGATGTGGGATGTGATATCGGTGATTTGAAGATACATAGAGTACATCCCACCTTGTCCACACCGACAGTTTCCATCACGGGCAAATATGTAAGTTGAGCTGACGCGACGCGTGTGATCTCATCTCGGCCCAGCGCATGATTTGCCAAAGTACATAAGCTCCGCGAAAAAAAAAAGTTGCATGCTAATCCCGAGAGGGCTGAGTGTATGGAGTTCCACCACTTGCATCAGACGCAGGTATTCGTACGTTTGGTATTCAAACAATGCCGAAGCCAAAAAGACTGCGGGTAAGGGGTCCGTTCGATAGCGTCAGCACCAGGTAATTGTATTGTATGTAACTACCAAATAGTTAGAGCTTATGTTGTTGGATCATGGATGTCGAAACGAGATCGCGAATGAACATGGGAAACCCGAGAATGCCCTTGAGGAATAAGGACGGTAAGCAAGGTTGTAACCCCGGGTATTTTGTTTAAAAAGGGGGTAAAAGGTAAGCCCTATGCCGGAAGCGTACAGCTTTTCGATTAAGTGGTCGTGCATCTGACATTATGCCCACAAGGGGGTAAGCCCCTTATTGGCAACGTGCTCTGCGATGTTTGATTGCGAGTACATCTGGCCAAGTGGGTTCACAGACAGGTGATGGGGATGGGGAGGTGTGTACGGAGAAAAGCAGAGAGTACAACATTGCTAGACAAGGCAGGTTGGCAGCTAGCCCTGTCGCTAGGAACCCAGTCCTTGATGTACATCCATATTAGCGGCGGGTTAGGTAAGATACATGCTGGGAACTGGAGGGGGGTGAGCCATTAGATGGATGTCAGCAACTTGACTGGCTCGTGCTTCTGACGTATCAATTTGAGGAACCGGTACGACTGCTGTTTCAGGCAATCACTCAGGCTAGGCAGCCTATTTACTTGATGAAGTCTCAAGTAAAAATATGAACCATAAGCGTGAAAGTACCGATGATCAATTAAGGTCCCTCATGACCAACCTCATCTCATAAGTTACCATTTCGTACCGGAGGCACTCGAACTCTAGTGGCATCCATATGCCGGGGAGCAACCTCGTCAACCCGACTCCGTTGAAGCGAAAAGGCTGGAACTACCCACTCGTTACAGGTACACCTTAGACCTTGCCATGCGTAACGGCCGACCGTGGCGCCGCACTTCGCATTTGGGCAGGTAAGACGGCCCTCGAGAGCACCGTCTTCCAGTACCGGCCGCATCCAGGAGAGCGTGTCGATAAAGATGTGAGCACAGTTGGAAGATTCCGGCCCATGCGACAACACGAATTTTGGGGTTGCAAGTACGCGTCTACATTTCTTGCATCGAACCTCCTTGCCATCTTCCTTGTCCGCTTCTGTTGCGGTAGCTTCCTGGCCTTGCCCCACCTCATCCTCGAACCGGATGTATTTCGTGTCGGGCGCCATGTTACAGTCCCGGGATTCCTCCAACATGATTTCGTACAGCCATTTTTGGTACACTGGATGATGTTCCACGGCCTTGTCGTGGTCAGCAGGGCAGCCCATCTCCCACCACAGCTGAAGCTGGTCAATGAAGCCTTCATTGGGTGCTGCTGATGCGCGACCCTGGCGGACCCACTCTAGCGCTTTCGTTACAGCATCGCTGGAAGTCTGCCGACGCTGAGCCGCTGACGCAGCCGACGGGGGGGAAACCTGCTGCTTGCCTCCGTATCGGTGAGGGTACTTGTAGAGGAGATACGCCATCACGCAGGTCACAGATCGTGATATGCCCATCGCACAGTGCACAAAAACCCCCCGAGGAGAGGCGGTGTCTTCGGACCTATCTGCGTCCACCACGCCACTACTTGGCGGATGCAGAGCATTCTCGATGAAGCGCACGACGGACGGAAAATGAACTAGCAGGTCGGAGTCCGGGTCATCATCAATGTCAATGCTCATACGCTTGTACGACTTGGCTTCCTCGCCCTCGTTGTCAAAGGAGTACTTGAAGAGGGAAAGCACGTGCGTGATTGTGTGAGGTTGAAGTTGACGACGCTGGCTTTCAGGGTCAAGGGCCCAGACTCTGAAGGCGCAAGTCAGCTCATACCCAGGGTGAGACTTTCATGGGCTAGAAATTACCCTCCTACGTAGAGATTTTCGTCTCCGGGTACCCTAGAGATCATCGCCATTTTGCTTGGTACGTAGACCAAGGGTCTTGGCCTCGCTGTATGATGCTGGAAACTTTTAGGATATGTCAAATCCGATGTTCAGGAAATATAATAGGATCAATAGAGGTTTGTCTGTTTTCAAATATTCAACGTATTTAGGTACCTAGGTGTATATTAGACATTAAACAAAAGGCTTCTGATAATGAGACTCGTCCTTTTATTCACTTGATATTTCCAAGTTCAGGTGGGAAGGAAAAAATGGATCTAGATGGCTCTAGCCAACGCCGCCTCACATACGAATTCAATGTGGCGTCTGCGGCTGTGCAATTTAAACTCCCTCTCAAAGACACTAGGTACACTCTAGTACCTAGGTACTTTGGCTTAGCAGCTTCAAACTTTATGTTCTGTTTTAACCTCTTCTTCCTTCCCGGTAGGGCTGAGTCATGTGACGCGTAAGGCCTGCCCCGCCCGCGCTAATCCGCTATGAGTATAATACGCAGGTAAGGTGGTTTGACTTGCAGCTTCCCGCTTGAATCCTAGCGGCATTTCCCAACTTCCCGTCCAATGGAACATCCATGGGGAAACCAAAGCCCAAAATGCAACCATTCGTCAGATTGTACGTTTGTATGTTACTACCTAGTATGTACAGGCCCAGGTACTAGGTACCTACACTCCTATGTAATATTTTGCTGTCGCTAGGTCACATTGAAACATTAACATCGAGGTATTAGGTACATGCACTTATGCCAATTCTTCTTGTGTGTTTCAATCAAATATCCAAGGTTCTCTTACCCCATGTTATACTACATAGCATGTATTTCATATACCTACCTAGGTAGGTACTATTAATGTATTATCCACGTATAACTAGTCCTCTAGGCATTGTTTTAATATTCCCTGACTCAAAACCAGTTCATAGCCCCATGTCTCATTGTTTGGAACTGACTCATAAATTATCTTGGTAATTCGATTGCCACATGTTCGGAATGGTCAGCCCAGCTTCTTGCAAAGATACCTTTTGGCTGGCGACCTTTTTTTTTTTTTTTTTTTTTTAGGGGTAAGGGGGGGCGTCGTTGTAACAAAAACGACCCGAACCCGCCCATGACGCACCTGGCATTTTCAGATACCTACCTAATCCAACGCTAGTCTACTTATACATGGCTTGCATAGAGGTCAATATGCATGTATTGTACCCTTCCACCTTAGAGTACCCGCGAAAAATTTCGGTTGCCTGCAAAGATCGTTCGTTCCATTGTATTAAAGGTCTCCTTCATTTGTTCTAACAGGAAACTCCTCACACCCCAAAGCCAACCCCCCCTTTTTTCACTTATTTATTCCTCGTCTTGCTTGTTTGCTTGCTTGCTTGCTTGGCTGCAGACCTACTCGTAACATTTGGAAACAGCCTAAGCTGAGTTATTATATCTATATGGCGGCAAGTTACCTTTGCCGGCCATATATATTCAAGAAAGCAAAGGAACCCAAACATAGTCTGGAGTTTACTACGATCATTATGTCAGATGCTTGGGCATGCAAATTCAATATGGCATAGTTCTTATCTAGTAGGTTAGATAGTTCTCAAGATAAATATTTTGGCGCAACTGTGCAGATTGCCGGGTATGTATGCAAAGGGGGCCAATGTGACCGAAAATATACAGATGTAGATATAATCCAAAGATTCCAAACTAGGTAGGTAGGTACCTACTTACTACCTAGTAGGTTAGGCGATGTCCATGTATTATGTAGGCACCTGCAATCAATAGAGACACAATCATAGGGAAACAAACTTCACGTCACCGACTACCCTAGGTAGGTAACATTAAAGTCAGCAGAATCTAGGTCAGCTTACTCGCTCCGCTTCAAAAGATCCCGAGTACCCTCTCATCTCTGGAGCATCGGTATGGGACGCCAACACTACTACATATGTAGGTCATTTTTTTATGCAAAGTACGTTGAGCTCAAGATACGGAAAACACAGGACCTTCAAGTAAAATATTTCTGATTTTTTTTCTTCTTGCAAAATTGTAGAGCTTTTCCTTTTATGTGGACTATGTTCAACAAGCTGACTCTTCTAATCAGCATTGAACGAGCTCCTTCTCAACAGGTATGCCAAGAGACGAATACCCGTTGGAATGGAACAGTCCCGTCAGCAAGCAGCTGAATCTCATAAACCATCTATTGATGCCGTGGAACCCGTTCTACCAAATCCCACTTCACCTTGGTGGCGCCTCGTACCCTAAGTAGGTAGGTGGATACGCTGGAATAAATGATGTAGTTGAGCAAAGTCCAAAATCTTCCAGTTTGAACTTGCCCTGTATCAATTTCGTGTCCGTACCACAGGCGACCATCTCATATTTGTACCTTTGTGAGGAACTATCCAGCGGACGGGAGATCGGCAAAGCAAGCCAGGCTGGTCCTAGGTCAAGTCTTACTCCGACTGATCCTTTCTGTCTCAGCGACCAATTGTAGGGTTGCCTGTCGTGCATCCATGGGCATCTACCCCAAACCAACAAATCAATCTATCCGAATATTGCGCACCCATAGCTTATAGGCTCTCCTTTCCCTTGAGAACCCCGCGCAGTATTGCTACCCAACACGTCGCTACTAGCCGGCTCAATTCGCTCATCTTGATGGTTGTGGAGGTTCCTCATCGAGCATGCAGGCATTCTCCAACATATTCGTCCATTTCCCACTAGTACCCGCGTGGCTATGCTTAAGGTGCTGTCGAAAATGATCTGCCCGGTAGAATTTCTTACTCGAATTGCATTCGCGGAACTTATGCACCTCTTGAAGGTGTCTTAATCGGTCCTCCCAATCTTGCTCAGTAGGTTGTCGTGCGCGCCCGACGCCGCCGTGGCGCTCAAATTCGTCTCCGCAGTATCCACACACATCAGCTTCTCCAGGTCGATTTGTACTCTCGTGAAATGCCCGGTCATAACGCTGAAGGAGCAACGCAGAGCAAGACCAGCTATGCCGTCTAACATGAAGACTGTTTTGATGTCGCTCGGCTTCGTTCTTGTTCTTGAATCTATTGCCACAAAACGAACATTCGTACTGTTTCTCTGCCTCGTGTGCGCTGAAAATTGGTTAGAAAATATGAAAATACAGATATATATCCAAATATTCAGAGAGGCGAGACAGTCACTCACCTAAGTTCTTCTGCTGTCTCGAACTTCTTTGGCTTTTTGGGACAGCATTCACACATGTAAAACCCGCCAGGTATCTTTGAAATCCCCGCCTTGGGTACCTCGCTTACTTTGCGGGGCGATGCGAGCCGTCGTGTTTCGCTACTAATATTACGTTGATGGGGTACACGCGCAAGGGAAACGCGTGGCGAGTGACCAATGGAGTTTGACATGTTGTTGTAAGATGAGCTTGACATCACGTCAATGGGGGAAAGTCCCCCACTTGACAAGCCACCAGGGGATCTAACAGAAAGCGAGTTCATACTCGAAAGAGCAATAGGTAGGGAGGCATTCGAGGCGAAGGATCCACTTCGCGCCGCGGGTGGAATAGAAGGCATAGAACTTGGGGGAATGCCGGAGAGGCGCGGGGTTGGTGATGACCTCGATGCGCCCTCGCGATGTCGGAGTAGGTTGCATGACCCTGACATGCCTTGCATTGGCATATCATCGCCAGGTGGTGAAGACGCCCTCCTCTTCAGTCCAATGGCTTGATGCTCTATTTGGGGCCTGTCCTCCATTGGGAAGTCGTTGTCATCTCCGTTGTCGTAACTACTATGCGTCGAAATAGTTGCATCATCAGGTACTGAGCCACTGTTGTTCCTTCTCGTTCGCGCGAATGGCGACCGATCCAGATCTATAGGTTCAATGGGCGAACGGTATTCACTACTAGGCGCCCCGTAGAACGACGGGCCACATGATGAGATGGCAGATTGTGGAGGGGTATCGGTATAACGACCTGGAGAATCGATAACTAACTTGTTACTCGAGCGGATGGGGAGGGAGAGAGGCGTTAATTGAGGTTGCAGGCGATGTTCGTGACTAGGCATGCTCGAGCTCGCATTGTTTGCAGCAGCGCCGAGCGCTGAACGTCTTGGCGGGGACCGGTTGTCGAATGTCCGTCGAGAATCCAGCTTCTTGATTAGTTTCGAGTCATAATCATTACTGTTCGGCCTGTTGAACTGGTACTGGTCGTGGGACATGAATAATTTCTTAGGAAGAGAGTCGTGCGATCTAAACAAAATAAGAATAATTAGTCATCTTACTATAGCCTATGCTGTGATAGTATATAATCGCATACCCTAACGAGGAGATCGTGGAGTTGAGGCTGTGGTAGCCCTCGTCTCTCTGAGGACGTACCGTCCCGCGGTCACTATCAGCCCTACCAAACCGGGGTCGATCAAAATCCGATTCTGGTCTTGTGCTTTCCCAGCTCGCATTCGAATCAATTGAAGGAATACGGTCATGTCTGGAAGGACCTGGCTGTGCCAAACCAGGAAGGTACTTAGGGGGAGGTAATGGTGGCGGCGCGTCGTCTTCGGCGCGACGGCGGCTATTAGCTATCGGCATGGGAGTAGAGGAAGAAAGGGTTGGCGAGAATCTCGATTGCATATGGGAACGACCCGACCCTCCATAATGGTCAAAGTGGTTGGAACCCTCGATGTATATGGCCGGCGGTGAGCCTCCTGGCTCCCTCGGTGCATATCTGCCCGGGATCTCCATCTTGTGTTCCCCCTACCAAAGACTCGAACAAACGAAGCTGACCTCGTTGAACGTGATCCAATAGTAAGATCGCCACGGCTTAGTGCTGAAGTGAGTAGCTGAACAAATGGGTAATCGAGGGGACTGGTTTATTCAAGCCGATGTACAAGTGGCTGCCTGGGAAAGGGATAGGAGCATATAATGGGCTTGTGGAGTCGGTGAGGCGGTAATTGCGTTTCTGCGGACGACTAAACGGCAGCCAACAATAAATCGGACCTAAATCAAGGGGTATGATATCGTGGAGACAATGGTGGCAATATTTCGCATCGGAAGTGCCGGCGTCGACTGTGTAAGTTGACGAGGTATCTGTGTCGCCAAAGGGACTTTTGATCTGAAGAGTAGAAAATGGTGCGAGGGTATTTCTAAGACAGTTGAAAATCGTAAAGAGTCATGATAATAAACATGTAAATAAAAGTAACACGATGATAATACACCGGATATGCGATATGGACCCAAAGAAGAGAAAGGGAAAAGCAAATGCACGCCGAGGCCTCTTTTTGGGAAAAAAAAACAATCGAGGTGTATGTGAGGTAAAGTTGAGATGGGTTACTTTGGGCTTTAGCTCAGCTATAGATAAATAAGAAAGTAACACTGAGAATAAAAATAAAAATAAAACGAAGAGGTGCAGGTAGCTGAAGCTTAAAGAATAATAAGGTTAGACGAAGGGATTCGACGAAGGTATTCCTTGTTGGCCGAAATAATTCGAGCTAAACCAATTATCTTAATTTCGAAATTCGAAATCCTTGCCTCTTTTGATTTCTTGATTTGATTTTCTTTTTTTCTTTTTTATTCTTCTCTTTCTCCACGGTAATGCGGTAATGGTTCGTGTTGTGTTGTTGGTGTACTGTCTATGTATAAAGTATATAATAAATTTGCCGTGGAATTAATAGAGATAGGTTTTAGATAATGGGGTAGTAGGATATAGCAGGACAAGTTTGGGGTGAGGGAGGGGGGAAGGGTAGGGTAAGGTAGGGCTGGGAAGGTCGAAGAGTTATGGAAGTCTGTTATGGAAGTCTGTTACCAGTTCTTCAAATGGAATAGGGACGATGAGGTAGGCGATTATACAGGGTTTGCCAGACGCTCGTAAGAATCCATTCTACATCAGCACTTTTTTCTGAAAGGTTTACCAGAAAGTTGAAGAGGGGCGAGTTAGGTGCATATTAAAACTAGATTCCAGAAGGACCAAACCCACACTCACGTAACGAAACCGCCCTACCAGCCTACGTGCGTGGGTTGTCCGTTCAGCCCATCTGGGTAGATTTCTCTTCTAGCGCGGGCCCTACAAAGGTGGCTTCTCAGAGTGGATATTCAATGTTCGCTGCCAGGGCTACACTAGTCATAGTACCTAATGTACCTGGTCTGTCGTACTCTAGGTGGGTCTTTTATTAGGGCAAAAAGAGTTGGCAAGGGGGGAGGGTGTGGATTGAGTGGGATGCAGGAAAAAGGGAAGAAAGGGAAAGAGGCTACAACAGTACGTACCTGGGGGCGTAGAAAGGAGTCTTGGGATTACCTCCTGGGGTGTGCCATGAAGAGCAAGGTTCACTGGAACTTCCCATGGGTGGATCCACTCTTTGGTCAACGGGAGGGACATCTGAAGTGGGCCACTACCACATGAGTTTTACTAGGTTAGTGGATATTTCAGGTTACATCTGTACATACCTGCATACATGTACATATGTACTTACATACATACATACATACATGTAATACATTTACATTGTACCTACATCAACAGCAGCACTGAGTACAGTAGCAGTACCTACATATGTACATAACTACATATTACATATATGTAGTACCTACATGTAGGATCAATGCTAAGATGGATGTAGTACATATTCTTGTAAACATTGAACACATTGAACTCATTGATCCATACATATGTACATTCAATGCCAATGTAAATTTGTGGTGGTAGGATTGATGCACTCCCAAGCCCGGCACAGGGCTGCACTACCTGATTACCTACAGCTCGCCTTCCAGTAAAGGGTTCGGTCCTAAATTGGAGTATACGATGCTTACATGTAATGGATTATGGGCAGCGTGTACCTTTGGTCAGGCAAGAAATATTGATTGAGAGGTGCATATTGTATCGTACATACTTACTACTTAGTGCATACCTAGGTAAGTAGGTAGGTAAGCTAGTACTATGTAGGTATGAAGCCTGTGCCTGTACTGGTCCCGCCTGGTGTCTCCCAACTTCCCAAGGTGCTGTATGTATCTGTGAAGATCAATGATGTGTCTAGATGTCTTATCATTAAGAGCAACATTGAAGAAGTATCGTATTTATAGTCGTAGTCGGTATACCTACTCACCAACGCTGATTTATTCAAAAAGATATGATGATGGGTGCTTCAAGCATGTCTCAAATTATGAACTAGCCCTATCCAATGGTATCCCTCGTCTTACCTAGTATGTATACAGACGTGCAATGAATGAGTTCTATAAATCACGGAGAGAACATTGCATGTAGTAATGCGATGATCATCGAACGATGTTCATGTGTGCTTCAGTACCACTACATGACACGCATCCCCTAATTGCATGGAGATGCTTCATTGTCCCTTTGCAACGACACACTGGGTTCTTCCGCCCCTGTGGTCTATCAAATAATGGAGTCTTGAGAGGCGGTCTACAGTTCGGCCATGGTAATTTCGCATCAACTCAGCACGATCCCACCTCACTACTACCGGAGCGTGGTTGGAGCCGGTCATTAAATCCAAATTGAGCCTCATCAATCAGGTGGTTATGGTAGAGATGGGGTCTTCAGCCTTATAGAGCCTTATATAGGCTTTGGAAATTAAATAGTACCTCATGTGGGCGACTTTCTACACCAGATACCGAGGCAAATAGTGTCTTAAGTTTTAACAAACCTGAATATTACTATTGATAATATTGATTAGAACCTCAATCCTCGCCTACCGATTTGTATTACCGGCGCAAGTGCTAAACAGCCAAATAGGGCCGGGGATGACTACGGTATATCGAGTTTTAGATGACTAAATTGGCCGAGCACCGTATTAGGCAGATTCACCGTTTAATGAAACGTGAAACAATGGTGGTAGGATATCGTTGGCTTGCACGATACCTACAGCACTGAGATAGTTATGCTAGGCAGTCTGATTTTATCTTCTATCAAAAGTCTGACCGTGGCTTACTTTATTTACTACAACGCGGATAGATCACCATGGCGCAATATGTACGAATGGACAAATCAGAATTCACTAGATTCATATGGGTGGCATGTGGGACGCTTATATGGAATTAATAGGAATCTGTGCAGTGGACGTGCATAAATCGTCTAAAGTTGACGTCGCAAAAATAGACAAAGGGTACTAGGTATAAAGAATATGTATGTAGACACAGACATCTGGAGTGTAACAATGTAATGAATATCGCCGTCTACTATGTACTATCATACCCTAGGACCTGGGTTACAGGCTGGGTATACATACATGATGATGTATTGTACATAGTCTAAGTGATATTTGATGTACAGGTTATACATTTTATGTACCCGGGTACGAAGTACATACCACTAATGTACCTACATACAGGTATGTACATAGCAAGATGTATTAGCAAACGGAATCTCACAACCACACAATTTTTTCTTAGATTTCAGACCTGCAAAGTTTCTCCTCAGCCCTACAAGCCTTCTTTTAGGCCGTAGGGATGAGACAAGCTAATAAGCTGTCCCCCGCACCACGATTGGCTCCGCAGGGTCTTGCCTTTGACAGTAGAGTTGAAGAACCCCTCCCATCTCCTCACTCCCCTCATTCAAGGTTCTTACTATGTAGTTAAGCATCACTATGATGACTTCGATGTTCTTGTTTCCCTTGTTTCCCTGCTAATTGACTTTACAAGGTACCTATGCTTGTAAGAGGGAATCGAAATTACCCAAACTTTATATCTTATCTGCAGAACGCTTACTTAAGACACCGAAATCATTCACAACTTGTTTGTGATCCATCACCCATTCAATGTTCTGATTCGAACCTTGAAACATCAAAACACCTTACATACTTGAACACTATATACATATAGTCAGACTGACTATACAGAGCCTATTATATTCAGCGTATCGAAAGTTCCCGAATAACTACCCTAGGCATGTATGTAATTTGGCCATTCTTACCCCAAGGATAAACTCTCGATGACCCAATCGCTTTGAGCATCTACGCGCGCCTACAAATGTCGCAGGGACATTCATTAAGCGCCTCCAACTTGGCTTTTGTCACCTCCGATCATATTTTAACGATAATGCCTTCTGACTGGGTCGTTTATCAAACAAAACACGATTAGCCCGTACGACCATGTATAGATAAAGTCTTATTAAAGCTTTACAGTATGATTTCGGTTGCTCCATCGCGTGGCAACATTGCCAGATCTAAGCTCACCTTGTTGAGCCGCACTGGGTTCCAAACTTAGATTGCCTGCTCTCAACTTCATATAATCTTGCACGAGGTAAGGATAGCTGGCAAGGTGAGAGTTTTGCTAATGATGATACTAAGTAGATATAAGCAATGACTAGGCCTGAATCAGATGCGATGTGATTAAATGGACGAGAAGAATGCCTCCCTAGGTACCTACTTATGCTAATATACTACATCATTAGCTTCCTCACAAGTATCGAATATCAATCAACAAATCGAAGCTAACATATACTAAACATGTAGAATCAAACAACTCTTCCAACAAGTAATTTGGCAACATCACGTTATCAGTCATGTGGGCTTCCATCTCATGCGCCTTATACTGCACTAATCGAGATTAGTCCCGCACGCTGCTTAGAGTCATCATTAGTGTCTCGCCTTATTATCTACTTACATGTTGGTATGCATTGCACTGTATGTAGGTGTATATCATCATATAAGGCTCCATGTATTGAAGTATTCCCTGAAACTGTGTAACCATTGTGGTAGGGCAACGAAAATCAAGGGATGGCAATCAACATATAT